TGAAGGTCCACACGGCGTGGTGCAGCTACCTCCGCCGGCGTGCTTTCTTGTCCGAGGCCACTGACGAAGATTTGGACGTAGCTGAAGTGGGAATCCGCTCGGCGATTGAAAGCGTCCAAGAGCTTGGAGAAAAGAAATATGGTCGCTCTTATGAAGGTGACCCGCTCTTCCGTCTCGAGCGTATCTACATCCGTTACCTGAGTGAAAGTGGCAGCTGGGATAGTGCACGAGAAACCTTCAAGGGCCTCGTTGGACGCCGTGGCAACAGCTACGAATTCTGGCTGACATACTATCACTGGGAGCTGGTTTCTTGGAGCAAATTTGTCCAGGGTGAAGCAACGGTTGATGCCGCGCGTCGGACCCCCAATCCCAGCTTTGCCACAGCTGTGCTGAAGCAAGCCATCAAGCGGACAGATCTTGACTGGCCGGAAAAGATCATGCAAACTTATGTCGCGCACTGCGAAGACTACGAAGACTCGGAGGAACTACAACTCGCCGTTCTGGAAACCCGGAAGGCTATGAGGGCCATCGCCACCCGCCGGGAGCGGGAGGCTCGAGAAGCTGCCGCGTTACAGGCTCAGCAGGCTGCTGAAGCAGCAGCAGTCCAACCGACATTAGAGGCTTCGCAAGCGGAGAAGAGGAAGCGTGAGGATGAATCGGCTGTGAATGGTCTCCCTGCCAAGAAAGCACGAGCAGAGACAACACCAGATGTTGAAGCAGAACCGGTAGCACTCCGACGTGATCGTGAGAATTCTACGGTTGTCGTCAAGAACTTGCCTCAGAATATCTCAGAGCACAAAGTGCGACAGTTCTTCCGTGATGTAAGAGGACCCTCCCCTACTGAATGAATGCATTTTGACTAACTTGGATAGTGTGGTACGATCAACGGTGTTAAGATGCTTCCCGGAGAAGATGGTAGCACCGAAGTAGCCATGATCGAATTTAATTCGCGAGAAGATGCCGAGGCTGCGCAGACTCGCGATCAGAAGACCCTTGATGGCAACACCATTCAAGTTTCTTTTGGTTCTGAGACGACCTTGTTTGTTACCAACTTCCCGCCGACGGCCGACGAGAAGTACATTCGAGACATATTCAGCAAGGTATGTAACACCGGACTCCTTTTTATTTTACTCCCAATTAACGTTTTCAATAGTATGGTGAAATCATCGACATACGGTTCCCATCTCTCAAATACAACACACATCGACGGTTCTGTTACCTACAGTTCAAACATTCCGTGGCCGCCCACAACGCCACAGAATTGGACGGGTCAACCGTGGGCAATGGTCTCCGCCTCGTGGTTAAAATCTCGGATCCTTCACGCAAACAAGATCGCCATGGTCCGATGCACGAAGGGCGAGAGATTCATGTGTCCAACATCGATTGGAAGGCCAATGAGAATGATCTCAAAGAACTATTTTCCAAATTCGGCAGCGTAGAGTTGGCTCGCATGCCTAGAAAGGTTGATGGGGGCAGCAAGGGGTTCGGTTATGTTGTATTCAGCTCGAAGGAAGAAGCAACAGCAGCGCTCGCCATGAACGACGTCGAGTTCCGATCCCGACTGCTTCACGTTAAGCTGTCCGCTCCTATTGGGGCCAAACGCACGGCTACCACTGTTGTCTCTCGGGTGGCTGGGTCACAGTCTCCTACGCCGGAGACCAATGGTACAGCACTACCGGAATTAGAAGAGCCCACGGGTGAGCGAAGAGACCGTACGCTCGGCTTGATGAACGTCCCCGATACAGTGAATGATGCCCGGATTCGGGCACTCATCGAACCATATGGCAAACTGGTCAAAATTGTATTGCGGCCGGACCATCAAGGAGCGATTGTTGAATTTGCCGATGTCAGCCATGCGGGTAAAGCGGCACTTGAACTTGAGGGGCAGGAGATCTCGACAGGCCGAAAACTACATATTGGAACGGTGGGCGACATGCTGAAGCAGTCTGCGGAGAAGAAGCAACGGTATGCCCAGGGTGTGAAGCCAAAGGAGAAATCCAAAGCCACATTCCTTGCGCCGACGGCGCCCATCAAGCGACCGCCGCAGCCGGGAGGGCGAAGTGGGAAACGCGGGCATCTGGGGGTGAAGCGCGGAACGGCCCAGCAAACGAGTACCACGACCACAACGACGACGACAGCAACGACTGCGACGAACGCCTCGGGCGAGGAAAACAAGGGCCAGAAGAGCAATGACGACTTCCGCGCGATGATCCAGCGGAGTCAAGGGGAATCATCATAACGAGGGCGCTAGGTTGCGTAACGGCTGCATGACGGATCTCTTTACCCATTTAATTCTCTCTATCTCTGATGACGGGCGCATATTATTTTCCGTTTTGTATTCTATTCCCCAAGCCACCCGCCTTGATGCCATGTCTCGTCGACAACGACGGCACAGTGTAGACTACTAGTTCTGTTTGCATGCTTGCATTTGTTCACTTCTTTGACGTTCATGAAGGGCTGAGACACGGCGGGCTCATGTTTCTACATTTTACAGGGACTTAGACGAATCTACTCGTTTTCTGACAGCTGTTTTCTTTTTCTTGTACTTTGAGTAGTGACTTGGATAGATGATGACGTCAGCGACGCTTGCAGCTTGGAGGTGAAGCTATCCTGAGAAACAAACTTGAAACAACCTCCATGCCTATAGCGGGGAAATTAATACCCAAAGCCCCACCGGCCTAGACAGTGACAGGCCGACCATATCCTCTCCATAATCGAGACAAGTTGCGCCGTTTCCTGTCATCGCAAGCCTCGTGTGATCACCAGCGGCAGCAGCGGCTATTGGCTGGGCAAGTCGAGCGAAGGAGGCAAAGCAGGATTGATGATTATTGGCGGCATGAGACTGGCTTCAAGGCCAGATGAGGAGATAGGAAGCTTGAATAGCCCGAAGCTGCAGTGGTGGTACAAATTCCCTCTGCAATATTGATGCGATCAGGTGCAAGCCACGGTGTCTGTGCTGCTGCGACCTTCCAGTTATCCCGCCCGCTCCTCTTGCTCCTCCATCTCCCATTTCCTTTCCTGACCTCGCAACCCTCCCTTCCATCCCGGTGAACTCTCTGTTCTGGCGGTCTGTGCTCTCGGTTTCTTGTTATATTCATCTCCACCCCTTCTCCACCTCTTTCTCTGGGGTATACGCGTCGGTATCAAACGGCTGCCTGCGTCATTGTCGACTCTCGCCATCGACTCTCGACGACAATACATCGTCCAGATGGACTTCCATCTAGTCCCTCGCGGTGAGGACCGGAACTACACCGGCTTCCTCACCAAGACAATTACCTATACTGCCTCCCTCATTGTCTTTCTTGCCGGTATGTACAGCCCCCGCCCTTCCTTCCCCTACAAGTCCGAGCGCATACAGTATACACTAACAGCATCCATCCCCATCGCAGCATTCGGCCTCTCAATAGCCTCTATAATCGTCCCTAACTGGGTCAGCTACCACAGTGAAAAGGTACATCCACCTGCTCGTCGTCGCATCGCCTGCAGTCGAACTAAGCACCGTCACAGCCAACATACCACTACTCCTATGGCCTCCACCGGCGCTGTTCCTCCCTCACCGATACATGCGAGAGCTTTCCGAAGCGCTCAGACTGCGTCGCAGAAGACCGGTATTTCTGCTCCATGTGGCGCACCGTCGGCTTTATGATGTCGTTTGCGGTCGTGCTGGAAGGGATGAGCGTCGTTGCCTACTTGATTATCCTTGGTGGCAACAAGGCGCTGCGTGAATCTGGATGGAAGATATTGAGTATTTTGATTCTCTCAGCTGCTGTTGTTCAAGCGGCTAGCATGTCAGTTGTGGTACGTTATACATTCTAATGAATGAGTGGTAGGAAGCAAAAATAGGCAAAAGCTAACAGGGGCGCTTTCAGGCATACTTGGTCGACAACGAAGCGCGTTTCTTCGTTGGCTGGCGCCTCGATGAATCGTGGATCTATTGCACCGTTAGTTGGTGTGTCAGTGTTGTCTCAGCGGGGGCTTTAATCTTCGCTGGGTACACCTTGCCCTCCGAGGGAGGGTATGAGTTGATACCAGATCACTCGTGATTTATTTCTTACTTCTTTTATAAATCGTCTCCGTTACCGGCTTAAAAGGCGGTTCAGGTGTTTACCTTGGAGCTCTTCTTTTCTTTCTCTTTTCCTTCTCCCTTGATTAGCGTGTTGTCATACTCTTTCTTGTCTTCATATACATACATGGTATAAAACATGACATGTATAAGTGGCTTAATGCCACGCTGACGTTCTAATATGGCGGTATCGTACATTTGTTTATATGCTTGGCTTGGCTCTTGTTGTGTTGAGTTGATCTGATTTGATAGTATAGTATAGTATATAGGTAGGCGTCGGGCTACAGCCACGATTGGTGGGTTAATAATGTTAATGACAGTGCCTTGCTCTCTCACTATCACTATGCCATGTTGTTCTCACCTTTTCTCTGCTCGCGGTCTTGTCCCTGTTCAGCCTGCACCTCTCAGTTGAAAAGTGACCAGAGAAGACATCATACCATTATTGACTAGGCGACCTTGGGACATTGACCAAGTCATAAAACAGGTCCAGTCCCAGAATTAAAATGGAGTATCCAAAGAGGCGATAATTAAAATACATGGATGTGTTCTGTTAAATGAGTGGAAAGGATTGGGAATCAACCCATACAAGATACGGGATAAGACGATCAGTCAGTGAGATGCATAAATGAAGTAAATCGTAAGCAGCATAGTATTTATCTAAATCATAGACACCAGGTATATCATTCTCATGTGGATCATATAGTACAGCATCGAGAGAAACATGAAAAACGTGAATAAACCGAAAGCTTTGAACCGAAAGAAGAACAAAAAAAAAACCAAACTCCTATAATATATGCAATCATTGTCTTGTTGATCATTCAATTTTCCGCAATTTTGCTCGTTGTATATTCGCTGCATGCATTTTTCCTTCTTTGTCTGTACAGAGCATGCCAGGGTATATTATTTGTTTTGGTCGCCCGTGCTGCGTGTTGCAGCCTTACATGGCATATCCACTCATAGGTCTGGGGACATATTTCCGCATTCCCCGCCCAGAGCTCATTCCAACTGATCCGATATCAATCGAATTGAGCTCACGGCTTAGCGGGTCCTGGCTATACCCTACTGGCGCTCCAATCGGCACCTTTGCAGGGACTGGTGGGCCGATGTTGGGGGGAGGGGCGTACATCGGCGAGGGCGAGGGTGAGACTGACTTTCGACGTTGTTGGGGCTGCGGAGAAGGTGTACTATATGTCCGTCCATGCCCAGCGCCAGGGCTGCCGCCGTATCCTGGCCGACCACGACTGTAATCAGTTCGTGGTGATGTTCGATCTAGCTCATTACTCGACACGTATGATGACATCGGACGAACGGTGTAGTCCTTGGAAGGCGCTGGAGGGCTAGATCGTGCCGCGATCTTAGTAGTAGGCGCATTTCGGAAGCGGACTATAACACCAGGTTTTCGCGGTTTTCGGTCTGGTTCCGGCGCCCACGTATCCGAGGGGAGATGGTCAGACGGGTCGATTTCACGGCCGTCATCACCAATAATAGGGACGTCTTCTCGGCCCGCCGCGGCTTCACTTCTTCTGGCCGCTTCCATCGCTTCTGAAGGAGTGTCGTACGCCGGCGCCGGGTCTTTGGTTATAGCAGCACGGGCTGCGTTCGGGTTATATGAATCGAATGAATCCGGGGAGAACGGAATCTGTGAGCCGGAGACCTGAGAGCTACCGCGACTTCTGGAAATAGGTGGCCTAGGGCTGACAGATTTTCGCAGCACCAGTTGATTACTGGGACTTTCTGCATTTATGGACTTTCGGGTGACGAGTGACCGACGATGGTCTTCGGCGGGCGCGTTATCTGCCGGGTAAGGCGGCATGATAGGAGAGGGTTCGTGGCTGCGGCTAATGGCGAGGTCTTCCTCGAAGATGCCGCTGCGTCTCCGGGCCTGCATCTCGTTCACGGCCCGATCAGACTCCACGTCTGCAACCATCGGGTCAAGTCCAGCGACCAGGCTGGGTGGCATGGATGGGCCGTTCGTAATGGGGGGGAGGTCGGGGAACTTGTCCTCCCCGATCATCAGCTCCGTAGGCTGGGGGAAGTTCATCTCTGGAGGGCCGTACTCTGGGGAGTAAGCTTTGTACGAAGGAGTTGGTGACGGTACTAACTGTTGGCTAGCTTGAACCAATCCTGACCGATGGACGGGCGGGGGAGGTGGCGGTCCTTCTTCATCTTCATCTTCCACACGCGGTTGCATGGCTGCATATTCCGCGTGGTAGTCACGACCTCGCCTGGGTTGTGAGTTGCTGTGTGGCCGATAGTGATCCGGCTCGCTTTCCTGGGGGTACTCTAGGCGGTGGCGCGCAGACATGCTACTGGAAGCTTGGTGATAACGAGGAACCTGAGACTCTTCTGCACCATACACGTATTGGTCTTGCGACATATACGGCTGGTTGTAATGGCGACTGTTTGGCCGTGGGGCTTCATGAGCCGGTGCATACACATCAAATTCCTGGTAGGGATCCTGTCGACCTGCTTGTAAGTCTTGTCTCATAGATCTGTAGTCCACAGGTGGAGCGTTGTCATAGCCAGAACGTGGTCTGGCATAGTAATCCGGCTCTGCTCGCGAAGCATAAGTTTGCTCTTGTGGGTGACCCTGTGGTGGACGTCTTCCTGGAGCTGGGACCGGTGCCGGAGCCGGAGCACTCCAGTCTCGTTGGAAGTCGTCTGGGGTTTCGTACGTCCGTGGACGCGATGCTGGCGATGGCAAACCGTAGGGTGCATCATATTGCTCAACCGGGGGTGCCATCGGACGAGGCTGGTGAGCGTAGTCCATGCCAGAGCTGGATGGAGGAGTGGGAACCCCATCGTATGGTCGAGATGCATGCGAGGTAGGCAAAGGTGCTGGAGAGGAGTATGCTTTCTCGGGAGCAGGGCGTGGTGCGACAGATCCAGTAGGGTCGGTCGGTAAAGGGCGACGTTTGACCTCTTTCAGCTGACGCGGCCCTGAGAGGGATGACGACGGGGATGGGGCAACGGGCACAGTGTTCCTGCTGCTGCCACTAGTAGTCTTGACAGCCCTCTCCGTTCCCTGCGTCCTCCTTTCTATGACGGCCTCATCCTCGGGCCGAGTATCGTAATAAGTCATTTCGAGACGGATCTCGCCGGCGTATTTTCCACGGAACTGCAGTGTGTGCCATTGGTCACTCTGGCTGCCTCCGGGTATAATGAGGTCTTGCAAATCAATCCAAGTCTCGCCAATCATGTCGGTTCGTTTGTCATCATTGAAGACGGAAAGCTTTAATCGCAAGTAGTCGGGCGAGTCGTGCACGGTAAAGCGGAGTTCCTGGTCCCTACACAAGATTAGCCGGAAGGCATCTGCTAACACTCCCTTGCCACCAAAATCTTACCATTTGGGCGTTTGGCCTCCACGCAGGTCGGTGCCCGTCTTCTGGGCCTCTTTCCCGAGACGAGCCGCGCAGTAAGGGTTTTGCTTCCCCATAGTCTTTCGATTGGGAAGGTTCTTTGCACGGTCTACGACGGCCACGAGAGTGCCGATGGCAGGACCGTCGACGGACATGTCGGCAAAGATGCCGGCCGCATGATTCACACTGGTCATCCGGGGTGGTTTGGCAGCCATGGCAAAAAGTTTGAGAGAAAGAAAAGAAAAGAAACTCGAGAAGAGGCTACCACATCTGTCAAAAGGTCAAGAAGTACCTGGGCAACGAGCGGGCCACACGCGACGCAAGGCGGTTATCAAGGTGCAAGGAGCGACTCGACCAAGCACCAGACAAAAAGGAAAGAGAGACAGAAGGGAAAGCTGTACAGCTCAAGTGCAATGTCTCGTGGAGGGAGAAGACAAGGAGAGAAACTGAGACAGAAGAGATGAGACAGACTGGGAGATCCAAGCTGGGCGACGAGGGGAAAACAATCGACTGCCCTCCGCTTATCGAGGCCCTCACCGTCATTGGCCCAGACCAGGATTTGGGAGGCTGGGGGGTGGCTGGTGGTGGAGCTCGTACGCCTCGCCATTGGCCGATCGCTTGTTCCTGCATCGACGTGATCCTTGGTAGGACCCACTGCCAGTACGGCCTGTGACTGTAAAATTACGGGCATAAAGTTTAAGCTGCACAACATCAACCACCCGACAAGCATCCAGTGAATTGCCACAGTCAAAACAAGACAGAAGGTGCTTTGACATAGCTCCACCAGAAAACGCGACGGAAAGAAGCTGACTGTGGCCAATCCTGCTGCCTGAGTAAAAATAGACCGGCCGAAATCAAGGAATCCGGAAGCCTAACGCAATGATCTCACTAAATCCCCAGCCCGCGTTAGCCTGCGCCTAAGCCCTGTCACGTTCATGCCGCCGCATATTTCTGGAGTCGCTGCAAGTTCTGGACCTCGTTCAAATTCTGTGGAGTCGATGACCACCGCTTTGACAGCGCAAGTCTCCTTCCAATTGCAGTGGTAATACATTCCTAAGGAAGGCAAAACGCCGCGCAGCGGTCAAGCCTCAGCTGTCGACTGGTGATTACCGGAATGGGTCAATGGTGATTCAATCAATGTTGCATGATCCCCCGTATCCACTGTAGCCAGATTGAGCCTTTAAAATTCACTAAAGCCTTGTTTTAGATTCTGCAATCTGCATCCTGAGATTTTATGGGGAATTAACCTGTGCCTGAAATGACCCACTAAAGATCCATCGCAGCCATCAACGGTGTTGACTCCACATTCACCATGTACCGGTGAGTAAATGCCTGTTTCGTGGTCTAACAGGAAACTTTGGGATAGGTAGCTATCAAACGGTCTCCAATTATAAAGATATATTAGTGGTGTGTTCGATGCAGCCGGCGAAAATTTAGCCTCTGGCCGCACTTGATAATATATATATATATATATATCTATAGAGAACACTAGTATTGTCACATCCCATTGTCAAATTCCAGCATAGACGAACCATAACGCTGAAAATATATACCCATATTATGAAGCACGCATGCAAAAAAAGAAGAAAATTATACGAAGTAGGCGCACCGGTTCGGGTTTACGCTCGCTCTCAAGCCGAGCAAATCCTGTATGGCCCGGGCTGCCCTGCCATATCCACTAGCCATGGCACCCCCCCTCGAATCTTTAATAGAACCTTCAAGCTCCGTACTGCTCATGTATTTAGGCAGCCAGACTACTAACATCGAAATGGCCTCCAACCCGTGCACTGCCGAGTGATGACGGATTATTACGTTTGCTTGCACGTCTCATCAAAGATCGGCCCGGCTGATGACTTCAGTAGCCGTGTACGCGAAGCGGGGTTGGATCATATACTCACCAGTTGGATGATGTCCTTTAAGTACGTTGTGAAACTTCTGACTGAAACCTCCGGGCTGATGTTATTCATTGGGGATATGCCGTGCCCAACACCATGGGCGAACCTGTTATGCTAGAGAGGCGTCGACCAAACCTACAGGCAACAATATATACTGCTCAGCCCAAAGTTCGAGTACATTTCTGTCTTCATGGATATGACTGGCTACCTCTTCAATCAGTATGATGATTAGAGAGACTGATGCTGGCGTGAAGATACGATATTCAACTTTTCGGTTTGCTCGGGCTTCACTCGATGCCGTCCCACAGCTGATGGCAAGATGAATTATTATAGAATTTGCACTATCAGACATAGTATCCCGGTAGCCTTCAGAGTCTCTTTAATTACTCTGAATGGATGCCTAGGCGGCGACCGTGTCCCCTCTTTGGCCCTGGTTATGGTTATCAGCATATTGAAGGGCACTGTATTTTTTGGGAAATTGCATACAAGTTTAGGAGATGGACTTTACATAAAACTAAAGAGGCTACTTTAATGGTACTGAGAAAGCCAGGTACCTTTTGGGATTCTTGAACGGACAGTCTTAAGAGTCAGGTCTGGTCCGCTCCATAGATGGGTCTGAGCGAGCACCACGCAAGGAGGACGGAGTGAGACAAAACTGAGCCAGGTGCTCACAGATATCATAATCATTGCTATCCACCTATCAGTTAGACATCAGTGCATTTCCATGGTAACCCGCCTGTTCGTTCCTTGAACCTCTGTGCCCTGGAGCACCTGGATACTGTGGAGATGCGTGGCTGCAAAGACGGGATGGGCTCCACGGACTCTAATAAGTAATGTTATGGAGCGAGAATGCTACTTCGGCTTGAAATCAGTTGGTCTAAGACATTATTTCTCAACTAACCGTGAAGTTCAAGGGAAGAAGTTTGAAGTACTCGTAGATGGTACAATACTTATTCCGTAATCAAGGGACTATTCAGTGCACCACTCACTCGGCGCAGAAGGGGGTTATATCCCCCTCAAAAACGGCTCTCTATCTACCAACACACAGTTCAGGACTCACCATTCAATAAAACTCTCACCAAAATGTTTAGAAGTGTTTTTTTTTATGTTCAGTGTTTGTAGACATGATGCTTAAATTACATATGAATGTAAATTACATACCACGCTAACCGTAAGTAATACCGGATTAGGAGTAGCGTACTGATTGAGATAACAGAAAAAAAATCCATCCAAAAGTCAAGATTCGACCTCATCCAGCTTCAACCGAGACGCATAACGCCACAGCGCTCAAGAGCGATCGCGGTATAATCCGCCCACCTCCGCCCCTCGATTGACTGCGTCGTTCTTCTCTACACCAACCATGGCGGCCCCCGTCCTTCCACCGAACCAGGTCAAGCTGCCTCAGCTGCCCGCATCGCAATTAACCCCCGAGCAGCTACACTGGAAGACGTTTAAAAACCCTCTCCTCATCCCCTCACCGGCAAACGGCCCAGTCAATTCTATTACACAGCCTTCTGCGCCGTCATCTGCTTCCGTATTTCCCTCCCTAACACAGCCCCCCGATGTCTTCACCGTCACAACCGGCGCCCGCGTCCAGATCTACTCCATCCGCACACGAAAACTCCTCCGATCGATTACACGGTTCGACGATACCGCGCGAGGCACAGATGTTCGTCCCGATGGCCGGATTCTCGTGGCCGGTGATGATACGGGCACAATACAGGTGTTTGACGTCGGATCGCGAGCGATTCTCAAGACATGGAAAGACCACAAGCAACCCGTCTGGGTGAGCAAGTTTTCGCCCAGTGATCCGACATCTGTTCTCTCAGCAAGCGACGACCGAACTGTGCGATTATGGGATCTCCCTAGTGAGAGCAGTATCAAGACCTTTGTTGGCCACTCCGACTATGTGCGCACTGCGGCTTTCATGCCAGGCTCGTTGGCTTCATCGGGCTCATTGCTTTCTGGTAGTTACGATCGCACGGTGCGCTTGTGGGATCCTCGTGTGGAGGGCAGATCTGCCATGACCTTTAAGATGGGCGCGCCTCTTGAAAGTGTTCTTCCGATGCCGACGGGGACGACGGTGCTTGCTGCAGCGGACAATAAGATTGCTGTTCTAGACATTGTCGCTGGAAAGCCGTTGCATATGATCCAGAGCCACCAGAAGACGGTTACGTCGCTTTCTTTGGCCTCTGACGGACAACGGCTGCTGAGTGGTGCTCTTGATGGCCACCTGAAGGTTCATGAAACGACCGGGTGGAACGTTGTCGCCGGCTTCAAGTACCAGTCTCCGATTCTGTCTCTGTGTGCGATCACATCCGGATCAACTCGCGAAGACAAGCACATCGCCGTCGGCATGCAGTCCGGCCTTCTCTCGATCAAGACACGACTGTCCGGACAACAGAAGGCGCGGGAGCGAGAGCGAAAGAAGGAGATGGAGGCTCTACTCGAAGGCAGGATTGAGGAGCACGACAAGAAGATGAAGAAACAAAAGGGTTCCGCTTGGAAGCGACGCTGGCGTGGACTAGACTTCGTCGGCGAGGGCGTGGACATTGTCATTGATGGTAACGAGGCGAGAAGGCGCAAGAAGGAGAAGGGCTGGGAACTTGACCTCCGCAAGGGACGCTACTCCGCTGCCCTTGACCACGTCCTCGCTACAAACGACAAGCTTTCCCAGCTTACTCTTTTCGCGGAGCTCCGGCATCGCTCGGCGCTGCGTGCGGCGCTGCGGGGACGAGATGAGGTGACACTCCAGCCGGTCTTGCAGTGGATATACAAGAACATCACGGAGCCAAGGCTCGTGGCGCTGAGCGTCGAAGTTGCAATGAACGTGTTGGACATTTACTCAGGCAATCTCGGGCAGTCAGAACAGATCGACAAGATGGTGGAGCGGCTGCACTGGCGCGTGCGAGACGAAGTGGACTTTGCGCACCAAGCATTTGAGACGAAGGGGATGTTAGACATGCTGCGCGCATAACATGACATAGATACAATCTTTTACATGGCCTGGAGTTAAGGTTGGGATGGTAAAAAACGGATTTGTACAGCACTTCTGATATAGTAATGCAATGAATACATGCATCAACTTTCCTATCTTTTATCTACACCGATAATCACTTGTATAACCTCGAGAAACCCTCCTCCGGCGGTTGCAACCAATTCCGCCCATCATACTCCCACCCCTCCCCGCCTTCGATGACATGAAACGTATACGCATACCGACTCTTCCCGCCGGTGTTCTTCTCACTCTTATGTAAAACGTTCCCATGGATAAGCACCAACGACCCAGCCTTAACATCCAAAACCTCCACCTCCCCTTCCTCATCCTCACCCGCAACCTCTAAACCCTTTGGAAACTCCGCTCCCTCATTATTCACAAACTCCGTCCCACAAACCTCCCCTTCCTCATTATACCTTCTCACAAACCTCCTCTGAACCTTCCCCCCAGGCCTCCGATGCGATCCCTTATACATCGCCAGCGTCGCATTCCCAGGCCCCGCATCCTGCAGCGCAATCCAGAACCCCACCGCACTCGGCGGACTCGTATATAGAAACTCCGAGTCCTTATGCGGCGGCACCGCACCACCAATACCGGGCTGCTTGCAAATAACCATACTCTGCAAGACGCGAGGATCCTGGAAGCCCAGACTCCGCGCGATCCCAGCGTTCCGCTCGCTCAGCGTCACAGCCTCAAAGGGATCCGAGAGAGAATGCAGGGCATGTCCAATCTTATTCACGGCTGTTTCTTTGGGGCGGGTGAGTTTTGAGCTCCCCGTGCTGGGATCCGTTTCGAAGGCATCGGGTTCGAAGAAGAAGCGGACTTTGTCGCCTGAGGTTAGGAAATAGTCGTCGCCGACATGGGGCTTGTTGTCCTTTTCGTCGTCGCCAGTTGTGAATTGTGTTAAGGGGTGGGTGGAGAGGTCGAAGGTTGAGAGGAGGGAGGTTGTTTCAGTGATGAGCGAGGCGGTTTCTTCGGGGGTGAGGTAGTTGGGGAGCACGAGGTAGCCGTTTTCGTGGAAGGAGGTTAGTTGGGATGGGGTTAGGCCGGGCATTTTTCCCGTTGTTGCTACTGCTTCTTTCCTTTCTCTTAGAGAATTCAGAATCAGGTGAAGTTGAAGGTAGGTGTTGGGAGTAAGAGGAAAAGCGGGGGGGATTTTTATGCGCTTATCTGCGGGGTTCCAGATTGGCTGGCAATAGCTTCAACCTACCCGGTTTAGGCATAGTTTTGGAGCTGGCCCAGCTGTATACAAGAAATGGAGGTGCTCATGACTCGAAATTACTTGTTTAAACAGCTCTGAGCTGTTTGGTACCTGGTTCACCAACAGATTTGCATCATGGTTACCCGGTTACTATGTATGATAAAATAATCCCAACAAATGACATCAGCCCTCGCCACACAGGTCTATATATCCACCCATTTCTCTCGCCTATTTCACAACAAACAACCTCATCTCTACCTATACAAACGAATCCGCTCGAACCGATAAACTGCAAAATGTCCAACATGCAGTCCTCCTCCCAATCTTTCTTCTCTGCCTCGAGCTCCAGCTACAGCTCCGACGGCCAGCAGCACACTGAATCCGGCCACCGCTACACTACCTCTTCGCACACCGAGCCCGACGGCACGACCACTGTCCGCACAATCCAGCAAGATCTTGGCCAGCCCGTTATCGTCGAGGAGCGCCGCTTTGACGAGCAGGGACGAGAGTTAGCTGCCTTGCCTGACGCGAAATCCGAGGGTATGACGAGGAGGATTGAGGATGTTGATGAGGAGGATGACTTTGAGAAAACCAGTTGAGAATTGTTTCAACAGTGACACAAGGAGAATGGGATGATTCTATGACGCCATGAAATTGATTTGAGATGGAGATGTACTCTTATGCTCTGCTCTGTTTATCTAGTCGTAAATGCCATAATTTTCCGATGCAGTCGTTTCAAGTTGTGTATAATTGCTCCCTGTCCTGTATAGTGTATACCGTATTGCTTTCTCTTATGCTAGATCTTATGGCAGCCGAACTCTCCCCTCCGACCAGCGGTGTTTTGCACGGTGTACAAGGCCTGGCAACTCATAAGCCCAGTGACATAGCATTCCCGCCACGAACCCTATAGCGTCGTTTTTAAACCCGATCAGTAGTCCTACTGTAATCATCATGACCATCCACCTGCGCGTTCGCTCCTCCTCGCTTAAATGGAACCGAGACGAATCATTCGCGTCCTCGGCATGTCTTCCCAGGTCCCGCGCGCCAGAGGTATTCAGGCTCTCGCCGACGCGGACTAGTTCCAGACCAGCCGCAATAACCATAACAGCCAGGAGCGCTTTCGGGAAACGGTGCAATAGATCGACTAGGCTCTCCCCGAATACGAGACCGAGTATCAACTTGCATACTCCGAGAAACACGACACTTGCCCCTGAGCGCGCACCGAATCGGTATTGTGCGGCCAACCCTCCGGAACCGTGGCAGACGGGCATAGCGCCGAACCAAACACCGACTAGATTCATTAAGGAGACACTGAGGCCGATGGCGGTTACAGAAGGAGTCGGGACAGACGGTAGCAGATCAGCGGCGAGATGCACGACCGCTATGACAGAGTTCAATGTCGTGAGTGGAAGCTGGCCGAGACCGGCATCGATGGCGCCTTTGGACCATTCGTGGCCGACTGGAACCACAATATGCGGATGCCAGAATGCAAATGAGGGAAGATGGGACGATAGCGCGCTACGGATGATCGCCAGGATTATACCTATGATAAAGACAACAAGGGCGTACGGCAGACGTCTGGCAGCGGAGTTGGTGAGAAGAAGCGCGACAAAGACACCAATCGCCCAGAGGCGATTGTCGGCCCACGAAGGGTGAATCCATCCAAGGCTATGCAGGGTTGTGCAGGCTGCCATCACCAAAGACAATCCAGCGCCGACCTGGATTCCCTTGATGACGGGAATAGGAATTACGCGGGTAAACCATTCGAGTAACCCGGTCACGCTCCCCACGAAGAGAACAACAGCCACAAAGATCCCCGCAGCTGCGATGGAGCCGGGAGAGAAGGACTGAGCGAGAGCCATTGCGGCAATGGCTTTCATTGGTTGCACTGGCAGTGGAAGGCCGAAGAAGAGTCCCGTCAAAATGTTGAATAGACCAGAGAATATAAAAGTGCTTGCAAGGGAGACCGTTCCATTCGAGGCGAGGGCTAGTGCAATGGGAAGAAAAGTCCCAAGATCCCCAAGAGAGCCGGCGATCTCAGAGACATAATGCCGCCGGAACGTGGAGACGTTGTGTTTTGTAATTGACCGAAGCCGGGATTGCATATTTATCTGGGTGTTTGTTAGAGATGATACAATAAGAATTAATTTCTAGAGATGACTATAGTTTGGGAGATTTCAGTATTCTACCTTGAGAGTTTAGAGGAAGAAAGATGCGTAAGTAAGCCGAAGGAAGAGAGGAGCAAGAGTGGGCGTGAGGGGATGCTCTTATACTCAGGCAGAGACACTAGTCCCAATCAGGCATATCAGATGCGAACCACATGACGTAAATCCCCGCGGAAAAACAACACCCAAATCCTCTACCAACACAGCTCTCATGGAGATTGTTTACTCAGATGTCAATTTCAATTCGTCCTATACTATGCCTCGGACTATAACTCAAGCTGCGAGCGCTATGTAGGAACCGGAAGACCCATCTTCCTGAGTGCTTTTCGCCTTTTGAGTTGTTCCTTCTTTGAAAGGGTTTCCCAATCGTTATACAGGCTGATGTTTGTCATCAAGTTTGCGGCAGTCGACGTCCTGACAGCGTTTTCCTCAGGAGGAGATGGAGGCTCTTCAGCTGGAGCTTCCGGCGTGCATTCTTCTGGGTACGGCTCACACGGCGTGGGCTCTGGCGCGTAAGCCTCGACAGGACATGGTTCGGGTACAGGTTCGTCGGAATAATCATCAACAGAACGCGGCCTAGGTGGATATAGAGACCCTTCAGCTAGAGATTTCGGCGTATATTCTTCAGGGTATGGCTCAGGTGGCACGAGCTCTGGTGAGTGATCACCAAAAGAAGGTGGCTCTGGTGACGCCTCTTCCGGCTCTGGGTAATACTCGACCGGATATGGCTCATCTGGAGGGTAATTATCCGCAGGAGCTTCTTCGGATGGAGCTTCATTCGGTACATCGTACGATTCAGGATATTCTTGATCGTCATGCTTCATTGCTGGGGATTCTGAACCAGCCTGCCCCATGTCCGGATATCCATTAGTTGAGCTCTTGTGGGCAGGCCGGCTCTCTAAGAGCTGCAGACGAGTGGAGTATATTTCAAGAATCATCTTGAAAATAGCGTTACTAAAGTAACGATCTTCCCCCAATATGCCAAAGAACTCATCGTCAGTGAAGATAGACTTATCAACCAGGAAGGACTGCTCCAGTTTCTGTTTGATATAATGGGGAAGCCAACTCTCATCGTCTGGAAGGGCTGAGAATACCTCCTTGGCTGTCCGCAGAACATCGAACAAAGACAAAGCCTCGCCAAAATGCTCGATATACCTTCTAGCAAGGGCCTCAAGATCGAAGATATCGTAAGTCCTGGCTGCTTCGTATACGAGAACGCTTCTTCGATATTCTCTTGCAATACGGTCCACACCTCGATCAAGTGGCGAGATTATCGTCTCGTAGGAGCCCGAATACAGAAAATGCACAATGGTATGGCCAATATCCTCGTGAACGTCCGAGAGCGTGATGTATGAGTCCCAAGTAGACAATTTATTTGATAGCCGAGGAACCTTGCGAAAATAATACTCTGGAATACCGTAGGACTTGTTTCCGATTGTGATAGTCACTATCGGTATTTCATAAGGGCTACTCCAGCAGACAATTCAGTTCGTCAGTGGACTTTTCATAATGACATACTTCGACATGACTCACGAAGAAGACGGTTGATTGTAATCAATTTCTGGAAGCTCCTCGCCAGGGTCCTCAGGGACCTCAGGCGCTCTCTCAAGAACCTCCCTAGACACTGCGGGCTCGCTTGTCTCCACCGCAATTTTATTAAGCTTCTTTTTCTTCTGCTTATTTACCATTTTTGGCGTGAAGGACGAGAGGGTAGTAACTCAATGAATGAGAAAAAAAAAAAAAAAAGCAGGAGACAGGGACATATACCTCTCCCTCATTGTAGACGCGCTTGGGCTTCAGAAGAGGGGAAATGCGAGCGTGAGTTGTGCGACATGCATTTGGATCCTGCCTGCAGAACAGGCGGGGTTGACAGCCATACGTGAGAAGACATATCAGGATATCTGAATGACGTCTTGCACTGGTCTTTGTGTTTGCTTATTTAGCGGAGGTGGTCATGCGTGGGTGGTGTGGTCAGGCTACGATCTGGGCAGAAGCTTCCCTCCCCAAAACGAGGATTCTAGGTAATCACTGGTCTACAGAAAGCCAACAAATTTGCTAGTGGCGTATGCAAACATCCAACATGTGCCGCGCCGACTTACGAAATGAGCAAAGCAGGATGGCATTCGATGTCGTTGGCAGAGGGGACTGAGTACTATGTGGTTGCCCCATTCTGGAAGGAGGGACGGTGCGAGCTTCATCACACCTTCCATGTGGGAATCCCCGAATGGGTGTATATGCTGGATTAGGAAGGCGCGATGCACACCCGTCTGAACTCGTGGGAAGGAGCCAACTTTCGTTCCTTTCTCAAGTACACGATTGCTCCTTCCTTATGGATTTGGAGGGGAGCTGGAACTGGGAATGTGTGACTGAGAAGTTAACTTCCTGAGACTGGAAGGAGCCTTTGTATTGATAGCGCAGTCTGTCATAGCTCATATTTTACTAAACAGGTAATTTATCATGTACAGGACCATGTGAATCGTATTATATCTCAAGGTATAGGCGTTGCCAATGTATAATAGCAGCACTTGAGTAGAGATGCCACTGGGGTCCTTCCATAGTACGCCGGCGATGGTCTCTGAGAGCCGGAAGGGCATGGATCAAAAGAAACAATTACACATGCTCCTTTTCCTCCACGCTAATCTTTTTCTCACTGGGATCCACGTCCATTCCAGCCACATCGCCCTTGGGAATATTTCTCGCCATATCCACAACATGCCACATTGACGGTGCATCGCGGAACACTTTGTTCAAAGACTCCAGATTGCGGCCCATTGTCTCGGGGTAGAAGAAGTACACTGAGACAGGGATGCAGGCTGAGATAACCGCGTAGACTATATAATAGCGGTACCCAATGGTATCGAGGGCAACGGGTGTGATCATAACTACCACAAAGTTCCATAGCCACTTGTTTGCTGTGGACATGGAAGCCATGGCGACGCGGAGCTGCATGGGAGCGACCTCGGTGCAGTAGACGAAATTGGCACCCGAGAAACCAATTGGATAGAATAGATTAAATAGCCAAATAAAAGCCACAGAAATAACGGACGCCGCCTTGTTGCTGGTGTCAAAACTGGTTGTGATTGCGAGGACGACCATACAGAGCGACATGCCGGTGCCACTGAACATGAATAGCTTGCGGCGACCAAGACGGTCAATGGCGAAGAATGGGATGAAATTGCACAGACATTTCCATGTGAGTGCGCTGGAGGCTAGAATTCGAGATAAGTCACTGCCTAGCTTGAGGTTTTGTTCGAAGATCGTCGAAATATAAGTTGAGATCAGGTTGCCGCCGCACATTTGTTGGAAGAATTGGATAACCATACACAAGGCGAGGCGATAGAAGAGACGGTCCTCGTCATTCCTAGAAAAGACTTCGCGAAGAGTGATGGCACCGGATTGTTCGGTGAGCTCCAATGAGGACTCGATGCTTGCTATTTCTGCCTGTATGGCCTCGTCATCTTCAGGGAGACCCCTATACGCTGCTAAACTGCGCGCGGCCTCGCCAGGGCGGCCTACTAGGACCAGCCATCGCGGAGATTCTGGGAGGGAAAACACGGAGAAAAGCACTATGAGAGGGAAAATGAAAGAAAGGGCAAGCGGAACACGAAACTGCTTGTCACCAGATGTTTTGCTGAGTCCAAAATCTATCCAGTTGCACAGCACAAAGCCGAGAACCATGCAGATACCATCGACAACAACGTGCTGGCCTCGGTGCTTTGCGGAACTGCACTCGGCCTGGAAAACGGGCACAGTGGCGCTTAGTTGTCCAATGCCAAATCCAAGTATAACTCTGCCCACAGTAAATTGGGCAACATTGAAAGCCGAAGTCTCCAGCAGCTCGCCAATGACAACAATAACCGCGCCTAGAAAGATGGTCTTGCGCCGGCCAAGATAGTCACCAAGATACGCGCATGAGAGCGCGCCTAGGAGTGCGCCCAGTTGGAGGGAGGCTATAACTGCGCCTTTTCTTGTTGAATTTCGTTCTTTGATAGCGCCGTCGGTGTTGACCGTGTCGATCTCAGGAAACATATGAACCCTGGAAATCGTAAGCCCCTGATTCCATCAATTTGGTACATGATACAGTTGGAATTCATACCATGTTTGCAGAGTAGCTAGCGGTCCTACTCCCGCCTGGTTGTAACCGTAGGTGATAAAGGCCGGTGCAACAGTGAGAAGCACCTGGGCCAGACGCAGCGCTTGTCCTCGAAGCATTGTGTTCGCTAGATCCGGGGTTTTTTGGCGCCAAAACAAAAATACCGAAGACAGAGGTTTATATCCGCGCCCCGCATACTTTTCCAAAGCTCTGGAAAACATAATTTGGGGTAGCTGGGTTGGAGAATAGACCCATGGATGAGGCATAACAGTTAGCCCTAAGCTCCCGCGGACTTAACGCTCCCGTCGGAAACGAGCCATGTAGCCGAACAGCCGACTGTCTCCAACTATGACACACAACGGAGCTACCATAGTAATTTCAGCACCAGTGGCAAATTATAGATGAGTCTGAGGCTAACATGGAATAGTCGCTGGCGGAAATTTGCCCTGTAATCTCAGAGGTTGCCGCTTCTATCTTCGTCCGAGTTGTGTCGTTTAGCAACGGCACTACTCATCGTGAAAGACCAGTAGGCAGTGGAACGAAATGAAGACCCAAAAGTGACATTGGTACTCAAAGCTTTCCGTTGTCTGTGGGGCAGGTGACTGTAGCTATCGGGTTGTAGACGTTAATAATGCCCATCAATATCCGGTGGGCATTAATCCTGCGAGAGGAGATTAGAATAAGCCTACTAACTTGCGGGTCAAGCATGATATAGTTACCATAAGTGTGATATACTTCTACCATTGATAGGGATATTGATTCGCGCCTTCCAAATTCGAACAATGGTACGCGGTGCATTACTAGCCTGGATATAATGCTCTTCCCCAACGGGCAGGTGCAATTGACCTGAGGGGATCTGCTCCTGCCAGCTGGAGATCGCCCCCCCCAGTGGAACGCTCCTGGAAAGGGCAGGCGCAATAGAACACCTAGTGTCTGATGCTCCTTCTTTCCAATAACGATTGAAATAGCGCTCGCTTCATAGTTTGTACCTCCACCCCCGCTCGTTTCCCGAATGGGGCGACCATCCCTCAGCCTCATCTAATTTCTTGTTGAGCCTCCTGCCTCGCCAATTGACCGCAAAGGCAGAGAGCGCCACTAGTGCACACCCCATTAGTACCAACCCGCCACCCATACGATAGAACGGTTCCTGGCTTGTTGGGTAAAAGTACGGGCTGAACCAGTGGCTGCACTGACTGATACAGTTGGCAATAGCAATCAGGGCAGCCTTTTTTGCTCGAGGTGACGGGACCACCGTTGTTTCCCAAGACAGTTGTAGATTGAGCCCACTGTATGTACCACAGATTAGGAGGATGATCCCGAAATACCGCGCCCCGACGTTGAGCGTGCTGATGAGGATACTGCAGCCCCCAGCGGAGACTATGATTGGTATGACAATGTGCCAGGTGGATTCTTGGAGTCTGCCACAGGACCACGCTACAGCACAAGCGAAGATGTAGGCGATGGCATATGGGGGGGCTTGAACAAGATATGTGGTCATTGTGTCGAAGCCAAACGTTTTTATTATCTAGTTGACTCGTCAGCATTGATATTTTGATGAAGACGTGTTGGCGTATAAAGTATGTGGCAGATATACTGACCGATGGGAGAAAATCTTTAAAGCTCTGCGCAGTAACCAGCGCAAAGTGCATGAGGCAGAAGAACCAGGTAAAAGGATCTTTTACTGCTTCCTTCAATCCATCCCAAGTTCCCCCAACGGTCTCATCACGCCCGCCGTTGGACAGACGCACACGGTACTCGGCCATCTGGCTTTCCTCCTCCGACAGAAAGCGAGTATTATGTGGCCAAGCGGGCAGGAAAATAAAAGAACCGCCTGCAACAATAATCGATGCTATACCCTCGATTAGGAAGAACCATTGCCAAGCATGCAAGCCGCTAACACCTTCCATATGTTCGAGGATACCGGCGGCTAGGAATCCCGATATGATGTTGGAAATGGTATTCCCGGCGTGCCATATGGCCATTCGCATAGGTGACTCTTCCTTGGTATACCAGGAAGATGTGACTGCGTTGTCAGCTTAGACAGTGCCAGGCAATGTGTAAAATTTGCTTACGTAGGGTGAGGGCAGGAAAAAAAGGTGCCTCGGCCAGACCAATAAAGAATCGAACTACGCAGAAACCTGCACCGCTGCGGATGGATAGTTAGATCTATTCCAATTGAATAGGTGTCGGGCTTGACAACACTCACTTGGTCATGGCCGGCATGCAAATAGTCCCGGCGCTCCACATAAGCATCATGATTGGAAGAAACCAGCGTGGATTCGATTTAGCCATAAGCAAATTCCCAGGAAGTTGACCAACAAGATAGCCGACATAGAAGGTCGATATCCCTGCATTCCAGATGGTATCACTCATATGCAAGTCACTTTGCAGTCCTGCTAGACGCGCATTGGAGACATTGATACGATCAAGATAACTAGAAGCCTAGTCAGTTGCTTGGACAATGTTGATGTTTGATAAGAGAGTATACTTCATCAGGAACATCAAGGTGACACAAGGCATTGTGTGCCAATCTATCTTCTTCAGAACACGTTTATTGAGCGTGATCATTTGATCAGGGCTGAGATCGCGCAAAAGATTGAACTGCGCCTGGATCTCTTCAGGAGAGATATAGACACCCTCAGGGGGCTGTGACTTGTGGAATTCTGAGACATCCTCAATGTGCCTCTCGGACAACCCTTTGGTGTCTGTCTCTGGGCTCCTTTTTCCTTCAACCTCTATGTCAGATGGGAGAGAAGGACGTGATGGGGACATGATGAAGAGAAAACTGTGCTCTTCCAGGGGGAGTTAAAAGAATGAATCTATGTTTAAATAAAGTTGCATAGGTATCTAGGGTGTTTTTGGTCTTTATATATCCAATATTGTTGGAGACATCTGGGGATATGACATATCAAAGTTGGGGTTTGCGGGGCCCCAGACGACACGCTTAGTTGATCCCGCGGGACAAAGAATATACAAAGTTCGCTATATTGACCAAGACGGGAGAAAAAAGACTGAGCGGCCAGTGGCGAGCTCCCAAGGAAGTAGTGACAGTAGTTCGCCGTGGCGGGGATTCTTGGCAACGCTGGGCATGAGACGGAGGCACTCCGTTGTAGTATCAGTGCGCGATAGAAGGGATAGCAGGGCAGTATTGATGGTGTATAATGTATCAAGTCTAAGTGATATACTGTACAGGTAAATCCGACCGGGTCTATTATCACTGGACCTGACTGTGGGTCCTCGTGGCCATGAGAAGGGCAGCGACGTTCTCGTAGACCGTGAACACTATTCCCCCACTGAGGATCAGCCGGCCGAGTCGCATGGAGCTTCCCCTCCAGAAGGCTCGCACACCTCCGTCTTTCAATACGTCTCGCAGGGCTTCCATTGTCGAGGCACCCTTGGCTCCCTGGGCGCGCGTCTTGATGGTGTCGAACGGTTGGGTCACGTATACAGTAATGACGCCGGCTGTGGCCCCCATTCCGAACGTGAGTGCTGGATTCTTTGTATCCTTAATGTTAGTGCGCGAGGCGACAATCTCCTTGATGATGTTGTACGAGCCCATGCGTGTTGATGATGTGGCCGCCTGCTTCATGGTCGTAGAGACAAGGCCACGATAAACCTCCTTGACGCCAGATTCCGCCATGATGGTCCGGAGCGCGTGGAATCCGCCATTATAACGACGAGACGCTGATGACCTTGCGTCATCGATACTGTATTCTCCATCAGTATACGAGGAGGTATCAAAGGAAAGATACGTACAGAGCAGTCTTGATGCGTTCTGTGGGAGTGACCGCGACTACGCTCTCCACCACGCCCGCAACCATGCCAGCGAGGATGCCTCGCGTCGGGGACAATGTTCCATTCGAGTCCGCAAGAAGGTTCCTTATGGTGTCAAATGACAAGAAGCGAACGCCGGCCTTGAAGGCAGTGCCTAGAATCAAAGTTGAGCAACCTGTATAGATGGCTCGAACCCCATCCTGACGAGCCGTTTGTAGTATCACGGCCAGAGGATTCTTAGATACAGGAACTGAAACCCCACCAGCAATCTTTTGACTTAACTGAGCTCGCGTTTTTGCAAACTCAAATGGGTACTGGAGCGCGGAATCGGGTTAATTGGAGCAGCAGGAAAGCGAGGGTAGAGTAATACGGACAGTGGAGGTGGCTTCGACTGCACCAGCCACGGCACCTGCAGCTAATGAGACACCGGGCGGGATTGTTTTCTTCTTGGCGACTTGCGGCTCTTGCTTCGGGGGAGTCTGCATCGGGGCTCCAGACGTTGTAGCCATTGCGAGTAGTTGGACAAGAAAGACAATGGATGAATAACAGACTAGCCTGGGGATTCACGAAGTAAATCGCAGAAACAGAAACTGGAAATACCAAAGGATACGGATCTAGATGGAATATGCTCTGGTTTCTGAGGACTTTGATGGGTTGAAGGCATCGCGAAGGTGTTGTTGATCGTCCACGACCGAGAAGCCGGAGTTGTTCCCGCGGGAACTCGAGGTGATTGCCGACAGCCGACTCCCGTGCACGTGCCACGGAGTTAGCGGCAACAGCAGCAACACCACTCCCGTCTGCGTCTCCCCGCTACCCCTTCATCAAAATTTGCACCCACTTTGAAATTGATGGAGGTCGACCACGGCAGCGAGTCTGCTGTTAGCCCTCGGGCGCCTGTGCGCTCCCGTCGGCGTCGCGCACCGGAGGCATGTTCGTTCTGCCGTAGAAGAAAGGTGTGTACTGATCGACATGTCTACTTCGCCAGTGCTAATGTGGTTGAGAGGATGACAGATCAAATGCAACAATGAGCGGCCCGTATGCATTAATTGCAGGACATATGCGCAGGACTGTGTTTATGAGCCTGTTGCCGAGAGGGCTCGAGAGACGGGCCGTGCTCGTCATCGCAGAACCCTGGATGGAAGCGTCTCGAAAACCAACAAGGATGGAAACTTCCATCCACACTCACTACTGGAAAGTGATGATTATGGGAGACGTTCTGTGGGGGTAGATGAAGTAGTCGGCTCGGGTAGCCGTTCTACTGCAGGTATAGACCGAAGCAGCGCACCGGGGCCGTCTGAAGCCGGGGTGGCTCGCATCTTGGTTTCAGCGAACGGGGTATCCAGTTACCACGGCCGTACCAGCGCCCTGTTTGAGGACCAGGCACAGGAAAGACCGACTGCGGCGGATCATCGCCCTCGAATGGCAGATGACTGGGTAGAACGGGGTCTTGTTGCCGAGGCAGCAAAACAACGTGTGTGGCCCTCGAGTATTACCCTCTTCATTGTACTGCTGGACATGGAGCTGACACTGCCTCAATAGGACAGATGGAGGAATTGAATTTCCGCCAGGGCAAACTAGATTTCGATGGCGTTGATCCGGATCTAGGGATGCATCTGCTGTCGCTTCATTGGAATCGCCAACATCATTCGTTTCTCATAACCTACCGACCGGCATTCATGCGGGACATGGCTTGTAATGGTCCTTGCTTTTCTAAGCTCCTCCTCAACGCCATTTACTTTGGAGCCGCTAAATTCAGTCCCAGGTTGGAGGTTCGCAAGGATCCTAACGATGTTCGAACCGCCGGTTGGAAGTATCGTGAACGAGTCCGCGAGCTCCTAGGCGGAGCACTGGACCGTAGTGATATCACAACGATCCAGGCATTGCTTGTAATGACAAACTCACTATTTGCCCTGGGGGACGAAAGGAGCGCCGCATGGCTATATTCTGGCCTGGCGTTCCGGATGTTGATTGACTTGGGAATGCATGTCGATTTGACAAGTACACGGAGGTTCTCAGATGAGGACTTGGAAATTCGGAGACGAGTTTTCTGGGCGGCATTTGGTAAGAATGCTCTTAATAAATGGGGACGTGTTTCTTGACTCCTTGCTAACCACCGAGAATAGTTGTGGACAAGGTCCAGAGCCTTTATCAAGGCCGCCCAGTCAGCCTCAAGGAGACAGATGCACTTGTACCTATCAAGTTCCTAGATACCTATGAGGAATTGGAGCACTGGCAGCCCTTCGCGTATTCAACCTCTGCCTCAGATTACCCTGGAATGCCAGCTTATAGCACGTCTACTTTCACATTCCTATGCAAACTCTCGCTCACCATGAGTGACATTCTAAGTTGCATATACACCGAGCGAAGCTCCAATCAGAGCCCATCTGAGCTGGCAGGCATGCTAGATGAGCTGCAGCTTAAACTAGATCAGTGGCAGGAATCGTTACCCGAGCATCTGCGGTTTGATCCAGGGAAAGCTCACAGTGTAGCCTTCCCGCCACCTCATGTATCTAGCCTACAGTAAGTCCGCTCCAAACCATTGCAGAAACAGATTCCGGCGGGCAGTAGTACTGACAGGGACTTGTCCAGTGCTATGCATAACTCGCTTGTCATTCTGTTACACCGTCCATTTGTGGCAGACGGTCATCTATACAGTACATCGCCGTCGATCTCGGTTGACTCCTTCATGAAGTGTGCCTCGGCAGCATCAAATATCAGCAAGCTGCTGCGTGCCTACCATCGTGCATTCTCTGTACGACGTGCACCTTATCTCATATCATATGCGACCTACGTCGCAGCCACAATCCTCACTAGAATCGCAGCTAGACGTAGAAATGATTCAACAGCACATTCAAATCTTGCGACCTGTCTCGCTGTTTTTGAAGAAAACCAGGAGACGAACTCGGCTGTTAGGAAGGCCGCCAAGATTGTGCATAGCCTGATGAAGAAACTTGGAGTCATTATTGATAATGTCTCAATCGACGCTCTAGAAATGACCCCGCCTATGAGAATGTCAGAGCGAGATACGCAAGAAAACCATGTCCCTGTTCATCCTAATAGGGATTACCAGACGAGCGCCGGCAATGAAGCCAACAACGACGCAGCTATTGTGAATATGGCTGAAGCCGCGAGCACTACAGCTCGCAACCCGCAGGTCCCGTCTCCTGGGTCAGACTGGGTAGATATAGATGGCATTATCCAAAGCTTTCTACAAGAGAACAGTGATCGCGGAGCTCGACTTGCAGACTCCGACGCTAACGGAGTTCCCATTCAGCTTTCGAGGACTCCATGGTTACCACCGCAGCAAGGAAACCCTCCACCACCAGTGCCAATCAATAATGACCTTGCCTTTGGAAACCAGGTCCCTTTCCGGCCGGGTATAACGAGCTCTAACGGACTCCAGTCAGAGACAGCTTCCAGCACGTATCAGCAGCAGCGTGGCACACGGCTAACAAGTTACGAGTCCGTCTCGCTAGATGATCCACTGTTCGGGTTCAACAGCTCATCAATGGATAGCTTCCCGTTCACAGATTGGTGAGCAGGATCCTCTAATTCCGTGGACGAAATGGTAGTCCTGGTGCCCGTTTACCCGCTGCCTCCCGCGGGAACCACTCCCGTCGGATGTGGGGCTCATGGTATACCTTGCACTTGCCCACCCACACCCATGTGCCCGTGAACGGTTCGGGGTGCCACTTCATGGTTATGTTAGGGGATGTTTATCAATTGGAATTATGACTTACAGACTAGGATGCCCGTTTCTCCAAATGGTCCCTTCCCGTGGTCCCACTTTATGCCACGGGATTGAGATGACCACAGTTGCTGCCGTGGGTTTTCAGGTAGTCTGATCCCGAAATAAAGGAGGACTCATAACATTCCAGAGTGAATTGTACCTCTACTACTCCCAAGCAGCTGAATTTTATGCAAATTTATCCCACCTACTGTCGCGATATGGCCACTGAACTGGTCACCAAGACGAAGACGCGGCGGCTTACGCGCCATGCCCTTCCATGCGTCCTCATGCGTGCAGGCACGTCGAAAGGATTATTCATACATCGAGATGATCTTCCAGCAAGAGAAGCTGACTGGGCTCCTCACCTAGTCTCTGCTCTCGGGTCTCGAGGGAACGACCCCCGGCAGATAGACGGGATTGGCGGAGGCAGTTCAACGACATCTAAAGTTGCTGTTGTTCGTCGCTCGCAGAGATCAGACGCTGATGTTGATTGGACTTTTGTTCAAGTTGCTGTGGGCAAAGAGTCAATAGATCTCACTGGTACTTGCGGGAACATGACCGCAGGAGTGGCACCATTTGCCCTCCAGGAAGGTCTTGTAAAACCCCTGCAAGGGCAGACCAAGGTATGCTCAGCTCTTCAACCATATCGAACAAGGGTCAGGCAGTTAATACAGGAATTTTCGATATAGATGGATGTCAGAATCTACAACACCAATACAGATCGAATAGTGATAGAGACTGTCGCACTAGACGGTACGGGAGACTACGAGGAAGATGGGAACTTCATAATTCCCGGTGTAAACACACCAGGAAGCGAAGTCAAGTGTAAATTCGTCAAGCCCGTTGGCAGTATGACCGGACAACTGTTCCCTTCCAAAGGCCAACAACAGCAAATACTCCGCGTACAGCCAGGCTCACTCATGCCCAATGAAGAGCCCTTTGATGTTCGCGTGACGCTCATAGACTCTGCCAATCCCTTTGTCCTCATCGACACAACTTCCATACAAACGGCACTCCTCGCAACGATCCCATCTGATTCTGCCCGGAGTGCACTTGTAGAGTCTATCCGTCGCATGGGCGCAGTGGCTATGGGATTAGCAACAGACGTCGAGACCGCCGGTAGAACTCGCGGTACGCCCAAGGCTGCACTCGTGTACCCTCCATCCTTCACTCAGGATTCCGACAGAGCAGACATTCGGGTGCAGGCATACTCAATGGGACTGCCGCACCCCAGTCTACAGCTCACGGGGGCAGTGACTGTTGCCGTCGCACTAAGTTATTCTAACACAGTCGTTGCGGCACTCTCCACCATGGCATCGGTGACCGGAATCTCCCCACCGACCCCCGAGCAGTCGCCGCCTCCAGAGGACAGAAAGCAGCTTGGACTAGAACGTGAAGTATCGATCGAACATAGTAAGGGGAGTATCAAAGTGGATATCATAATGGAGGAGCATGGAGGCGTGGCTAGCTGTGCGGTCTCACGGACTGCGAGACGATTGTTTGAGGGGAAGGTCAGGTATTACGTGCAGGAGGATAGAGATAGCTACTAGACACGAAGTAACTTGCCACCTATCTTAGCTTATGATTTCCAGTGCTATAATAATTTGTGATATCCTCCTTGCATAATAATTTAGGCTAGAAAGGCCGTAAACGGCAGGCCCATCAGTGTCTATTATAGGTAGCTCCTGCCCTAAATCCCAACAACTCATATGGAAACTGCGATGAACATAAAAGTAAGGAAGGTGCAACCCTCTACACTTGTAGAGACCAGCTATGCACTCACTCTACTTACTCTGACCATCCTCTTGAACAGGCCATATGGAGTTATATATCTGCAGCAACTGCGGGCGTGTATTCTCCGAATCTGGACGAAGCTTGTTCTTGATACCCGGCTGATAGACGGAGCTTACCGCTCTTATATCGGTTTTCTCGCCAATGTCTGCTACAAGTGTCCAAGGACGAGCTAGTTCTTCAAACATTTCTGCATTGAAAGGCTTCCATGCACCCCATGGCGGGCTTGGGCCTGAGTCTGAGTATGGATTGTAAGGGCAATATTGCCCTCCCTGACTATAGAGAGGGTTGATTGTCAGCCTTTGGAGGCGTCTGCTGCCTCCCTCTTGGTTGTTGCGGATATGGGTGAAGATTGCTTCTGCTAGCTCCTCGTCGATGGCGCAGTTGATTAAGCAGTCCCGGATGTACCATGTGGGCAGGTTATATGAATCCCCTGCTGTTCGGGTGCTTTCGTACTCGGTAAGCGCACGGAACGGGACTGGGGTTTCGTTCGGGCCTGTCTCAGGCAGGCAGTTGAGGAGTAGGTCGAGGTGGGTAAGATGGGGGAATTGGGCCAGGGCAGTATAGACGTCTGTTTCGAGGCCTCGACGCCGTTGAATGCAGATTTCTAGTCTTTGAAGGGATGGGCAGTGGTGACCCAGGTGTTGGATGGTGTTGCTGGGGAAGATGGGGCCCAGTTGCCCTTTTCTTAATAGTCTGAGAACACCATATGTATTACTCCCGACAGTCCCTTTGTGCAGCCTAAGCTCGGAGAGTGTTGCTCCATGTTTGCCAACTATGTGAACGAGAAAGTCTGGCTTATACGCGCCCAGGAGGCAGAGATATGTCAGAGGGGGCAATGATTCAAACACCGCCTGAGCAGCGGACCAGAACTCTGGGTCGTCCTCGGGTGGATATAAGGCGAGCGTGAGTCGTTTCAGCTGCTGGAAGGGACGGAGGTGCGCAATAGTCCAGAGTAGATCCGAGTCTTCGATGCAGCCAACAGACCATGACCTTAAACAGCTGTAGTCTACAACTGTATTCCATTTTCTAAACTGCCCAGCCGTCATTCTCGTATGGCGAGGCCAAGACAGGACCTCCAGCTCTGCACGCGCCGAAGGTGTCTCTCTTTCCAGTTGTATCCTGTTATTGAAATTCGGTTGTGGCCCAGATCGCGCACACCCGGAGATTTGGAGTGCGAGCTGCTTGACATGAGATGCAAGTAAAATGGTACGTAGAATGGCCCTATCAGGGTGGTCATGGAATTGGTAAGTGGCGTTCTCGAAACAAGTGATATGCACCGTGTGTAGCAAGGGTGAAGATATCCAGTGTTCTATAAGGCCAGCCTTAGCCGGTTTTGAGCCCTGGCCCACGAAGGTAGACACCCGGCATGTAGGATGATATTCCTCAATAACCCGCAGGAGCTCAACAGGGCCACCCTGGCTAACAAGAATATTGACCTGGTGCAAGGGCGGAAGAAGTTGAATAAAATCGGTGACCAGAGCCCAGTCACCTTGTACCCACGGTCCAGTTTGAACTATACCGCGGTCGCCCAGATGAGTATCCTCTAGGGCGAATCGTATATTGTTGTAATTATCCGGTTTTGGGAGCCCTCTATTGAGAGGCCGGTATCCAGCCAGTGGGCATTCAGCCACGATACTAAGTTGCTTAACATGGGCGAGAACGCGGGTTGTGTCGGGCAGGCTGAGCAGTCTTTGGGGAACCTGACATTTTCTCAAGCGGATGATGATGTGTCGGTATAGGAGTGGTGCAGCGATTCTGTTCCATTGTTGGTCCACTTGGGATAGTGTACGTAGACCTTCCAAGGAAGTATGGTGCACCTGCTGCAGGATTAGAGATGTTGCTATATTTTTGAACAGAAAATACATACCCATGTTGCGATAATATGCTTGATTTCTGGTGGAATTTGATCCATGCTTCTTTGTCGACGGGGTCATTAGGAATAGAGACAAAGAACCACCGTCGGCCGGCAGTGAATTAGCTAGTTAATTAACAAGATTCCCAGGCATCCTGCATGAGTCACCCTCATGGTCATATATGGGATTCCAAATAGCCAGAGTGGCGCAGCCCGCCTTAGCCGAGCAAAGCCCATTCCAACGGGGGATGGGACACTTGGTGCAATAACTCAGATTCCATGGTGGAGAAGCTGGGCCAAGTTCTGGGGAAGCTATCTTATTTATTAGACTATTTATGCAACGTCTAATTAAGCTGAACTAAGTTATCCGCGTATGGGATGATATTTCCGAGTTGATCGGCACGGTTATCAAACCAATTGCCGATCCGGGATATTAATACCGGATCGCCTTGGAACTTAGGGCTTTACAATATGGAGCAGTATGGACGTCGAATCCGATGGGTGGCACTTTGTTGGTCTTGTATCCTCATTTCCAGACATTAGTGAAGACGAAAAGGGCTGCCGAGTCCTGCCTGGGTGCAAGACCCTTGGTATTCCCAAACCGACGCATCCGGACAAGCTGAAGACAAATCGAGTGTCTAATCTAGATGAGCAAGTGCTCGTGTTCAAGTATAAGGGGACTGTGCATGCCGTTGATAATGTAAGTCGTATCACTATTGCTCAAATTCTGGGAACTAAACATGGCTAGCGATGCCCGCACTCGGCGTTCCCGCTTAAGCAAGGCACGATTATCGATGTCGAGGACTTTGGCCCTGGAATTAAGTGCTTTAGACATGGTTGGAGCTTTGACCTGATTACTGGCAAGGCAGACCGCGGCCACCACTTGAAGCTTAATCTGTGGGATATCGAGCTGCGGGATCCTTTGATATCAGACGATGAGAGCACGGGGGATGATAAAGAAGTGTGGGTTAAAAGACGATGAAGATTTTCAATAAGAGATATAAATTACATAATTTGTGTTCTTATAAGAACAATAATAAAACCTACGAGTTATTCCCTGTAACTGCACCCCAGATGTACGCCACCCACCCACCAACGGTCAAAAGCATGAGTGCCGCAAAGCAGCAAATTGAAATAACCTTATTACGAGCGTAGGACGTGACCAGATGCTGCTCGCGGATCTTGGAAATATGCTCTGGCCCTATAGTTAGCCGTTGCTTCCTCGTCCACTGCAGCGGCGCAAGGCTATCCGTCGTCAGTGAGCCGAGTAATATCGCCAGCCCGATGGCAACTGACGCTGCCGCAAGGAAGAGATAGACTCGGACAACACGGTGGTAGGAGTCGTTGTCGGCGTCTTGGAGGGCGCCGGTTATAATGCGGACTATGATATTCATTCTGTTCATGGTTAGTCGCTGTGCCTAATAAAGTAGATTTGATTGGGACGAGAGCAAATGTACGCGTTGTTCATTGTGACTTTCAGAGCGTAAGCAGATCCAAACACCGATTGATGCCATAATGTAGTACGTATACTATCAATGATAGACGTCGGACCGAACGTCGAGGCAACGGCGAAGACGCCAAACGAAGCGGCGGTTCCGGCTTTTGTATTGGCGAAGTTAACCAGGACCATGCTTATGAATATACCGATTCCACAGGCAGATACTGCCCATTGTTAGATACTTTTCGTGATTTTGTGGTTACCAACTCACAGATACTTGCGCGATTTCCGAGCACATCGATGAAGACGCCAATACATGGGACCAAGAAGAAACCTGGAAAGTCAGTCTATAGACCCTTATTATTAAACGTCACACTAACCTGCATATTGCGACAGAGAACTATACCACCCAGCCGTGATCGAATCAACATCAAACCGCTTTTCGGCCAGCTCTGTCGCATTCTGGCTGAAAACAAGGGCAGTGCTTGTTTGGAATAGTGAAAAGGCTAGAACAGCCCAGAACATCCACGGCAGCTGGAATATTTTGTGGAGGTCGAATTTCTTGTTCTTCTCTGTTAGCACTTCTTTGGTTGCTGCGTCTTGTCGTCCACTGTAGTGCTTGTTACAGTAGCGCGTGAAGAACCAGAATGTGATTGTTGCAGCGTTGGTAAAAAGGTTCATGAATACGGAGGTCCAGAAGACCCAGGCAAAGTTTCCAGTGTTCTGTCTCGTCAGTATTCAAATCAATAATTTAATGGTTTAATGTACCTTGGCGATAACATTTGCCGTGGATTTGCCGACGAAACCACCAATCTGTAGTATATTAGCATAATACCAGCAGATACAATGCAATCGTCTACCTTTCCAATTGCCAGCTCAAAACCGAGGGTAGACGCAAACCCATTACTGGGCGGAAACCACGATGAAAACATCTTATACTGCGCAACTTGGGTAGCAATATCGCCCAGCGCTAAAACAACACGGCCCGCGATCATGAAATTGAATGAGCGCACTGTTGTCGCTGCTGCAACGAGAATAGATCCGATTGTATATACGACATTTCCATAGACGATCATTTCTACAGCAAAGGCAACTTAGTTTCAGGGAAGGAATGTTTGGCAGGACATAGACAAACCTGCACCACCAACGCGATCTGTAATAATACCACTAGCTAACAAAAGCACAGTGGCCATGAAGTCTTCACTTGCTTCTAAGAGAGAAAACTGCGTATTCGAGACATCCATTTGCTACTCATCACGTAAGCATTTGTTCTTTTACGAGTTCAGCAACGTACCTTCTTGATGGTACTCTTCATAGCACCCGTAACCCCTGAGCTCCAGTGCGAGCCAAAACTGATGCATGATATGAGCAGCACCGCAACAAGTTTCGCCAGTAGTGGGGGCGGACGCTTCCCATCGACGTTCTCATCCCGAGACGAGACAACAGGTTCCGTCGTTTCATGGGCTAACTTATCCGGTTCCATGGCTTGATTGGAATGAAATCAAATAAAGATAGAAATAGAAAACAGAACAAAAACAGCGAGACACCGTGCATTTAAATGCCCGCCTTGCTGAAGTTGGCAGAGAAAACTCAATCAGATAAGACCGAGAGCGTGTGGGTCGCGCGGAGATGGTTTTATTGGCCGTGTCTGCTGATTGATAAGATCGGAAAGTGCCCGAGAGCCTAAAAGGGTCCACCACGCAGTTTCTACGAATTGCATCGTCTCTTCCAAGCTCGACAGCTCCGAATACCGGTGCAGGAGACACTACAGCTAGCGCGTGGCCAATTCTGCTGTTACCTTTAGTGTGCCCCAGTTGGCTGTGGAACACCGGGAACTTAATACCGAAGACACGTGGGATGACGGACTTCAGACGGTCCAAGGTTGAGGTCCTAAATTCTAAATACCGTGGCAGATGCAAATCTAGGGACTCATAGCTGGTAAGAAGTGTTGGTCTAGTGCTACAATTCCAAGATAGTGAGGTGATTTTGACTCGTAGTCGGTGGCCCGATTGGGGGAAGCGATGGTTAGTGGGAGTGGCCGGGGGTTTGGCTTGTTCCGTAAGACAGGCCCTCGAAAAGCAAGCCGTGGGTAAGACACTATGACATATGTAAAAGAGCTTCACACTAGCGAATAAAAAATTTAGGCACAACCTTACCTAAAGTTGCTAGCGAAGCTTGTATGTCCACAACCCATTTAGGGTGACTTGTTCTCCCACGCCACAAAGGATAAAACAATCATTCCTGTCTGAGCTATCGAGAATGTCTTTAGAAACTCAAGCTTATCAGAGTTCACCGGTCCTCCTAGCCTTACATATTACAGTGCCGAATGTTCTTGGGATAGAACAAATCAGGTCACGTGATAGACAAAGCCCTGGTGAGGTCTTGAAGGGCCACTGCTCTATAGCAAATCTGGATTCCGACTGTCGTAGCGCCAGGAACAAATGCTGAACCTTATCCTGGAGTTTAAGATCCTGAGAGGGGTGGAAGTCGGTGGGAATTTGACTTTCCCCAGAGCAGACGTGTCCTGGCGGTTAGCGACCACTGTCTGGATTGGTTTATTGATAATAAGGTACATATCCTGATACTTGGCTATCGACGCAGGCGTAAGTCGATTGGTATACGGGGGAATTTAAATGAGATGGCGTCCAAGAGCCATAGTGCTGGGACGCTTGTCTAAAAATAGTGGTGCTGGCGCTTGGAGGGCGCTTAGATTCGAACCACTCTCGGTGCCCTGGAGTGGTGTTCTTTGGTACTTGGTATATCTGTAATATCTTGGCTCAAAGCTAAAGTTCAAAAGCAAATTATAGGACGGGCAGGACAGCGCTTAGGAGAGGTTATATAGTTGTGGTCAACCACATCACTTCAACTTCTTTATTGAACAGTTCTCACGCAATCATTATCTTCAAAAACTGCCTCTCTTCCAAGTGCTTTATATTTCACATCCATAGCGATGAAACAAACATTACCTCAATTCGAGAATCCAGCTTACACCGTGGGCTTAATCGCCGCGCACCCCCACGAACGAGCCGCGGTAGAAGCAATGCTCGACCAGAAGCATGCACCACCCCAGTACATACACCCCCACGACCACAACATTTACACTCTGGGTGCTATAAAGGGTTCTCCCGGGTACCACAAGGTAGTTGTTGTTAGCCCCCCAGCCGGCCGGTACGGACCCATGACTGCTACGGCGACTGTTGCAAAGTTGCTTTCCAGTTTCCCCGGAATCAAATACGGGGTGACGGTTGGAACTGGAGGTGGGATACCTGACGCGGACAGTGGCAGCGATATCCGCTTAGGTGATGTGGTGGTTGGTCGCCCCGAAGGAGCGTATTGGGGTGTAAGAGAATATGACATTGGGAAGGCCAGACCAACGGGGCCAGAGAAAGGGTCGGGGTGGCCATACCCACCAACAGCGTTACTGGGTGCTGTCAGTGCCATCCGCAGCAAGCATGAATTGACTGGAAGTGATGTACCGAAGATTTTGGCGGCCATGGGGAGACATAACCCGAGGATGGGCAGTCCACAACCAGGCCAGGTAAAGAGACAGGGCTTTGTCTATCCGGGCGCGGAAAATGACTTTCTATTTGACGGGCAATATGAGCATCGTCAGGGAAGTGCCGATTGTCGTGGGTGTGATCCTGGAAAGCTGGTGTACCGTGTGAAACGAGAGCATCATGATCCTCTGATCTTCTATGGTACCATTGCATCGGCGAAGACGGTTGTAAACAATGCTCGACAACGTGATACGTTCAAAGATTGTCTTTGTTTCGAGAGCGATGCTGCCGAGTATATGAATTCTTTCCCTTGCCTTGTTGTCCGTGGAATCAGTGACTACTGCGATAGCCACAAGAATAACAGGTGGCAGATGTATGCTGCAGCAACGGCGGCTGCCTATGCGAAGGAGCTTCTGGGGATCATGCATGCAGGTTCTGAATGGATTCACATCCAACAACAGCAGAAGGAGAAGCCTTCATGTTGTATCATGTAACTATCACTTGCAGTCCTTGATAATATTTTATACTGTATATCTGATAAGATAGCCCCGATTTCATGCCACTTACCGTTAGGACCACGTTTTAAATCAACATATCAACTAAACCTTCGTAAGTCTATCCTTAACATATGCCAATTGAAATCCCACACGCTCCGCATTCCTTGCACTCGCCTCCCCAGGTCTCGCATACATAACGGCCCTCTCAACTCCTGCCGCCTTCGCATCCGCCAACCGCGCCCTCAACAAGGCAGTCTGCACCCCGCGACCCCGGAATTCAGGAACCGTACTATCGATATAAAGTTCCGCAACCTGGCCAAACGGTGTAGTAAGAAACGCCAGCCCGGCACTCCCTGAAATCTGCCCGTCGATCTTCGCTAAGTATAGACGCGTATCGGACCGGAGGGTGGCGGATTTAGCTAGTGTTTCCAGCAGCTCAACCGGACGGCCGAGGGATTTGGCGCCGGAGATGGAGTAGTCAGTGAACAGATCCTTTTCGGTATCTGAGACGCGGGTTATTTCGGTGGTGGTCGTGGTATTGTTGTTCTCGTAGTCATGCAGCGGTAGAGTGTAGACGCTTATCTTACTATCGAGTGTGTATCCCCTTTCATTGAATAAATGCCGTGCAGTGGGATGCGAAAAGGGACACAGGTCGATATACGGGGGTAGATTGATTCCCTGGAACAGGCCTTCGATAGTGTCGATATCTTGATCCGTGACTGGGCCGTCCATTGCAAACCCGGCGACGTGGTTTAATTTCGATAAAAATGATGCCTTTGTGATAGCAACCACTCCAGTCCCTAATGGCTGTGCAATAAATCCATCCTTGGGGTAGAGTTGGCCGGCTGCTCTGTTTTGTTCGGTTATAAAGGCTGCCTCTGCGGCCTCGGTGAGGCGGGCAACAGTTGGTGGTACCGGGGGGATTGGCTCGATTGTCATAATGAGGTGACCTGAAATTATCAGAAGCAGTCGTGGTAAGAATTTAAAAGGGGCTCTCTGGGATTTCACCCTGACGTCTTTCCATTGCTTGTTTCCCATGCAGTCAGCTGTGACTCATCCGTGATCGTCCACACACACCACCAAAGAAATCTCCCCAATCTTCCCAATTAAGCGAATTTTAATACATATTTTACATAGAACTTTATATAGTTATATCCAGTCAAGCCCAACGTGCTCATCATGCAACTTCACCGCTGTCTGCGATATCCACCCGTCTGGGTCCCGATTATCCCTGCAGCTCTGCTGCAAGGCAGTACTTCGGAACCATTCAGTACCACTACTTGGAGGGGCGTTCCATATTTCGTCGCTGTCCGGCATGCAAAAGTCCAAGTCCGCCAGGGTGAGAAGCTCGCTCCTCAAACCACGGCTGCTGCCACCTTTGTCTGCCAAACTGGTGCGAGTACACATTCGGCACAGTTTGTATAATGCTAATCCAAATCGCTTAATTTCCTCGACACTCACCCAGATAAGCGCGATGGGGGCAGAAGGATGGAATCTGGCCAGCATATTTGGGTAGTTGAACAACCCGACCTGCCGGCAGGTCTCCACAAGGGAAGTGAGGAGTTTGTATTTTTCGTCTGGGAGCTGAAAGCGAAGATTCAGATCAAGAGTGCTCTCTTGCTTCGCTATAAGAAGAGCGAATATAAGTTGGAGAAGAATGCTTTGGTATGTCGGTATGGGCCAGGGCGTGTGCTCGTCGGGGCTCACTGTTTCGGGCATATACCATTGAGACTTCATACAGCCATCAGCAAGTTTACTTCGTGTTAGGGTATAATGACAATTGACAAACCCTCTGGTCCTGAATCGCCGCAAGCAATTTATGATGAAAGGTCATCGCCGTATCCCTAGCCGCTTGGTCACCCTTTATCCAAAGCCCCATCATGGCCATTGACTGCAGTAGCACACAAGGCTCCTCCGATGGCTTGAATGTGGCTCGAAACAGAAATGGCCAGATGGGGTGAAACTCGTCGAAGTAAATATCGATATAATCCTGAGCAATCCAGCGTGAAGAGCTGGGAACTGACGCGGTTAAATCCGCGCTGAAGTCCGCTTGTCTCTCACAAGCAGTCTCTAAGCGAGTATACGAGCAGGTAACCCCCCGCCGCTGGCAACGACTACATGGGTATCCGCCATCGCATCGTTCCTTTCGAGCATGGCAGGCGCTGCAGGCCTTTTGGGCGCGAGACGGCGGGGCCTGCTTTTCCGGGTGGTAGTTCTTTATATGGCGGCGGAGAAGATCGCTGGATGAGAGTTAGTCTTGCGATTGTTTCCATCAGACTTCATCTGTACATCCCTTCTAGCTAGGGTGCTGTCACAGTAAGGACAGGATGAACGGGCCCCTTGACTGTGATGGGCCAAGTGCCGGTTTAGGTGTTCTTTGCGTTGGTAGGCCGCACTGCATCCTGGATGACTGCACTGAAAGGGATGAGCAGCGGAATTATCTGAGCGTCGAGACATTTTGCATAATCCAGGAGGGATGGTGAGGTTGAGGTTGAGAGGGAGGCCGAGTGGCGAGAGAAGACTCTCTGTTAGTAACACCGGCATCCCACCGGAATCTCCCGCCTGGCGAGCTATATAGATCAGGGGCTGTGTTTTCAAGTCTGTAACTGCCGTAAATATAGCGCAAAGTTTGTTTAATTTCTTTATCGGATTATGTCTGTCGGCTCCGAGCTGACTCGAAGCTATACAGCCGGCGCAGAAGGCTACACCACAGAGACAATTGCGCCCGCCGTCTCCCGACTGCCCAGTGCTCAGAATCCGCCAGACTACGAAGTCTCCTGGGAAGCAGACGATCATGAAAACCCCCGTCTCTGGCCACTATGGTACAAGGGCCTCAGTATTGTGACGATAAGCCTGGGCGCGACCGTAGTCAGTCTCTTCAGCACGGTCTACACCTCCGGAATCCCAGGCCTGGAGGAGGAATTCCACATCTCCAAAATCGTCGGCCTCTTAGGCGTCTTCACCTATCTTCTCGGTATGGCCATGGGGACTTTTGTATCCGCGCCCCTCAGCGAAGTGCTCGGTCGACGACCGGTCTACCTGGTGTCCATGGGGGTTTTCCTCATCCTGGTTCTCCCAAGCGCACTGGCAACTAACATAGAGGCGATCCTGATCAGCAGGTTCTTTGGAGGCCTGTTTGGCAGTACAATCATGGGCAATTCCCCAGCTTCGGTGAACGATATTGTCTCCGATACACATCGCGCGGCGGCGTTTGGGGTTTGGTCTATTGGGCCGGCAAACGGGCCTGTATATGGACCCATAATCGGGGGCTTCGTGTTCGAATACCTGGGCTGGAGATGGACGAACTGGATCGTCCTCATCATAGGCGGTGCCATTTTCGTCTTAATGTGCCTTATAAAGGAAACCTACGAGCCCGTCATCCTCCGACACCGTGCAGCGAAACTCCGCAAAGAAACAGGAAACCCGAAGTGGTGGACCCGATACGATGATGGAGAGACGCTGAAGACCCGACTTCGAGTCGGCCTCAGCCGGCCGCTTGTCATGCTGGTCACTGAACCAATCTGGTAATAGCCCTATCCCCGGCACTCTCTTATCCGAACTAACGCTATCCTACAGTATGTTCTGGGACACCTACGTCGCGATCGTCTACGGCGTGCTATACCTCTGCTTCGTGGCCTACCCCATCGCATTCCAGACCCAGCGCGGCTGGTCCCCAGGAATCGGGGGCCTCTCATTCATCGGAATTGGAGTGGGCGTGCTCATAACAATAGCCAGCGAGCCACTTCTCCGCAAAGTCATCAACAACCACCGCAGGGACCCCAAGACCGGCCAGGTTCCCCCTGAAGCAATGGCCAGCATTGTGACCCTTGGCGCGATCCTGCTCGCCGTCGGCCAGCTTTGGTTCGCGTGGACCTGCACTCCAAATGTGCACTGGGCTGTGCCGATTCTAGCTGGCCTGCCGTTTGGTGCGGGGAATGCTTGCGTCTTTATCTATGCAAATAACTACATGGCGCGGTCGTATGGGATTTATACGGCCTCGGCGCTGGCGGGGAATATGTTTGCTCGGAGTGTTATGGGCGCTTGTCTCCCGCTTGCTGGACCGTCTATGTATGCGGCGTTGGGGCTGAACTGGGGAGGGACACTGTTGGGACTTGTTGAGGCGGTTTGTGTTTTGATTCCGGTTGTTTTCTATTTGTATGGGCATAGGATTCGGAAGGCTAGTCCTATAATTCAGGAGATGGAGAGGATGCGAGCACATATTTGATTGGTTATGCTGTATGTTTTATAGACTATAGACTAGTTTGTTTAGAACGCGAAGATAATATAAGTTGTATTGGTGGAATTCAGGTTACACAGTTAAGCTCGGTAATTGTTAGATCAGTACTATTATATTACACATAGTTAACGGTGTAAATCTGAATGTCATGCAATTAAGTCGATTATGGAGTCCTTAATCCGTTTTGCTCTACCTTTTACTTGCCTTGAATATTTCGGACTATTATCGAGATCAATAATTAGGTAGAGACAGTTATAATTGGCTATAAAAGCCTTGTAGACACAAACCGTGGTACGGTAGGTCCTCCAGTGGCGATTGTCGTGTCGCAATATCGAGTGGGATGCGCCGGAGGGATGCCGAAGGAGGGATACCGAACAACATTCTAGAATGATTAACAAAGGTTGATTTATCACACTTCCAGATTTGTAAAGACTGGTGGAAATTTGTAAGTTTGTTGCATCTCAGGGGTTTAAGTACCGGGAACTGGGCATTGATTGTTCCAACAGCTCGTCCAAAACCAGCTTCACTTTACTCTTCTTTACCTTATTCTATATCAACATGTCTCCCACCCTCAACGTCACCCACATCGGCACTGCCACCGCCATCCTCGAAATCAACGGTGTCAACTTCCTAACCGACCCCTTCTTCTCACCCGCCGGCACCTCCTGGGACGTGGGCATCACAGTCCTCAAAGTCACCGACAACCCCGCCCTCCGCCTAGACCAACTCCCCATCATCGACGCCGTCCTCCTCAGCCACGAAGACCACCCGGACAACCTCGACGAACTCGGCCGACAGCTCCTCGACGGCCGCCGCGTCTACACCACCCCAGACGGCGCAAAGAACCTTTCCCCGCGCCCCGCCGTGCACGGCATGCAACCCTGGACAGAACTAGATCATACCATCAGCGGCAAGAAATTCAAGATCATAGCCACCCCAACAAAGCATGTCCCAGGGAACGAATGCACGGGGTTCATCATCACCGGTGAAGATTTCGGCACTGGCCGCGACGGCCTCCCCAACGCTATCTACTTCACGGGGGATACAGTGTACATCGAGGAACTAGAGGGTATAGCAGATCGGTACCATGTGCGCGCGGCTGTGATGAACCTGGGCAATGCACATGGGCCTGTTGGCCCGGACCCTAATAACCCGTTGATCCAGATTACGATGGGTGGCAAGGACGGGGCGAGGCTGTTCCGGGCTTTGAAGGCTGATGTTCTTGTGCCGATGCACTATGAGTCGTGGGGACATTTTACGCAGTTTGGAGAGGAGCTGAAGAGGGCGTTTGAGGAGGAGGGAGTTAGTGATAAGGTGTGTTGGTTGAAGGGGGGTGAATCTGTTTCTGTTCTTTGAAGTGTGTTTATGATAGACTGTCTATAGTGTTAGAAAGTGTAGTTGAATGAATTGACTTTGGAATATAAGCAACTTAATGGAAATACTGCTATAGGAAAGTACGAGAGGATTGCTCCTTCCTATCCTGGAGGAATGCATCGCACCTTCCCATTATATTTCCCTAACAAGGAAGGTGCCTCAGCTGACTCCAGAGCCTTCTTTAAGGAAGAGATACATGAATGTACACAATCTCAAATACCCTCACCAACAAACAACGGCATGGAGTCCTCCCACAGAGAATTCGTCAAAGCCTGCTTATTGCGCCCATCTGCATCCATGATATTAATCTGCCCATACGGCTGAAACGTATTGTCGTACAGCGCGCACTCGTACTGGAAGCCGTATTCGCCCGTGGAGTAGATGATCCGGCCATCCTGCGGCCACACGGCATGTGCGTCGTTTGCGTTGCTGCTGGTGAGGACCCGGAGGTCTGTCCCGTCGGGACGGATAGTGCAGATGTCGTAGTTTGTAGGGGTTGTTCTGCGCGTGAAGACGATCCTTGACCCGTCCGGTGAGAAGGATGGAAGTGTGTCCCATGAATTTGTCAGTGTGGTAATTTGGTGAGAGCCGTTATGTTTAGAACTGGAAAGGTCGAGGATGCGTAGGCCGAGTTGGGATTTGTTACCGTCTTCCGAACCCAGACCCCAGACTCTGAAGACGATTTTTGTGCCGTCGGGCGAGAAGCTGGGGAAGCCCGTGTTGAGGGTCGTGTTGGTCAGGGTGAGTGCGCTTTCTGTCAGATTCTGTGCGTCTGTCCCATCGGGTTTGGATCTCACGATCCAGCCCCCATTGGAGGCCCGGCCTTGGAACCAGTATCCTACGCCGAATGTTATCCAGTTGTCATCTGAGGACCAGGACGGCTGGAAGGCTCCTCCTGTGCCCTTGTCCACGACGGACTGGCTCAGGATGCCCCTCGCGACGGGGTCGAAGATGTTTTCAGGGGTCTGTCCGGTTGCGTTCATGCTGATGATCGAGGAGTCGCCGAGCTGCTTCTGGGTGAGTGCAATATTGCCCTTGGGCGAGCTGGTGGGAAACACGTCTGTGAAGCGGTACTCCCATCGACTGTCCCAGCTATAGAGCAGCTTCCCTTGCGGACGAACATTCCAGGCCGTTTTCTCGTACACGACTTTCTTGCCATCGGGCGACCATGCAGGGGAGCGGGCCATTGACTCGGAGGTGTTGTAATAGATGCCGCCAGTGTATATCCCTTCACTGGTCCCCCCTTTGAGCAGATACCCAATGTCAGTATCAGACAAATACTGCGGAAAGATCTTGATGCCTGGACCGTCCACCTCAACGACGCGATGGGACCCAGTCTTGAAATCAACCGAGACAATAGACGAGTTTGCAGTCGCCATGTCAAACGAACTGTGTGCGTCCCAGGTGGTCTCACGACTCATTTCATAGAAGGCAATACGGTTGCCATCTGGAGACCAGCTGGGTGAACCAAGAGCATACCCTTCTTTAGTAACTACCTGACGAAACCCAGACCCATCAGGTCGGATAGCATAAATCGAGAGCTCCTGGGTATGTTCCCATCCGCTGAGTCCAAAGAAAGTATCCCAACCATGACCCAACCACTGGGTGTTTCGATCCGACGAAAACGCAATCCACTGCCCATCAGGCGACCAGGAAGGCTTGAAATAGCCATGCGGCAGACTCGAATTCGTTGTCGCAGTCACTGCCGGTGTATCTGTCAGATTCCGGCGAGTCCCAGAAACCAGATCAAGCACCCAGATATTTGCAACCATGCCCTCTGTCGAGACATACGCTGCGAGAGTCCCGTTCGGCGATAGCACGACGGAATCCTCAACTGCAGGAGTTACCACAAGGGGCTGGAGATCAGACCCGTTTGTTCGGATGCGATAGATGTCCGAGTTCCCATCGCCATTGCGCTCGCTTGTGAAGAGAACCCACTGCCCGTCTGGGGAGAAGCTGGCGTGGTATTCGAAGACGGGGTCTGAGAGGAGTGGTGTTTCGTTGCTCCCATCGAGGTCTGAAATGTACAGTCTGGATGTCCCCGGTGCGATGCGATTCATTAGCAGGACGCCGTCTTTACCTGGAGAAGGCTGACGTGCTTTGTCGATGTCCGCTCGCTGAGCGTAAGGACATGCCGCCCGTACCAGACTGAGCAGGCCAATGGCGCATACTAGGAGGGTAGGAAGCAATGACAACATTTCGGGTATGCAGTTGAGGAAACATGAATGAGGTGTCTGGCTTTGTAATGTTCAGCCCGGCTATCGGCATCTGCCTGGATCGTCATAGCCTACGCAAGCTAAGACGTAGACGAGCAATTAGTGCTGCGTTGCAGAAAGAAAAGACCGTGCAAAGATCGCCGCGTGGAAGAGACGGGCCAAGTATCCGAGAACGGGAGCAGTTTGCGAGCCCTAACTCGGCCTGCAGATCTCGGAGATAACAAACTAATTTAACCAGCTGGTATATTTACTGTCCACGGCCACTCAAAGCTCAATCACAATTCCAACAACCACCAAAATGAAGTCTATTTTCATACTCTCAAGCCTCTTCCTCGTGTCCGCAACCGCAACCTCATGCAATCCAAGCACCCTCAACGCCACCACCTACCTGTACCCCATAACCAAACAAGGTACAACAGTCTTCGACGTCGCAAGAGCCACAAATCGCGGCGTCTGTGACATCGGCCGCCAAAATCTCATGGCCGACGTCACAATCATTCCCAACGTGGGTCAGCAGCTCTTAATCCCGCCGCAGACATGCACCCCAGACAACGAGAGCTGTCTGCTCCCTGAAACAAACAGAACGCGCACCTGTATTGACGGCGGTCCGCGCCTCTACTACACCGTCAACGGAGATACATACGAGCGTATTGCGCAGCGGCTGAATATATCCACCGAGGCATTAACCTCGCATGCGCTGGGCGACGAGTCTGTTTCTGCAACAGACGAGCTAGACCCCGGCCGCTTCGTCAAGGTGCCCCTCTGCGAACCGAGTCGGTGTGTGTTGAAGCCGTATCAGTTTAGTGCCGGGGTGTATAAAGATCTTGCGGAGGAGTTTGGGACGACCGTGGGGCAGATTATGATGCTGAGTCCGACTTATAATTACAGCAGCCAGGCGTTTATGCCCGGTGGGACGTTTCCGCCGATTAATGTGTTGGTGAACTGTACGCAGTCCAGTAATGTTACTGTTTTGGCTTAAGGCGATAAATAGGGTAGCAGTTGAGAACAACTTAGAGAGTGTTTTGTATAGAATAATATACTTGTATTTTATATTCCAGATACCAGGGGTAGTACAATATCCACATGGCAGATATTTACCACTCCGACCACAAAAGTATTAGGCCATCTTTCTTTTGCATTACATTCCCTAGTCAAATTGATTAAACCGCCGTTACACCATTCTCCCCCTCCAACACACCATGCGCAGCCTCAATCTCCGCCTCATCAATCTCATCATCCCAAGCCGTAGGCGGCGGCGCCGAATAAACCGCAGGCCCAGGCCCCTTCTCACCAGGCAACGCACCAACATCAACATCATTCTTACACTCCTCGTCGTCAGATGTATAGTTCTTACCAATCCGCCCAGTCCCACAGGAGTACTTCCCCCCACCAGCACCGTAGATAAAACTCTGCTCGGAGGGCCAGCTCGCAGATGCATTTACGCCGACCCGTACCCACATGAACAGCCCGTCATCTAGTGTATCGCCTAGATACTCATAGTGGAATACAGGGTCTGAGGCCGAGTAGGCGGTTTCCTGGTGGAAGGTATCATCCCGGGCGTTTCCGATGGGGACGTATGGGTTCTCTGTATAGGGATATGTCTGCGAGACTTTGTCGATAATAGCCTGGTCGAAGAAAAACTGTCCTATATGGGCGATACTTCCTCCCGTGATGGTGCCGTTAGGCAGGACAGTAACGTCCGTATGCGCGATGATATGGATATGGTTCGTGCGGCCGGTATAGTGGCCCGGAAATATTGTCTTGATCTGAGCCACGCCGTCCTGATCGGCCATTGCCACGGCGCGGAGGAAGGTGTTGTTGACGTTGGAGTGGTCTGAGAAATCGCCGTTGCCCTGGTTGATGACGCCGCTGTAGACGCCTGTGGCGTTTGCGTTCCAGAGGTCCCACCACATCCCGGGGATGGGCTTGCAGGTTTCGAAGTCGATGAATTGTGCTTCGACGATGATGGGGACCCCGAGTTGGTTTTCGCGCGCGTCGGAGCGGATCACCTCGCCGGGGACGTAGTAGGGGCCGTTGTCGCCGTAGGGGTTTAGGAGGACGTGGTTCTCTCCAGTGAATGCGTCGGCTGGGCGGTTGGGACTGATGAATGGGCCTGTGTGCAGGTGGCTGGTGTTGAGGATTTCGACCATGGAGCGTTTGAGCTTCAGTTGTTGGCGGTGCTGGTTTACGAAGGCGGCGCGGCGTTTATGGGCCTGGGAGTTTGTCCCGTCTGAATTGAGGGTGCCGGCGCACGACTCGAGGCTTCGTCTGCCGTGGCTGAAGAAGTCGCGTTTGAGCAGTTGGGTTTCGAGGTCTTCATGTTCAAAAGCACCGTGGGAAAATGCCGGGCTGGCGAGAGACAATAGTATAAGCGGTTGGAGGTGCATCGTGCAATTGAAGACGGACAATAGATTTAATAGATTTAGAATAGATTCAGTGTGCTAAGGAGGAATTTATATCTTTGCAATCAATGTCCTTTGCTTGTAGTTGTTGTGAAGTATAGTCGGCCTCAATAGCCCTAAGTGGAAGGCCCACGATGATCATCGGAGTTACACGAGAGTTGGACAGGCTTGCGAGATTTAGTCTGACACGGCCCATCACCAACACAGTTCCTCCTACCTCTGGTATGCCACTGCAATCCCAGACGGCTCTCCATTAATCAACCGAATCTGAGTGGCTCGCCAGACATCCCGCTCAACGTGGCTCGTCCCGTTCGCCTGAAACACCATCTCGGACGCATTTTCGGCCGCGTACTTTGGCCAAATCGGGGTCACCGGCGTTGAATTTGCGTGGCGTCTCCACGAATTAGGATCCAGTGTGGCAATGAAGCTTACCCAGCTGCTGCTGATATCGCTCGCAAGAACTGCGAGGTCTCGGGAAATGGGGTTGGCGTCGTAGCCGTGTCCGTTTGTGTTGGCAAAGACGAAGGGGACCTCGTTCCCGTGTTGTGCAGAGGCTTGGTGGTAAAGTGGGACGTCGAATCGATAGCAGTATGCGCTGATGTTGGCGCGGGCCCAGGTGGAACAGGCCTGGCGACGATTTGCGTGGATGGCAGCGTCCCCTTGATACGCTAATGCTCTCTCGTCTATACGCTTTAGAATGGCCGTGGTGCGCCCAATTCAAGGGAGGATAGACTTACATGGTGAAGACGCATTCGAATAGGCTGCTGCCAGTTGGTTGACCAAGATGCGCGGCAGCGCAATGCCAGGAGCGACTCCGTGGAATTGAGGGTCTTCATGTATTAGCAAAGGATTTCAATCAAGTCCAGGAAGGGAGCGTACTCGCGATAAGGTCTATAAACTCGGCCTCGGTGGTGATATCATGCGTAGGCATGTAATACGAACCCTCGTCGGTATTTGCACCGATAAGAATAGGCACCTTGACATATTTCTTCCCAGTGTACAACGACCGACTGGGCTGCTCAGTAACAATATCACCATCTATAACTGGGAACCAAGACTTTGGACTCGTAGAATTGATCGCATCATTCATCTGCCCAAAGTCCACATTGCGCAGACAGGCCTTCCGATCCACTGCATCCCAGCAGGTATCCCCATCCGCCATTCCATTAGCCAACGCATACCCTGCTTCAGGGGTAACCCGCCGCGCAATCTCATCATACAAAGGTTGATAGTATTGCGTCCCATTCATCCCCTTTTCAGGAACCGGGTTTCCGCTCTGCATGATCGCGCCGCGGAACAGACTATCGTTGCGTCCGGCGTAGGCGGTGATGTGGAAGCCAACACTCGATGCACCAGCGCCCTGGCCCCAGAGGGTGACTTTGGCAGGGTCGCCTCCGAAGCCTGCGATGTTTTCCTGGATCCAGGCGAGTGCGAATCGCTGGTCGCGGAGTCCGATGTTCGTTGCTCCAGTGTCGCGGAGCTGGTTGCTGAAGAGGAACCCCCAGGCGCTGAGGCGGTAGTTGAAACTCACGGCTAGCATGGGCTGGTCGAGCTGGACTGATTTATCGACGATGAAGGAGAGGTTGTATTGTTCCTGGCTGGCACTGCTGCCTGAAAAGTCTCCGCCGTGGATGAAGACAGCGACTGGCAGTAAATTGGATATATTGCTATCCAAATGGGGACGGATCACATTGAGGTATAGACAGTCCTCCGACATGTCTGATAGGGGAATGGAAGTCCCATAGCCAATGCAGGAATGGGCATAGGATGTTGCCGCTTTGCTCCCATTCCACGAGCTGTTCAGGGTGTCTGCAGGGTGAAACCGTCTATCGCCAACGGGTGCCTGGAGATATGGAATTCCAAGGAAGAGATCCTGGTTGAATTCGGCAGAGTGCACGCCAGAGTATGTCCCGTTCAGTGTTTGGGCAGTGGGCGATATTCTCTCTGTGACTGAGGCTGAAGCTGTCAGGCAGAGCAGTGCAAATATCGCCGGGCGGACCATTATGGCGTGTTGAAAGCTCTGTTAAGATGAGTCGTACGCACGATTTTAGTACTGGAAAACTGTGGTCTAACTGTGTCTAGCTGCTAAAGGGCTGCATTTAACAGCATTCCAGCCATTACTGTAACAGGCAGCAGACTCCGAGTTATAGTCTTGTGGGGCAGACATCGGCTTGATGATTCCATCCAAGTCTTGACGGAGAGAATACTCTGGGCATCTTCCTTCAGTATTTCCAAAAATTGTTTCCAAGAATCGGTCCTGTCGCAGAAAGTAGACTGGTTCATGTCTGAGGCTTTATGCCAGTAATAACACAGCCTCTGTTAACTATCTTTACACACTTGCCTTCCATTGTCAGTTTTACTCGCCGTTTCGTTATGGGATTGTGGACGCAAACGCTGGATTTCAAGTCTCCCAAACTCTGCTCCACATTATTACATCTACATTGAGATTTATCATATAGACTGCGATTATTTGTATTGTGACTCACATTCCTTCTGAGTTTAAAGGGTATATAATGTATGCACCCACCCTTCCCCAACCATCCCATAATCATGAATTAAAATAAAGATTAATAATTACTGAGAATATCCATAATTCATAATGGACGACGCATCCTTCTACCCCCTCCTCCCTCGTCCATCCCACGCACCCCCATTCGCTCCAGACACCGACTCCTGCCCATGCCCATGTTCATTCCTCGTCGGCGACCCCGTCGGACTAGACTCCTCACGCTCAATCACAGTCTCATGCGTAACCGTAATCTGATTATTCCCCTTCCCCTTCCCATTCCTCCCCCCCTCAAACAGAATCTCCTCATCACTCCCCATCGCCGTCGAATGATGCACCGTCGACCCAAACCCCCTTAGCCGCCGACTCTTCCACCCACCGCCCGTCTCCGTGCCCGTTCTCGATTTCCCAGTCCCGACCTCCTGTGAGGCAAGCGGGTAGTCGCCCTCGCGCCGCCGGCCACCCGACGGACCGCGTCCGTAGCTGCTTGGCCCGCTGTTGCTGAAGAGCGCCGAGAGACCGATCTTGCTTGCGCCCCGGCGGATGAGGGGCTGGACGATGGGGAGGTTGGCGACGATGATGGAGACGAAGGATTCGCGGCACGCCCATTTGCTGCCTTCCACGGCGCCGTTGGAGCCGGCCTACAATATTAGCATACACCTACATGATATAGGGTAGATGGGATAGGGATAGGGATATGGGGACGCACGACTATGATAATCACGGCACGGACAATGGCAGCGACGGCGACGAAGATGGCGCCGCTGAAGAGGGCCATCAGGGTGATTTTGCGGCGCATACCGATGCGCACGGCCCAGAGGAGTGGGAGGGGGATGGAGAGGAGGTAGATGTCTGTTAGGACGTTGGGGACCATGACAACGAGGACGTAGACCATTGAGCGGGCGGGTTGGCAGATATCTGTATCGGTCAGTACGGGGCTAACAGGTGAAGATAGTGTAGGCACTCACTCCCCGGGTCCGGACTAATCTGCCAGAACTTGTGCATGGGCTGGCAGCTGAGTATGAGGGTCAATGCCACCCCGAGATAGGTGACTCCGAGAAGGATGTATGCGAAGCGCACTCGTGCTGGAAGGTGGCTCAGACCGGTTCTAATGCTGTTAGTGAGGTCTAAAAAGGATAAGGACAGCGGTAGGTGGCGTACGTGAGTCGAGAGTAGAACACCGCCAGAGACCCTTTGATCAGCCAGAGGACCATTGCGTACAGGTTCCATCCTGCGACCTGGATCTTGGACCCCATGATGCGGAACTGGTATTCTTCCGAGTTGGGATCGAGCGCGGCGCGCGCTTCGTCCGTCATGTAGCTGTTGGTGAAGCCGCCATATCGGGCGCCGACAAGGTAGGCCAGGGACACTTCGATTGCGAAGACTATCTGATAAGGCGTTAGAACAAACACAACCCCAGAATGAAGGAGTAAAGAACATACTCCTGCCAACGGCATGAAATAGTCATCGAGCTGGAAGTTGGACGGCCCAACCTGGGTCCATCGCACATAAACACGGACGAGGATGAAGAACAGCCCAAGCCCCAGCAGGACGAAACTCTCGGTATAGTCCACTGCCATGTCGACCGCAGCACAAAACAAATATGACCAGATTGCAGGAGGATTGCCTGCCGATGTTGGCACCCGAAGATATTTGAACTACCGACATTTCAAGCCACCAACTTCTCCTGAAACGGCTTTTGCTTTCTTTTTCTCAGCGGGGGCCGGGCGGCTGAACGTTCACAGGGCCACTTCAACCTCGAACCTTCAACAGTCCGGCCACGATCGCCGGCGGATCTTGTTCGCATATTCGCCCATCCCAATTTCAGTCCCCACCGGGCCCACTGCAGCTGCAGAGCTGCAGCAATAATGCGAACTCACCGACAATAATAACTCGAGATTCCGCGGGAGTGGAGCTATGTCAGTGTCGCTGTCAGTGTCAATGCTGCCACTATAATTGTCACTTTAATGCAGAGCTATCGCTGGCAGACATTACTGAAGAGAAAGGGATGCGACACACACTCGCCCAGCCTGAGACACCCATTCGTCGCGTTAATTTCCATTCATGGTCGGCGCCAGGATGAAAAGAGTTTCAGCAGCTCAGGCTACGACAAACGTGGTAGAAAGTGGCCCCAGCACCACCGCCATTCTTCGGGGATCCCCCGAGCAGGATCACTATCCCTGGTCGCTGATGCGGATCGCCAGTTGCCACGATATGCCAAGGCGAACGAGATGTTCTTGAGCTTTTGAAGAAGCGTGCAGACTGCAGAATGTTGTGTGTTGCAACTGGTGAGTCACGACTGGAGCGGAATACGGGTTTCCACCTGGCCCAGACTTCAGACGGACAAGTGAAAAAACTCTACATTCCATGCTAGCGAGAGTTGGCTTCTCGAACAAATAATTGTTGACCAACTGCACGATGGTCAGATCAGTTTTGAATCAGTATCAGCGATCACGCAGACTCCCAAGTCCAACGCAGCCTGATAGCAATCCGTATAGCTTTCCGCAGCAGGTAATATTGACGTCCAAAAGGGGCTCTTGGTCTCTTAGCACTCAATCTCTCGAGTGGAACCGGCAAAACTAGCTCTTGTCGTGCGGCCCAAAGCGTTCCATGGTCCAACGCTCCAAGAATTGGTCGCGATACGAGGGCCTGATGAGAGTTTCTTAAGCTCGAGCTCGTTCCAAGATCCCAGTGCGCCATCACGGAAAAAGCCGCCGCAGCGATCGGGAAGCAGAAGCTCACTGGGTGCGGAATTGATTTCCCGGTTTCCCTCGCTGGTTCTGTCCATGTGAACTGCAAATCTCTCACGGTCTGGAATTCCCCCGCCCAGTCAGCGCCCTGTGATTTCTACAATTTCGTGATTGGGCCTATTATTATTATCCTCCCAAGGAAAGACTGACCCGAGCGTGCGGGTAAACCTTCTATTCTGGAGATCCAGCACGCCCTGCAGATGCAGCACATCACGACTAGGAAGAACCCAAAACGCCACCTTTATTGCGATTCGGAATAGTGCGCACGATGCAGAGTTTAATCCTTCAACTGACCATCTCCAGCAGATCTCAACCTCCACATCGTGCCCAATTTATTCACAACGAACACATCTAGACTTTCCTAGTGGTTGACCTGTTACCTAACGACGTCTGACCTTAACATCAATTGCAACAGGCTTATGCAGCCAGTACGACGTCGTCCGCATCTCCTCCTCGCTTCCAAGCTCAAACGTATACGCCTGCATTAGCTGCGGAATGGCCTTGTATATCTCACACATCGAGATCTGAAAGGTCCAAGCGTCAGAACTCTTCAACAGTGGATACTGCACTGGACAACAAAGGGGTAGGTTTATGAGGTGGATACGCACATTCTTCCCCAGACAAGTCCTCGCCCCCATCCCAAATTGCATAATATACCGATCCATAACGCCGCTCGCATCCCGCTCAATCCACCTCTCCGGGCGGAACTCTTCCGCATCGTCTCCAAAAACGCCTTTGTCGAAGTGGATGATGCCAGGGTTCACGCCGATCCGCGCGCCCCCTGGGATGTAGTACCCGGCTACCTCGCATCCGGACGGTGGTGCGTGCCGTGGGAACGAGACCCCGGTGATAGGGTGCATCCGGATGCCCTCTTTAATGCAGGCAGCTAGGTATGGGAGCTTGATGGCTTCGTTGTAGGCGATATGTGGGGAGCTAAGTTGGTTCGCGGCTGCAGCGGCGTCGATTTCCGCCGTGAGTTTTGTGTACACCGCTCGGTGGCGGAAAATGTTGTATAGGATTCCGGACAGGGTGAGAGCGGTGGTTTCGCTTCCGGCGAAGCTGTTTCCAAGGTTAGTATCGATATTCCTTCATACGCTACGCTGTTGTGTTGCGGCACATACAAAGCAACAAAAACCTCCACCTTGACGTCGTCGAGTCTAAAGTCCAGCTCCTTGCCGTTTTTATGCGAGATGTCCATGAGTTTTCCTAGAATATCAGCGCGCTGTGGCTTTGAATCGTCCGAGCCGCTCTGGAGCGCAGCCAGACGGCTCTTCAGCATTCCATTCGTCGCCTCAGTAAGACTTCCCAGGGCTTTCAGAGCCCCTCGGACCTTTGGGAACAGAATGCCCGTTAGCATGAATATGCTCCGCACGTAGGTAGGCATATTCCCCGCCAGGAACTGGATAGGAATCAGGTCGTCCGTTGCTGCAATATACCCTAGATGATCGCCGCCAGACTGCAGGAAGCCGAACATTTTGCTAAAGTAGAGTTCGCCGATTACATCGTATGCGTACCTACATGGGATATAATGTTAGCATTTGCAAATGCATATAGAGTGCGGCTGTACATTCGCGTCCACACCCACAGGTCAAAGGACTCCTTGTCATCGGCCATCCCATTCAACTTCTCAATCCACACATCGATGCACTTTTCAATGTACTTTTCCGACTGTAAGATACTCGTCATCGTATAAACATTATTAACGATCCGTCGGCGCTCAGCGTGTTCTTTTCCGCCTGCGGATGAGAAGTGGTCTGGGAATCTCGCTGCTCTTGTCAGTCATGTTTTGATTGGTGTTGGATACGTACCCCATGGTGGTCTAAATGCCACGTAGAAATCGGTCTGTTGGTCAGTAAAGGAGTATTATTTCAGTAATAGAGGATACCTTGTGCGTAAAAGACTTAATCCCATATAGCGTTTTCATCGCCCCGGGGTCGCTAGTGATCAGCTCGTTCGGGGCAATGCGCACCACGGGGCCTGCATCTATCAGCATTGGAAATAACAATCAATAATCTGGTAAATATCCCCACCGTATCTCTCATGAAGCTTCTTCTGCGCCTTCTCCGCATCACCAGGGAGAACGTGAAGCACCGTCCAAACCCGCGAGATAGACGCCCAGAACGGTCCAGGGAATTTCGCCAAAGGATGAAACCATCGAGCATAAATAATCCAAAGTGTCCAATACACAATAAACACAGCAAGCCCTCCCTGAACCAGCAGGGGCTTATCAATACTGTCAGGAAGCGTACCCAAAAGCATCCTCACGCGCCACTTTCAACTGTCAATTTTACCTCGTGCAGTCTTTGATAAACGTGGTAAATCATGCCCACTTACCCAGGGGGGAAAGACCGTTTAATGAGAAATAGACCCCGGCCCAGACTGTACTTTTGTCCCTGTCGCTGCCCCGTGCTTAGCTCCAAAGCCACGACAGCTGACAAGGCTCCGCTGCGGCCCAATAGACCCATTTTGGTTGCGATAAAAGCCGTTATAGCGTTCAATGTGAAACAGCGGCCTTGCATAGCGTCGTGCCTGTCCGAGATGAGCCATTTGACAGCTGTGAGGTGCTGATTCTGGTCTGTTCTTCAACGGCCGGGGGTCCACATCGAACGTCAAACCCAAGGGCTAGCTGCATGGAGGAGGAGGGACTTTGATAGCGCTATCATGGTTGGGGTGGTCTGAGACCACGTTTTGATGCCCGGGATGTGTAACTGGTTGATTAAGCTAGTCTGATTATGAGACTGTGTTGAATTCCAAAGTACCGACAAGCGTCAAGATGATGAGCTTATCTTTATCCCTACTCATGTACTCCGTCGCTACATGGGAAGACTTGGTCCTCTTTACCGATCTGGCATGGAATATAATTCCGGGACGTTTTACTATAGAAACTAAGGGAAATTTGGGTATCTTTGACGGCTTAAGTACTCGCAATCCCTGGCTTATCTACGCTGCTTATTATACTAATATATATACCTCCAGTCGACGACATTACCAGGCCATTAGGGGAGAATGTTAACGCTGTAAAGTATCAAAGGCGTTTCTTCCTGTAGCGTTGTGAGGCTGTTCTTGATAGTAATTCTGAATAATATTTATTTATTTATTTCCCCTAAATTACGTAGCTATCCTATATAATAGTAAAATTAACCATAGCCACAGATTTAGGCGCCAGGTTCCGGTATTGGCTGGGTTGATCAATGTAGATGTTCCAGTCAGTTATGCGGCACAGCAAGAGAGAGTCAACATCGACATCGAGTCATCGCACCTCAATGCGAGTATAACTCAATGACCGCGCCGTATAATCTCTGTTTATCATCTTTATTTTCTCTTTTCGATGACAATGGCCACTCTCACCATCGCCACAAAGGCGAATGCAGCATTCACTCTTCCACTCTACCTAGCCGGCGCTTATGCCGCCCACCGCGGATTTGAAGTCGACACCGTTTTCAAGAATACAAGCAGTGCGGGCGCAGACAAGAATTTCGCTGAGCTTGTTGCTGGAGACGGCCAAATAATAGTTGATACTGCAATTCTTCGCTACTTTTTAGACCATTCGCCTTCTAATGCGCTGAAGCGAAATGAGGTACGGTATGCACGATGTTAATGGTTCTGTGTCCGTCTGATGTTTACTAGATTGGAGAATGGATCGACCGGTTCCAACCGTTTACTGTTCTCGACTTCAAAGCTCTAGAGGCTCCGGCGAAGGAACTCGATTCGCATCTCACACTGCGATCGTACATGGTCGGTCGCTCCCTGACTCTCGCTGATATCATCATCTGGGGAGCCTTGCGAGGCAACCGAGTCATTGTTGGACTGCGGCGAAATGGCCAAAATATCAACCGATGGTTCAGCTTCATCGAGAGCACGCATCCCTGGCTATCAGCTGCAGTGGTTGAATTCTACAGCCAGACGCAACAAGCCAAAGCGGAGTCTAACCCAACCGGCGCGAACTACAACATCGGGCTAAAGAATGCCGAAAATGGAATCGTTTGTCGCTTTCCGCCAGAGCCATCAGGGTATCTGCATATCGGGCACGCAAAGGCTGCTCTTCTGAATGACTACTTCGCACACGAGTACGGCGACAGACGCGGCACGCTGATCTGCCGCTTTGACGATACGAATCCCTCCAAGGAGTCTCAGGAATTCCAGGACTCGATTCTGCACGACCTTTCGCTCCTCGGTGTCGTTCCAGACCGGGTTACGTATTCCAGCGACTATTTTCAGCAGATGTACGAGGCCTGCGTTGGGCTGATAACGTCCGGCAAGGCCTACGCCGATCATACAATCAAGGAAGTAATGCAAGATCAACGCATGAAGGGTATTGCTAGTACATGTCGCGGGATGAGCGTTGAGGAAACTCTTGCACATTTCCAGGAAATGAAGTCCGGCTCCCAGGACGGGCTGCAGTGGTGCATCCGTGCCAAAATTTCAATCGACAACGTTAACAAAGCCTTGCGGGACCCGGTCATCTACCGCTGCAATCACCGGCTGCATCACAGAACGGGGAGTGCGTGGAAGATATATCCGACCTACGACTTCTGCGCGCCGTACCTCGATTCAGCAGAGGGTGTCACGCACGCCCTGCGTACAAACGAGTATCGTGACCGGAACCCACAATACCACTGGATTCAGAACGCCCTTGGTCTTCGGTCTGTCGAGATATGGGACTTTTCCAGACTAAACTTTGTCCGCACGGTCTTGTCTAAGCGGAAACTGACCACCTTCGTAGATGAGAGTGTGGTCTGGGGATGGGATGACCCGCGCATGCCCACCGTACGGGGTATTCGGCGGAGGGGCTGCACCATCCCTGCGCTGCGAGAGTTTATACTGAGGCAAGGCCCGAGCCAGAATATTGTGAACATGGACTGGACGCAGTTCTGGGGCGTTAACAAGAAATATATTGATCCCGTTGCGGCGCGGTATACGGCTATTCCCAAGCTTGATGTCGTGACGGCCTATATTGATGGAGTCGGGGAGACAACCTCAGCTCAACGGCCGAAACATAAGAACCCAGGTCTGGGGACTAAGGAGGTCATCTTCGCAAATGAGGTTCTTATCGCGCAGGATGATGCGAGACTGGTGAAGGACGGCGAGGTGATCACTCTCATGAATTGGGGAAATGCTATTGTTTCGAGCGTCACTACCGAGCCTACGACTGGGAAGATCCTGACCATCCAACTCAAGCTTGATCTCGGGTCGGATCCTAAAACGACAGAAAAGAAGATTACCTGGCTTGCTAAGGAGCCGAGAAATATGGTACAGGTCGATATATATTTCTTCGACCACCTCGTTACAAGGGATAAAATTGAGAAGCACGACAACATCAATTTGTTCTTGACAAAACGGAATGAATTTCGCACAGAGGCTTGGGCAGACTGCAATGTCTCGAACCTTCGTGCGGACGATATCATCCAGTTTGATCGCACTGGATATTTCCGTGTTGACCAGGCCTATGGCGAGGGCCGTCCAGCTGTGTTGTTCAGCATTCCCACAGGGAAGGGTGTAGAAAAAGTACTCGAGGTCAGGTAGACACTAGCTGGGTACCCCGAGGCTGGCTGTGTTATGATTTCTCACCCAGACACAGTGATAATTTCATCGATTTCTTTTTTATTCACTACATTCACTGCCATCCAAACTATGTAGATGCTCGAGGGAAAGCAAAAAAAGAAACAATTAGCATGTCCTCGTTTCGATCGAGGGACTTCCAGGTTATGAGCCTGGCACGCTTCCGCTGCGTCAACATGCTTTTACTTGTTGAAAGCCGGACCACAATTGTGATCAATAAAGGAAACAGTGACTCACAGTGGGTAGTATTCACTGGGTCCTGTTCCTGATTAGGGCTACATCACGTGGAGCACACTAGTCCATATTCGATACCGAGGCGGGTACGCACTAGGCCCGTTCGAGGAACAGTCGGAAGAACTATTCCCCAGAGATCCTGCCAAGGCCCGCGAGCTTACCTTACCTCTCGTCCCCAAGTGAGCCGCCTCTCATTATTCACTTCGCGATTCGGAAGCTGCTGGCTCGGGACGGAGAGCCGCTGTCTTGCATCACGAATAGTCTGCTTTCTCACACACTGACCCCGCTGTCTCCCAGGACCCAGCGGTGCCATTCTGATTCATCTCCTACCACCCAACTTCCTTCCGATGATAGTCGGTCTGAATTCAGTGTATGCGCTGAGTTTCTGATAAGGTGGGCGCCCCACTGTCCAAAATCGGTTCCCGCGCGCCCCTGCACGATTCACTAACAGCTGTTTCAACCCTCAGGAAACCCGACGTTGGATAGAGAAAAGCTTCCATCGATACGACAGTAGACAACACCATGCCCATCATCCCCATACAATGAGGGACCCAACCAGCGACATGGAGCAACGAGACACACCACCACAGCAGCAGCAACAGCCCGCGCAGCAGGCATCGAGTCTGCAGGCTGACCCGCCGCGAAGAAACAACCACAAGTCCGTCCGAGTAGCGTTTGGCCCCGATCTTGAGACGCATATCCCGCCGCGCGAAAGGTCCCCCGCACCACCTTTGTCGAACCACCACCGTTCTTTCACATCTGTCGAACAGAAACAGCTGTTCGTACCGCCGGGTCGACCGACGAGCTCGTCGGGTGAGAACTCGAATACCACGCCGACCGAGAATGGCTCGCGGTATACGTCAGATCAGGCTGGATCCGAAAGTGGCGGTGGCAGCGGAGTAGGACGGCCAACTGCGGCTTTGAAGAGGGCCAAGAGTGATTATGGCCCGCGCGGAGGTTTTAGTACGCCAATGCTCGTGGATAACGAAGACGAGGAAGACTTTGCGATGAGGCATGGGTGGCAGGAGGAATACACCTCGAGCGAGTATCTCAAGGTTCTTCATTCGGTAAGTGGATAACACCGGAGTCAAGGTCTTGAACTATTCTGACTTGATGTTTTTTTTAGAACTTCTACATGTATTTCACGGAAAAGCGCCACGAGACGAGTGGCTTCCCGAGAGATCCCGTCGGAAGCTGGCCATCGCAGGACTGGCGAATGAAGGACCGCCTCAAGACTGTTTCCGCCGCGTTAGCGATTTGTCTGAATATCGGCGTTGACCCTCCGGACGTCGTCAAGACAAACCCGACGGCTAAACTGGAGTGCTGGGTTGACCCGACGTCTACTACTGGTGGTGGCCACAACAAGCTGATGGAGCAGATTGGGAAGAAGTTGCAGGAACAATACGAGACGCTTAGTCTGAGGACGCGATACAAGCAATACCTCGACCCTTCCGTCGATGAAACTAAGAAGTTCTGTGTTTCGCTTCGTCGGAATGCCAAAGACGAACGGGTTCTTTTCCATTACAATGGGCACGGTGTTCCTCTGCCAACACAATCGGGTGAGATCTGGGTTTTCAACAAGAATTACACGCAGTATATCCCGGTGTCGTTATACGACCTACAGCAATGGCTTGCAGGGCCTAGTCTCTTCGTTTTTGATGTGTCTCATGCAGGCAACATTGTGCAGAATTTCCACACATTCGTCGAGAAGCACGAGAAGGAAAATGTCGAGCAGAAGAGACTTGATCCGAACGCCCTTGTTCAGAACTATGGGGACTGCATTATTCTCGCAGCATGTCAGAAAAACGAATCGCTTCCTACAAATCCGGACCTCCCGGCGGATTTGTTCACATGCTGTCTTACCACACCAATTGAAATTGCACTGCGGTTCTTCATCCTTCAAAACCCCCTGCAGTCCAATGTCAAAATCGATGAGTTCCGAGTCCCAGGTCGTTTACAGGACCGCAGAAGTCCTCTTGGAGAGTTGAATTGGATTTTCACCGCAATCACCGACACTATTGCCTGGAAGACTCTTCCCCGGTCTCTGTTCAAGAAACTCTTCCGTCAAGATCTCATGGTTGCGGCTCTTTTCCGGAATTTCCTACTTAGTGAACGGATCATGCGCACATATAAATGCCAACCGATTTCATCGCCCGAGCTTCCCGAGACGCACAACCACCCGCTGTGGAAAAGCTGGGATCTGGCTGTTGAAATGGTCCTCGCTCAGCTCCCTGCTCTAATCGACCATGAGGAGGGCCGTCGGCAATACGAATACCAACACTCCACTTTCTTCGCTGAACAGCTTACTGCTTTCGAAGTGTACCTATCCTCTGGGCCAACTGAAAAGAGCCCACCAGATCAACTCCCCATCGTTCTTCAAGTCCTTCTGAGTCAGGCACATAGGTTAAGAGCCTTGATTCTGCTCAGTAAGTTCTTGGATTTGGGACCATGGGCCGTCCACTTGGCTTTGAGCATTGGTATCTTCCCATATGTCGTCAAGCTTCTGCAGTCGGCAGCTCAAGAGCTGAAGCCGGTCATGGTGTTCATTTGGGCACGAATAATGGCTGTCGACCATACTGTTCAGAATGACCTCTTGAAGGACAATGGAATCCATTACTTCATCTCTATTCTAAACCCCAACTCGCCTATTCCAGTGGGAAATGCCAGCGAACACCGGGCTATGTGCGCGTTTATTGTATCGATATTTTGCAAGAATTATACCCAAGGACAGAACGTTTGCCTTTCTTCGGATCTCTTCGAATCCTGCTTGATGCACCTGGCGGATGTTGAAAACCCATTGCTACGACAGTGGTCCTGCCTCTGCATTAGCATGCTGTGGTCTGATTTCCCAGAAGCCAAGTGGATGGGAATTCGTTGTGCCGCACACAATAGACTTATCGACCTTATCTACGACCCTGTTCCGGAAGTTAGAGCCGCAATGCTACATGCTTTAACAACATTTATTGGTATTCCGGATTTGACGGATCAAGTGGCGCATATCGAGGAAAGTATCGGAATGTCCGTGCTGCCCATGTCATCAGACGGTAGCGTCATTGTCCGGAAAGAGCTCCTGGTTTTCTTCTCCACTTTCGTGAAACGCTATCAGAACAAGTTCCTGGTTGCCGCTTACGAAGAACTCCAGGAGGAGAAGCAGGCCCTTCTTAATAAACTAGGCCTAAGTAGCTCTCGCGATGCGCAAACTAGCGAAGACGGTTCAGAGACCACCGCAGTCAAGCCGCAGTCAATGTCTCGAAACACCATCTTTGGGGCAGTTTGGAAGCAACTTCTCGTTATGTCTGTCGACCCGCATCCTGACATTGCACAGGATGCAGGGTTGATTGTTGATTTTATGCACTATTGTCTACTTGACTCACCCATGGCCACGCTAACTGACCGACTCCGTAATGAGATCATGGATCTCTCAAGCCGAGTTGACCAGCAGTCACGGGTTCGCGAAAGGCCGAATCCGAATAGGGCCGCGCCACCACCTCCTCCGTCAGCGCCCCCCAAACCGGAAGGATACATCTCGTTGAGTCTTAGGCGAACTGCTAGTGTAGCAGCTTCGCTCAAAAACCTCGCATTCGGTGGCCCGTCACAAGGAGACTCTCTAGAGTCGCCGCCCCTAACGTCACCCAAGAGCCGTGGTCCAGCAACCCCACGAGGCCGAGCTCCTCCCGAATGGACTCGGCCTCCTGAAGTCAATGACCAACTTGCTTCCCCGACAACATACCAGCGAGCCCCGGTCCCTACGTCTCGAGGATTTGAACGGAAAGATCCGTCTTCGGTCCCAGTCATACCGTTGATGAGTAGATTCTTAGATTGGTCCACAGAGGTAATTCCAGAACTCCACCATTTGATAAGCGCAAAATACTTGGAAGACGTCAAACATATTCTTACCCATGCCCAGTACTTCCGGGAACCCCAGATGAAACCCAACGAGCCCGACGAGCCCGGTAGCTCAGATTACAACGAGCGTCTCTGGAGACGTAGCCGCAACGAGAAGATCATCTCTGAAACACAACCCCTGAAGGGCAAGGCAGGTAGCACTCGGTGGGATAACTCGATAGCACTGCTGTCCAATACCACCCAACCATTGAAGATGTGCTTCCACCAGTTTGAAGACCATATTGCTGTGGCTGACGACAGGGATACAATTGCGTAAGTTTGGCGATTGTTTTGTTCTTGTTTTCTGATAAGGTACGCTAACACTCGGGTAGCATTTGGGACTGGCAGAACCATAAGCGCCTAAACCGCTTCTCCAACAGAAACCCCTTGGGATCTAAGATTAACGAAGTCCGTTACATCAATGAAGATGACCAGGCACTTCTGATGACAGGATCGTCTGATGGCGTGTTGAAAGTGTTCCGCAATTATGAATCTTCAAAGGACGTTGAGATTGTGACAGCGTTCAGGGCTCTGCCAGAACTAATCCCTAGTAATCGAAACGCTGGTCTTGTGCTTGACTGGCAGCAAGGTCAGGGTAAGGCCCTTGTTGCTGGCGACGTCAAGGTCATTCGCGTTTGGAACGCAGCTACAGAAGTCTGCACTAACGTAAGTTAAACCTTTCTAGTTGATGGAGACACCCTAACTCACCAACCCTAGGACATTCCTGCACGCTCCGGCTCCTGCATCACCTCTTTGACGTCAGACCAAGTGGCGGGTAATATCTTTGTCGCTGGATTCGGTGACGGCGCGGTTCGAGTCTTCGATCAGCGTCTCAAACCCACGGCGTCGATGGTCAAAGTGTGGCGAGAACACAAGCAGTGGATCACAAACGTCCACATGCAACGCGGTGGTCTAAGGGAACTTATATCTGGCAGTCGGAACGGCGAAATCAGGCTCTGGGATCTGAGAATGGATAACCCCGTCTCAACAATCTATGGCACAAGGGACACTCTACGTACATTGAGTGTCCACGAGCATGCGCCTGTCTTCATGGTGTACGTCCTTCTCCTTTTCCTTTCTCTTCCATCAACTAACGATCCATAATAGCGGTACGAACCGTCACGAGGTGAAGACCTACAATGTTGACGGGACACATCTCTCCACCTTCGAGCCCTACTCAAGCTTTCTCTATCACAACCGCTCTTCACCAATCTCCAATACCGCATTCCACCCACACCGTACCCTTTTCGCCTGCGCCGCTCTCAACGATAACCACATCAACCTCGTGAGCTGCTAGAAGAAGGTTGTCTATTGACGCTCAATAGCGAGAAATAAGATTATTCATCTTTTCTCCTTACACGGAAACCTTTCTCCATCTTCTCTTCGACTTCTTATACCTCCACTTCCAACACTTCTTGTTGTCATGTCTTTCTTGTCTCTCGTCCCGTCTTGTTTACACTTCTTTACAAGCACCAACACGGCGCTCTGGGTTCTGGGTGGTAATATGTCTGTTTCTCTTTCCCTCCGCTTCTCTTTTTTGCCCAGACAGAACAGAACAGACTAGCATGGGTTATTTCATGACGCATCGAATTTTCCGGCGTTTGGGAGATGAATTGTTTGTTTCTGCACTTAAGCGGTTTTGTGCTAGTTTTTGTCACTTTCTTCTTGAGTTCCTATAGTTCTTGCTGGTTGGTTGTATATGGATGATGGATGGATGGTTGCGGAACTTAAAGTGAGGCACCTCACCTGGACCGCCGGGAGTTAATAATATGACCGATAGGTAATTACTACTAGTACTTAGTTTGTTGTCCTCTACTAGGAACTGTTCAATGTAGATTTAGCAACTGACGATTATTTTAGTGGACATAGTAGAGACTGCAAATTAATGACTATCATACTATGACTGCCTCCGTAGTATGTCCTGAGAACATACGAGGATGGTTGTACACCGTAATAAGCATACGGAGTACTGCCAATTCAAGACGAATTCAAGCTTCGAGAAATAACAGAAAAATGAACCGCATTCTGCGCCGTGGTCATACAATTACCAACCCCAAACCCGCAACGACACTCCCACCCCTGCTATGCTCCTGTCTGTGATCAAACCTGATCCAATGGGGAGATTGCCCCAACTTGATGACAAAAGTCGTCCTTCCAGTTGCTCTCAAAAAAAAAAAAAAAAAAAAAAAAGAAAAGAAAAGAAAAGGCCAAGCGGGACCTGGGGAATATTAATCAAGTGGAATTGTTCTCGTCGTCAACGGCTGTAAATCCACTGGTATCCTCAAAATAGCTGCGCTGCTTCGAAGAAGGTTCGCAGTAGTGAGACTCGACAGGCCCGAAATCTGCAAAATACTGCCGTGCATTTTTGCGGTCGTTGGCTTTGTAGGTTTCAAGACTAGCGATCAAATCTCCCATGATCGAGATGGTTCGTTTGGCGAATACGCGTTCCTCTTCCGAAGATACTTGACCCGCGAAACGCTCGGCTTTATCAACATAGTTTTCACCAACGTTTGAAATAAATTGACGCAACTGTGGTTCTCCTCGGGTGTCTTGATGAAACCATCTATCAGCTTCTCGGAGTCTTTCCGCTCCCTTCTTGAAGAATGTAGGCACTCCTGCGTCGTGAAACCCTGGGGGTGGCTTTATCATCTTCGGCGAGCTCTTCAAAGGTCTTTCAACCTCACTAGCAGCTTGCATACCGAGCTCGATATTCGCCGGAGCAAGTCCCATATGTGAAATCTTGGTTGCGTCGAACGCATCTTGGTAGGCAACCAGCCCCTTTCCTGACCCAAAGTCCAGGGAATCTGTTGGCACCTGTCTAGCTTCTGTGTCGTTGTCACTTGGCCCGTAGTAAGGCAGCGAAGTAGCTTGCAGACATGGAGCCAACCGTTCTTCTCCATGCACTCTAGGGGGTCCACGTTCTGTGCCTGCATTATCCTTAGTCGACAATGATTTGGAATCTGTTTTGGGTTCGGTGTTTATGTTTTCCAATATTTCGTATATTTTCTCTTTCAGAGTACGTTGAGATAGGCCGGTACCGCTTAACGGTCTTGCCCCGAATGCGGACGAGGATGGGCCTTCCGAATTGTGAGAATCCTGGACTACCACCGCAGCCGTTCCCAGTTCGGAGTTCGACAGTCGCTCACGATAATGTTTCCCAAGAGGTGGTTCGGATCGAATGGTCGTGTTTCTTGTGAGCCTTCCATGTTCCGCATCAGCAGGGAACCCATACTGCAAGCCTGAGTTGATCTCTGGTAAATCGGTTCGATTATTCATGTGTTTCAAGCGGAACGACTCGTAGGGTGACCTATCGTGTGGGTGATCGTAGTCGTCCCTATATATCTGCAACGATGCTGGCATATATTCCCTGCGTTGTGGCCCCGGGTTCTGTCTGCCTGGCACGATATACGCAATACCAGTCGTACCGTCCAAGCATGTTGGGTCCCATGAGCCTGAATTTCTCAAGAATGGACTCTCTGAAGTGTAGTCGCTTTCCCTCGCCTGCGATTTACTATAGTGCCTGGAATAGTTTAGGGGGTTTGGCTGCGTATGGTGGTCGCTCAGGCTCGGGTGCCGCGGCTGCTCGCGAGCAATTATAGTGCGGCTTCCATCCTGTAACCATCGGTCCTCTTCTGATATCATTCGTGGATGTTTGATAAGGTTCCTAGCTTCGTCGCTTAATCCATAATTTGCAGGGTTGGAGGAGTCCGGAAGGGGGGTTAGAGGCAAGCGTCCATGCCTGTCGACTCCGTCATGGGTCAGAATACCATGGCTTCCTATCATGTGTTCTGCACTTCCCAGATTCAGGGTCCTCGCTCTTCTGCTTGCTCTGTTTTTTGAATGGCCTGTTTTCGTACACAGCTGGATCAGGGAAACAGGCTGCGAGGACGCAAGCTCGTGGTCGCTAGCAAGCTCATATTCAGACGAAATGCTCACAAAGGCTGGATTCGTTCTTGGGTCGCTTTCATGATGAAGGCTGGATCTTTCAATATTCATCGCGGCAACTCGATGGGATCCGACTGAAAGAAATGGGGTGGGGTGGAGGAAGGTTTGGCGTGAATTCAGTGGTGGTGACTGGGACGAGGACACGAAAGATGCTGCTTGAGGCTGGAAATGTGTTAAGCAGCAGGATAGGTAATGAAGGCAAGTTAGGTGATATGAGCGTAACTTACAAGCAGGCGGTCTTCACAAATCGAAGCGCCCTTTCCTTCACTGGCCACTTCGATGACGATTCTCTTAGGCAAGCCTGCTTCAAAATCATCCAGACCTTGCCTGCTGCGGATTCTGAGTTCTAAGAAGATTAACATGAATCTTGCCGTCGAGATGGAAGCTCACTTTGGCTGAAATTTTCTGGCTTATTTTCACTCAACATGATGTGCGGTTGGGTGGTGGACGACAGTGAGCGGGAAGCAAACGAAGAGGCACAAGCGACGCCAGAACCGCGTGCCTTCCCACTCTCACAACTACGGGCACTATGGTCAGGAGATAGAAGCTTTTAATTACACGCTATAATCACTAAGTGATACAGTCTGGTTATTATTAGGCATTACCTGGAAAATCGACATCTATGCTGTCCCCAGCATATCGCCACCATCACAGCCAACGGTGTTGCTCATCGTAAGCAGGTACAGATTCCATCCTGTCCTCCAAACCATAACTGGAGGTCCCTCCGTTCTGAAACCCCGATCCTCTCTCAGTAACACCAAAGCCGTTCCTTGCCGAAACATCAGTATCGGCACCGTATGCTCCAGTAGCTGATGATGAAGAACCGTAGCCATAACCATTGGTTGCAATGCCATATCCGCGTCTGTTTCTAACGGGGTCATATTCATTGTAATAGGAGCCAGTACTGGTATTAGTACCGTAGCTCCCTAAGCGGGAGTTGGGGCCATAGTCACCAGAGCCATAGGTGCCAGGTCGCGGCTTGACCCCATAGCTCCCAAATCTTGTTCCATAGTCGTTGGTACGATACTGCTCATGACTCGATGAGCTGAGATTATTGGAATCGTATTCACCTCCATAGTCCCACGAGTCCGTCCCGCGACCTGGAAAAGAGGTAAGCTTTTATACACCGTCGGGGGTTGTACATCCGGGGCATGTTTCCTTACTAGAACGCTTGGACTTTGACTTGCTGTTGGCCATGGCATGCTTGATTCTATCCAGAAATTTCGACATGGCGGGGTTTTCGATAGCAATTGGTTCTCCGGCTTTTTACAGAGTTATGAATTTATAGGCCAGCATATGGAAATCGTGCATGCGGCCCGGTCGTACGCATTGACAAGGATCTATCGTCCAGAAGTTTTGAATTGCAGAAATTATGGGAGCGAGAGTGGCCCAGCGCCAGATATAGATCGAAAGACCTATTTAGGTGATTCCTGTTGACATGTTTCCGTCGCGGTCCGCCTGTGCGACGTCACGACCAGAGTCTGGCTCTTCCACCGTTGTAGATCTGATGGAGCTTAATTCTAGGCGTTCCAGGCGGCTGCTTCGTCAGATCATGCGAACCATGAATTGGATCCTAAGATTTTCCAAAAGAAAAACCCAAGAAGTTTCCAAGAATCACATGCACAGTGCGACCTCGACCGTCTCGGTGTATCTGGCAGGGGACGTTTTGCGCGGCGGTTTATACCATCGAATGTGTTCCAGTAGGAAAGAGCAGTCGTTCTATTCGCCCCAGGCATCAATTCCCCGGGCAGCAGATGTCGATCACGTCTCAGATATGCTGGCGCTATGATCAGCGGCTTGCTCCCGCTCCAAGACATGCCGGATTCTAGTTCTAGGGATGACGATGTCAGGGGTTGTACACAGTACAGCTGTCATGCGTAGTGATTATATAGACATGACCCGTGGATGGGAAAATGGCGAGTTCTGGGTTAGTTCCAGCATCTCAAGCTTAAATCATCCTCCGGGCGCAATCGTTGACTTCACTTTTGAGTTCGTTGCCTGGCTGAGTTGGGTGGTATGACGTGTATGCCTGAGGCGCCGATCCCGTGACTCCTCGGCTGTGTCTGAGTCCTTGACGTCCATGATCCGACCGACTCCAAAGCAACTGTCAGGCATCCGTTCTGCACCTCCTCCACGCGAAGTTTTTCCTGTTCATGTGTTTTCTGCCCTCTTCGGTCGCCGGTACTCCTCTCGATGTTTCTCTGCTGCGTCTGACTTGATTCTTTCGTTCTCTTCGCCTCGCAAGCCCCACTGTTTGCTGGATTACTCCCCTCATGAGTTTCGCAGTCGATGAGGAATCGACCACGAACCTTGGGCTGTGCATAAGCGAAGTTTCAACCAGTACTGGTTGACTGACTTCGAATATACCCGTCACTCTCTAGCAAACCCAGCTTTTACACCCGGTTTGAAAAGCACCGAAGCCGATAATCATGCGACCTCCGCGCCTAGTTTTGCTCGCCTTCTGTCTCATCTTCTTCCCCATCTTCCTCACCTTCTATTCCGCCCTCACATCGTCTCCTCGTGTATCTACACCTAGTTCGTTTGCTGGTCAGTCCACCGGTCTCCACGCTCTCTTCTCCTTCAACCTGCCATCGTCGCTTTTCCCTCCCTCCGCCATCATCAGTCTCACCGATGAGAACTCGACGTTCTTCCTAGCCAGACCCGCAGCGTTTGGTCCCCTCCTTCCCGAAAAGGGTCTCAGTGGCAGACTATGGGTCGGTAGTGGTTTTGGAGAGAGGTCGCCTCTCGCTGGCAGAGAGTTGGGTTGCTCCGATATCCCGGGATGGAAAGAAGGCGATTCCCCTCCCGAGAGCCGTGTTGGAAAATCTGCTGCCGATGAAGGAGATCCTGGAATCTCTCAAGGCAAAAGCCACACCGATACCCTGCAGGGCTCCTCCCTTCAAAGCGGCGCACATCTTCAGTCACTACCATCCTACGATGGCACGGACGACCATCTCCACCATCCTCTCCCAGAATCCGTTGTGGTCGACTTAGCCGCGGCCGAGAAAAGCCGTGACTTAGCTCAACCTCTAAAAGCCGCGCACGCAGACATACAATCTTTGCAAGAGACTGCCGAAATCAGTGGCCAGGTCGTTCTGCTGAGCAGAGGAGGCTGCGGATTCTTGGAGAAGGTCAAGTGGGCTCAGCGGCGTGGCGCGTTAGCGTTGATTGTAGGGGATGATACTCGAGGAGGAAGCCTTGTTACAATGTACGCGCGGGGCGATACCTCCAACGTAACAATCCCCGCAATGTTCACGTCCTACACTACAGCCCACCTTCTATCATCTCTTATTCCCCCGCAGGTTCGGGAGGAATTGCCTTCGACAAGCGGTACAAAGACGATCGGCAACTATTACACTGATGCAACGCCAGTCGTTTCACCGTCTGCTTCATCCTCATCTACCCATCCAGCTGCCAGCCAGAGCCCCGCTGAGGAATCAGAGTCTGGCCTTTTTTCGAAGGTGATGTCAGTCCTTGGCTTGGGTCGTGGTGAACAGGTGGAAGGCTCCGTGCAAGGAAACAGGCGGCCTCCTAGCAGTGGCAATATAGATTGGGTTCCGATGGACCACTGGGACGACCAGGAAACGTCCCAGAAAGGCAAAATTAACCACGGTTTGTATTTGGGAAAGGACTCAAATGACGCCAATACCAACCCAGGCAGTACGGATGGGGATGGTTTTGTCATCGGCGTACAAGACTGGCGAGACCCTGATCTTGTTGCACCAAAAAGCAGCGCAATGGCGGTTCCCACGGGTGCCCCTGTGCCGGAGAACGCTAACCAGCGTTATGACAAGGGAGCCCAGTTTACATCAACGCTTAAGGGAGGCAGCATAACTCCAGGGAGCGGGGAATACCGTGCCGTGGAGAAGTCTAGCCTTTCCAAAGAACAAGCGAAGGAAATGGCATCGCATCATTCGTCTGGATCTTCTGACAGAGTTGCAAAGTCACAAGGTGGCTGGTTCTCTCGGCATTTCCTCGGTGCTAGGTCTGAGGGAGTTGAAACAGTCGGTACTAAGCGGGGAATCACTGGCGGTATCTTGAAGCAGAATCCCAAAGTCAAAGAGCATGAAGGTTTGTGGGTCACGCTCACGCCGACTAGCATGTCTACTAGTCCTTTCTTCGACACTCTCCTCGTTCTCGTCGTCAGCCCGCTTCTCACCCTATCCGTTGTTTATATCCTTTTGTTGCTTCGGTCGCGCATCCGGCGACGACGTTGGCGTGCTCCTAAGTCTCTAGTTGAGCGTCTTCCGGTGAGAACGTATCATACTATGGCAACTTCTTCTTCCTCCTCGTCTAGCTCTCTAAGAACTCCCAGCCCTGGGCCTGTCTCGCAGACATCACCTCTTCTGGGTTCGAAAAGCTCTGCAGAATGTGCACGCTCTTCCCGGCCACGATATCAGACGGTGGAGCCAAGGTCATTCGATTCTAGGAGAGAAAAGTCTGGCGCATCTACGTTCCGTCGAAAATACACTGGGCGGCAAGTTGAGTGTGTTGTTTGCCTTGAGGAATATATTGATGGGCAAAGCCGTGTCATGAGCCTGCCATGCGGCCACGAATTCCACGCCGAGTGCATGTAAGTAGTCACCTACGAAAGCCATATTGGGCACATGCTAACAGTAAGCAGTACTCCGTGGTTAACAACCCGTCGGCGAACCTGTCCGATCTGTAAAGGAGACGTCGTTCGATCCATGTCTCAGAATAACCGTTCCGAGTCACGGAGCGAAGACCCCGACTCGCATCGTGGTGCGTCATCTGCACCGGTTCCAATTGCGCCGATTAGCGACGATGAAATGTCAGACTTGGAACGACATGTCTCCTCGGACACCGGTCTTGAGCGACACAGTTCCTCAACTCCGCCGAACTGGCGAAACTTTGCAGCTCTTAGTTTATCCGCCCTGAGCGGCGATACGATCTGGCACCAAGGCAGGCCTGACAACAACAATAACAACAACTAGTCTCATCATACTTCTTACATTCTCATTTCTACATTTCGGGTATCATGGTGTCTTGGAGCGTTTCTTTTGTGTCTTGAGCGATTTCATTAGCGATCTGCGGGTTAAATATGGATGGCGTTATGGAGGCGAACAGCCCATCACGACGGCTTCGTCTGTACTGAACTGTTCCAGCAGTCCTCGGGCATATACTCTCGTTTCTTGAATTCATTTATTCTTACTATCAAAAGCTTCTGTACAATACCTGGAAAGCCAGTCCTACATATAGCGTTAGTAATGACGTCAGTACCTACCATAGCACCAAAGTCTCCGAAAGCTCCAGCTCCAGCTCTCAACACCACACCCTCTCGCATTCATCTTCCCACCACCCCAATTAACCAACCCCACCACCCCAATAATGTCGGACAGAGCAAAAGAAGCCCTGCGCGCAGAATCCACCCACCTACGCGCGACCGCGCAAGACGTCCTCCTTTCAGGCGCATACCTCTACCCCTTCAAGGCACGCCCCTCAAACCCAACCATTCCATCCATCCATTCCGTTCCATCCCACCTTAACAATTAATGATCAACTAAACTACGTTCTGGCAACTAACTAACACCATTTACCTAACAGGGAATAATCCACCTCGCAACCCACAAATCCCTCTACACCCCGCTCCGCAGCCTCCTAACCCAGACCCTGATCGCCGGCGTCTCAATAACAACCGCGCTCTTCGTCTTCACGTACGTCCCGCAAACCGCGCTGCTCACGTTCACCTCGGGTCCCTTCTTCGCGCCCATCGCTGGCGGATTACTTGTCCTCGCCGAAGCCAGCGCCGTCACGCACTTCGTGGCCCGCGGGTGGATTATCCGGGATGCGCTGGTCGATGTCTTTGATGCGGTGTTGTTGGAGCGCGGGTGTGAGGGGCTTGTTAAGGAGGGGAGGGTTGTGAGAGCTAATGTGAATTCGTTGATGGGGAGACTTGGGAAGATGGTTAAGAAGCCTTTTGGTTCTGGGTCTGGGTCTGGTGGTGGTGCTGGTGGGGTTGTTGGAGGGATGATAAGGTCGATGGTCCTGCTGCCGTTGAATTTTGTTCCCGTTGTGGGCACGCTGCTTTATGTTTATGTTAAGGGGAAGAAAGCTGGGCCGGGATTGCATGCGAGGTATTTTCAGCTTAGGGGGCTTGGGGGTAGAGATAGGGAGGAGTGGGTGGAGAAAAGGAGAGGGGGGTATACGGGGTATGTTTTCTTCCTTCCTTTTTTTTTTTTTTTTTTTTTGTTTCTCTTCCGGTGGTTTCGACTGTTTTTGGTCTGGTTGGTATGGCTAACTGGGACAGGCTTGGAATGGCGTCTGTGCTGCTGGAGATGGTGCCCTTTGCGTCGATGGTGTTTGAGTTTAGTAACGCTGTTGGGGCTGCGCTGTGGGCAGCAGATTTGGAGAAGGCAAACAAGAAGTAGTATGTCTCGACTTGAGGATCAATGTATGGGGTATACCAAGCAGATCCTGGACCGCAATTATTGTCCATGGAACAGGTTGATACAGATCGAGCAAGCTCGAATGTAGTACACATATATATACACATTAACTATAATATCTACGCCCTTTCAGGAAGACAAGCTAAACTGCACCCCAGCCGTCGGAACGGCAGCGGACGTAGTTTCTCCCCTGACACCCGTGGGCCCTTAAGCCCGTTCTCATACGTGCTGCAATCCCACCACTCGAACCATTCCGTCCGCGCAATGACAAAGCTCCGGTGGCAAACGGAGCAAGATCGACCACCGGCACTGCGCACTTCCCGCGCATGCCGGAGAAGCCGGAGCATCAGACTGGGGAAGTCGGCCATTTCCTCGTCGGAGATGGTGTCGAAGTAGGAGGAGCGGCTGAATGATAGGAGAGATACCTCGCGGAGGGACGGGACGTGTGATTGAGACTGGTCGACGGTGGATGCTTGTGTGTCTGGGACGGGGAATCCTTCCATGTTGAAGCGGCGAACGGGACCGGTTGCGATGTGGATAGGAGCCCAGGCTTCTTCTGGGGGAGGTCCTTCGTACTCGATGGCTTTGAGGTTCTCAAGGCCTTCCTCACTTTCTGAACTGAGGTGGCACTGGGCGAGTTCGGACTCTTCGATTTGGGAGAGGGGGTTTGGCCGGACAGTGAGATGTTTCAGGTCGCCCTTCTTGATCAGCCAGAGGAGCTCCCAGGGGAGGAAGTTTAGGCGGTTAACCGAGAGATTGAGCTCCTGGAGCTTTGTTAGTCTGCGGATGGCGGGTGGTATCTCGGTGAGCTTGTTATTGCGCAGGCTAAGCACGCGCAGAGAATCAAGTTCGAACAGCTCCCCGGATACCGCGTTCAGTCCATTTCCAGCCAGGAAGAGCCGAAGGAAAGGCTGTAAAGAGCTGAACACCTCTTCACTAATCGGCGGCTCCCTGACCGATGGGAGCTTTGTAAGATGCTGCAGGGGCCGTAACAGGCCCTGTGGAACGACGCGTAGGTTCCCATTACTGTCACCAGTATCAGTATCATCCCCGAAAACAAATCCAACAGGTGATAAATACCTAAGATCAATACTATCCAAACCTCTTTCCAAACAATCATTCACCACTGCCCTCGCCATCTGATTCTCCCTCGACTCCTCCACCCTCATCGTCTTCGCAGGACCAGCGTGAACCGGCAGCCCAGCTATCCCGCGCGCACTCGCCATCCCCGTCGCCTCATCCCGAATCAACAGCTCCTCCCCCCAGCACGCCGTATCCTCGGACGGCAAGAAACTCCCAACCGACTCATCACTCCCCATCCAAACACCGGAATCTACCAGCCTCTTGTCCTTGAAGTCCGCGCGCTTCCGCTTCGTCTCTTTCTCCTTCACCATCTCCCCCCACCACGTGCCGCGGTACCGACGCTTGCGCGAGCCTGAGCCAGCTGCGGGCGCATGGTAGTTCTCGAGACCCGAGGCCGGGATGTCGTCGCTGGAGAAGAGCGCCGGGTCGCTGGAGGGCTGGCTGGAGTGGTCGTCGAAGCGGGAGAGGCGGTAGGTTTTGTTTACTTGGGAAGAGGAGGCGCGTGGACGGGGTTGATGATGGCCTTGCGATTTGGCCGTTGGCGAGCGGTGTCGAATGCGTGGGGGTGGGGGCAGGGGTGGTTCGGAGTCCATTATTGCCTCTTTTTTAAAAAAATTTAAAAAGGAGAAAGTCGAAGATCGCAGGTGGCAAATGTCAATGAATCTCTGCGATGGCGGTATGTAGGGAGTGAGAGGATGTCTGTTTTTGGGGAGGAATTTGAGAAACGCGTGGTGGGGAGAAGGCTATTTACTCCTCGCCCGCAAGCTAGGAGACAGCTCTGGTAGACAGGCACGAGACCGATGCCGGTCGCATCAGCGCATCTCGGCAATATGACGTCCGAGAGCTGCAGACAAGCTGGTGGTTCTGGGGACAATAGATAATTCGTCGAGACGAGTTCTCGTCGGTCGCGATTCATGACAGTCGCCAGTTCGCCACAGTTTGGATTTTCCCCAAAACAGACGCGTCGACTTGAGGGTTGCGCCCAATCACGCAGCCATGTGCGTCTCCAGTTCGCATATCCAGATCGGCATGCCAACGTTCCGCAATCTGATGTCAAAGCGGTTGAGATCGCAAGTGGATCGATCGATTACTGATGAATGATGATCTGATTATCGATCGTGCATTCTTTACACTGCATATTTACTTTTAATGTGAGCAGTTGGAAACAAAACCAGCGCTGACTGCAATGGATTCGGATAGTAGAGTCGACCTATATACAAAGCGCTATGCGAAGGCGCAAATAGAATCAGGGCCGAATCTCACCCCAGCGGCTCACTAATCAGAACGAGAAGAAGTAGAATAAATCCGGCAAGCACCATAATCTCATAATCGTAAATAGGGGGTATAGAATCCGTAACACGTCCGTCCGCGCCTCGCTTCAATCACGACTGAAGGTCAACGGGAGGGATCCAAGAAGGTATAAGTAGTAAATAGTAGTAAAAAAATATGAACGCGAAGCAAAAGGTATCAAATGTAGTCGTTTTGATCAGCCGCCTCCACTGCTCATGTTGACGTTCTGCAGGATGCGATGAGGAGCCATTGCCAGAAAATTGCGGTTTTTCCCCGTCCCTTATAGAGCGCCGAAAAGCAGAGCAAAAGCTCCACCAGCGAGCGCGATGGGCAGGTTGCTGTCGAGACCAGCGGCCATGTTGCCGGGGGTGGCCTCATCCGAGGGAGCGTTCTTCACGGTAGCGGTGGCGGTTGCGGTCGCGGTAGAGGAAGGAATCAGAGTGCTGGACAGAGGAGTGCTCGTGTGGATAAGAGGAGTCGACGACGAGGGAGTCGCGGTAGGAGTCACAGCATTGACTCGGATCAGAGTCCTGGTGATGGTGGTGGTCAAGGTCGAGGTTTGGGTCTCGGCAGCGACGACCTGGGACGCGCCCAAGCAAAGAGCGGTCGAGATGATGGTAGAGAGCTTCATTGTTGTTGATTCGGAGATAGAAGAAAGATCTTGAAGGATGGAGTTTGTTTGTTGTGGTTTGAGGGTTGAGATGCGCAGAAAGTAAGCGGAAGCAGGCTCAGGGAATGAACGGCTGTATTTGAAATCGAACTGGACACACGAAAGAGTGAGCGTATCGCAGTTTCAAAGCAAGAACGGCAGGGTAAAGAGCGTAGGAGGAGCGCTGCTCAGGGTCAAACGATGGAGAAACAAAGGGAAAAGGAGCGTCAGAGACTGACGGGGGGCGCTGGCCTAAATACGGCGCGGCCCAACAAAGAGGGTCGAAAGAGGGACGAAAGAGGACTGGAACACGAGAAGGATACCGGGGAATACCCGGCAGATTCTGCTAGCCCAATAGAAAGCGCCGGCGCAAGGGGTTCGTGATTGTCCAGGCCTCAAATTGCACGATCGGCGTCAGCCTGGAATTGGACCCAGAAGCCAAAGAAATGAGGGCCCAGCGACTGGCTGCGGGCTGTTCCTGGATCAGGCACCACCGTCAATAAACACGAGGTCTCTTTTGCACCTCTGCTGAGGATTCTTTGCAAGCGAGCTGCGATATGGGGATATATTTTTGTCGCACAGCTGTCACCGCCATTGTCTCAATGTGCTCTTGATGGGTTTCATGTCGCGCTGGAGCAATAACACTAAGCAATTAATGAAATTGCGTGAAATTCGCATTAATTAAACTATTGTTACTAGCCGGACCCTGTGGTACCGCCGGTACCGTATCCAGGCACAACCGGGTGTGTCCGACAGCGAGCGGGTCCGTATTCGCGTAATGAGACCGTATTGTGTGGATCGCCGGTGTGCAGGGTTTCCTCGAGTCAGCCTTGATTTTGAGTCAGTCCATTGTTGTTCTTCCCCATTTCCGTCCCCATTCTTCAATAATTCCGAGGGCTTTCGGCTGCATTGTTCTTGTGACGGCCACATTCTGTCTCCCTTGCGGCTCCATATTGGCATCGCCGCTATTAATGATCAAACAGACTTTGTACCTGTCATTCACCGGTCAATCATGAATAACTCAACCTCTCCGGCTCTCAGACCTCGTATTTGTTGGATTCATAGCCCCAGTTGGTTGAATTGGTGAGCGGCGAGGCGCCGTTAGATCTCGCCAAGTCATCGAGTGCCAACTCATTCGCTGCTGGCCGCCGGTCTCTCAGGCAGTCAGCGCTACGGACGACTAATCATATCCCATGGAGCCGACGGGACAACACAGCGTCAACCCGACCACGAAGGAGTGCTCACTCACAGCATGGCCCGAAGCCCAGCTGGCAACTGCTCTTGATTATTATTCGCAGCAGCCTCTTGGATCTGCCGGTTTGCCTCCAGCGCCTGTCGTATTCCTGTGCGATCTGCCAGCATCTGGAGGGTCTCATTCACCCAGTTGCGGAGCTGCTCTGACACACCGGTTGCGCACCCCGCTGCCGTCAGCGGGTAGATTGTCATAAAAATTCCTTTGAGCAAAGGGCGCGGCGAGCAGTCAGAAGGCAATGTATCATGATTGGAAAAGAGACCCTGGGTCGCTATCCCGGCGCAAATATCGACCGCTGTCTGGTTTATCATGGCCAGCGCAAGCTCCTTCTGCACAACCCAGTCCACCGTGGGCTCCCTTAGTCTTGAGATATAGAAGGCGATGACTTCATTAACCAGCAAGCGACCTAACTGGTAGTGATTCCATACCCGAGGAGACCAGGCACTTTGGTAGACATGATACCGCCCGTAGAATGTTCCAACCATGTCTGCGCTATACTTGGTAGTGAAAGTCCACTCTGTTGGAAGACGAGTAACCCAGGCCTCGAGCTCCATATCCAAGCCAACTGCTTCACGAATAACATCTTCTGCAGTGGTGTGTTCGTGACATTGAAGACGTGCGCATAACCCAACGAACCTGACAAGGATGTCAATCAGTTCGAAAACTGGTCGAGTTGCACCCGTGGGCAACACCGTCCGCTGAGTTGCCCAGCCCTCTAACTCGACCGGAAAAGGTCCTCCAGACTGGAAGTAGTTCGCAATCACAGAGAGATAAAACCATATCTCTGCATGGGTGTCGAACTGCTGTGCTGGGATGTGGGGTGATTGCTTCAAAAGCGCAGCAACCCCCATTAAGTGTGTCGTCCAGGAATTGAATGTTCCTGGCTTCGCGTCCACCATCTGTGACGGTTAGCTATTCGTCTCCAACCCCATTCAGGGGAAGCTAACCTCAAAAATGGCCAGCATAACAATCATTTTCAGTAAAACCAGCATGTTGCCATAACGTGGGTCTTCGATGAAGCTTCGAACCGTCCTTAATGCCACCCCGTAGCGCTGTCGGGCGACATTCAACAGGGCATAGTCTCGATTGACATTCGACAGGGCCGCCAAGCCAACGGAGACAACGGCATTTCGAAACGGGGATTCGATTTCAAGGTCTCGAAACACGTCATACTGCTGACCAGGAGCAAAGGCTTCGTCGGCCCAAGTCTTGCTAGAGAAGTGACGGACAAAAAACCGCAGCCCGGGAACATCCATGTCCAGAGATGTCAGAGGCATAGATCGGCTTAACACCACCTCATCATCAAACCCGGAAACCTTGTTGTCTCTGGACGGGGCCTTGGGGCCTTGTGACTGTCGGACTGCTGCCTGGTACTTTGCTGCCGACCGTTCATGCGCAGCTTTTGACAGTCGAATGATTCTTTCATTCTCATTTCGAAATTGAAGTGAAGTCTCCTCGCGGTACCCGGCACATTCCTCTTTGGCCCTTTTACATTGCGAGCAAGCTGGCCTCGCGCGATCGCACTATTTTGCGCATTTAGAATTTGATACTCAAGGCCCAGGTACCGGCCTGAGAACGGCACTCTTTGAAGCTCTAGCCACCTGGGCACTTACCCTAATTCGTCTCTGCCGACAACGCTGGCAGTTTCGGCTTGGTCGACCGCAAAACGTCATCTTGCGCCTCTTGGGGACCAGTACTCATGACCTTGATTCAAAGAAGGAATGGACTTCGTCGCATTCTTGAAGAATCGAATGAAATAAGCCCGCAATTGAAGCAGCTCAGCCACAGGCACCCATCAAGGTGGACCTCGCGCTATTCCTAATGAGGCGACCATCTCGTCGGCCTTTTACTATCGGCCAATCAAAAGCAGCGGCGCAGGGTTTCAACTCCATTGCTCAACCAGCTCAGCTCTTGCAAGGCTGGATTCTCCCAGGCATCCATCAAATTTAAGCACCATTTTCCCTGGCCCTCGCTCGAAATGCCTCCCGTTTATAGCCCACAAGTAAAGGTGGCAATGCTCTTAGCCTAATGTTGGCGGAGTTGCTTATTGCTTACCCTAGTAGGTAAACATGTAGTACCACAGTGGTACCAGTGAATGATATGAAACGCCAGCTATAAATGCGCTCACTCTCCATGCTGACGACAATCTCGTCTTCAATATTCTCATTCACGTCTTCCTACACAATGTTTACACGACGAGCAGAACCAACATCCTACTACAGCTATGACCCCTCGTTGAGTGCCGCCGCTGTGTTTGCTGCGCTCTATACCCTCGCTTTTATCGGAGCCGTTGTCCAGTGGCTCCGCTTCAGACCTGTAGTATGGCTGGTCATGTTGATTGCCGGAGCAAGTATGCTACCCTACCCCATTTTCAACCTATCTCTTCTAACAAAATCCAACAGTGGAAGCCATCGGCTACATCTCCCGAACGATATCCGCCCAAGACACACAAGCGCGAACACCCTACGTTCTCCAATTTGCTGTCCTTATCCTCGCCCCAGTTCTCATGGCTGGAGCCCTCTACGTCCTCTTCGGCCGCATCATCTACCTCGTCGTCCCAAAGGAGCAACGCACCTTCAGAATCTGCTGGGTGCCGCCACGTTGGGTCACCCCGCTATTTGTCGGGTTTGACATCGCCGCTCTACTGCTCCAGCTCATCGGCGCTCTCATGATCACCAGTGGTGATGGGACAAGCAAAGAGGACCTCGACATATTTAATCGCGGCCGCGATCTTGCCCTCGTTGGGGTCGTTGTTCAAATCGCCGCCTTTGGAATTTTCACCATCGCAGCTATCCGGTTCAATTTCACCTCAAAGGCGTTCATCAAGGCTTTACCGTCAGAGCCGGTTTATAACCATGGCAACGACTCATTCAGCATGACCGTGCAAGATAAACCAAGGAACGGCGACTGGCGGCATCTGTTGCGCGCTGTGAATCTGGCAACCGTTATGATCCTCATTCGGTCTGTCTATCGTCTCGTCGAGTTCACTGAAGGCCATGGCGGCTACATCAATAATCACGAGTGGCCCTTCTACATCTTCGACTCAGTCCCAATCCTCCCATGCGTTGCACTCTTCGTCTGGTGGCATCCTAGTCTGTATCTGCCGTACTTGGGCTTCCGGCTTCCGGCCCATGCGCGCTAGAATGGAATCTATACTAGTGTGGTTCTTTTATGGGCGGTTATTAGTATGTGCGATTGATAGACTACCATGTGGCGACAATAATTGGCGTTAAGGCTGGGTTAGATACGTCTTTCTTGTTTTGTTTTTGGCTTGTACCTACTAAGGGGCGGGGGTGGAATTCTTCGTGAGAGGTTGGACTTTGAGTTCCGCAATATTTATTTGCCTTTGTTGTTTTGAAAGTGGTTTCACTGATTCCCTTTGCTTTTTCGTTATAGACTGCGACACTGCAGCCGAGCAAGAAGCATCCAGCACCAACACAACTTATAACCCATCAACATCAAGTTTATGTATACTGCTCGCTCTAGAATATTCTATATATGTATTTTTTTTTTCTTTATTTCTTTTTTCTTTCTTTTTATAGAGTAGTGAAGGAGGCGGGACTGTTGGGTGTCTTCTATCTGATCTCCGAACGTTGCATGGGTGTGGAGATCTCTTACCCCTGTCCTCTCTGTATGTAGGACTTCGGGGTTAAAGTGCAGATGCGGGGTGACATTTGCCATCGGAATTTGTCAGGTTTACACTGTACAACTGATTTAAGAGCATTTGTTTTCTGATTAATTCCTTATTTTAAGACATTAGTATTTCCGGAAACCAAATATATGCTTTCGAGTGGGTTTTTTTGTTCATTGTGGAGTAATTTTAAATAATTCCCCCAGAGGTCAAACTTTATATATAGTCAACAGCATTCAGAACAACATCAAATTTAAGTTGACAACAATGAAGGTTTTTTATACTTGTTGAGTTTAAGCTATTATTAGACAACATATCCTGATCATAACTTTCTCATTAATAATTAACCTACACCCATACAACCAAACATATCGCCTTGCCAGTTCGGAGCTACCTGGTGGCTCAACTTAACGTCCCGCAGGTTCTTTACAATCAATATGCTCTCCTTCTAGCCAGGCCATATGCCTCAACATATATGCTATGATTGGGATGTTCCACCACTTTTCCATATCTCAGATAAGAATATGTGGCGTAGTATATGCTATTGTACAATCGTCGGTCGCTTGCCGGACACTTGCGCCCCGACTAGTCGAAAATGTCAGGGGCGGTTGGCTTATTCCTGCGCGCGTCGCAGAGGAGTTTGACGGGGGAGCATCATCGGGGGCCCGCGAGCGCGGAGCCAGGCGTCGTTGTGAGGACCTTCGGTACGGATAACGCTACCAATCGACATGAAGAGACTGGGATTTCGAGCTTGTTAGCAGCGAAGATAGAAATTTCGCCAATACATGAATAGAGTGAATAGAGTAATGTGAAAAGATTAACAGGTGACAATGAACCAAAAGGTGACGTACCCGAATGTCGCACCAGAACCAACCATGTATTTGCCCAGGGTTCGCATCACGCCGTTAGGGCCCGCACCATACTGGAAGATGGTGACAGTTCCTATTCCGATCAGTATATCGCCTGCGACTCGATGACTGACAGGACTAACCGATGATGAAGCCCATAATACCGCCAACAGCTGCAAGTAAATAGTAGTTAGTGATTTAGTTGAGCTCTTCTTCAGAGAAAAACTAAATACTGACTTGATCCCATCATCGCACCCATCTTCACTACAAAAATGTTAGCCGATTAATGTACAGAGAACAGACAATACAGCAGCCTGCAGGCTGCGTATTCCATTGGGAAGCTCACTCTTGTCGAAGGTAGAGGGCCCATGGGCTTGAGGAGGACCTGCAACAACGGGCATTTTGAATTCAAATAACAAACAGTAAGATCAAGAATATTGTATCAAATAAGCCGATTCAGCGCACAAATCAAGCACCCGCAGGTCTTCTTAATGCTTTGTGAGTTCACTTGCAACAACTCTCAGTCTCCAAATGTCGGACGATCAAAAGCCGGCGACCGGAGCGCACGTGACACCGCCTTCTATTTCGAGAACGGACGTTAGATTAGCTTACATAAGGCACGTGCTTGTTTTTCCACGTGACCCGGGGGTACGAAGGAACTGCAAGCTGACTTTCCCTCTCCCGCTCGCGGTGCCTCTCATGGGGTTTGTCTCGACAAAATTTCGCCCTTGCGTGTCAAAAATTTGCTGTTTTGGTCGCTGAACCGACCCGTGCAAGGCGGCTGATCCGTCTCGTACTTTTTTCGATTTCAGCTTCCCCTGGGACTCCGTTCTTACCGCCTACTCCTCAGCTTCGGCCCAGACCCAAGCGCCTCCTTGATCTGAGGTCGTCGGCTTCTCCTGTCCTACCTCGACACTGCCCTGGTTATCAGGTTTCATCTTCCGCGAGGTAAGAATCTATGCTATACGCCTTTTGTGATACTCCCTTTTCCGGTTAGGATCACCTGGCCCTGGAAAGCACAGCACACTCGCTTGGTGGGACTCGCATGATGCTAACGTGACCTTCCCGGATCAGGTCGAGACCGAACGAGATAGCCACCTCCTGTGTTGGCCGCGCCAACATCGCTATAAAGTCGATACTTTCGCAATATATCGCATCAGTCCAATTGAACAACTAAAAGATCCCTCATTCTTCGTTACTTGGCCGTCGACTCCTGTCTGTGCTTCAACTTAATCGCGCGTCCATGACATAGGAGGGCCTCGAATATCCACAACATTTTTGCACAAAATCCTGCCTCCTTCTCCATGACTGCTGTGGCGTCACCACCTAGCGTACAGACGGGGCCTCGCTTGGGATGGTACGAATCTGGTGACGGTGGACAAGGAGGTTTGTCTTCGATGAACCCTGACGAGGTCTCCCGCATGTTTATGCCGCGGAAGACCCTACAGAGATCCAACTCGTCTTCCTCCATCGGGTCTAATTCGTCCACCTCGACTATTGCGGCGAGCCCGTCCAGTACTGATGCAGCACAGCCTAACGGTGACTCTGCAACTGTTTCTTCAAAAAAGAAGTCTTCAAGGAGCGTTTGGCCTAATTCCAAGTCCGAGCCAGTCTCTGGGATAAGCAACGCGCGCTCGCAAGCGAAGCCAGCTTTCTTCTCCGGCGCGGGCGCCTCATCTGCTATGTCTGCCATTCAACAACAACCGCCTTCCTCTATCCTACCCTCCCAGCACCTCCTTCAGTCGCCTCAGCAGAATGGCGTTCGCGCGGGAAGCGCCCCTGCTGGAGAGCCTCCTGCAATCTTGACACTCATCCCAATCAATGGCGCATTTGAGAAGAAACAAATCACGGTACCATTTTACCCTGATACACTACGAATTGGTCGGCAAACGAATGCCAAAACAGTGCCCACATCCAAGAATGGTTTCTTTGACTCAAAAGTCCTGTCTCGGCAACACGCTGAGATTTGGGCCGACCGAGCTGGAAAGGTCTGGATTCGAGATGTTAAGTCTTCCAACGGTACTTTCCTTAACGGCCAGCGTCTATCTCCCGAGAACCGCGAATCGGACCCTCATGAAATACGGGAGAATGACACGCTAGAGCTGGGAATTGACATTGTCAGCGAGGACCAGAAAACCGTTGTTCACCACAAGGTTTCTGCCAAAGTCGAGCATGCAGGCATTTATGGGAGCGTGCCTAACATCTTCGATCTCACCCTCGGAGATTTAGACCCGGCTTCCGGGAACGGTCTTTTGCCGTCTCCTCTCAGCCAGCCGTTGTCGCACATGCGAGGACGAGCCGGTAGCGCGTCCAGTACTCGTAGTACACAGAGTAACGCTAGCACCCAGTTCTCTGCTCTTCAGCAACAACGCCAGATGAACTATTGGAACTCCCCCCTATCAATTGAACAAATTGTCAAGAGATTGACTGTACGGTGATTCATCTGCCTCTATTCGCGACCCCGACTAACAGTTTCCCTAGACCGAGATGAAGCAGGCTAAACAACAGCAGCAAGATCTTCGCCAGACGGACGGGTTTTTGACTGGACTGATGAAGCCGGGTGCTCTAGAGAAGGAGAAGGAGAAAGAGAGGGAGAAGCAAAAGCATTCGCCAACTGACAGTACTTCGTCTCGTCAGGTCAACGGAAGGCCAAAGATGCCTCGCATGGACTCGTTCTCGCGATTTTCCGATCCGCCGGCCCCTCCTCCTCAGCAACCCTTGCCCGAAAAGCCCGATGCTCTGCCGCGAAACGGCGTTGATGTCATTAGCCCTCTCAAACGATCAGACACAGAAAAACCCAAGATGAGCGCCGGTAGCTCGCCTGTGTCACGAGAGTCCAGTCAGATACTTTCTCTTATTGAAGCCTTGTCATCTGCCAAAAGGGAGATTGACAGCCAAGGTGCCCGCGTCAAAGAGCTCGAGAGCTTGCTCCTCCAAGAAAGACATGCTCGTGAGTCTGCCGAGGAGAAGGCTAAATCCTTAGAACTCGTGTCTATCAAAGAATCAGAAGAACCCCAATCCACCTCGGAACTCAGCCAACAGCTCGATCGCTCGCCACAAAACGCCAGCGAAGGCGAGAAATCCGATGCGCCGTTGGTTAATGGTATAACCTCACCCGTGCCGGAACAAAACAATGCAGCGGTCGAGGACCAGACCGACAGACTCCAGCGCCGGCTGGAAACAATGATGGGAGAGATGGAAGAAATGAAGAAGCAGCTCTCATCATACAAAGATCGGGCAGAGAAGGCAGAAACAGAAAGCAACAAAGCCCGCAAATCGTTGGCTGAGATGATTGAGGAGCTTCGGAAAGAGCGTTCTCACACCAGCGACAAGGGTGTCGAACCAACGGTCGAGCCTACGAGAGCTGCTGATGCTTCGTCTCCACAACCGGATGACGAGTCAGCGACTACTATCAAGAAGGTCGAAGTAGATCCGCAGCATGCAGTATCGTCGCATGGGACTAAAGGCCTAGAATTACCGGGCTCGACAGATATAACTCATAGACCCCGTGATGCCATTCAGAAAACGAGTCCATTTGCGTCGATGCTCGGTGTCGTGCTTCTTGGTGTTGGATTGATGGCGTACCTAAATGAATGGCAGAAAATGGACGACTAGCCGGGGCGTTCGGTATCAGACCTCGTCCAATTAACTATATCCTGTCTTATCTCTCCATTTTCCTTGTCGTCTCAAAATATGTTCTTTTGGATTAGCCTTTTATTTCGGCACCTTATTTTCTATTATCCCTGTATTCTGATCAGTTCTTCTGGCGTTGATCATGACTCCCCGGCGCTTTTATATTTCATCATTTTTTATGCCCTTGCAGTTATGACCTTGGTGTAACTTGCATGACTCTCTCTTCATATTTCCTGTCTATTTTCTGTCTTCAATTTCTCAGATGCTATGCTGTTCCAGTTACGGTTCCCTGGCAGCAGTGGCCCTTCTCCTTGTTAATGTCTCTTTCATATCTTGGCAGATACAAGGACTGAGCCCCAGCCTTATGTGTATTAGTCTATTATAGCGGCCCTCGCTCACTTTCCTTGACCCAGTGACGAATGACTATATCTATGGGGGTATGCACCCTTCACAGTCACTGACTTTCCTACTGCACTATGATGGTCACCTGCTGCATTTAGCGTGGTCCACGTTATGGAGATTACGATTCATTTTGCTAGAACTTTTGCGGTCGACTGGAGACTGAGCGTCATATGGATTATCTTTCCTTTCATTATCTCTTTCATTCCGTGTTATTCCTGTATATATTGGACCAGCATCACCTGAGCAATAAAACACGAGCTCTGGAAATATCAGCCAGTACTGCTTTTCTCGTCTAGACGTGACGAGTGTAAATAGTTGAGATATTTGTAGGGGACTGTTCACAGTCTTTGGGTTTCGCATTATGCTGGATGGGGCCCATGCCGGGCTACTCGGCTGTAAGTATATTGCGCCATGTATCTGCAAGCCGCGCCGACCTCGTGGACGACGTCTTCAAATGAGCCATTCGCCAGCAATAAAGGCTGGTATAGACGCTGAGACGCAACCAGTTGTCGAAAGGTTTGATACGCGGGGACGCCATGTGGAGACTGAGGCCTGGTTAACAGTAGTCGACTGCTAGCCCGAGACGCATAAATATCTTGGAGGAGATAGATAGATCAAATCGATGATCACCCTCACTTTAGGGATATCGCGACTTCGACGGAATTAACCCATCTCGTCCGCGTTTCCGGTAGCTCGGTCTCGGCAATCGAAGCTGCCAAACCGGCAGCCCTTTTCCTTTTTCTCAGTTGTGACCTCGAAAGAGGCTTCGAGGGAGCGGCTTCAGTGGCCGTAGCAGATTCTTTGGACTTCTCAGTCATCATAGTTGTATCTCCCGCTCCCGACAGCGTCGTCGTTGTCAACATGGTCGTGTCATCGCTATCCTTATTCTCACTGCCACCTTGAACGGCCCCAGGCCCATCTTTCGTCCTTTCCACCTCTTTCAAAAATCCATCCCTGCCCTCCTCATCCTCCTCAACATCATCAACAACAAGGACAGACCCCGTCTTGATCCGCACCTTATATTCCGCCTCCCGGCCTCCACTCTCAAACCACCTCCCCACTCTCAATGCAACCTTCATGGCCTTCCCCGTCGCCTTAACAAATACCTCCTCGCTACTAAGCTGCTCGCGCTCCTCACCCCTGGCAAGCGCAGCAAGGAGTCTTTCTTGCTGGTTCTGGTTCCCGTGTGTTCGTTTCTGCTGCTTCGACTTTTCCGCAACAGCCGCGGAAACAGACGCCGTCGCGCGCTTTTCAGCGTGTCGGAGTAGTTTCTGTACGCGCTTCACGGCGCTCATGTACGGCGTTGTACTGGAGATATAGATTATTTTAGGAGTAGAGGGGCCAGCGTAAGGGGATGCGACCGGGGCGTGTGGGATTGGACGTTTGTGAATGCGGGCGTCTGAAGACGTCAAGTATGTGTTAGCTATTTTGTCCTTCCCCACGAGCTCTAGCTCGTTTTCGACAGTGAGAAATGGGAATTGACGTACATTTTGGAAGTTTGACCATGTCATGGTTTTTGCGTTCAAATTGGAGGTCTGCCGACTGTGAAGGGGTTTTATTTGAAGATGGCATTTTGACAGGCTCGATATCTCGATATTAGACCCGCCTCTGAAGCTATTTTGACGTGGTGAGTGTAGTTGGAGCTTAGATGTAGAAACTCAGCGGAGACGTGCTTTTCATTGCGGAGATGGAGAAAAGTTGTGTTTGCAGTGTTTGCAGCGCGTATCAGTTGTTCTTATCGGCTGTCATGCGCCCCCCCTTAGAACGAGGTACGTACTTTTATAGGTAGCTATCTTTTAGTTACTTATATCGCCCGGCTATTATAATTGTAGCGGGTCTGCGTGGACATGGACTAATTTACACTCCTTCCTACTTGAGAGACTAACCAATCAAATTTTCATATCCCATACCGAGTTAACCTACCAGGCCGCTCCGAGCGTACTAATGAAGGGAGCCAGCGCGCCTGTCTCCAGGTGCCCCTGAAGCAACACAAGAATTGCTAGTCTTTTTTATTCTTCTGGGCGCAGACTGGCTTGATGCATGCATTAATAGAGGACTGACAGACGTAAGGCAGGGTGGTCTCATTCCTATATTCTTGTTTCTATCACGGTATCACATACCCACCGGGTTATCCTCGTCGACTGCAAACAATGCCACTTGAGGCACTCCCAGTCGAGATCCTCCGCCTGATATGTCGGCTAGTAGGCAGCGAGGAGACCCAAAAGCAAAAAGCACGCTGCCTTCTGGTCTGCAAATGGTGGTACACAACTACAGAGCCCATTTTATATGAAGACTTAGTCCTCAGCGCCAACCACCTCCTCCAAATGCCGGACTCTGCGGCAAAGAAGCTCGTTCAATATGCACGGCACGTCCAAATCTACACAGATTCAAGACTAGATTGGCCGTGTAGCAGTCCGGAATATCTGCTGGGCGAGCGCTTCAGGATGCTGCTCTCCCCTGAACCTGGCGCTCTAGCTTCAGCTCCAGCCCCGACTCAATTGAAATCATTCATATTGCGAACTCACACCCCATATGACAGCGGCAGACTTCTGAATCCTCGGTATCGGTGTCTGCCTAAATGGTCGCCGATTGCGCTCGTAGATTCGCTTGCCGTGTCCAGCCTTGAGCACCTGGTGCTTGATACTCGGGACTTGAGGTTCAAGGGTGGGAAGCATGTGTGTCCCTGTGTAGCGCGGAAAATGCCATCGCTGCGATCTCTGCGGTTGCGCATGCGTAGGATCTGCCCCCGGGTTCTCGATATGCAGCAGACGCACCCGAGCTCGATCACGAGCACATCTAGGATTGAAAGCATCATTATTAACCTCAGCCTCGTTGAGCCAGGCCATACCTATGGGCGGTTTAGCCGTCATTGTACCAGGGTTATGTCGACTTACGGATTGTTCAATGAGATGATTAGGGTAGCTAGCGAGATGGCGAAGCAGACGCCCAGTCTTAGGCAAGTGAGGATCCTGCGTCATAAAAACCCGACAGCCAGTGTATTGGCTCATGATTGTGTTACTGGGAATAGGACTGTCTTGCTTGGTGATCAGCAGTGGGATTGGGGTGATCATGGGAAGCCGTTTAATAGTGAGATTCATGAGATTATTTGTGATCGGGAAACGGCTTCTATAAGTAGTATGGATGATTTTGTGGATCATGGAGGTGACTGAATATGTTTATTTGTCATGTACGATATGCTGCGATAAAAGTTCAAAGAATTGTACCATTTATGATCAGCTATTTTAGTTCAGGGCTGGTATTTTCTTTTCAGGTAACTTGCGAAGAGGTTTACTAGTATTCTGGCTACTAGTATATGGCAACAATAACAACAACTGATGACATCGTGATTGATGTCTTATTAATCAAACGATTGAAGCTTGTAAACTGATGGACGAGTCCTAAATCCTTACGTAGAACTTCTGGCAATCATCTTGAGGGCCTCTTTCGACAACCTGGGCATTTGATAGTTAGCCAGCATTCACAGATTAATTCCAATGACAGAGAACCCACTGGCATAAGTACAGGCTGATGATTACTCGCCGCAGCCATTGTACAAACACGATAAGAACCAATGGGCAACCCATCGGGAACATCGACTGAAAACCCACTCTTCCCATCCCCGGCATCAAAAAATGTGTGAAAGAAGACGAATTTAGTGGGATCAGGAGGCAGAATAAAATTTTGGCCCTCGGACCTGATGTAAGCTGCTAGGGATTGGATAACGACGTGGAAATGGCCCACGACTTTTCCGTCTCGGAGAGATTGGGGGGCAGATAGGAAGGTAGCGTTGGCGTTTGTGACTGAGCCAGCGACGAGATTCGAGGCTTTGAATTTGACCGTGAAGGGGCGCCTTGGGGGAAATATTTCGCCTGGCAGGGGGAAGCTGATGATAGTTGAAACCATGTTATCCTCAGAGGGGATGTCACCCATCACTGTGTTGAAGTGCGTTAGACTGAATTTCGTCGATTTGATACTCTGGGGTCATGCTGAGATAGAATCTGACGAACCAACTCCATTACAGGATTCCTGATTGAATAATTTGCCGTTGGTTAGGTTTCTCTTGCTGCAGTAGTTGATGAAATTGGCTGGGTCTCTAAGAATGATGCTTTAGACAGAGCAAGCGTAAGTCGATATGGATGCAGAGAAGGACACACGTAGCAGATGGGATATATCCAACAGAGTTATTTCGAGGGAGGCCATCATGCTGGCTGGCACTCTGAACGTTGTCAGACTCGAGAACCGTCCAGCTGCGTTCAGAGGTATTGTTTATGGCAGACGTCGCAGAGAAGAGGATGGCGAGCAGTATGAAAAGACAGTTAGATGCCATCTTGATGGAATTGAGTGAAAACAGGACAGAATGATTAGTTGACAGTTAAATTGTTGATGATTTCTGGCGACTGAAGCGAATGTTGTGAAGTGAAGGGTGGATCTACCGGGAGAAGTTGAGTGAGTGTTATTCTCGCTTCTTCTTTCACACAACCGCCAAAGCTGCATTTGGCAACAGGAAATATCTTGCTATTTGAGGCTTGATAATGTTTTGATATTTTTTTGTTGATCTTAACGAGTGTTCTTACACGCATATATTATCTAATGTACATTTTGACCCTCAATCCATGTTTGAAGTGACGAAGGACGAAGACATCAACAAGAAAGAGTGAATGATGCCAGCATCAACAAACAGCCTTGTCATAAATCTTTTGCTTCAGTCGTCCAAAAGAATTGTGTCCTAGCAACGCCTTAGACGTAGCATGATATCTCTGAGAAGCCATGCTGGGAGGCTCAGCAGTCTCATGAGCCTGCACGCGTGACAGTTCGCTGCTCCCACCGAGTGGTACGGAAGAGGAGTAGCGATGAACTATCCCCCTGAGGGCAATGATAGCCTGAGCTCGAAGAGGGGTAGTTCTGGAGGCATGTCGTGTCTTGGGAGGTGTTTCACAAGGGCCGGCCTGGACTGGGCCAGACTTTGTGGACGAACCCTCCTCAGTCTCCTGAGCTGCGGCCGTCATACATTTCCTGAAGACGCCATGGTGTCCCAGACACCGACGGAGGCTTGGATCATGGGAGGATGCCTCTCATCTCAGCTTCAACTCAGCCAACCGTCCTAATATCCCCGGCTTTTCGAGGACGGACGAGATCAGTGGTTCAAAACGAGCACTTCTACCAAGCACCATTGCCGGCACTCTCAGAAGACAAGCAGCTGCCAGAAAAGCGAGAGTGGGTGTCAGAACAACATTGATTCAAGATTTGATTGAGGATTAGAAGTGAATGACTTGGCCAGGAATTTATATTGAGAGAAAGCCTCGGCTGCTCACAATGGTTGACGTAATGTCTAGAAGTGCGAGCCCAACGATCCCCCAGAACCACGGTAGCCCAGAAATGTCGACAAATAACGACGACGAATAAAAAAAGATCCTCAACCTAGCCGAAAAGAAGATCGCGGCCAATCCCGTGCGAGATCCGAATGATTGCCTAGCCTCGCCCGGCTGGCACAGTGCGGATACGGCTCATTGGTCTGGAAGAGACTGGAACCTGAGTGAGATCTATGGCAGCCTATGTTGAACGAGTTTTATCCTATCCTTTACTGTGTCGTGGGCTCAACGTGCCTTGGTTCAGGTAGGTCAAACTTTTTAGGGCTGATTCTCCCTGATGATCGACTTCGCGCCAACTTTACCTAGCTCAGGCTGAGCTTATCGGGACAACACTACTTCCATTGTACTGATTGCTGTTGAGGTCCGCAATAATTGTCTGCAATGGGAAATCGTTGACTCTGAAGATCATGACGAAACGATCTCGATGACGCGCTTTGGTCTTATGATGAAACGACCTTGATTTCCAACAATGCCTATGTTGGAGAACGTGGAGCAGGATTGGCGTCACCGGGTCTCCAGTATGACTTGCAAGTATGGTCTCCCAGATATGCAGAATGTGCACGGGTGATGTCAGGGAAATTTCACCCAGGTGGCAGCCAATCACTACAGATCCGGAGATTCCCAATCAAGTAAGCTTCGAGGTGGCGCATCCAGAGAGGCAGTTCCATGGGAAGCAGAGTGAATTTATCCTCCGGTTGGATGTCTCCTTAGGTAGACTCGGCTTTTTATGTGGTAATAGGTTGAATTGGAGTATTGGAGGGAAGGGAAGGAGGGATTTGGCGTCTTCTAACGAGTAGTGAACTGCCCAACGACAAAGTTATACTGGCGATAACTGAGTTGTTGATTCCATGAAGTTCTAAGCAGTTAAGTATAATACAAGAGCTCCCCTGACCAGAATGGAATACTACATCACATCGGCAATTTGCCACAAATCAGCTGCGATAAGTAACATTGCCCTACCGGGATGACTTGCATAACATGACATATAGCAAGCACTATTTAGGGCGTAGCAAGAGGCCGGCATCTACCTAGCCTACGTTATAAATTATGAAAACAAAGACTTATTGTCAGCATCCATATAGTTAGCGAGGTGCGGCCGGCTTCTGTTTTCATGGAAGGGCAACAGCGTACCATCACCATAGTCCCTATAATATTAGTTATTAAAATAAACAGTGTCTGTCAGGCAATATTCTATTGAATGATATGTACTTCACGATTCTTTGTCAATCGGCAGTGTAATCAAATCTTTGGCATCGAGCTTGCCAATTGGTATGCAGAGGTATATCAAGGGCTTATCATCAACAGCCAGCGCTCTGGCCTAATCCCTGAGTCATAAATACTACCCAGTAAGTATGGCATATCGAGATAATGAATGCCGAGGAGATGCTTGGAAGTTTCGGTCTCGCCTACCTGCCGTTCTTGTATCAATGCCTTCACATCACGCCATCCAAAGAGTATAAAAATGAGTTTACAGGCCCCAAATTTCTTAAATTGCGCTCAACTAATAAATGGGTTGACTCTCACCTTCAGGGTAGATGACACTGGACCAATTGATGTGTGAATGGGAAATGTCAGTCTTTGGTTTGGTGTTGGCTCCTGTGCCTTCTGGTGAAGAGCTTTCTTTCAGATATCTTAAGTGATATTACACAGGGGTTAGGTGAATTTAAGAAATCCTGTATGGACAGTAAAGACAGAAACATATCCTTCACTCTACTCCATTCTGCTGCTTCTTACTTGCTGTTTTTGTTCCTATAATGTCGCTCCTTCTTCCACTTTTTTTCTCGGCGTCTTGCACTCGGCATCTCGCATCATTTTATTCTTATCTTTGCACATTCTTTTCTTGTACTATCACTATCCCTTTATCTCGCTATCTTTTTGTATTATTGTTGGCATCTCCTTATCCGTCGTTCTTTTTTGTCTATCATTGTTCGCCTTCAGACCATCAACTTCATCTATCTTGGCTTCAAAGACCATACTACGGAATCTACACTGCCTTTTCCGGTCTGTTTTAACAAACCAATCGCCAGTATGAACATTGAAAGCTGTGGACAGGGTCTCCAAAGTAAGTTAATCTTTGTGTTGTTATGAGCCGGGGCGCTGATCCATGCAATCCATTTGATAGAGCCAACCTTTCACCAGACTTCCAACATTGAGGCAATCAAGGAAGATTTCTATAGCAAGGGAATTGTCTTCATTGAAGGATGTGACGAAAAAGATCTCGCTGAGTTGGCGGCAAAATTTGGAAGCATTGTCAAACCTCGTAACGAGAGCACCAGTTGCAGCGGCATTAGCAACATTCGGTTCGCTCCCTCGCTGGTGGGAAAAGGGTATAGTTCTCAAGGTGAGACCAAGATTTGTCAACCTGTTGAAAAGAGCACACTCTGACTACCCGTAAATCTGTTAGAGCTGCACTTCCACACTGATCGTAGTGGCTGGGACAACCCACCTCGTGTTCTAGCTTCGCTTCTAAAGAGCAAGTCCACTGAGGGAGGCGCCTCAATCCTTGCCGATAGTGTTGGCATCCTCAAGGACATTCAGGAAGAGGAAGATGATCTCTACAAGCTGATCACCAACCCAAAGCACTCCACATTCCTTAACGAGGAGGGTGTGCTTGTGCCCCGTCCTATCTATGATGAGACCACTGGCCTGTTCCGTTTCCGTTTTGATGACAGTATCCACCTTTCTGCATCTCTTGTCGCTCTCTTCCCTCGACTGTTCAAGATCCTATACCGCAATGCCTTTGCTGTGGAGCTGCAGCAGGGACAGGGATACCTACTTGACAATCACCGCTTCCTACACGGGCGTACCGCATTCACTGGCTCGCGCGAGCTGCTCAGGGCACTGGTAAACTTCCCGCCTCCGCAGCCTACTATCAATCTTCTGTTTGACATTGACGGAACGCTCTGCCGCTCTGAGGAGCTCAGTGTTGATGCGTTTTACACCTGCTTGACCGATCTCATTGGCAAGCCTATCACTCACGCAAACACCACCGTGGGTCTGCATGGTAGAACGGACCTAGGTCTTTTGTATGACATCCTTGACCACCACGGAGTACAGCCAAAGTCTTGCATTGCCAAGAGGTTTTTCCAGGTTCATCCCTCGTACATGCAGAAATCCCTTGACAAAGGACTTTTCGCCGCCACCTGTCGAGGAGTCACCGAAATTTTGGGGTGGCTCACCGGGAAGAGAGAAACCCTCACTACGCCAATCCTCCGCATCGGGCTCATGACCGGAAACTCGAAGACCAATGCCCTTTCGAAGTTGAAGTCTGCAGGAATCAACATCGCCATCTTCGACCTGGCTGTCTCCTCCTTTGGAGATGTTCACAATGACCGCCTCTCCCTTATTGAGGACTCCATGACCAAGATCCGCGCCAGAGATGGCCGCGACCTCCCCAAAAGTAAGACTATTGTTATCGGAGATACTCCGCTCGACGTCGAGTGCGCCAAAAAAGCAGGATGCGCCGTTGTTGCCGTTGCAAGCGGAAACTATGGCCTTGACGACCTTGCTGCTCTTGAGCCGGACAGTGCCGTTTCGTATATTGGTGAAGCAAAGGATTTCCTTCAGTCGCACTTTGTACCTTCCATAACTGCGACTGGTCCTTGAAAACTTACAGTACGAGGCAGCGTGTGTACTGCAAACGAGACTACGACATAATGAGACATAAACGAGTCACCCACTTAGAACTACAATTCAATGCAACGGCACAAACTACCAAAAAAAAAAAAAAAGCCAAAGGAAGAAACCGACAAAAGAATGGTTCTACTTGAGGCTGCCATTCGCACGCCAAAATGCCCTTTCTGGTTCTTTTTCCACGATGTACTGTTTGCTACCACCCTCAAGCATTGTTTTATAGTGGGTCATGTATTGCATACTTAGATATTTCTTTACTTAAACTCCAGATGACGTCTTCATTCGCAGACAACGATTTTCTTCAATATCTACTGTGTTTTAAACTATCTGAAGTCCGGGTGAACTGAGCGTTTTGTTGAGGTCGGGGTGCATGATTGTGGGATAACCGATACGAAGATGGGAATGCCCTATTGACGGGCCGGTAGCTGCCTGGGTATATTCACCTTAGTAGTAAAGGATGGAGTAAGTGAAGTTTGCTGTAAGCGAATTTACCTCCGAGACCTGGCCGGAGACATGGACAGCTTACATTGCTAAAGATATAAACTACACCTCGCTCGCTCACAATGCAGGCTCAATTAATTTGTGTAACCAGATTGGAAGCTGTATTCTAGGTTTACACACCCAAGGGCATGCGGTGCAATAACAGGGATAAGAATTGAAATTTTGGTCTTGTGGCGAGATTTGATGAATACTTTAGTAGACATATGGAAGTGTATATCCAGTGAAGACGAATATCAAGGTCTTGTTTACAGTAGTGATTTATTTTTAACCCAAATCTCTTCACAGACTCGAGCATTCACTCAGCACACGGCACAGAATGTGATACAGAATTTGACCGGGAACTTCACCAAGAAGATCGACTGCTAGCATAAATAAGCCATGTGTGCTTTCAGAATTAGACCGATTGTCGTTTTATCTGTCTACTTGGGTACCTCCAAAAAATATATTGAACATTCTGGCTTCCTTAATATACCTTTCGATTCAATCGTCTCATCATGTTGAACATACACCGCCTAATCGTCGCTCTCTGTTTCATACTCGTCTGTACCATGGCTGATGTATGTATCCAGTCATCCAACAGTCTAAGCTCCTGCTAATCAAGCCAACGGTAACAGGACCTAACGGATTGCACGATGGATAGTTTCAGACATCCGGCCCAAGCCCATCTGATTAAAGCCGGAGCAACTTGGATACGCAATGCGTTGAAAACGGAAAAATTCGAGGTCCAGTCCAATGAGTGCGAGAAAGTGTGGTGTGTCGATGGCCATTCCATTTATTTCTGCAACAATGTCAGTACCAACCCGCGTTCTTGTGTCTTTTACCCGAAGAAGAAAGAAGATTAGACGCTCTAACATATATCTATATCTGCTTAGGATCCTACCCACGAATTTGTGAAGGGGCAGTATGCGGAAATTGCCAAACGGTTGGATACACTGATTGACACGTGTGGGGAGGAGGAATCGATTCATGGTGAAATCCGCAACAGTGTTTCTCATGTTAGGGTGCAGTGGGATGAACACGACGACTGCTACGTGAGAAAGCCGGAGGATTTCTGAGCATGGAAATGGAATCCGGACGGCTGTTGCTTTTGACTCAGTGGTGGTTTGTTTGTCGGTATCTACCCAGCCGCAGTCTGGCGTTTGATAACGACGTACATGTTGAACCGTTGCAAAATGGGGATCGAATTTCCTATCGTCTTATTATACATAGCCAAGATGTTTGAGAGGCGTGAGGAATAGTTTCCACGATATGACGTGGTTCGTCGAAGATGGCATAGTTGAATATGAAATATGCGATAATCAATGTTTGTTTTTTGTTTTCTTTTCTTCGCAGGAGGGGAGTTCATAGGTTTGCGTAGAGGATTGGCGTCATCTGGCCAGCAGTTCGCAGTCAGCATTGAAATAAGCAAAATCAAGAATAGAGAAAGGAACAGGATCCCTGTGAGCGAGAATGACAGCAATTGGAAGGAAGTTGGAGAAGCTCAGTTGAAGCAATCCGATGTAACCTCATCCTCACCCTCATTCACAACAAACTACTTTGATTAGGTTGCAACAACATGCAGAAGCTCAGACCTGGGTGTGCTTGCGCCATATATGGCCCAATGCAACGCTGCCCCTCAGCTGAGTTTATATATTCCCCTCAGAGTTTCTTACATTGTGAGAAGAAGTCACCATCATCATCGACATGGGTTCTCCTAATGGGAGGATCTTCCTCATTGCCGCGCATATTTCACTTACTGGTCTTCTCTATGGCCTGGATACAGGTATGTTGCTTCAGCACGCGAAATTTCTTATCCACCGCTAATCTGTATCCAGGCTCGATCGGTGTTGTCACCCAGATGACCCAATTTAGTGATTCCATAGGCCATCTATCCTCCACGCAGCAAGGAATATACGTTGCCACGATCCTGCTTGCGTCGTCCGTGTCGTCTTTGTCAAGTGGCCATGTATCTGATCGCATATCGAGAAAATATGGAATCCTGCTGGGAGGAATCTTATCACTGATCGGAGCTGTCGTCTCTGCTTGCTCGCCGAACTTTGCCAGCTTGATCGTAGCGAGGTTGATAACGGGCTTTGGAGTGGGCCAGGCAATCTCGGTCACCACGGTGTATCTCGTGGAGGTAGCTCCAGTAGCTATCCGGGGTGTTGCAGCTTGCTTCCTGCAGACGTATGTTGTACTCGGTATTATGGCTGGGTATTTTATCTCTTTCGGATCTTCTAATATCCATGGGAGCTTTTCGTGGAGAGTGCCGTTTATCATTCAAGCTTGTATTGCTGCCATTTTGTGTGGGGGAATGGCATTTGTCCCCTTCTCCCCACGATGGCTTGCTCAGGTTGGGCGTAGTGATGACGCGAAGCAAGTCCTTTGCAAGCTACGTCCATCATCAGCTGTACAAGCGGAACTCGAAGAGATCCAAGAGAGTCTGGACCCGGAAAAGCAACACCAAACTGCCAGTATCAAAGAGATTTTCAACCGGAAATACCGAGGCCGCACAGCTCTGGGTATTTTCCTGATGTCCTTTCAACAACTGACAGGGGTATGACTCGGAAGGAGATCCCATTTTCTAGTTTTCTAGACCCTGGCTAACTGTCGTACAGATCGACGTGGTGTTATACTATGCCCCCATTCTCTTTCAACAAGCTGGGTTCACGTCTCAGAGAGCCTCGTTTCTGTCATCCGGCGTTTCTGGCATTGTTATGCTCATCTGCACGATCCCTGCTCAAATCTGGGTTGATCGCTGGGGTCGACGCAAGCCGTTGATTTATGGCGGAGCCGCGATGGCAATTTGCTTCATCATCATCGGTTCACTCTACGCCAGGTATGGCCGTGTCCAGTCGAACGAAGTCACACTCGGGTCCAGCTCTGCCCAATGGGTTGTAATTGTGCTGATATATGTCTTCGTGGCCAACTTTTCCTGGTCGTGGGCTGTGGTAAGCTTTCCCGTAACATCATTGGAGATTCTGATATTTGACACACGGGACTTCAATACTGACATTACTCCCACCAAACCAGGTCGGCAAGATCTACGCCTCGGAAATAATCCCAACAAGACTTCGAGCCAAAGTCTGCGCCGTCGAGCTCGTTGCAAATTGGGTCGTCAACTTCCTCGTAACATTCACGGCTCCTTTGTTCCTACGCGCCTCGCCAAGCGGGCCATATTACCTCTACGGGTTTTCGACAGTCCTCGCGGTAATAGTGTGCATCCTGATGCCGGAAACAAAGGGCCAGAGCCTGGAGCATATTGAGAGATTATTTGAAAGTCAGCACGAGAGCGAGAATAGAGAAAACGCACGGGATGCAACGAGGGCGAGTGCGGCGGGATCGGCAATCTTAATTTGAGCGAGAGTCTGGACCTCCATACGATTTGGTCCGTGGCTGTTGACAGGGATCTCGCGAGACTCAGATCGAGTCTGACGCGCGTTCGTCCATTATAAATGATATCGGGATGATTAGGGTAATGTATTTTAATACCGTTACTCTACAGGATAGAGCTATATCAGTGTATATTGGGTAAATACACCTCATAATCTGCCACCTAGTATAATCCAACCACCCCACCAATCTCCCACTTACCTTACCTTGGCTACTCTGTTGGTTATATTAAGACATTACAGTTGTTACCTTACTGTTTCATAAGATCTGTTCCTCCATGCACCCATTGCTCCAACCATGCTTCCCAATGAGTTACAAGGTGTGGGATCACAGCACGAAACCGGAAACTGGAACGATTCAAAGCCAAGCGAAGCACTGAGTCTCAAGGACACCTAGTAGACTTTGACAGTCTGATTTTGGGTAGGAGCAGCAGCAGTAGTAGTCGATTCAATACGCTTCTCCGTTTCACATTCCCACCAAGGTCCATGACACTTACCTTTCCCAATGCCCCTGGCCGCAATAGACAATCACGAGTGTTCTCTACATAGTTCTCTGTATGCCATAGCTTGGTCACTTTAGTAGGGGGGAGGCATTGAAGAATGAGCTGACGCATTGGAGCAGTGATACATTGGCAAGTAGAACGCTCTGCTAACTCGGCCACGGCAACGAGGAAGATTGTAAGAGGGAATATTGTCAAAGATACACTGGAGATTTGGTTCTTCCCACTGCGTGGGATTGTTCTCATTGCTCGCTTCCAAGACACTGCTGCTAAGTACGGTGTAGGTGTACCATGAACCTCCTGCAGCCCTCGTGTTCTCCACCAAAGGTCCGCCGCCATTCCGGCTGATTGCATCGATAGTCATGTTAAGCATATCCGGGAGGGTGCTATAGAATTTTAAATGCAGCTAGGGCTAGGATCTTGGACGCTGTGGATTCTACGCTGTATCCTTGATTTTCTCGAGGGAATCGAAAGAGATCATAGGTAAAGAATAAGGCCATGGGATTATGAATGAAGGTAATATAGAAAATGCATAGATACTGATAATAATCAAAGGGTCCATATCATCTTGACGTAATATACTATAAATAGGCGGTTTTAGATACAACTTTGCCACGTCGTCTGCGGAGGAAAGCTTTCAATGCGAAGAAATGTCCGGGTCAAAATATCGGTATCCACAGGCTGGTTAGTATGAAGTGGACGTTGAGGTTGTCCACTGCTTTCTACTGCGGGTCTGGTAGCTTGACTCTGCCTGAAATACTTAGTAAGTGCTGCTATAGTGAGATCATTTAATTTCTTGTAAAAGCAGGGGCATTCGAACCAGCAAGTCGAACTGCGGGATCACGGTCCATGAGGTGGCCAAGAACATGTATATTAAAACATGAGGGTCCAATGGATGGGGATGGGAATCTCGATTCTCGGCCACCAGGAACCTAGGACTTGGGACATGGGACCTGCGCTATGGAATGAATGATCTCATTTTCCAGATCTGGCCGCGTGCTGGCGCGTCGATAAAATGAGGATCGTCTGACAATGACAGACAACGGCTGGCTGGGTAGAGGGGCCAATTTTGCCGATGCTAGCCCCGGAATTGCACTTGGATTGCTAGTGCTTTGTGCTTCGAGTCCAGACTATAGACAAACTATCAACGCCGTTGGAACTAGTACACCTTAGATGTTCAAAGCGCAACTGTCCAAACCGTTAGTCCCGTTGTGAACTCCAACTCCCAACTCCAATTCCAACTCCAGCCTCGGCCGTGCAGCCTAAGCACAAGTTCGTCGTGTGCCGCGGTTTCTCCGACCGGCTGGGCCGCTGGATGAATCTAAACCGTATTCGTGTCGGCGGTTTCAAGTTTTTAGATGATCAACGGTAGCTAACGCAACCCTCAGCTCTCCTCTTTGGGCCCCGGGGATGCGCGACCCGAAGGCCTCCAAGGAAGGAGGTGGAGAGGCCCTGGAGGGGGCGGACTCGCGGGAGCGTACCTTTGCTCGAGGCGGCGAACCAAAAGGTCCGTACTTGATTTTGAGGATGGGGGTTTTATTTCTTTCTTGGCTTCTTGGTGTTTCAAAGTGCATAATATGCTGTGTTATTTTTTGCACATTACTCGTTTTATGATAAGGCGTCGTAGTCTCCAGCCTCATTTTGCTACCTTTGTCCCGATTCTGACGCTCGATGCTTGATACGAAGCGAAACACCACAATTGGGCGAGCCAGGTCAAGGTTTCTGAAGATCCTCGTCCAGGTTGTTAAAAAGCTGAAAGGAGTCTTAACTTCCAAACATTTTGAGTTTGTTCGCATGATCAACTGCTAAAGAAGTTCGAGTCGAGACTCCAAACGACTCCAGAGACACTCTGATGGGCTCAAGTTGACGGAGTCAGCCAGCCGATCTCGAGTCCGTGGGGAGCTGACTGCTGAGGGCTGCGAATTGGTTCCTCACAGCGAGCCCCACTGGCACGGAGACAGGCCGGGAAAAAAGGTGCCTGTTTTTCTTTTCCTTTTCCTTTTCGTTCTTTTCTCTTGTTCGTCACCACGCGGTGGATAATTGAGAATATTGTCGTGGCGGGTGCATCAACTCCTGCACCACTGACGGCATCGCGCATAGTTTCTTTTTCAAGAGCAAGGCACGCTGCAGAGTCATGCTGGGCCAACGAAACAAATCCGTTCCATCCCTCTCGTGATCGATCAATTGATTCAAACAAACACACAATGCAGAATCTGAGGGAGCTAAAAGCCAGAAACCCGGTTTCACATCAGAAGTGAAGCGTGGAGGGAGGCAAACTTGTAAAGTAACATAGGGAGAAAGGTTATAGCTGAGAGTTGAGACAATTCGGCGTCGTCCCAAAGAGACCACCGTGATCGCCAATTTCACAAGCACGAAGTGACAGGACTCGACCATCTCGAGTCGAAATTCTCAACTCGGCAAGGCGCGAAAAGGATGGACTCAAAATCCAGCCTGGCAGTTGGCCAGCCCGTTGGCCCATCCCACTCTCCCCAATTATCGGGCTCGCGGAGCTTGTAGACACACGATCTTTGCCCGTTGCGTGTTAGTAGCATCGCTGGTCGACCCAGCTCACTGGAGCCGGAAAGTGTTCCGCAAGGCCCGGTTGATGCATCGAACGGCGAATTCGGGAGAATTGCGTCTCGGAGGATTCTTGCGGGCGACGCTGTGCTGCACGGAGGCAGAGGAGAAACCTGGAGCAGAGCAACTGCAGCGGCTCGTCAAACTTTCGATCCTGAGACCTGAGGATTCAGGAACGAAGAACAGACAGGGGCCTCAGCGGTGGTGCAGTGCACTGGCCAGTGAGCGGCAAACTAGCGATGGGGACGATAATAATAAACAAATGTTAAATGGCGCGTGGAGGAAGCCGGACGCAGCGGAGGCAGTGGGCAGTGCTGGCGGCCCACAGAGGCCAATCTTGGACAGACAATCCAGAGTGCCGGGCCTGAGCCGACTGCAACGGACTGATCCTCCCGCTGCCTGCCAGTTAGACACGCACTAAGCGGCACTAGAGCTGTCCAGATGGCTCCAACTCACTTTCTCCCGCAGGCAGAGACTGCGCGACAATTCGAACGTTCGAGATGACGACTCCCTCATAATACCACTCCATCTCGCTCTCGACTCCGTATCTTCCTCTTTCCCTTCTCTTTCTGCTCTTACGGTCCGCCCTCTTTTACCTCTGCCGCCTTTGTTTGCTCCATCAGCCTTCTTCTCTCTTTTTGTCCTGGCTTGACTCTCGCCAGTCTTTACTTCATTCCCTGTCCCAGTGACACCAATCGCCGATTTTCTCCTGTTTGCTTTGACAGTAAACTCGACCGATTGTCTTCTCCGGCTTCCGACTTCTTTTTGCCATTCGTGCAACTCGATCCACTCGTCAATCCGCAGTTTGGATCTGTCAGTCATTTACTCGACGCCTAAAAGCCAGACATCACACCAACAAAGAAAGCTAATCGAAGCTGCCATTCTTTGACTTCTCGAAGCTGTGAACAGACCGCGGCCTCGGTACCTTGCTTCCTGGTAGCGACCAAACGGACCGGTTCCTGACCCAGACTTCCCGTTCCACTTTTCGCTTCAACCGACGTCTGCTGGTTGCCCCCCCTCACTCCAACCTCAGCCAAAGAAACCTTGCAAGCCCAAAGGGATACTCTCCTTCCCTCCCTGCCGACCCGGCCTCAGTCCTTTTCTGACCGCCACCATTGGCGACATCTATTCTCGAGGTGCAGATTCGTGCTATGGAGGGACATGTTACACACATTTGATGCTAGCCGTCTCTGCGAACACGTCCCCGCCCTCTTGATTGCCCTGCACTCCTATCACGTCGTACACACAAACTTCTCGACCTCTGTCTAGCTTGCTTGATCCAACCCAGCCAGCCTCTTTTTTTTTTATACCCTGCCTCCTCCGTAACTGGTGTCGAGAGCTAGATTTCACAGTGATCGGATATCTCCTCAATTGACAACCCTCGACTTCATCACCTCTATCAACTTTCAAACACTCAATTCATCATGGCTTATTCAGAAGAGAAGCTGGATGCCCCCGATGGCTCTGCTGTTACCTGGATCTTTGACCACCTCCTTCGGTATCCGGGAACCTACGAAATTCCCCTCCGGACAATGTATGCACTGAACTGCAACAATACAAGACAACCAGTTCCCAATGCTCAGCATCCTGAAACGGCGTTTGCACGTCGTCCATCCTCTCCCAAGTCCTCCGCCGCCGAGGACCTCCGTGCACAGTTGACTCAACAAATCTCTCGAATGCCCTCTCAGCCATGTTCCTTGCCACCCAGTTTTGTCACATCTTTTTTGCGCCGCTGCTTCACAGCCAATCTTGAAGATGTTGACTTTCTGCAAGCTTTGACTGGCCTGGACTACCTCAGAGACCTCGAGACTCGACGTAAGAAGGAACTTGGATCTGCCATGGAGAGACTCGGCCTACAGCCAGGTAGCACCAAGCAGGATGCAGAATTCTCCAAGAAATACCCTGGCGTTGTGATGTGGATTGAGTCCATCAAGGCCAAAGGTTGCAAAGTGGAAGCCCTGTATACTCAAATCTACATTGGCCTCCGCCGATGGGTGAGTCACCACTGGTATCCCTGAGACTTCACGTAAACTAACACCTCTCTATAGACTCTGTTGAACGACATGCTCATGGAGCCCATGAACAAAGCTACCTGCATTGCCATGCTCAATACCCTCTTTCCTCCCGTCACCGAAGCAACTGTCACCCCCACTGCACATCTCACCCCGCAAATCCTCAAGTCACAGCGTGACGGATTTTTCCGATACATCTCCGCCATTGAGACCAACGGCAAGCAAATCCTCGACAAGGTTATTGCGCAGGGCGCACCCGAGGGCGAAAGCACTGGCTGGCCTCTGGTCCGAGATGCACTGGACAAGTATCTCCGCATCACCAACGAAATCATCGACGAGTGCGCAATGGTCAACAGTCCAGCCAGCCTGGACGAAAGCCTAGACTCATCGAATCGAAGCCAGAAGGGCCGAAAGGCTGATTCCGGAATTAGCTTTGGCTCATACGCACCATCCATCGGCAGCAAGGTCAGCTCCGAAGATATCCTTGATAAACCACTGCCCCCTTCCCCGAGAGCGGCAACCCCCAACAAATTGGGTGGCTCCACGCTTGAGCGGCTGGCCCGCGAGCTCCGGAAACTCGGCGATGGCGGCAAGGCCAAGGGCCTCCGCAAGATGAAGTCCACAAACACAATAGGTGCTCGCACCGATACATTCTCGTCAACGAACGAAGAATCCTTTTTCCAACTCGATGAATCGAAGCGAAAGAAGCTCGTCTGGGCGCACTCCAAACAGCCTAGCGGCAGCTCATCACGATTTGACTAAGCATTTCGGCTCTCCATTGGCCATATTTGACTTGTTACAGAGAAGAGCAAAAGTTCAAAAGTCTGGAATTTAACATTTGGCCACCCGTTTGGCTACTTCTACCACCTTGTTTTTTTTTTTTCTGGCTTCCCTCTCCAGGTTGGGACGGACCTTCCATAGGTCTTTTTGTTCCTTTAACCTTTTTTTGTCACTACTAGGCCATAACCCCGTTGAAGTCGGGCAGGCAACACATGGATGGATTTTTTTTTATTTGGGCTGTTGGTGTATTGGGAGGAGAAGCTGGTGTCATCTTTGGCGCAGGAGGCAAATACCTTGTATCTAAAACTGAACAAAATATGCTTGACGCATCATCTGCTGTGGCTTCCACTTTTGTGGATTATGTATTATGATTAATGAGGAGTTCTTTGAATGGATGAATGCTACCTGACTGCTGCTATCTGGAAATCATGACTTGGCATTTGAGCCTTGACAAGATCGAGTCCACCAAAGTACATCATGGATCCCGTCATGGATCGAGGATTGTGGAGCCGCCATTCCAGTCAATGTGCTGTATAAAATGGACCAATCACACATGGCGTTGGGACCCCGGAAGTCTGGCGTCTTTGGCCGCTGCGCCGCCCGTAACAGCTTGAGATGTGGCCTGAAGAAGCAAGTAAACGCTCACCTCGATCGACAGCTTGCCTGACCTCAGAGAGCCGAATTCGTCATTCTTGATTTGTACTCTAGAATTTTATATTTGCCCTGCTCTTCTGGCCTCTTGAATGCTCCCGTCGCCCTAGATTGACCCTCGCCGTGATGTCAGCAGCTTGAACAAAGCTATCCACTCCTGGAAGCATTACGGCCCCTCGACGACTCATTAAGTGCTATTTGCTTGTATATAACAGGCTATAGAGATGCGTCTCAGCTCAGGTATCGCCGCCTCATGGCGGCTGTCATGCATCGCATTCGCGACTTTGCTGGTTTCGAGTGTCACAGCCAGCCCCTCGGTTAACGTCGCGCTCCAAGCTTCATTCGACTCGGGCCCTTATCTTATAGAGCTACTGTGAGCAAAGCATTCAATCCACTGCGTCTATTTTGCTCAATTTTCGAGCTTAGTACACTGACATAGACTGCCAATCCAGAGAAACAGCAGCAGAAGAGAACCCAGCCTCATACTTCCCATTACTCGACCGCATAGCCGATGGCGCCTTCGACGACTCCGTCTCGGACAAAGAAGTATACGACCGGTTCCTGCAGGTCGTTGTTGAAGATGGACATCTAGCCACACCTGAGAGCCTCTCGTCGTTCAAACTCTCCTTGTCGATTCGATCTGCTAGCCCGCGCGTTGCGGCCCACTACCAGTTCTATAATACCTCGGTGCAGCACTTGCTTATGGCGGCCCAGGATGCTGCTTGTCCAGTTTGGGTTCATTCGGATGGGAAACAATATTGCTCGTCTACTATGGAGCGGGCGCAGCAGGATGTTTATGGTGAAGCGTATGTTGTCATGTTAATTTTGGTGTTAGTTTGATGATTGCTAACTGATGTTTGCACGCAGAGATGGACGGGAATTGCCCTTTGACCGCGTCTTCGGAGATAATTCTCTACCGCCGGCTATTCTATATGCGGATGTTGCTTCGCCGATGTTTAAAGATTTCCATCACACTTTGAGCTCCATGGCGAAGGAGGGCGAGGTCTCGTATCGGGTACGGTATCGTCCTCCGCAACACTGGAGCTCCCGCCCGTTATTTGTTTCCGGCTATGGCGTTGAACTCGCTTTGAAACGGACGGACTATATCGTCATTGACGACCGCGATGCCGAGCAGCGAGACTCGAACTCGAAGAATGCCAAGTCCGCCGAAAGTGAGGAAAGCCCTGATGACTTGAGACCTCTGTCTTCGTCTGAGGTGGCACGACTTGGATTGAACACAGCACAATATGTAGCGGACAGCAAAGACCCCCTTGACACGCTCGTGAAGCTATCCCAGGACTTTCCCAAATACTCTTCTATCATCGCTGCCCACAATAGAAGCGACAAGCTCCTGCGCGAGATCAAGACGAACCGTCTCGAAATGCTGCCGTCTGGTGCGAACGCGCTGTGGATAAACGGTGTCCAAATTGATCCTCGGCAGATCGACGCCTTCTTCCTCGTAGACCACCTCCGGCGCGAGAGGAAGCTGATGGAGAGTTTCCGGAGCCTAGGTCTCACTGCGAAGGAAGCCGTGGATCTTTTGTCTCATGACAGCGTTACTGAGTCCGTAGTGCAGGACGTATCTCAGCGGTATGATTACCGCGACGAGATCGAAGGCGGAGGTGTCGTTATCTGGCTGAATGATTTGGAGAAGGATGCTAGATACGAATCATGGCCAGGTGACTTAGTATTGGTGAGCATTCAACGTTCCCTGTTTTGAGATGGCATAGTACTGATGACAATTAGTTCCTTCGACGCACGTATCCCGGTCAACTTCCCGCAGTCAGCCGCGATTTGAATAACATCGTGTTCCCGCTCGACCTCTCAAACGTTGAGGATGTGGATTTGATCGTGACCACGATCCAACTCTTCGTGAAGAAGAAGATTCCCGTTAGATTTGGTGTTGTCCCTCTCGCATCCTCAGCAGGTTCAACTGCCCAATTGAAGGTGGCTCACTACCTGCAAGAGACATTTGGATTGTCAAGTCTCATGACCTACTTAGAAGAGGTATGCTCCTTGTCCTATTAACTAAATTTCATTTTCTAAAGGTGGTCAGGCATCGAAGAAAAATAAACTGGCGACACCGGACAAGGACAGCTTTCTGGCAGCCACCGAAGATAAAACCCCTAGAGCCGAGAAAGAAGCTCTCTCGCTAGACGAAGTGCTAAGCAACCAAGATGTAGCGCTCTCGGTCTCTCACACAACCGCATACCAAGACCGCCTTGGCATCAAGCCCGAAACTCCCCTTGTCTTCATCAACGGCATCCCGATTGTGCGTGGTGAAAGCTGGCCGCAGGAAATGAGCGCGAAGGTTGAACAAGATCTGCGTTTGATCCAGCGCTCAATTGTCGACGGCTTGTTTGACGAGGATACCTGGCTCCCAGGGTTCTTCCTTTCCCAGGCGTTTACCCGTCGCGTTCCGTGGATCGTCCCCGAGGATTCTAAGGATGTTGAGCTTGTGGATTTGACGAAGATCGCAGTGCAGTCCGGAGACCTCATTGGACAGGTTCCTCGCGTTGCATCGCAGGATGAACCCCTGGAGAGCGTGCACATGATCGTCGTTGGTGATTTCGGTACCAAGGCCGGACTGAAGACGCTCGTATCCGCTCTGGGGATGCAGGAGAAAGAAGCGAAGGCGGAGATGCTCCTAATCCATAACCCTGAGGATCCATCGGCAAGCGACACTGCCTCTGCGCTGATCTACCATTCCCTGAAAGGAGGGAACGACGTCGATGTTGCGCGCATTTTGGCGGATATCACATCCCCTGAGTCGTCGGACGCTGACGCTCAAGCAGCTGTTGATTTCTGGTCGAAGTTCCAACCTTTGGCTGAGACGTTAGGCTTTTCTCCCGGAACGACCGGTGTTGTCGTCAACGGCCGAGTAGTCAAGCCTACCCAGGATGTGACCACGGAAGATCTAAAGCAGCTCCTGGCTTACGAGAATAACACCCGAATTGGTCCTGTCGCTAAAGCTGCGAAGGATCTTCCGTTCGCTTCCAAGCTGTCTGACCCCTTTTCCGTTGCGAAGCTTACTTCGCTTGTGGCTCTTTCGACAGTGTCAGATGTCCCCGAAGGTCTTTTCGAAGCCGCGTCGGATGTGCGGGCCAAGTTCTTCAATGACTGGAGTGGATCTGGTTCTATCATCACTATTCCTGGACCCGAGGACCCAACAATCACTATTGCTGCGTCGATTGATCCGACGTCAGAGACATCTCAAAGGTGGTTACCGATTCTGAAGGCTCTCTCAGAGCTGGATGGTGTCAGACTAAACCTCTTTATGAACCCACGCGATGAGAACCGAGAGCTCCCGATTAAGCGGTTCTATCGCTATGTTCTGTCCCCGGAGCCATCGTTTGGCGATGACGGCTCTGTCCAGCGGCCTGGGGCTACATTCTCCGGTGTACCCGTTGAAGCACTTCTTACGCTCGGTATGGATGTGCCCCCGTACTGGCTCGTTGCACCTCAGGATTCCGTGCATGATCTCGACAACATCAAGTTGAGCTCGGTGAAAGAAGGGTCGAATGTGGATGCGGTCTATGCATTGGAACATATCCTGATTGAAGGGCACTCTCGTGATATGACCACAAAGTCCCCTCCGAGAGGTGTGCAGCTGGTCCTTGGCACCGAAGATAACCCATACTTCGCTGATACCATCGTCATGGCGAACCTCGGCTACTTCCAGTTCAAGGCACAACCTGGTCTGTGGAGTATCAACCTCAAGCCTGGCCGTAGCGAAAAGATCTTCAATTTGGATAGCTTAGGTCAACTTGGGTACAGCCCCCAAGCCGGCGACGACAGCAAGGAAGTCGCATTGCTCTCCTTCCAGGGAAAGACCCTGTTCCCGCGTATGTCTCGAAGGAAGGGACAGGAAGATGAAGACGTCCTCGAGTCAGGACCTAAGCCTGGTTCGGCTATGGACTTCATGTCGAAGGGCTTCAACTTTGCCTCCAACGTCTTATCCAGTGTCGGTGTCGGCTCAAAGAACAATGCCGAAGCAAACGCCGACATCAACATCTTCTCTGTAGCTAGCGGGCACCTCTACGAGCGCATGCTTAACATCATGATGATCTCTGTAATGCGCAACACGGACAAAACCGTTAAATTCTGGTTCATCGAGCAATTCCTCTCTCCATCCTTCAAGTCCTTCCTGCCGCATCTCGCCGCCGAATACGGCTTCAAATACGAAATGGTCACCTACAAATGGCCACACTGGCTTCGAGCGCAGAAGGAGAAGCAGCGCGAAATCTGGGGATACAAGATCCTCTTCCTGGACGTCCTGTTCCCGCTATCCCTCGACAAAGTCATCTTCGTCGACGCAGACCAGATCGTCCGTACCGACATGTCAGACCTGGTCAATTTCGACCTCGAAGGCGCCCCCTACGGCTTCACGCCCATGTGCGATTCACGGACCGAAATGGAAGGGTTCCGCTTCTGGAAGCAGGGGTACTGGAAGTCTTTTCTCCGCGGATCGCCGTACCACATCTCCGCACTCTACGTCGTCGATCTGGTCCAATTCCGCGCGATGGCAGCCGGCGACAGACTGAGAGGCCAGTACCAGATGCTCTCCGCGGATAAGAACAGTCTGAGTAATCTGGATCAGGACCTGCCGAACCACATGCAGCACCATATTCCGATCAAGAGTCTACCGCAGGAGTGGCTTTGGTGTGAGACTTGGTGTTCGGATGAGGCGTTGGGACAGGCGAGGACGATTGATTTGTGTAATAACCCGCAGACCAAAGAGCCGAAGTTGGAGAGGGCTAAGAGGCAGGTTCCTGAGTGGACGGTGTATGACGAGGAGATTGCCGGATTGGCGAAGAGGGTTGCTGATGCTGATACTGCACGGGTAGAGGAGGTGGGAGCTGATGAGGCTGAACATGAGGACACTGCTAGCTGGAAGAAGGATGAGCTTTAGACAGGGTTGTTTATAGAACTTGTTCAACATTGAGATGTTACTAAATTTCCATTTGGTGTTATTGTTTATCTTCACTCTCCAGGAACCGGGTGTCATGTGATCGATACACCAACAGTCTGACCAATCACATCCGTGCCTTGCTCGTATTCCCCCAAGTCGAAGTTCGTCTCAACCTTTGACCAACATCTTGTCAACTTCATCAAATTTTCACTTCTCATATCTTCAGTGTAAGCCCAGTGAAGGTCCCTCTTATTGATAACCCCCGTTAAGATGGGCAAAATCACGTTTTACTGCACAATCTGTGCAGGCCCCTTATACGAATGGGGGCTACGCAAGGCCTCCACGGCGCAACCTGGCGACAACGAAAATAGTTTATTTGATGATGACTGTGAATGCTCGGACCAGAGTGATGACGGCGAGGACTTCAAACATACGCCATATTGCCCGTGTAACCGGGGGTATTGGGGTGATATTCTGCCTGAGCGAGACATAGCGGTACAAGCCACCTTTGCGTGCGTCAATCGGATAGTCAATCCGCCAATATAACCCACAGTGGCTTGAAAGGGTCCGGATGCTACGCATGCAAGGAGAATACAGTCAAAACGAAGATGAATCTGAATTGCCAAATGACGACGGTTCTTGCTATCTGACCCCGATTGTAAGTTATGGAAGATGGCTACGGTACCTCTTTGTGCGAGAGACTCATAGTGTATAGGGCGAATATGATTCTTGGTTTGCCTTCTCGCTTTCTGGATCAGATGAGAGCCTTTGGCCGAACCAAGATGGGTTCATCGTGCATGATGCGTGCTGGCAGCTACTGCAGCTAGTGCACAAAACTACAAGGCCGAGCCAACAACCGCTAGATCTTCGCCGACTCTATCTTACTATGATGGCCCGTGTACTAGGCCCGAATGATGTATATCTGGAATGGCGTGACCCCCGGTTATATGGCGGTACTACCGAGTTTACAATGCAGGAATGGGAGGCTCTCCCGGGCTATGAGGTGGGCATTCCCACGAATTGCCTGACGCCTGCTAATGGTGCATTTAGTGGCTTGTTTCAGACCCGTTAAAAGACATTGACTTTTCGGAGCTCGTTCAGGAATCTACATTGGTGGAACCCAGATCTCAGAACCAGAATGTAGCGAGAGGTTCGATACCCGCCGATCCATTCGCCAAACTTCCTTTCGAAGTGCATTGCATGATACTAGAACTATTGCCATCAGAGTCAGTTCTCAATCTTTTTCTGAGCAGCTGCTCGTTCCGTGGAGCTTCTACACGCCTACCGCGCGCTTTTTGGAGATCTCGGATCTATACCGAGACGCCATGGATTGAGGGAACATCACTTTTTGAAACAGTGTCGAGCCTAGACGAAAGGGTTGACTATAAGAAGCTTTTATCTCTTCTCAAAGAAACCAGTGCCAGTTGTCCGGATGGCAGAAATGACCGATATGAAACCAATCTGTCGTTAAAGAACCGCCGTCGAATCTGGTCCTGCTGTGAAGGTATTCTGGATATTCTAAGCCGCCGAACGAAGGAGTCAGGATCCGTCTCAAGTGAACTGGAATCCATCACCAGCTCCCAGGTTGCGCGTATTCGCGACAAAGCCGACAGCGAGACGAGAACGCTAGTAGAGAGCGAGACATACTTCCGCCCAACCATTTTGGATCCACCGCGTCTCAGCAGTTTGACGGTGTACTTCTCAAAACAAACATCGATTACCGGAATCGAGTGGCGCTTAGAAGGGGAGGAATCTGGTCGCCTCTTCGGGAAAAGGGCCACTGGCATGCAGAGCGTTGCACTTCCTGCGGACCTTGTCATCGCCGGTATTGTGTTATCACTGGGGCCTAAGTCGCTAAAAGCTTCGGACCGAATGGCCTTTGGGTTGGGCCTCCTGTCTATGGACAGAGTCGATGAACCACGAGTAAAACTGGGGACATGGACGGAGAACGATGTCGTCAAAGTCTTCCGTCCTGCACTGAACCAGTCAGCGGCCGTCGTCGGCATCACCGGCCAATACAGCGTTCGTCTTCCCCAACCTTTCTCTTTAAATCAGACCTAACAAGAGCAGGACATTGGTATAACTAAATTCGGCATTTTAATTGCCAATCCGATCAACTAGCGCGAAGATAATTAGGAAATTATCAAAATGGCATTTGGCACTCGAATTGGTATTCGATTATTTGTATTGTCTAGGCAAGCAGCTACCGCAGTTATATGACCAGCTCCTCCAATTTCAAAAGAACCTGACACCGTGTTAGCAAATCCTTCAGTAGTATCAGTGAAAGCAAACTCACATTCTCAATATACCTCACCCCTATTACAATCCCGTCTCTGTCCTGAAAGCTCTTCTCATCCCGAAACGGGTTATCGTCAGTCTCATCCAAACAGCAAAGGCAGGCAACAACGACACTAGTGTATTTCTCCCCTACTACACTGGGTAGATCTTCCTTGCATATCTCTAATAGTCGATCCTTTGTTGCGAACGCACCACGTCGCTGGTCCCTATCCGCTAGGGAGTCCAATATCTCCAGCCCAGACCAAGGGACAGCCTTCCTCTCCCCTCCTTCTCCATCTTCAAAACGGACGAATGATTCCCACAGAGCTATCTCGAGCAAACACACCCCAAGACTATAAATGTCATGCCGCATCTCGAATATATCTTCCGGGTGGAGACCCTGACGCAGTGGATGCCGGTAGAGGTTCTTCTCCCAGTCCAAGTCCCCGAACTTTTCTGTCCGGCCTTCAGCTTTGCGTATCCGTTCGAAGCCGATGAGAAACGACGGACCCAGCTCCACGTTGCCTTTGTCGTCGTGGAAGACAAGGTCCGTGGTCGGGCTGATGTTCTTGTGCACGAAGCCTGCTGTATGCACAAACATGACTGAGCGAGCGAGCTGCTTGGATAATTGGATTCGCTGGCTTAATGAGCATTTGCGTATGGGTCTTTGCAAGAGAAGCCGCCGCAGGGTTTTTGGTGAGGATAGACCGGCAGGGATCTCTAGGAGCAGATGAAATTGCATTCCATATGCGGTTGGTAATTCGATCACGCCGTCGCATCGCAAGAGATGGAATGTCAACGGGTCAATGTGCAGCAGGAGTCTTGCTAGATCTCGGATGTGTAGCTTTGCGGTTGTACTAGATACCTGGCTCTGACTGAGCAGGTTCGCCGGGTCAAGGATGACAGATCGGGCGCCGTTTTTATACTTCGACAGGTATGCATTCGTTCCTTCAACCCTCAACATCCCGCTGCTTATTGATGTCGCATCTTTGAAAATAGACCCAGTCGTCTCCTCCCCCTGAGATGAGAGCTGCTTGATAGACTCTCTCATCCGTGTTAGACGTGTGGATGGTGATTGTGATTGTTGCTGCTGCTGCTGCTGCTGCGCGGGACGAACGTTCTGCAGCTTCCTATCAACATCGGGATTCGCTATCCTGGTAATAAGGTACCAAGACGGATCAAACCTCCTCTGCCACTCCTCAAGATCACCGACAGTCTGCGCGAGTTCGCGCTTCAGGTACACGGCCTTCAACTTCTGATGCACGTTGAACGCCACGCCAGTCTTTGCCTGCACAACCTGAAAACTCTCCGAAGCCTTTGTGAGCTTCGCCTCCAGATGGGTCAGGGCATCATGGTAGAGGTTCAACAGCGGATAGTCCAGTTTGTCGCATATCGCTCGCAGCGATTTCAGCTGTATATCCATTTTCAACCATGATGCTTGGATGGAGAGGATTATTTCTCCTAGATCCGCGTCTAGGTGTCGGTATTGATGGCACAGGACGGCCAGTTTGTTTCCATACCTATACTTGATGTTAGTGTGCACAAGGCTCCAACCATAAAGGCGGGGAAGCTGAGTCCAAGAGCGAAGAGACAGACGAACTTGTAGCAGAGATCTATCACGCTGACCACGGCCAGAGCAACGGACGCAGGATCCATGCTATCGGCCACAAACAACAGATACCCAATCAACCACGGTGATCTGAAGTGCTAACGAAGTTTGGATAGCGTCGAGACTGGGCGCGATTGTCCTGTTGGAGAAACGATGATCCGCACGAGGCTGTGAAGCGCGACTGCGAGGCTGTTGATCTGCGGCGTGCAGCCTCGTCTCACGTCAGCGCCTTAGCGCCTGGAGTCAGTGCGCGGCTCTTAGGAGGAGGCAGACATGATTCCCACACTCAACCAGGGGATATGGAGGCCGCCAACGATCTCATTGCGCCGTTTAGGCTGGAGATCAAGGACCTCGGGGATCGCAGACGAGAGATCACCTATGAGACTGACGCACGCGAGGACGAGAGGATCCCTGTAACAACACTGTGGACGCGGAAGCGCTACTTTACGCACAAAGAGACGGTCTACAAGAATGTATACCTGGACGAAAGCACCGCCGGGCAACTGCGCGTGGTCAAGGAAATCTTGCATCAAGACCCAACCCGCGGGAATCGGTGCTTGGAGCTAGAAGCTGCAGCCCGGATAGCTAAAGATATAGGGTAAGACATATGAGTCTGGTTAATTTTAATATTCTTACATGTTGTAGTCCTAGCTATACCCGCCTCTTCGTCGAGTTCCTGGGCTGGTTTGAGATTCCAGATGGAGTCGCACTCGTGCTGGAATACTGTGCCCTCGGGGACATCGATCAGTTCTTCGTGGAGCCAGTGTCAGAGCAGGTTGCCAAAACAGTCGCAGGACAGCTACTCGAGGGATTGGCCGCATTACATGGATTGGGGATAGCTCACCGCGATATCAAGCCGCAGGTATGTATGTCTTTGTCGGCAAACCTGTTGCTGATGTCTCGGAGAATGTCCTCATTGCAGAAGCAGATCCGATCGTGGTGAAGATTGCAGACTTTGGCGTCAGCAAGTACACGGCTGATCGGACCAGTCTCAGGAGTCGGGTAGGTACCCCAGAGTATATGGCACCGGAGCTCTTGTTCGACACAAGTGCGGAGTCCCAGTATACGAATGCCGTGGACACCTGGTCGCTGGGGTGTCTTTTATTCTATTTATTAACTAATAGTCACCCCTTCCCGGGGTTTCGAGAGCTTGGCGAGTACTATCAGGGAAATGCACCCTACCCAGATGGCCCTCTTATCGAACACGGAGTGGGAAGCTCTGGACGAAGCTTTATCCAGTCCTTGATGAGCCCTGTCCCAGGCAATCGACCACGAGCGTCCAAGGATTTATTAAAAGAGTGGGAGATAGGCATAGATTCTGCACACGTCAAACAGCCAAGCCCAGATATAGTTGAGACAGAATCCAGCCAAACAATAGAAAACCCACCCGGTCTCTCCTTGACAGAGACCCACTGGAACAGCGCCCCAAGTATGAGCCAGCTACCAATGGTACACAAGCCCATACCAAATAATGAATGACAACCTGCGCTAACCATCACAGGACTACTGGTCCTCAGAACTCTTCGTTACCACATCCCAACCCACACCCGGCGGAACCACGCCAGACTCCCGGCGCACAAGAGCCCTCCTCGAATCCGGGGCCGACCCAAACCGGATGCAAAACGGACACACAGCGCTGCACCACGCTGCAAGACAAGGAAGCCCCGAGACAGTGCGGATCCTGCTCGAATACGGCGCCGACACGTGGATCAGAACCAGACCGCAGCAAGGACACGACTACGAGGGGGAAACGGCACTGCATCTTTCCACCCACAGGGCCGATTCCCAGGCCTTCCTGGATATATTGCATCTACTTGTTTCGCGCGGGGTGGACGTAAACGCCCAGGATGGCATGGGGAATACGGTTCTCCATCTAGCGATTGCGAGACTGGCTTCTGTTGAGCCTGTCAAGGCGTTACTGGGTTTTGGGGCGAGGACGGATCTTCTTGGTCGGGGTGGGCTGACGCCGCTGCAGTATGCGTTGAGTCTGGATAGGGAGGAGAAAGCGCGTGTTTTGCTTTCTGGTGGTGCAGATCCGAATACACCAAGTCCTGATGGACGCAGGCCGTTGCACCGGGCGATTGAATCTGCGCGAATCTCAATCAAGTTAGTTCGGCAGTTGGTGGAGAGCGGTGCTGATGTAGATGCTACTGATGATAATGGGTGTTCGCCGCTGTATGAGGCTGTTCGACAGGATAGAGCGGATGTTGTGCATTTTCTTATTGATCAGGGAGCAGATACCGTGTTGGGTTCGGTGGCGATGGAGAAGCGTCTCCAGTGGATGCAGTTCAGACGGGGATTGCCATGGCCGTTACGAAAGTGAGCAGCATTTGTTCTATATCTAGATTGGTATATATGTTTATTTAACCGATGTTTCCTTCTTGTAACCGTATCACGCCATTCCCGTATTCAGATTCTTCGAATGGCTCCAGATCCTGCCGGCGTGACGAAGAAACCCTCCTTGTTATATACGACGAGTAGAGACGGACACGATAGGCGACGCGATTGGCGATTGGAAAGTCAAATGCAACTCGGACCTCCTCTAAAGAGCGTCCCTTGGTCTCTATCAAGAGGACGCATACGAGGAATATGAAAATGAGATGTACAGCCCTAAAGGTAGACACGGATGAGCCTAGCTGCCATGGAAACGGGGGATAAACACTTACAGAAACAATGACAATGGAGCCGCTGCGAAGAAGTTCCATCTTACCCTATAGCTCTTCATTTCAACGATCATGGTAGCCAGATATACAGCGGATATATCCCTAAGGGTACAAATAGTCATAATGACTGCCATGATGGCATCTATATCTCATCAGTAAGATAGGCAGCCAGGAAGAAGGTGCAATACGAACCAGAACCAAAGGAACAAGCAACTTCCGCTGCATATAGCTCAATGAGTATGAATAAAGCGCCGTATGGCAACATGACGGTCTGGGGAATCCCCAGGTCCCAACGACTGAAACCCCCAAGATATTGATGGGCAGTCAATATATTGACGACAAGAGCAAGTGCCATGATCGCCATTAGCATTAGCACTGAGCGTCGCCGTCCGATACGCTCCACGAGATGAACCATAATAGCAGAGACAACCATCGAGAGCAGCATGATGACTCCAGTGGAAACGCCCCACTCGGACGGCGGCATCCTCGTAATCAAGATAAAGACTAGGGTCCCTGATATTCCAGGGACTGTCCAGGAAAGGGCAAGAGTGGTTGTGATAACCAGCGCCTGCAGGAGATATCTTTTTGTCCTCCGTGCGCTGGTGGATAGCCGCCTGTCGTACGTTCTGAATGAGTACATCCTGTATAGATCGCGGCTGGCCTGCGCAGCAATTTGTCGACGCTTGAGCAGCACCTTGTAAGCCTGACGCATTTCTCCACGGTAGAAGTGCCAGTATGGCGATTCAGGAGCCGTCCAGAAGCACACTCCAACGCCAAGAAGCAAAAATGCTGCCGGCAAGGATGCAGCAACTGGGGAAGCCAATACGGCAATCCAAAGCCCAAAAGCCGCCCCAAGGCCTTGAGTCCTAGATACACATCCAAAGAGTTAACCGGACCGTTTCCACTTAGATTTCTTTTCTTTTTGAAAATGCAGGGGAATACGAACAGTTTCCAGGTAAGAAGGATACTGCCACGGGCTGGAATCGGACTTGTCTCTGCAAAGTACATCGGCATGATACACAGGAACATCCCTTTGGTTATTGCATATAATGCACCAGAAACCCCGTTCGAGGACAATTTCGGGAATATCATGGCATAAAGAAGGCCTGCTAGTCTCAAGCCCACCGTTGCATAAATTGCACCGCGGCGCCCAAAGGATCGGAGCAATGGGACGGCGCACCAGTACCCAAGAACCCAATAAGCGGGCTCGAACCTCACGAACGTATCAAAACGCATCAGTGGATTATTTAATGTATTACCCCGAAGATCTGGGCCAGGGCCAGACACCGATAGTAGTGTTTCCGCAAAGCCCCTGAAGTCAAGAGCTGTTTCAGCTACCAGCCTCACTCTTTCACGTCGAGATGTGGACCTTACCAGAGCATAATTCCTATATAACAGACATACGGAAGTTCCTTAATAAGATTTCTGGAGAAAATAGGTATAGGTCGCTTCTCCTGTGCCAGCGCACTAACATCCGCCTCTGTCAAGCCTTCGACATGGTCCGGGTCCTCGAGGAGGAGGGCGCCGGTGCGTATCTCATTGCGCAGGTCGTCCAAATCATATTTGGTGACGAACTCGTCTGCATCGAGGAGGATTTGGTGGCGCCTCAAATCCGACCATGCTTGCAAGGATCTCTCGCTTTTACTTGGTTAGTGGTAGTAGATTGGGTCAGGCACCGACTTACTGAGACGTATCGCTGATTTCACTCGACGACTCCATTTTCACGGCCGAGTGTGATATTGCTAGATCCAGCGACTTTGAATCTTGCGGGGGTGATGTTAGGAATGTGAGGGCTGGAGGTTGATCTGCAGGGCGCGGGCGCGATTACGTGGAGATGCAGGGGAGTGAGGCGCAGCAAGGCAACAGTCAGACTGAACGAGGCTGAAGCTGCAAGGCTGAAATAAATAACGCAGTATGGAGTATTGAAGTATATTAAATCCAACGCTCTTTCTATTCCTCGTGGGTAAGTTCGAAGTAATTAGGGCAACTGGGTCACGGGATCGCAACATTGTCGGACTGGATATTGAGAAAGTAGAGAAAGACTTGCGCAATAGTTTCTTCATGAATACCGATAGAATAAAACCCTCGGTAACGATTCTTGCTTGGTAACAGATGGCTGGTCGTGACGAAGAGGTCTAATTAAGTAGGTAAAAGCTCATGGCCTTCTCGCCTTCCATACAATATCATGCAGTACAGACTGGCCCTTTTGGGTCATAATAAAATTGTTCCCACATCTAGTTGGTTTCGTTCAGTGTGATTCTGATTCTGTTTTGCGTGATACTCGTGGTTGATATCATTCGTTGCAGTAAATACCAACATTCCGAAGGGCAAGCTTCTGAAGGGATGTGTCTGAGTAATACACAATCCAGGCAGTGCCCTTGTGAACTCGTGCAAGGGGTATAAGAATTATGTTTGATTGGAGAAGTGTCAACGGGAAATCGGGTCGGAATCAAAAGGGCCTCGTTGCGCACTGACAAAACCCCAGTCACTATACTCTCCTCGGACAAGCAAGCGCTGGAAGATCCACTGTGTGGGCCTCAAAGCCAACCACAATTTACAGATAGGCATGCAAGCATAATACCGGCTGCAGAATAGTCTTGCTCGCCAGCCAATAGGACCCCGATGCGCACCGTCCAGGACCACCGCAATATTAAATTTGTCAACAAAAGAGCCTCTCAACCTCCTGAGCCTTCAAGGCTGATTCTCCCAGGCGCTTTGAGGTATTCATCCCGCCGACTACCGCCATGGCAACAACGACAGCCGCAAGCGAAACTCTGGACGCCCATCTCCCGCTGACGACGACGTTCACGCCTCCAGACTCCTGCATCAGCAACTTGTGGCTCGGTAGTACCAGCGGAAAGACATGGATGAACCTGGGCCCGATCAGCCATTCGGAATGTCTCCCCTCGGGCTGGCAGAAGACAGACTACTACTCCCCGGGCGTCTGTCCCACGGGCTACGGAGTTGCTGCCAGCGGCACCGTGATGGACGGCTCTGTCACCGAAACCGCAGCAACCTGCTGTCCAACGTAAGCCCATTCACGCCTTCAAACTCATGCGACTGGAGGTTTAAATTACTGACGCCGGAATCTTCAGACTCGACGGCCACACATACTTGATCCGCCCAACATCCACCGTCTCTGAATCCATTGACTGCCTATGGAGCCCAGGCCCCGACGTCACCACTGAATTCGTATATACCTGGACCGGCGAGGACGGGTCGACATCTAGCACCGACACTGCGTTGAGCAGCGATGACCATGTCAACGCTTACGCCGTTTATATCCGATGGCAGTCGACTGATTTCAGCACGCCGGCGTCAAATACCGCCGCCAGCACTACCGCAGCTGCTACGTCCTCTGAGACCGCGACCGACTCGTCGAGCGGATCAGGACTCTCGACAGGAGCCAAGGCTGGTGTTGGGGTCGGGGTTGCTGTGGGTGTAATTCTGGCGGTAATGGCCCTGGCTTTCTTCTTCATGCGGCGGCGAAAGGGTCAGGCAGCGCGGAGCCAGCAGACTCTGGGCGATGCAGGTGCGGGATTGAAATATCAACCGCCTAGCGAGATGCCGACAGATTATACGCAGGGGTTGGGAAAGAGAGTTGTGGAGATGCCTGCAGGGGGAAATATGCCGGTGGAACTGGACGGGTCGAAGAGATGAACATTTCTATTCTTTTAAGGATAGAAGTGCGCTCTTGACGGCTGCCAGCTTGGGATGACTACCGAATCTACAGATAATACCAATGTTTTGACGTTACTTTATATACCAACCGGATGGGCCGCTGGAGACCGGTTAGCTAATAGAACTAAAACCCTTGATATACCAACAGCGACGAGAATAGAGCTATCTTCGATACTCCACACATTAGACTAATATACTTGATACATTCTACTGCAACAACGACTCGCGAGGTTCATTATAAGGTTCACCAGGATATTGTTCGCGAACGGAGCCACCAAGCCGCAACCAAGCCTACCCCGCAACCATACTTCATATACCAACCATAACAACGGGATTGGAATAACAAAAAATAATAAAAATAAAAATAAAAACATACAACAGCTGGGATTCGCATGTGGTCACCCACCATACTACTAACCAGCCGGCGTGTGGCTTAAGTACGGCTGAGCGGACGGGAAGCCCTGTTTTCCACACCCTGTGGTCGTATGTACTGATTACAACTAGAGAGGGGAATATATGGATACATAGAAATATGCTATCCACGCGGATGAAGACAAATGTATCTTCCAACGATCAAACTGGAGCGAACAATGCCAGGAAAGGCCACAAGTCTAGACTCTCTTCCGGTTTAGTCTGGAAGCCACTGACTAAGTTGAACACTGCGACTCGGAACTTCTGCGTTTCTCTCGTGTCCCCTGCTCCTCCGCATCGGATTCTACCCACAAAATGACTTCTGTTGCCCCTGTCCCAGATTGGACCATTGGGACAGTGCTGCCGTCCATGAAGGAGGCTCGTGAAGTGTTTCGTCCCCTGCTCCGCCGCAAAGGCTGTCCTTATCGCGTTGCAAAGGCCAACGACAAGCAGTACTATCTTGTCTGTCGAACTGATCCACGCTGCCCCTTCAACGTGCGCATCTCCAAAAGTCGTGGGGGGCAAAACGAAGGCAAAGTCGTTGTTCGGAAATACCAGCCTCAGCATCATTGTCGGCCCTCTGCTGCACTCGATGGTCGGAAGCCATCCGATACCGCAGCCTGTGCAAATGAGATGGCTCCAGGCACTGGGTCGCCCCACTCATTGCAGAGAAGTTTGGCCAGTACCCGGAGGACGACGGCATGCAATGAGTGTAAGCAGCACAAGGTAAGTTTGAGTCTGCGCAGGCCGTGCGCTATCCACTGACGCGGGCACTGCCAGCTGCGGTGCGATCTAAAGGAAAGAGAGAATGAGAATACAGCCGTCTGTTCTCGCTGTCAGAGGCTCAAGCTAGAGTGCAAACTGGAATCTGGCTTCCAACGAAGTTCAAAACGAGGGTAAGTAGGGCGAATCCACCTTTGTGTCCCAGGCAGGGGGAAGTGCAGTGTATTTTATTGACTTTACTTCCGGTAGAGCGACTTCTAGCCTGGAGCTGGAAGTAGAGGAACTCAGGCGACGTGTTGCGCAGTATGAATCGAGTGCTAGGGCTCTGTCCACAGAGCCCAGCCCTCGCGGTTCGGAGACATCTGCGCAACTCCTGGCTGAGACCTTTGACACTCCGAGGCAACAGCCAATCGCTCAATCAGCTGCACGAACGGCCGTGTCACATAGCAGCATTGAAGGGGTGGGAGTTCCCAGCGTGACTACTCGGCCGGTTATCGATCACGATCACACTTGTTCGACACCGTTGGTGGTGGCTCCACAGCCTAGGAAATTGGCAGGCATTGAACTGTCCGTAGCGGACATCGAGGAGCTCTTCCACCTGTGGGTATTCACCTCCTATCAGGCTTGCATTGCTGACATTCGCGCAGCTATTTCAGCTCCTATCACCCATTCCTCCCGTTTCTGAAGCAAGAGAAGTCTCCGCATGCCTACTACGAATCCTCGGAGCTATTGTTCTGGTCCGTCATCGCTGCCGCCGCGCACCGCACACAGAGCCTGCCTTGCCTTCTTCCTAGACTGGCTGAAGACGTGATGGAGCTGTTGTGGGCCACCATCCGGTCAATCCCGTACTCCCTCCATGTAATTCAGAGTCTGGTTATCATTTGTGCCTGGCCGTTTCCCACGAGTAGCAGTATGGCGGATCCTACATACACCCTTGCTGGGACGATGCTCCATCTTGCGTTCCAAATGGGACTGCATTGCGCCTCCAGTGCTGAGGATTTCACCAAGGGGCGTCTGAATCTGAGCGCTGATCAGCGTAGAGAGTGGGTAGCGACATGGCAGGCTTGTAATATCGTTGCACATAGGTGGGCATCAGCAGCAATAGTCCTCGCGCAGACAAAGGCTGACCGAATTCCAGTGTCAGCGTTGGATGTGGGCTTCCGGCGACGGTCCAACTACATGACCAGAGTTTACCAAAGACTGTTCCCTGGGACCCTGCGTTATGGTCCCATCTCCGGATTGAGCAGTATCGACAGCGAGTGTCCTTGGCCCTTGCACCAAATGCTATGGTATCGCGTGCACACTCACTAGACCACGGTCGGTTGGCAGCTTATCGCCTGCTCAACTTGGCCTACCTAGATCTTGAACAAGAAATAATTGCCGTCGCTCCATCATGTATTGGCCCTTTGTCTCCGTCTTCTTTAGATTCTATGCTGACAAAACCACAGCTAGAACTCAGATATACCTGTCGGCGGCTCGCATTCACCTTCACTCCTTTTATCTACTGGACGATTCGAGGGTGGACGGATACACAGATCGCATCGCGAATCTGTACCAGTCAGCCTATGACTTCGTAGCACAGAGTCTTGCAATGGACCGAGGAGGTGAGGTTTCATTTCACCACTGGCCATTCTTCTGTTACCAAATGTTTGTCAGTGCTTCTTGCGTTATACTCAGAATTGTGAAAAACGGACACTTCAACGCCGCAGTGGATATCGACTCTGGAAAAGCTTTGCTAAACTCAGCCATTCTGGCACTACGGAAAATATCCGTAGCCAATAATGACCTTCCCGCAAGACTGAGCGACGTGATTGCGTTTCTTTACTCGCAGCGGGGCATTCGTGGAGTTCCTGGAGACCCTCCCCATAGTCTCCGTCCTCGCGTACTCAATCGCCTAAGCATGAGTATTGTCTACGACTCACTGTGGGAGTGGCGAGAACATTTCCGACTTGGTCAAAGCACCGAGGCAAGCACGGCTGCAGAGCTAGCAGTTCCTGTCGGCGGTGATCAAGTCAATATAGACTTTGAACAACTCGGACTCGCCGACGCTTTCACTTTTGAGTGGCCTGATATCGATCTCGATATACCTCTGTAGAAAAACTGATAACATTTTCTAATGATCAACGTCGTCTACATACGAGAACATATGAAGAATGCCCGTAACGTAAGAAAAATCTTCCAGCTCCGGCAGCTCCTATACCTTGCTATACAGGCTCCCTCCTGCAGTGGCGTCAAGTGCAGCCGCCTCCTCCAAGCCAACGATACTAAAGAGCTTCTTAGGGGTAAAGTCGGGATTGATCCCGGTGCTTCCCCTCTCCTTGATGCGCCGATAAGTCCCCCGAATAGCCTCGTAAGCAGGCGCAATCGCAGCAAAGGGAAAGATAATGATTCGGAACCCAAAATCCCTCGCCTGCTCCGGGGTCCATGACGGAGTAGCGCCATTCTCGACCATATTCAGCAGCATCGGCGTCGGCGCCAACAGCCTACACACCTCCTGGGCCTCACGCTCGCTGGTCACACCCTCCAAAAACCCAACATCGGCACCCGCTCTCACAGCAGCTTTCAGTCTCGCCACTGCCTCGTCAAACCCATGCGTCTGCAACGCGTCCGTCCGCGCGATTATCACAATATCAGATCCCAGCTGTTTCCTTGCCGCAACCGCCGCCGTAATCCGGGACTCAAACTCCTCCATCGGAACCACCTGCTTCCCGCCTAGATGGCCGCACCGCTTGGTCTGGATCTGGTCTTCAATGTGTAGACCCGCAATGCCGGATCGACTATACTGTGCCACCGTACGGGCAACCATATTAGGTCCGCCGTAGCCCGTGTCCGCGTCCGCAATGAGAGGCACTGCCGTGTCCAGGTTCGCGATCATTTCGCCATGCTCGCGCATGTCATTCAGGGAGGCGAAGCCGAGGTCTGGCTGGCCCAGTTTGGAGGCGCAGGTGCCTGCCCCAGTCTTTCTACTATTAGTACTTTTTCCTGGTGAACTTTTGGGGGTGGTACGGTACGTACCATGTAGAGACAGTCGAAGCCGACCTCCAGGGCTATTCTGGCGCTGAAGCCGTCGTAGACGCCTGGGACTACAAGAATATCCTTCTCCTCGAGAAGATGCCTGAGCCGTGTTGTGGCAGGAATTGGCGCATGTTTTGTCGTTCCGTTGGTGCTCATATCGAATCGATAGTTGGATCGGGGGATGAGCTGTTTACTGTAAAGCTGTTCGAAGTACGTGATGGGAAAGAATATCTTCGCTTCTATATATGTACACGGCTAACTCTCTGCAGGCACGGCCATGGTCTCTCCGAATGACATGGCTTCCTGTCCGATCGGATGTCCTCCGCTGCGTCTCCGATGGCTGGATGGCTCCCGGTCCATCCGATCGGACATAGAAGAGCCTATCAAGGTGTCGACAAAACTGAAATACGTGCCGGTAGCCATGAGACCGAGTAAAGGGATCCCAATGCGGGGACCCCGCATCAGGGTATCTGCTGGTGTGGAGGTGATCAGCTGTCTAATGTTTATATATTTGGCCCGGAATCGGTGAGAAGTGAACCTCGTTTTTCTACTCTCAATTCGTGGTACGGACCTAAGTGCAGCAGTTTCTCGCACATCTCCTTATACATCCAGAATGCCTAAACAGTGTCTGGCAGACGCCAAACAGCAGTTCGACGCTGAAAAGGTTGAACATACGGAAGATGTGTCGCCCGAGTGGAAGAAAACCGAGAAAAGCCTTGTCCGCAAACTGGATATGACTCTCATGCCTGTTATTTGGGTGCTCTACATGTTCAACTATCTCGACCGGAATAACATCGCGTAGGCTGGCTGAGCCCACTTCTCCTGTTTGTATGGCCTGTTTCTAACGGTGTTATCATTAGCCAGGCACGGCTGAATAATTTCGAGAGAGATCTTGGTCTCGTGGGCACGGATTTCAATGTGGCGGTTTCAGTTCTCAACATTGGGTAAGTACACTTTGCGATCCCATTGCAGCTGAATACCGACTCACGCGAGTAGATACATGCTTGCCCAGTTACCCTCGAACATGATCCTCACCCGCGTGCGGCCCAGTATTTATCTGCCGTGCTGCGTGATGCTGTGGTCTTGCGTATCAGCCGCCACGGCCGGGGTAAACAACTTGCCTGGTTTAGTCGCTGTTCGATTCTTCCTTGGAATTGTTGAAGCTCCCTTTTTTCCTGGTGTAGGGGTCCCACTCCCATCCACTGAAAAGGAAAGTTCCTAACCTGACGCTCTATGGCAGGCCTTTTATCTCCTCTCCTGCTGGTACACCAGAAAGGAGCTCGCTCTACGTACCGCTGTCCTGTACTCTGGCCTTATTCTTGCTACCGCATTCTCTGGCTTGATTGCAGCGGGAATATTTGCAGGCCTCGACGGTGTACACGGTCTTGCTGGATGGCAATGGATGTTTATAATCGAAGGCGCAGGAAGCTTCTTTGCGGCGATGATCGCAATCGGTCTGCTGCCAGATTATATTGACTCGACATCAGGAAGCGGACGGTGGCTTCTAACCCCCAGGGAGCGTGAGGTTGCAGCGGCGCGCATTGCCGCAGACAGGGTGTCTGTTTCTGAGGCCGATAGATCGGTGTGGTATGGCGTGTCACTGGCTATAAAGGATATCAGGACTTGGATTTTTGTACGTCCCCAAGCTTTGACACGAAGGAGCGGTACTGACCATCTCAAGTTCCTCATGCTCTGCAGCAACCACACAGCGTACGGCTTCAACAACTTCTTCCCTAGCATCGTGCAAGGCCTCAACTTGGGTTCGAATACCGTGACCCTTGTCCTAACCGCACCGCCCTATCTCTTCGGAGCCGTTATTTCCTTCCTGGTAGCATTCTCCTCGGACCGCCACAACGAGCGCGGCTTCCATATCTCAGTCCCCATGCTCGTCGCCATTGTCGGCTTCATAATCTCCGCAGCAACCCTCAGCGTTCCCGCACGCTACTTCGCATCCTTCCTCTATGCGTCCGGCGCATTCGCCGCAAACTCGATGGTCTACTCCTGGGCGGCGTCCGTGCTGAACCAAACCCCCGAGAAGCGCGCCGCTGCGACGGCGATTATCAATCTGCTCGCGCAATTCGGGAATATCTGGAGTCCATATTTCTTTCGGGAGCAAGATGAGCCCCGGTATATTCTGGCAATGATCCTCATGATGGCGTTTTCTGGGTTAAGTGTTTGTTGTGCGTTGGCGATGAAGATGGTGCTCAAGAGGGAGAATGCGAAGATGAGGGCTGAGGCGGAGGAGGCTGGGAGGAGCGTTACTTTATATACTGTTTGAGGGTCTCGAACATGCAATCAATTTCAATATCTATATTTGCGAATCTTACTGAAGGCGGCAAGACGGAGAATCTATGAGCTGGGGTGTGGTTCTGAGACATATCCATGGTCGCTGGTGGTGTCTCATAAATAAAGGATCATACTAGAGAAACCCAGAGCCATTCCCTTTTGTTAATACTATGAATAATAATATATAATTAGCCTGACCGGCCTATGAATACTGAATCAGAGTTGCAGGCAACTCGTGAGGTACTATATTAGAATTATCTTATAGCTCTGGTCTGATAGTACTATTACCAAGCTCAGACTTATATATGCCTTTGCTTTCCTGGGCTGGCGTGCCAGTATCAGGACTTATTAGAGGAGCAGTGCCGCCTCCTGCACTGCGCTTCACCCATTCTATATATAAGAGCGGCTTAGATTATGATATCCACATGAAGGTTATACGTGGCGAATTGGAACAAGTACGCGCAGGGAAGCGTATTCTGGACAGCCAGGTTCTCAGGAAATGGGGTTGTCGATGGTGAGGGCACCTAATGTGAGCTGGCCGGTCTCGCCCGTAGCAATTCGGCCCCCACGTAATTAATTAAAAATGTAGCGGTGGCATGACGGCGCTCCGTTACACCCGAACCACCGCCAAGGCCACATTCGCCAGTGCACACAGGACTGTAGCAATCAAGAACGGCGTGCCCATCCAGCCGTTGCCCTGGCGGATGCCCCATCGGAAACTAGCAACAAGCATCGGCAAAGATGAAAGAGACGCAATCGATTGAACCAGCGGGATGACCGAGCAGGCCAGCCCGAGAATCTCTGGCTCCACAACCGCCATCAGGAGGTTGCGCGCCGCCAATTCCGAGCCTGCCCCTAGCGCGGTGGTCACAATTCCCCCTATAAGGCCGACACTGTGTCCTGTCAAGAATACCACGAAGTAGCCCATCATTAAAAAGGCCAAACTAACTTGTACCAGGGCTTTTTGGAGCCACTTTTGGTCCGAGGAAAGCTTGGTAGCTAAGACGCGAGAAAGCCAGGGGAAAACAATTAGCAGTATGCCGGTGCTGATGCCCAATTTGACGACAAGGAGGTTGGTCCCCTAAAGGATTAGCTCCTGATTTGGACAAACTACTGTAAGAATGGTATTTTTTACCTCTGCGTAGGTCCATCCAAACCGCGTTGATGCATATTGTAGGATGAGTGAGGTGCTTTGAGTGCCCATGCCCTCCGCAAGCAGGCAAACAATGATCCCCCGCGCGCTTCCGTTGGTCATAACTGCATACACGGTATTCATTGCCTGGCGCATCGTATCAAGTAAAGTAGAATTCGCCGAATCAGCGCGAGCTTGGTCCTCAGATCCAATGGCAGATTCTGATGGTGAACAGGCGCGGATTATCTTCGCTGCCGTTGTCCTTGGGTGAGTTTCAGGAAGGAAGCATGTGAAAACGCATCCAATCATCAACATAACCACGCTCATAGCAAATGGTATCCATGGGTTGATAGATATGACCAACCCAGTTATGGCCATCCCGAACAGCTGGGCGGCGAAGATGATGCCGAATATTCTCGAGAGAATGGCCGGCCTAGCTCTAGTTAAGCTACTTGCCATGAAAAGGGGACTAGCTTGCGGCATACAGACCTCTCCTCGTCCGAATACAAGTCCGCGACGACGACCGACAGCACTGTTGTGGCGGTTGCGCCGCCTCCTCCGATCAATTGAAAGAGCGAAGGGAGCCAAACCGCATGCAGAGGCACTGCTGGCTGCAGCCAACCTGTGTGTGCAGTGTTATTATCAAGCGACTAAAGGGCCCAACAACATGAACATGCAGTGCAAACTTACATATCGCCAGGTGGCTGGTCTGGGCAAGAAGCATCCCGCCCATTGACAAGACCAGGACAGGCCAACGACCTTTTTTATCGGCCATGAAGCCGTATGACGTACCTGTCACAATGCCTGTGGAATATGAGTCGACCAATCCACAGCATAAACGAGCGGTACTTCACAGCTTACCTGGGATCATGTCTAAAGTGTTTTTCCATCCATTGACCGCTGCGAGCTCACTTTGAATCGGGCCAGCTTTGCAAGTCTCAGGCGACGCGACAGGAGAGATCCCACTCAGATAGCGTTGGCAAATAATTTTTTCATATACCGCGACCTGAGATGCAGACAGCATTGACGTGCCCAGGTCAATGATGAAGACTATGATGGCGATCAGGACAATCACTGCTGATCGACGGTGGGTTAGCCTCGTCGGCCCAGTGGAATCAGGGTTCCGTCCAGCATCCTGGAGCAGAGGCGTTGTTTCGGACATCTGCAGCAGAATGTGTTTTATGAGAAGAATTTCTCGCGTTCACTGGAGTTGACAACAAGAGCCAGAGGAAGCACATCGAGCCTTTTGTAACAGCTTGGCTGTCTTATGTAATGCCGACACAAGCAACCACTTAAGCACCGCATCCCAAGTGTCCACTAGACGCGGGGTTTCTGCGGTGGTCAAATCCAAGTAGAAGAACCCATGTGTCTTGCCCGCATCTAACACTCTCTCTATCTCAGCGTCATCCCCCCCTCGCAAGCTTGCTAGGGTCAATGATGGGCAGCTCGGCCACAGCGTGGTTCAGATTCGTGGCAGCATCCATGGTTCACGAAAGCAAAAGGAGTTCGAGTTGGGATTAGATTCAGGAACAAGCTCGGAAGATTTGGAGACACGCTGCCCCAGACGATATCTTACTACGACTGTCACGGCCGCAGGTGGACTGATGTTTCAGAATCCGGATAAACATCACCTCACTGGGATGCCCTGCACCTTGGGACGAGTCCGCTTGCTGTTCCTGATCTCATAAGGATAGCCACAGCCTGCCAGTGTCCCTTGCCATGGCTGTTCAGCCTCGCAGACCCAGGTGCTGATGCTTATGCTGATAAGATGCTTATCCGATGCGTATGCTTATGCATATGTTGAGATGCATCCAAGGAGACGCGGTGCGACGACAGAGCGTTGTTCTCTTTAGGCGGCGACATTCAGTTGCGTTTTGTTGGTGCGAATACCGGAAATGTAATTACCGAGTTACCATACGTCGCCCAAACACAATCCAACTCCCCCACTCACGTTTCCAGCTCACTCCGGCTCACTATCTTTCCTTTTATCTTCGTTGCCTTCATTTGTCTTGCTCCCTTTGGTTCTCATTATCCCTCGACGAGTCAGTGCGTCGGCTCTTGTGCTGAGTGTGGGTTGCAACTCCCAGTCAACTACCAGCCACACTTGCCTGACGGCGAGCAGCATCCCAAGACCTTTAGAGAAATGGATGGCTGCCAGCCAGAGGTTGACAACGTGTTCGGACCGGTGGTATCATACTGCCGCGATGAGTTCGACTTTACTCTGCTCTTCGAGCAGGCCATTCTCTCGATGGCGCCCTCGGCGCTCGTGCTCGCAGCATCCGCGTATCGCCTTCGGGTGCTCTATCGCCAACCCAGCAAGACAATCCCTGCGGCGTCAGTGCCATGGATAACAGCGAAGCAGGTGAGCTCGACTGCTACCTCTGGGAGACTAGACTGGAGGGCGTTGCTGACTCGCAGGTCTCGAATTAGGCGGCTATAGTAGGCTTTGCGATCACACAGTTGATACTCACTATCCTGTGGGCGATACCAGGGTACAATCCCACGCAGCTGTCCATTGCAGCATCTGCGCTCTCCTTCGCCAGTAGCATAGTGCTTGCCGGGCTCTCGTATGTGGAATATAATCGGTCCGTTCACCCGTCGGCCATCCTTACCACCTACCTACTTTTCTCCATTCTCTTCGATGTCTGTCAAACGCGGACGCTCTGGCTTCGACGGACAGACATAGCGATTGCCATTGTATTCAGTATCGGCACAGTGATGAAAGCGGGTATGCTTGGCGTAGAGATGGTTGGAAAGCGCTCCATACTGCAGTCTCCCTATCGAGACTGGTCCCCGGAAACTTTGGGGGGAACTATTAATCGGAGTGTCTTTTGGTGGTTGAATGAGCTCTTGCGCCAGGGCTCCGCCACTGTACTGCACCTGTCCGATCTGTACCCGCTGGATCCAGGCCTAGAGTCAGCTTGCCTGCAGTCGAGGCTGAAAGCTGCCTGGGAGGACTCCGCACAGCAAAAGTCCTATGCGTTGTTACTCGCAACTTTCATCAGCTTCTGGAAGCCGATGGTGGCAGTTGCTATCCCTCGAATCGCCCTTATCGCCTTCAAATTTTGCCAACCGCTTCTCATCGACCGCGCCGTTTCGCTGCTGAGTGCGCCTGACGGTCCTAGAGAAACCGACATCGGTCGCGCTCTGATCGGCGCGACGGGCTTGGTCTATGCCGGGGTTGCCGTATGTACGGCGCAGTATAAACATAAAACATATCGCTACATTACCATGATGCGCGGTGGGCTCATCAGCTTGATATACGATACGACGCTTCAGCTTGATATGCAAGCCGCGAATGAAGCAGCCGCCGTTACTCTGATGAGTACGGATATTGATCGAATCGTAGCCGGGTTTGAGTGGGCTGATGCTCTCTGGGCTGGCCCTATCGAGATCGCCGTTGCCATTTACATGCTCTACACTCGGATAGGACTGTCTTGTCTCGGGCCAGTGATTATGGTTATCTGTAAGTGCTGGATCTTGAACACCGACAAAGGAGAAGGTTAAGCTAACCCAGTGTACTACAGTATTCGTGGTGAGCATGTTCGCTTTTGGAAACCTCTCCGTCAAGTACCAAAGGGACTGGATTGAAGCTGTGCAGCGCCGCGTCACTGCCACCTCCTCAGTGCTCGATAACATGAAGGGAATCAAAATGTCCGGCTTGTCGGACGTGTTCAATGCGGAGCTGCAGCAGCTGCGAGTTCTGGAACTCGCAGTTTCCTCGAAGTTCCGGCAAATCATCGCATTCTTCGCGGTGCTTTCAAACTTCTCGGGCGCCACTATCCCCATCTTGACCTTGATCATTTATGTCTTGGTCACTCGAGCGACAACGGGGGTGGAACTTAATCCATCCATGGCATTCACTTCAATCTCGCTCGTCGCCCTGCTGGCAGCCCCAATCCAACAATTTGCTAATGCTCTCATCCACTTTGCCGCCGCGACTGGTTGCTTTCAGCGAATCCAGGAATACCTTCTGAAGACCGCCCAACGAGAGGAATACGTCTCCATCCCACCTTCTAAGACTGAGACCTTGAATGGAGTAGAGCTCCAGACTATGAATCCGCTCGCGCGGCAGTACTTGCAAACGGAGAATCTTTTGTGTCTCCAGGGTACTGCGTTTGCCTTCACCCCCCACGGACCCCCGGTGCTGCACGACATTTCACTAGATTTAGCGGTTGGTGTACGAACAGTGGTGGTCGGGCCTACCGGAAGCGGGAAGACTGCCTTGCTCCTGGCTTTATTGGATGAGCTGTATACTACTAAGGGATTCGTCTACTCGCGCTCGTCGCTTAAAATAGGGTATTGTGCACAAGAGCCGTGGCTCCCAAACCTCGACATCCGCTCGATCATCCTGGGAGACTCCAACTATGACAAGGATTGGTATTTGGCCGTCCTCGGGGCTTGTGCGTTGTTCCAAGACCTCCAAAATTTACCCAAAGGGGACGAATCGATCATTGGGAGTAAGGGTACTAGCCTAAGTGGAGGACAGAAACAGAGAATCAGCCTCGCCAGAGCACTCTACGCGCGGACAGAGTTACTTTTGCTGGACGATGTGCTGAGCGGGCTTGACGCGACCACAGAGCAAACCGTACTTAACAACGTGTTTGGGCGACATGGTATTTGCCGCAAGACCTGCACGGCTGTTATTTTCACCACACATTCAGGTATCACATACTCGCTCATTTGTTAGAGAAGCTGACCGTATATGAAACAAGGTACTGACTTTCTTTTAGTCCAGCACGTCAAGCAGGCAGACCATGTGATCATTATGGAACCTGGAGGAACTATCCTGAAGCAGGGCACGCCATCCTCTGTCAACTTGGTCAGCGCGGACGACGAAGAGAGCGGCTATGAAATGATAGATGATGATGATGATGCTAATCACCGAGGCGATCCTCACCCGCTGGGGCCGGAAACCGGAGAGCAAATGGAAGAGGAACGAGAAGGGGAGGAGCCTCTGCGTAAGACCGGTGATATACGCCTGTATTCGTACTATTTCCGAATGCTGGGCTGGGAGGTCACAACAGTTATCGCAGTCAGTTGTGCTCTCTTCGCTTTCAGCGCCAAGTTCCCAACGGTCAGGCTCAATTGGTGGTCCGATGCTGAGACCCAACACCCAGGGCAGCAAACAAGCATGTACATGATTGTCTATGGTATGTTCTGCGTAATCTCTCTCGTCGTCCTCATAGTGGGCATATATGTGCTAGCCATGGCGGGAATACCTCGGTCATCCAACAAACTCCACGCTATTCTGCTTCAAAAGGTAATGGCCGCTCCATACTGGTTTTTCGTCTCGACGGATTCAGGCCAGACCCTCAATCGATTTATTCAGGATATGTCGCTCATCGACATGCAACTCCCTATCGCACTCGTTGACTTCAGTTTTGGAGTATTCTTATGCATAATGGAAGCTATTCTCATTGCTCTAGTGTCTAAATGGGCCGCATTGATGTACCCACCCTTGATAGGCATCCTATTTATTTTGCAAAAGTTTTACCTACGGACTTCTAGGCAGATGAGGTTTCTCGACCTCGAATTGAAATCCCCACTCTACTCGCATTTCTTGGAAACCCTTCAAGGACTTACGACGATCCGAGCCTTCGGCTGGCAAGCATCTGCCGAGATGAAAAACCATCGCCTTCTCGATAACTCCCAACATCCATTTTACTTGATGTTCAGTATCCAGAGATGGCTGGGGTTTGTGTTAGACGCTATTGTAACCGTGGTGGCGACGGTCATCATGGCGTTAGCCACGCAGGTACACGCTTCGTCGGCCGGGGGTCTCGGTGTCTCCTTGACCAACATCTTATCGTTCAGCGGCACATTGTCGTTGCTGATACGGGTTTGGACGGAACTCGAAACGTCTTTGGGTGCTGTCTCTCGTATGAGGACTTTTGAAACAGATACACCATCAGAGCATCTTGTCCAAGAACACAGGCAACCACCCGCTAATTGGCCTTCGAACGGCGAACTCATCATCTCAAGCCTTAGTAGCCATTATCGGTAAGTCGATTGAGACTGATTTATCTCGCACTCCCGACACCTAACCTCGTATCCTCTTCTTCTTCTAGACCGGGCTCGAAGGAAGCTTTGCGGGACATATCAGTCAAGATACAACCAGGCGAGAAACTGGGTATTTGCGGCCGTACTGGAAGGTCTGATTCCATTGCCGACATGCTTTTACAGAGCTAACTTCCATTCTAGCGGGAAGACATCGTTTATCCTCGCCATACTTCGCCTAACGGAGATCACCAAGGGCGAGATCTTTCTGGACGGTCTTCCCCTCTCGAGCATTCCGCGGCTCCTAGTGCGACAAAGCATTACGGCTATTCCGCAGGAGCCACTCATTCTCCGCGGCACGGTCCGCTTCAATGCGGACCCGTTTTCACGACACTCCGAAGGACGGATTGTCGGGGCCTTGAGGGAAGTGGGGATCTGGGATGTCATTCTTGCACGAGGCGGCCTCGATGCCGAAATGGACAGTGTTGCTTTATCGCGCGGTGAGCAGCAGCTGTTCTGTCTAACTCGTGCACTCCTGGCCAGGCCGCGTATTCTCATCCTTGACGAAGTGACCTCCAGCATTGACAGTGCCCGTGAAGAACACGTAATGCAGGTACTGCGCCGCACTTTTGCGGAAACCACAGTGCTTATGATCGTGCACCACTTGCAAATAGTGCGGCAGTTCGATAGGATCTTAGTGCTGAGTCAAGGAGAGGTGATCGAATGGGGTGAGCCGGAGCAGTTAATGGCGCAGGAATCGGCTTTCCGGTCATTATTGGAAAGTCAGCAAGGCACGACGGTGAATGGGCACTCTTGAACAACCAAAGAGGGGGATGACTTGAAGCGATCAGATCCAACAACTCAGCACATCTCCGAAACTCGGTACAGAAAGGCAGGCAATTAACGTAAATCCCACCCGAGTCGCGCACCCCAGTATTCCATATAAATCACTACTTTTTAATGTAAAATATCTCACTAACCAAGTCTAGATTATAAATATAGTAAGAAATAAAACATATAAATATAATTTCTTAAAGTTCTATATTTCTCTAAGTAATATAAAATACAGCTGTACTTTTTGTATTTTATATATTTTGAATATTATAGTATAATAACGCCAGTTATAATCTTAAAAATTGAATAGAATTACTATTTCTAGTATATATAGTAATATATATCCTTCTAGTTTACGTAACTCTGTATGTGGTTGATATATAAGGGCTTAAAAAAAGTAATGATTTATATTGGAATACTGGGGTGAGCGGCTGGGATTTACGTTACAAAGTCAGTGTGGAGAATAGTAAGCCGTGGCTGCCTGGCTGGCAAGATCCTGACAGAGACGAATCAATTAATGCCTGCTAGCACCCGCTATACCACGAATCGACGTCGAGCGGTGCGAGAGCGGCCTGGATGCGGGGCTTCGATGACTCCTCGTACATTGACGCTGGTGATGTTGCTCGTCTGCTTTTATTCCATCCTGCCAATCACTTGCTTGAAATGCTCCGAAAAGGCTGAGTGGTGGAGACCGTATCGTGACAACAGAGCGCCAAGGAATAAGTTACTGGCCGTATCAGTGAGATCTAATCTGATCCGAAAGCTTAAGATCGGGACCGCAATGGTTCCCGCTGTCAGACTTTGTCCATTGAACAGTCCTAATATGTCCGTTCTGCGGTTTCCAAGCGGTAGCCAAAAGGTCCCCATCCTCCTTCCATCCTCCTTTTCAGCTGGTAGTGTTCGGTTGCAACAGATTTATGGCTTGCCTCCTTATTCTATCGGGTAACTGATCAGCAAAGCTGATTGCGTTATTTGAGCGCAAGCGACTGGAGCCGTGGGGAGTCGAGGCCATATCTTGCATAATTGTTGGATCTGCTGGTCCACTAAGCTCTGTCATGCCATCCGTCTATATTTGGCCACATTTTAATCTGATTCTTCCTCGCGTAATGTTTCAGCGTGACTGTTTTTTCTTCCCAAATGGCCAACTGAGGCCAGCAACCTGGACTGACCTGGACTGCCCAAGATGCCCCCCAGGAAATTTCTTTAATGCGTTTTAAACGGCACCCATTGCGCCTTTCCCGCTGATCCTTATTGTCGTCGGGTGTTGCACCTTGCTCAACACTCAGAGAGCAACCGACCGCCCCCAAGGATCACGCACGAATCCTTCCGGTCGAGCGGCCTCTGGCAAGGCTCGGCTAGTGGTGCTTGTTGGAGCCTTGGCTCCCGATGGTTCTGGCTGGGGGCCATGGTGTGGACTTTTTGAAACGCGCAGGATCACTAGTGACCAGAACGGAACTGTAGCCATTGAAATTCCAGTACGGGCTAGTAATAGAAATGTGCTGTTTGGCTTCGTCCGAATCTAAGCGATGTTGCGATCATGCATCTAGCTGTGCCGCGTTGCGTCGGCCTCAAGAAAGCAACAAACACACCCCCTCATCTTGCGCCCCGTACAACACGGTTCTCGGCGCTTGTTTTCTCAAGACGTACGTTTCCTTTCAGAGCCAACCAACCGGCTAGTGAGCCGGACTGTATTTAAAGCCCAGGGTTCAGGAACGCGAAAGCTTCTCCCCTACTTTTCCGTCCCCTTTCGTTCCAGGATCACTCTAGAACAAGGATGAACGCAATTTTAGACTACGAGGAAAGGCGGAGGATCCAGAATCTTGTCGCGCAACGTAAATGGCGTAAGGTTCTTGCAGTTGTGTATGAGTACCACAACTGATCTTTCTCACAGGACAAAAGCTCCGGGCTAGGCAAAGATCCGTCTCGCAGCCTATTCAAATCTATCATAAGCCAGACGAAGGTTTCCAGGACCATCATATGTGGCAGCCTTCGTCTGCGTACACTGCTCAGGCTATTCACGGCCCAGGTAACGCCTCCCAGGGCGTAATATCCCTCGAGAATCCGTTGTCGACCGACGGGTTGAGACCACAGGATCCGATTACTTCGTCTGCGGGTCAAACCATCCGAAGTACTCTGGTGAAATCTTACCTACCAGAGCGAAATACTTTATCCAAAGGACATATAGACAATGGCCTGCTGTCTGGGTTGAACCAAACCATGGGTCTCGATTATTCGTGGCAGTTTCCTGATTGCGAAGCCGGGCACACTGCCCATTTCGACGGCTGTGAGTAGCCATCACTTTTAACAGACAAGTAGTATTACCTTTTCTCCTAACACGTTGAAGGTGCATCGCAGAACTGTATTGACGGCACAGACCTTCAAATCACGGCAGACATAGTCAGAAACCAGATAATTGGATCTATAGAAAGAGCTGAGATTCTCTACGAGTACGGTGCCATGATACAGCTTTTCCCGCCGAACAAAAGTTTCCAAGAACATCTCGAGATGCCAAAACAGGGGTTCTATTGGCTCCTACGGGATACCAAACCCATTTTTGAGAGGGATTTGTATCTAGCGCTCATATGATCTGGCCTGCAAATGTCTGGTTGTCCGAAGTACGCTGGTTGGAAATTCAACTCATCTGTTGCCCCATTGTTCCACAACTAGTCTAATAAAAGTGGAATAGATATAAGATATTAATAGAATATAATAAAGATAAAAGAATAAGAAGCGCGAGAGCTATTTCTTACGCGAAATATGCCTGATTACTTTACCAAACTTCTAGGCCTCTTGCTTGGGGATGGTAACTCTATATACTATATATTACAGGGAGCTTCGCGCTATGTGTGAAGTTCACTGTCTGACCTAAATGTCACTGTCGCTGAGATGGGCGTGAAGCATGTCAACGTCAATGCTGCTTATAGAACTCCGCGGGCTATTCGTTTCCGTAAGTGGTGCCTCGTCCACCCCGCGCTGGAAGGGAAAAGCTCAGGGAGCATTGGCGTCGAATCCCGAATCTATCGCGCACACCAAATCAAAAGGTGCGGCGCACATTGTCGGCGTGATATATTGCCGCCTCGATCCGTGGACGAGCAGTTATGCCAGACTCACCAACATGGCCGTGGGTTTTACGAAAGGAGATCACAGATTTTCCATGCAGAATCATGGGATTCAGATTTTAGGCGATCTGGATGACAGCGGCGACGAGCATATGACAGAGGGAGAGAGCACGGCAAGGGACAGTAAGACGCAGACAAAATCGACGTGCGACGAACACTTGCAGAAGATGATGTCCGCCGCATCTGCGGGAAAGACAAGGTTCAGATATCCCATTGCCTTTAACTGGGCACCTACCCAAGCGAAGCAAAGCGCCCAGTCGGAACAGCTCCTTGACATAAGAGTACAATTTACAGACGGGTCAGTCGCACCCATCAGCGGCTTTCCCACTACTCTGACAGTGAGTTCTGCGTTTCCTTACCCGTCTGAAGCTTGTTGGAATTCTCACTCACTGTCTGTGGAGGTCCTTCAAGATTATGATCGAAAATCTAACATCCGGTGACGCTTGGAGCGAGATGCAACAGCTGTTAAGCACTTCCAGGTGAATACGGACCGAGAGACTACCCGCAAGATAATAAAAAAATAAAACATACAACAGCTGGGATTCGCATGTGGTCACCCACCATACTAATAACCAGCCGGCGTGTGGCTTAAGCGTGGCCAGAAGTCGGGTGGGTGCGGCCCGGGTGAGATTTGGGTGAGATGAGGGTGAGAAGCAATAGACAGGGTGAGATTCTCACTCCGGCTCACTTGCCCCACTTTCCTCGCGCGATCTGCCTACCTGTTTAGCCCTACAACGGCGTTCGAATAATCTAACGAGAGCCAGCCCTGGGCCGCGCCAGATCAACAAAAGAGATTGGCCGAGACCGAACATCGCAGCATTTAGTGAAACAGAAAGATCGCGAGCTACCCGGACTCTTAACGCAGCGCACCCCTTAGTGGCTAGTACGCTAATGCCTCAACCAACTGGCAAGCTTGAATTAAGCGACGAGTTGGAATCTACCACCAACGACTGGTTAGATTAAAACATGATATGCTTGTCCGACTTCTGCCCCAATATGGACCACCTACCGACTGGTCACATCAGGTTGCGCAGGAATACATGCTCGGCCTTGAACAAGCTGCCATGGGCTTCGTGGAAGATGTCATGCGGCAGGACCGTGCTGAAATAGCAGCTGCTCGGCAGCTGCTCATGCTCAGGCAAAGCTGCGACAGGAAATGATGCTGAGAGCTTACTCGGAAGCTGATGGGAAGTCGATTGGAGTGAAAGGAGGTGTGGATTGAGGACAAACGGCGCAGACAACTTGCTTGCTGCTAGGGCTGGGGCACAGCCATATTTTACTAGGCAACCCTCAACACTTGTGATGATTCTAGACAGCTCCAAGGATGATAGAAGTTGATTATGCCTTCCCTGAATACTTTCTAGATTCCTTTGCTAGGATATCGATCGGAAAAGAGAAACATGTTCTAAGTTTAGAATCAGGGCTGAACAGCAAAATGCCGGTGCTGCAATCTATAGGAAGGCAAACGGCCAGCCATAAAGAGGGGTATGGTTTTGCTACAACGCCAGCTGCGTTTATGGAAATATGATAGGGCAACTTACGAGATCCAAGGTTTGGCGGATTAGATTTCCTACAAAAAGCATTGATGCTATTATTTGGTGGCACAGGGTCTTCGGTTGCTGCATGACCTCTTCACACCAAGGACAAACAGCCTAATTTATCGTGGACCGCGATGCTTGATTCATCTGATTAATGAAGCCGGTAACCCGAGCATCAAGTAGCCTCAGCTGTGTTAGCTCCCCATACTGAAAGCGATTACAAGCCCTTGCTCAATGTAGACTCCTAGTTCGATTAGAGGTCAAGCTCATAAAGTGGAGCACCAAATCGTTCAATAGAAGCTGGAATCAGAGTCACACAGATGATTATACTGACCCAAAGGCTAGCCATAGTGGTTTCACATGTTGCGGCATGCCTAAATTCTCGGGCTAAATCTGGTGACCAGAGCAACCTGCTAGACAAAATTGAACGCTCAACTACATCCGCCTAGGGGAGGTTAGTCCGGCTGGAGCGAAGCGGCTCGAACAAACCCTTTCTTATGGAGAGTTACATCTGACGAACAACAGACGGGTAAAAAACAGGATGCTCTTTTCAATAAATCTAATGCTCTTCCAACTTGTTTATGTCTCTTACGTTGCCGAGGGAATTTCGCCAGACACATAGGCTCCAGTACAGCCCCATCCCAAGACCATCAGATTAAACCTGTTAGGGTACTTTGCGAGCATAGCAGAGTACAACTCAGTTATAGTCTGAGGCTTCCCTTCCAACAGACCGATGAAGTCTCGAATGTATTTCTTTGTTGCCTCCAGATGCCATATGCCATCCATTTCATCTGCGTTTCGATGACCAGGCACCACATATGCTGGATTTAGCGCCTCAACTTTCTCAACCGCTCTGATCCATTCTTCTCGCTTTTCTGGAGTGTTCGCTTCGAAAAGCATCTGGTGAACATCGCCGTACACAACATCTCCACATACGGCTAGTCTCAGATCTGGAACCCACAGGATTGTTGAGTCGAATGTGTCGGAATGGCCACACTCAACTGCCTCGAAAATCCATCGCTTCTCCAGCAAGAATTTGTTGTCGGTTGGGAGCGCTTCCGGTAGCTGGTGTTGAGTGCAAAGTTGATCTCCCGGGAAAAACGCAAGCCATGTCGAGGAGAACGCCGGTTCGGAGATCTGCTGCTCCATGTGACGGATAGTTGCTTCGGTCGCCACTGCCTTAGCCTCTGGAAAGTGCTGCAGCAACAAAGGGAGGCCTAGGAAGTGGTCCGCATGGCCGTGCGTGATATAGATATAGGAGAGTTTTCGTCCCGGTGCAGTCTTCTTGATCCACTTGATCAATTCCTTGTTCTGATTTATGGTAATCCCAGTATCAACAAGAACAGCTTCATTCCCCGAGTAAATCAACGTGCAGGTTTCGGGAGACCATGTGGTATTCTGCCGATGCGACACATGGTCGACACAAGGGATTGGCGGCACGGTATGAACAGACACTCTTAAACCGGACATGTTTGAAGTAGTCAATTTGAGAACCAATAAAACCAAACGAATAGACTTGGTGGGCTTGAGCATGCGACAAGTGAGGGGATCATTTGGATTTTATGTTAGAGGTCCTGAGTTCAGCCTTCCTCCCTCCCCGGATCTAACCTCGGCGTTGAGCGTCATCACTCATCAAGAGGACCGCGTCCGTCCTGTTAATACTAATCGGTCGGCGTAGATCACTAATCTTGTTACAATTTATCATCTTCAGGTTCATGACATATTTTGCGGAGACATCCGCGTCGGGGAGATAACTAACCAACTAGTTAGTTAACTTGCGGGGAATAAACTACATCCAGGGGATGCAGCTCGCCGTGGTTAGAAAATAGGTCAGCCTGGTTAGGATTAGACCCACCTGTTTATTGCCACTAATTCCATACTATATATATACCATATATTAGGGTGGTCAGGTAGTTAGGGTGATTAGAGAGCTTAGAATAATTAAAGATTAGAGAGATTAGGGAGGTTAGATTAGGGAGTTTTTTTTTTTTTTTTTTTTTTTTTTTTTTTTTTATTAAAATTATAGCTTATCATGGTTTGAATCTGTAGAATTAAAATAATTTTAGATGTAGTAATAATTTCAGATTAATTCTATAGCCATGCTAACCTTTTTTCTAACCACACCGATATGTAAGCCCGCACACCGACTACTGATCAGAACCCATTCAAACTTCACTGTCGTTTCCTGCCACGGCTTCTTTTTGAGAAAAAAAAAAGGTCTCCGCTGCGCTCTAGTGCAGTTTATCTCGCCCATACCCAGCTCTCGGAAGACATCGACCTGATCCACCACCAACGCGCTCGCTCTGCAAGGGAATCTCTTTGCCCGTTCGCTGTCTACTCAGCGATGCTGGCTGTACCGATCAACAGGCTATCGGAAAATGGAGGGCCATGTGGACTTCCCGGATCTCGGGATCGGGCTGATGGTTAACCCTGTTTGTTCTTTTAGGTGACCTTCGGCCATGACCCACACTCCTTTCCGTGTTTATATACTTCTTAGGGCTGCCCGCTACTGCAGTTCCCGAAAGTCCACAATCTTCTATTACACGAGGTCTTCACAGTGTCTTCCCTAGCTATGAAGGACAAGGACTATCTCCACGCGTCCAGAGAGACCATGGCGAGTCGGGATTCGGCCAGCGCAACAACAGTTCTCGGAGAGAATTCCTCTTCCCCCTCTCCTGATCATGATGTCAGCTGCGCCGATAGATGGGCTTTAATGCCTCAGGTAAAGCGGTAAAACAAGTAAGAAGTCACGTCCAGTTTCAAACAAATATCAAGAATTAGGTATTATATAGCAAAATCTTACTATAAAAGTTGTTAGTGTAGAAGCTGGCATCCAAGAAAACTTCCTCTCTTAGTTCAATATACTAAAGTTAATTAAAGAGTCCTGTAATAAACCACTACTCTGAATAATTCTTACTGAGAGTTATAGATATATTAAGCCAGGAGAGATACTCTTAGTCCTTGATTACCCTGGATCTAGATATATAATCCTGTTAAAGTTGCTTGCTAATAAACGCCTTAGCTATAGATCAATTAAAAGTAATATTTATTATAGAGTAATAATATTAAAGAAAGCTGAGTAATACTATAGTTAAATTATTATAAATATCAAGGAAGAGTTATTCTTTTCTAGTTTAACTATAGGTAAGATAATAGACTTTATAATATGATTAAAGGTCCTATTTTATCTACTAAATAGAGTAGAGTCCTAAGACGTCTATTATAAAAAAGATAAAGAAGTTCTTATTAGAGTTAATAGGTATAAACAGGATGGAAGTTATTGTTACGTATGCCTTGACGAAAAGCTTGACCAACCGTCCATAACTCGTAAGAACGTACGCTGTGGCATGTCGACTAAGACAGGCCAGCAGCCAGAACCTGGTCTCGATGCAATGAGGATCTCTCTAGGCTACCTATTGCAAACTTCCCGCCTGACGCTTTCAGTGTAGCCAGTACCCGGTCTACCCAGCCTGCAAGATAGTAGGCTGGATCACCGCCAGCTCGCAGGAAGTATGGGTGAAGAGCCCCTGGAAGTACGTAATTACGACTCTGAAATAGGAAGGTGCCCTGTATGATTAACTGTCATCTATGGTCGACATGAACTTATTTAGCTCCCCTCAACCTCAGTTGCTGCTCCAGCACAGCCTCAACAATCTCATTTTGTCCCCTCCACTGCATTCCTAGAATCCTCTCCGCAGTCTCTGTATCAACTGTCCACCCCGCTTCCATGGGACCTTTTAGTTCACAGCGAACAGAAGGGAACTTCCGCCTCACCAGTTCCCCTACCTCTTCCCATGATCCCGCTGGCGCCGACAAAATGAATTCCGTCCCAGACAAAATCTCCGTCTTCAGTGCCCGCACGAGTGCCTCCGCCACGTCACGTACATCTACCCACACGTTCGGTATTATTGGCTTCTCGGAATGCAGACTATTCCAAAAGAGCGCATTCATTCCGTCTATCTCCTCGGGTGCTGATTGGATCAGACTCTCGCCGAGGACGAAACTGGGGTGGAAGGTGGCAATGGTAAAGTGCGGATTCTGGTTGGCCAGGAAGTCTCGCGTAGCTTGGTGGGCGGATATCTTTGAGACACTATATTTAAGACCGTGTCCGAGAGAGCCTTCTAGCAAGGATGGGTTCAGATCTATCGGGATGACGTCGTTTGTGTTACCTATATTCTAGATCAGTCTTAATCAATGTCGGGATGCAAGAAAATACTCACCTCTAACAAACACTTCCTTCTCGCAAAGAGACATCGGGGGCGTTAAAGCTAGTAGTGATGATACAACGATCACGCTCTTGATCCGAGGGAATTCTAGCGCAGAAAACAGAGTGGATTCAGTGCCTTTCACTGCTGGATCGATATAGTCTTTTTGCAGGTCGGAACCGGCACCTGGCATTGGTGAGGCCAGGTGAAATATGTGGTCCACGCCGTCAAGAGCAGGTTTGAGCACGTCTGGGACTGTGATATCCGGAATGAGGATTATTGCAATTTGATTTTTGAATTCAGGGTAACGGGCCCGTACAACGGCTTCTCCCTCGGGTTTGCGGATGGTTAGTCGCACCCGGTATCCCGCCCGCAGTGATAGGAGCACGACATGTGAGCCGATGAACCCCGTTGCGCCGGTGATTAATACAAGGGGCGGAGGGTACGGAAGCGACATGTCCATTGGTGAATTCGGAGTCTTGTTGGGTGTGTTCTACTGAGGTAGACTCTTTTTTATAACACCTTCGGGCCACGAGGATAGAAAAAGCGGTTGTGTGTGTAAATCTACACTAAGCATATCGGATTGGGTGTTACAACAAATATCCGGATCACTAATCACAATCAACACCAATTACCATCTCCCAGCCTTCCTCCGTCGGCGTAGATAACTAATCTCAGTACAACTAGCCCGGGTTGAATGTAGCTGTTCACCGGCTCCGCTTTACGAATCCGACAGTCTAATATACAAATCCAACCCGAATGGTGGATACTGCAACACAGGGCTGGCTTATCACTTAATGTTCTTTTGTCTTCAGAGCTGGCTTTATCTCTCTGCATTGACATTTGAAGTTGAAGCGGATGTCTTCGCAGTGCGCCCGATGCATGAGGGAAGACTTGCGATTGCTACAGCCCACGCTTATCCCCTACGTGGTGAGATTACCATGAAGCCCAATGCTGCACCGTGCATAGCTGCTACACGGTTAACTTAATTCAATGATGTATCCACATGTCATCCAACCATACGGCGGCTAACAAAGGGCATCTTCATAATGGCTTCTTAGCGTGTGGGTATCTAGTCGCGGGGCACTCGGTGACCGGCTTTTGTCATGCCGCTTATGAATCAAAGTCAATAGGCCCTGTAGACTCTCGGCTCGCTGGAAGCAGTCTGGGTGCACCAGAGTCCATGACGGCGTGGGAAAACTGGGCCGGATAAACGTTGAAGGCGTCGATATTGGATATCGAGAAGGCTCTTGGATTCAGGGGTCTGCTTGTTGCTCACGAGTCGGTTGTTGGCTATAAATATAGTTGTTCCTCTTCTTGGTCCGGCCATCGTCTTTATTTCCCCTCTAATCCCTCTACTCAATTCAAATTTTCTGCACCTACTGTCTCTCCATACACTCCGCGCCATGCCCAACAAGTCTCCTGTCTTCAAAAAGGTTCCTCGGGGATACCCTGTACCTGGTCTTCTGAACTTACGCATGATACTCCGCCTCGGTACAGGGTGTCGGGAGGCATCTCGACAAATATGACTACCACATAGAATGCCGACAGCCCCAACCTTTGTGGAAGAGGAGGGGAAGCAAGCATCAGTTCCTTGTTGCCGATGAGTCGATGATTATTGATCCTTTTCCGAATCCTACTCCACTCGGCCCACCATAAAAAACCGAATTGCGGGGGTTACCATCAAATCATCCCGAACACCCTGCAGACTAAGGTGCTATAAAAGAATCTTTTCATATACCGAAATTCTTAATAAGTCATTTTGTCAGGCGCATGCCAAGACATGATATTAGTCCCTTTGACCTGCTTACTTCGAGATAAGTAGGCGTGTGAATCTATAACTCTATTTGCCTCTATAATACAGAAACCACTTGGAGGACAATTCTTTTCAGCACTCTCCTGGTTGCTACCCAAATTATTACTACGGGCAAATTGAGCGAAGACAATTGCAATCAAGATTGACTAGATAATGTCAAATCATCGTCTACTCGACATAAACTAAAAATCCCTAGTAAACCCTCTTGGAAGACTGGAATTGGATGTGGCCCATCGGCGCTAAGTCCGTTAAACCCATTCGAGGAAAGTTGGTAAAAGAACCAGCTGAAACACTTCTCCTACAAGGAACAGCTTCTACTCCAAAAGCTTGTCTTGCAGGAACTTTGCCTGAACCGGGACATTTTTCGTGAAGAGTGGCCCGTTATATGGATCAAAATGTCCTCCCGGTAGCATGTGCAATTGCTTTGGTTCCCTAGCTCTGGCAAAGGCCTCAAGTGCAAGGTCAGTAGGTGTGACAACGTCATCATCCATGACGATCATCAATAATGGGGTAGGAGCGATGTGCTGGATATGTGCTCCAGGTTCATATGCTCGGAATGCTTCGAGGCTATTTGATAATTAGACCCAGTGCACTACCATATCAGGGTATCGGATGGGAAATGCCTCTTTAATGTCACATCGTTTTTCCAACCCAACGGTTCTGCTGAAATGTAGCCATTGTAGCTGTCCACGGAGGGAAGAAACGAACGCTTTTGAGGATCCTTGTCCACAACGGGTATCCGACTAGGCTCTTCCCCCCTAGCACGAGCCTGGCGATCTATGTTTTACGCACAAGCTCGTCAGCAAGAGAATATCCCTCTTTTTTTTTTTTTTTTTTTTTTTGTAGCCGTTCAGATCACTGCGAAACTCACCATCCACAAATAGCTGGTTTAGACCTGGGACAAAATCGGCCCTGTTTAAACGATGGAAGGTTTCCCATCCGCTGGTTAATGGCCTGCTTAGACATGGTATGTTAGACACACACGGTTCAAATAAGAGATCATGGAGACTCGTACACTTGGCTGATTACAGCCTTCACCCGACGATCGACAGCACCAACTGTAAGAACATGACCTCCACTGAATGAACTGCCCCAGATAGCGATTTTCTCAGCATTAACCTCTGGCAAGGACTGCGCAAACGTGATGGCATCTGAGTAATCGCTGATTTGCAGTGCAGGGAGGATTTCTCTCCTTGGCTCGCCATCACTCGCGCCAATGCAGCGGTTATCGTAGGCAAGACAGGCGATCCGCAGAGTTGATGTGAAATATTCCGCGAAGGGCCTCAGCCCCATTTCTTTGTGAGCTGCAAAGCCGTGTGCCATGACAAGACATGGCAACTCTCCAGTAAAGGAATCGGGGACGAACAGCCATCCTCGAAGGGTGAGGCCGTCCGAGGTTGTAAACTCAATATCTCTGAACGGCATCATGAAGGATAATTGGTTGTTCGCTGTGTTGCTTTTGCTGTCCGAATATGTTTCACAACAAACGAGGAGGGACGAACGAGGTATTTCAGTACTGAAAGAGTGCATGTGCTTTTAGACTCCACTGGGATTATGGGAATCCTAGCTGAGATACCTTCCCCAAGATCTCATAATATCTGCGTGATTACTGATCTAGCCGCTGCTCATCTATAGCCACAGCTACGCGTCTGACATGCATAGCGAACCCGCGAATCGGCGAACTGATCTCACGATGACACAAAGCCGGAAATCTGCCACGAAATGAACTCAATTTTTTATCATGATCCGGCATATTTAGTCGCCATTGAAGCCGGCATGTTTAGTCAACTTTTAAGCGGGCATGATCACTCATCATTAGGCGCGGAAGGTTCCTGGTGGACGCAGCTTCCTGTATCCCGTCGGTGGAGAACCGAGGAATTGCGGGCTGGACCGCCCTACATGTTAGTGGTGAGTTCCTGTACTTATTAACTATGAGTACTAGGTTCCTTTACTTAAAGGGCTTTATCCATGATTTGATCTTGTGTTATACTTCTGTACCGTCCATGTCCAAATCTTTTTTTCACAGATATTGCGAAGCCAAACTATATCGAACACCCACAACATGCCCCTTTGGCTCATTTTTCACCCCCCGGGGACTTTCGAGGACGATTCCGCGAAACAAGCATTAAGCAAAGACATAACGAGCATATACACTGGAATTGGCCTTCCTGCCTTCTATGTCGTTGTCAACTTTGTTAAGCTCTCGCCTCAGGATGTCTGGGTTGGAGGTGAACCGAAAACCGACCAACCATTTATTCGAATCCTTGTCGACCATATTGCTGTTCGAATTGAGAATGAGGACCTCTCTTATAAACGCACCGCTGATGCTATTGAAAAAGCGTTGAAGCCGCATATTTGTGACAAGGGTTATGATTGGGAATTCCATGTCGATGAGACTGAAAGGAGACTTTGGCGCGTCAATGGAATGATCCCTCCTCCGTTTAGGAGCGATACGGAGAAGCAGTGGGCGAAGGACAACAAACCATCTCGGTGGGACGGTGCATACTAAGATCTTAGATTGGGCTTGGGGGTATTTGGTTTTGAACCCATCCTCTGTCCCGGCCAACGCCGCAATTGGACTGTTACTCCTATGCTGGAGACTGTATTTACTGTGCGTATTGATTTTGTATTTGAATTCATACGTTTCCTTGACTAGGTAATCCATTACTAGCATAAGTTTACAGCTGATTGGATCGGATGCGTGGCTGGTTCCTCTATCCCATACTTATTCCCGGCATACCTGCACCTTGACACCAAGATTGTACTCAAAATCATGAGCTTGAACATCGCAAGGCAGCCCCTTGAGGCCATCGATCAAAGGAAAGATTTCTGTACTATCAGTTGGCCGCATGCTATGCTTAGGAGACGGACCTCTTCTTTGGATAATTTGAATTAGCCGACCCCAGCTTTCACGCCGATACTCACCGTCGAAGTTGACCTAAGAAAGTATGAAAACTCCGCTAACAAGATATCTAGACTAACCTGTCTAAACAGCTTAGCAGGCCTGCTCACGACTCTTATTAATATCTATACCGCGAAAAATGGCTACTGGTCTATCATGACAGTTTTGATCATAATTATTACGGCCTATATTATATTAGTAGTAATCAAATATAGAGTAAACATCCCTGCAAAACCTATACAGAATGGTTTCATCATCATAATAATAACCCTTTAGAAACTCTGGCCTGATCATAACCTAATATTTAATATTCTCTCCAGCATCCCACCTCATGTTCAAGGAGAGGTGCTATAGAGGCATTAAGCAGTTAGTTTAATAAAAGAATTAGAAGTAATTTACCTGATAGTAAAGAGTCTTATTAGTATCCCGGTAGGTACTAGATTTAATAATAGCGCCTACTTGGGCCCTGGAAGAGGAAAGTAGTAACAGGCTAAAGGCTTGTTAAAAACAACCGCGCTTATATATATAATCATGCGTATTAGTTATGTAAAGATATTAAATCAGAATATTAAGATCTATCTATGTTACAGGGTATTTCCCTTTATATTTAGCGCTTAATCTGTACTTTATAATAAGCTTATTCCTGATATACTGCCATCTAATTAGTAGATACCTTACAAGAAAGGGAAAATAGAGAATAAACACTATAGACATTATATTTAAGGTATTTTGATATTATAATTTATTTCATTCTTTCCCATTCACTCATAAAACAAGTAAGATTCTGTAAGATAGATTACTGACTTGGTAGGGGGCCCTCGCGAAGTGTAATATAACTCTCTATAAAAAGCTTAAGACTTTGAATAGAGGAGCAAGATTTATTAGTATTAAAGACTCTATCTCCAGGCTGATTCCTTAATAAAAGCCACCTGTTTACTCGTAATGCTTGGTATTATTTCTCAGAGACTCGGACCAGAGTCTTCTTACAGTTTCTATGTATTCATGGCGCGGTTATACACCTCAGTAGTTACTGGAGACCTTTTCTTGCTGCTGATGATATTTTCTTTTATCTCCACAGTCTTTTGGTATTCTTCTGTGAACCTACGGGCTTCCGCGGCCTTTTTTAGACATTCTAACTTCGTTTCTATTAACCTGGTCATGATCACGTGATAAAGAAGAGAATCGAGGAATATAGGACATGAAAAGGAATGGATAGAAGTGGGAGAAGCCTTTTCTATTTATATTAGAGGTAGAGGAATAATGATTGCAGCCTGTTTTATATAGTGTTCCGTAGCTTACCCTTCTCACCCCTACTCACCCTGGTGGGTGATATTCTCACCAAATTCTCACCCATCTCACCTATACTCACCCATGATTTAGCGCCTGTCACCAATAAAGCAGCAACACCCTCGGGGCTTATTTAACTTCAGGCCACGTTTATCAGTATGGCTTAAGTACGGCTGAGCGGACGGGAAGCCCTGTTTTCCACACCCTGTGGTCGTATATACTAAGTGTAGCTAAAGAATGGTATATACTGAGAACCCTGGCTATCTCATACCCACGTGAAACTGCGTCTAAACAGGATATGGCTATTGATAGGCAGTTAGATATCAGCTCCAACAGATGTATGTACATTTGTTGGTATCTTCCAGATACACGTAATATGCCTGATTACTTTACCAAGTTCCTATGCTCCGTTGTTGGAATGGAAACTTTAAATATTGTGGTCCTATGTATTGTGACGCGTGTAAGATATATATATTTTTAGGTTAGAGATAGACAGAGGGCCTTTCAAGGTACTAATCAGTAAATATAACTATCTATGGAGTGTATTCAGAAGCTCTGATTTAAAGTTCCCGAATCATATGGTCACCGATCTAGCTAATATCACGAAAAATATTAACAAGCTATTTAATTGCAACTAGCAAAGGAATACCTGTAGTTTCATACTCAAAAGCTTGATACCTATACATATTAAGAGTATGGCCAAGCAGACCCCGGTAATCTACAAGCATTTTACTAAAACTACTAAAAGCATACCTAGGCTTCAAGACTGCAAGATATTAAGCTAAGTGTTACTCTAATAGTAACTCGCTTCTATTAACATTATTTATAGATTGTAGTATGGTGAATATCGCAGCTGCTCCCTCAAGGATTGGCACCGAGTTCGAGAGAGCACATGCTAGGGCCAGAAACTAAACTCCAGTATCACTCTCCTGTAATTTGCCTGCACAGTTGTTCTGGCTGTATCCCACTAGTACTTTTAAAAATGCAACCGGCCAGGGATCCTGTTCTGGAAAGACAGATTTTTCAACTCTATAACAAGTCTCGCGGTCCATCGCCAGGGTTATGCTGAATTTTACACATACTTCCATCGGGAGAGATTAGATATTCTTAATTATAGCAGCCTATAGTATTCCTCAGGCTATTTTATAAGCGCCCTTTGCTGTTATATTCAGTGACTACTGAAGCTGTATAGGTAGTATTCTTAGTGTCTTCCTGGGGGTCTAATTAACAAGGAAATACTCTATTAGATAGAGCTGACAAGTTAGATAGGGAATAGTATTTATTAGGAGAGTCGCTTACAGATCGTGGGGTATCTATACAAGAGTTAAAGCGCTATTTACTGGAAACTGCACCAAGGTCAGATGGTTTATTCGTAAACAGCAGAGCCCCGTTAATTAAAGTGCCATGTACAGAAGACGTCTACTCTCGATATATGCTGGAAGATTATTCATGCGAGGAATCAGGAGATAAAGTAAGTGCGGGCGCGAGAACAAAATCAGCTACAGTGCCCTTTCCAGGCTGAACTTTGAAATCCTATATTCATAAGTGATTTCATGGCCTCTTGTTCCTATGCGCTGTTTTGCAAGGGGAAGATGGGAAGTTGCGCAAATGGTCATACTCTTATCTTTCCCAGCCTCGGCGAGACTAGCATACAGACACTTGCGGAGGAATAATATTCCGATCCATAAGGCCAAGCCGTAATTGGATCATCCCGGCCTTTCTGTCCCATGGTAGCAGCCCGTCATCCATTTGCAGGAAACTGTTTTGATGTCAGAATGAACTCCAAAGTGGCTCATCAAGCCACAGATCGGGCACCTCATCCTGCTGTTTTGTGATGTCAGCATTCGTTCAGGCCTCAGAGGACCGAGCCTTTACTTAGTATATTGAAGTTATAAATACCAGACCTTAAACTTCCTATCCCCTCTTGAAACCCAACTGCTACCAGACATACCTTAAGACCTGTCAAGTCAAATTCAACCCCCAAAACCAGTTCGCCATGTCTAACCGCGCCGAACGTGAAGCCGAAGACCGCTACGAGAATCTCAACGACCCATCCGCTGTCTCGAGCAGGTTCACAGACAACTCCTACGCAAAGGAAACACGCTCTGGCCTGAAGGGTCAGGTTCCCGTGCAGCGGGACTCGGCTTCGTATAACGACCCGATGCAGCCTCCCTACTCGAACACAGATCAGCAGCTTGGTATGTTTTCTTTGCTACGGTTGCTTGCCACGCATGGATTGGATGAAAGCATAGTAATGGAAGTGCTAATTACCATGAACAGCCCAGGACGAAAACGAGGCTATTGATCGCTCTAATATCCTCGGTGGTGACAGATTGAGGCATGCGAAGCCGGACCTTCAGGGGCAGTATCGAGAGGGAGAGGATGAGGAGGAGTTTCAGGACAGTTATTAACTGGATGTAATCTATACTCATTGTCGAACTATGGAAGGTGGAGGCATGAAATACACACGTATTATTATATATCCCAACGGCTCCCCTTGGTAACCCACCATTAGTACCTAAATATGTGAAGGTTCTTTGCCGCTATGCTTCATAGATTGTAAGCACGTAGACTAAATCAACATCGACGCGCAAATTTCAAGCGTAGTATTTACTCGTGGTGACGGCTCAGCATTTCCTATATCTCCTGGCTGAAAGGTAGTGCTGATATCATTAGATTATATCAGGAAGCGTCATACCAATTTCGTCATCACCATTGGGTATTAGAATGTCAACTTGAGTCAGTCGTTACTCGGTCCAGTTAATCCATAACTATACAACCGGGTTACATTAGTAACATGGGGGTCTATTAGTTTACTAGACCCTTTAGTCCTAAGCTCAGTAGCTAGTCTACTCAATGGCCAAAGAACAAATCTCTGGGCATATGTTACTCACTTCATTCGATCCTCCCATTGAGTGTATTTCACAGTTGGATCGGCAAGTAATTAGTCCCAATACATCAGAGTTATAGACATGATTCGTCATATATAACGATCCGGCTATTCATCAGCCCGGCTAGAACTTATTCCTCAGGTCCCTGCCCCGTCGCCTTTCCGCCCTTTCGACCAGCCTCCTTAGCACGCTGCTCGCCGGGCTGGAAGCTACCGCCGGAAGTCTGGCCACCCTTGGATGCAATGTCGTGCTGTAGTAATCAGCTTTAGCATCATGTCACTCTAAAGCGTGTTTAGAAGATAAGTACCTGCTTATCGGTGTCCATGCTGGCGAAGCCACTACGGTGGCTGGACTGGCCGCCCATGCGAGCGATGTTTTCGACCTCTTCTTGTGGGCGGTTAGAGAAGTTGCCGGGGTTTTGATTGTGGGCCATTTTCGCGGTGAAGTTTGGGTTAGGGTTTTTAGTGAAGTTTCGAGTGAAATTTGACAGGTGACTATGTTTGGAATTTTTTGTTATGTACTCGTCTGTTAAATAGAGGATTTGACGCTGCATTTATATCCCGCTTGAGGCCTTCGATCGAGGATGATGATGTCAAGGGTTGAGTTCATAAGGGCGAGTGGGGTTTGGTTGGGGACATCATGGTCACGTCTTGTTTGTGATATCAAGAGGGGATGTTGGTGATATTGGTGGCGGAGAGTGATGGATTATGTATATTTCCCGATTGTACTGGAGTCTAGGCTCGAAGTAATACAATTGAGGCTTGTATTTCTGGCCACTGACGGCCACTGTTTCACTAAGTGTGGGGCTTCGTTTGGACCAACGTTGATGCTCGTCATTCTTGCGCAAAGATGAGGCTCGACAAGAGCTCAATCAAAATTGTTTGTGATCACACGTTAAAAGTTTATACAGATATTTTCTAAAATTCTTGCTTACCTGGACTGGTGTCACCATCACGCCAAGTGGCAACCACCTTGTCTATCGATTTCTTCTCTGATTACCCATGGGAACATGTACGGATTGCTTCAATTCGATGAGGTCTCGGGATATAAAGAGCACTGGATAATGTTGAACGGAACTGGCGCCCGCGGCTACAAGGCGGCATCAACTCAAGCGTGCTATCGACATGTAACTATTCATGAGGGGCATCCCTACCCAGCCTTTCCTTAGCATGCTCCTTACCACTCTGTGATACGCCGGGGTTATGCATGGCACTACCCCAAGTCAGCGCAAAATTAAAAGTTATCAAGTGACGAAAACATACGCCTTCAGCCCAGCTGCCATCCTATTAGGGTCCTTATCATGGTCGCCTCGAGTACCATAAAGTTCTTCCTGGGGCTGGATTCCACCAATTTCACTATCGAGGACTCTCTGCGCATGGTCCTTGGCTTCCTGAGAGATATTCGGGTTGTTCAGGGTGCTAATTAGTTAGTAATTCTGTCCAACCTGAGGATGCTGGCCAGCTCACGCTTTATAGCCCCGCATCTGATTGAGTCACTCCTCGGTCATTTTGTCTGGAATTTCTGTATCTGATTGATGACCCGGCAGTGTATTTCTGGTGCAGGACCCAGTTGATACGGTGGCATTTTATACAATCGAACCACCGCATACCGTGGGCTTTGGTTGACATCAGCTTGTAGTAACCGGAACATCAGTTTCATACTCTTTCTCTCGTCCATAACCAATTTAATATACCCAGGACAATGCATATTCTGAGATCTGTGGAATTGCATTGAGTAACTGGCTCACCTTTGGGCATCATGCGGCATCATGCTGTATTCGTAATATAACACCTAAGAGAAGACCAAGTTCCCTAAATAGTGGATAGCGAGTATGGAACGGCCCCATCCCTTCACTATTCTTACCCTGTTGATTTGATAACATGACATCAGTTGGACCAGTCTGGCTGGCAAATATGCAGGTGCGTCCTTGGGAGGGATACGAGTGCCAGACAGGTATGTTAGCAAGCTTATGCGGACTAAAGAGAATACATTTCCCTTTCCTTACCCCGCCACGCCTGGAATTGGTTCAACTATAAATGCGGCGATTCGATGTCCGTCTACCTGAAGTGTCTCCTTCAGAACATCAAGGTCACCATATGGGATTATCCTGCCGCTAGATGGGGCATAGGGCCCAGCATTTAGCACATGCTGGCCGAAATCTGTCAAGCCAAGTGCCTGAGGTTAACCCAGTTGGAGGAACAAAGCGTCAAAGATTTGGGTCGGGGCTATACACATGTCGAAGGCATCCCGTCCACAGCCAAAGCCACCACTGACAATAGTCTCTCTGCAGCGTTCCTCCCTCTTCCCAGCCGACCTTCCGCACTTAGTTCGCCTTAGGGGAGTACATATGTGCCTCATAGCCAGTACTGGGGTCATATGACCGGTTCAGCGCGGTAGTATCACCTAAAAGCTCGTTTCAGTCAGTTTTATAATAAAGTTACAACTAGGTAGTTTTTACCTAAACTGATACCTGCTGAATCGTTTGCCTCTGGGACTATTTAGATGCAAGGAAATCTGGTTGTTAGTATTTCAACCGAGCTTTTGTATATTTTATATATATACGCTTTTCCTTGTTATAACATGTATATCACTCTTAGTAGTTGAGGCTAGATAGGAAGTTAGTCACGTTATATAGAGAGGATAAGGAAATTACAGGGTATATTATTATCTTAAAACTATTATTATCTTAGGCTAATCTAATTTGCGACTATGCAAGGATATATCTTTCCTACTTCAAGACCCAGAACGCCTTGATCCACTCGTTTATATCTTTCTCTAGTCTAAAGAGAGAATTATTTAGATATATACTATATCTTAACTTTCTTATACACGTTCAGAAAAAGCACGTATATGTCATAATTCTAGGTTAAGGGTTGCGGACTTTGCGGGGAGAGTTTGCTTATGTTATCTCTTGCCACTCTTCGCCAGTTACAATATGGGTCGCGTTTCCTGCGTGAATATATTTATACTACTGGAAAAAGTGGAAGGCGGTATACTGTAGTTATATGTACGCTGGGCAATAGAGAAACCTTCTTGAATTCTTGCTTCGTTTTACGCGCTTTTCGTGGCATGGTGGCTAGTTGAAGTTGGTGGATGGTTGACGCGTTTGATATTTTGGAGTTGCGCGAACCGACCGGGAATACGTTAGTTAAATGTCATAATTGACCTGCTGGAATGGTTGTGGATTGATCTACCAGCAGTGTGGAGCACCGGGATATCAAACATGGCCGGGCCAAGAGACAATCGATCATCCTTTACAGTGTATAAGGGTCAGATGTGGTGAACAAGTAGGGAGATTAGTGAGTAATATAATAGATATAGTAAATAAAAAATACTAATAAGCTTTTATTTGCGCCTGTTTGAGATCTAGAATTAAAGATTTAAAATTCTTATACTTAGATATACTTAATTTAAATATACTGTGGGTCGAGAAATGTTGAAATTATATACTAATTTTAATATATTACCTTTCTTTAAATATATATAATATGGTACTGATATCTACTCTGATAAAAGCTCTTAAGCAGCTCTTCTATTTCTATTAATTTCTATCCCGAAGGCCCTCCTATTGGTAGAGTTGTGAATTGATGAAGTTGGTCGAGGAAGTTGACGCGTGGGTCACGCGCGGAATGTGGCACCCCCCTTGTACGTTTGTTCCTCCCTTGAGCCGCAAGGCCAGGGGTCTTCCGCAAAGTTCTTCTGTTCAGTCAGAGCAGGTCTCCTGAATATCCGGTCACACACCTCTCTGTTACATTCTCTGCTCCCTATCCACACTGCTCTTCGTTTTTTTGACCATATAAGTCATCCAGCATGGCTACCATGACGTGGGTGTGGTTGCTCTTGCTCTCGGTGCTGCAGGTTGTTCGAAGTGATGAAACAGCCAGAGGTAATTGGATTGTGCCTGACGGAAGCAGCGACAAGGACTTCCAAGAGACCTTCTATAATAGAGACAAAGTGCATCTCCAATGGGCCGGCTGGGACCATTACTACACAGATATATTGTTGAACGGCAGCACCCAAGCCAATCTGTACGTGGTTGCATGGGAGGAAAAAGATGCCAACTATTCCAGACTTCTTGCGTGTACGCAATCCCGAGCCCCGAATCATTTGATACCGGACTGACAGGCTCACCGTACACAGCTTCGCGGAACGTCTCGGGCCCTGGATCACACGAGTGGGCAATCAGCATTGACAACGAAACCCTAGCAAAGACCAACAGGTACTGTGTTGCCTTTGCGCAAACGCGCTATGCCTATTCCGACGATGGGGACAACATCTTTTCACCAGGATTCATCATTCGGAACAGGCCGACGCCCTCACCGACACCAAGCCCGGAAGCCGAATCATCGCCCAGTGGGCTCCAGACCGGCGCCAAAGTTGGAATCGGTGTTGGCGTGGGAGTCGGCAGCCTGGCTGTGTTTTCTGCGTTTGGATTTCTCCTTCTCCAGCTTCGACGACGACGTCAGGCATCATCACAAGCGATGGCTGCAAGCCCGCAGGGTGCTGGTCCGGGTTCAGAACAAGCACTGGGCAAGGGCTACTACCAGGGACAGATGTGGAACAGGGACTACTACTATGGTGTTAACCAGGGGCCGCCGGAGCTTGATGTACCGCCGGTTGACTCCCTCACTGAGGCACCATCAACGTCTACGCCACCGGCTGAATTACCAACAGCACCCCTCGAGAAGTAATATGGAGGAATACTTTGGTTAAAGTTTGGCGGTTGCTTACTCTGGCTGAATGTATTCGGCCAGGGAGCGTGTATAATAAGTATAATAAAACAGCTATCGGCATTTAATAGACAGCAAATTGAATATCACAGGTTTCAAAGGCTGCCCGAAGTCACCATCCTGGTTAATACAGATAATGACCATTGACAATCCACCGAATCATGTTCAGTTCGACCAAAATTATTTGTTGATGCGTTCTTCGGTTAACCCTAAAGCTCGGGCTTCCGGGTTGATGCGCAATGCTGTCGCAAGAAAGCCCCCTGGAGCCATGCACATGTCAAGGATAGAGTGTTTTCTCGGATCTGGGCTTTCGATTCGGAAGACGCCGGTAAGCTGCTGCATATTGTATCCAATCTCTTCCATCATTTTGTAGAAACGCTTGATTGTCTTTTTGTCGGCGTGATCAGCAGTTCGGCGCTGCTCTGCAAAGAATCGATCGCCTTCTGGATTATCCCACCCCTAGTTAACTGATCAGTTCAGAATATCTGGGAGAAATCCAATGAGTACTAACCTTTTTCCGGAGTTCAGACAATCGCCGGAATTCTGGAACTTCGTGAATTAGATACTCTGATATGACTTTAGTGGGTCTCTGGGCTCTGCAATCATGAAGGCTCGGTGTGTCTCCATCCCATGCTTCGTGAGGAATTGGATCAGATTTATTGTCAACATCCATCGTGAAAGCATGGGTTCGAGTTCCTTGAAGTTCTGTAGGTGAAGACATCTATACAGCAACCTAGAAGATGAACTTATCCGTGTTGGAAAAAGGGCCCGGCTTTGTATAGATTATTCTAGTGAACAACTAAGTATTATCTAATATATAAATTATGCATCTAACCCTCTGTGTATTACGTGTTGACATGGTAATGCAGCTACATGAAAACAGTTACCTGGTTCCAATCAACGACTGGGGTTATCTACCATGGCGATCACAAATATCCCTTATAACATCTGTTAAGGTCTTATAGAGAAGTGCTGAACAGGAAGATAATCAATAAAACAGAGTAACTAGCTACAAACATGCGACATCCTCCAGCGAGGATAACCCCTGCCGGTACAAATACAATGGAGATGGAGAATTATTATTATCGAAGGATCATCGGGGATGTACTCAAAATCGAAGTCGCCAATAATGATAACTATGATGGGGTGAATGAAGACCACCCGGTAGAGGATTTCTTAAAAAAAAAAAAAAAAAAGGCTTATTGTCAGGGATTGGAAAGCATGAGCTTATAACGAGAACAATAATCAAGAATAAGAATAGAGAAATGCGCACTAGATCAGCAGACCACGGGCGGGTTATTATAGAGGTAAATAGGGCTGCCGCGGAGCTCCAGATACCCCGAAACGAGATAATAAAAATAGCTGACTTCCGACGCGTCCTAAAGCAAAATCTGGGGCATGTTTGCGATTGACCCAGGGACCTGGCCAGTTTATACCACAGTATGGGCGTTCACTGCATTGGATAGCTGGTTTATAAGCGTTTGCTCTAATATATTCTCTTAGTTTGTAAATAGTTTAAAAGATAATATAGCACTACTATTCCCGTAAATTGTTAATCTGTCTTTTTATTATAGATTGTACTCTAGAATACCTGTATTGTGCCTTGACTTCTTCCAGGATACTGCTCTGAGAATAGTCTTGCTACCTGTAACTAAGGCTGACCCTCTTTCTTCTTTAGTTTCAGTAGAAGGTCTATCTTTTCTCAGGACTATATAATACCCTTTCTTGATCTTCCTCTGGCCTTCCTGCAATCACTCCAGTTTGGTTTAATTATATAGGGGCTTAATATTTATTATTTATATAATAAATAAAGTATTTATTATTAGATTATACAGGAAAACCTTACTTATTACTAGTATTATAATAAACAGAGATAAAGAGGCCTTATATAGCTATATTTAATAAAAAGGACATATACTCCTTTCATTTTGAATCTGTAGAGACTTTTCCATAGGTATAAAGTTCACTGTCTGACCTGAATATGTCACTGTCCCTGAGATGCCCTCGGCGTCGACCACCTGGTTATAAAGAAAAGCCCGCCAGCAACGAAATTTATGGCTGGAATGATCATATACTAGGCAGCGGCACCTGTGCCCGAGGCAGAAGATAAAGAGGTTGTTGAGGTAGCAATTATTATTGGCATTCCATTTCTTTGTTGAAATCTATATGAGTAATAGCCATCATATCTCCCGTGTCTATACTACTAACGGGTTGAATGTAGCCCTAAGCGCTTCATGTGATGTCTTATTGTACTGCTTTTCTAGCTTCCTCGAGAGGTTAGATTTGGGTAATGTACTAGGAGTCGAGTTAATCAATAAAGCAGTCCAATAACACTGCTATAGGTCTACCTAGACATAGGGTATGTTATATCCTGGATTTGAATATTCCCGAAATGTAGATAAGTTTAGGATGAACATAGTTTGCAGGGATATCAGATAAGCCGGCTTGTGCAGCTACATCGAACCCTATAAATAATATCTGCTGCGTTTCTTGCATAAATAAATCTACACCATTCCATGAATGGTAGAGTAACTTATGATTCGGATATTTTTCCGTATCACACCATCACGACGACGGCCAGGTCGATTCGTCAACGCATTCGACATCTTTACTCCAGATGACTCTATCGACCCCGCCTCAGATATATCAAGGCCGAACCCTCACAGGGAGGAAAACACAGAACATAATAATATCAGCAAAATGACATCCATCCGAGAAGGTGGCCCAGCCCTAAAAACCCCCCTCGACTTCCCCAACAGCCCCCTCTCCCTCGCCCAGCACCAACCCCTCCTGCTCGGCGTCTTTCTCGACCTCCAAGACCGCAACCTCTCCACCTACCCAACAAGCAACACCTGGGCCTTTGATTACAACCTCTCCATCGTGCAAAAGGCCGAAGCAGCCGGGTTTGAAATCGCATTCAGCCGCATGCAATGGCTGCCCAAGGGCGGATACGACGGGGAAGCGTCACTAGATTCCTTCATAGCCCTAGGCGCAATGGCCGCCGCAACAAGTCGGATACTGCTTATTTCTACAATACACGTTCTCTACGGCCCCTTGCATCCGCTGCATATCGCTAAATACGGCGCAACACTCGACCATATCTCGAAAGGACGATGGGGGGTGAATATCGTCACCGGGCACCGGGCAATCGAGCACCAGATGTTCGGGTGGAACCGGATCGAACATGACAAGCGCTATGAGATGGCGGGGGAGTTCTTTGACGTGGTGAATAGTCTGTGGGGGGAGACGGAGAATATCACGTACGAGGGCAAAGTGTCGCCGTGGAAATTGGAGAATGCGTGGGTGACGCCGAAACCGCTCTTTGGACGGCCGGTTCTGGTGAATGCGACAGGCTCGCCGGCGGGTGTGGATTTTGCTGTCAAGTATTCGGATTTGGTGTTTATTACTTCGCCTGGGGGTGCGGATATTGAGAGTGCGTTGGAGACGCTGCCGGGGCACATTAAGGGTATTAAGGATGCGGCGAGGAAGGCGGGGAGGGAGATTAAAGTATTGATTAACCCTGTTATTGTCTCGAGGGATACGCCTGAAGAGACGGAGGAGTATTTGAAGGGGATTGTTGATGGTATTCCAGGGGATACGAATGAGACGAAGACGTTCAGGAGTTATGATAGCGATGCCCATGCGTGGCGAGGACAGAATGGCCCGCGAAAAAATGGGCATAAGCTTGGGGGTAACGTCGAGGTTATAGGCTCACCGAAGGAGGTTGTTGAGCAGCTTGCAGGGCTGCATCGATCTGGCATTGATGGGCTGCAGTTAGGGTTCTACGACTGGGAGGTGGACTTTGACCACTTTCTGGACAAGATTCTTCCCCTTCTCAAGGAGGCTGGACTTCGAGTTTAGAGGCGAATAGGGTCTTCCTGGATACATTAAACTGCCTTTATATACTTTCTTTAATGTTACTGTAGATACGATGTTCATCAATTCCCACCACGGAAAGCCTTGCGACTCCACATGTTACAGTGGATAACCTCGGTCGTTGGGAACCGAATTGTTGGGGTTAAACCAATAACAGAGTAACGACATCATTGATATCCACATGTAGATCAGAGCCATAAGTTAAAAGACCGTCCCTGGCCCCTCCGATTGTTGCATCTTCTAGACTAATTCCTTCCACTATACTCCCACCCAACAAGATGTCCTCCATCGCCACAAACCACGGCCTCATGCCAGGTTCCAAACCAGAAGACCTAACAGCCTGGTACCTAGTCATCAACGCCCTCTGGGCCTACGCATTCTCCTCGGCCCGCGGGCTCAAAATGCTCTACAAGATCGACAACCAAGTCAGCCCGCGCGGCGATCTCGACAAGTACGGCCCCCGCGCCGTCTCAGAGGGCAAACTCACCCAAGCCCAGCTCGAGCGGCTGAAGCGCAATGAAGCAGCCCACGCAAACTCAATGGACCATTTCCCTGTCTTTGCCACGGCACTCATCCTGGCAAAGGTTGCGGGGCTGCCGACTGCGGATGTGAACTTTGCGGCGCTGGCGTATACCGGGTTGAGGTTTGCGTTTTGGGGGAATTATGTGTTTAGTGCGACGTTTGGGTGGGCGGCGCTGAGGCCGTTGTTTTGGTGGGGGAGTAATATTGTTTGTTTGAGGTTGATATGGCGCGCTGGGAAGGTGTTTAATGGTGTTGCGTGAGAGCTTCATTGAGATGTATGTTTGATACATTCTGAGGGACAGTGCATAAGGTGATGATCAGTATGATATCAATATTCGGGTCTCAGTATTATACGAATTGATGAATGTCAAGCAGTGATGCCGATTCCACACAGTCTCAAGGTTAATCAAGATCTGTAATGGCCAAGTTAGATGGTAATTTCATTACTGAAGCAAGACAACGGCTGCGTATGCAGATGCCAGTAAGTTTCCGCAGCCTGGATGGCGGTCTTAGTTACTATTCACTCCTATCAAATTAAGAGGCAACTCACAGATTCCGGATTTGGTCTATTTGAAGCCTTATACTTGACATGGCAGACGTGGATACCTTTCTTCCCAACCTCCCGTCCCAGACTACGCGACAAAGCAACTAGGGCACCCTCGTTGATCTCATCCGAGTAGGAATTCCCAGACGCCCCGGAAAATATCAACGTAGGGGGATACCCCGACCCATCGGCGTGATTTAGTAGTAGCGGTAGTGTCTGCCGAGAAAAGGCGTAGGCATTTTTAATTGGTGATATGGCGTTTTGGCGAAAATCGACAGCAGTCTGCTCGAGAAAGCCGGAAGCTACAATTGGGTCATTCCGCAATTGGAATATTGCCGCGGCGCATCGATTGCCAAAACGGCGGGTAATGGTGGAAATAGGGGTAGAGAGTTCGGTGCTGGAGAGGTCTGCTTTGAATACTTCTACCTCTCCGTCTGCATCTTGGACTGCTTTCACCGGTTGATCTGGGTTGTGTTGAGCATCGCAGAGGAATGCGATGGGGTAATGAGGTGCAAACCGCAGAGCGATTTGAGTGTCGGTTTCAGTGCCTGTTCTGTTAGATGAATGTAATGAATCGAGGAGAGGCTTACCAGTGGCCAGTATAAGCACAAAGGGCGACATGGTGACGGTTGAGAAGGATCTCAGCTTGACAGCTGGTTGCAGTTATACACTTATTAAGGATCATATGAAATGGTTATAAATGCGTCATAGATTAGTGATCAGCCTCGGCAACCCTAACTGCATCTTGGCTGCTATAAAACCAGATACTCGTCATATTACTTCACCCATAACTGAAATGGACCAACCCTTCGCCATCATAGCCGGAGTCGGCAAGTAGCCCATCACCTCCGGATTCCCCTTACTGACTATTCAAGGCGCCGGAACTGGTGCCGCACTGGCCCGGAAATTCGCCAAACAGTACCCCGTCGCACTACTGGCAAGGTCCACGGATTTCGCTCGCGAGCTGGCCTCCGAGATCGAGGCAGACGGGGGTACCGCTGCCAGCTACCAGGTTGATATCTCGGATGAGGCCAGCGTGGAGCTCGCCTTTAATGGTATAAAAGAACGGTTCGGAACAAAATGCGCAGCCGCCATTTTCAACGCCAGCAGTCGACCATTTCCCAAGCCGTTCTTGTGGCAGTCTGACGATGACCTAAGCAATGCTCTTGATATTTCTGTGTGCGTAATCTTTCAAAACGATATGCGGAGTTGCTGACTAGTACGGAACAGAACCGGGGCATATCTCTTCGCCCAGGCCGCACTACCCCTTCTTCTATCCGCTAGAAGCGGCGGTACAGATCCAGATATGATTCCCACAATAATATTCACCGGGGCCACAGGCTCCGTGAAAGCAAACGCCTGGATGCAGCCATTCGCCATCTCCAAGCACGCACTCAGAGCACTGACACAAACTCTCGCCCGCGAGTTCGAGCCGCAGGGGGTGCATGTTTCGCATGTGATAATCGACGGCGTCATTCGTATGCCTTTGACGTGGTGGCTGAAGCCGTTTTCATCTTGGGACGCTAAGCTGGACCCTGCTGCTGTAAGTTGGAGATTCGAGATAGCATTGCTTGTTTTGCTGATGTTTGTGCAGATTGCGGATAGTTACTGGTATCTTCATACGCAACCTTTGGCTCATATGACACCCGAACTTACTATTCGGCCGTATTGTGAGACTTGGTAGTATAGAATTGACAATGAAAACCGTATAGATTGGGTGATTTGATTCCCAATCCTAGGCGTAGACGATGTATAGCGGAGAAGCGGCATGTTTGTAAGCGTTCCCGGGAAGCCAATTATACGATGCCTGCCACCTAGACTATAAAGAAATAATAATCCTTAGCTGTGTTCCACAAGTTAATATGTATTACGGAACAGCCGAAGTATGCATGAGTGGACCCTGTCGGCTTCGGCTGCAACCTTATCATGACCACCGGCATCGGCTTCAACTCCCGAGTCGGGTCTGCCGAGGAGGTTGGAACTTTCATTCAGTCTGCTTTAAGTCTCTAACGTTAGACCAAACAAATCATTGCTCTCCTTCCCTGACGTTTAAACATGTCTACCCAAAGCCATGCCGACACCCACACCGGAAAATGTCTATGCGGAGGAATCACTTTCACAGTTCAAGGCCCGCCGAACGCCGTTTACTGCTGCTACTGTAAAGACTGTAGCTTAGGCGCCGGGGGACCCTGCCAGATAGTACGTTGCCAATAAGACACCAAGCAATGAATGAACCTTTGCGATCTTACAATAATTAGACAGCAAGTTACCCTTCATCCGAGTTCACATTACAAGATGCAGATGGCCTAGCTACCAGATTCGCAATCCCCGGGACTGTCAGTGGAAAGCCAAAGGATAAGTACTTCTGCAGGCGCTGTGGATGTACTCTATTCACGATTCCGTTTGCTGTGGGCCTGAAGGAGATTGTTATTCGGCCGGCTTTGGTTGAGAATGGGTACGTACTATTTTCAAGACAAGGTTTACTGTGTTAATTGTAGGGGATATAGGTTACATATATTCAGGCCGTCTATTGAATGTTTTGCTGAACGACGCCCGGAGTATTTTTCTGCTTGTGAGAATGCTGTGCAGTATCAGACGTCTTGAGTGCTATACCAAGTATATTTGCAATTCCTTGGCTTCGTTATGGCTTTATATGCCTCTGAAAAAAATCCACAAAGTCAAAGATACTCCTCTTAAACCTCCTCTTAAATGTCCCATCAGTCCTATTCACAGTTTGCAGCCCATACTGCTCCTCAAAGCTCCCCCACTCATTATTATCAATATAACTCTACAGCCCTGAGTATCTCACTCAGAAATCCCTCGTAGTATAAACTCCTTTCAAGGTCAAACCGCTGCGCATCCCCCGACCGCTCCGCCTCGCCAAACGGGTTAAACCCAAACTCGCACACCATCACACCACCAGCAGGCCGGAACGTATCCCAGACATACTTGAGCTGCTGCCGGACATACTGCGGCGCAAGTGCAGAGTATGCACTCCCTGCATGCCCCAACAACCATCCGTCCGCTTGCACAGGGGTCGTGGTAACGCACTACGCCCAGGCGGTGCCAGACGGGCTCTCTGCGCAAGCTTCGATTCCTTCTTCTGCTGGAGCCGCGAACTGCGCGACGTACGGATCGAAGGCCCAGAAATCCATCGTCGATAAAATCAGGGAGTAAGGAATTGTTGTTAATAACTGGGAATATGACCATAGCAGTCACCTAGGGCTAGACAGTCCTAAACTACGGGGGGTCATACCAAACAGGAAGTCAACAACTAGCCATAACATCACTAAATATCCCTGAATATGATTCCAATTTACTATCCACGTTATATGCGACTTCAGTGCCAAAGGGAAAAATAATAAAGGGAGACATTGGCTTATTTACCAATTCCCCCGCTCAGTGGTAGTTCTTCGATCCGAAGCAAGCACGCTCAGGCACGGGCGAACGGACGACCAGACTCAACACGAGCTCTGTGCAGATCTTGGCCTGGTTGCAGAAGCATGAGACAAGGCTGCAGAGGACCCATCCAGCTCTCGTATTCAGCCCATGTGGATAGACGAACACAACAAAACTTGGAAAGATTGACGATCCTCGTATCGATCGGCTCGTGCGGATCGAAGCGAGATGAAGGACCATTTCTATATTTATCTGTTCCTCGTATTCTTAGAAATCCAACCGAGGCTGAGAGTACAAAGTAAACTATTTAAAGCTCGCAATTCCTGTGCAGTTCAAACCACAGATCCCAAGTCATTCAATCATCACCATGCGAGTCAGCACAATCTTCACAGCCCTAACAGCGGCCGCCACCGCGCTGGCCCAGATCCCCTCATCCAAGCGCTTCGATCTCTCAACGCCCTCCCACGACCTCTGGCGACACAAGAAAACTGCCGCCTACACCGTCCAGCAATCCATGACCTTCGACAATGTCAACCGCCGCCTCTTCATCGTCAACCGCCGCGACGGGACCAGCACCACCTCGGGCGACCTCACCATCAGCGAGGTCGATTTCTCCGGGAAACTGCTCGGATCCATGGACCTGATCGCCTGCGGACACGGGGTGAACATCGCCGCCGAACCCGTCGGCAAGGAGACATATATCTGGTCCGAGACTGACGCCGCAAAGAGCGGGTACGGGACGGCGCTGTGGCGGTTTAAATTCGAGGACGGCAAGACGCTGGATAGTTCCAAGGACGACAGGGAGCGGATTAAGCCACTGGACGACAAGTTCGAGCGCGGCACGGCGACGATTGATCCTGTCTACGAGCGGTTCGTTGCGCGGTATCAGTACAAGGGGAAGATGAATATTGCTGTTTGGCCGCTTGACGATGCGAAGGAGGGCAATTTCTCGAGCCCGCTGGTTGATTGGGAGATTCCTAATGTTAAGGATGATCTGGGTGCGATGACTGGTGTGAACCAGGGCTATGCTGTGTATGGGCAGTATCTTTATATTCTCACTGGGGAGTCGTACGAGGCGAGTGGGGGGAAGCTCAACTCAGAGGTCTTGTCAATGGATCTCAATACTGGGGAGCTGGTTCAGGGCCCTGTTGTCACGAAGGCCGGATCGACGCTGGAGTTTCGTGAGCCTGAGGGTCTGGCGATCTACAAGACTGAGGATGGCGAGGCGCGTCTCTTCTTGGGATTTTCGTCTGGGAAGGCTGGTGACCGCCGCAGTAATCTGTTCTATAAAAACGTGTTGGTATAGATTCATTCAAGGACTCCATTTAGGCTTGTCGTATATAGTTTATCCAGTATACTATAGTGAAATTCTAGAATAGTTTTTCAGTAAAGCACGTTTACCCTGGCTGACAGACCAGCCATCATAATGCCATAATGCCACCATATAAGGTTTGTGTAACCAGAAACCAAGTAAACCACTGTTAATCTTCAAGTTATGATAGGGCAGGTCTTAGCCCTCCTTAGTGTATACCGCTTCCACGCTCTCATTCGTGGGTCCCCAATGTGGGTGTCAAAGAAAGATGGTTATACAACGACCAGCTGGGTAGCAATTCATAAAACCATTTTGGCGCTTTCTCAAGCTTGAGGTGGCTTTGAAGAACATTGTGAAAGCATGGCTTGTTCCAGCACAGTATTGTAGAGAGGGAAAGGAGAGCTGTGTGCTCCTCTGTTAACGCCAGCCTGTATCAGAGACATCCCGCCTTGTAAGGCATCGTGAAGTATATTGAGACCAAAGAAAGCAGCATCAAACAGAATCAGATCCCAAGACGTTCTTTATCCAGCTCTGGGTTAAAAGCAACCATCTATTCAGCCATTCCCTCCATCATTAATGCTTCTTGCATCTATTTTGCCTGTCAACACCCATTTTCCATCTTGAATATCGTTCTTACTTTTACCGAGCCAGTTCGCTATTCCAATATATCAAAAGAAAGTCACAGTCGTCACCAGTATTACCAACTTTCATCTCCAAACATATTGTAACATGTCGTCAACCCATACACCTCAACAACCGTCCAACCAAAGCGAACCGGCTGCCTCAACCTGCAGCTCACAGCCGGATGCCAGCACTACAGTCTCAGAGCGAAATCCGCTGAACAAAGGCGATAGCGAGGGGGCCGACGAGAGCACAGTTGAGCACAAGCATTTAACAGGGTGGTCCACTCAGCCCAGTACCTCTACCAAGGCGTCCGACGAAGAAGAAACTGAGGAGATGGCCCTGCAAACCGCCCAGTCCCGGTTTGCAATCGCCCTAAGCAATGGAACCCCATTTGAGTTGACCTCTCGCCAGTTCCAGGCTGTGGCCAAGGCGCTGGAGAAGTCCTGCACGATGAATTCACCAGAAGGGACATCCTGGACATCCTCCGAACGGCGGGTTCGATTCTTAGCCCTAATAGGCGACTACGCTGGTCGATTATTCAAGGAGATTCGCCACGCAGCCAGGAAGCAGGAGGGATGTCGACCCTTCCCTCGGACCGCTAAAGACCTGCGACAGAAGATGGAGGAGGATCTGAAGGCGGCCGAACATCCTATGCCAGAAGGTTCCCTCAAGGAGAAATCCATGTCGACGACTGAGAAAGTTCGCAAATGCATAGATTACCTGAACGCGAATTCCACTGAGGTAAGGGCACTGGATTTGGACAACAGTACAGTTTTGTTAGCCGCCCAGCTATATGAAGAACGAAATCAAGAATTCCATTGCCAGGTCAGAAACGGTAAATCCGAAGCTCAGCGTATCAGCGAGGATCACCAACGCAAGGTCGATAACAACCGGGGGTGGTATTTCGACACGGAAAAAGCAGGGGACAAGTTATTTATCGAGAGGATCCAACGGATCATGGCCTTTTACCCGGCAAGCACGGAGAAACCCTAGATAGGAGTGACGAGAGACTGAGTACGGGAGATTGTTTTGAGAAATCATAGCATTGCATTTCTTCTAAATAGAACTACACTAACAAATATGACCTTAATACCCGCTATCAGTATCGCTAAAATCGCTTTCCGACAGCTCCACCTTAATACAATCAGGGCCGCCAATATCGCTTTCCAGTGGCTCCACGTTAAGATAAACGTGGCCCTCGCCAGGCGCATCTTCAATCCGCCTGTCAGATGCACGCTCCATGCAGACGTGGATGTGGCCCTTCTCATCAGTCCCCACCTCAATAACGTTGCCGATCCCAAGATAGAGCTTTGCTGGGGCCACCAGTTTAGCGTCCTCTTCCACCTCCGGGGTCAGGTCGTTACGCGGGTTAGAGGGAAGCTGATCTTGGGGCATCCAGTCATCGGTGAAGAGGTGAAAGAAATCATACTCACCACCCTGCTTGCCCGGTATCGGCTCAACGTAGGTGTAGAAATCTCCCACTATGTTGAGGCCAGTCTTAATCACTCTACCAATACCGCAATACCACTGTCCATTTGGCGCAATGTATGAGCCAAGGTCCTCTGTGCCGAGCTTTGCGTCGCAAGGAAAGGGCCGTCCCCGATGGTCTGTCTTTTTCCCCCTTTCCAAGGTTTGCGGGTCATCAAAGGGATAAGGCGCACTGGGAATATTCTTCTCGTCCATGGGCCTTTGAAACCAAGGTTCGATGAACTGATATTCGTCTCCATGCTTACCTGGTATAGGCTGCACATAGATAAGACTATAATCGGGTCCTCCGCGAACCTCGAGAACCTGGCCTACGCCATGATACTGCATCAGATCCGGCGCTATATACGCCCCAAATGCTTCGTCGCCGGGCTTTGGAAGACCGTTATCTCGCCCCTTTCGGCTGTATTTGGACCTTTCTGGCCTTTCCTCGGGTGCCGGCGTCGGATAATACTCTTTTGGCATGGGCTCACCTGTAACGGCGTCATGGAATACGTGCTCGGCGTCCAATATGGGTCTGACACGAAAGTACATGCTACCATCGGGAGCATACCCCTTTTCACTCACCTCTCCAAACCCAACATACAGGTTTCCATCGGGGGCGTCGTACGGCCCAGAGGTCTTTTCGTAGAGCTTCGGAAGTTGGCTATGGCGATCGGGCCATATCTTGTTAGTCTTGCTAGCCATACTAAGCAGTCAATCGAGATGATGAATAAAACTATTACAGGCTTTTCATCGAGTGTGGAATCTTTGAGGAATTTATGCATGCTGTGTTCTAGGACGAACAGACTTTGAATGAAATCCTTTGTGTGCCTATTCATGCCTTTGTTTGTCAAAAGTCCTCCGCAGCCTTACGGTAGGATTTGCTCGGTAGTGCCTTTGTACTATTCGGGGCTTATTTGATATGAGCGAAACGCATTCGTCAAAGAATGATTGTAGAATAATCCCCGAAGAGGATTGATACAGGATCAGAATAATTCCTTCTGATGGAACAGGTTTCATGACTTTATTTCGATAGGCCTTTATGAATCTTAGCTCATCCAACATCATCTCCAACTATCCTCAACGTCGTTAAAGGTTCTTTATCTCATTAAGCACGCCACTTGGACTGCCAACCCTCAGTATCAAACGGCCATCCCACCAGTCCGAGACTAAGCTCTGTACCCTGTTCAAGCTCTCCACCTCTCTGTTTCAACTCGTCCACATCCCAGTTCGCATAAAGATACTTCCCCCTTAGGAACCGCGCCTCAGAGCTCGCAAGCCACACATTGAAGCTGCCGGGGAGAGAAACTAGCCAATCACCAAGTCAGTCAGTCAACCCCAAGAAGAGACCATAACCTCCATAGAAGGAGTCTGTCTTTTTAACATACCATGATCTTCATATCCCACCGCCTTAACCCCACCCGCAGCACGATTCATCTCCGTATCCACAACCCCGGGCTGGATATGGAAAACACTCCACCGCGGATTCGCAAACCCGACCATATCCCACAGCCGGAAAACAGCCAGCTTAGCAATACTGTAGGACGCGAAGCGGGGGCCGTAGTTCACATGCGCCGCGTTGCTATTGACGTCGATGATCACCGCGTCGGGGGCCGCGAATCGAGAGAATGCTTGCGCGACGTGCAATGCGCCGCCGAGGTTGATGTTCACCCCGTTTAGGAAGTCCATGGGGTCTACATCTTCCACGCCTTCGAATGGGCCGGTTGCTGCGGCGTTGCTGACCAGGATGTCGATGTCGATGGTGCTTTTGGTGCCGCTATCGCTATTGGTAGAGACGAACTTCTCGAACGCTGCGTCGACTTCGCTCTGCTTGGTCACGTCGGTGGAGGCTACAAATACCTTGGTGGTCTGGCCGTACTCCCGCTCGATCGCGGCTTTGGTGTCTAGGAGTGGTTGGGTCCGGCGGCCGAGGAGGGCGATTCTGGATGCTCCTGCTACGGCAAAAGAGCGGGCTGTTTCGGCGCCAATTCCTGTGCCTCCGCCGGTAATCAAGACAGCCTTTCCTTTTGCGGAGAGAGAGGGTTTGGTCGGGGAGATGGAGGGATAGGAGGTTGAGTGCCAGGTGCGGGTTGCAGATGGGAAGGGTGCCATATCGGTAGCGATATCTTAGGTGAATAGAGTGCAGTAATTTGCTTGAGAAACATGATCCGGGCTCTATGTTGAGTCGTTATATAGCTGTAACGGAGCGTACAATATGAAGCTACAAAATGTCCCGCCCGCCATCAAGTTAGGGCTAACCTGGCCCGCTCCGTCATCGTTGCTGACAAATGCGTCTATTCATTGAATCCCCTCCTTCTGGGGCAAACCCTCCTAATTTCTATCCTCATTGCATCCCTTTTGAACTGCGGCGGTACAATTTGAAATGGAAGTTGGACGGGAGATACAATCTGTCCTGCGCTGTGGGCTGTGCAACAAGCCGTTCGACAAGCGTGCGTCCACATCAGCCTCCTAACTCTTGCTGAGTGCTGACGCTTTTTAGAATCAACGCTAAAGAGGCACGGATACTACTGTCGGTCAAGAAGAGCCGGGCCGACTACGAGGTCGCGGTCTTGTATTTCCTGCGCTCGGCGAAAGGCTCGGTGTGATAACAAGCGGCCCGAGTGCTCCAGGTGTTCAGCCAAGGGCGTGGAATGCCATTATCCAAGCTTGACACCGAGAAATAAAGACAGCAATGTGCCTTCGACGACAGCTTCTGCTGCTGGTTCCGGATATCCTCTTGGGGGCGATCCGGCGCTCACCATAGCAGACCCTGAGCCCTATTCGGGGATTGTGAATCCCGAATTATCCAGCGAAGTCGATCATCTCAATTGGGATGATTATGATACTGGCCTTGATCTTGATTTCACCGGCTTTGACTTTCTGGTCCCTATGCTCCAGGCAAACGAAAAGCCAGCTGAATATCAGTATCCAATACCCACTTCACTCCCCACGGACACAGTTCATCATTCAACACCTTCTCCTTTTTCAGCTGGCGCAGTCCAACCCCAGCAATTTTATCCTCAATCGACGATCCCACCCCTCCCAAGCCTCCCTCGCCTTCTGATCTATCGACCGGAATCAACCACCGGTGGGAAGAGAACAACAAGTCTCATCCTGCACACCCTCAAGTCCTACCTCGTGATGATGCTGCGCGAGAATACACTCCCCCCATTTATCCATCCTCACTCAGCACATTCATCTTCCCTTCCGCCGGATATGCGCGCCCAGGATAGCTACAACCCGCTAGGTAACTGCATATCCCTAGTTCAAACACTCAGCGCCTCCCGGGGAAAGAACAGAAAATTATTCTGGGGGTGTGTCCAAACCGAATGTACCAAGATGTGCTCAAGAGACTACCAGTCCAAGCTAAATAGGTGGGAGCTGCTAGGCGCAATGCAGGCGCTGTCAGTGTATATTCTCATTCGGCTGGACGAGGGGGAGACCAAGGACAATAATTTGGATTTTCTGTTTCTGGCTTCTGCTACTGTACGTTCCTCCATTCTCTGATTTATCTTAGTACTAATGGATTCGGAAATGCCAGGCTATTGCTCAACAGCTGTGCAGTGGTGATGCTGCTCACGACATCACTGCCGGGCTCTACAATAAGGATGAAGGAGTAACCTGGATGGGGTGGATCTTCGAAGAATCGAGACGACGGTTATCCATAGTCTACCGAATCATCAACATGCTTGTATACTTCGAACCCGCGGCCAGATGCGACCTCCCAACAGATCTAGTCCTTGCGCCACTGCCGGCAAAGAAGCCCCTCTGGGAGGCAAACGACGAAGTTGTGTGGAAGGCTGAAACCGAGAGTGCCCCCAGGCTTCATCAGACGGCGTTTGGGATAGCTGTGAGCGGCAGTCTAGTTAGGTTGGATAAAGAGAATGGCTGTCGGGAAGATGATGTTCTATCTCATATGGCTTTGGACGCGGGGAGTGTCTCTAGGAATCCTGCAGATTGGGAGGAGTGGTGTTCTGGTATGGATGGGTTTGGGGGGCTTGTTATGCTTGCTGCTTCGTTGGTTGTATAGTTTTTATGGACAGGGGGTTAGATACAAGAACTGCCTTGACACGGCTTTCTGCCTGTTCTTTTATTGAGAAATATATATAATATACACATGGCAAGCGAACTTCTTCGATGAAGCATAAAATTCAACATAAATGGTATCTTAAACATATCAAATCGTGATCAATCCAACCAGTTCATTCTGAGTCTGAGTCCGAGTCCGAGTCCGAGTCAGAATCAGAATCAGAGCTGGATGTTGAGTCGCTGCTCGAGTCGCTGTCATTTTCTTTTTTGATAACATGAGCACCGGCTGGCTCTGCCCCAGTGACCTTGGGTTCATCCCTGCTGGGCTCATCCTCTGAATCACTTGAACTTGTAGAGTCCGCATCCGAATCCGACAGCGAATTGGTCTTCATTTCGACCTCCTCTGGCTCAGAGTCTCGTTTAATAGGCGTATTTTCGCTGTCGACCTCATCAGCTGCTCTAGGCTCCGAAGAGCTGTCAGAATCAGAGTCGGAGCTTGTTTCGGACTCGCTGCTGCCCCCTCTTTTCTTTGCATCCTTTTCGTTACTTTCACTCTCGCTCTCGGAGCTTGTCTCGGACTCGGTTGCGTCCTCTCGTTTGAGCATTTTAGCATCCTGCTCCTTGCTTTCACCCTGGCTCTCGCTCTCGTGCTCGGGGGCCACAACCGCAGATGGTGTAGGGCTGCGTTCCTTTTTCACTTTCACACGCTTGTCGCCTGTTTCTTCTGTCTCCACTGTGGCACTGTTCGAACGCTTCCGCTTGGCGCCTTTCGATGTTTCTTCTGTCGTTGGTTCTGGGGAAGGAGTAGCTGGGATTCTGTCTGGGCTTTCATTGTCGTTTTCACTTTCGCTTTCTTCTGAAGACGAATCGTCGGATTCATCAAAGCTGGCTTCTTTCTTTAAAAGATCCGCCACCTTTGGTCCTTTGTGCTTTTGTAAGGTCGGTTTGGTCTTATTGTTTTCAGTTGACTCAGATTCCGAGTCCGAGTCCGAGTCTGAGTCTGAGCTCGATTCGGATTCTTCGGACGATGTCGAAGAGGCTTTTTTGCTTTCCCGTGTACTACCCTTCTCCCTCGGCTTTTTGTTTGATGTAGTGGATTCAGACTCCGAGTCTGATTCAGAGCTAGACTCCGATTGTTCCTCTTTGGACTCGATCTTCTTCGGTCTATTCAATCTCTTGCTAGCCGGTGTCTCTCGTCTTGAATTCTCGGCAGCATCCTTCTCATTATCAGCGTTATCCCCTGCATCGGAGTCGGAGTCGTCAGAAACCACATAGGCGGCGCTCTTTCGCCCCTTGTGACCCGCTCGATTCGCTTGCAAAGGAGTGGCACTTCGAGATAGTGACTGAGAATTCGCTCGAGAATTACCCCGGGATCCTTGCGCCACCCTACTCCCCTTGACCCTGCGCCACTTGTCTGCGCACTGTTGTCTTGATCGAGTGTGCTTCATTCCGACACTCACTTGACCCCATGAAATCAAGGACTCATCCATTTCGTAAATATTATCCCCTACATCGTACCCCTGTTCCTGCATCTTGGACCAGGCGCCGCGCAGGACTTTTTTCAATAGGCCCAATTCGGCTTCCGACCACGGTCCAGCATTCATCGTAGATCGATGCTCAAGGCGGTTCTTCCATCTCTGGACAATATCATCACTACTCCTGCCCAAAAGCTCTGAGATGTAGGCCCATTTAGGTCCGTGCTGGCGATACAGCACCACAAGTTCATCTTCTTGTTCCTCCGTCCACTCATGGGGCTTCTGGTTAGAGGCTTGGAAATGACGCTTCATAAACCGGCGCACAGATCTCTTGTCCCGATTCGGCAGAATACTATGGACTTCCTGCCAGAACGTGTACTTGGTGACGCCCGGTGGGCCAGGAAATGGGCCCTTTCCATGTTGCACGATGAGATCGAACGTTGTTGTTGAGAGCCCAAACGAGTTGCAAAATCGCACCTTGAACTCCTCAAGCGCTTCTACCTCTTCTGGTTTGAACGCGCCGGTAAGCCCGTTCTTGCCAGCTTCTCCATTGGATCGATGCAGCCTTCCCTTATTCAGGCCCTCTGAGACAGTGCTGCGCGCCGGCGAGCCACCATTTGTAGCCGCCGACAGAGCCCTGTTCAACCGTCCTGCACTAGCCTCCTTGGAAAGCAATCCAGGACGCGGAGCGGCCGAGCTCCGGCTGACAGGGGTCCTCTGCGAGTCGCGCTGGCCGTTGGGTGTCGGCGTCTTCTCCTTCCCTAAATTATCAACGACGCGTTTCCGCTTCGATGCGCTCGGGCGATCCTCTGGGGATGCGGCTGCGACGGGGCTTGCGACGCTCTGAGGCGACTTGCGTTTGCGCTTTGGCAAAGAACCATTCGGTGGACGTGATTCGCGGTTGGGTTTGTTTACGAGCGGGGGAGGGCTTCCATCGGATTTTGCGCTATTCATATCTGTATCATGGTCTAAATAAGCGATGCGCGTCAGCGTCAATTGCTGGTCTGCCGGTGCTGGGACTGTGGGGAGCTCGTGCAGGCAATTAGATAGGGGCGACTTACCGGACTCTGGGCCTGCAAGATCAGGGTCTTGAAGATGAGCAGGTTGCGAAGACCCTTGGCCCATTGTGTCGATGATATAATCCCGTAATCAATCGTGCGCAATGGCGAAGGTGTCGTGGGGGATAAACCAAAACAGCCGCTGGACAGGGAATGAAAAAAAGTTGGGGAGGGAAAAAAAAGCTCGGCGGCAGCGGAGCTCTGCCGCGAGGTACATACTGTCAGGTACATTGCTACTGTCAGAACTCAAAATGGAGCGCAATTCTTGCTAGAGCAAAGTGATCGTGAACAATAACTTTAATATTGATTATCATGACTCTATTTTCATTTCCCGTAATATCCTTGTCACCAATTTCCTCTGGTCGGTGGGGTGGAGGTTATGTTCATCGATCGTAGTGAGACACCGTCCGATCGCTACAGTTGCTTTCACAGCATCATCTTCACTATTCGAGCAGTCCACCCACACCTTTCCATTCCTCCCAACGGCTATTTCGAACCCCCCGGCTTTCTCGAGCTTCTTGCCTAGCTCGTCCAAGACAACCAAGCCAGCAACTCCATCCTGACTGTCCGATGACGAAGAGCTCGCTTTGATCAACCTAGCAGCCATCCCAGTAGAAATATCAAACACCATTCCGCCCGTTAAGGGCCCCAGGCCTCCCGGTTCAGCTTTCCCAGTCGCAGGGTTGACGCATGTGAGTTCCACTTCTGCCCCAGGTCCCAGTCCCGTCGACAATACCCGCGCGTAGACAAGATCGCCCCCTCTCAACATTGGCCGTGTCTTCTTCGTCGCACCTTCGAAGGATAGCTGTCCTAGCAGCGCATGCGCGGACTGTGGTGTAATCATGCAGTGGAAATAATCGACGCTTGAGTGGTGAACCTGCGCAATCACCAGGTCGTTCGTGAGAGGAACATAGCGGCGGTTCGAGGAAGATAGGATCGAGACACCATTTCGCTTGTTATCTGTAGAGAGTATTCCGGCTTGTGTCGCAGTCAAAACATGACTTGAGGGTGTGGACGAAGGAGGTTGTGAGAGTAGACGTAGGCCTGGGCCTAGTCGCAACGGCGCTGAACTGTTGGGTAGATATTCTGATGGCACATCGTCTCCCGGCAGGAGTATTAATGGCGACGACATTATGATCTGTGCAGTTGTAGGCAGACAATGGTTTGATTTGGAGTATTGCGGCGGATCTCTCGTCAAGTTGAAAAAGTGATGCTGCTTATCGATATCCTGTCACGTGATTACCACCGCCATTGTTTGCTGCTCAAAAGCCCGGTAGAAGTCAAGAAAGTTGAAAAGAGCCTTCCTTTATAAAATACTCCTTGCTGTTGGTATTAGCAGGAGACGACTCTGATCTATAGTAGTGTGGTTGTAAGAATGTAGAGTACCATATTAAAGGTCAGGCTGGTCAGCAGCACCGCCACAGGTCCTATCGATAAGCACCAGCCACACAGACTCGCCATCCGCCAAACCAAAAACTTTTTTTCCGCCCAAAGGATTGGATCGACTGAATCTACTGAATCCCGCCAGTCTTCCCCTCCACTCCCTCTCCTTCCATCCTCCATTACACACCCCATTCCTCTCCATTTCCTTTCTAATTCACGATGAGCGACGAAGTCAACGGCGCCGGTGAGCGTTTCGCCATTGGTATTTCTTTCGGCAATTCTTCCAGCTCCATTGCCCGTATCAACCCTGTATGCAGTCCCGCTATCCTGGCTCTTTTCCCAGCGACAATGGGAAGGAAAATATGCTAATCTGATTCCATATATAGGAAGGCAAGGCTGAAGTCATTGCCAACGAAGAGGGAGGTTAGTTCAACAAATTTTTTTTGCTATCTCATGCCGCTCTTCCTCCGCACACTATCCCGGCGACCAAAACTCACTTTTTTTCTCCAGACCGTCAGATCCCTACCGTCCTCTCGTACATTGGTGGAGAGCAGTACCACGGATCCCAGGCCAAGGCTCAGCTCATTCGCAATGCGTCAAACACTGTTGCATACTTCAGAGATTACCTCGGCAAGGAGTAAGGCACACACCACTTGAAGGGTATATAAGAAATACGCTTGCTAACGGCCTGTTGCAGCTTCAAGTCAATAGACCCTACCCCATGCCACAACTCAGCACACCCAATTCAGACCGACTCGACCGTTGCGTTCTCCATCCGCGACACCGAGAGCGAGACCCCCAACACCGTCACTGTTTCCGAGATTGCTACCCGTCACCTTCTCCGTCTGAAGCAGTCTGCCACCGACTTCCTTGGAAAGGAGGTCAACTCGGCCGTCATCACTGTTCCAACCGACTTCAATGATGCCCAGCGCGAGGCCTTGACCGCTGCCGCTAAGGCTGCTGGTCTTGAAGTTCTGCAGCTCATCCACGAACCCGTTGCCGCTGCTCTTGCCTACGATGCCAGACCCGAGGCTGTTGTCGCCGATAAGCTCACTGTTGTCGCCGACTTCGGTGGTACCCGATCCGACGCTGCTGTTATTGCTTCCCGCGGTGGAATATACACCACCCTCGCCACTGCTCACGACTACGAGCTGGGCGGTTCTACCCTAGACAAGATTGTCATTGATCACTTCGCCAAGGAGTTCATGAAGAAGCACAAGACCGACCCTCGCGAAAACGCTCGTGGGCTCGCCAAGTTGAAGCTCGAGGGAGAGGCCACGAGAAGAGCTCTGAGCTTGGGTACCAATGCCACACTGAGCATCGAGTCTCTCGCCGACGGTGTCGATTACGGTTCTACTATCAACCGTACTCGTTACGAGCTTCTTTCCGGAAAGGTGTTCTCTCAGTTCACCGGCTTGATCGAGCAAGTTATCCAGAAGGCTGGATTGGATGTTTTGGACATTGATGAGGTTTGTTATCCTTCTCCCTTGCACACGAGTGCTTTTTTCTAACCAATTTTGATAGGTCATCTTCTCTGGTGGTGTTTCTCACACCCCCAAGATCGCCCATCTCGCTCGCAGCATCTTCCCCGAAAAGACCAAGATCCTCGCTCCCGCCGTCGAGACCACCGCCATCAACCCCTCTGAGCTGGCCGCCAGGGGTGCTGCTATCCAGGCTTCGCTCATCCAGGAGTTCGAGACGGAAGACATCGAGCAGTCCCTCCACCCGATGGTCACCGCCACTCCCCACCTCAACAAGGCCATTGGTGTTGAGTTCACCTCCGGCGATGCCGTTGAGTTCCTGCCCCTCCTGAACACCGAGACTGCCCTTCCCGCCCGCCGCGTTGCCCAGTACAACGTCCCCAAGGACGGCGGTGACGTGCTCGTCCGTGTCGTCGAGGGTGCCCGCGAAATCAAGGTCACCAAGCCCGAACCCAAGCCCAAGGAGGAGAAGCCCAAGGGCGATGACGATGAGGAAGACTCCGACTTCGACTCCGACGAGGACGAGGAGGACGAGATCCGCGAGGTCATCTGGAAGACCGAGAAGCCCATCGCCGAACTCGCCGTCAAGGGCGTCAAGGCCAACGGCAAGGTCGAACTCATGATTCACATCAACGCCGACCTCGGTCTGCAGATCACCGCGCGGGAAGTTGGCGGCCAAAACGCCGTCCGCGGTGCCGTTGAGTCGCCATGAAACTGTCGATTCCTGCCGTTCTCCTCAACACTAACGTAAAATCTTAATGATCCTCTCCTAGTTTTGTTTATCTCCTCTTTTCTTTTTCACAGAGCTTACTTGGTCGTACTGCTGTGAGGTCTTCTGGGATATTCGAAGCTGTCATCAGGGAGGAAATTTTTGCCTTACTGTTTTCCTGCGAATGACTGTTTGACGATGAATTGATGTATCAATGAAGACTCTGCAAAAGTATATAGAGTATCTTTGCCTAAAATAGAACACTCGATAGATTCGGACCTCTTTACTTTTGCATCATCATAAAGTATCGTTTTATATAATAATCTGTATCAGCGCCGCTTGTAAGTTTCCAAGTGGAATGAGACGCCAAATACAGTAGCCATCAAAACGGGGAATTACCTTGACTGAACTTTTTTAAATAAAATTTAACTATTTTCCATTTTTAATTTCTCACCTTTAAATGATTGATTTTTAGTAATTTTTTTTTTTTTTTATTGTTGTTGGAGTTGGCGTGGTAGGGGACTTCATAGGTGAGTGGGTAAATATATATATAAATGTACTTCATGGACCTTCACACCCAGTGCTAGAATGGGACGTGCTAAGTTTCACCCGTTTAATTAGTCAAGAAATTATTATTGAAAACATTATATTACAGATATAGTCTGATACCAAACATTAGGAATAACTGTGGGTAATAAAAATCGTAAGACATGCATTCATCAAGACAGGTCGAGGGTCAGATTAACATGAACATTCAATATGAATCACAAATCAAGGAATTCGCGGCTGAAAACCGGATTCTAGATGGTACTCGAGCGAAAGCTCTCAAAAGCAAGGCTGGAGCGAGTGGACGGCGTCGTATTCGACTAGCGAGGCCATTGCAAGACAGAGCGGAATATGTTGGTTGACCGGATTGGTTTCAGGATCAAATGTAGACAATCATGCCTGAGAATAAGTTTTGTTGGCACCGATCGAGTTGTTGCTTCTTCTATGTTCGGCTTCTTCGTATCATAGCATATTGCTCCGTAAATAACACGCGTTGTCGTGAGCAATTAGACTGCCGATAGTTCGTTACAAAGACCGCAATGACGAGTTTAGGGAGCAACCTCCTTGTTGGCCTCCGCGCTGGGTTGTCGTGCCGAGGTGAAGAAACCACGACGGCGCTGCTTACGACCGCTGTATCCGCGCTCCGAACTTCCCTTAACAGTGCCACCAAGGCAGTAAGTGATGCAGGCGAGCAGCCAGAGGGCAACCGCGGTCCACATGAAAGCGAAGGCCTTGACACCAAGACGGGCGGTTTGGCCGTTGGCGTTGAACTTGTTGCGGCCCTGGACATAGACGGCACTGTCGTGGAGGTTAGTTCCCATTGCTTTGTGTTATATAATGGTATTTTTCACATACGTAATGAGGCAGGTTGCGATAACCTGGAAGACGAAAGCAATCCATCCCATGAAGGCCGAAATATAGCTTCCGACGCGCGTGCACATGGCAAGAAGTCCGGTGAAGAAGGAGATGACACCGAAGAATAGAGCGATAATCATAAAAGGCCAGGAGAACCGCGAAGTCAGGAAGTAGTGCCGGGTTCTGTTGAGTGAGCTATAAGTATGCGGTGCATAGATAGTATATAGAAGGACATTTCTCCTTACCCGATAAAGTCGGACGGGATGTTCTCTTCAGTACCGAAGTTCCGCTGGCTGGGAGGGTCGAATGGGAAATCGGGGGTATTGTTGCCGCAATCATTCCTGCCATTCGTCACACCGCACAGATTCCACCAGGTCCATCGTGAGACGGAGGGTGCACCAGGGATGCCGCTCGAGTCTACTTGAAGGAAGTAGATCTGGTTGATCGGGTTACTGTTTTTCACGCCGCCGAGGAAAGTGAGCCACATCAGCAAGAGGGCTCCGGCAGTGAAGAAAAGGCCCAAAAAGCCCAGGCCAGCTCCTGTACAGGAAAAAAGTGGTTAGCGATGGACGAAACGTAAAAGCGCGGGGAGAAATTACTGGAAAGAGGCATTATGTGCTCGTTTTCTATATAAAATTTGAAGCGATTGAGAAAGTCGATGCGACGAAGGAGGGGTAGATAAAGTATCGACTATCACGACCTCAACAGGAAGTACAACTGCGGCAGGTATGTAGGGTTGGGGGGCGAGAAAGATCAGAGAAGGCTGGAAGGAATGGAATGTCGAAGGACACGGCTCGAGGGTATCCTATTAAAGGATCCGGAGATTCCGGCCGCAAAGTTAGGGCCCGGCGCGGATAGATGATCTAATGGACGAGAAGCATGCATCATCGCTGGCACAGTGATGGGCTCTGCAACTCTCTGGAGCTTGAATTTGAAGCCAAAGCCTTGAGTGATGATCTCAACGTCATGCTTGCACCTTAATGCTAGCCGAACCGGGACTAGTGCTCCCCGCTATGCCTGATCGGGCCGCCACCAGCCGGGGTCCATGACGTTGGACTTTGGCCAACTCGACCCGCGAGCCCAGTCACTGACGTTGCACCACCAGCAACCACTTCCCATGCCCCATCAGACGTGGATCTCAGGTAACCCTGTTGGCCCGTTCAGAGGTTTCTTTCTGCCTGACTGATTCACCGCCGATCTTCGTCACCGGCCCACTGAGAGCAGGGCTGCTCGGCTTGCGAGAACTCGCTACCATTCCAAGGCCCTTGAACCTGTTCTGTGGAAGTGCAGGTGGAAATAGTTTGCGCAGTGCCCTTCCAGTTTCCCGTGGACCAACGAGTATGGCGACTTGGGTTTACCCACCTATTCCCCCAGAGCGCCTGGACCAAGAAGCCGACTCTGCTCTGGTACGTTTTTGCACTCTACCGCCCTGCGGTTGTATTATATCTTGTTTGCGATTATTGCAGTACTAAGGCGAAAGTCTATTGTAGGAGAAAGAGCTAGAATGGTTGCTGCGCTCCTTACAGGACTCTCTGGCTTCTTTGAGGGAAGGCCTTCATGAATGCGCTGCGCTGCTGGCTCCAAAGGAGCCCGGCTCTACATTAGTCCTATCGTCATTGCGGTCTGAGAGTGTAAAAGGCTTCGTCACACGAGTTGGGACAAAGGTCGTAAAGGGGGTATGTGTCGACCAGCGACTTTGAATTGAACTGGGATATAATCTAACCACCTTGCGCGACAGGATATCCAACTGCGCCTGAACTCTCTGAGTTCCCGAGGTGCACCTACAACCCGGCTATGCTTATCGAACTCTTCGACTGCGCCAGAACTGGCGCTCAGCCAATTAGTCTCGGTTAGAGATTCGGTCAGACAGTGTCTAGATATCGTCGATGTGAGCACCTGGACTGGCGATCCACTTGATGCGCGCTTCATCTACAGCCAGCTCCATCTTCTTGGAGAGACCATTGCGGAGGGGCGGCAAATGCTGAAGGGCGAGACTGATAGCGTTCGCGGCAAATGGTGGGAGACAAGTGCGCCGGATAATGTAAGACACGCAGTGAACACCCCTTACTTGCGATACCTGACCATGGTGATAGATGTTTGATCCGCCTTTACCCCCTCATCTCTCATTTCATTTATCAATTGCGGATTCTGCCCTCGTACTCTATCTGAGGACCCTTGAATCTACAACACAAACACACACTCCAACGGCCTTTGCGACAGATATCTCCTTGACCGGATTTTCTATACGAGACCGATTATTCGGTTCTCGTCAAGCCGCTCATGACGAAGCTGGTGATGTATTTTCCTGGAACGGAGACGAGGTTAAAGTCAGGGAGAAGGTGCGCGTAGAGAGCCAGGACCCCAGTCTGATGTCGGTGATGGCCAAATTGACTGCACTGTATCACGAAGTGGCTAAGTGCAAGACTGCGCTTAAAGTCCTCATGGGGAATGATGACGACAGCGAGTCCTGAATTAATTTTGTAACCTTGCTCTATAACCAGCGTATCGAGAATAATTGAAGCAATTAGCACTGGAGAGGCTGTATACATAGTCCATTAACTATGAATATTTATGTCGATGCTTATGTAATGTGCATAAATATAACGACCAATAATAAATTGCGAGTTTCATCACAATTGCCGCTTGGCGTTGATTTTCTGCCGCGGAGCTCTTGTGGCGCCAGCCCAATTTTTTATCTCGTCCAGCTTCTTGCTTCCTTTTCAGGGCAGTGGAAAGGCCGACAATGTTGTCGCGATCTCCTGCTTTACGGGCCGCTCACTCCAAGTCCTGCGGTGTTGGCGGTCTTACTCCATACAGCCTTCGACGCGCCGGCTCGCAACAGGCCCGGTACAGAGCGCCGACGCTCACGAATCTTCGATCAAAGAGCACGACTGCCGGTCCGAATCAAGTCAATTCTCTCTTGTCAATACGCCTTTCAGGACTACAGCCTACAGGATACGAATCGGGACAATTTGTGGTGGGTAGACGACATGCCTCACTTCCAGCGAAAGAAGAACCCGATCCTACAGCGGAACAGGAGCTGGACCAGCACCCGATCTACCCTTTAATTGATAAAATCACTACCACGGAAGCCGAGATTCTGGAATTACTTGACGAGCTTGACCTCACGGACGCATACGGTGAGGCTACGGCCTCCGACGATGGCAAACTTGACGATGGGTTAGACGAAACAAACGAGTACGCGGACGAGCAGACTGTGGAAGTTCGGGTTCAACGAGCCAGACAACTTTTCGGCCATAAATTACCAGAAGGACACCTAAGCGATCGGGAAACGGCAGTATTTACTCGACTGTACGGCGAACCTATTATTGTTCCAGAAGGTGCGGCTGAACTGGAGGAGGAACTGGAGTCCGACCAGCTTTTCCGCGAAGACGGAATCGGAGGCTGGGAGGAAGTTCCGTATGAGGCAACTGAAACACAGGAGGATGGACCGGTTGTTTATGATATGGAGAAGGGCCCTCCAGTGAAGGAAACTGCAGCTATGCGACGAACTCGAGAAGTGGCCGACCAACTTGGGGCCGAAGTACTGCTTGATTCGGCTATCGAGAGCGAAGAAGGAAATGAGGAATCTTCGCCACGCCTGCATCCTTTGACAATGAAGTCGAAATTTTCCACCGACCCGAACACCGTATTCCCACCCACAGATACGCTGACTGGGCCCATTGGCGCGATCCTCTCAGATGCTTCCAACAAGCATATTTCAGAGGCAGCTATTGACGCATTTGGCGGCAAATTTCTTCCTCAGTCGGCCAGGACTGCGCCTGCACAAGCTCAGGAACCTCAGAAAGCGATCGGTCTTAGTTCATCTCAGCGTTTTATGTCAGAGATGGAGGCCAATGCGTACATGGCAGTTTTATACCCGGCAATGTATGCTTCGACTTTGAGTGTATTGACCGAAGTTCGGAAACGCTTGGGATCAGACTGGCTGCGCTCGTTGATTTCGCAAGAGGGTGGACCCAATGTTCTCGATGCCGGTGCTGGTGGTGCCGGTATCTTAGCATGGAGAGACGTTCTCCGTGCCGAGTACGAGCTCATGGTTCCAGATCATCACAAGGGAGCGCCTTACCCTCTGGGAAGATCAACTGTGCTCACGGGCTCCGACCCACTGCGTCTTCGCGCGAGTGTGATGCTGGAAAACACAACCTTTCTCCCTCGACTCCCTGATTACATCCACACCCGAGAGGGACCTACCATTCATGATCAACGAGTGCCCAAACGAAAGCAATTTGACGTTATAATTGCCCCTCATACCCTACTGGGCATCGATGAACAACACGAAAGAAAAGAATACGTTGAAAACTTATGGCGACTCTTGAACCCGAGCGGTGGCGTCCTAATCCTAATGGAAAAGGGACACCAGCGCGGCTTCGAAGCAATCGGCGGCGCTCGTGAGATGTTGTTGAAACGCTACATATCCAGCCCTGGCTCAACAGAGTACAACGACCTCACCGAATCACCCAGTGACAACGCAACGGTCCAAAAAGAACCTGGCATGATCATTGCGCCTTGCACCAACCACGAGAGATGCCCCATGTACCAAACAGACGGCCAAGCCAAGGGCCGGAAAGACTTCTGCCACTTCTCACAAAGATACATTCGCCCAGCCTTCCACCAACGCATCATCGGCGCGAGGGATCATAACCACGAGGATCTGAAATTCAGTTACCTCGCCGTCCAACGTGGCGTCGACCTCCGTCAGACCGAGGACATCAAGCAAGGACCCGAAGCCACAGACGCTGCATTCGAAGGCTACGAACACCTGTACGAAGCAGCTGAAGAAACGGATCCTACCGCAGCTGAGACCCTTTCCGAACCAGACCAGAAATTCAACTCCCTCTCGCTACCCCGAGTGGTATATACGCCTATGAAGCGCCGCGGCCACGTAATCTTCGACCTCTGCACACCAGCCGGGAAAATCGAACGCTGGACCGTTCCCCGGTCATTCAGCCGCCAGGCTTACAAGGATGCTCGGAAAGCATACTGGGGTGACCTGTGGGCCCTTGGAGCGAAGACTCGCATCCCGAGAAACCTGAGACTCGGCGATAAGAAGGGTGAAGGGAAGAAGGAACGATTGGAAAGACGTGCCGCTGAAAAGAGGGAGCGAGGCGAAGAGGACGACGAAGGCGAATTTGGGGTTGACTTCGATGAGCAGGCGTCACCTCGTGATCTGTCCGTCCCTACGCGGAAGAAGGGTGAGAAGAAGGTTCCTAGTTGGAAGAAGCACGCGGATAATAAGAAGCTCAGACATGCTTCGAGGAAATTTGCCCGAGAGAATCTTTAATGGTGTTTCCTCGATGATACCTTGGAGATTTTGCATTTTGGAGGCGTCATTGGCATTATACGGACTTGAAAAGGATGGATTTGTATCATATACTGTACAATAGGCGCAAAAGCCACTGTAACATAGCTATTATTATACCTCTAATTGGGCTCTTCTCTCAATACCACTTTGGAATGCCTCTCGATATATGTTCGCGCCCATCTGTAAGAAAAAAGGTTCCTACCTTGGCTCCTACTTCCAAGTGGAAGCGCGGGTGAGGGGCCTTGCGACTTGTAGCGGTTTTCAAGAAGACCAGCTCGCGAAGGGGATCCGGGAGTACAAATAACCCCCAGCACACAGGCCTGCGTTGCTACTTCGTAGCGGCGCGGCGGATTTGGGGTCGGCTGAATATGCCAGAACGGAACACAGCCTTAAATCATCAAAATAGACAACATATCGATGCCGCCGACAAGTGCAGCAACATCAGAGAATAAATATGCCGGCTTGATTCAAACCAATCAAGACCCAATCACTGAAAGGCCATACTCTTCCGCAACTGGCGCTCCCTCTGCGTACTCTGCAACTCCAGACGCTCGACCGCATACTTAAGGCGCTCTTTCTTCTGAACCAACCGTCTCAACTCCAGCGCTTTCGCCGCAGAAGCACCCTGTCCCGCACTGCCTCGAGCGGCGCTTTTGGTTGGACGAGATGCGTTCTGTCGGCTCTCACTGGAGTTCATCCGCCCCTCTTGCAACTCGCATTTTGCACGCAAGCCTTCCTCGCGACGAGAGAGTTTTTCGACATGGTTTGTTGCGAGGGAGAGGAGGTGTGCGATGCTTGGGGTGATTTCGTCAAGGAGGGATTGTTGGGCGTCTCGGATTGTGGGTTCTGGGAGGAGTTCGAAGTGCTGATTATACAGAGTTAGCGGGAGGGGATATCATTCGGTGTTCTTACGATGAGGTAGACCTACTCGTGTTGTTTGCAGGACCTTTGTCATTCGAGGGAAGTCGCTGATGCCGGAGTCTAGGATTGAGATTGAGGAATCGACTAGTTGGAGGGAGGATTGGAGAGAGGCGACTGAGGATTCAAGTGAGGCAGCCATATTGCTAGAAGATTGTTGAACGTGGGAAAATTCCGTACAAAGCGAAAGCAAGTAGCGATGGAGGACGCTCTGTATTTGTTCGGCAATCTATGATTGTTTACATTGATGAGGGGATCGTTATCGGGTGGCTTAAAGCGGCGGCCCGTAACCTTCCGAAGGCGGCTAGCGCCTTGTCCTCGGGCTTCCGGACAAACCTCGTTGCTGCCGCTCCTGCTTGTCGCACCCTTTCCCGAGACATCAACCACACCTCCTCCTCACAACAGCACTTCGCATTTGTCTGTACGAATTGCTACAATGTCTATCCTTCCCAAGAAGTTCCCTGCCCCCATCGGTAAGTTGCCGCCTCCCGCTTGGTGTCCCCGGTCCTCGACTAGACGACAATGAAACTGACTGTCTCATACAGCGGGTCCCCTCGGCCCCTTCTTCGCTGCCGGTACGTGTCATAACCCCGTTGAATGAATCGATCGAGAATTCCACTTGGAAGCGACTTATATTGGATGTGGAACGTGAGGGAGAAGGCTTGTCACCATTTGTACTGACTTCGCGGTTAGGTCTGGTCATCCTCTACGGAATCAACTCTGCGCAGAACGCCATGTCCAACAGTGAGTTACCCGCGCTATAATCTTGTCTTTTGTCGCGGATATTATGCCTGCGACGATTGCAACCTCATACAGTAGCAATGTTGCTAACCCGGTTGTGTTTCCAGCTGCCGAGTTCAAGAACGACCCCCGCAACCCCAACCGTCAGGCTCCTAAGCACTAGAGGATTGGACGACGAATAATCTGGAAGCAATGGAATGAACGGCGTGTCGGATTTGATGTGTCGCCATTGACGTGATGTTGCAAGCAACTCCTGTACAGACATATAGACGCTACTCGTCATATAAACTCTTTGACGAATTGACAAGTTGTACCACTATTCCGTCGAATATTCCCTGCCAAAACTGCACGCTTGCTGCATATAATTTCTGTTTCCGACGGAACACTTATATCGATCGCGGGATTTCTCGGAAGCTCGTAGCTTTGGAAGGGGGTGACCTACGCCTGGATGCTGTCGATGAAGTGTCCGTATATCCGTATTTTTAATCACTTTCCAATTCGTCCTGTGCCTCATTCTAGATCTTCTATCGTAGATACGGCGCTGGGTATCCTCGCTAGTCTCAAGTGGGCTTGCCATTCGAGACTCACCCTATATCCACCTTCCACCTTCTTCGCAGTAGCCCCAGACATACACGGCCTTTCCCATATTCCGACCAGAGTATACAATCTAGCTAATGCAAATTAGAATCCGTACAACCATATCTCCCTGAGGTCTGTTACTTGGAAAACTTTTCCCACGGTATGAGGTTGGCAAAGCACGCTAGTCCGTATTTGGATTCCACATCACATGACCCTTTGCTCCAGCGGAAGTGCGATATCGAGCCAACCTCAAAAGCTGGACAATCTCGACATTTCGGCCACTGCCACGCCACGCACAATGTCCCAATTCAGAGCGAAGAAGCTTGATATTGCGGGCTTCATCAACCCCCGCGTTATCCGCGATCACACCAAGCGCAAGGTTTTCGAGCAGTATGAGCCGGACCGGTACGATCCCGCAATCATCCTCAATTTGCGATAGCGCTCGGCGTTGCGAAGAGAAAACACTAACATGTTTTACTTGCTTATAGTCAAGCTCTCCGCTACATAATTCGCAACACAAGCCTTCCCCAGCGTGCCCGTGCCCAGGCCCAATTGCAGCTCTCCCAAATGCACGCCTACACTCGTTCCACCCAGATCAAGAACCGATGCGTAGCAGGAGGTACAGCCAGGAGTATTATTCGGGCCTTCAGAATCGGAAGAGTAAGGACTTCAAGCCGGAATTTATGCCATTTAGCCCCTTCATATAGCTGACATTATTCTCCCTCAAGTACCAATTCCGTACACAAGCTCTCGCGGGTGAATTACCAGGAGTCAAGAAGGCTAGTTGGTAATTTGGGGTACATTACCGGGTTGAAATTGGTCTTGCAAGTTTGTTTGACGACTTGCAAAATGGCGTTTGTTCTAAATATCATATCCGAGGACGATTGTACGATAAGTTAGATGGGTCTATACAAATCATTACTATTTTATATTTCACTTACTGCCAATTCTCTTTTTTTTCATCTTCTGTCAAGATGATAAGAGAGTGAATTTCTGGGTCTATGAAGCAATAATTCTCTCATTTGATAGATCCAGCTCCCAGTCATTCAGCGCCCTGCTTCACTGCAGATGCCCACGGGAAGGAGCAAACGGAGAAATTAATCGATTGGATTCTTTGTTGAAGCAAACAACACCCACAAGCCCGGCCTCAGTTTTTCTTTACCTTTCTATCTCTCAAAGCTCCTCGGCCTTCTACATATCTCGAAGACCCATTTTCTCATTTCCGTCCCAAGTGCTTTCTTGAGTACTTCCGCACCTTTCTCAAACTAGACTTCACTTTCTCCTCCATTGACCCATCTATATCTACATCAGCCCAAACATGTTCGTCTTTCGCCGAGAGGATCTCCCTGCGGACCCAGAGTTTTCAGCTGAGCTAGACAAGTTGGGGTGGGTTCAAGTCAACACTTTATCTTCCTAGGCCAGAGAACTGACTAGATTTTTGAAAATAGCTACTTTATCAATGACCAAGACCAAATTAGGAAAATCTCCGACCCAACAGAAGAATTCCAGTTCAAAATCAACAAAAATGAGCGGTGGAATCAGGTACAACGGGAAGCCATGAATGGCAAGTATCCTCTCGCCTATGCAACAACCTCCCCATTGAGAAATGGTCTATACTGAGTCGACTTGAATGAATTTACTGACTCTAGTTGGAGACTAGAATGCATCCGAAATATTGTGTTGCCGAGACTACGCGCTTTGGGCCTCGTCACCCTTCGTCTGCCTCTCATGTCGGGACCAACAAAGCCGCACGTTCCCATACTAGTCTCGAACAACTTGTCTACGGCCTCACGAATCATATTGGTCTTCGGTGAACCTGCGCAGGACCTAGGAATCTGGGCATACCGCACGGTGGGTAGTGAGAACATCAACGCCGGATCAGCCGTGAATTTTGTCAAAGCAATTCTTAGTCCAGAAGAACGCGGCCACACCAGTGGTCCCAATGAAGCCGCAGGGAAAGTACCGTCCTCCCATAAAGGTGAAGTCGCCGTTGTGCTGGCGAATCCCGGCCAACTCTCCTGGCACTGCGGCTTAGCTCGCGCAATGACCCAGGTCACTCGAATGGCTGTGTCTCGAGCTTCAGCAGTTCATCCTCCCTTGCGTGAAACAGGCAGGAACAGGATTCCGGGTCATGAAAACTGGCAAGAGCATGTGAGCTCCGTTTTTGAGGGCATCTTTACAGCCCGTGGACAGCTTGTCAGGAGCGACGCCAAAATCGATGTTATTGGTCTTGCTGAAGGGGGATGTGGTGCAATCCGCTACTTGGCAAATAACTGTGAGTGACAATTGCAGTACGAGATTTAGGACTTGATTTAGCGCTAATTTCTGCTAAGGGCCCGCCTGGCGTCAATATATATCCGCAATCTGCCTCTCCCATCCTCTCCACCAGAAGGATACTGACTTACTTGTGGCCGGCCAAGAACCGCACCCAGAGTCGTTCGCTGCATTCGTGTCTTCTCGTTGTCGTGCATATGTTCTGTCTCCCGAGCCTCTTGGTACCCCACTCCCTGAAGAGGAGAAGTCAGGGTGCAATTGCTACGCGTCCGGGGAAGAGCTTAACACGGAGTGTATCATGACCAAGGCTTGGCCTCACATGCTTGATTGGTTGAAACGGGCTTACGATGACCCTGATTACTGCGAAGCAAAACTCGTGTTGAGAAGAGTTGGCCTAGGCGATGGTGTCGATGGGGATGACGGTGATCTCAGCCATCAGATCCAGGAGTTAGAGGTCTAGATTCAATATTCTCAAAACCAGTAGTTAGTCTATTTAACCCAAAACTGAAATTGAGGTATTTATTACGGCAGTTCATGCATTCATTATTCGTAGCTAAGCACTGGTGAGTGTAGGAAGCTCTTACTCTATATATTTACTCACAATTTCCCTCTTCCACTCCTCGAGGGAAATGACCTTCCCGCCATACGGCACCGAATCCCGCGGAGCATTTTCGCGCACAGAAGCATCCCACTTGGGGACTTCCAAGAACTCATGTTGCTTATCGCACACCTTCAGCGGCATAGAATCACTCTGGAGCTGATCAAAACAATCCCGATCGAAAGCCAAGTTTATGCAGTCCTTGCACCACCACATCTCACTTGCCGTCTCCCAGTAACTACCACACCCACCATCACAGATCGCGAAAACAGGCGGCAGCTCCTCGTCTGCTTCTGGGTCTGTCGGCCTTAGTTCAGGTGTCCTCGGTGCACTGCTCGGTGTACTCGGCCGGGTTTGTTCTGGGCCCGTTTGCAAGCTATTGGGCGTGGCCGGAGGTCGAGGGCTTTGCTCTTTTCGCTCTTTCTTACTGTGTTCTTTCCCTCCTTGGTCCTTACTGACGTTTCTCTTGACTTCATCGAGATGTGGTATGCCTGGATTCACATTTGCGAATGCTGTTCGACTGGCTAGCGCGGCCATTGTCACCGCCGCCAGCGCGTTCTGGTCATCGTTCAGAGGAAGGAACACAAGCAACAGTCGCCAGTACGCGAGATAATCATTCTCGAGGTCGTTGTCGGATAGCATCTCCAGTGCCAATTTTACCACGCTTCGGACAATCTGCTTCGCCTTTTTCTCGTCGCCAGTCACTTGGTAATAGCGCGCGAGATAGAGCTTGGCTGGGAGGATGACATGGCTTTCGGATGCTTCGTCCGGGGTGATCGATGAAATACGTTCGAGGTAATCACGGGCAGTTTCAGAGCCTTTTCCTGCTGTTCGTGCTTTTGCTAGGTATATCGGTGCTAACTTGATCGTCAGGCTCGGTAGGATGTAATCGATGTCTAAGAACGATCGGGGAAGGTCGTCTCTTAGAGCAACCTCCCAGAGTCCAATCGCGCGTTCCTCTCCGTCATCTTGCTGGAATATCTCATTCGCATAGTGGTATCTGATGTAGTATAAGCTGGTGAACGCCTCGCGCTGGGTCGAGAGTTTAATGGCGTCATCGTATACTCGCTCAATGAACTCGAATTGGCCTGTCTCGACAGCTGTTTGCAGGATAATACTGTGGAAGGTTTCCTCGGCAGCAAGATCGACGAGCATCCTAGATAGATGCGCTTTCTCGCCAGTGCCTGATTGAATCGTTTTCAGCAGTTCCAGAATATCCGACCATAGGCGTCTATCATAATACTGCTCGATTATGGTCAGAATCCGCTTGAATCCGGTATAGTTAACCTGGACGGATTTCGTAAACGACTCAATAGCATCATCGAACTGCTCTACCTCCCAGAACCGCTGTCCACGGTCGAAGAGCATTTCGGCAAAAGCCCAGACATGGTTTGGCCCTTGCATCCATTCTTCGTCGGCTCCAAGGCTTTCAATGAGATTGTTCAGAATGTCGACGGCTTCCTTGTTTGATGACACCACATGCGCCAGATAATACGATGCTCTCCAGTTCTTCGGCTCTAGTTCCAGTGCATGACGGCATCTTTTCTCGGCCTGCAGGTCGAAGTGGAAATTACGCAGGGTAACGGCAACCTGGACCTCCCATAGCGAGTCCTTTTCACAGTCGAGCAGGGTATGTGACCATTCTTCGATTTCGGCTATGTCGTCGGCGGTTGGAATTTCTTCGGCTGCGCCAGTCACCTCAGGTTTGTTGCTGTCAATCTACCAGCCAGGAGTGTCAGTTCTATGCACGTTAAGTGGAATGCCAATGGAACGTACCTTCTTCACACACCCGAGAATGAAGGAGAATGCATAGACAGCTAGTACCTGAGGCGACTCTTCTCGGAGCCAATGCACGACCATTCGTTTTGCAAGTTCTTTAAGCAATTGTCTTTCCGGGTTCAAGCTACTAGTGAGATTGGATACCCAAGCTCTGGCGGAGTCACCAGATACGTCTGTAATGGACACCGACTCTCGCAGCCAGCGAACAACTTCCTTCGTCGCACCGTCACCTTCTAACCACGCCGAGCGAGCCATCCATGCAAAGTTAGCAGCATCATCCGGGTTCTTGGTCCATAGAAGCGCATCAGTGGACGCCTCGTCAAGGAATAGCTTTACAAGCTGAGGGCCAATAACGCGCTTCCACTGTCGGTCCACCTGTGAAAGATCAACAGCAGATAGATGTTGATAGAAGTAGTTGACAGAGTAAGGCCGGAGAGTTTCCCGTCTTTTATCCCTTTCTTCCGTGAGAATACGCAGGCAAGTCATCGCAAGCTTCGCCTCGGCTGTGTCCTTATCGTCGCGGTATATATGCCCGCCGATATGGTGGAGTTTATGCTCGAATACTGCCTCGAAGTCGAACTTGTCGTACAGCTGAGGCGGGCAGACGCTGCGAAGGAAGTGCCTGACGATGTCCACCTCCTCAGGTAGGATTTTTTTTGCAACTTGGCTTTCGTCCTTGGAAGTTTGGCCTCCTTCAGGGATCAGATCAACGATTTCATAGGAGCGGAAATCCACGTCCCCGTCACTGTCCACTTCGAATAAAGTATACTTCAGCTGGAGTTTGGCCTCGAACGTGAGCAAGGAAAGCTCGCCGCTTTGAGTATACAACACAGCAGCCATCTGGCGCGGCTTCAGCCACTCCCTGCCATACAGAATCCAAAGAATAATTTCGTTGATTTCCGCAATCTCCTTGGAACTTCTGACATTGTTAAGTGACTCGATCTCAGCCTCGATCTGCTGCGACCGCTCTTTACCTGCGTTCTCGAGCGCCTGGTCAATGTCATTCACATAGTCCAGGTGGCTAATTCGTTTGAGAATAGTGTTGACCCTGAAGTAATCACCTGCGGTCTTGTCACGAAGCGCAACGCGGATCTTTTCTCGGAGGTCTGAGACTCCAAACCGCTCTTTATTCTTCAGAGCATCGATGGTGTCCATCCTAGACTCGATGTACATGTCAATGTCCTGCCGGTTCCTCTCGCTGATGTGGATTGGGCGGAACGTGATATCTTTATTCGCAGAGATTTGCTCGAATGCCCGTGGACGGCCGGTCAAAAGGATTCGGAGTTTGCGATGCGATGCAGAACTTGCCAAGGCATTCTGTAAGAATGAAACGAAGGTATCGCCGACGATATCATTCAAGCCGTCGATGACAATGAAGAAGTTGGCGTCAATAGTCTGTCCGATGTCCTTGTTATCAAACAGTAGCCGACTAGGAATCTCGTGCGGATCCATGTCTTTAGTTTTCTCGCAGATATTGGCGACAGACTTCATATACGAGGCATCAGCCTGGACAAATTGCCAGACCAGTGATTTAGCGATGACATCCAGATGGTTCGTCCTCTTCAGCTCCTCCTTGGAATCGCCCTCGACGAAATAGAAAGCGAGAAGGGTCCTCGAGTCTGAACTCTCAGCAGAGCTGCGATTCCGGAGTCTCCGAATAATCGTCGAAGTCAGATAACTCTTTCCTGAGCCTTCTGTGCCCTCAATCGCCAGGATCGCAGGCGCCTCCTCACTCCCTTTCTCCCATGCCTTGAACTCAGGCTCCGAGAAAATCCACTGGCCAGTATCAGGGACGACGAACTTGCGATAATTGTAGTAGACTCTCTGCCAGTACGGATCTGGTTCCCTCTTATCCTGGTCAAGCTTGTTCTCGTCAAACGCCAGCGTCTCGAGGATCTTTTCCTTCCGCCTCCTCGTATCGCTTTCTTTCAGCGAATCCGACCGACTCGCAATCAGCATGTCAATCTTGCTATTGACAGCCCTGCTAATCGCCAGGTTCTCACGCGTGCTGACCACCGTCTCGGCAGCAAAGCTGAATGTCTGCGCCGTGACAAGTCGGCCCTCCTCGTCAACAAGCGAGTTCATTTTTTCCAGCAAATCATCAATGTCATTATCGTTAAGGAAGAGCAGTTTCGTGAACACAATCAGCTTCCGCCTCTTCGATCTCCGCAATTTGATCGTGCGATCACAAATCTCCACGAATAATTGCAGATGCTGGCAGGCGACTTTAGCCAGCTTCGCGTCCAGTCCGCCCCGGATATAATATTCCAACCGAGTCATATACTGCCCGCATTTCTCAAGCAGCGTCGCCAGACTCTCGAATACACCCTGGTATCCCTGCCATGCTTGGATCACCATACTCACAGCGTTGAAGCATAGCTCCGACGGGCCAAACACCTACACCGATTAGCACATCCACAAAAACGCACAAACAAAAACACGAAATAAACAATCTTACCTCCGCTGCACCACCCGCAACAATCCCACCGACGGTATCAATAAACTGCAACGTCTTCTCAAACGCGTCCCGAATACTACTATCCTTCTTCGCTGACGCATCCTGTGCCTTGTCGAGAACAGCCAGCACGCCCTCGATGGTCAGGTCGGCTTGAATCTTGGAGGAGTCGCCGCCGGCGAGCTGGACGACGCGGGCTTGGACTTGTGACCAGATCTCCACGATCTCGCCCTTTAAAGCGGTGGTGCGCCGCTCGAGCGGGGGTGCCTTCGTGGAGGATGGGGAGATTGTCATTTTTGCGAATCCCTTTTCCTCTCCTATGGATTACATGAGTACATGGGAAGTATGAGAGGAAGAGTATGAGAATAAGCGAGATGGGGTTTAAGAAAGGAATTAGGATGACTGAGGCGTGCCAGACAAGGCTGAGTTATGGCGATCGCTGATGAGGCTGAGTCGTTCATGCGCATTTTGCATCGACACTAATTTGTTACTATTGAGTGCTGTTTATTGTTATTGGATAGGTAGGGCTTGAGTGCCTTGGCAGCCTTGTGCTGACCGCTTCTATTACGAGCACCAGGCAACCCAGGCAAGCCATGGAGTTCATGGATGGTGTATTGGATTGCTTTGCGATAGGCCTTATCGTTTACTGATGCGTATGCTTATTACCAGATTGAAGCGAAGTAATATTTGCGAAACGCTGTACCGCTAGACCAAAAATCCATACACAACAATATTTGTCATTCTGCGACCAACATGCTGGCCATTTAGCCCTAAATCAAAAACCTTCCGCGTAACAGGGATACATCTAGTAATCTGGATCCCATAAAAAAGGAAAACAGGTAAGCACCACATGCCATAATAAGCGTCAGTCTCAAACAGGTTAATAGATCAAACCTGTGGTGTTCGTGAGAATGGGTTCTCCGTACGGTGCACCTCACCGGCAAGTTCTCTTGCACGGTCTTTGGAGAGGTTGGAAGTATACGCGAGGGCGTTCTTTGCGATTTGATCAGCGACCGAGTTGCCCTCAGCACCCTTCTTTCCCATATGGGCTGGAACCCAGCGCACTTCGACGACCATGCCCAACCTTCGGAGCTGGCGAGCCTTGGACGCTGCCATCGCTACCGCCGGCATTTCGGGTTTGACGTCCTCGCCAGTCAAGCACTTTGCAAGCCACCACATCGTAACCTGGCAATCAGTAAGAACTACAAGTTTATTCCTCGAATCGGAATTATTCTGGGCGTTTTCCAGCGCCAGCACGAAGCCCTGTTCAAGCCCACGCACTTCGGCCTCGTTGGAGTCGTGAATATATGGCAGGCTGAACCCGACATATTTCCACGTGTTATTTTCCTTGTATACAACTGATGCGCCGCCGTTGTGATCTCTGAGGGGAGAAGGAGTCGAGGAAGAACTTGTTGGCGTGGGTGGAGGCGTTGGGATACCATGGGAAAGGATGCTGTGGTTCCCACGTTTCCAAGACGAACCATCAACAAACAGAACCAACTGCTCGTCTGTAGTTTTGGCCGCCTTTGCAAATTCTAAGGCGGTGATTCTGTCATCAATTTTGATGTAGGGGAACTCGTCAGTGGCTGCCAAAACAACCTCGGATTTCCCCATCCCGACACGATCTTGCTTGTCTTTCCCCATATTTTCGCTCACCTCCTGACGCTTAACGTTCTGGCTTTTCTTTTTCTTCTTGTTCTTTTTCTCCTTTCCACCCTTTTCTGGTGGTTGTCTGCCATTGTCAGCTCCCTGGCTGGGCTTGTTTTCATTTTTGGGCCGGTTAGTTACGCTGCTGCGCGCGGCCTGGTTGCATGTTCCCGAGTCAGGCCCGGGGTAAGGCTGATATGCCTTGTTATTACCCTGTCGACTGGACGATTCCTTTGGAGACATATCTTTGTTCCTGGGTTTAATAGAGGTAAGTTCTGAGGTGGTTAATGAGAGAACCCGGTAGGCAAACGTGCCCAAGTCGAGGTATGAGTTGGGGATGTAAGTATATAAAGATATAGATGGATTATATGACCAAAAGAGCAAGACTTTGTGCTTGAGTATGGTTAGAAGATGTTAAGGAGGAAGTTGACGAGATCGAGAAAATCAGGGAATCAGGGGTTTAAGTATACAGGGAAACCACCTCTACCAGGAACTCCTTCCCAAACTTCGCTACCACCCTTGACCACCTCAAGGTTTAAACTGCGCAGCGTTCTTATCCCATTGGCGGACCTCAGGGTGTAATGACGTGAAAGGGGCACTGCATCGAATATCGACACCCATGGATTACACTGGTGATAGCCTTCGCTGGAAGACCCCTCCGGGCAGCAGATAACCGCAATAGGTTGGCTACTCTGATCTAGATCGTCACCATACGAACCGACCACGTATCTAAGGCTTGAAATCCCTGAGGAACTCATGTTCACCCCCCAGATGGTTACCCCTGTGTGTCAGCGTAACGAGGACATTGTAGTCTGACGATATCCCAACAGAGCAGTGCCATGGACCACCCAGTGGCCAGTTAACTTGGAATCCACTATCAGCGACACAACCTTTTATTCTGGGGAAATATCCTGCCCTGAGGCTGCTGGCGAGGATGAATTATGACATCCCGTTCCTCAACGAGTTGCAAGAGTGTTCCCTCTGTGGGACGGATACAGTCGACGATAGCACCTTCCGTAACCTTCTTCTGTTCCTTCCTTTTTCGTAGCCTCGTCATTGCCCCAGCACTCCGGTAGTTTCCGATTTCAATCTCTGCTTTTCGTTCCCTCCATAGACCATGAGGCTCAACGTTTGCTGCAGAGCACCACACACCAGATGCAGGTCTGGTGGTCGACGGCTAAGTCCAAGTCTGAGAACACTGTACTGTACTAGCGATGTAAATGTTAGGCATTCGCGTATTCTCGATGGTTTCTGGGTTTCCGTCTTCGACCGTCTTGGATTGGCTGTCGCTGAAGGTTTCGACTCATTCCGTATACACCCGGCGGCGCATCCGGACGGTGACGACATGGTAGCGACAGCGAGGGATACTTTTAGGTAGTCGGTTTGCATTCTTTGTCTTTGTGTTTTTTTTAATGATCTGATGAAAAAGAAAACGTCAACAAATGATGTTTGAGTGATTTAGAATAATACTTCCTTCGCGATATATATTTGAAGAAATAGCTTCTGTGAACTATCAGCAACTATTTCCAAACGCTACCTACCTGGGATTAAGTAGAATATATAACACATTCGGAATTTTCATCCAAGTCACGCAGACAGCGACATGACCGACATGACCACCATGACCAAGACGTGATGTTGTTTGATCTGGTCCATCCCGAAGTATGTGTATATTGTGACCAATCACAGCACAGTGGGACTCCGAGTTTGTCAGGTCTGTCAGCCAACCCCTTACGCTAACCGCCTCTAGTCTAGTGCGGTCGGTGGTCGGCGTTCGCGTGCGCGAACCTCCGGCCCTTTATTCAGCGGCGGCCTTGATGCCTGAGGATCTGGGGTCCTGATGTCATTTGGCAGGCAAACCACCTGGACAGTAGTAGAAAGAGATGGACAGGATGCATCGGGGTTTGACCCAGTGAATACGCCGTGAAAAATATTTAAGGGAAGTGGTTTCCTGACAAAAATCATTTCTTCCAGCACAGCTTTTAACACAGTATTGTCTGCATCACTTTCAACCCAAAGCCCTACTTAACTAAGCCTACCCAACAGAGCCTACTCAACATGTCCAAGCTTCTCACAGTCTTCGGAGCCACAGGCCGCCAGGGCGGTTCTGTCATCCGCACTGTCCTCGCCGACTCGGGTCTATCCCAGCAGTTCAAGCTCCGCGGCATCACCCGCGATGTCTCCAAGCCCGATGCCCAAGCTCTCGCAGCAAAGGGCGTCGAAGTGATCAGCGTACGTTTGTCTTCATTTACATGTAACACAACTAACAACAACAGGCCGACATGACCTCCGTCAGCTCGCTGGTCCAAGCCATCACAGGCTCCCACTCCGTCTTCCTCGTGACAACGCCCACCTTCACCGAGAACTCCGACCTGGAACTCACCCAGGGCCGGAACGTCGCCGACGCGGCGAAGAAGGCCGGCGTGCAGCATCTGATCTTCTCGTCTCTGCTCAACGTCACCGAGACGAGTGGCGGGCGGCTCAAGGACGTCCCGCATTTCGACCACAAGGCCCAGGTTGAGCAGTATATCCGCTCGCTGGGTCTGCCTGCTAGCTTTGTGCTTCCCGGGTATTTCATGTCGAACTATACGGCCATGGGTATGCTTCGCAAGGGAGAAGACGGGGTGTTTACCCTGGCGTATCCTGTGGGTGAGGGAGCGCAGTTCCCGCTTGTTGATATTGATGCTGATATGGGTATGTTATTTGTCTCACTTCGAGAAGTTACACTAATAATGAACAGGTAAATTTGTTGGCATTGCACTCAAGAGCCCGTCCAAGACACAGGGCTCGCAGATCCTCGCTGCGGCGGACTACTACACGCCCACTCGTATTCTTAAGGAATTCGAGGAGGTGACTGGTCAGAAAACCCGGTTTGTGCGCGTCGACAACGAGACCTACAAGAGTTTCATGCCCGGCTACCTAGGACTGGAAATGCTGGAGAACCATCTCTTCGTTGAAGATCCGGGATACTTCAACGGCAAGAGTCTGAAGGAAAGCCAGGATCTTTTGGCGGACGCTGGGTTCAAGCCGACTACCTGGAAGGACTTTCTGCAGCAGAACAAGGCTGCTTTTACTTAGAACTATGGACTGGTTAACTGTAACTGGGTATTAGCTTTTAGGTCTAGTAGCACGTCTACTGGCGCAGCTTAGTATATCTGCGCCTACAAAATGAATATTGGCAGCCAATTTCAGAAATAAATCAACATTGTACCTATGTACAAAAGACGTCCATGACCCGACTTAAGGACCTAGTTTGAAACACTTTTCCGTCATGGCCAATTTGTCCGCTTCGACTGGTCTCATCTTGTCAGAAAATTGGAAGTCAGGACAACTCCCGGACGTCAAATGCATATCATAGACACGCCTAAACACTTCACGGCGCATCACTAACATAATCAACCTTAAGCTTCCCCTCTCCAACATCATGACTATCCGGGTTAATCGGCACACCACCACAAGTATTACAGCCATGATCAATCAAAGCCTGCAGCCCCCACTTAGCATCAAACATGGTCTTCTTCTCGCCGTCTCCGATCTCCTCGAAAAAGGCACAGAACTTATCCACGCAGTCGATGTACTCGTGCTCGCCGAACTCCTCGCCATCATCGCGGCCCTCCACGTGGTTCTGGATTTCCTTGATCAAGGCGTTGCTGATTCCGGGGGCGGGGGGGAGGGTGCAGTAGAAACTGCCGCCGCAGTTGATGTCTTTTGCGGTGGCGGTGGTTATGGCGCCGAGGGCGAGGGCGATGGGGGTTAGGAAGTGCATGTTTTCGTCTGTTTGCGGTTAATGGAGTTCTTTCTGGGTGGAAGTGTGAACTCACTTGGTTGTAGTTGGAATTGAAGGTGTATAAATGTTCTGTTTGAGATCACTGATGATGGGAAGTATAGAGGGAGTTCAAGGCCCTTAAGTAGATTTCCGAGGCCTGATCTGGTGCGCGATTTAATTCATACTCCTCATTGAAGACTTCCTATTGTAGAAACTCCTCTTGGTTCTTGATATATCGTGCATGAATTCCTGGAGGCGAGTCAGCGCTCCACAGGGTGGTATGACTGATATCTCCGCGTTACAACGATCCTAGACTCTTGGTCTCATGGCTGGCAGGCAGTGTATATTCAGCCAACAATAGGTTCCTATATCAATCCACATTCTGCATGTAGAAACTGGTGGTTCATACGAAAACGAACTGCCAAGAAGATTAACAAACACCAGTTTCTACTCCAATGTTAGCCGATCTGCCACAGCCTCATGATGTAGCATGTTACGTACAAGGGGCCAGCTAATCATAATTCTACTTCCTAACTCTTCCAAGTCTCAATGAGTAAGTACTCGCGTACGGGACGACGTCATGCAAGCCCCCACAAATACTGGCATAGACCAGTTTCTCAGAAGGGAAATATGCCAAGATGATGTGCATAGAACGACTCCAGTCCATCGGGGCTGTGATACATCCAGCGCGGTCATGCTTTCCTATGGTGGGGGGTTGTATTATTCTGCAATGAACATACCGGTAAACAAAAGGGATATCTGATTGTAAAAGACCCAGGTCTAGCTAAACAGGACATTCACTATAGCAGCGTATCCAGTCTTAACCACAGATGCTGCAGTATAGATAGTGTTGCTGCTAAATCCCCCTCGCCTCCAGCGCCCTCCTCAACGTCTTCTGGAACCCGAAGACATGCTCAGGCCCCAGCATGGTATAATGCGCCCCCCCGAGATCATGGAAGCGCGGCTCCGATCGCGAGAATGCCTCCCACCGACTGAGATGCTCACTGCGCCACTGCGCTTTGGACGCCGCCGCCACAGCCAGAGGATTACAGTAGAAGATATCAATACCTGCGATTGAGCCAGAGGGGTCGTAGTCCACCGCCATCCGCTGCAGCGCAAAGGCCAGAGACGCCCACTTGGTCAAGCCCGCGGGCGAGAGACCCAGTTCGTCGAGGCGGGCTTGGTGAGCGTCCGCAAGTACCCGGGCCAGCGCCTCTTCACGCGTTGCACCCTTCGCCTTGAGAGCCACTGCTAGTTCGCGGGCGCGGTCCTCCGTCATCAGCCCGAGGAAGTACGACAGGTGCAGCAGGCATTCCTGGTAATCCAGCTGGCGCATACGGGCGTTGATATGAGGCGGGAGGTTGAAGGAGCCTAGGAAGCGCACGCTGTCGCCGTTCGCCTCCAGCACCTTGCCGATTTCAAAGGCGAAAATTGTGCCGTATGAGTAGCCGGCAATCGCGTAGGGGCCTTGCGGCTGCTGCTGCTTGATAGCGGCGTGGTAGGTGCGGACGACTTGGTCGATTGTCTCGAAGGGCTGCTCGCCCTCGTTGAATCCGCGCGCACGCAGCGCGTACACGGGCCGGTCGACAAGAAACTTGGCCAGATTGAGGAAGACGAGGACCTCGCCGACGCCGGGGTGGACGAGCCACAGAGGGGTCTTTTCGCCCTGCGACTGCAGCGTGACAACTGGGTTGTACTCGCCAGATGGACGCCTGCATCGGCCGTCTTCCAGGACCGTGGCGAGGCCGCGCACGGTTGGGTTCACCATGAGTGAGACTATGGGGATTTCGTGGGCGAGACCAAGCCGTTCTTCCACGAGCTTTTTCAGTCTGATGAGGTCTACCGAGGTGATGCCAATGTCGAACAGGGAGGACTGCACGTCGAACTCCTCGGGCAGCTCGAGGGATGCTCTGAAGAGTGCGAGCAGGCGTTCCTCCAGCTCACTGGCCGGGTGGACGCGCGTTGTGGCGCGGTGTAGCTTGATGGCGTTGCTGTTGGCCTCTTGATAGGAGGCGTAGTCGCCATTTTCAAAGGCCGTCTTGATCTTGGTGCGGCATAGCTTGCCAAGGGCTGATTTCTGCAGCTTGGACTGATCGAGAGGGAGCACCTGGGGCCGCGATCCTGTCGCCATCATGGCAATCCGGGCTATGGCGTCCGCTGTTGCAACTCGCGCGGCCGTGTCGTCGGGAGAATAGGCTGGCAGGTACACCACGCAGACTGTCTCCGTCTCACCCCTCGGGGGAAAGGCGGACAAACAGCAGGTGAAGCCGGGGACCAGACCCGGGACCTTGCCCGCCTCCTCCAGTGCGGTCTCGATCTCCTGCGGGCTGTATTTGACGCCATTGACAATCATGGATTCCTTGGCCCGGGCCAGGAGATGCAGGTGTCCCTACTCGTCGATGGACGCCAGGTCGCCCGTCCTGAACCAGCCATCGTGCGTGAACGACTTCCTATTCGCTTCTGGGCTATTGAAGTAACCGGGGAAAATAAGGGACCCCGTCAGCTCGAGGTTGCCGGCGGTTCCAGGCGGAGCGATGACGGCTGCCGCCTGGTCGTCCGCGATACGTGAGACTCTCATGCTGAGCCCCGGCACACATTTCCCCAGGGATGCAAACTCCAGCCCTCGGTCAGTGTCGTACTGAGGGAAGTGCATGTTGTAGATAGCACCGCCGCATGTCTCGGTCATGCCAAAGCCCGGGAAAATGGTCTTTGCAGGTGCCCCATAGCGCGTCAGCAGGGTTTCGACATCAGCAGCTGTTTTGATGACCACTGCCTCACCGCCGGAGACAATGTATCGCAGACAGGACAGGTCCCAGCGGTTGGGCTCTTCAGCGCCGTGGCCCTCGAGCATGGTGCGCATGCGCGCGAGGAAGAAGTTGGGCGCAAAGGTGCGAGAGACGCGGTGGCGGTCGACGATATCGAGAAACGCATGGGGCTGGGACAAGACGTCCAGCGCCTGCACATGCACTTGGTCTTTGCGTGCGAACATGGCCTGAAGGTGGATTTCGAGAATAGCTTCAACGTGGTCGCAGCGAACCCAGTTCAGGAACGAGCTGCGCTCCGGCAGCGGCATTACCTCGTACTTGCTGGCCAGCGCCGTGAAGACCTGGCCGTGGGTAAACATGACGGCTTTGGCATGGCTGGTGCTGCCCGAGGTAATCATCAAGAACGCGAGCTCGTCGGCGCCCGCGGTGCGGTGGACATTGTCCAGCTCTGCAGCTGAGGCATTGCCCATATCGCTGCTCAGGGACTCGACCGCAGTAGGCATGATACCGTCTTGATATCCAAACTCTGCCAGCTTGGACGCGGCGGTCAGACAGCCCGGACCCTGCAACAGGGAAACCAGGTGCTCTAGATGCAGTATACGCGCCGTGGGATTGTTGGACAGCGCGGTGGACATGGCTGGGACACAGCCGGCCAGCAAGACGGCCCAAAACCAGAGGATGTTTTCCCAGTGGGTATCGAAATGGATGAGAACCACGCGGCCCCGAGGGAAGCGATCTCGACGGCAGCGCAGTGCCCACGAGGCCCTCTTCGCGGCTTCGAGCAGCTGACGATAGGAATGGAAGGTGGGTTGTCTCGTGTTGTGGGGGGCGTAACAGACGACATTTCCGCTGCCCCCCTGGCCAGCAGCAGCCTCCAGGAGAAGTGTGAGATTGGACAGACCCATGTCAACTGAGCGAGAAGCAGCTATGATGGTGGGAGTCTATCGTGGGCCAGAAGCGAGGACTTGGCTGCCTGCATGGATCCCCGTTAACCGCCGGATGGGAGCGACTGTGCATGTTATAAAGCCGCCGGCGTGTTCTGCTTCGTTCCCCCCAAGCACCACAAAGACCGCACCAGAGACAATGGCAGATCTCCAGAAGGTACCTGCTGCTTGCCCTTCCCTGCTGCCGGCATGATTCAAGGCACTGACGCTCAGAGGTCATTGTCATCGGGGTTTGGCCTACAGGCCTCGCAGCAGCCATCCGCCTGGCTGACCGCAACAAGCTGAGCCCGGTGGTCTACGAGCTGCGTAACCCAGACACTGCAGGCCTTCGTGGCTCCTCGGTTTGCCTGCAAATGGTCTACGTGTCTTGCACCGCCTGGGACTCTGGGAGGCGATCGCTGCGCGGGGGGTGGATGTGACCAGAACCATCCTGCATTTGACCTCCGGCAGGGTCCCCTGTGAAGTGGACATGACAAGCGAGGCCAAGCAGAGGACAGGGTTCGGATACCTCCGGATCAACCGGGTGGATCTTGTCAAATGCCTGCGTGAGGGCGCGCAGCAATGCCAGATCCCCATCCACTACGAAAAACGGCTCGTGTCCATCGTCAGCCACGCCCAGCGCGAGTCAGTCACAGTGACCTTCTCTGACGGCACCAGTGACACCGCATCGCTGCCATCGTCGACGACGACGAGACGTCCACCAGCGAGACCGGGACCCCGTCTTGTCTGCACTCGACCATGACCCCTCATGGTATGCTGGCCACCGCGCCCTGCATCGCCAACCAGACCTTTTGGTTCTTCAGCAAGCAGGTCGCCCTGCCGCAACTTTGAAATGACTACAATTCTACAGCCATGGATCTCGCTAGACTCACTACTTCCATCTCGGAGGTTGCGGATCTCCTTGCCAGACAGCCGGCGACTGCCCACCAGCAGCGAGGGGAGGTATTGAAGGCCTGCCAGAAGCTCTCCGCGGCCCTCAAGGAGCCCCTGAAGGGTTAGAGAGAGCGACCACTTCTGTAAGCATGTGTACCCCGCGAGGATTGGTCACATTCACCGACGGTGAAAGGGGTATAGATGACCCCCGTCGCGGCGGTCCAGGTTGCCCTTGACATGGGCATCTTCGATTTCGTCCACCGCTCCTGAAAGGAGGAGTTCACGGGCGAGGAGCTTGGGCCGTCCACGCATGCTGATCCCTTGCTTGTCGTCCGGATTTTGCGGTCGTTGGTGGTGTCGCGAGTTTTGACCGTCACGGCGCTGGGGAGCTACAGGGCGGAGCCTGTGGTCGAGGATCTCATCCAGGGGGACTGCCTGGCGAACTTCATCATAATGTACCCGTGCGTCTGCTTGCCTTTGTGCGTTGACGTTTTGATTTGGCTGACGCCACCAGCGACATCCACTTTCAAACCAGTTATCTGCGAGAGACGGGGTGCAGATCTCCGCAAAACGCCTTCGCAGGGCCCTGCCAGCACTCTCTGAGCACCGAAAAGCACTTCGTCGACTGGCTGGTCACGAACCAAACCCTCCTGGATGCCTTTAACCAGGTGATGCAGACCGGCGTCGCCCGCCACAACGCCCAGCGGTGGACTCAAACCTTCCCTGTTACACAGCGTCTGCGGGAGGAGATGTTCCAGGGCGACGCAAGGCTCAAGTTGGTTGATATCCGCGGCGGTGTAGGGCACGAGAGCAAAGCCTTGCTCGAGACACTGTCGTGGCTCAAAGCCAGGGGCCAGCTTGTGCTCCAGGACATGCCCGGCGTCATCGAGAGCGTGCAGCCCGAGCTCAGGGAGACAGGCGTGCAGGCGATGCCGCATAACTTCTTCGAACCACAGCCCGTGAAGCACGCACACGTTTACTTCCTCGGCCGGGTCCTGCACGACTAGCCAGATGCCCAGGCGCGTATAATCTTGCGGCATATCCGCGATGCGATGTGTAGGGAAGACGGCTCAGCCAAGATCCATCCGTCGGATGCGGTGATTGATCTCCATATTATGGCCCTGCTATCGTCCCTAGAACGCACGGCGAGTCAGTTCCGGTCCTTTTTGGACTCGGTGGGATTGCACCTGGTGCGTGTGTGGCGGCCAGTGTCTGCTGCTTATCATCGGCAGGCGGTGCTCGAGGTAGTCCAAGGGGGTATGTAGACTACAGATATACTAAACCGTAATAAACTCTGAATTTTACAAAAAAAAAACAAAAAAAAAAGGTAAAAAAACTAGAATTCAATGCGCAGTGGCCCCATTAATCGGATCCGGCCGTGACAAGCCCTAGAGCCCCCCTTTGCAGCTTCACGTCATAGGGCGTGGCGTAGGAGTCACATTCGTAGGTAAAGTGGACATCATCAGTCGAACCGCTTCCAATCGTGCTGCCAGAACAACAGCTAATATAGTTATCGTAAGGGGTCGTGTGCTGGCTGAAGCATTGATCATTGGCGTTAGCACAAAGCAGCGTATTCAGGAAAATAACTGCCGTCAGCCACAGCCACTGCGGCCGGGTCAGTCGTTTAGCCATTCCGTTCGATAGACTTGAAAAGTCGATTTGGGTGGTTGGTGTGGCAGAAATTGACGAGAGAGTAACGTAGTGATGGTTGTGTCTTGCCCTCAGTAGTGGCCACAACATATATACCGAATTATACCAAGACCCTGAGTGCCGCTCATGCCTCCCGTTTCTTTTTTGGCTTCTGATTAAAAAGTCCCACGGCCTGCCTCATAGTGACATTAATACTGCGCCCCAATCCTCGGGTTGTAATTACGAGTTTGTTACTACCACCGTAGAAATATGGAACCAGAGAGGTGATGTTACAGTGAATCTCAGCCAGACTGTGCACTAGATCATGACCGTTTCCATGTCTGGTGTGTCTTCGAGGCGCACATCCCAGTTTGTAATGTCATCCTTAGCATCTACTAGATTATGATCGGTCTTTGTACATGGTGATATAGGAAACGTCTCTCATGTGCCGGAAACGCCATTGCTAATCACCAGGTATTATTGTGCCTCTAATCAATATACAGGCATGCATACGCAAAGCATATGTGTGTTGTAGGGTACAATGTTGAGCATGGTGCTTGATCTTCCAGCCTGGCAGTGTATGCTGCGCAGACTAGCCCATATGGTGTATCATATAACCAATCTGGCGGGCCTGGACAGCCATCTACAACAGTATGAGACCCTCCAGCTCAGTTCACTATCTATAGCGGGAAAGTCTAACCTGCGAGGCTTTCCCGAGGTTGGATGATATCATGACTTCCTGGTCGGCACGTCTGGCTTAACGTATTAAGATGAGCCTAATGAAAGAAATAAATGCAGTAGGGTCCCAAAACGTCCTCCCTTAAGTTGCCCCAGCTTTGTGTAGCTCTTGTCGCATTGGAGCATTCCAATAAACTTGGGCCCAACACAGAGCCGCTTTCTGGCTTTCAAAATGTGATATCGCTGTAATTGCTGCTGTAAGCTGTCACACTATTGGAGACGCTGTGAAGGAAGTGACGATACTTCCCTATCAACTAGGGAATATCTGTTAGTATTCTATTAGATGTGATGCTAAAATCACAGCTATATATAAAATACTATATGAAATATATAACTAAGTAATAAATTATTTGCTAATATTAAATCAGTAGTCTTTGATCTCAATATTTATATTCTTCCGAAAGAGGCAAAAGTGCGAGTGGCCTCCGCGGGTCCCGGGAAGGGTATGTTTAACATTCGCCTCGCTTCTTCTTAGATTTATATTAGAACTTCGGTCAATTTCTTGTAGGTCGTATACGACCCAACACTTTACCCCCAGCCCAGTATGTCCTCTTCCACTCGGGTCATCATCGTCACAGGCGCATCGTCCGGCCTCGGGCGAGCCATCGCCACTGAATTCGCTTCACACCCAACGACCGGCGTCGTCATCTGCGCGGATCTAACACCAGATGCACTCTCCGACGTGCAAGAGGCAAGATCCACCGTGGACGAAATCCAGACGAACTACGGCGCCGAGAAGGCGGTCTTCGCAAGGGCAGACGTCAGCAACGCCGCGGACATGAAACAGTTAGTCCAAACGGCAGTTTCGTCCTTTGGCCGTCTCGACGTGCTGGTTAACAATGCCGGGGTTGCGCTCGAGTCCTACAACAAGCGGGGACCCCGGCCAGTGCATGAGACAGACCAGGACACCTTTGAAATCACCATGGATGTCAATGCGAAGTCTGTGTTTCTGGGATGCAAGTACGCGGTCGAACAGTTCCGGAAGCAGGATCTTGATGCAGCGGGGAATAGAGGGTTTATCATCAATATGTCCTCCGTTTATGGAATGGCAGGGGCTGAGGGACATGGTGAGTCCACCCGTCGGTTGTGCGTTTGTCAGGAGGTGAAGCAGCTCACTGTGTCTGGATAGTATCGTACTGTGGCAGCAAGGGAGCCGTTCTGCAGATAACAAGGGCGGTTGCTGTTGAAAATGCACCATTCAAGATTCACTGCAATGCGATTTGCCCTGGCTGTACGTGCCCCCTTTATGATTCTCTCGACTTAGTCTAACTTCCTCGACAGTCATCAAAACAAGCATGGATAGTATGCTGCATAGTAACCGAAAACACCTTGAAGACACCATCAGGATGCACCCATGGGGAGCGCTTGGCCAGCCGAAAGATATTGCCCATGCTGCTGCCTTCCTGGCCAGCGACAAGGCGAGTTGGATCACGGGTGTCGCCCTCCGTGTAGATGGAGGATACACAGCTGTCTAGCTAGGTTTATCGTTCAACCAATATTATATCCTATAGATGTGGGATGCTATTATCAATAACAGGAGCCCACTTGCAGTCACAGAACTCGATATCATGGAGTATGTATGACACATCCCAAACGATTCGGAGACCATGGATAATTGCACAATACTAAAGAGGTCGTCGCACTGTATCTCCAATAGGCTCAAGATTAAGCCTTTTAACCTCTCAAGCGGTCTCTTGCCATTTACAGATGTGAAATCCCGCAGGGTCCAGGACAAATCCTGCTGCCTAATACTTCTCACCCGTGGGACTCTCGTGAACTGGGGTTGGTCGATGTCGACGTGGGGGGAAACTAAGAAGACAGGGATATCACGGGGAACCACATAATTGTAAAGGTGCATGAGCGGAGTTGTGGAAATGCAGCTAGGCTGAATACCGGAGGAAATGCAAGTTTCAGTTAAAGCTCCTGGGCGAACTCTAGTCTTCACTATACCGAAAATGGTCGAAGTGCGAGCAGGGCCTAGTGGGGGAGCATCAGCCATGGATATTCCCAGAGTCACTCGTGACAGAATATAAAAAACAAGTTGATTCTTCGGCCCCTTCGGCCCTCCCCGTATATTAAACGCAGACATGACGAGAACAACGACAGACTTCCCCATTGAGAACGCGATTGCTGTAGTCACTGGAGGGGGTAGTGGTAGGTCCTATATTATATTCCCCACCAGATCGCCATTGGTTTAACGACTGCAATCATAGGCATCGGGCTCGCCTTCAGCAGACTCCTGCAGACCAGAGGAGTTCGAGTCCTAATCGCCGACCTTAAACTAAGTCCAGAGGCTCAAAACTGGGTCGAGTGCAACGCGTGCACTCCCAAGGCTGTTTTCCAGCATTGTGATGTGACAAACTGGGCCCATCTGGAGAGTCTCCCTGCAAAGGCCAAGGAGCTTTGGGGGTCCGTTTCAGACATTTGGGTTCCAGGCGCTGGGGTCTTTGAACCTGTAGGTGTACTTGGTTTGATCACTAGCTATGAACCCCGTCGCTCATTCTATTCTCAGCCGTGGTCACACTTCTTTCAGGATAGCGACGCCTCGTCGGGCATTTCCCATTACGCTTCTGTCTCCATCAACATCGAGCATCCAATCAGACTGACCCGCATCGCCATCCGCTCGATGCTATCAGAAAACAAGCGCGGCGTTGTTCTGAATATCGGGAGTGACGCCGGGATTGACTACTTCTACTCGGTTCCGCTGTACACGGCTACGAAACACGCCATTGTCGCATTCACGCGCAGCCTTGCGCCACTAGACGTTGAAGAAGGAATTAAAGTGGTTGCCATATGCCCAGGGTAGGATTCCTCCTAGAAGATCCGTTATTTTTGTGATGTGTTATCGTGCTAAGCTCCGTTGCCACGGCAGAAGTGTCCTGACCCCCCTGTTCACTACCACACTGCGAGACCAGTGGAGTGTGAAAGAACAGAATGCACTTCAGCCAGAGCAGGTTGCTACTGCCATGCTGGAGCTTGTCAAGTCATCAGAATACCCCGGTGGATCTATAGTGCGGGTTGATAAGGAAAGGGGAATGAGATTGATCCCATGCCCTCAATCAGAAGCGCCACCTGATACGAGCGACGAAGGTATGAGGCAAGAACTCGAACGCAACTACGCGCCTGTTCGCCTGGTCTTACGACGCGAGCGTGCTGGTATGGCAGACTCTTAGACCAAAACGAAAATTCCATGTAAAACCAGCACAAAACTATATATATAACAGCGTGTTTAGATTCACTACGGATAAGTAGTAGCCATCTGTGTGAGCAGCTACAGAATTCTTAATTTAGTGGTGTAATTTGGGCTCTCATCGAAGATATATATAGTAATTTCTGCCCTCACCGCGAACTCAGCCGCTGTACAGGGAATGTCTCATCCACATCAACCTCCTTGTTCTCCAGCTTATTCCACTCAGCACCCACCCGGAAGATACGTAGGTCATCGTAGTACCTCCCGATCAGGTAAGGCATATAGGCATTGCCGCATCCCAGATCATGTTCCGCAACAACCGTATACTCCGCCAACCCCGAGACATACTCAAACTGCCCCACGGACTGGATGGGAATGCTGTGCAGCGGATCCGCCCGCGTTCCTCTCACAGTGACCCGGCCCCTGCCTGTGGCCCGCCGAGTCTTGTGCTCCACTACCTCCAGCACATTGACCTTGGGCTCCCATTGCAGCCCCTTGCCCTGCGAATGCGGGTAGGCCTTGATCTCAAATTGAGATCCCTTGACCGTTTCCGCCGGAAGATCGTCTCCACATTCCATCTCAACCTCGATCAGACGCACACCGTTGCGTTCTGCGTAGCCATACCGGTAGTTGCCCGAGCGCCAGAGCCGGGTAATGCCGGTCTTCTTGGTCTCCCCCCACACCTCGCGGCCCCAGGTAACGGGCGTATCACCGCTGATGAGCATCAGCAAGCAGTATTTGCCCGTAATGCCCTTGAATTTGGCATCGAGCGTGACGAGAGTGCAGTCAAATTCGCCGCATAGTTTGCTTTCCATCGTTCCCACGAGTATGCTACCCGTGGGCTCGGCTGCGGGCTCGAAGCCTGGAGGGAGTATACTTTTCACGTACGCAAACGTGGTGTGGAAGGGGATTTCGATGCCCTCTTGCGAGAATTCGGGCTTCGAGGAGAACTCCTCCCAGATAGCGATTTCTTCGGGGGACGCGACGTAAGACATGGTCGTAGATTGGGATTAATCAAAGAGGGAGATGAAGACAGGGTTGAGGAATAATGGCGTATGGGAATGACTTGGATGTGAGAGCACAAGCCATCTTTATGTTCCAAATCTGCCATATGCCAATTCTTGTCGGACATAGCGACATATCCTAGCTGGGCGAAAGAACGAGGTGGCGTTGATCTGATGTTGGAGATAAAAAGACCCTTCCAGTTTCGTCCCCACAAGACTCCGCAACTGAACGAATCAGTAAAGTGTGCGAAGACAACAGCAATTGTGGAACAAGAGTCCGGTGTTGGTGTCGAAGCATTTGAATAGATGTCTCCTCTTCCGACCTTCTTAACCGGGTAGTTAAGATCCGACGTGTGGAACTCGGTCACAATCAGAATGGACTGATTGTGCGAGACTACCATTCCGTCGTCCTGTCTGGGCCATTCGACGGCATCTTACTTGGTTGGAAAGAACAAAATAACAAGTCTGCATCTGTTTATAGTATCCGTTCCTCTCGTAAGGCCCTAGGACTCCTAAATTTACGCGCACCACTATAATAGCATCTCCAGGTACATATGACTTTCTCCATGGAAATGGGCACAAGACAGTTAGATCACATTCGCCTTAGCCTCCACTTCAAGCTCAACAATCATCCCCGGAAGTCCCAACTCCCGGACGCCAACACAAGTCCAAATAGGCTGGTGGTTCGGCATGAACTTCCTGAACTGCGCCACCATCAAATCAAACGACTGTTCTAGCGAGATATGGTAGCTGCGGACAGAATACACATCCTCCCATCCGCGCAATCCGGCATCCCGGACGTTCTTCTCGACGTTCTGGAATGCCTTCACGATTTGCCCCGGGAGGTCGTTTGCATCGATGTTGCCATTGTCGTCCCACCCGCCCTGGCCGGAGCATTTGACGATGTCTCCAACACGGACGGCCTGAGAGTATGAGTACTCGCGTTTGTTGGTTGCGCCGATGCCGGGGTAGGCGTAGTATTGTTGTGAGGACATTCTGCGGATCAAGGATGGGTGTTGCGGGTTGCTGGAGATATCTTAATTTGGAGTTATGTTTACGGAAAGTGACGATAAAGAAAGAAAAGAGAAATACCTTGTGTAGTGTATTGATTCTTTGCGCGTGTTCACTGCTGCGGTCGTGGTGAGAAATCGAAGAATGTTGCGGTACCTATATATACTCAGCAGGTCGGCCTTTTTCGGCAAATGTACTGATCACTTCAAGGGGAGACATGAGATACCATTCAGGCATCAAATGGTGCGGGGATGATATTATCTCGCGTGGACATTGAGCCATGGCTGAAGATCCCCGCCTCCCTCGCACTCTGCCCGTTTTGGGAAATATGTGTTTGTCACTCGATATATCCATTAAATACCGCCTAGACGTCGTATGTTTTGCAACATTCATATCATTTCAATTTCACTTATTGCTTTTACCAGAACGACTAGTTCCCACAGAAATTATCCCATCTTTTCGTTACTATGGCAGCTGCGGCTACGCTCACCCTGCCTAATGGCAAGCAATACGAACAGCCCACGGGGCTGTTTATCAATAACTCCTTTGTTGAAGCATCTGGGGAGCTCCTGGACGTCGTCAACCCTGCGTGAGTTCTCATTACCCTTTTCTTTGCTTGGGTTAGTGGCCGTGCGGTATTGTGATAGAACCAGTTCTGTCTAACAGTCGATTCCCTTCCCAGTACGGAAAATAATATCATCTCCATAAAAGGGGCATCCGAAGATGACGTGAACCGCGCTGTTGCAGCAGCACGGGAGGCCTTCCAGGGCGAGTGGCGCGAGTTCTCATCCACCCAGCGAGGAGAGTACCTTTACCGGTTGGCTGAACTTATCCGGCGGGATAGCGAGCTGATCGCCGCTATTGACGCTTGGGATAACGGCAAGGTGACTTAGGCCTTTGTACTTCGGACACATTGGTTGCTAATCATGCTATTCTTTGCAGCCCTACGTAGCGACCCTCGAGGGCGACCTTGACGAATCCTACAATGTCTTCCGTTACTATGCCGGCTGGGCGGACAAGATTAGCGGGCGTACAATTGAGACCTCCCCTTCTAAATTGGCCTATATTCTGCAAGAGCCGCTGGGTGTCTGCGGTCAGATCATTCCCTGGTACATTGAGCTGCTCACCATCGTAACCCAATTGAAAGCATAACTGATCTCTGAACAGGAACTACCCCTTCATGATGCTTGCCTGGAAAGTCGCCCCGGCTCTCGCATGCGGAAACACCGTGGTTCTTAAACCAGCTGAACAAACACCTCTTTCAGCGCTCTATTTCGGGAAATTAGTCGTCGAGGATGGATTCCCTGCTGGTGTAGTGAATGTCATCCCAGGACTGGGCTCTGTTGCAGGCAAGACCCTTGCTGAGCATACGGGTGTAGACAAGATTGCATTCACAGGGAGTACAGCCACAGGCCGTGCGATCATGAAATCCGCCGCCGCAAACCTGAAGAACATCACCCTTGAGTGTGGTGGGAAAAGCCCTAGTCTCGTGTTTTCCGACGCGGACATCGACCAGGCCGTTAAATGGTGTCACTCCGGCATTATGGATAACCAGGGGCAGGTTTGTACTTCGACCTCGCGGATCTATGTGCAGGATGGCATCTACGACGACTTTGTGGAGCGATTTGTCCAGATTACACGAGATAACGCGAAGCTCGGAAGCGCCTTCACGGACGGTGTCATCCAGGGACCGCAGATTTCACAGGCCCAGAATGAAAAGATCCTGTCGTATATCGAAGAAGGAAAGAAGGAGGGTGCAAAGCTAGCTTATGGAGGGCAAAGGCATGGCAGCAATGGATATTTCGTGGAGCCAACGGTTTTCGTGGATGTACGTTTACCTATACCTATCCTGTCTATTCCGAACTAATAACCGCCTATAGACAAGCGAAGACATGCGCATCGTGAAGGAAGAAATCTTCGGACCGGTCGTCGCCATCAGCAAATTTTCAACCGAAGAGGAGGCCATTCGCAAAGCAAACGCAACCTCATACGGCCTCGCGGCGGCCGTCTTTTCAGAGAAAGTCTCGCGCGCCCATATCGTGGCCAGCAAGCTGGAGGCGGGCATGGTGTGGATTAACTCCTCCGGCGACTCTCACTACGGCATCCCATTTGGGGGCTACAAATCCTCTGGGATCGGGCGTGAGCTTGGGCCCTACGCCTTGGATGCGTATACGCAGTCAAAGGCCGTTCACGTCAATCTTGGACTTGCGCTGTAGGATCGGATTGAGGTCGACTATTTTGTGAATGATACTTTGTATTTCACGCTGGAATGAAATGAAATGAAAGTAGACAGCATACAGAATTCAAACCAGTGACAGGTTTTTCCCCTTTTCTAGCATCAACTCCAACCAGGTAGTCCGCTCCCCAGCTGCACGACATTCCCAAATATCCCGGACGAGCTGGAATCCAGTAAAATAGGCTCTTACACGAGTGTACTGCGTCACCTGAGCGGCATGATACTCCACCAGTGCACGGTATTCCGTATCGCTTTCAAGTAGCTCAGAGCCCGCAATGACGAGGAGTGGGCCCACGGAGTTGAGAAGCGGACTGTCGGAGGGAATAACCTGCAGCATCGTCATCACAATTTCTACGGCCTCTCGCAGGGGCGCAAAGTCTCCCGGATGTACCCCTTGAGCCACTGACCGTGCCTGGTATAGCATGATCACCCCCATGGCACGTTGCGAATTTGCTAGCAGGCGCAGAACAGATTGGTCCACGTTGTTTGCTTCAGAGGACGAGGACTTTACGGAAGACGGAAATTCCTCCTCCACTGACCAGTTTTGGAGCTTGGCTTCGAGCTGCAATTCATGGACGGGGTCACCTGCCATGGCGGAGAGTTCTATTACCCAACGGTAATATCGCCCGACCTCGATCAGAATCGGGCAGATACTTGTGGCGAAGCCATTCACCGGGTGAACGTAGCCCGCAAGGTGCTGACGTGCCACCCTGGAGACGAGGTCTGCAGTGGTGGCAGATGTGTGGTTGGCCTCTATATATGAGGAGAACACTTCCCAATAGATGTATAAGCCAAGCAGATATCGCAAGAAATCATCGGTTGGGCCACCTCGTTCCAGGAGAACGGAGATGACTGTCCGTGCACCGTCCAAATATTGCAGTCCGTAGTCGTCATCAATCATCCAGCCGGACGATATTCCCAGAAGCAGGGAGGAGAGCAGAATGGTGCGGAGTAACGACGCCTGCGATAATGGACTACGCTTCAGAGCCCGGTCAATTTCATTCTGCAGGGACACGAGGGCGCGGCCCCGCTCCTCCAGGATCTCAGCAAGTCGGCCCTCACAAAAGAACTGTCGGTGAGCTTGACTGACACATTGCATGGTGTGCCGCAGTGCCTTGGACTGGCGAAGATAAGGTGCCATCCCATAAGATAGGGGGTTGAGTGGAGGGGGCACAATTGCCATTGTCAGACAGACGTGACTGAACCAGTGCCGTAAAAGGTCATTCTCCAAGATCCCCGTGGGCTCGCCATACGAATTGGCTGTACTAAGCGAAGTGGAAATTGCGGAAGAATAAGGGAGCATTGGAGCAGACTGCCCATTATGAGACACCGCTGAAAGCCACGGACGCTCAGTCTGCCAGGTGTCGGATTGGAAGTTGCCTGTGCACGTCTCTTTGCGGGCCTGGCAACGTCGACAGCACGGCTGTGTTTCGTCACATTTCACACGCCGCCGCTTACATGGCTCGCATCCTGACCGGCTTTTAATCTGCCGTGCATGTGGCTGACTCTTTTGACCTGTCGGCCGAGGATTCGTGGCCAGGACCACAGGTTTGAACAAGAAAGTTCCATGCTGGTCAGTCATGGTTGATATGAGTATATGCTCAATGAAGCCAGCCTCGGTTATGGATCGAACAAGGAGGTTTATCCCAGCACTTTAACCTGCAGGTCGGGATAGACTGAACCGACATTCGCGCAGCTCTGCGGGGGATTTACCGCTGGAGGCGATTGGCAGCTGCGTCCGCTGGGGTGCGTCTGATAAGCTTCCGGGACCCTTTGCGATTGGTCGAACCGGGCGAGCGTCGCCTGAGCATTCAATTGGCCTTTTTTCATGATTCCCCGCTGCCGGGAATTGAACACCATCTAAGCGCCTCTTGGCCGGTGTAGTATGCGAACAGATTGTTCGTATGAGTGCTGCATCATCTACTTACGAAATGGTAGGCAACCAAGCAACCCCAGACTCAGACCCCGGAGCTCAGAGAGAAAGACTGCAAAAGCGGGTGGCGCTAGACCCACCGTGGGAATTTCCCAATCCAGCCCGAGTGCGAGGCCTCCCCGCCTCCACGATAGCGTTGATAGTGACCAGGCAATAGGGGGGATGTTGAGGAGTAATTAATTTTGATACGAAATTGGCCTTTAGAGTCACGGGGTTCCGTAGATATGCCCTCGCCATTATATATAGTCCACATCCAGTCTCGCCTCTGCACAAGACTCATCTCTCGACTGTTTCTTCCATTTCATATGACAATGTCCTCAGATGTTTATGAAATGCCCGATCGAGATATCAAAGAGAAGCCCGGGGAAACGCGGCTGTCGCAGGAAAACGGGTATATGGCCGAGCATCATGGTGCTGCAGGAATGGAGAAGCCCTTTACGGTTCTGAGCGCCATGGGGGTTGGTCATTCCATCAGCAACACGGCTATCACCGTGGTTGTTGGTCTCAGCAGTGACATCTCACTTGGAGGCGGTCCGTTGTATTTCTGGTCTTTCTTGGTCATGGTGTTCGTGGCTCTCTGTGCCGCGGTGAGCCTAGGGGAGCTTGCCTCTGCATTCCCGCACCCAGGCGGCCAATACTTCTGGGTTGCTAAACTCTGTCCCCCGAGCCTCCCTCGTCGATTTATCTCTTACATGACGGGTATCCTATCCTGGGCTAGTGCTGTCTGCACGGGGACATCTGTCTGCTTAGCGGTGCCCCAGATGGCTTTAGGGATGATCCATCTCACGCATCCTAATTTTGTACAAAAGCCATGGATGCTTTTTGTCGGCTTCCAGATCACCAACTGGATGACATTCACCGTCAATTGCTTTGAACGCCTGCTTCCATTTGTCAGCAAGGGAATCCTCACCTTCACCGTGACCTCCCTTATCGTGATTTTCGTCTCGCTCATTGCAGCCACGCGTAACCGGGCGTCCGCGGACTCCGTTTTTGTGACACTATCGAACGAATCTGGGTGGACGAACGGGGTTGCATTTCTAATTGGGACCAATGGGACTAACTGGGGGTTTTCCTGCCTTGATGCCGCTTGTCACTTGGCTGATGAGATTCCAACCCCCCGCCGAAACATCCCAAAGGCTCTTCTATGCACAGTCGCACTGGGGGCTCTCACCGGACTTCCCATCACACTGGCTCTGTTCTTTGCTGTCTCTGGCATAGGAGAGGTTGCGCTATCTACTGTGCCCTCGCTTGAGATCCTTTACCAATCATTTAATGGCAATGCTGCTGGAGCCATGGGCCTTCAGTGTTTAATTCTTATTTCCGCGACTGGTGCTATCATCGGCATCCATACATGGCAGTCCCGCATGGCGTGGGCCTTTAGCCGTGACGGGGGCTTCCCATTCAGCAAGTATATGGGCGCTATTTCTCCTGCCCCTTTCTCGGCTCCTCTTTGGGCCCATACGTGGTCTTCCGTGTGGATTTCCCTCCTGGGCTGCCTTGTATTAGGGTCAACCACGGCCTTGGGATCTTTCATCTCGGCCGGAATCCTTCTACAATACGTCACATACTGCCTTGCTATTGCGTTCGTCTTGCTCCATGGTCGACAAAAAGTGAGTCATGGACCGTTCTGGTTTTCGCGACTGGGGTATGCCGCCAATATTGTGACCCTTGCCTGGACTATGGTGGCGTTGGTATTCTATTGTTTCCCTTACAGCCTTCCTGTGGAAGCTGGTGCTATGAACTACGTGTCTTGTGTCATGATCGGTATCGTTCTATATGCCTTGGCATATTGGGCTTTCTTTGGTCGAAGAACGTTCAAAATTCCTCTCCCCGAGGACGAATTTTAAGTCATACCCTGTTTTTGTCTTTATTGTTTAACCTATTGTTTGATCAGATCTGATGTCTGAATGTTTATCTTTATTCTACCACATAATTATTTCCAATCTATTTCAGTATACCGGAGAAGCGTCCATTGTAGTCCAACTTTCCTTTCGCTAGTAACCCTGGGTACAACCGAGTGCTTCATCTATCTAAATAAAAAGCTTTTCTATAATTTTAATATACATTTGTGATAACATCCCGAGTTCGGTATATATTCAGTCCATTGAAATGCCGAAGTGCAGCCAGAAAGCTGACTTCCCGTGTTATTATTGTCTACATCTATAGCTATCCACGTTCCTTTGTATAACCAAGACAAGATATACCAGTACCAGAACGGCTCGGAACTACCCCGCAGAGTATCCACCATTGTTCCTGCACTCAAGGTGTATGGTAGTCTCCCCGCATTCCTGATGCGTCTCCAAGCCAAACTAAGCCACTTGGGGTAGGGATAAGATTCAGGATTTCAGTGCGGAACCCTAATGCTTCATGCGCGGATGGCCAGAGGGCAAGGTACGTGCAACACAGATTGGCTGTAATACTCCGCCGTAAATGCGAATTAAGCTGCTTATTAGTTTAATCCCCATTGCTACCTGGACGAGTGCAGACTAGTGACTTGGGCTGGTCAGCAAAGCCAGCGAGGAGCGGCCGGCAGTCCGCCATGCTGTCATCAGCTTGGCCGAAGAGTGCCACTTTACAAGATGATCACCGATATGCTTCCAGTTTTTGCCACAGTTGTCATTACTTCTCAAGAAGAGAAACGATTATGGGATGCGCTAAATACGATGATCTTGCTGAGCAGGCTATTGTCACTACAACGGGGTCCTTATGAGCGGCAGCTACGGTTATGAGTGAAGATAGTATTCTAGTTGGTGAATTTCTTAGCCTTGGATCTCTGCTCAGCATTCAGAGTTAGCACGCTGAATGTTGGTACTATTGGTTAAGGGTTGGAAATACACTTGAAGAGTACCAGGAAAACACGGTACTTGTGCAAGACATGCTATTATAGGATCGTTCTCAAATTCGGCTTCACTACCAGATGTGGCTCCAGGGGCCTTAATGTGAGTAGCATATTGAGCCAAGAAGACTTACTGGAGACCTCAGTGAGATTCGGCACCAAATCTGGAATATGCACAATGTGGTAGCTCTGCAGGTTCCAGAATCAAATAACCCAACCCTACTTGAGATTCTTCAAGATGTAATCCACCTCGTCATCTGCGGCCTGCAAAATGTGCTGCGGCGAGTATTGAGGCGACCAACCAAGCTCTTTACCATGCTCAGCGGTATAGGTAGACCTTGAATGCCGATGACCATTAGAAATTAGCCTGCAGGTATGGCACATGGGTCACTTACAGTCCAGCTATTCTAGCACCTACAAAGGACTTGTATGTTCCCAGAGCAGATGCCATTTTCTCCAAAGCTGCATCGTCAGCCTGAACGACTGTCGCGTCATTAATAACGGATCGTTTAGCCAGGGCAACTGCCATCGCTTCATAAACATCATGCCATGCAACGCGCCCGGATGACGCGAGGTAGTACCCATTCTTCCCATATCCTGGGTTCTTGCCCTCCAATATGGACAAAAGTATTTTAATGTAAAGGTCAGTGGTATCTGCAATGTGACAGACGGGCCATTCCTTCCACGATAGTAAGTATATTAATAGCCCGGTCTTTGGCGGACAGGATGTGGGCTGCTTACATTCCGCTCGGCCTCGACACTGTAGACCCTGCCAGCCCCTTTGGCTGCCCGCACGATATCAACCACTTGGATAGAAATCCGATTGCCGAATCCTTCGCCCGGTCCGTCTAACGCAAGTCCGATCAGTCATGCCTCTTACAGCTGGGTTCCCGTCATATCGTAACTACTCACAAACCATGCAGGGCGAGAAAATGTAGGTTCTCACACCATATTCTTCTCCCTTGTCAATAACATCGCAGTTAACCTTGACAGACTAGCCAATGTTAGTGGCAAGGATAGGATTCGTTCGCGACCGGGAGAAGTGCTTGCTTACGGTTTGAGCCCATGGATGTTCACTCCGCTGAGCCTTCTGGATATCATACAGAGCAGGCTCGGTATCACGCAGAGGCCGGTCAGTTGGAGCACCGCAGTAGCTTCCAAACTGCTTTGTGCCTGTGGTCTAGGTAGAAAAACGCGAAACTGGTAAGTGGAAAAGTGAATGCTAGTCAGTTTCGGAGTGTGGGACGAACAAAAATGAAGTGAGTCTCCTGCCCAGTAATCTTCTTGCACTCGGCGAGAGCCTGAATAAAGAATTCTTGGTTCTCAAATTTGTTGCAGTCAATCAGGAAGTACACGATGGTGATCTTGTTTCTGACAATTGCCTCATGTATGGCTGCTTGGTTATAAGCGTCGAACTGCAGTGGCTCAATACCATAACCTTTGCAAGCATCCGCTTGTGTTTCCGTCCAGACTAGGGCAAAAGTCTTGTTGACGCCGGTTAACTGCAGCGGTGACAGCCGAGTGAGGAGCGTTCCTCCAAGGTAGCCTGATACTCCGGTAATAAGGACGTTGTGTGCCATTTTGCGTGTGTTGCAGATAAAAGATGTGGTTGTTACGCCAGTTCTGCTCTTTATTTAATGGTTAATTTGTTAGCATAAGCCATGTAGGTATATATGAAATCCACCCGGATACGTCACAGTATCAGTTCTCCAGTGTCTCCGAATTTCCTATCTTGGACTCAAAGTGGGTACGCCTCCAAATCCCCCTTTGGCCTGTGGCACGGTTCTTACGCATGGTATATATGCTAAAGGAGTTTCCAGCACGAGTCATGTATATTATTCACCTGTCTCGCCAAATTTGATAAAATGAACAATGGTCTCCATGAATGATTACTAATGCTCCTGTGTCCATCTTGATTCCAATATATACTATTTGTCGTACTAAATGTGGGAAGGGTGGGTAGATATTACTGTGTTGGCCTCCTACAAAATGAGAGCTGGGACCAGTATTCAAAGGCTAACAGCCAGGTCTCTCGTGGCTCGCTCCCACTCCCATCAGCACAGGCGGTCCCTGATATCTGCCCTGAATTGTGAACCACCAGAGCGCCACGAGGACGGTCAGACCACCTGCTATCACCGAGGACCAATTCATCGACGCGGCGTTAAAGTCCTTTGTGGCTGGAAAACAATACAAAACGATCCAAACCATCATGTAGCCCAATGACAAGACGTTAACCACCCATCCCAGTGGCCCCCTCATGCTGAATGGGCCAGGCGGAACACTAGCCCGGCGTTTGAGGACAAATGGGAGCAGGGCTGCAAGATATGAAAGCGTAGTCAGCACGGTAAATGAGCTCACGAATGCTTCGAATGCCGTGTAGCTGCCTAGATAGATCAAGCCCATAACTGTGCCTATATATATTACTATATTAGCAAAGGTCTTTGTCCAGTGCAATGGCTAAACACTTACAAAAGCAAGCGATGAAGATGATAGAGTTAAATGGGTTCTTCCACCTTGGGTGGATGCGAGAAAAGAAAGTCGAGAAAGGGACTGCTTCATCGCGTGCGAGTGTCCAAAATACTCGACTGGAGGTTAGGAAGGACCCCATCATGCTGCCAATGAGAGGCAGGACAACCACTACTGTCAATCCGATGGTGCCCGCACGCGAGCCGGCGACTTGTTGATAGATAGGGGCTAGGGGATACTCCGCCTCCAGATCCAAGATGGCACCAAAGTCCGTAATGGTGTAAAACAGGATGATCAGATAGATGAGAGTAGTCACGAAGCTGCTGGTCATCTGGGCCGCCATTGCCTTGGGAATGTTCACTGCGGGATGGGGGATCTCTTCCGCCAGGTGCGTAGAGCAGTCAGGCGTGCCAATATTGAAGCTGCCATTCAACATCCCTAGGACAAACACAAGACCTTCGCTTGTGTACCCCGTATTGTTCTGCCACTTCTTCCACACAAATTCCGACGACGCATACGACCTCCCGTGACTGGAGGGCAGCGCTACCACGGCGATTATCGTGATAAGCCAGCCTCCAAGGCACAGAACCATGAGGACGTTATTTATCTTGGGGAGGAATCGGTTGCCGAACAGCGTCACCGCCGTGGAGCCCCAGACAAGCACCAAATAAACCACGAAGACGTGCCATCTCTGGGGCTCCAGCTCCGGGTGAGTCAGCTCCCACATCTGCAATATACCGCTGCTTGCAATCGTGGCGAGCGATGCTCCGCCAAAGGAGTATGCAAGGCAGTTCCAGTATCCAGCAAAAAACCCAATCACCCTCCCTGCCCGTCTGCCAGGCGTGACGCTTGCCCAGTGGTAAACGCCGGCACTAGAGGGAATCGCAGAGGCCAGCTCTGCCAGGGATGCGGTGATCAGTAGATAGAAGATGCCTGAGACGATGCTTTGAAGGGTTGTGTTAGTGTCAGACCATCGATGGGGGGCCCACGGGGTGCGTACAATTCGTAGATCACTCCTGGGGAGCCACCATTGTAGATGGACAATTTCTGGCGATATTAGCATTGCGATGTCCCGCCAACATTACCACTGACAGGGTGCTCACAATCGTGGACCCCGTGATAGCCCAGCAGTTCCCAATAACAATGGCGACGGCACACATATTAATCAAGCTGAAGTTTCTGTCAAGCTCCTGAACGTGGCCAGAGGCCGTCAGGACCTCGCCCTTGATGTCTTCCTGGACATCTTGAGGCAGTTGTGCAAGCTCGACGTCCTTATCGCTGGAAGGCTTTGCCATTGTAATAGAGTCTCAAGTTGAAGATATGGTACACCGAGAAGTAGAGAGAAGACCGATACTCTCATATCCGCAGTTCTCGAGTCTCAGATGCCATTTAAGTACCCAGGATCTCCGCCTGGCCAATTGGCGTTTAGCCCATTCCCAAGTCGTAAGCCGTGGAGTATTGCGTCTGTGAATTGCGGACATCTCCTTCAACAAGAGTCCGGGGTCAGCTTATCGTGATTAGACTCTCGGACTTCAGCGTCGACGAGATAAGGCTGCTGCTGTCTATTGCATTCCATTGGCGTTACTGATAGACACCTGTTCCCCACACTCTCCAACCCCCGCAAACTGGCGTTCTTGGCAGTTCCTTCGGGGATAAATCGTATGGCTTGGAGACGCAGTGAATCGGAAGGCCATCCATGTCCGACTGGAAGAAAGAGGAATAGCCTACAATTGATATTGAATGCTTCGATAGAAGTCACGAACACACGAACCAACCACACTTATAATGCTGCTATCGGGGATATCGAAATTTGCCGAGCTGGTCAAGAATACGTATGTCATATAACGAGCCCTTAGCTATAGGTTTCAAAGCAGATAACAACAACAGCAGCACTAGCATTGGTGGCAGATGCTCTGCCCGTGTGAGAAGACTAGTTATATGAAAGAATGGCGGTAGTTTGTACATAAAGGCATCATTTGCAGTAGTATAAAACACATGCTCACATTTCATCCATACATCTGCCATGGCCCCATCGTTCTCTCTCCCCAGAGAGCTTATGCTAGCCTGAGAGCATATGATTTCCCAGCAACTATCATGCCCGGACCTCAAAGTCCACGTATGCCATGCCACAGATCCACTCCATGACGGGCTCATAAAGCACGAGTCGCGATTTGGCACCACCCATAGCACCAAACATGGCCACATAATTTAGGATTTCATGGCCTCCATGGCCCGCGTCCTTTTCCACGCCTTCGTAAGTCAAATCCTGAATCCACTTCTTATCTCCGTCACAGTAACGCTCTAGGAACAAACGATCCCAGTCAGCGTTGACCAGTGGGTGCTTTTCGTTGAGATACTCGTTCTTCTTCGCCATCTCAATTTCGTACTCATCCAGCTCTACGAACAGATTCGGGTACTTCTTCAGGACCGGTTGACCGTAGGTCTGAAACTCTTTCATCTTAATCAAGAACGGGTCCGTGGGAGGGTCACCGGCCTGGTTGGGGTTCCAGTAAGGGGGCCAGTGAGATAGCCCTCCGGTGCACATCAGAGCGACTCGGCAGTCGTCGGGGAGGGCATCGATCGCGCGTTTTACGGCCTCCCCAAACGCATACGCGCGAGGGTACGTGATTAAGGGAGGTGTGAACACGTTGATGAAAATCGGAATCAAGGTGACGTTGGGAAGCTCGGGCTTCATGAGTTCCCAGGGCATGACCACATTCTGGCCAAATTCGGTAGCACCGGTGCGAGATACATCGAATCCGTCGTGCACAAGGGACGTAATCAACTTCTCTGCGATCTTCGGATTGCCAGGAAAGCGGTACTTCTCCTTGACGTTGAGGGCTTCCATCAGCTGGTCGGCCGGGCCGGAATGTTCGTCTGCCACTCCGACAGCAATGGAGGGCATGTTGTTGCGGTAGAAGTTCTCGAAATGGTCGTCTAAGAATGCGAAGACGACGTTTGGCTGCGCCTGGTTGAGAGTCCTACCAAGCTTGCGAGCGGCCTCCTCGGTCCTGGCCCTTGCATCTGGCTGCGCAGTCTCTGGGAAGCCGAGTGCTCCTACAGGATGTGGTCAGCACAACGTTTTGACGCAAAGGGACGGTAGAAATGGCCAACCTGGAGCGTGGGACTGGCCAATTGCTGCAACAATCTTCCCCATGCTTTCGAATGGTAACAGTAGATGCGGTGTGTCGTTCGTTTCTGTTGATCTTGATTAAGAGTCTGAGCGTTCGATGTCTGATGTCTGAAGCCCAAGAAGCCCTGTATTGACCCCCTTTATATGACGGACGTCATTTATCACCAACAAAATGGCCAGATTCAGAAATATCCGAGAAGGGATTAAGTCCGACTACAAGGAGGGTGACCACGCTGTCGGCGAAAACTGTCTTGTCCGATCTCCGATCATAACGTGGCGTATTCCTTCGCGGACTGTCTTCTCCGCATCTACTTCGGAGATCTCTACTTTTCGGCGATGACCAGGGAACTATGTAGAGATTAACAATTGGGGATAAGAGAACAAAGATGAAACGAAGTCGAATGGGTCAGCTCAACTGTGCAAGGGGGGCTCGGTGAGGCCAAATGACTATGCACCATGGCGGCCACACCACCCACGGCGGAAACAACGCCGACGACAGAAAATGAAATCAAGCCGGAAGATGCCAAGATACAGCAGCTGCTCTCAACTTGTGAGCGATGCCATCGCCTGCGGCGGAAGTGCGACACCCAGCTACCGTCATGTCGTCGATGTGAGAAGGCAAGGGCAGATTGTACAATCTTTGATCACGCACTACAAGAGAGTATACCTCGCAGGTAAGGTTTTATCTATCTCACCAAACGCTGTAGCTGCTTAAGATGGCTTACACATACCATCCAGCTACGTGGATTCCCTTCTTAAGCGTCGGAATGCCCTCCAAGCCATGGTAGATGCACAGCAAGTATCCACCCAGGGAATAGGTGGTCAACTGCATGGCCCAGTGGTCTCACCCAGTCAAGCAATCGAGTCGTCCTTTGACCTGACCTTTCTCTTTTCCAATCTCCATGGCAAGGTCTCGCGTTACTATGGTACTAGCTCTGTATTTTCTCTGACGGTCGAAGTCCTCAGCTTTGCACACATCGCAAAAGTGCTATCAGGCGAAATTGGCATTGAAGCTACCGGAATCGAAGACATCCAATTCCCCAAGCACCATCAATTTATCTCTACCTCGTTGGAGCCCGAAGACCACGTTATATCAAGGGTCAATACTTTCCTTGTGGCCGAAAACATAATGTACGGCATATTAGACCCTTTTAGCACCTTGGCTGATACGCAGGTGTACTTGAAACTACGGATAAGCGAGTCCGGAGCATTACTGCGTTTACAAGGACTGGAGGCTCATCAATACTTTCGTATCAGTATGGTATGCGCGATATCCTGCGCAAATCAAGCACGGCATGAGCCACGCCTGCTTACGCAAAGCATGAATTACTATGTCGATGCATTGTGCTATTTAGAAGAGGTGTCCTCAGAAGCATCAGCAGAGTCCTTGCAAGCACTCCAACTTCTTATAGTGTTTTCCTTGTTCAGCCCTCATGAGGGGGATATCTGGCGGTTACTATCCTACGCCTGTCGGCTGAGCATTGAATTGGGATACCATGCGGAGCCCAGATTTCTGAGCGCAGAATATAATAAGCTGCAGCTGCAGCGGGCGTCGTTTTGGGGCTTGTATGCACTTGAACGGGTTGCAGGACAGCTCTTTGGTAGACCATGCGAGATTCCTGATACCATCATCGCGACAAAGTATCCCGACCAAAATATACGCTTCCCAGGGGACGGCCATGCTATTGCCTTTCACTCCCCAGATATTGCACATCATTATAAGCTGGTCTTTCTACGGTCAAGATTATACAGTCAGATTTACTTGCCCGCCCGTGTCCCGCCCTACCCAGAGCAATGGTATACTGACCAATGTAATGAGTTGACGGCTTGGAGACAGGGCCTGAACCAGACTGACCCGCCGCAAGATATTGTGAGCATAACATGTGAGCTGGCGTACCACTGCACTGTGATTCTGCTCTTCCAGTCGTGGATCATGAAGGGTCTTCAGCAACTGCAAGCTCCGGCTGACGCTATGTTTGAAGGTGAAAGAGTGACAGTGGCACGAGATAGTTACTGGGCTGCATGTAGACTTATAAGTATCTACGAGGGGATTCTGCGGTCACCACGGTCGTCTCCGTCGGGAACCTTCCCATTGACCTTTATATCGGCCCACCACATTTACCTTGCTGGCCTGACTGTGATGGCTCATTGCCTGCTGGCACTCGACGACCGGGTAAAATTTATCTCGATGATAGACAGTGCTGATGACGCGAGTGAAAACCATTCGGATTGCTTTCAGGAAGCTCATGTGGTGGCTGGGTCCTGTCTAGTGCTGCTAAGCTGGTGTGTTCAGCGATGGCCGGGTATGGTCGGCATGTTAAACGTATATAAGAAATTGTTCGATGCAGTAATTCCAAAAATCATGAGACTCGGCCTTTGACTCAGTTCATTGTTTGGGGTCAGAGAGCGGACATCTCCTACAGGTTCAACCTGATCATTTCCCCGAATTTATGTCCGATATGATACGGCCTAGGGACGTACAATATAAGTAGGCACCCGGACTCACCTTGGATGTTTTCTAGACCCATTAGCTGCATTGACAATCTAATACAGCAAAATGGCAAGCCAGCTTCGAAATGTTCTTATCTTTGGAGCCACGGGCGTCATCGGCGAGATCATCGTCGATGCCATCTTAGCCGCGCCACCCGGTTCTTTCGATCGCGTTGGCGTTTTCACCTCGCCATCGACGGCCGAGTCAAAGCCCGCTGTGCTGGACTCATTGCGTAGCCGGGGTGCAGAGACCTTTGTTGGCAATATTGAGAACAGCGACCATGTCCGGAACGCATATCAAGGTACGCAGTGGCTCTAATGTGTCGCTCCGATGGTTAATACTTAGACATGGCGGCTTAGGATTCGACACCGTTGTTAGCTGTCTCGGTCGCAATATGCTTCTGGCACAGATCCAACTGCTTGACCTGGCGGAATCCTGCAGTGACGTGAAGCGTTTCTATCCCTCCGAGTTTGGGACCGACATCGAATATTCCAGCGATTCATTCAAGGAGAAGCCACACCAAGCCAAGCTCCGAGTACGGGAATGGTTCAAGTCGTCTCCTAGACGTCTTGAATACACGTACTTGGTGACCGGTCCCTATGCAGACCTTTACCTGGGGAAGTTTAATCAAGACCCTAGGGCTGGTTCGTTTGACGTTGAGAAAAGACAAGCCGTCCTACTTGGGGACGGCCGGGATCCCATCAGCTTGACAACGATGAATGAGTAGGAGTTACTGCACTCTCGATCGACGGGCTCGAGGCTGACATAAAACAGTGTTGGAAAATTACTTGTTGCTTCTCTCGCTCACCCCGAAGCGTCCCGGAACAAAGCTCTCAAGGTAAATTCCTTCACCACCACACCGAACGATATACTTGCCGAGTTCGAGAGGCAGATGGGCGCACTGCTGAATTGGCGGGTGCAGTATACCAGCCTCGAAACTCTCAGGCTTCTGGAGGACAACGCTTACAAAGACGCAAACCCGCTGGCACCGATTTATACGCTACGGAGGATCTGGACGGAAGGCGGAACATTATATGAGTCAAGGGATAATGAGTTGATTGGGGCGGCCCAAGTAGACACTCTCGAGGTTGCTGTGCAACGCGCTATCTCTACAGCTGGTGAAGGGTTTCGTAGCGGGGAGCTATGAATGTATACACTCATACAGGAGACATCAGTGCCACCGGAAGTAGATAGCAAGGCCCAATTGCATGTTTAGTCATTATAGCACGAAGAATGTAAATATAGAGAGAGTAGGAAAGCCAATTGAGATCGCAAAACTCCGATAGAATCTCCGAGATATCCCATGCGCGCCCATCTCCGTCTGAATCCCGGAACAAAGCCGAGGAACCGCCACATTCATTCGCAGTCTACGGCTCTTAAGAAGACAAATGAACCTGCACACGATTACCTGCTACCCATAGGCTACTAAGGAAAGATGACGCCCACGAAGATCGTTGCGCTCGAAACCTTTTTCTGTCCCCTCCCAGATTTCTCGTCCCTCCCGGTCGAAGTCTCACTAGAGGCCTACAGCCGCTCAGCGCCGGAGGATATCCCAGGGCGGATTGTAGATGCTTCCATCATCATTGTTACCACTCTTCGCCTTGCACGCGCTGTTCTGGCTAGAGATGTTTGCCCTCACCTTCAGCTAATCGTGGTAATGGCCTCTGGGACAAACAACATCGATATAGAAGCCTGCAAGGAGCGCAATATCCAGGTGAAGAACTGCCCGGGGGCCAACACAGATGCGGTAGCCCAACACGCCCTCGCCCTGTTTCTCGCATGTCGACGGAAGCTGGTGCGGCTGCATCATGCCACACTCGGGACCAACGGCGAGTCGGCCAACGGCAAGGGTGCCAAAAGTCCATGGGAAGCCGAAGGAACGCTGATGTCGAGGCTGCTGGACAGGCACGGTAAGGCCCCTGTTGGCCTCGGGGACGAGGTAGTGGGGATTATAGGATTTGGCCGCGTGGGTAAGGACTACTACGCAATGTGTGTCCCGTTTACTTGTATCGCATAACTTATCAATTGGCTGCCAGGTAAAACAATCTCAGATATGTGCTCCGCGCTCGGGATGACGGTGCTGGTGTCCGCGCGCAAGAATGAACCAGCCAGTGGTGGCCACGATAACCGCCATGATTTCGACCACGTTTTGCGGAACTCAACGGTGGTCATGGTTTGTCTGCCCCTTGAAAGCAGCACATTCAACTCCATTTCAGGCCCTGAATTCCAATTGATGCGCCCTGACGCAGTGTTGGTTAATGTCTCGCGAGGGGGCGTTGTCAACGAGAAGGACTTGCTGACTGCACTTGATCAAGGTGCGATATATGGAGCTGCGACGGATGTCTTCTCGGAGGAACCAGCCGGTTTCTCGAACGCTCTGTTGGCTGGTAAATCCCACGAATCTGTAAATCTGATCGTTTCTCCACACCTGGCCTGGTTGACACAGCCAACAATCACACGCCTCCAGCACATGGCACTGGCGAACATTCGCGCATGGCTTCTAGGAGGCGATGTGGGAAATTTCAGCCGGATTGTTTGAGGAATCGGGGCTACAGGGGTATGTGTGGTTTCATCGTTGTCGCTTTCAGGACGCTATTCCTGGACTACGATCTGTTGATAGAGTAAAATAATATATAAATAAATCTTCTTAACAGATTCCTACTCTCTTACATTAGGCACTTAGAAATGAGGTCTGAACGTCAAGTGCTGACACTGAACATGTGGGAGAGGTCGCCGAATAATTCCATGTTTATATCAGACAGCTCTTTTGAGCAGCCAGACAACTGTAATTCAGATACCTCTTGTCCTGATTGCAGATAGTGACGCAACTCCTCGTCATACACATAGTGGAAACCTTGTTGCACGTCGCTTATTGGCACAAAGAGCACCTCCAACAAGGGCCCTAGGAGTCTCTCATAGGTACCGGCATGGCCTACAATATGGCTCCATCCCTGGGCAGCAATTGTGAGCAGACAAGTTGTAAAACACTTAGTTCTGTCCAGTATTTCGTGCGGCTCGAATATCCGTCTTATCTGGAATGGGGCATGTCGGAGGGAGAAAAGAGCGATGATGGCCGCTTCAAAAGCATAGTGGGAGGCGAACCATCCTTGCCGAAGCCTTGCCCCGTCAAGATAACCTCTGAACAGGCGAATCCAATCCGTAGTGTTCTGAAACGCCGCCACAAGACTGCTTACAGAGGGAATTGGTACTTGGGGTGAGGGTCGATGAAGGCTGAACCGGCCACGCAGCAGGGCAAGCTTTCGCAGATTACCCCCCGGTGACGTTGCCTGGTTTTCCCATTGCCAATACCATGCTTCGAGCTTGTCGTCCATTGATTGGAGCCAGGATTGGTATTCCGTTCTGTCAGACAGCAAATCCTTTTGGAAATGGACGTGAAGAATCATCGAGTTGATTTGCTGGAACTTGGTCCACCATACCCAAGTAGAGTCGTCGCCGCTGCTATCGGGACTCGGACAAATAGTGTCAATGGCCACATCTGGAATGGAGACTGGTCTGTGGAGGGCACTGCATATTGAGCGATCAAAACAGTATGCAGACCAGAAGGTACGTCGCCTAAGCTGTAGTGCATCCGCTCCCAGGTTGTGAGAAGCAGATAGTTCGCGGTGAAGTCCAAGTTCGATGCAAGATCGCATGGCGCTACCACTGAGAGTCCAGACATTTGCAGCAGATGGGTTTATTGAAGCATAGAGAAGAATGAAGAGGGTGGATTGGAGGCAGGCTAAATCAGTCTGGTATGAATCATCCCGAAGACGGTGATGAATTCCTTGCTTGAACAGTCTAAAAGACAGGTCCATGCAGGTAGTTCCATTGCTATCAATTCTATTATCCAATGTGATAGCGATCGCCACCACAAGATATATTGTGAACATGTCCTGATGTCTGGCGGAAGTGCCTTCTCCAGATGGGTAGCAGGCGCCTTGTGAGACTCGAGAAAATTGTTGCCGTAGCGTATTCACCTCGACGAAAGGGTACAGCGGCCAAACGTGGACAATGTACATTTCAACTAATCCTGAAATGGCATCGATATCAAATGGAGGTATAAGGCCAGAGTCACTGTCGGGTTGATGTAGAGGATGGTCCCCCGGCTCAAGTACGTTGTGCCCACGACAACCCGCCATAGACGCCCCTTCTACAAATGACGGTGTCAGTTCCAGACGGACTCGTAAGGCTGAATTTGCCATGTCCCGTCCGACTGAAGATGTGGCCGCAATCATCTGGTAAAGCCCACTGCTGTTCATGATCTCCCGGCGAATAGCGCTGGAACGTGGCAAGGATGCAACGGAATTGCCGTCTGGCAAGGGCAAGCCGGGCATCTCAGAAGCCTGTGGACGTGTTCCTTGCGCCAACTGTATCTCCAAAGCTGCGATCTCAGATTCCAGGTGCTGAACCACGCTTCGAGGTACAACGGAGAGCCCGCCCTCCAAGGGCTGGACGCCCACACACTCCGACTGGCTTTGGAGACAATTGGAGCATGACGGTAGTTTCCTGTCACACTGAGGGTAGTTGTTTGCTCAGCATCGTACGCAGATAGGGAATCATGGCTTACTCACCTTTATCTTGCGTCGCCGACATCGCGCGCACGAAATGACACTTCGCTGGCAGCCATCCATGCTTATGGGAGTGCTTCCTTTGCTACCTGAAGCTCTCCTGCACAAGAGTCCGGGGCAAGGAATGGAGAACAATCGATCGGACATCAAGTCCGGAGATCGGACATCAGGGTTATGACCGGTAGGCAGGAGTCTCCCCACGCGTGCGGACATCTCCGGTACGGGGAGTTGGGGTATTTGCCCACATGAGACGACCCCATATGTGGATGCGACTGTGCTGCGAAACAGGTATAATAAAGCTACAAAAGCAGTTCGATTCTCAGTACTCGCCCGCGACTCTCCCATTTTTTCTGTCCTTTCTTTTCCACACTGGGAGTGATACAAAGCGCGCTCTATACGAACCCTTTCCGCCGTCCTTAGACAAAATGCCGCCGCTACCAGCAAAGTATGCATCTCTGAAAGTCAACGGAAACAGGGCTATTGCGACATTGGAGGCAGCCTGTACATGGGGCAGGTGAGTTTACAATCACTGCGTTCGAGCCGCCCTCTAACTGGCAAACCACTTATTGCTAGCACACCTGACGGTGGCATGAATCGGCTGTCATGCAACGATGATGACAAAAAAGCGCGTGATTGGTTTATTGAAACAACCAAGGCCTGTGGTTGCGTCCATAAGGTCGATACCATGGGCAACATCTTCGCAATCCGCGCGGGAGTAAATAACAATATCCCACCCATCGGTCTCGGTTCGCACCTGGACACCCAGCCAACCGGCGGCAAGTATGACGGTATCCTGGGCGTCATTAGTGCGATCGAGGTGCTTCAGGTCATCCACGCGGCCAAGATCCGGACGTATGCGCCTTTGGCAGTCGTCAACTGGACCAATGAGGAAGGGGCTCGTTTCTCTCCTGCGATGCTGGGAGCCGGTGTCTGGGGAGGGAGATTTAGCAATGACTTTGCCCACACATGTGCTGATTCCGATGGCCGCACAATCAAGGCCGAGCTTGAGCGCATCGGATACCTGGGGTCGACGCCAGCATCCTATGACGCGAACCCTTTGCTCGCCCACTTCGAGGTACACATTGAGCAAGGGCCAGTGTTGGACACTCGCGAGGAACCTGTTGCCGTGGGGAAGGGAGTTCAGAGCATTCGATGGTACAGTGTTGACATCCGTGGCCGGGAATCGCACACTGGCACTACTCCCATGCCCGGACGCAGCGACGCCCTGCTAGGAGCAGCAAAGTTCGCAGTCGAGGTCAACAATGTCGTCACGCAGGACTACTTTGCTCAGCACGGGGCCCGCGCCACGGTCAGCGTCATCAATTCTCTCCCGCAAAGCATCAACACCATTCCAGGCCATGTCCGTCTGAACGTAGATACCCGGGCCTCGACGGATGAGCTCATTCAGGAAATTGAAGAGGCAATCAGGAATCGGCTGGAGGTGGTCTCCAAGAATGACGGACTGACCAGTTCCTTTGAAATGATCTGGTCGTCGCCAGCTTTGACGTTTGACTCGACGATGCTGCAGTGCATTCGAGAATCTGCCCGTTCGATCGGCTGCGAGCAGGAAATCGCAAGTGGCGCAGGACATGACAGTGTGTACACAAGTCGCAAGGTTCCCACTGCAATGGTCTTCGTCCGCTGCAGGGATGGAGTTAGCCACAATCCGGCTGAGTATTCGAGGCCGGAGGAGTAAGTTATTGTTCCTCACGAGAGAACGGGAGATACTGACCAGAAATACAACAGCTGCATAGTTGGGGCGCAGGTCCTCCTCGAGTCATATCTAAGATATGATGAAATCACTCGTCAGTCAAATGAAGGGAAGTTGTAACGGAACATGTTAGATATCTAGCTATACGATCGTCTGTCCTTTGGTGTGCATTTAAATTAGTACCAGGGGCATTTTATCAATACATCAGCAGTTGAAGTATCCCTCTTTTTTATATAGAAGAAAACGGGGAGATCGAAGTGCTCCGATTCAGTGACAGAGTGATAATTCCAATTAATGAGGTTGTACTGCATTACAAGCTCCTAGCAATATCTACTCCGAACTATTCACGGCCCTTATCTAGAATCAGTATATACAACATTGCTCCTCGACACTGCCCCCGAGCTCCTCAAGACTGCTGATTCCCAATAGTGACAGACCTTATGTTCTGGTATTCGCTCAGGCCATACTTGCTACCCTCGCGCCCAACACCGCTTTCCTTGATTCCTCCAAATGGAGCTTCAACAGCGCTAAGAAGCCCGGTATTCACACCAACCATACCACACTCGAGCCTCTGGGCCACGCGGAACACCCGACTAACATCCTGGCTAAAGAAGTATCCCGCCAGGCCAAAACTGGAGTCATTCGCTAACTCGACAACCTGATTCTCCGAGTTGAAGGGGAAGATAGCAGCGACTGGACCAAAGGTCTCATCCTGGGCAAGAAGCATATCCTTTGTTGCATCGGTAATGACTGTAGGCTCGAAGAAGAAGCCCTCCCTGTCGAGCACCTTTCCCCCGTAGCGAAGCTTTCCACCCCTTTCAATGGCATCCTGAACATGCGTCTTGACTTTTTCCACGGCTGCTACATTGACGAGTGGACCATGAGTAGTTCCCTGGTCAGTGCCGCGACCCAATTTAAACCGCCGGACCTTTGCAATAAGCCTCTGAGTGAAGTCCTCGAGAACTGCTTGGTGCACGTAGAGGCGGTTGGCACAAACGCAGGTTTGTCCTGATGCACGGAACTTGGAGGCGAGTGCACCGTCTACAGCCTTGTCAAGATCTGCATCTTCGAAAACAATAAACGGAGCATTCCCTCCAAGCTCCATGCTCACTCGCTTCATTGTATCAGCACACAGCCTCGTCAGCATCTTGCCAACGTTGGTGGATCCTGTAAAGCTAAGTTTCTTGACTTTAGGGTGTGTAGCTAGAGCCAAAGACGCCTCGCGGTCCTTTGTAGGCACGACGTTCACAATATCAGACGGAATGCCCGCTTCTAGAGCAAGCTTCACAAAAGCTGCGGCGCTGAATGGGGTTTCGCTGGGAGGCTTGATAACAACCGAACACCCTGCTGCAAACGCAGGCGCAATCTTTCGAGTGATCATCGCCGCGGGGAAGTTCCATGGCGTGATAATCCCGCAAACCCCAACAGGCTGCTTGAAAACAAGGACCGACGTGTCGGGAAACGATGAAGGGATTGTATCCCCGTAACTTCGGACAGCTTCGTCTGCAAACCATGACACGAAGGAGGCGGCATAGCCTATCTCGCCCCGGGCCTCCGTGAGGGCCTTGCCGTTTTCAAGCGAGAGGATCCGTGCCACTAGACGTTATCGTCAGTTATACTGCAGCAACATGACATACACTTCTTGGAGGCTAGTGTGCTTACAGTCGTCAATGTTGTCCAATATCAGGTCATTCCACTTGCGCAGTACAGATTGTCTATCTTTGGCGGTTGTTGACTTGGAAAATTCCCGGTAACCGCGGTCGGCACTCTCGATGGCATCGGTGAAATCCGACGTCGAGAAATTTGCGCTCTCTGCTAGCACTTGGCCTGTGGATGGTTCATAAACAGGAAAGACCTTGTTGCCCGTTGCATGTTTCCATTGCCCGGCGATGAATCCCCGAGTTTCAAGCAAGTGCGCCTTTTTGAGTGCAACGCGGAATTGACTGGAGGCCATACTGGAGGGTTGAAGGATATAAAGATGTCCGTTTAGAAGTATCACGTCGTCCTGCCGTGCCCTACATACCCAGCAAGTCTTTAAGTACTTCGCGACCCAAGCCTCGGTGTTGGGGAAGTATACGTCCCCGTGCTGTTCGAGGCAAGCACGGAGAAGACCGTCTACCAATTCCGCTCAGAGCACCAATACCCCATCCGCCTTCGGATATCATAGTCTGTAGGCCTGATTGCTTCAGTCTTGATCAAATGGCTACAGAAAGAAGCGGGGGTGGGGCATGGGATACTACTGTACTCCGATCCGTATATTGGGGTAAAGCCCGAATTGAGGATTATTCACAGGACCACTATCAGAGGACATCCGCCAGCCCCGACTACGCTCCAGGGGGAACTAATGTTCCACAAGTCCTCTATAGATACGCCCAGCCGGACCTTTCTCTGCTGTTGCCGTGGTGTGGACTGATTTTGAACCAATCTCTCAACGGGGCACTCCTCGGATTTGGCAAGACCGACTGGTGCTTGGTCGGAGATACTGTCATATCAAAATGCCACTGTCCGTGTCCAGACCAATATGTTCTGCGGGGGATCGGAGAAAAGTGCTTGAGGCTAGAAGCTGTATACTCCGCACGAGGCTTGGAGAGAAGCCCCCATCGCAGCCAGAGCCACATAAGAAGCACGCAGCTTTCAACGAATCCAAAAGAAAAGGGTTGTTCATTCAAGAGATCCTCAATCCGATAACCCGCAACCTCCAAAACAGAATGGCCCGTGAAGCGCAGCCCGATACCCTAACTCCGAGGGACTCCTCGAGCGCGGTCATGTACCGCCAGCTTCGGCAGAGACCTCTGACTATCGTTGGCAGTGAAGGTAATTACCTGATCACCAAAGAGGGTTTGAAGATCTTCGATGCGACTAGTGGGGCGGTTGTCTCCTGTTTGGGCCACAGCGACGAAAGAGTCCATGATGCTATCATGAAGCAGCTCAAGAGGGTTCCATATTGCTACTCGCTATTTTTCACCAACGATGCTGCAGAGAAGCTCGCGACGATGCTGTCCCAGTCCACAGGCGGGAAAATGTCCCGCGCGTTTATCGTTAGTTCTGGTATCAAAGCAGTCCATTCCAAACCATCTGGCAGCACCGAGTATTGCTAACGTAGACCAACGACAGGAACTGAGGCTATGGAAGCAGCCATTAAGATGGCCTTGCAGTATTTCCGCGAGTTGCCCACCCCGCAGCCTCAACGGACCAAGCTCATCGCACGCAAGCTTTCTTACCACGGGAACACTCTCGGATCCCTTGCCCTGGGCCACCACCAGGGCCGGCGAGCGCCTTACGAGAGTATCTTGTCGAGCAATATCACTCACGTCTCTCAGTACCACCCCTATCGCGATATGCTGCCTTCCGAGTCACCCAAGGCTTACGTCGCGCGATTAGCCCAGGAACTTGAGGATGAGTTCCAAAGGCAAGGACAAGATACCATTTGCGCGGTAGCCCTGGAGACTATGGCGGGATCCGTAAGCGTTTTCGTTTTTCCTACGTAGAGAGTCATATTGGCTAAGCTCTTGAACAGACTTTGGGATGTGTCCCGCCTCTTCCAGGATATTTAAAGGCCATGAAAGAAGTATGTGAGCGCCACGGGGCCCTTCTTATTCTGGACGAGGTGATGTGTGGAATGGGCCGTACTGGAACCCTGCATGCCTGGGAGCAGGAGGGTATTGTTCCCGACCTTCAGGCTGTTGCAAAAGGCCTCGGAGCTGGATACTGCCCTATTGGAGCCCTGCTCATTAACGAGCATGTGGTAAACACCCTGACCAAGGGCACTGGTGCCTTTGTGCACAGCCAGACATACCAAGGACACCCAGTTGCCTGTGCTGCAGCTTGCAAAGTCCAGGAGATTATACAAAGCGACAGCCTCCTTGCAAATGTTCGCAAAATGGGGGAATATCTTGGCCAGCAGTTGAAGGCCCGTCTTTCTGATCACCCACACGTGGGGGATATCCGTGGTCGGGGTCTGTGGTGGGCAGTAAGTACACTTATTGCCCATGTCCTCTCGTTGGCCGACTCTAACCTCACTGTACTTTAGGTGGAATTTGTTCAAAACAAGGAAACGAAAGAGCCTTTCCCACCCTCTAAGGGCCTTGCCTTTGCGCTTCACGCGACAGGGCTAAAATCGGAACATCGGATCTCATTAATGCCTGGAAATGCTGGTGTGGACGGTGTAAAGGGAGATCATATCATCATTTCTCCTCCTTACAATGTCACAAAATCTGATGTGGATTTCATTGTTGAGAAAACAGCCGACGTGATCCAGGAGGTGTTGGGCTAAGGGATCCGCTACTGAAACCAGCATCTCCATTCAATGTATTATGCTCGGAATACTGATTGAATTACGGAAAATAGGAAGCCTTATTAGGCAGTTTTCATATTTTAGTGTATTTTATTTTTATTCTTTTGCCAAAATATGATATAAACCGGAACTCAACCTTGGGCGCCACGCGGTGAATGGGGATTCCATTACGTATCCATGGACCCTCCACTCCCTCGCTAGAGCGAGATATATATCCTTCCAATCCAGAGCAATGGATCATGTGGAGGCCTTAGTTTCTACAGGTGATGCGTCAGTTCTACGGAGTATTCCACGGAGTAAACGGAGAGATTCGGCGCTGGTCGGACATGAGGCGGACTTTTGCCTTTTTTTCTCCGGCGCCAAGCTGCTGATCTCCGACGGCCCCAGCCCTAACCCAGTTCCCTACTGTCCCTTGCAGAAGATTACCACACAAATGCCGCCGATAGTCTGTAAATAAATTATTGCTGGCTGTCTCCAAATAGAAACAGTGGCCAGGTTGCCTTTGGCTGGCTTGCTTGGAGTTCTTTTCCTACTCAGCCCATAAAATCAGTTTCATTAGACAGCGGGGGATTCCGATATATATAAGCAACCCTCAAGGTTGAATACTATAATCTAACTCGAAGCTGTGGGACGACAATTATATATGTAATTTATTCCCGACTAAGATAATCAGTAGTCAGACTGAAATATTGGTCTAGTACAATGCGGTTGCCACTCTTGAGACAGCTCGGACATTCATTAGGCCTAAAGCGCACCCTGCCGAAATCTCCGACTCAGATTCTTGGTTCGGAGTGTTGTGCCCTTGGTATTCTCAAACAGCTATCATGCGGTAGACAACTCATAAATCCGGGCCTCCTTTTGGCTACGGAATCTAAAGCCTCTCACTGGGATCATCCTCCAAGCGAATAGCACCACTGTGGCGACTGAATGGTGGGACAATTCATGGTGGAACTGATTGATTCTTGAGTTTTACCGAAGCCCGCAATCAACATCAAAAGAATTGTTATCATATGATGAAGGACGGTTGCTTGTTAGCAGCATGGGGAGCTGTATGATGACCGCATGGAATAGAGGCAAAAGCAGACTATGAATTCTGCTTTGTATCTCCTTCAAGGTCTTGGAGATATCGTTTCCAGAGGGGGCTGGCGAAGTTGGCTAGTTACGTGTGCTTGGAACTGTCATTGAAAATTTTAGTCTGTTAAACCATTTAAAGCAAGTACCCCTTTTAGTAAGTTCTGGTGCCATATTACATGGCAAACTATTATGTCACTTGGTGAATCTTGTACGTGGGGGTTTAATGGCATATGCGATTTCTTTCCGTAGTAGCTGGCCTCTATCCATAATTCAACTGTCTCTGCATTTTAATATATATATTATTTTCCGAAACAGACAAGCGAGCTTCCGGATTTTTAGCCGTGTCCTGCAGGATGGGGTGTTCGGGTTTGGGCCTGAAATGTCCGAGATTTCCATCCCCTGTTGTCAAAGACAGTACGCTATAATATCCACTTGATGTATCTTGACCACTTCGTCTTCAGAATCAGATTTCTCAACTCAAATCTATCTGTTCCAATATCGTTTCCCTCAAGTGCTGCTTCATCTTTGACCTGCTAAGCCGGCATTCCATGGCCCTTATCGTAGCCGCAGCCGCTGAACCAGCGTGACAGAATCAGTGTAACAGGCAGTAGTAACGTTTCGTAGGGCCTAGTAAACTAGCTCCTTTCCTGTTGGAATACAGGAGACCTCTGGTGGATACTTTGCTTCCTCTTTATCCACGCTATGGCGCGTCCACTAAGGACTAGCGAGGGTTCCGACGTATAAATAATCTGATCGTTTGATCTTATCTGATCGAATTTCCCTCCTGCAGAAAATTTGATCTCATATATGTGTTCAACAAGGGCCCATGTCACTATGGGCAAAACGATCAACACTCAAGTTACTGATAAGTCAGGTTCGCTATATGGAACCTCATTCTCCGTTTGTTAACATCGAAAGCTAACACAAATTATAGACGATTCCAGTTGGCTTGAAGAGGAACTTGCGGCAGCGCAGATTAATCCTATCGACGACGAATCCGGTCAGCATGCTCTTACCCTCAGGATGTGGGTGATTGGTGTGGTTTTTGCCATTGTTGGCTGTGGGTTGAATACCATATTTGAACTGCGAAGCCCGTCCATCAGCATCGCAAAGTCGACAGCCCAGCTCTTGGCTTTCCCGGTTGCCCGCCTCTGGGACACATGGGTACCGGACTACGAGGTGAAAATATTGAGGTGGAGGATTTCTCTAAACCCACACCCCTTCAACAAGAAGGTTGAGCATCCGCCCAAGGCTGAATCAATCAACAGCTAATGTCCGTAGGAACATACCCTCATATTCATCATGGCTAATATCAGCTTCTATACTCGTATGACCGTTGATCTCCTCATAGAGCAAAAGAAATTCTTTGGGAAGGAGACTGGTTGGGCATTTGAGATACTGATGATCCTGGCACTGTTTCTCATCGGCTTTGCGTTTTCTGGGCTCACCCGATCGACCCTGGTCAAGCCTAAAAGTCTTCTGTGGCCTGGGTTACTTAGTACCACTTCCCTGACAGGAGTCCTGCACCGCCATGGGGGGCTTGAAAGGTCGAGGTTTGTTGTCCTCCACCTCGCACCGCACTGGAAAGCTAATTCATGTACAGCTCGCCAACTTGGCGAATATCAGGTTTCGCATTCTTCTGCCTGGTGTTCGCTGGATCGTTTTTCTGGTATTGGCTACCCGACTTTCTGTTTCCATCGCTGAGCTATTTCAATTTTCCCTGTTGGATCAACCCCTCGAACCATGTGGTTAATCAGGTATTTGGCGTTTCCTCCGGCATGGGGCTTTTGCCACTTACCTTCGACTGTAAGTACCGAGGTATTAATTAAATTCTCTGGTTCGCTAATACAATTCGTCCTGCTTTCCAGGGAGCCAGGTAGCCTACGTTACTTCGCCTTTGCTTGTACCGTCCTGGGCAATCGTCAATGTTGCTGTGGCTCTGGTCTTTTGGGTATACGTCGTGGCCACCGCCTGCTATTATACGAATGTGTGGAATACTGGGTATTTCCCATTTCAAAGTTCTGATAGTAAGCTCTATGCTCCCCTCCAAAGCTTAGACTAAGAGCTATAATGACACCTCCTTAAGTATACGACAACACTGGGGCTGTTTATAATGTATCCAGGGTATTAGGTGAGGGGACTAGCTTCCAACTAGATGTTGTCAAGTACGAGAACTATTCTCCAGTAAGGAAACATCTCAATATCTGGATTTAGTGATCGAATGCGTATACTGACAGGCATGCCAAGGTATTCATGCCTATAACCTATGCTTTGAATACATTTGCCTTGGCTATTGCTACACTAGCTTCGCTTATTGTTTGGGTATCTCTTGAGCATAGTGACGTTCTCGTGGCGGCAATCAAAAAGCCCTGGAACCTTATTCGGACGCTATTTCTGAGGAAGGAAAATGCTCAGAATGAAGAACCGCAGAAGGGTGATGATGATGTTCCCATTTGGTGGTATATTATAGCCCTTGGTTTGGGTCTCTTCTTTTCAATCTTTTCCATTGAGTTCTGGCACTTGGATTTGCGATGGTACGGGGTGCTTTTCTCGTTCCTGATTGCCGGCGTTTTCTTCTATCCGGTAGGTTTGACATCTCTCCTGATCCTGAAAATAGGCTAAGAATCTAAAATGCTGTAGGTGACTTTGATCTATGCGAGTGCCAATCTCAAAGTGGGGATCGAAATCTTGTGTCGGGTTGTGGGTGGTTTCCTCTGGGAGGGTAAACCTCTCGCAAACAACTGGTTTGTAGGGCTTGGTTATACCACGATCCTGAATGGGCTCTCCTTCTCGCAGGATATGAAACTCTGCTCCTATTACCACGTGAGTTGGACTTATAGCCTTTCCCAGCCACAGCTTCATGCTAAGTATGTCAGATATCTCCCGGGTCCGTCTTTCTGACACAGTGCGTTGGGATTGCCATTGGAACCGTAGGCCAAGTCGCTGTTATCAATTGGGCGCTGGGGCATATCAAGGGCATTTGCACTTCCGATGCAATTAATGGGTTTTCGTGTCCATTTGCACGGACCGATTTCAATACTAGTATTATTTGGGGGGCCATTGGTCCGCGTCGTTTCTTCTCTACAGTTTCGGGGTATAGAAGCCTGTTCTACCTTTTGATACTTGGTGGGTCCCTTCCTGTTCTGGTATTCCTGTTAAGGCGGCGGTATCCTAAATCCATGTGGAGGTATGTTAATGTGCCTTTATTTTTGGGCGGGTTGAACTATATCCCACCCGCCACTGGCATGAACTACGGCAGCTGGGCGATTGTTGGGCTCGTCTTCGGGGTATTCATCCGACGTAATCACAACGCATGGTGGCGCAGCTATAACTATGTTCTTGGAAGTGCCTTAGACTCCTCCGTCTCCCTGGCGGGGCTTATCATCTTTTTTACCATCTACTATACAGGGGCGTCGGACAAATTTAGCTGGTGGGGGACAGAGGTTTACAAGGTAACATACTGCCTGATCTCCAAACAACAGTTGCTGATCCCAGAGAACAGAATACTTGCGACTACAAGGGATGCCCGTACCTATCTCTCTCGCCAAATGAAACACTTTAATAGTCACCTTTGCCTCCAGGCGTTCCCCGCGGGTAGCTCTACAGCGGACATCGGTCGTCTAAAGCACACCGTGTATACCTCACACTGCGGTCCCTGATAGAAGAGCAACAAGACCGACGGTCCTGGCAGTCCGATGTACTATAAGGTACTCATTGCCGTCCAACGTGCCAGGCTTATGGCATTGGCTCGCCTAACACCACAGTGGCCATGCCCCCCAGTGCTATTATCTGCCTTCATCCATGCATTATTGTATTTTATTTTCCTTGCGCTAGATCTAACCGTGAATAGAGTCGTTTCGGATTAAAGGTGAAGCAATGTGTCAGCGTTCGGGCTTAGTTCGGGAGTTGCAGCACGTAAAAGCTAAATATGCGGTCTTCTCCGTCTACCCCAACCAGGGCCAAACACTCCAAGCCAACACCAACCCCTATTCTTAGATATCTGCGGGGATTTTGTGGAGATACTTGCGCAAAGGCGCGCACTAGACTTTTAGAAAAGGAGGCCTCTGCTCCCCGAGCTGGTTGGTCCCCACATGTCTGGGGTAATCCTAGTTGCGTCCGGGGCCTTTATATACTAGACCTAGTTGCACCCCGGCGAAATGTCATCTACGAGCTGCAAAACCAGACATACGAGGAATTGCATTTCAACTCTCTCCATTCGTTTTACAAGTTTGAGTCGCCTACCGCTATGCCTCCATCCTTGGAAAGGACGAAAAAGACTGGCGAAGACACAGAGTTGCCACTAAGCCCGGTGAATACAGCTACACTCGCGGGCGATGTCTGTCCACCCAAGCTATCCGACACCGAGCAGCAAATAACACAGGATGGAATTGCCAAGTTCTCTCGCCTAGGGTGGAAACGCCTGACTATTCTGTTGGTTGTTGAAGCCATCGCCATCGGAGCCTTATCCTTGCCGGCCGCTTTTGCCACCCTGGGCATGGTTGTCGGTGTGCTGCTGAATGTGATTATCGGCTTCATCGCAATATACACTGGCTACCTGGTCGGAAAAGTCAAGCTACTGCATCCTGAGGTACGCCACTACGGTGACGTGGGCCGGCTACTTCTAGGCAGAACAGGGTATGAAGTATTAAGCTTCATGCTTATCCTGCAGCTGCTGTTTCTCGCCGCGTCACACTGCCTGACAGGGGCAACTGCGTTTTCGAACATCACCGATAATGCCACCTGTTCAGTGGTCTTTAGCATTGTCTCGGCAATCCTGATGTATCTACTCTCTATCCCTCCAAGCTTCGCCGAGGTAGCTATTCTGGGGTATATTGACTTTGCATCTATTATCCTTGCCATTGGGATAACGATCATCGCTACCGGCATCCAAAGGAACGACCATCACTCCAACCAAATCGATGTTCAGTGGTCCGCTGGGCCCAAAGCAGATCTCAGCTTTACCGAATGTTTTACTGCTGTTCTGAACATCATTTTCGCCTACGGGTTTACTACCTGCCAATTTTCGTTCATGGATGAGATGCACACGCCTGCAGACTACATGAAATCGATCTGGTCCTTAGGCCTGATCGAAATTTCAATCTATACACTTACCGGCGCTCTGATATACGCATTCGTCGGTCCAAACGTTGAGGCCCCTGCACTTCTCTCAGCTGGACCGCTGATCAGTAAAATCGCATTCGGTGTCGCAATACCTGTTATTTTTATCAGCGGTGCAATCCTCGTCACCACCGCAGGGCGTGCCATTCACGGTCGGATTTATGCCAACGAGATCACCCGTTTCATCAACACCACGAAAGGATGGACCACCTGGCTACTCGTTATTCTAGCTCTCGTGATAGTGGGCTGGGTGATTGCTGAAGCCATCCCATTTTTCAGCGACCTGGTAGCGCTGATTTCCGCTTTATTGAACTCGGGATTTACGTTCTATTTTCCTGCAGTGATGTGGTTTGTCCTGCTACGCACGGGCGAGTGGAATAGCTGGAGAAATTTGGGTCTCGGTGCCCTGAATGTGTTCATTTTCTGCTTGGGCATTTTCTGTCTCGTTGGTGGAACCTATGCCTCTGTGCAGAGCATTGTAAGTGTTTCCATGTCCACATTTATTCACACATCACCTTGCGAACTGACTATTCCTAGATTGACCAGTATCAACAAGGTTTCGCTGGCAAACCGTTTGGCTGTAAGTGAGAGTAAAGACGGTCTATGCCGAAGCAAACTCTCGTCACCGAGCCAATATATATTTATAGTGTCTGCAGAAACGAAGAACTGGCTTATACAGGGGAACAAGCACGAACGAGTTTTGGTACTCTATACTTTGCCATTTGCAGCTGTAATAATGTCATAAACTACAGGGAGCCAACCTTAGGTCCCTCAACGCTCAATTTGGAAGATATACGACGTATATTCCAGGCTCTGTAGTAGTTCCGGGTGCTTTCTTAAACCCAACTCGTCGTTGAGTAGCAGCGCTATTTTAGCAACGCGGAACTACCGGAACAGATGATAGGTTTCTCCTCGTTAACATCTGCCAGCCTTGAGGATAATCTAGAGACAATCTCTGTCAGGTGTATTCACAAACGGTATGGCTGCGACATCTAGTTCTTGTGGCCTGACTAGGAGTGGTTAGACTTGCACAGAGGTAGAAACGGGAACCTTTATGAGATCTCTGTGGCTTAGCGGCGGTGGAACTGCGTTTCTAAGCCTGACATCCCGTATGTTTTACTGAACTAACTGACCTGGAGATGCTAGATGTGCAATGCCTGCAGGTCGCAGGAATGCGAGGCCATTTACGCCATCAGATTTGAAGCCGGATAAAAAACAACGCAGTTTTCCTTTAGGCTTATGATGCAATTCTAAGGGTGCATCCATGTGCATGTCTCATTCTGGAAGGGTGGAAGTCATAACCTCATCCCAGATATTCTGAATCGTTAATATTGGAGCGTATACACGGCCCATGGCCCTTATCGGACAGGGATACTCACAAGATTGGTTGGATCGAGAGCGAACCAGTCAACGCCATCCATCCAGTCTTCGAACGAGTACCTAGAGTTATTACCTAGGCTACGTTCCGACGTCTCTATTGCGGAAAGCTGATGCCTGCATGGATTAGTCGACATAAAGAAAAGCAGCACGTTCAACAACTTACTGTAATCGCTGGAGGATTGGAAATGACTTTGCACAGACCGGGCTGCGATGTTGTAGGTCTTCCATGCGGTGGACTGCTGAATGAAATGCCTTCCAGTACGGCGCTGAATCAAAAGTATCCGGCATTCCTAGAAGGCATGATACTAAGGCTACTGCGCCGTGCAGGGCATTGAGGCTGGTCATTCCATTGACTAGCCACTTGTAATGCCGTAGCCTAGGCAGCTCACAGAATTGACGATGCAGGTCAAGCAAGGCAGTACTAGACTTGATACACCTGTCTCTGGAGGACGGTAGGAAGTGTTCTGATTGGGAAGGGCAAAATGGCCGATGGAGAAGAAGATAGAGCTGATGAGCGTAGGTTTGCATAATACACCAGTGTGCATAGCTGGCGTGATCTAAAAGCTTTGGTGTTCCATTTACCAAAAAGGTAGAGTCCCATAGCTGTTGCTCCTCTGCAATTGCAGCATCGAAGTGTTCTAATAAACGCTCATCCAGCCTTGAGGGACCGGACGTGTGGGAACATACCTCAGTTGAAAGCCGAAATAGCCGTAGCTTGAACTTCATCAGAGCCATCTGCGTGGGATGAGATATGGTATGCAGGATCTTGTCCTCATGAATATCGGAATCATCAACCTCCGCTGGCATCGTGGCTTTTATGTTGTGGAGAAACGACATGTCAATATCGCGAAACAGAATGGCTTGATAAGTATGAAGCAGTAAGATTCCAGCCCAACATCGTCGGCGACGTTCAGTTTCGATACAGTTAAGGTCTGGAGAGTCAACATTGCAGCGTAATGCGATTCCCATGTTCAGAGCCATTCCGAGTAGTATCCAACCCCGTTCCACGCCTTCGTTATGAGACACATTGTATGTAAGGATTAAGATTGCCTCTAGAGTATTGATATCATGATGGATCAAGAAGCGATCCTGGGCGAGACAAGTCAAAGCAGCCCGCCTAAGCTGGTGGACAGTCGCCGCTACGTTCTCAAGTTGTGGATATCCTGGGAGTAAATCCACCAGGACGGGGTCTCCGGGATCCATGGAATTCAGTGTCACCGAGCAGATCATGAAGAGCAATGAAAGCCAGGAAAACGTGGTGTCTGTCCGTGCCTGCAGGAATGTTGCGTACTGCTTTTCAAAGGTAGGCCCATGAAGGATGTGGAACAGGGGCGACAGATGGGTGAAGTATTCGGAAATCAAATATTCACAACAGCTATCTGGCGGCAGCAATTGCAAAAGATCCTCCTTGGAAATGGTGGGTGCGACCATGGAAGGGGCGAATAGGTCCTCTAATGCGGAGTGCGTGTCATTCTGGTCCACACTCGGGCGTTGCAAGACGGCATCCCATCGGTCATCTGGGGTTTGGATTTCTGGCGGGGGTCCCTGCGACGTCCCCAATCCGCTATCAATGTCTCTATGCGAGGGAAACGCACGCGGAGGACCTGCCGCATCCCCTGGTGTCGGTGCTAGTTGCAGTGGTCTGGGTGACCGGAGAGCAGGGCCAGCAATGGGGCCTGACTGACGCTCGAACCTACAGGATGAGGCACATCCCCGTTGTCGACAGGTACTGCACGGATGGCGGCGGTCACAACGTAGCTTGGATTGCCGACAGGGCTCGCAGCTGAGCAACTTGCGAGGCTTTCGAGGTCGGCGTTTCGTTTGTGGATTTGGGCGTGGGGCCCACGACTCATTGTGCGACTGCGCGTCATCACTGGGCAGGATTGTAGAGTGCTCCCCGGTATCATCCATGCTGGTTGTTGAAATCCGAGTCCTGAGTCGGCGCAGATGCGGACAAAAGAAGTAAGAAGTGCAGGACCGTCGGGCTTCGGGGCAAAAGAGAAACCTCCGATCATGTGATGTTGCCTGCACCAGCTTACTAAGCTCCGGGCCATCATGACCCGGGATTTCCGGTACCGGCCCAATCCTAACCGGCCGGGGCTGTCGGAGATCGTGCCAGGTGGGCCTTTTATCTCCGAGACGGCTTTTTATTGACTGGGGACAGACAGTCTATCAGATGCACATGGCAAAATTCGCGGATAGGAAATTGTAGCCTACTTGTCAGAGCTAATAACCACGTTAAGGTATATAGCCTTGGTCATTTCCACTTAATACTCAGTACAAGTATTGGAATATAGGTTCATTAAATTTCAGACATCATCCGGTATCCTCCAGTCTTTTCCAAAATGCAAGTCAATGTCTCCTCTCGAGGGCTTTCTCTCGCGCCCAAAGTTCCCGTGTTTTTTGATGTCCTCAAAGACCTTTGGGATCCTGAATCCAATCCAAATGGCACCGTGAACCTCGGTCTTGCTGAGAATGTGAGGCACAATGTTACTTTCAATGTTTTGGATAGCCATGCTAAGCAAACCAGTCGTTGACCCACACGGAATTGAAGGAATATATTAATTCCAAGGTAAGAACACCAGTAAGGCATTTATATTAGGTACTAAAATTCCCGGGGTGCTTTAGCCTCGTGCAGACTATCATTCGTTGACCTACGGGGATGGATTTTCAGGCTCGAAGAACCTGAAAAAGGCTCTTTGCCATTTCATGAACCGCCATTTCCACCCATATAGGACTCTCATCCCCGCTCACATGTGCATTACATCTGGAGCCAGCAATGCTATTGAGAATTGCGCTTGGGCATTGTGTGATCCGGGCGACTGCATACTTGTTGGGCGTCCATATTGGACTACTTTCAGATCTATCTTTGGAAACCGTGCTGGGTACGGGCTTGTCTTCATATCAGGCTGTGAAGTTAGTATATACTGACCTAGCCCAGTGTCAACATAATTGAGGTCAACTTCGGCGCCATAGACCCGTTTAGTTTGGAAGCGGTTGAGGAATACGGAAAGGCGTTTATCAAGGCAACTGAACAGGGTCAGAAGATCAAAGCAGTTTTGCTTTGTTCTCCAAACAATCCTCTCGGTCTGTGCTTGCGCGAATGTTTTCAAGTCTTTCCATTCATCAGTACTGACGCCTAGCACAGGCCGCTGCTATCCCGCCGAAGTCTTGAAGGCATACATGAAGCTTTGCCAGAAACTAAATATGCACCTTATCTCTGACGAACTGTATGCGCTGTCAGTCTGGGATAACCCTGAATATGAGAATCCCACACCCTTCACATCTGTCTTGTCGATAGACACGGAGAATCTCATAGACCCCGAAAAGGTGCACGCCGTGTGGGGAATGAGTAAGGCAAGTATTGTATCTTCGGTTTTCTATGTATTGAACTTGGACCTAACCGCTGTTTTCAGGATTTTGGTGCAACGGGGCTACGTATTGGAACCCTAATCAGCCAGTCCAACACGACATTCTTGGAGGCGTGTGAAAGCATATCGTACGACCCATCTCTTATATAGAATGGCATAGTGTTGACAGATCAGCAGATTATTTAGTTTCCCGTCCAGTCTCGCTGACAACGCTGCGGCATCGCTATTTTTAGACGAGGGATGCTCCGATCACCTTGTTTCTCTCAATCGCTCACGGCTGTCAGAAAACTATCAACACGTTGTCAAAGCCCTCAGGGGTCATGGGATCCCGTACAAAAACTCCAACGCTGCTCTCTTTGTCTGGGTTAATCTGGGCGCGGTGGTGGACCGAGAGAAGATGTCGGACGAGGTGATTTTGCAGACCCTACGCAGAGAAAAGCTCTATATTACGTCTGGGTCTACCTACGCCAGCGAACAGGCGGGCTGGTTTCGGATCGTATTCGCGCACCCTAAGCATGTATTAGACGAAGGATTAAAGCGTCTTATTCGTGCAATAATGTAAATCGCTAGTGAGCTGTCTATTTACCCAACCTGAGCTGAAATGCAATGTGGATGTGAACTAGGCAACTTGATTAGAACTTGATTCGTGAGTTTCGTTATAATGTAGCTAAGTCGTAGAAGTGGTAACCGCAACGCAGGAACAAGAATGAACAGATAACCATTCAAACATAGACACACATGTAGGCAAAGCACATGAATCTAGCTAGCCCTAAGAAACTAGCGCCTTAGCCTTCCGCTTAACGGAATGCCGGATCCCCGTTTGGCCGGTCTCTTCTTCATCATCACGATCGGCATAAAACCTCCGGAACTCGTCCAGATCGACCTCGCCCGCATGAATCCATATTGGACAACGGTACCATATCTGAGCCAGGATCCAGGCCACAAGTACTGCAATTATACTGACAAAGTTGGCAAAAAAATGTTTGGCAGAGGTTCGCTCGCCCAGTGGCTTGATGCTCAGGTAGAGCTCCAAGATAATAAGAATGATGCACCATGCTAACCCCCACCACTGCGCGTAGGGAGAAAACCATGACGTCCAAGGCAGATCAGCCACTGCACGATCCTGGTATTTCCAGATATATCGTAGCCTGATATTGCAGAGGCAGATCAGGCCCCAACCAACGAGCTGCAGTAGTGAAACTAGGTGTGAAAGCCAGGTAAAGACCTCCTCACCAGTATGGGAGACGTTCAGATATGCAAGGCCACCCCCGAAGAGAAGTGTCGCGGTGTATGCCGCCCAAGGACGGCCCCTACTGTCTGCCTTGCCAAATATCTGGATAGTGGTCAGGAGGAGAAAGGGAAAAGGACGAGAGAACAAAAGGAAGGGAAAGGAAAGGGCCCATTTAGCAGGTATGGAAGGGATAACTTACGCTGGGAGCCATGTTGATATGCGCCAACCCGACAAGAACGCGAGACCCACCATATGCAGTAATGCTTCCTGTCGACAGGACGGAAAGAAAGATGACAGTATTAGTGATGTGCGCCATAGCCGGAATCCCTGCATTCTGGAAGGAAATCACAAAGGGTGACCCATTACTGCCTTCGTTGCCAAACAGATTAGGGTCCTTTGGTGAAATCGCCAGGGTAATCATCAAGCTTCCTAGGAGGTAAAATAACCCAAGGCGGAGCCAGATTGAGTTGACTGCTTTGGGCATTGACCTTCTAGGGTTTACGACCTCGTGTGCCACAAAGGCAGTGGTCTCATTACCCGCCATTGCAAAGATACACGTTGGCAAGATTGCAATATACCCCTTGAAGCCATTGGTAAAGGGGTCCTCGTTCCAGTAGCGGAAGCCGATGGCATGGCCTTTGGGAGCTCCGCCCGCAGTGATAACTATATAATGGTGTTAGTATCAACCAGGATAATTGCGGCGGGCGAAGACTCACCCAGAAGGGTAATAACAACGACCAGCATCCAACTGAACTTAATGGTTGAACTAACCACTTCCACCTCTGCAAAGAACTTGACTGCCCAGATATTCACCAGAATGATCACAACCCAAAATGCTGAAATTCCAGCTGCCGTGGGCAAATCATCCGTCCAGTACCTCAGAATAGTGACTACCGCCTAGGCCCAATTAGTCAGTCTCTGTACTCCATATAAAGTCAGAGCAGTACCTGAAGTTCATTCGCCATGGAAATCCAGTAAGACATCCAATATCCCCAGCCCACTGCGAACCCTGCTGCAGGACTGATAAGGATGCTCGTCCACTGTATAAACGCCGACGGAAGGGGGTAAATTACAGCCATCTCGCCTATGGCCTGGTTTACGGCCCATATCAGGGAGCTGGCCAGCACGAATCCCAGAAATAAAGCAGCTGGACCACCATTCACAAGGGAAGTTCCAGCTCCCAGCCACATTCCCATTCCAATTGAAGATCCGAGGGCAACCATGGTAAGATGTCGTGTTCCTAGCGTTCGATGGAGCTGCGTGTCTGCGCCATGGTCAATTTGTTCGTTAGGTTTCATGGGCAGCGTTTCTTTGTCTGCGGTGTGGTGGTTAGATATTTCTAACGCGGAAAGCGCCTGCCCTGGGTCTTTGCTGGTTCGCGTAGGTCTTTCCATACTCGGGGACATATTTCAAGGAGTTATATGAAAGGGTTCGAGGGAGACCGAGATAGGGAGGATAACGTTGACCTATCTATATGGGCGATCGCTGCACCTAAATACCCTTGTATACTAATGATATCCCAATTGGAAGAATTCCTCCATGGTGAAAAGCTACCCTACCCCACGGGGTCTGACCGGGGCTTATTGCACAACCTCAACCTCGACAACCGGCTATAAAAGCAGGGCCACACCAACGGTGTCAGTGAGGAGAATGCATGTAGTATTCAAACGCCGTTGGGTGAAGTACTGCAACCAATTACCGTAGGGTCATTGCATCACGGGGGTCTTAGCGCTTACAAGGAATGTCATAGAGTCGAACCAGGACTGTCTCCAACACGAGTGATATATTTCAAAGCCCGAGCCCACGGGGTTGAATGCCGATCATTGCAGTGCGATATCTCTATCACATAGACTGGGGGATGAGATATGAAAAGACATCGAATAGGTGATGGACCGTGCTTCATCCCGGCGATTGATATGCTGCGCCCCACACATTCCTATTGCGACATCTGGTCTTCCCTCCGATAGTCGGCTGGGGAAAGCTGCAAGACGAGCAGGCGACACGATATCGGATTTGTGCCCGTAAATAAATGTCCTTACAATATAATATCTCCGAAAGAACGCGTAATATAAATGTCAATGCTCATCCTGTTTCGACCACCACACAATTCGTCCCTCTCTTTTTCCTTCCCTGTTTCCTTTCCAGAATCGAGCTCTTTCCTATAAGCAATATACCCACCCTAACTGTTTCCAACCATGAAAGTCACCAAGATCGAAATCTTCGACTGCGAGTTGAGTCGCCTGGACCCGACAATGTTCTCATTCAACCCCGTTTTGGTGAGGTTGCATACAGACGAAGGTATAACCGGCTTGGGAGAGGTCGGACTTGCCTTCGGAGCCGGCGCCAAAGCCGCAGTAGGAATCCTACGCGATCTTGCCCAGTTCGTGCTAGGTCAGGACCCAATGAATGTCGAAGCAGTATGGGAGTCCATGTTCCGGCGCTCATACTGGGGCACTGGAGGCGGGCCCGTAGTATACGGGGGCATCAGCGCGTACGATATCGCGCTTTGGGACATCCGCGGGAAGAAGCTGAATGCACCCATATATCAGCTGCTTGGGGGCAAGACGAATACTGATTTGCGATGTTACGCCAGTCAGATCCAGTTCGGCTGGGGTGACAAGTATACCCTTGCGAATGAGCCATCCCAGTATGCTGCTGCCGCGAAACTGGCTGTTGCGGAGGGGTACACTGCGATCAAGGTGGATCCGCTGGAAGTACGGCGCGATGGCACGGTTGTGCACCGGCAGGTTTTGGAGCCGCATTATTTTGGTCTGCTGCGCCATGACAATATCCAGATGGCAGTTGAGCGGGTCGCTGCGATTCGCCATGCCGTCGGTCCTGATGTGGATATTATTGTGGAATTGCATTCCATTCTGGGCACCAACTCTGCCATCCAATTTGCCCGTGCTATGGAGCCGTACAATATCCTGTTCATGGAAGAACCTATCAATCCACTAAGCGCGAAAAACATGACCAAAGTGGCTGAGAAGTCACCTGTTCCTGTAGCCACCGGCGAACGTACCTACACGCGATGGGGATTCCGAGAAATGCTGGAGAACCAGGCCCTTGCAGTGGTTCAGCCAGATGTCTGTCTGGTGGGTGGGATCACTGAGGCCAAAAAGATCTGCGATCTTGCCAACCTGTACGACGCTACTGTCCAAGTTCATGTCTGTGGTGCTCCAGTTTCGACTGCGGCGGCGTTGCATATTGAAGCCGTGATTCCTAATTTTATTATCCATGAACACAACACAATCGCTCTGAAGGAGTGTGTCAAGGAGCTGTGTGTGAACGATTACCAACCCTCGAACGGCCGGTTTCAAATCCCAGACGCCCCAGGCCTGGGCCAGGACCTCAACGAGGAGATTGCGATGCAATACCTTGCTCATACTATTGAGTAGTTGGTCTAAGACTATTGAATGAATGTGTATATATACTGTAACAGCACGTGTCCGGGCAAGCATGTTCCTAACTGGGCTAAAAGATTATTATAACCAAACTCTATAGTCTGGTCTGCCCGGATCGCATCTATATATAGTCTATATAGGTCGTAACAGTAGTCTAGTCTAGTCTAGGTTACTAGAGTAAATAATAAGTATTAAAATTATTTACTAGAATAGTTTTCCGTGGGGGAGAGTACTAAAGTAGAGGATAGAGGATAGAGGAGATTAGTCTGGCCTGGGCTGGAACTATAGGATTCCCTGGAGGGCAGTAGATATTAATAATAGCCATGCCTGCTATATAGACAGCAGTGATATCACTGTCTGGCTGGCTCAGCTTCGGTGTATAAGATCACATGATAAAGTTGTCACAGCCCTGAACCCTGGCGGAGATGGCGATAACTCGCGGATTAACGTCCACCGTGGAGGGTTCCAGGGAGCCAATCGGAAGACATGATCCCCGCATTTACAGTCAATGACCAGGCGCCACGTTGTTGGATCTGGAAGAATGGACTGCAGGGTGCGCTTATGAAGGAGCCTCGTCCGCCCAAATTCCGCCAACATCAAGACTTTTGTCAATTTGCTTGTATTCATCATACCGCAATGTCCGAGCCATCCTCGTCTCCCTCTCTCCCAAAGCCCCGCCGGGTCGTAACTGGCCACAACGCCGAAGGCCTCGCAACCGTCCAACACGACTCATACCTCGACAGCCACCCCTTGGGTGATGGCGGCAACTTGGCACCAGTGTGGTACACCACCGAGCAACCGGCGGATGTCAGCAGCTCTGAAGATAAGGCTCTCCTAAAGCCGGGCATACCACCACCTGGGTCTGGTTTTACCTCCTACGATCTACCTCCCCAGTCTAAGGGACTTTTCCATCGCACAATCACCGTCGACTACGTAATAGTTGCCAAGGGGAGTGTGGTTCTTCGCTTAGATGATGGTTCTAGATTGAAGTTGAATGAAAGCGACGTCGTGATACAACAGTCAACAATGCACGGTTGGGATAACGAGTCTAACGAGTGGGCTCGACTATATGGCATCATGATCCCGGCGCAAGCTCCAACTGTCAATGGGAAGGCTTTGGAGACTGTTTGGCCCATATAGGGTGCTATGGATTTCATAACTACTACCTAGTTTCTTTTCCTTTCTTCCAAGTGTGTATATTAGGGAGAAAAAGAGGATTTGGTTATTTGAGGAACGATCAGCCACACCACTGTTCCAATAACGTTGTTTGGACACCGTGATATTTTATGCTATCAAATATAACTTCAGGCCTCATGCTAGAGTCGAAACAATCAAAGATACGGCCTATTATTCTTTTTGGACCCAGTCAATCCTCTGACACAGACCTTCTGTAGGACACATCGCACCGCTGGACATAAACCCTGGCCTTGGATGTATCCGCCTTCTAGGGTGTCTAGTTTAGAGACGATGAATTCGGCAGGGGTAGCAAAAGCATGCTATTGTCCATGTAACGTACTGAGACCGAGTATATTGGAAGAAGTCTCCTGAGGCTGTGCCTTCTTGCACTAAAGATAGTCTTATATTGTTTCCCTAGTGCGTATAAGAGCTTCATCCCCTAGGTGTGTGGTCTGGCGGTGGCATATTGAGAGCTTCTGTGTATAAATACTAACATAATTATATATTCATGATCCCTTCCTGGATAAACCGGCAGGCTTACCTCCGTTATAATCAACACCAATACCAGCTATAGTAGCCGTTTTTCAGTTACGTGCACAGTCTAGTACTACTGGAATAGGTATCCATCCTACTAGTAAAAAGATAGTAGATTAAGATATCTATTTTAGCGACCTCCGTGATGATATAACTATAATGCATAATACAGTCACGAAGAGGCTATCGAATAATATTGATTAAAACGCGATTATCGATACTTTGGGCCTTATGTATACTTCTACAATTTTGAGATAGCTTTAGCCGACGCCCACATATCTACGTGCATAGTATGCCGTGAGCCATCGGCAACAGATGAGACAGTATAGGGGTATAAATAAAGAAGGTATCGCCCTAGGGCTTTACACGGCAGAATAAGATTATATTTAAGGCTCTTAATATATATACTAATCTGTGATTATCTATACTAATCAGCATATGAATTAGTCATCAACAATGGAAGGGCAACTGACTACCAGTATGAATGAAAGAACAGGAAAGAACATCAGATGGTGAAAGAAGACTGAGAAGCGTGTTTCGGAGAAAACACTAGCTAGTTGGCTGGGAGATCTGGTATTGAATGGGTATATGCGGCCATGCGTCAACACCATCCATCATTGCCAAGCTCATGCCACCACTAGCATGCACTTGCATATGACAATGAATAACAAATGCCCCCGGATTCACAACATGATATCGTACTGCCATCCACGAGGGGCCATAAAGGGCCGGGGTAGTGGTGGTCGTATCAAAGAGTGGTGGATTTTGGAGATTGAAATTTTGGGGCATGTACTGGATTGCTTCGGCCACGGAGGAGTAGTTCCACTCACCCTGACCGGAGCCAATGCGGAAGAATTTGTTCGAGTGTTTGTGGATGGGATGTTCGGGCTGGACTGGTGATTTCACATAGAAGATTAGGTCAACCCAGGTGCCATTCCTTGTGCGGATGCTCAAATCACTATGTGCAACCTCGGAGTCAGGAAAGAAAAGGAGAGGGGCCGATTCTTCTAAAGCGAGAGGGAAGCTATTATTACCAAGGGTCCACTGGTAAGAGGAGTTGTACCGATCGATGTGCAGGACAAAAGTCTGATCTGCTTTCTGGGCCGGTACCTCCACGGGAAAAGGGATAATTCGCCTTTCGTCCATGAATATAGTGCCTGGGGTTGCGTTACGCCCGGCAATGTCAATGTAAGGGGTAGATGGTTCGCTTTGTAGCCCCCGAGCAGTGGTGTATGACATGGTGGCCGTTGTGTTCATAATCTGATTGAAACCGCTTATCACAGATCGAACGGTGTAGTCCCGGGGAGGCTTGTCGAGTTTGACTAAAACAGAGAACCGTCGCCCAGGAGGCAAATTGATAGCTTCCACAAGCAGGGGTACAATATACCGACCGTCAACGGCATAGACATACATTGGATGCTGATCAATTGAGAATGTGAGTGACGTGACACCAGCTGCAGATATAAGATCCCAGCTACTATACTGAAGGGTGGGATCCACATGGAGTGTTTCTCTTTCGCCATCTGACGGTTTGCATCCCATAAACATGTTATTATGCGCCGCACTGAAGTTATGGGAGAAAGGACCTTGGGCTAGAGGCACGGTTGGAGGTATGCATCTAGGTACATTTCGATCGTCAGTGTCACATATGATGAGGCATGATGCTGCAGTACGTACCCAGTATCAGACAGGTGGGTGCCGTTGAGGACTTGCTTTTGTTCCGCGCTCATCACCTCATCGAGCACCGTTGGCGATAAGCAAGAAACAGACCCCTTGCCGTTAATTAAGAGAGAATTAACACAATACGCGTCCAGTCCTGTGACTTCTTCTGACTCCCATATTTGCTCTGAGGTAAGGTGGCGCCAATCAGACAGAACAAGGGGCTTTGTATTTCTCTCGGCAATACGCATTGCTCTGAGCTCGACAGGGTCATCGGTGATCTGTGCGAATGGGCGTTCCACGGAGTCCTTGGGATAGATATGGATTGGCCCATACAAGCCATCTTCCAAGTGGCCTCTTTCATGAGAATGATAGAAATAGCTTCCATATTCTGTTGCCACCCATTTATACGTAAAATTACCTCCCGGCGAGATCCCTTTCTGCGAGATTCCGGGTACTCCGTCAGACCATGGTGTATTTTTCTGCTCAATACCTGTAGGATCTCATCAGAACCGTCACGCGTTGGAGGAAGGAGCGCCAAATGAAGGGGCAAATTCTCACCATGGAAATGCACCGTCACTGGATACGGCAGTTGGTTCCACACCTGGAATTCAACCTCGTCTCCTTGACAGAGTTGCAGTTTTGGACCAGGAAACTGGCCATTCATCAGGATACCTTTTCTCTGGTAGCCGTCGGGGGAAACCTCTCCTTCCGTCAATTCTAGGTTAAATTTGACTGGGATTGTTGGCGTGACAATCTCAGGACACAGCCATGTATCCGTTGCCTGAACGAGGCCTGGGAGGCCAAAAAGCTCAAGGATGACAATAAAGTAGGTTAGAAGCGCCATTCTGATACAGTATAATTATGTTCTTTCCAAATTGATAGAAGGTCTGGGAGCCGGGGGACATATATATGCCCAGGAGTTGAGCAATTCCACTGTCGGCCTCTTCTCGGGCCGCGCCATTCAGAGTGCCGGTACTCTCTAATTCTGGACACGGTAACCTGCACTATTGATATGCTAGTGCACTACATTCCAAGTGTAGATCCCACTGGGCCCAGATTAAAAGTAGAGGCAGGTACATATTTTTCAGCCATTGTAACCCACAGGTTGTTGCGTCATGATGTCCCCGGTAGGTGTGTACTAGAATACGGATTTTGCATTACCAACTTGGCTGGGTAGATAGGAACGGAAGACCGAAGTCATCAGCAACCAGCACCGGGACTACAGCAGTGTGCCTAATTCCTTCGGCAGCCTGCACCAACCCTCCATCCCGGGTCCCGAACTTGAGGAATCCTTCGGCCAAACCGGAACTCTGCAGTCCCGCACCCGAAGATACCTGAAGTCCTGAGGCACCCGGTACGACTGGAGCGGACGAACGGTGCGGAGAGTATATTCACTCACTCGTTTGTTAGTTACATTCTAGTCCTTCTCACGTAATCCGTTCCTTGTGGTTAGTCAACTAAACATTACTTCTTTCGGCGTAGTAGCAAGAAACTTTAAAGTTTAGCCAAGATCTTTGGATTGGCTCATCGGTTGTTCTGGCAGGTGCCAAGACTGCCAATTTAAGTTGACTTGAGGAACAGAAGTTGCTTGACCCAAACTCCATCCGTTACTCGCAGTGGAGCAGCCAACATTTTCGTTTATTGGCCAAGCTTTTTACATAATGATACTAAGCAACCTGTAACCAGACCACTAAGACCACTAATCCAATGGGAAGTATCACTCTTCACACGTAAACTTATTAATTCATGGTCATCGCAGCGCCGCCATGACGACACAGGATATGATGTGTGGGATGGAGATTTGTCCACGACTCTTCAATGGGCTATAAAAGGGGCGTTATCACGGCGTAAATTAACCAGTTCTGGCACGTATTATATCATTAAATCAAGCAGCATCGGCTATTCCCACTTTGTCTTCCTCCTCTACACACCACAAGCGACTTTCAACCCGCCGTCATTATGTCTAAGCTCCTCGTTGTCTTCGGTGCTACCGGAAACCAAGGTGGCTCTGTTATTCGCCATGTTCTAGCCGACCCAGCCCTCTCCAAGGAGTTCAAAATCCGAGGTATTACGCGAGATGCCACGAAGCCAGGGGCGAAACAACTGAGTGAAAAGGGCATTGAAGTGGTAACCGTGAGTGTTGAGCCAGAGCAACCAGGAGGCGGCTGCTGACATTAGTTGTCGAGGGTGATATGAATGATGCTGCTTCACTTGCAGCTGCCGTCAGGGGTGCCCATACTGTCTTCCTCGTCACGAACTTTTGGGAGACGGCGTCCAAGGCGACTGAGATGGCGCAAGGTAAAGCAGTAGCGGACGCTTGCAGGGCCACCCATGTGCAGCATTTGATTTTCTCGTCCCTGATCAATACAACGAAAGCTAGTCAGGGTCGACTGTCCAATATACACCACTTCGATGGGAAGGCAGAGATTGAGGAGTACATCCGAGCAATTGGTGTGCCAGCTACTTTCTTCCTCCCTGGCACTTTTATGTCATCGTTCAAAGATATGATCCGACAACAAGATGATGGGAGCTATCTCTTTACCTTGCCTGTCGGTGACAATGCAAGGCTGCCCCTATTTGACGCTGCTGGAGATACCGGTATTTTCTTCTCCCCATTGTGAAGTAGTTGGAGGTGCCAAATACTAATGCGGATGTGAAGGCCTTTTTGTGAAAGCTATTATAAAAAGTCGCGGTTCCCTCCTCGGAGAGCGAGTCTATGGGGCAACAGACTACTACTCCCCTACCCAAATGGTGAAAGAGTTCTCGGAAATTACTGGAAAAGTAGCCAATTTCCTAACGGTTCCAGCGGAAGCTTTCAAGTCGTTCTTACCTCCCGCAGCCGCGCAGGAGATATATGAGAATATGGAGCTATTAGTCGACCCGGGATACTACGCAGGTGCCGGTTTGGAAAGTAGTCTCGCTCTGCTTGACCAACCGCCAACATCATGGAAAGCGTTTGTTGGACAGAAAGTCGAGTAGCCAATCACTGCAGGCCGTGGTATATTTTAGGTTTTATTATGGAGAGTATTCTAATCCTAGATTCCTAAATGCTAGTTAAACATCGCATGGCGTGTCGTGATAGAGGGTAGAGATCATATCCGCCTGAGGCGTAAACCACCTTACAGTTAGAACTAATTTTGTTCTTATATACAGGCAAGTAGCCTTGATAATCTTAACACTCATGAATTAGCCGATGTTCATACAGTTGGAACGCCTTGCACGGTTTTGGAATCCACAGCACGATTCCCCAAAACAGAATTCTGATTGTGGGATACATCTTTAAATATTTCGAGGATTCGACCCTGCTTGGACGTAGTGGCTTTCCGCTGCCTAAACCGATGATTACCTGGCGATAGCTCGGGCTTACAGAAACATCCCTATAGCCAATTCTTTTACGCTCTCTCCTGCCGATTGCCCATAGAGCACTCGTGAAGCCGATTGCGGACTAGTATCCATTTGCATCACCACCCAAAACATCCACTTGCTCCAGCGTCACATAATTCACCGCTTTCCTATATTCACCCTCAAGGTGAGCCTCTCCATCTGCCACAAACTGCGACTGGAGACGGTCTGCACTATTCAGGAAACGTTCAGTCGCGTCATCCAGATTTCTTGACACCTCTGGAGGAGCGACCAGCGTAAAATCACGCTTGCGAAACTGACCATCAACGAGGACATGTTCGACATTCCCGGGGTTGGAGTGAAGGACAATCGCGGCTACTGGATCACGCCAGCCGATGAGGTTTATTGCATTCCCGTCAAAAACCACAATATCGGCCTTCGCTCCAACTTTTAGAACTCCGATATCTGAGCGGTGAAGTGCTTGTGCACCGTTTCTTGTTGCTAGGAGGAACGCCTGGTTCACCGACATGGCGTTGTTCCTTGGAATCTTCCAATCGGTGACAGCTTTGCTGAAGAGCAGGCGCCGAACGGACTGAAGCCAGATACGCGCTTGAGTGACTATATCGGCACTGAAAGTAAAATGAGCATGGACAGCAAGGGCGGCACGATCCATTATCTTGTGGGCGTAAGGATAGTCATGTCCAAAATGCATCTCGGACTCCGCAGCAATTGCAACATAGTGGTTATATTCTCTCAGGAGCTCATAATCATCAGGAGTGATGAAAGTCCCGTGAGCAAAAATAACTGGGAAGGTGTGGTTGAGAAGACCAAAATTGTGGAGGAGAGTCGGGCTGTTTAAGGCTTAGACGGGTCAGCGCGAGGCTCTCCGCAATACTTGCAACCATATACTTACCTCTCCAATGACCACCGAGGTAATGGGTCGAGAGGAGCGAGATGTTAAGGTCCCTAAGCCCTACGTTTGAGAAAATCGCCCCGAGAAAACGGAAAACGACTTACAACATGTTTCTGCGAACAGTATCAATCACTTGCTTCGTAACAGTTGAGAACTCATCGAACGAGACTCCCAATTCTACCGGAGTAGACCTCCAGTCGATCGATGCACCGAGTGTCCGAATATTGTCCCCCTGACTATCTAGCGTAAAATTGTTCAAGGGGGTGTGAACCTGAAAGCACCAGTATGTCCTTGCACCAGTATCAATCGACGCTTGTAAGCTGGAGGCGGCTGTTTCTGGGGTAAATGTAGCATGAGCATGATCCACAATCGTAGTGACACCAGCATTCAATGACTCCCTGATCCCAAACATTTGCCCGTAGTATATATCATCGGCCGAGAAACGATCAACAATGTGACTAACAAACGGGGATAAGGTGGCCTCATAGCTTGCTAGGGTGATATTTGATGCAATGGTCCTGTATGCTGTTTGCCACAAATGTCGGTGGGTGTCGATGAAACCTGGCGACAGTATTTTTCCTGTGCAAGGAACTATTTCTATTTCTTGTGGCAAGGTATAATCGATACCCGACGGGAAAATGGCTGAGATTGTGTCACCTTCGACCAGGAGTGACGTATGTCGAAAAACATTCAGTGATTGCGTACCATCGTCGAAGCCGATAATGGTGCCACCGTCAAAGAGGATGTTCAGCCCCCAAATTTTAGCAACGAAGCTCAATAGTAAAATACCAGTGTATATTGCCATCTTGTCAGCTGAGTTGAATAGATTGATCAGAAATTGCTTCGCCTTTATGTAGACCGTTGTGGTCTGCGCTGGCAAGTGCCAAGGGCATGAGTCCCATTCTGTTGAATGGATGATAACCTCAATTTGTCAGCTCCAGGGTGTGTACACCTAATCCAGAGCCTGTAAACCGGAAAGCATGTTACTGATTTCAAGCCAACGAATATTCCGATTATAAAGCGCGTGGTAAGAGTCACGTAATTCACGCTAGAGCAAACAGTTTCATAAATAGTCCTTGGGCACTTGGCAACTAGAACAGGTAATAACGTACTAGGATTGTCAAGAGTCTCGTTTTGGTAGTGGCCACACATATACTTACTTGCACTCAACTATCTTTCTATAGGGAGGTCCAATTGTTAAAATTCAAGAGAGGTAGTCAACTAACTTAGGAAGGTGCTGAGAATAATGACCGAGCGGATGCCAAGTATAATGGAGCCCTAATCTACCTCCTCCTGTGTCAATTGGCATCCTGTTATTTTATACCCAGATAAACTTCATGGAGAAGCTAAGGATAGGTAATATAATATGAATCTTGAAATTGAATCCGGCAACTATAAGGAAAGCATCGGTAATCACGGTTCCGTCGGTGATGCAAGTTCAAGGCTTATCCGAGGTTCGCATGCCCGAGGGAAAAGCGCGTAAGCAGCTGCCGTGGAATTTAACTCTCGACCTATACGCGTGGGATTTTAAACGGTTTGGCAAGATTCCATCTACGCCTCTGCGAATGCCCAACTTCCCCAAACAAGGCGAAAGGTCGAGGCGACGAATCGCTCACGATGTCAACTGATACCACTCCTGCCATTGGCTTCGACACCTTTTACAATGTCATAAATGGCAAATGCACCACGACACCCGCAACGCGTCATGGAATCGACCCCGCCACAGAAGAAGCAAATCCTGAAGTGCCTCTATCGCAGACTAGTGATGTCAATGATGCAGTCCAAGCCGCCAAGTCGGCCGCTTCAAGCTGGTCGGGTACAACCTATGCGAAGCGACGAGAGGCCATTCTAGCGTTTGCGGAATCTCTTGCCAGGGAGAAGGACGGTTTTGCAAAACTGTTGACCATGGAACAGGGCAAATCGGTAGGTCGACGTTTCTTCCCGCGTAAGAACAGCACATCTCATTGCCATCACCTCCAGCTATCCTTTGCTCACCACGAGGTGGACGGCGGTGTGCACTGGCTTCGTGAACTTACTAGCTTGGAGCTTGGTGAGGAGACAGTACGGGAAGATGAGAAGGTGGGATATTCACATGTATCAAGAGCGTAGAGCTAAAACCCTAAATGCACCACGGCTGACATTGATGAAAGATATTTCATAGCCAAAACTTGCAATAGGCACTTTCACTACATGTATATTCTCTTGAATTTATACAAACTAGATCATTCAACTGCAATTGAGTTCCGAATTGTGTACCTTTTATATATCAATCAGAGAGGATTGACCAAGCACCTCATCCTTGGAAGAGATCACGATAAAAATGTCATAGAGACTCTGATTCTCGGGCCATCTTACAAACCTAGACGGCTTTTGCCGGCCACTGTGGTCAAACGCACTCCTCGGTGTGTCATCTTCTCAGTATGCCATTGACTTGATGATACCACTCTTCCAACCGAGGGCTCGCTCAAAGCCATTTTTACCATTTCGAAAATCCGACATCGCCTGGTACACCTCTTCCTCGCTTGTGCACACAAACGGTCCGTAATGGACAATCCTCTGCTTCAATGGCTGACCAGAAAAAAGAATGAAACGAGAGGGGCGTTTTTCATGCTCGGCAACCAATGCTTCGATATGAGTGCCCTTGCCGTCGAAGACGACGGTGTGAAGAGCGGCGGCAGAGTGAGTTGAATTTGCACAGTTGAATACCGTCGTGCCCTCAAGGACGTAAGCAAATGTGTTCCACTCAAGGGGAACTGGCTGGTTAATCTTGCCGCCCGGGTGGATTGTGATATCCAAGTACCATATCGGCGTGTAGGTCAAATCTGGCTTTGACTCGGTACCATGTGTCTGCCCGGATATTACTGCAACCGTGACTCGACCGTGATCAAGTTGAATTGTTGGTATATCGGACTTGTTGAGATATCGGTATCGTGGTTCGATATATTTCAGCTCTTTGGGTAAATCAATCCAGAGTTGGAGTCCAACCCCTGGGCTTCCATCCGGATTCTCACAAGGTTGTTCTGCATGCATGATTCCCCGACCTGCTGTCATGAATTGCAAGTCACCTGGTGTGAGAGTACCCTTGTGTCCCGTAAAGTCTTCATGAAGCACAGAGCCAGATAGGCAATAGCTAATCGTCTCCTGTCCCCGGTGAGGATGCTCAGGGAACCCTGCATCCGAGCCAACCGTGGCATGGTCCAATAGCAAGAAGGGTGTGAAATTTTGGAGCTTCCTACTTCCGATGGAGCGCAAAACCTTCGCTCCTCCTCCTTCGATAGCTTCAGTGGCCTTGAATATCGTTTTGACCTTGCGGGGGACACTCATTTTGTTCAAGAATATCTGACTTGGCCTGAAGATGCAAGCGATGGGCGTCACGCCTGGTAATTATAATGCTAAGAGTAATTTACGAGATAATCCGGCCTAATCTTGCATAAAGTGACGTGAATTAATCAGCTCCTCCCATTGGAAAACCGTCTAACTATCGGCCCACCAATAGACACCTAGCCCCTGGAATTACCTGATGCTTAGAAATACACTAACCGTATTAGAATAAACTTAAATCTTTTACATAATTTCTTAGCTGTCCGGTGTAGGTCCGGGTTGTATAGACATGAGTTATTTCATGGGCGTTTAGTGATGGATGCCGCAAGCTCCGAGCCCCTTCAACATTATCATTAGAAAGCAATAGGTCATCACAGTAACTAGTTTACAGCTATCGTGCGTCGGAAGTTGTGACAGTTTCGGGAAGGGATTAGAAAAAATCAGCTGCGCTTATTCCACTTGACCAGCATACCAGAACATTGATGGGTGGTTAATAAAATACCCATAGCAATTAGTAATGGCCTTCCTGTCCTGAGTCATATCATCGGGTAACCCTAATACAGCCGACAAAGAAACGCCGCGAAGACTACGGAAGTTAAGAGGAATAATGAACCGCAATGCCCACAAGTCTCAGTCATAGAATACCTACTATCGTCTCGAATGTTTCCCAAGATCGTGACACCGTCTCTGGGTCTGTGCCACGTTGCTCTTTATTCAGACCACGGAAGTGCCCAGGGCGCCTTTTGTACCATTTCTCGAGGGGCCATTAGCATGTCGGAGATTTTGTAATTCGTTTCCCATGCTTCTTTCTCTAGCATTTTGTTGCTCTCTTGCTTCTTTCGGCTTTTAAGATCCAGATAGCTACCATCTGGCTTTCTATTTTTTACTCTTTTCATCTTTGCCATCCATATCTCGTTGGATTCTCCTCAGTCCAGAATTGCCATGTACGTCTCTTCTCAAACAGACTAGTATTAATTTTTAGCTGGTCCAAAAATATCGCTGATATCTACCCTTTCGTAAATATTATAGGTGCTCTTACATACGACTTCAGCTCTCATTCTGGCCATTGTTGACACCTCCCTTCTTGGCTACTTGACTTTGGAAACTCCAAAACACTGGCGAATCTCCTCTTGCGGGGTCGCTGGATCAACCCATGGGTTCTGTCACAGAATCAAGTGAGGCAGGCAGCTCGCAAGCGTCAACATCAATGCTAGCTGAATCCGATGTCGACTTGTCTGACCACAAGAAGCGCTCACGACCAAAGTCCATCTATCAGGTTGCTCGACCTGCTTCCAATGTCGGACTCAAATGCATGTGCTTGCGTCAGAAGCTGCTGCTGCAAATTCAACAGTTATCCCAGACGAACCGGCCGCTGCCGATCTTAGAAATCCTGCCGTCCAGAAAATATGTTCCTTGCCGGGCTCGAAAGTCTTCGGCCTTGTTTAGACGCAAAAAGAGCTTTGGACCTAATGATTTCGTCATCACCACGAGCGAATATTGCAGTCCTGCAGCAGCAGAATCGAGAGATGCTTGTCAATTTACAGACAGTGGGGACGAGTATCACCGAAGTGTTGTAGCTACGATATCAACGGCAACTATGCAATTGAGGGGTGATGCTTTGATATGTCTGGACTCCGGCCCGATTTGGGAGTCGAAAAATACGGCTGGCGGCTCTTATGAATTCGTGACTCATTCGGAGCATGGTGTGCAGGTTGTGCGATGGGCATTACGAAGTCAGAGGAAGCGCCCAGTATCGTCATTGGCCCCGTCGACTCCTCAGCAGCCATTCGAAGGAGGCAAGCGGTTCACTTTCAGCATTCTTGACCCTCGCACACGGCGACATCCTGTAATTGCGTCCATGACGGGGAATATTCTAGAGGTCTATCATGAATACACTGCCACAGATGGACCTACCTTCATGCCAAGGCCCTCATCCCCTACACCCACTCAAATAGACGACCACAGTGTGAATCGCCGGCTAAATGCAAAAGGCCTCGTCATCCTTGACGATAAATTGCATTCATTCATTGTCATCACAGCTATCTGGGTCGCTTTATGTGAAGATTTGTTTCCAGGTTCGGTGTCCTGACTTGGCGTGAAAGTGCCGATACCAGGAGAATTGGCTCACATTGAGGCACTCCTTCACGCAGCCTGTATAGTACCAAAGAATCATCCTAATATATTGTTATCCTGCGGGTCGGCAAGTGAGCATGTAAAGTTCTACGCCAAAAGTTTCCGTTCAACGGCTTACTCCTCCACAATATATATTTTCGAGATTCAACTTTCGTGTAGTACCACAGTATCAATTGACTGGTAAAAAATTATTAAAAATTATTGAAAGATATATTAAAACCTAGAGAACCCGAAATTTATAATTATATTAACTAATACTTTGTATACCAACCTCCAGTATCAATTATTGCCTAAATTCACCGCGGCATCGACTCAACCTAGCCCACGCGAGCCACGCATGTTTAATAGGGTTTAAATGAGGCGAGTATAGCAGGTACTCTGGCAATGAAATTACTTAATTCTTGAACAACCTCTTTACTAATCAAACTATATGAATAGGGGTATTATCTTGCATGAAAGTAAGACCTGGTTCCTAAATTCTAGGCAGATTCTCCTCCAGGATCTTGAGATATAATACTGCAGAGTAGCTGTTTTATCAGGATCCAGAATCACGCTGTAAAAAGATAATATCAGAATGACTACCTCCCTATATTAATCCTCAGACCATTATAGAGACAGCCTTTAACTTTATATACAGGTTAATAAACTCTTTTTTCTATTTCTCGCCTAGGTGGTTGCGCCTAAAGGACTAATATTGCTGCCCCCCTTTCCCAATTTCAACGCTGCGTTTATTACTAAGTATAATCATTTGCTAGCAAGCAATATCCTAAACTTGCGGTTTCAGACGTGAGACCTGCCTCGGAGCTGAAATTAATGATGGCGCCGCCTTTGCCGCCTTCCTTCATAAGCTGGTAGGCCGCCGCGTTGGTGAACAACGTGCTCCAGATATTGGCTTTGGTGACCTGCTCGAGGAAGTCCTCAGACGGGTCATTCGAAGGCGCATGTTGCTGGATTCCTGCGACGTGGACAAGGACGTCGAGGCCACCTATTTCCTCCGCTGCAGCAGTAAAGGCGGAGGTGACTGCACTCTTAGAAGTGACATTTAGCGATTTATAGGAGACGGAGCCTGGACCAGTTGCAGTTGATTCAATGGCGATTTCGGCGCCGAGAGAATATTTGATGTCCATCGAGGTTATAGTAGCAGCTTCGGCTGCGTAGGCGCGGACTACGCTCTCACCTATCCCTTGAGCACCACCAGTAACAATAATGCGTTTCCAGTCCAGTTGCCCCCGAACAGATTCGGGGAGAAGAACCGGCACTGAGGGCTGCCAACGTGTCTCACGATTTCGTGCTTCCCGAGGACTATTCTAGCGTCCCTGTACTTGCTGTAGAAGGGGCTCATGGAGTATCTCGCTCGTGAAAGGCTTGTCACGATGGCCAGGGGAAAAATGTTCGTTTAATTGCAGAAAATTCGTGTATAGTATGAAGCAAGAGAGAAGTCAGCAAAACAAAATGGGGGAAGGGTGTCTTTTATCGAAGCAACGCAAAAGTAGGTATTAGAGCATACATGGCTCAGCTAAAGTGATTTTCATATGCATAATACTATTATTACAGAACCTGCGAGCCGAGGGTGGATACACGCACACAATTCATTAATGCCGGGCCGCAAAGCCGAGAGGGTAACTATCACTAATCTATCAATACATTTTCTATAATATGCCTTGTATCCTTGGAGCCCATACATGTTGGATCAACTACAGTTTACGAGGTGGGGTTGATCGTACGACCCGGAGTCGGCATCACCTCCTTGCACGAAGCCGAGCCAGCTCCTATTGCCGGAGATCATGGAATCATTTGCCGGCTTACTTTGATCGCCTTATGGTGACGACTGCTATTAAAATGCTCTTTGGTATTTGAATATTTTGTTGCACCATTCTGCCAGGTCGATGTTTCGATATCAATGGCCCCAATACTCACTCTTACTATGTCGACCTTCAGATCCATATACCTCAAGGCCATTGCCAGTATCATGCGGCTTGCCCAGCCTTGCCCAGTCACTTCGCTGTCATATAACGATGTTATCCAGATACCAGCTCGCGACTCGAGTCGCACAATCAAAGCCCATGTCTACCGGCCTAGCAGCTCCGAGAGGCGGTCTGTTTCACCCGTTCTAATCAACTTCCACGGCAGTGGCTTCATTCTACGCTGGCACGGCAGTGATGACTATTTCTGCCGCCTGGTTGCCGACGAAGCCAACTACACAGTCCTCGATATCCAATATCGCCTAGGCCCAGAATGCCCGTTTCCTGCTGCGCCTAATGATGCAGAGGATGTCGTGAAATACATCCTATCCCGGCCTAGCGAATTCGATCCCACTCACCTTTCCCTCTCTGGATTCAGTGCGGGTGGAAATCTCGCGCTCGGGGTTGCAATTGCTGGTACCTTCCCAAAGGGTGTCTTCCGCTCTCTTCTCCTGTTCTATCCACCAACAAATTTCACAATCGACCCTAGTCTAAAGATGGCACCAGATCCATCGGGAGCTCCGATACCAGCAAATGTGGCACGATTCTTCAACCAATGTTACATTGGCGCTCAGGATCCTAGATGTCCACTGCTGTCACCTGCTTTGGCGGATGTGGATCGACTGCCTGAGAATGTCCTTATCATCACCTGTGCATGCGATTCATTGGCCCCCGAAACAGAGAGCTTTGCACAGAGGGCAAGCGAGGAGAGAGGGCGGGGCAGCTTCCATCTAGTATCAAAACGGATTGACGGGGTCAACCACGCTTGGGATAAATTTACTGGGAAAGGCAGCGAAGGGGAGAAGAAAAGGGATGAAGCTTATGCCATGGCTATTAAACTGCTGGAGAGATAGCTTGACCTGGGCGAACTAGCGTGTAAGCGCCTGCCATAACCAGTAATTAAACACTCAGACTCGGTCTCCAGAATCATCGGCTCTATAGCTTAGCCCCTATTTTGGAACGTAAGTTCTTCATGGCCTCGGCGTATGGTAGGTGGTGTTATCTTCCGAGACGTCTTGATGGTGGCTTGGTGGCTTGGTGGCTTGCTCCCGCAATGGCCGATCACACCAATATGTCTGTGACTACGTACTACTTCCAGTGTGTGGGGTTGCAATGCAATGAGCTCTCTCGGTTGATGAGTAAACAAATAATACTGATGAGATATCAACTCCAACGGCTAATTAGGTATCCATTGTTGGTAAAATACGCGTTACGTTATTAGGGCAAACCGTCGGCTTGATGAGTAAACATCTCCGACTGGTGAATCGAGATATAATTGATTTCTATCATTGGAAATCTAATACAGGAATGAATGAGGACCACAATAGCCTAGTCATACGTATGGAGTTCCGTGGCTAGGTGGTCTCTCTAGAGATCGATCAGATACGATATTCATCTTGTGTATGAGTTTTTATGGTACAATCTCTCATGAGAATGAGCAATCCAACTTGAAACTTCAACGTGCATTAATATATTTGTGGGGTCGGGGCGATAAACGGAAACCTTCATCCAAGAACCATTCTGGTTATAAATCAAGACTTCCTTTCTCTCACGGGGTTATTTATAATCATCGTGTGTTGTGGGCATTAGACAGATATGGAGCATATAAATCGAATGCGAGATGGCCCTTCACCTCGCATCTTCCTCTTCAACGAAAGCCTTCAAGAGTTTGTATCATTTCGACTTTATTTCATCACCTCATTAGGCTGGCTATCATCTACAGCACAATGGCCACGTTCAAGAATGTTCTGCTTATTGGTGTATGCCTGCATACAAATTTAGCATTCGCCCTACCCACAGCCTTTGAACTAACACGTCCTGTAGGCAGGCGGAAACCTAGGTGTTCCGGTCCTTGAAGCATTCCTAGCATCTCCGTACCGTGTCAGCGTTCTGGCGCGCAAAGAGTCGACATCAACATTTCCCGACGGCGTGCCTGTCTTCAAAGCAGACTATACCGATGTATCATCTGTTAAGCGGGCAATGGACGGCCAGGATGCAGTCATAAGTATGGTCGGCGGTATCGCAGCAGGGGACCAGCAGGTCTTCATTGATGCCGCCCTCGCTGCAGGAGTAAAAAGATTCTTCCCTAGCGAGTTCGGCCCCTACTCACGGAATCCCGAGTTTGCCGCCCTGAACCCGCATGTTTTGCCGCACAAGAGCGCGACTGTTGACTACCTTATATCTAAAGAGTCTCAGATGTCCTGGACGAGTGTAGTTACTGGCGCATTCTTTGACTGGGCCATGCGAGTTGGGTTCTTTGGCATCGACCTCGCCTCAAAAACCGCAACTCTCATTGACGGCGGTACTTCGGTTTTTACTACGACGAATCTGCCAACGATTGGCAGAGCCCTAGTTGCGATACTCGATCACCCGGAGGAGACAAAGAACCAGTATGTCTTCCTATCGTCTTTTAATGTTAGCCAGAAAGACATTCTTGACGTGGTCGAGAAGGTCGATGGGCAGAGATGGACCGTGAAGCATGTCACATCCGAGGAGGTCATCAATAGGGGCAAGAGAAGGCTTGCCGCGGGTGATTTTGCCGGAATCGTGGATTTGACCACCGGGGGAGCGTTTGGCAAGCAAGCCCTGGGCGATGAGAGTCGGCATGGTTTCTGGAACGAACGGTTGGGCCTTGCGAAGGATGATATAGAGCAGATTGTCAAAGAACTGCTATGAGAGGCAATGGCCGTACTCGCCACATTTGCAGGAGTTATTATATGTATTTTAGCCTAAATATTTCGCCTCCCTATCCACCTATCAAGACTCATTGTGACCGTATTATTACTCCCTTGAGGTTCTATCTGCTTGCAATTTATTACAATGAGAATGATCCCTCGGGGAACAGAGGATGTTCCAGGCAATGATGGCCGAACATTCCCAGCACTTCTCAAGTTAATTTACCTGTCTAGGGAGGCATGAGGCGCGATTTCTGCCTTGCTATCGTGACCCTTTGTACCCTATCGCTTATAATGCCATTGTTAATCTGTGCCCACTGCCCAGCTATTATTTAGAGCTCCTATGTTTGCGTGGTAGTCTACGCAAATTGTTTTCGCTACGTGATCCCGATGTGTGTACACAGTACAAATGAAACTTCGGGCTTTGTATGCGTAGTATTTTGATCTATATACAGTATTTGTATGCACCAGCAATGATCAAGAAATCCTAAGGCTGGATTTGGGACTTGAAATACTCAAGTCCCTTATAGAAGCCAAGCACCTCCTCACCGACACCCAAGTCCTTCAAACTTAGAGTATCTTCTGGATGATAAGTATACCAGTCTGGATATTCCTCACTAAACCGGAACTGACGGGCAATCTCCGGACCGAATGAGGGCCCAACCAGCTTTTCAAACTCTGAATCGGAAATCTCTGCATACACAGCCGTCTCACCAGTATATTTGCTCCATCCTTCTGCTATTGCAGTCCACGAAATGAGGTCTGTCAATTTCGGCACGTATTTCCCATGGGTTTTCTCGGGTTGAGCTAGAATGCTCTGAACGGTGATTCCTGTGTTCACCTCCACAACACCAGCAACGGGCACAATAGCATCAGGCTTTGAGGGTTGGGCGATAATGTATTTGCCTAAATAAGGCTGTGGTTTCATGAGAGGTTGCCCCGCCAGATTATCCACGTACCAACCCATCCAGACGTATGTTGTCTTAGCCGCTAGCTGCGGAAGCTCTCTTTTCACGTACTCTCCGCCTCGGGCTTTCGCATCCCAATGCGGACAAGGTAGAATGCCACCAGAGAGCGTCTCGCAGTTCGGCATAACACTCAGGACCAGATGTCTTAATGTGGGTAATTTAGCAGCAACCTGAACGACATTGATAAACTGCTGTAATTCCCCTTTTGTCGCCGCATCGATGCCCTCGGTTGTAGCAATATCCCAGAAAAAGGTTACACAGAAGATTGCCGTAGCACCCTCGAATGCCTCTGGCAGTGTTCTTGCGTCATTCAGATCTGCTGTCACCATCTCGACACCGAGAGTTTTGAGCTCCCTGGCCTTGGTGCTTTGCGCATTGCGTGTAAGACCACGAACTTTCCATGCAGGATTTTTGGCAAGCTGGCGCGCGACGGAGCCACCCTGGGTGCCAGTGGCACCAGTAATAACGACGAGAGACATGAGATGAAGGATGAAGTATTCTTAGTTAAATATGAAAGGTAAGACAGTTGATCATAAAAACTGTCCCCGCTTTTGTTTCTGTTTCGAAGGGTAATGTAGGCTTTTTATATACAGTGTGGATCTACTCCTGAGGACTAGAAGAGACCTCGCTGGGATTGCCAGGTACTTTGCAGCAATTAGTTACATGTGAGCATGACGCAAATAATATACATCAGTTCGTAAAAAGTCTATCCGACCCGGGATTTTATGCATCGTGCGGTATAATGAGGCCAACATATCCAAGTATGATTGGTCGGTAGGCCTTCCGCAAGCGGGGAGTTCCGTCTTCTAAATTAGACTTCTGAATTGGACCGCCTGCTAGAAATAGGCCGCCCCTTGGAAATAGACCGCAGACTAACAGCGCATAAGCCATATGTTCAATCGGGAATTTTCATAACATTCACTTGCAGTTGAAGCTGGTCACGTTAAATCAAAGAAGGCTGCTGCAAGGGCCCTTAATGCACCTCGTCAGCTGTCTACATGTTACATGTCATTATGCTTTCCCATATTAGTTTCGAGGAGTGATCTCTACATAATTACCTGATGGTCCTCACCGAGCATTACGTGCTTAGTAGCTTGATATTGCTTTCTAAGAATGAGTAAGTCGGCATTACGTGCTCCTTTCCGGGGCCCTGCCTTCGCCAGTAGGTACCGAATACTCAGCCTTCTTCTTGATATCAAAATAGAACTAAGCCCTCGTCTGTGGCTCCTGGCAAAACTAAATAACTGGCAAAGATTTTTAAAGCCTAACTAGCCAACTGTAAGGAAATAAGCGTGTATGTGATTTGGCGAGCAAAGGAGCCAGAACTCTGCTTGTACACAAAGTAATTTTTCACTCTTGCTACAGATGTTTACAGTTTTAATTAACTACTTCCACGTCCAGAGACTTCCCTTTCAAACTGGAACCGAGTTCAGACCACATGGGCATCACCCGAGATGTGAAAGGTTTGGCCAGTCAACCACTGTGATTCGGGAAGAGATAGCAGTCCCACTACTCCAACAATATCACAGTCAAAGATCACAGGTCATCATTCCGTTGATTCGACGGTCGAGGAAGTTCCCTTCTATATGGCCAGATCAGACAATACCTTAATAATGTTTATCATGAGAAGTGGAGCTGATCGGGTGACAAACCAGGTTGTGGCGTTCTTGCTGCCAAGACAAACAGTCTATACAGTTCTGTCAATATTTGGCTATGAGGAAGAATGAATATGAATACATTATTAGGGGGGAAGGGGTATATACGATGACAGGATAGATTAAGTACAGATATCTGTCTACTGTGCGGCGAGTGGCAATCTCCTCACCCTTTACGTAACATGACTAATAAGCCCTAGATACTGATTTTCGAGGGAGCAGCGATCACATCAGTCCCTGTGCCGCCATTCAGGGTTCGAGACTGGCTTCCACAGGGGCGAAGTCAACAGTGAAGTACCTGAAGTATAAAAGGCTGGAGAACTTTACATCTGTCAATCCCGCTACCTATTTTTCTGCGCCACTCTCCCTTCCACTTCTTCTCAGGCACTTTCATAATGTTGAAAACGGTCCTTGTCACTGGGGCCACCGGGAAGCAAGGGGGCTCAGTTATCAAGGCCCTTGCTGCCGCTCCTAATCCGAAGCTGAACATCTTGGCCCTGACACGCGACGCCCATTCTTCTCGGTCACACAGCCTTGCACAACAATACCCATCCGTCAAACTCGTGGCTGGCGACCTCAGTGATCCAGACGCCATCTTCAAAGCTATAGGCTCTCCAGTTTGGGGTGTTTTCAGTGTTCAAACCCCTTACGGCAAGGGCAGTAGTTTGGAATCAGAGCTAGCGCAAGGAAAGGCTCTTGTCAGTTCGGCCTTAAGAAACAATGTCAAGTTTTTTGTCTACTCTTCCGTTGATCGGGGTGGTGCCCGGAGCGACAGCGGTCCCTCTCCGGTTCCTCATTTCGAGACGAAGCGGCAGGTGGAGATCCATCTACGAGAACAGGCCGCTACCACGGATATGCAATATACTATCCTTCGCCCAACATTCTTCATGGAGAATCTTACAAACGATACGCAAGGAAAGCTCATAGCGGCTGCTTGGAGGGCGAATGTTGATCCGAAAGGACTTCAGCTAGTTGCGACTTCCGACATAGGGTACTTTGCAGCTCAGGCTTTCATAAACCCCGATGAATATGCGGGACGCGCTGTCAGCATTGCGGGAGATGAGTTGACATATGCGCAAGCGTCCGCGATTTGGCAGGAACAAACTGGATCCCAAATGCCGACTGGATGGGGGTTGCTCGCCTGGGCGCTTTTAGCAGGTATCAAAGACCTCAGATACATGTTTAAATGGTTTCGCGAGGAGGGCTATGGTGCAAACATTGCGGAGTTACGACGCCTACATCCTGAACTTCAGGATTTGTCGATCTGGTTGAAATCAAACCGAAAGTAGTGGCAAGCCCATTACTTGCTAGGATCTGTCCCTTCGTTACAGTGGATATCCACAGTCAGACTCTGAGGTTCATTGTTGGCAGGGATAATCTTTTCAAGCGGACTTGGTTCTTTTGTGCTGCTGTATTATGCCTCGTTCAGTCAGAGCTTAGGGTCCGTCGGCATGTAATTTTTTGAGAAGAGGACCGAAAGACCTGCAGGCCTGGCAAGGAGAGTTTTAATTATAATTTAATATATAAGTTAGTCATTTTAGAATTTTTCATTAATAGAGAAGCTTACTACCTTTCTACATCTGTATCTTCAGTCCTCTTAAAACCATACATTCCACCACCGTCACAACCTCCAGTAGTGGTTTGGCCACAATCTAACCCTATAATGGAATGCAATCCGTGGATTGGTAGGCCCAGACCCTGTTTGACTTCCGAGCACGGCCCAGCATGTATTTTGCCACGGGAAATCCGATCTGCGGTCGCCTCCGTCTCCCCCGGATCTTCTTCTCTCCCAACAATCGACCACACCTACCACTCCCGATAACACCACGGGGGAGTGCTGCCTCGCTATTGCTTCTCGTGTGTTATAATTCACGCAGCATAATGACTTCTACGCAGTTTAATCTTGATCATGATCCTTGGCTTATTCAGATGTTGGACTCAGCAGATTTGCCACAGATGCCGCCCAATGTTTCGTTGAACTGGGTATGTGCCCTCCTAAAAGGCTCTTCTGCCCTGTTGCCCGGTTGACTAATGCTTCTTTCTTATCTAGACCGGCACTGAATTAACCCCCCAACCAGCAGACACGTGGTCGTGGCAGCTCCAACACAATGTTGATGGCAGAAGTAACTTAAACGGCAGCTCGTCTGGGCCGGTCTCAACATCCCGGGCCGCAGATCGAGCCCCTGATTCAGATCAACTTCAAAGGAATCTGTTTGATGAGGATGGCGATGAATACAGTGTCCGACGAAGGGAGAAAAACCGCATGGCGTAAGTTCATCAAGGACCGAACGGCTTCCACCGCGTGTCTCTTCGGCGCTAATGCCAAGAAAATTATCAGACAAAAGGCCTTCCGACAACGGAAAGAGCAGTATGTTAAAACATTAGAACGGAAATTTAACGAATTGGAATCAAAATCGAATTCCCTAGAAGAAGAAAACCGTCGTCTCAAGGCCGAGTTGGCATCACTGCTTCCGGTTCAGCATCAACCTGGTCGTGATGTGTTGCGCGATAGCTTGCTTGACGAGCCAAATCAGGACAGTCCCCTGAGCGAGGGGACTTTGAATTCTGACGGCCGCAATTATATACGAATCAGCGAGGGCGCGCGTGCAAAACTGGTAGATTCCGACAATACCTGCCAGATGATCAGTACCGTGTGGGAGTTGATTCAGTCTAATGATCTTTTTGAGCAGCGTGAGGTTGATTTTGTACGTGTGTACGAACAGCTGCGGGAGATAGCTGGCGCTCAGAAGCAACATTTTAACCTGGAGGATGGAATTCAGAAAATATTTGAAAATGCGTTTCCCAAGGAGGACAGTTTGTTATAGAATCGCGCTGGTAAATAATCCCCACTGAGCGTCACCCTCCCTGTCGGAGACTTTGCTTCGGCGGCGAGGGCTCTACTACCCACTATCATACTGCGAGACGTTTACTATTTGAATTTACGCCAACATAATACTCAATTGCATTTGCTTCCAATTCTTGCTCCGTTATATGTCCTCTGGTGAATATAAATGGTTTAGAGCAAGTCAGAGAGACCAACCAGTCGTAGTCCAAACGGGTATGTAGGATAATACCATAGTTGCGATGATACTGTATTTTGAGACATGGTACATATTTGTTCGAGCTCTGTGGCTGCAGTTGCACTGGACAACAACTCTTCGACCTTTATAAAGATTTGATCCTCGGCTTGGAAGTCATAGTAGCCTCGGCTGGCCAACAATTCAACGTTCTCGCGTATCTCTTGAGTCATGGCCAGTACCCATCGGGAAAGTAACAGATTCAAACACCGTGAAGTCCCAGAATTTTCCGGGACTTATATACAAACGCATGGTTTGTGTATGTCGGACTTTTTTCCCACTCGAATGGTTAGAGGCGTTCTACGGCGGTCTGCGTATCTTGAATATTTTTAGGAAGGCTTCGCATTTTCCGATCTAGAAACGTCGTAAAATAAAATTCAGTCAGCCTCCGGCACGTACGAGGAGATGGACTTTAGAATAACTTACAAAGTCTTCATAGAAGCAAGTGGCTCCAGTGGGAGCGGTGGACAGAGAACACCGCATTGCGAGTAATACTGGCGGGTGAAATGGATGAGGTAAAAGATTATGATTTGTATCACGGTGGTGGTAAGGGGAAAGAAGAGGAACAGAAGTCTTTGAATGCGCTTCGTTGTTGTACTATACATTAGAGTCATCCACCAATCAACCAGTACACGAATGATTACTAAAGTTGAAGCCGCATTCATTGGCAACATGGGGGAATATGCACGTAGCAGGAAGATACAGAAACGGAAGTTGTACGCTCGCTCTTGCTTACAGTAAGACACCGAGGCTGAACACATCCCGCAGAGCGACTGCAATTAAAACTAAATCTCACCCCAGGCAATGAGAGGTGGATGGGCTTCAGGAAAGATCACGACTGGTGATTTATAAGTTTACGTGATATTAGTCAACAGCAAGGTTTGATTTAACATACGAACTAAAATTTGGACTGGCCAATAACAGGAGCTTGCGAAGCTTGCGGGGCGCGTGGCGGATGAAACTCTGGCTGGCCCCAGTGATTTCAAGCGGAGCTACTGAGGTATCTACTAGTGCCTAATTGGGCAGGTTGATGACTATGGTGGGAAGTCGTAACGAGTTAAAGGCTTAATTCTCCTAGCTACTATCTATATAGGGGTTTTATATCTTCAAACAGGTAATTCTGCTTTACACCGAGTTAATTGGCTAAGGTTATCATAACTGTGGTATTCTTCGAGACGTCGGTCGTAACCTTCAGGAATGATCTCTACCCCGATTGTTTCCACATACCACAGGAAGAGTGATGGAGCTAGGATGGGTGTGACCTGCGAAAACACGGTTGACAACACCTTTATGGTACGATTCATCATATGCTCGTTCAAACCCGGGAATTCTTCCTCTTCCCTCAGCTGCAGAAATCTCGACGCGCAGTCGATATCCTGCAGGTATGCGTGCAGTGGCCGGCATTAGTTCGACCTCGACTGCTACCGTCTCATTTGGCGTAAGAGGTAAAGCATCATCCTGTCGATGGGTGTGCCACGGGCGCTCCGTTGTGCTCAGTCCGGGGTCAACGGCTCGGTGAGAAGCTTTGAGAACCCCCCATGTCAGGGGGGCAACGGAACCAGGCTCACGCGTGCGATACTGGACCTCACGACTACCGTCAAAGACACGTATGGCCACGAATATGTCAGCATTTGTAGATGATGATGACACCCATAGAGACGCGCGGAAATGGCCTGCCAGCTCAAGAGGTTGTTCAAGAGGCTCTGAGGTGAATACAGCTAGGTCCACGTCCTCCACGGGGCCGCTAGAATCTGCAGAGTATTCAATAACGCCGTCTTTCGTAGGTGGGATATCAAGAAGGTGCCCGTCACGATTGCTACCACCGGCACCAAGGAAGTAGCTCCGATAGTCAGTTCCTCTAAGGGGCCAACTATCAGATACACGCCACTCAAATCCACCATCACCTGTTCGCATGACTAGGCGCACTGCAGGAGGCCTTCTCTCCGGCTTTTGACCCTTAAGGTGCTCATCAAAAAATTCCTCCAGGTCGAGTTTGCTATCTTCATACATGTAGGAAGTATACGAGGCGTCCCACACTAATAGTCTCTTCGACACCGAGGGGGCATGCATGAAGGCTTCGAAGCCGGCACGAGAGTGGATCCAAGAGGTCTGACTGACAGATGTGATGAAGGGTACTTTGATGCTCGGATAATCCGCCGACAACAAGGCTTCTCCATGATAGTGTCCATCGTCCCAAGGGTGGCTGGGCAAGCCCGCAACGAAGTCTGCAACATCTGAGTGAGGGTTTTTAGCAGGCCATACTGTGTTCTCAAACCACCATTTCCGGTAGTTCTCGAGAAGGATGCCACCCTGATATGCCAAGTCCCGGTAAGCATCTGCATCAGACGCGAGTGGTGCAATAGCCTTCAAGGCTGGGGGTTGCAGGGCAGCGACATTCCATTGAATCGTTGCGTTATACGATGCACCGTACAGTCCAACCCTACCGTTACTCCATGGTTGTTGAGCAGCCCACTGTATGGAATCGTAATAATCCTCTGCTTCCTGCTTCGAGAACGGCTCGAGCTTCCCGGGCGATTGACCGACTCCTCTTGCGTCCACTCGGACGACAACGTATCCACGGGGCACCCAGTCGCTGCTGTTGGCGCTCACGCAAGTTTCCGAGTATCGAAAATAAGCGTTGATTTGGGATCGGCTCTTTTCATACCAGTCTGCTTCACGTTCCTCACTGAGCTTGTGGTCGTTTTCGCTGTGGGTGGAGCCAATCGTGAATGCACGACCATAAATACTCAGCCTCAGCAGCACTGGGTAAGTACCCTTGGCGACGGGGTGGAAAACATCGGCCAACAGATAGGAACCATCGCGGAGTGGTACTCGAACATCTCGCTTTGCTCTGATGCCCAGTAGGCCCCGTCGAGTGTGATTTCGAGCTTCTGCCGCTCCCCGAAAACGGCAGCCTAGTTGTTCGAAGACCGCTTTGACAGAAGATGATTGTTCAAAGGTTTCGACACTAGAAGTGAAGCTTATCTCGTTTGCTCTGTGGCTAACGGCCTGTTTTACCCTCTCGTCGATGACGACGCCAGTATAGAGATCGGCTTCTTGCCCCAAGCTCAGAACAAATCGTGCCCGGTTTATGGTGTCGGGACGGAGAAGGTCCACAGCTGTGTCGCTGCCGCTGTCGTGGAGAGAAGCTAGGGTCAGAGACGGGCCTCCCTTCGCAACGCCAACGGCTAGAAGGCCAATGGAAAAGAACACGTCCTCTCCCTCCATGTAGAGAAAAGACCCGTCGCTGCTGGTCACACCTCTCTGAGAAGGTGTTTGGTAGTTTAGACCAATGAAGGGGCCGTCATTGAAGCGGCCGGTTAAGACTGTGATGCCCATGGCTGTGCTGAGGAATTTGGTGAACTTAGGAAGACGTTGCTGTAGATGGCCGGCTGATTCGGTAAAGAAAGAAGTAAAGATAAATACTCCATATGCGGACGGTTAACGCGTATACTGCATCTACCATCCCGCGTGATATCTTGTGCGGCCATACTCGTCCGTCTAGCAGCCGAGACAGGCCGCCGTCGAGCCGCGATCAGTCCGCATTTGGTCCGCCATTAGACCGCCTTCTATCAGAGCATAGGGCCTGCTGGAACAGTGCTGAGGCGATATGGAAATGTGGGTTTATAAAGGTCATATCAATCGGGAAGAGGGTAAGGTTCCTTCGCATTCGACACAAATACGATTCATATCGCCTTATACCATTGTGAAACATCTTGAAGATGGCTCCTCTCCACAAGACTACCCCATACGTTCTCAAAGATCCGTACCAGTATCAGACTGGCTTAGGAAACTTTCTACAGTGAGTGGCTAGCTTCCAATTGCACGGATGGGCAATTTCATTCTGACCAGCATGCCCTTCAGGTCCGAAGCATATCCCGGTGCTATACCGTTGGTCAACAACCACCCCCAATTCCCTCCTTTTGGAACGCGCTCCGAAAAGATCTCTGGGACATCGTTCGTGGGTCCCCGTCACAGGAACCTGCACACATACGTATACCGTCCGCGACCAGCTTTCTTCCATGAGGAATATCATCCGTACAAGCACCATCTCGAAACTGCAAACCCATCTCCTCCAAAGCATCTAACGCCGAATTCATACAACTGGCCGAAATTCCAATCCGGCCCTGATCAAGACCTTGACTGGACGGAACAACGCCTATTTGGCGGCAATGGAGACCCGACCAAGAAGACTGGCATTTCTATATGGATCTTCAACATCAACAAGGACATGGAGCCCAACGTTGCGTTCATGAGTCTTGACGGCGAGGCTCTCATCGCTCCATCTGTGGGTGCATTAGACATCCACACCGAGCTTGGGAAGCTCCTCGTCCGGCAGAACGAAATTGCTGTCATTCCGCGCGGTGTCAAATACCGCGTTACACTGCCCGAAGGGAAGCCCGCCAGGGGTGTAACTCTCGAGCTCTATCAAGGCCACTTCCAGCTGCCGGAGCTGGGTATCATTGGGTCCACTGGTTTGGCGCACCAACGAGACTTCCAAATCCCTGTGGCTTACTTCGATGGGGAGTTTGTACAAGACCAAAGCTCGCGCGACGGTGTTGTAGCGACGGCTAACAACGGACCTGGCTGGACGGTTATTGCTCGTCTCAACTACAAGCTCTGGTCGGCCAGACAGGAAAGTACCCCGTTCGATGTCACTGGTTGGCAGGGGAATCTTTACCCATACAAGTACGACGTTGCGCGATTTAGCTACCTTGGGAATCTGTCCTGGGACCATCATGACCCTTCCCTCTTTGTTATCCTAACGGCACCGGCATATGGAAAAGCCCCTGGCACGGCTGTCGTGGATTTCGCCGCCGTGGGCCCTCGCTGGGAGGCATCAGAGGATACTCCATGGGTGCCGTGGTACCACCGCAACACGATGCAGGAGTTTGTCTTTCCCATTATTAACGACACGAGCCCCGAGTTCCCGTTCAATAATGGTCGTGACTGGGCCCCGTTCGGTGCATGGCTCAATGGCGCTATGGTTCCCCATGGAGAGAACGACGAGGAATTCAAATACTGGCAGGAAAGGGACACGTCTCAACCTGGCAAGCTCCAGGAGGACGGCATCACGGCCGGTATAATTGAAACTGAAAATCCCCTGTGGCTGACAGACTGGGCCTACGGTCAGGCCGCGAGGAATTTCAAAGACCAGGTCTCGGCTGTTTTTTCCGAAACCTGAATTGAACAGTAATCGATCTTTAACTTGTTTGTTTGCCAGCCGTTATTTTCGTCAGAGCTATTCGATAGTTTGACCCAATTTTGATAGTATTTGATCTTCGCAAATGAATACTCCTGAATGCACCCCGAAGTGAATTTTTTACCAACTCCGTATTATAGCTTATTCCTTATGAAACCGTAGAATTATTTCTTTTATATAAAAATAGTAGATTCTATATATCTTTCTATAATACATATCTAATTCTTAAATAATACTATCAAGTGGTTGTTATTTCATTATACTATAAATATTCAAGCCTGATTTTCAAGAAAACTCCCAAACACGAATATATAGTTTTGCTTTTTAGCCTGTTTTGTTTAATATGATATTAAATCACGGTGAAACAGGCCTATCTTTAGATATTTTAATTTAAAAAGTTTATAAATATAAATATTAGTATTTCTTTTACAATATATTACTTTCATTAAGTATAAAATCAGTGGTCAGGCCCAAAACTGATATAAGTCCGGAGTTGGCAGGAATCATGAAGAAACGCGAACGTCCGCCCCAATTTTTGCACACGACAAATAGTCCAATTTAGATCAAGCACGAGCTACTATCTGTCGTTCCCAGCTCTTAACATCTGCCAGTAAAGTCACCGAAATGTACCCAAATTACCAGATCCAAGTGTAAGAAATACGACGGTGATTACTGTTAATCTACTCTGCGATAACATAGCACTATTGCGATGTAGTCCTATTCTTGAGTACTGGACTAGGGAGCACTGTTTTCCCTTTGCTTCCTCCCTCTCTTCAGTCTCTCGTAGCCCTCCGATCCGCCTACATCCTGATCAAAGTCTGGCCGCGGTAGATCAAAAACCTGTGTCAACCGGCCATATGAGAGGCCACCTAGCCTGCTGACTGGCCGCAAGACCTGTGGCTTCGTTAGCCACTAACGGTAAAAAAGAAAAAAAAAAGCCCAGGGATCTCGTATATAAGAGAGAGCAGGGGTGGACTGACCGAAATATCCAAAGCCTTCCCATCAGGAGTGAGGGCATCATCGCGAGCCCAGAAGTGCGAGACTTCTACAAGCTGCAAAGAACCAGATTTCGTTCCGGGGTTTAATCTGCTGGTAAAGTTGCGCACGCTTTCCAGCTTCGCCTCGATGCTGAAGATGGATTCCTTCACACGCGGGGGTAACACAGTTTTGGTATCGTATACAGGCGTCAAGCCACTGATGTCCCATTCGGAGGCACCGTAGGGGGCATTGACGCTGGCAGCATTTACTGCTTCGATAAACCCCTCGCTCACGATATTAATGACGCATTCCCCAGTATCAAGGAGGTTCCGCAAAGTATCCTTTGCCGCACCGATCGGGCTGGTGACAGCGAGGGCAATCACCGGGGGGTCAACGTTGACAAATTGGAAAAAGCTAAACGGTGCCAGATTTTGCTCTTTTCCGTCGCGAGAACATGTCGACACAAAGGCGATGGGACGCGGTACAATCCCGCTGACGAGCAATCTGTAGTTATCGATCAATGTCCGATCAGCGGCGTACGGATCAATCGAGGTGTGCCCAGCGGAGCTGTCCCAGGCTCGGTTGGACCCTGAGCCATACGCCCAGTCTGGGTCTGGGGGCTGGGTGAACTGGATGGTGGTAGACTGGTCAAACACTGGTCGAGAAGCCTCAATCTGCTTGAAATCAGCACGTCGGTTTGCGGCCTTGAGTGCCGCTTCGGCTGCTTTGGGGTCATTGGTGTTTGCCATGATAGAACTGAAGAGCAATGCCTTAGCAGAATTTGTAGGCAAATTAACTGAATTGGTTTAATACAAGGAGTCTCCTACTTCTCTTGATAAGAGCCAGTGACGAAGGTGTCGGACGATCTTGGACACTCTTGCAATTAGGCCGCGCTCTACAGAGAGTCCGACCGACTATGGATTGTCCGCCAGTATTCCCACCGCTATGTGTCTATTATAGCGCTTACATTAGTTCCCTGGCGTATTTGTATAGCCGTTCTGCAATGATAACTGCTTGGGTATTGTCCTACATACGAATTTTGATTGATTCTCCCTTCATCGTTCGAAACCATGCCCCCGAAAGCTGTTGTCGCTCGCTTCGTCACCAAGGATGATGAGGCACGAGAGGAAGTATGTTAGACATACTGAACGGTTAATTGAATATTAACTGACAAGCCATAGCTCCTCGGGCTTCTCAAAGTGGTAGCTGATAACGCGGCGAAAAAGGAGCCAGGGCTGCGGAGATATGCCATTACGAGAGAATCTCAAACTGGCCTGTCTCAGGCTTACAATGAGCGAGCCGTGTGGGTAATCGAAGAGTATGTATCGCATCAATGAAGAGCCCCATGACATGCTGGGATCAGCTGGGACTGACGGCAAAAGATATGCGGACGATTCCGCCTACGATAATCATCTGCGGCAAGCTCCTATACAAGAGTTAAGAGCATGGCTGCCCGGGGCGCTGGGTGAACCTCCTCAAATCTGGGAATTAGATGTCCAAGAGGATTCTACCTTCACTAGGCTGGAGGTGGTCGGTTATGAGAATCCAGTAATTGTCTTCACAGAGCTAGGTTACAAGCAAGGCGCCCTCCAGTCGACGCTACCATATTGGAAGGAGGTTGCAGATGTCGGCAAAGCCGAGTCCGGCACACTTGTTTGGGGTGTGAGCCTTGATCATGAGGACCCTGACAAATTGGCCGTGATCCATGTCTATGAGAGCACCCAATATCTCCTGCATGTGCACGCGGCGAGCAAGGAAATGCAGGCGGTACAGGAGTTCACAGCAAATATTCGGACTCATATAGCTCCGCACTTTGTCGAGTTTGTAGGGGGATATATATGGAAATAGCCTAGCCTCTGCTGCTGTAGTTGGAATTGATTACAACAAGTGATTACGGACATCCGTATACATGCCTAATAATGATCCGCAGGCCCTATGTCAACCGAGTTATATATATCGAGATGCCCTCGCCGTTGAGTAAAAGGGTCGGTTGAAGAATTCCACATCACCTGTGGGCTATTAGCTAATATTTTAGGTTAAGCCGTTTAGTATCAAGTGCTATACTATTTGCATAAACCGTGTTGATGGGTCCACCTGGCGGCCTATCTTGCACGCCAAGCCTGAATTGGACCGCCAGCAGCAATAGCTTTCAAAGTTTCGCTATTTGACTGATTATAGATAATTAATAATGTCAGATTCCCTATTATTAATTAACGAAAGAACTACTGGAGAGAACGCCTTATTATCTGCCGTTCTTCCTCACGTGGAGAGGCCTGCTTTCTTGGACTACGCGGTTTACTATTGCACCTACGAGCCATGGCTTCTAAAACTGTCGTTATTATCGGCGCATCGTTTGCGGGAATCCCAGTGGCACACTCCTTGCTCAAACAAGTCCCGTCCGTGAAAGTGATCCTGATTAATCCGTCCTCGACATTTTATTATGTTATTGCGGCGCCGCGCATTCTGGCGAAACCGAAAGCCTTCCGCAGCGACCAGTACCTTCTTCCGATAGAAAGAGAGTTTGTTCAGTACAAAAGGGACGCCTTCGAATTTATCCTCGGTGCGGTAACGTCGATAGACACTCCTGCCCGGACGGTCACTGTGGACGGTGAGAAGACCGTCCCGTTTGACTATCTGGTCATTGCGTCGGGGAGTACAGCCCGTTCTATGACGAATGAGACCGGCACCTTGATTCCATTTAAGCCCCCCAAGTCTGATCATGTACAGCTGTTGATTGAAGAGGCCCAACGGAAAATCAGCCAAGCTACAAAAATCGTCATTGCGGGTGCCGGGCCCATTGGAGTTGAGACGGCGGGGGAGATCGCGCAGGCTGCCCAGGATCGCGGAGCGGACGTCCATATTACCCTTGTATCTGCGAAGGAGCGAGTTCTCCCAGAGTTGAAGCCTCGTGCCGGCGAGACTGCGGAGCAGCAGCTGAAACAACTGAAGGTGGAAGTTGTCAAGTCTCGGAAAGTCACCGGAGCCACCCAGGCGGCGGAGGGTTCGACGTGGACGGTTTCTTTGGACAATGCACAGACTTTAACAGCCGACGTTTATATCCCCACCGTGGGAGTTGTCCCGAATAACAGCTTCATCCCGCAAGAGTTTCTAGATTCGGCGGGCTGGGTAACGGTGGATAAAGAGCTACGGGTACAGGGGAAAAGTCATTCGAAGTTGCCAATCTTTGCGGCAGGAGACATTACCAATAACTCCATGCGCCTGTCATTCAAAGCGGCCGAGCAGGCGGCAGTTGTGGCTGCAAACTTGAAGGCGGAGATAACAGAAAAAGGCAAGCAGCGCACCTATGACCAGGGAAGCAGCCTGATGATGGTGGTTCCAGTGGGATCATCTGGTGGGACGGGGCAGCTGTTTGGCTGGGTGCCTTGGGGATTGCTTGTGCGGATGATCAAGGGCAAGGATTTCTTGATTTCTAGAGCTCAAAGCATGATCTCCGCAAATTGAGGCTGTAATTACTTTCGTCGACCTTTGTAGAATATATAGTTTAATATCGAAGCCGTTGATCTCAAAAGTTAGTGGAGCAGGGGGGACAAAGTATTTATTATGAAGTAGATATTTATAATTTATTAAAATATTTACTCATTAACTGTCAGTACGACCTGTCGGATTCAAGGCCATACTAGGAATGACCTAATCGTCAAGATCAGTTGTGGAGTGCGCGACTCGGCAGGGAAGGGCGATAATTAACTTAAATAAAGTTAGTTGACGAACAAACTAACGTTATGCCTGTTTTAGTTGTTGGCGATAGCTTGAAGTTTCTAAGCGTTGTGGATTTTGGTAGGGTGCGTGACTCGCACGGGAATTAGTGTACGTTATCAGTTACAAATCATTTCTAAGCAGTGGCGCGCGAGTTAAAACAAACCAACAAGTTACTTACAGCATCGGGAGATTGGCCTTCCGTGATTCCGCTCCCATCTTCAAAATGATACCCCTTGCGGCTGGCTCAAGCATCACCCCAATTCGTCTCGCCAATCTAATTTAGTATAATTCGGAACCTTTGTCTCTTCATTAACCTTGAAGGAAGATAGGCGACATGGACCGTCGCCTGTATTCTACGCGGTGCAGAAACACGGCTTGCGAGAATTGCAGACAGTAATGCTAGCCTAGAGCCAGTCTGTGACCCACTTGAACGCTCGGCTAACCTCCAATGTCGGATTACAGACGCAAGAAACGATGTAAGCATTGCTGGTGCTGATTGCTTGGTGTCGTCTCATCTCCAAACTCAGGTGATACCGCGAAGCCGGAGTGTCGGCGATGCTTGCGATCAGGGGCTAGATGTGCTTATCCCTTGCTCTCCCTGAAGCCCGGCCCAAAGAAACAATTGAGAAATGGTTGGTTTTATGTAACACGACAAATGTTGTCTCTCTGACTCTGCTTTGTTTAGGTAGACCATCCAATAGACCGGGATTGCTGCAGCGTCCGGCCACAGGTCTGCAAGACAGCAGCCAGACGAACGGCGCACAAATAGAATCTGCCCGTGGACACCCTGCGTCTCAACCGGTGCAATGCCAGAACTCTTTGTTTTGGCTACCTCCGCAGGACTGTGAACCTGAGGATGATAGTTGTGAGCCTGCTTCCGTACAGCTGGATCTGCTAAACACGGGTCTTAACAGTGCTGGTGATGTCCAGTCGTCTGGGTCTCAGGAAGGATCAATGCTTCCGCCGTATGGAATTATCGTCCATTTAGTGGAAGTATTTTTCGAATCAGTGCAGCCCCAATTTCATTTGCTCCATCGTCCATGTTTCCTCCAGCGGCTCCACAGTCGCGCTTTAATGGCAGAAAAGCATTCAGCCCTTCTCTTGAATGCGATGTTCGCTCTTGCATCAAGGTATACAGATGACCCCCGAGTGCATGCCTTTGATCTCTCTTTGCTTGATGGTTCACAGGAGTCGGGACCTTCTTCTAGACCCCATTTAAGACGGTTGGAGCGCTGGGAGTACGGAAAGGGATTTATACGGCGTGCAAGCAGGATCTTCTATGATGAGCTCATGGAAGCTGAAAACCTTGAGCTTGAAAATGGTACAACGGGGGAAATGTCTTTATTAATGATTCAAGGAGCTACTTTGCTGAGTTATGCGAAGCTGGCAATGGGGGCATTGACTCAGGCCCACTCAATGGTATCAGCATGCGTTCGGATGGCATATGATGCCGGACTGGACCGAATCGATCACCCAGAACATAGAAAGTTCTTGCACGTTTACTCGCCCTGCCAACCCCAGGAATCCGAATTAGTCAAGCGCGAGGGGCTACGCCATGTCTGGTGGTGTATTTGGGAGCTCGATAGCTTTTTGAGCAATGCTAAATGCCAACCGTGGATAATCAACATTGCCCGGTGTCAAACAAAACTTCCAGTGGACGATGACGACTGGTTTGAGGGGAACGAGGTTGGTTCTTCTTTCCTAGCAAGCAGCCTTGACAAATGGCGCGAATTGGAGGACTCGTGGCAATGCACCTCGTTCCTCGGAAATCGCATTGTTTCCCTTTACTTCTTGATGACCTTGATCGACGCGACCAGTGGCGAGAAACCACCCAACTCCCGTTTCTACCGGGAAGTTGAACAATGCATCGCGATATGGCGCAAGAAGTTGCCAGCTAAGCTAAAATTCGAGCCACGCTCTCAACGCGTTAGCCAGAGTCCTCATCTCTTCGCTGAAATATTTTCGACGTATATAACCATTGAGCAGTAAGTCCCGTTTTTTATACCAAAAACATTACTAAACCATGCGGTTCAGAATCAACATTTTGATCGCAAGAGCCCAAATGTTTACAAACGTCGACACGCTATCTATATCAGACCAGTGCCATAGCTATAGGATGAGATTGTTGAACCCCGTTGACGACTCGACAATACCTCCAGCATCACAAAAGTGCATTGAAGCATTCCTCGCCTCTGACGTTATCTGCGATATTGTGAAAGCCTGGCCTGGATACTTAATCAGCCGCTGTTGTCCCTTTATCATCTTGGGATTCTGGACTCCCGCCTGCCTACAACTCCTAGTAAAGGCTTTTGCCAACTCGGCTTGGGATCTGCGCGAAAAGGCATTACAGTCCTTTCAAACACTCATGTTTGTCATGGAACAGATTGCCGAGTATTGGGGCCTTGGACGAATAATCCTTTGTACGTGAAGATCTTTCTACGCGTGTTTGAGATCCGATGCAGTGTTGACAATCCCTACTAGCATCATTTCGCAACTATGCCGAGAAGCTGGATCATTCACAATCTAGCATCGGTGCTTTCGATGTTGGCAAGGAGATTACCCTTACAAGACAGCTGCTCTCACTGCCAGACTACATCAACGATGCAATTTCCAGTACTATGGAAGGTAGTACTCTTGATCACAGGCAGCTTTTTTGGACTGGTGACCAACTCGAACAAGTAATGGATGAGACGGAGATACCTCCCGCAAATCCTCTGGATGCAGCCTCCCACGAAATATTGATAGACGACCTCAATTCAGTCCCGCTGTTCTGTCCTACGGCGCCGATTGACGATTGGATCAATGCTACATTCGAAGGGGTCTTTGAAACAGATCAGGGTCCGTTTTGGGCCTGTTAGTCACACTACTGAACTGTGGATTTAAGGGTGTATGACGAGAGCGATTGGATGCCAATCAAGTATGTTTAACCATATTGCAACAAATGTATTAGGTATTATACAAGGGAGTAAAGTCCTCAGTCGTGGGAGAGAGGTGCAGGGACTCCAGGAACCAAAATATCGGTACCATGTATTCTGATGTAGCCTGGTGGTTAGAAGCGAACCCTCTGATGAGAAGAGAAGGTTCGATGCGGAGGTACCACGCCAACTAATTTGCAGAAATTGACTATATGAGGCTCAGATATTAGAATAACCCCTGCATGGGAGGGCGTTCTCATGTCCGGCATAATGACGGGAAATAATATCAAACAGTATAGTCCTCAGCGGTAAACAAGAAACAAGGCGGCTTTGTCGACATCCTATAACTATTTATCCTCCAAATCCGTTGGCATCATTTTCCTACTCGAGACCCTCGAATTTCTAGCTATGGGACTGTGTCTCTTCCCACAGCCGATCCATGTATGCCGTCTCTGTTCAATTGCCCAGGGGATTCTGAATTCTGTGGCTACCTTCCTTACTTCCCAGCATTTCTTCCGACTATCGTTGGCAAAGCTAAACCGTACGACGCGAGTAGCAGGTTATGACCTCGAGAGCCCCATCGCAACCTACACTAGTGACGTATTCAAACCATGGCGCCGGGAGAACACACGATCGAGGAGCCAGGTCAACCCAAACATCTCAACCCAGCACAATGGTGCGATCCCAGTCCCGCACCAAACTTCCTTTGGCGGATTTATCCTGGACACTCTCTCGACAACATATTGAGCATATTCTTCTGGACGCTGCGGTACGTATCCAGCCCCCCATTCCCATCCAGCAGCAATCTTGTCCGCAATTGGTTTGTACGGCGAATCATCAGCGAAGGTCATATGCTGCTCGAAGAACATCGGTGTCGCCACACCACCAGTCATCACGTACACGACATGACATCCGAAGGGCTGTAGCTCAAGCCGCAACGTTTTGGTGTATATCTCTACCGCGGCTTTAGTTGCATTATAAGTCTCCTCGGTAGGCACCGGTACGCGGCTTGCGCCGCTGCCGGTGACTGCAATAGTCCCTTTGGCAGCAATGAGGAGCCTCGAGAAGACGCGTGTGAGTGCCATGACGCCGATGACGTTCCCTTGGAACATCCTAACGTCGTCACTGCCAATGTAGGGCTGCTCTCCACCTGCGGTTATAGCCTTCTGGTCGTCCGTATCGTAGTCGATTGCCATGCTTATGGATCGAACGCCAGCATTGTGGTAGAGGCAATCTAGCTTGCCACCTTGCTCTGCAGAGATCTGTTCTCGGGCGGCAAAGGCAGCCTTTGCGTCCGTAATATCCAGTGCAAGCAGCTTAAGATTCGGCTTACCCTCCAAATTAGCCATCTTCGCGGTGTTCCGACCCGTTGCGTAGACTGTCCATCCGCGTCTAGCGAATTCGAGAGCAAGAGCATTGCCAATCGTGGACTCCGAGCAGCCGGTTATTAAGACTGACTTCCCCATCGCTTAGATTTCAGCCTTGAGGTTGCGTGTGTTCGTCGAGGGCGGATAGGACCAGAAGGCGGATGTAGATTAAGCTGGGGTCGGCAATATCTACCACTGGGATTGTATGTCAGGAACTACTTCCTTTATATACGCAGATGAGGACATCATTGTTTACCTTCCACAGAGAGAGCACGTTAAACCTTTCTTGGACAGATTTAATTATGCGGGAATCAAGACGACCGGCTCGTTCGCAACGAGCATCCCAGCCAATAAAGTCAGGCAGTATGATAATTCCCCTGAGATTAACATCTTGGGGTGTTTTATGCTTCAATTGTGAGCGGGACGCGGATGAATACAGTGGCCCGACGCGGACGAATACTGGCCCGACCCAGATGAATATCTATCACCCGACAAACACCACATCAGATATAGGAAATGAATAGCGTATTTCACTGGAGAGCGTTCCACAAGAGAATGGTCTTGCTTTTCTATCGGCCATTAAAAGGTAGGAATTCTTGTTCCCCGATTATAGGTTTATAGCAGTCCCATGTGACAATGCCTGATGTGTTATAGTCAGCGCCGACAAGGACATCTTGAAGTATCTAACCGACGGGACTCCAGCTATTCACAGCAGTGATAGTTATTGCGGCAGTTGTGCTAGTTGATATAACGCCAGTGCCGATACCTGTACCAGTTAGTACTGCATTAACTCCTGATATAGACGAGATGATAGCAGACCCTGCGGTTTTCTTCCCAGCAACATGGAGAACGCGTCGGATAGTAGTTGCACCGGTTCGAAATGCATTGACGCCATTAACGTGCGTGGCGATAGGGGCGATAACGGGCGCACTGGTACCACGCGAGCCGGCGATGATCCCAGTTAATAGGACCATAGCATTCATTCACTCTCCTTCGGCGTGGTTGATGGCGAAGGAAGAGAGCTTGGCAAGGGTCGTAAGCCGTAAGCCACAGAGCATATAGTTATAGTATTGACCGACAGCACATAGGGTTACGTAGGATCCACCACCAAGGCCTGGCTACCAGCCGACCAGCCCGACTCGCGTGTCCCAATAGCACCTCTAAGCGACCTACCACACGAGGTGCTGATGATTATTTTTCAAGCTCTACCTCCTCGGCAATTGTATCTACCTGTTGTGTTTCTAAACACTTCTATGAAGCCTGTCGTCCCATCCTCTACGCTTCATTCAAAGCGAGTGGCGATCTCAAGAAAATGAATATTCTTTCAAACCTATACTACTCTTGAAGAATTAGGATTAAATCAACTGAATTAGAAGAGGAATATAATGAAATAATCTCATCTCTGTACGGCTGTAAATCGATAGCCTTTCGGCCACGATCTGAGGAAGCCATGGTAGATAGCAGGCTTAAAAGCTCAGTTAGCGTTCATTTAAGACAAATACAACAACTATGGATATACATTAAGAACCCAGTGCCATGCCCACACCTCCTAGTACTCCAGCATTCGAGTAGGTCGCCCTTCTCCTTTCACGAGAGGTCAAGTTTAATGGGGGGCCGCCGTATTTCTTATCGTGTACAGCGCGTTCTTCTGGGGTCAAGTCTGCGTAATTTATGGCTGGCTTGGGACAAAAGAACCGTTTCAAGGCGCCGAAGCACATTGTGGTTGAATTTTGCCAAAGTCTTGTAGTTTGGTTGGCTTGGGGCGGGGTACAATCGGATACCGCGTTATCTGGATATGAATATGGACATAGGAATAGGATGACGGGTGAGGGAGATAACACTGAAGATGACTTTGGTTTACTCCTGGGTGCGAGCCAGTTTTTATAGATGGCTTACTACAGTGAAGCTTGGCATTGCGTCACACAGGGGTACCATCCCTACGTCGGGTAATCAGGCAATCGGTTGCTGCTAATACAGTAGGTAAGTCGAGTACGTAGTGGCATGGAGGAGACAATGATAGGCTATTATAAAAGGGTTATATATAACGGGCCCGCGGCTCAGCCTGTGGCTTACTGATTAGGCCCTGAGCGCTAAACCCGACTTAGTAGGCCATGAGAAAATCAAATATACATGTACCCCTACGTACTTTATTTTCTAAGAGCCGACGAACCAGTCAGATACCACACGTGACCATGTGGAATACTGATAGCCAGTATCTTATATCATACTTTAAAGGCTATTCTGGCTTTGTATATACGGCTCGGGACGAGCCTTCTTAAGAGGGGAGATAACTGTCACGACCTATATAGACTATATATAGATGCGATCCGGGCAGACCAGACTGTAGAGTCTGGTTATAGTGACCTTTTGGCCCAGTTAGGAACATGCTTGCCCGGACACGTGCTCTTACAATAACTATATTCCTACTTTAATATTATAGAGCAGGTATAGATTCTATATACTTAGTCTTACTAGATTATTGAAATAACTATAGATATAAAGTAAGCTATCTCCTAAAATTATTCTCCTCTGGATCAGGCTTCCTGGCCTTATATACCCAGTGCTAATTTTTTTCCTTGTTCGGTGTTATCACGGATTTAAGATGCTGTCCCTTCAAGACTTAAAATAGATCCAGGACGGTGGCAAGAAAACCAATTTCATTGAAGGACACTAGATTCTGTAGACAGTATAAAAAGCGGTTAGTATTTATAGAAAAGAGAAAAACGTCTTCTAACCACCGAGTTTAAAAGTGTGGCCTCCAGAAGTGTAGCTATCGGGGCTAAAGGTTTAGTCTGCACATATATAGCATTTTGTACCTGTTTTGAAATATAAATCCTAGCAATCCATTAAAGTATCTGATAAAATGAAATTTAATACCAGAAAAACTATGTAAACTCAAACAGGCACTCGGAAGTCTAAACTACTAAAAATCTCTGTAGTAAGTAAAACAAGGATTTAATAAAAGCGAGATTATCGTAAAGTCAGTTTATGGAAAAAGTTATCCAAGTATAGCAAGATATGCGGGGCTGATATCTATTTAGGTATATATACTTGTGAGAGTAGCTGAATATATATTTTCTCTGCGGATCCTTCCGGTTTCTGGGCCTTTATAGGAGCACAAGTAGTAAATTCCCCGTAAGATATTTCCTGTTACTTAGCTGATTTATCTAGGACGCCTATTATCCAATACTAAATCAAAACACCGAGAAGGACATTACTGTTTAAGATTTGGCGAACAGGTTAAAGTAAAAGGACTAATGCTGTCGTAAATTTCAGAATATTGACTATGCAACAGTTTGCTAGTGTTTAGTTAACGGAATTGCATTTAATGTGTCCAGTATTATGTGTATTTCAAAATACTAGCTGAGATAGGAGGTCTCCAAGCTGGATCTGTGGACTAGTATGAGAAGAACTTAGCCAGATAAAAGTTGGAGTAGGGTCTCAAGATAGTGTCTATAGACTGAAGTTCTGAATTGCAGGGACCCAAGCCAAGGGATTTGGACTAGAGAACGTGTTTATTTGGCTATAAATCTTGGAATGTAATCTCAAGTGAATCAGGATCTTTAGATCATGATCCAGCTGTATTATCAATCTAGCGAACAAAACCCAATATAGCATAGAATCACCGGGGGGTCAGTGTCAAATGCTGAGGGTCTATACTGGGCCGAGTACCTATGATCTAAGACGTGCACGGATTTGGCCCTGGGGGATAGATTGCCCTGGGGGATATAGTAGCAGTCGATGTAGGCCATGTGCATTCGGCGTGGTTATTCAGAGGTCAAATTACGTACCAATTCTTCCAGGGCAGGGACCATTCAAGGATTTTTCGGGCTGTGCCTGCGCCCGATGGCGAGCGCTTGAAGACAATCGCCGGGTAGAAAAGACATGGTTGGTTGAAATAATTATCCTTATATACCAGCCTACCATCATTAGGGTTTCGGCAACAACTCCAGGTCATCCTGTTAACGCCGAAAGAAACCAAAATCAGCTAAGATATATTCCCCTGGGTGCCACTGTTCAAGCATCCAACAGAAGCTCCATGTCGATTGCCCCGTCCTCTGCTCGGGAGTCCTCGTCATCAGGAAACACGCAGGCAGGGTCGGAGTTCTGCTTTAGTTACCCTTTGTCTTGTGCGTAGTCCCAAAAGGGCACACTCACTGCGTATCCCCAACACGTAAGTTGGTTGGGTACCCGGTCCAAGTTGTCCACGGGTCTGGGTGGGGAAACAAACTGTTGGATGTACTCCATCACACGCTGCAGCGAGGACTCAGGGAAACAAGAATTGTCCGGCCTTGGCGGGATGTTTCGTTTATACGGACATGTGAGAGCACCAGGAAGTGCCAACCGTTCTTTAATTACCGACATATGAATGAAACTAGTAGAGCCGAATATTTCGAAATAATGCATCGTGCCGTACGCTACTTCTGGGGAGCTGCGTATTAACGGACAGTCTAATTCCGAGAAGAGACCAATGGGCTTGTCATAGGCGGTTGGATGTGATGCCCTTGTATCACGGCACACATGTTCCACTGAGTTTCAAACAGTGGCGAGAATTTGCATGGAGAATTAATTCAACGTCTCGTAAGCGAGGAAGAATGCCCCAATCAAAGGCTAGGTCTCCAGTTTGCGGGTTGACAGACACGCACCATACTGTACTTCCCCCAAGCAATGACCATCAGATGGCTCTTCTCTGGGTCCAGTTCGGATTGGCGATGTTGTTCCAAAGTCTGATATGAAATCACAGCCCGTGCAGCCCCATTGCATGATTGGATCCTTGGCGTGACCCGTCGATCGTTCCCGTTCCCGCTCCCGCTCCCGATCCCGATGACAGGTTCCTGAGAGAGTGGTTGCAACACCCTGCAGTATTCCCCCGTGGTAGCAGCAGCGACGGCATGTCAAGCGAGTTGACGAGCCAGCCACCCGGTTTATTGGCGAGGTTCGTGTATGCTTGTTCTCCATAATAAATCACCGACAAGCCGGCGACCAACATTATTGGGGATTGGTGTGATATATTATGGACCAGGTGGATCTGGTGCGGCGGCTCGGTTTCCAAGCCAGGCCTATCATTCCCAAAAGTTGTGCGGTGATCGTGAGGAGTTGATGCACGATGAGCCGATGAGCTGAACGGTGGGCCTCACCTTTGTCGCAACACGCCTGGAAGCGTTTTCCTTATCTTTTCAACTTTTCAACTGCAAGAACACTTCCATACGGGACCGGTTCGCCTGCATATTACTCACGATGCCTGGTTGTTTCAGTCGACTACGCAATAAATTCTCGAAGAACGCTACTCCCAAGCCGAACGCTGAGTCCAACAATTCCCCTGCTGGCCAGGAGCCAGTCAACAGCTCAGGGGTCAAGCCGAAGCCCAATGACGTGTTGAACGACTCCTCTGCTGGCAACGAGCCATTGACCAGCCCTCAGGCTCCAGGAGCGGAGTGCCCCGAAAAACAAGCATCTGCTGCGAAAGACCGCTGGCGGGAGGCTTTTGAACAACTGCCCGCGGACAAACAGCAAGTGCTGAAGGAGATGGGATTCGCAGATCCTCAATCTGGTTCTGTGGAGTCTAGCGTGGATGATCTGGTCAGCGAGGTGAACAAGAAACAGGAGGAGTGCGAGAAGAAGTTCTGGCACGTCAACATAAATGGTGAAAAGATTGTCCTCCGAGAATATACCACGCAGATCCTTGGCTGGTTGGAGAAGGCTGGAGATATTGCTGTGCAGTTCGCGCCACCCCAGGCGAGTCTACCGTGGAGTGTCGTCAAATCGATGATGAAGGTAAGTATGAGCCTCCATATGAATTGACTTGGAAGCTTATAGTGTCTTGCAGATTCCGGTGAACGAGGATGAGCAGATGGGGGCCTTGCTTGCCACCACAGAAAGAGTTGTCCGCATTACCAGTCGTGGCCAGGTTTATGAAAATGTCTACCTGCCCCAGACCCCGGACGCCCAGCTGTCATCTGTCCAAAAAGGTCTCGAGTCGTCTTTGGTAGGCATCTACAAGACAGCCCTGGATCTGCTGGTTGAGGCCAAAACACTTTTATCCACGAGCACGCCCAGACGTATGCTTGAAGCAATCGTGAGTCCCGGCAAGGCAAAGGACAACCTTTCAGGTCTTGCTGGCCAAGAAGATGAGCTCCTCCGAGACGTCCAAGCATGCGAGAGCAAGCGCAGTTCCGACTCAGACAAACGCGCAAATGCAATGCTGGAGGCGCTGCAGGCTCCGATGGCTCGCGTGGATAAGGGCATCAGCCACCTCCTCCAACATGTGAGCGAAAGCGAGCGCATCCAGCTCTTGGAGTGGATTTCGCCCATCCCATTTGGCCAGCACCACGATACAGTGAGGGAGGCCAGAACTCCTGGTACGGGTGAGTGGTTGCTCAAGCACCAGGACTTCCGTAACTGGGACACCAAAAGGTCCTCGTCCCTCTTCTGGCTGCAGGGAAATCCGGGCAGCGGAAAGACGTACCTCACATCCACTGTTATTGACCAGGTCCGAGCCCAGACCAGCAAGTATCAGAATGACGAAAAGCACCGTAATGATGAGGGTTTTGCGTTCTTCTACTGTAAGCGTGACGACAAGCCTCGCGATCAGCCGCTGGCGATTCTCCAGAGTTTTGTGCGCCAGCTTTCGACCACGGCAGGAAATCCCGAGTCTATGCAGATCAAACTGCAAGAAACTTGCATGAATGCTCGCGAGAGTGCTACGGACTTCCGCTTTGCACAGTGTAAGGAGCAAATCCTCGCCTCTTTGAATCTCTACCAGAGAACCACGCTAGTCATTGATGCCATGGACGAGTGTGATCCGGACTCCCCAGACTCGCGGTATGAACTGATTGAAGCATTGAAATCCTTCCTGTCGGGCTCCAAGAGGGTTATGAGGATTTTCATCTCAAGCCGCCCTGATCCAAACATTCAGAGTCAGTTGGAAAGCAGCCCCAATGTTGGAATTCGGTCAGACGATAATCAAGGCGATATCGAGAAATTCCTGCATGATAAACTGGACAAGCTCGCAAAGGTTAACTCAGCCTTGCGGCGCCTGAAATCCCAAATCATCGCAAAGCTGTTGGAACGGTGCCAGGGAATGTTCCAGTGGGCTGATATGCAAATTCATCAGATTGCAAAATGCGGGTCCCCCCCAGATATCTGGAAGCGCCTCGAGAACCTGCCAGAGGATCTTCAGAAAACATACGATGAGGTCTGGCGACAGATCGAAGGCCAGGGGGAATATGATCAGGTCTTTACAAAGCGTGCACTTCGCTGGGTAATGGCTGCGTCAAAACCCATGACCAGCGTCGAGATTCTAGCTGCAATTCGTATGGGACAAAACGGGGATATACTGCCCTTGCTTGACACCGTGGATGAGCAAAGCCTGCTGTCTCTCTGTAACAATTTCCTTGTCGTGGATCCTCAGCTGAAGGTCTGGCGGTTCCCGCATCTCTCGGTTAGGGAATACTTGCAAGCAAAGGATGAATGGTCTACAGCACACGCAGACTACCACGCGGTCAGTGTCTGTCTGTCTTATTTTGTTAACAAGTATGAACACGACGATGGCTCGGATCTCGACGCCAAGTTAGCAGCCCAGCACCAGATGGAAATACACAAGCCAGAAGACATAGACGAGCCTGCAAGGCCAGCGCAATCGGATGAAGGATTTCATATTCTTCATCCATTCCATGTCTACATGAGGCACAATTGGGCTCACCATATCCGCGGAGCCCAAGACATCGACACAGTCGAGTTGGCCGCTCTGTTGAAGACATTCCTGGGGTCTCCCAATAAAAGCAGTACGCAATACCAGAGATGGCATCGGCAAACTGGCAATGATTTTGCACATTTATCTTCTGACCGCCATGTCAAGCACTATATAGCTAGGGGTGCAAAGAGTATCTTTAGCGAAATCAGTCCTGGGGATGCAGCCGGGTTTGCGATGTGCCGGTTCTCGCTGGCTGCCATTCTGTGGGACTGGTGGGAAAGCGCGGAAATAGATATATCTCGTGTAAACGACAACAAGGACACCCTGCTCGCACTTGCTGTCAAGGCGGGTTGCTTGCCCATATGCAAGAAGCTGTTGCAGACACTGGATGATCAAGGTGCCGATGCCAACACCCGCAGTGAATTTTTTGGCATTTCACTACATATCGCGTCGTCCAAAGGCAATGAAGAGATAGTAGAGGTACTGCTGAATCATGGTGCTGATGTCAACGCCATTCCAAGACGCAACACTGCACTGCAATCCGCCGCATTTGGAGGAAACCAAAAGATAGTGCAGATGCTACTAGATCAAGGTGCCGATGTCAACGCCCAAGTAGGAAGATACTGTACTGCGCTCCATGCCGCGTCGATGCGGGACAATGAAAAGTGTGTTCAAGTGTTGCTGGATCATGGTGCCAATGCCGACATCCAATCCGAGAATTTTGGCCACGCACTCTTGGTCGCGGCGACCGAAGGCAGTAAAAAGGCTGTTCAGATCATGCTGGATCGAGGAGTCAATGTCAACACTCAATCACAATTTGGCACTGCAATTGAAGTCGCAGCATTCAGAGGCGATGAAAAGATGGTGCAGATGCTGCTGGATCGAGGTGCCGATGTCAACGCCCAGGGAGAATACGTTCTCGGCGTCCCATGGGGCACTGCGCTTGAAGCCGCGTCGTCCGGAGGCACAGAAAAGATAGTGCAGATGGTCCTGGATCGAGGGGCCGATGTGAACGCTAGCAACGCTCAAGGCAACTCCGCTACTGCACTTCAAGGTGCATCATTCAGAGGCATTCCATCAATAGTGCAGATCCTGCTAGATCACGGCGCCGATGTCAACGACAAGGGAGTAGACGGAGATCCACCACTCATCGCCGCGATGCACGGATACAATGGTGCGGTGATAGTGCAGATGCTGCTAGATCGGGGTGCCGATGCCAATGCCCAATCAGAGGGCAGTACTGTACTTCAACGAGCGGCGTCAGCGGGTGATGAAGCTATAGTGAAGCTGCTACTGGATCATGGGGCGGACGTCAACGCCCAAGGACAAGACGGCACTGCACTTCACTGCGCGTCGTCAGCGGGCAATGAAAAAATAGTGCAGATGCTGCTGGGCCATGGCGCAGTCGCCAGTAGCATAGATAAATAGCTCGGCTCTTAGTATATCAAATCTATCCAGCAAGAGTTGCCCCCAGTTTACACTAGGCGGTCAGAATTTATGATGGACGTTGTTGCATTTGATTTCAAGGCTCCTGTTTACCTGTTACTGTTGCTCTCCTTCTTTGAGTGGCGAGGGTAGCATACCAAGGTCCAGACACTTGGGAGCCCGCACATCTCAATACCTAGGAATCAGCCACTGTCCCAGGAACTAATACAACCCATATTATCTTGCCCCGGGTTTGAACACACTCCGAAGGTAAATTCTCAATAACAAGCACTAAAACCCACATATAAATTGCAAAAGCAAATGCTCTCTGGGTGGTACTGCTTTCTAACAACAGGAGAGCCATCATGAAGCCTAGCCTCCCTCAAGGAACCGTTCAAGGGCATCCTGTACCCGTCAAATAAGGAATGATAAGCTTAACATCTTATAGGAGTAATGGTCAACTACTGAGTCTGCAACTAGCTAGGCAAGAGAGACCTCCCTTACCTCCACAGTCTGTAATGTAGCTGTCCGGGCCAAACCGTCAGACGCCTAGTTAGGAAAGATGACGTCCGAAATAACAGAAAACCTCTCCTTTCTCCGCGAAAGCTTGCAGGGAATAAGCATCAACCAGGCCCTGGACGGGTCCAGGGACGTCTGGCTGCAGGTCGCAGTGTATGCCCCCTGCTGCGGAGTCATAGGATGCTTTTCCCCTTTCCACTGGTCACTCGATCAGCCGACAGTGTCTCGTTGGTCTATGAGACCAGTATACCGAATACATCGGATCCAAAACTTTTAAAAAACATACAACAGCTGGGATTCGCATGTGGTCACCCACCATACTACTAACCAGCCGGCGTGTGGCTTAAGTACGGCTGAGCGGACGGGAAGCCCTGTTTTCCACACCCTGTGGTCGTATGTACTGACTGTAACTAAGGAGTGGAATATATAGACTGAATCGAGCGTTATAAGCCTGGTCTGAGATTAGCGCTACCACGCAGGACTATGATTCCGCCATTTTGTTCTTTGGAATAGATTGAATATATACCATTTTGGAGTTTAACAATAGAGAAGCAACAGTTTTGAACGCAGTCAGATGATGTTTTGCTAAACGACATCTCAGAGAGGCCAGATACAAGCACTTGTATTAACGGAGATCAACAATCGCCCTCAGAGAGGCCAGTTTCGAAAGGAAGTAAAACTCCCACTGATGGACCAATCGCCACTTTCTAGAGTTGACCTTGAGCGGTTCCCATCGAATTCGTGACCGCGGCTCAACTTCAGCCTCGCGAACCTGCTGGCGCAGAAGAAATACCAGAGGTTTCCATCACTGCTGGGGAAAACTGCATCAACATGGTCAAACCCCACTCCATTTAAGCTATCTCAGTGGTCTTGGATATTACAGGGTTCGATTTTAAATGCTGGGTAATATGTGTCGTACGTGGCGAACCTTGTTCCTGAGAACAGGACCACACGAGTGCACCTTAAGGAAGTGGTTTTGTGACCACAGCGGCCTGTCCAGACAGAAGAGTTAAGTACTATTTCCAGCCCAGCAGACGTTCCTCAGGGCATGGCTGATTTTTACAAGACTTGGAAGAGAAAATTGTACTTTCTGTGGAGTGGCATGTTATATAATTATTGACTCTTTTTGTTGTATTCATCATCATGCTGCCAAATCTGAGCAGTAGCAATAAAACTATTAGCAGGATCCCTAAAGTACCGACAGTGATTTCCGACTGTTGTAATACATGAGTACCGGAGTATGTCCGATAAATATCATACAGTGACTGGTAGAGAATACAAGCTGGGCTTGGTGTATCCGGCTAACCTCGGCTTCGATGCATGGCAGCAGGACACTACTGCAAAAGCAAGATATCGGCATTTCTCATCTCAGATTCTTTGGCATATAGGCTTCTCATGAGAACCTTATTACCCCGCAAATGGTCGAGTTCTGTGGAGTTGGAGTATACAGCGCGGGGTTGATATCTTGGCTGTCTGGGCGCCGGACAATCCTCAGTATAAAGGCCTGAGTCTGTCGACTGAAGGCAAGATAATCGTGTCAAGCAGTTGGTCTCACTATGCCATCTCACAAGCCAGAAAGCCCGATAGAAGTGGAGGATGCTTCGAATGAGAAAAGCCTGGAGGCTGCTCCTAGTCTAGAGGAGAGTTATATGGAGAGCGGCCTGAGTCGTGAGGATGCGGTTTTTCTGGCGACCTTCTCGGATGAGCGGAGGACGAAGTGCGTCCGCAAGGTATGAGACTTATGTTAACATGAATAACTTGGCAGCTAATGTGTTAGATTGATTGGCGCCTCTGCCCTATGCTCATGATACTCTACCTTTGTGCTTATATTGATCGGGCGAATATTGGTACATCCCTGTCTGTTATTAAGTATTTACCTGACCATCTAACCATTACAGGAAATGCAAAAATCGAAGGCCTGCTAGAGAGCTTGGATATGACCGGTACCGACTATAATATCGCATTGGCAATCTTTTTCGTTCCATACGTCCTATTCGGTATGTACCGCTGTCCAGTTGCTGTCGTCATGTACTAACTATAGTGTGAAGAGGTTCCAAGCAACATCCTACTGGCCAGGTTTAAAAAGCCGTCCGTGTATATTTCCATTCTGGTACTCGGATGGGGCACCGTCATGACCCTGACAGGCGTGGTGCAGAACTTTGACAGTCTGTGTGCCGTTCGTTTCCTTCTTGGGGTTTTCGAGTACGACGCCACCCCTCTCCTATCGCTCTAAAGTACTGTTTAACTAGTTGTAGAGCAGGATTCTTCCCAGGAGCCGTCTGGCTGATCAGCCAGTGGTATCTCCCACACGAAACGCAAACCCGCATCGCAATCTTCTATACCGCAAGCGCACTCGCAGGTGCATTCTCTGGTCTTCTTGCCTTCGGTCTCGCCAAGATGAATGGCGTCGGTGGCTACGCAGGGTGGCGATGGATATTTATCATTGAAGGCGTAGCCAGCGTCGTACTAGCAGCGGTCTGTTACTTCTGCCTTGTGGATTCACCTGAACTATCCAGCAGGTGGCTCGAGCCAGACGAAATCCGCTTCTTACAGCTACGGATGCAAGCACACAGAGGACGTGTGGTAGTCGACGAAAAAGCCAATAAGTTCGACTGGAAAACGTTGTTTAAAGTTGTTACCGACTGGCATTTATACCTGCAGGTCCTTAACTTCTGGTCAAATGCCATTCCCAACTACGGGCTGAAGTTCACGTTACCGCAAATTATCAAGAATATGGGATATACCTCTGCCAATGCTCAATTGCTGTCAATCCCGCCATACGTTGCCGGTGCACTGTCTGCGTATCTGTTTGGTCTTGCTGCGGATAAACTCCGCTGGCGCATGCCTATCATCGTCACCGGCCAGACGTTCAGTATCGTCGGATTCGCCATCTTGTTTTCTCTCGCGGAAAACATTGAGAATAATATCCCCGCGTGCTATTTCGGCGTTGTCCTTGCTTGCATCGGGCTATACCCGATCTTGCCTGGCACAAATGCCTGGACGTCGAATAATCTAGCAGGAGCGCGGAAGCATGCCATGGGAATCGCCTTTATGATCAGCATCGGCAATACAGGAGGTCTCGTCGGCTCGTTTATCTATCTTGAAAAGGAAGCGCCTAAATACCCGTCCGGGTTTGGAAGCTCGCTTGGCTTTGGCGCTGCGGGGATCGTTGCCAGTGCCTTGTTGGAACTGCGGTTCTGGTACGTGAATAGGCGGAATGCGAGGATGAGCAGGGATCAAATTCAGGAGATGTATACCGCGGAGGAGTTGCAGTTGATGGGGGATCGGTCGCCGTTGTTCAAGTATATGCTTTGATTCGGTCTTGATAGGGTTGTTGATAGCCCGGTAAACCACCTACAACAGGTTCATCCTAGCATGATCCAAGGACGCGTAAACCTAATCAACTTTGTGATAATTAATTACTCTAGAAAAAGAAGACTAGTAATTTCCAACAGGGTGGGTAGCAAGTCTAAATATATGTATAATATATATACCCTAGCTAGATCTAGTACTTAATTGTTAGATTTTCTTCAACCCCCTACGGCTGCTTCACTCAAAATCCAGGAAACTTCGATCCCCGAATGTTCAATATGTCGCCCCGCGAGACAACCTAGACAGACCCTATGCAGCGTCTAGCACTGGTAACTGCATACGAAGCCCTCGAGATGGCAGGTTTCGTCCCAAATCGCACCCAGACGACGACACTCAGCCGCGTGGGCACCTTCTACGGTCAAACCAGCGATGATTATCGTGACACAAACGCTGCACAGGGTATCGGCACGCATGTCATTACCGGTGGCATTCGGGCGTTCGGTCCGGTAGGCTGGCTTCCTTCCCGTGACTTCGAAGCCCTAACTCCGCTCACCCAACGGACACACACTTGAAGCTTCCACTGTGCTAATATCACTTTCCGATCGTTTTCTGTCACAGGGCCGGATCAACTACCATCTCAAATTCGGCGGCCCGAGCTACAGCATCGACACGGCATGCTCTTCCGGCCTAGCAGCAATCCAGCTCGCGTGTTCGGCACTGTGGAACCAAGAATGCGATACAGCTGTCGTGGGCGGCCTAAGCATCCCCACCTCGCCAGACCTCTATGCCGGACTAAGCCACGGGCATTTTCTTTCTCCCACGGGGTCCTGCAAGACATTCGATAATGACGCGGATGGTTACTGCCGCACCCACGGGGTCGGGACTGTCGTGCTGAAACGGCTTGACGATGCGAAAGCGGAGAATGCGAAGCTGCTAGATGCGATCTTTTGTTACTCCGACCTGTTTCTGTCAGAGGCCTAGCTAGTTTTACTTCCTTAAGTCAGTTACTCTTCTTTATTAAATTATTTTAGCTTTTTGAGTAAAGCAGCTGAAGAAACAGTGTTAGTATAAAGACAGGACAGGGCAAGTTAGGTACGTCTGGAAGGATTGGCATAGCTGGAGTGAAACTACGAGATAACCCAAATAATCGATTGAGAATCTACTCGAGGAGCAGAACGTGACCGTTGCTTCGTCCTCTCCCCCGTCCGCCTTCTCGCGATACTGAGCTCCATCCAGCACTAGTGTCGGTAACCAGGTATCCATAATGAAGAAAAAGTTATGAGAAATATATAATAGCTGGGATTCCCCTGCGGCCATTCTACCATACTACTAACCAGCCAGCATGTGGCTTTAACCCGACTAAACATCATGTAGATACTACCTTGTGGGCTGCTTTACCGCCATGGTGAGTGTAGGGTGAGTGTCCACTTACCTCATTTTCGTCGCGCAACCTACCTATATAATGCACCAGTAAAGTTTGGTACCTGCTTCCAGTCCTCGATCGGGGATTAGACGGTACAGCCTATCAACCATAAGCCAAATGGCCCCAGACCCACAGCGCAGGGCACGGTGGATTTGGCTTACGCTGGATTTGGCTTACGGTAGACCACTATAGAAGGAGTAACATAATTTCAAAGTCATAGGCATTGCTATTATTTCAAGGGTACGGAATCCCCGGGATTCCCTCATCATATCCTATTTCCTACTCTCTGCATCATATCCTTTATCCCAGCTCTTGCCATCATGCTCTCTATCAAGTCCACCCTTCTCACTCTTGCGCTTTCCACCGCCGCGCTGGCTGGCGTGAAATGTGACGGCGACGGCCTACAGGCATACAACGACCAACTCCAGCAGTGTATCGATGAACTTCACAGTCGAGGCCAGGAACTTTGTACCGTTCCAGGGGGGCAGCTCAATATGGGGTTCGTCCATATTGGCACAGCCATGATCACGGGCATGCATAATGGGGATAACACTGAACAAGACCAAAGTTCATGGTGGTATGTTGGCTCCATTGCAGTGTATATTCGATAGGATTGCTTACAGAGGGTTTGTGCTATTTAGCTCGCATATTGCGGACGCCGCGCAGGATGTTCTTGATGAGTGTGGCAAGGACAAAGATACTGCCGCTGGTGAGTTTGCATGCTCCAGTCTATGCAGGACTAGGCGCTAATACAGTCACTTGTTCTTGTAGGTTCCAAGGAAGCTTATGGAAACGGCAATATTCTCGTTAATCTGATCTACCGGGCAGAGGATGGCCCCGACACTTAAGTCAGGAGCGACTATGGTTTATCCAAATATATTTATCTGGTCAAGATGCGATCAACATAGGCCCTTTGGCCGGCTATTGGAAATCAACAATAGTATACTGTTATATACCCCACGAGCACTTGCGCAATATCCGGAAGGATTGTTAATGTACAAATTTAATAAACTTTTTATATGAGACAGGTCTTTCTCATGACTAGCCAAAGCCAGGCTTTCCTTGACTAGGAAGCATAGCAGACTGGGTATAAGGCTGTTGTCGGTACTCGTCGGACATTTCGTATCTCGCCCAGCACCGGACCGGCCGGGAGAGTCAACTCCAACCGGGTTAAAAAAACTGTATTGCAGGTTATACTTACGGGCTACTGTGGAACTACTATGCATTGGACATGGTTTATCTTATACTAATGAATGTTGTTGTCTCTCCTGATTCCGCCGCGGTTCTTGCCCTGTATAGGACTTAGCCCTACAATATTCCTTCCCATGTTGTCTCCCCCTGATGTCAATTCCCTGGAACTGAATTATACCCATCTAAAATTCGAGATCTAATTCCAGACGCAAGTGAAACCGCGCTGGCCATGCTGTGCCCGACCATGCTTCGGATGGGGATCATAGAGCACCCAACTTCAACAGTGCAAGGCTGCCAAGTCCAGGATATTCCTCATTCTGCAAGATGTAGCGTACTTACATGTGGTAGGATATGATTCGTTCCCTGCTTGTCAGATGCAATCAGCCCCTCATATAAAGACAACCCTCTCTTGAGCTTACTGATTCCCCCATTTACAAGATTAAACCGGCACTAGCCAAACCGACCATGGCCAGCTACGAGCAACCAGGCACAGAAATCGACGAGTTCCTGCAATCGAATCCAGTCGTCAGCGACTTCCTATCGAGAGAGGGTAGTCACGCACCGCCGCGCGCTGAGGTTTTTAAAGCTATTCGGGAACAGGTCGCTCAAACGATATCGGTCATCTCACCGGAGGATAGTTGGATATCTGAATTGGCGGAATTAGATCTCGACGAAAGTTGCGAGAACGATGTCGCGGTAGCTAAGGTTCTCACGAGCTATCTCTTCAACCGCCCTTGGGTGTTTCACCCTTGGCTGGTCCGACGGAAACTGGAGGGTCTCGATGATTGCAATAAAGCACCTGATGAGACGATGCCTTCTACTTCCGAGTCTAGCACAAGACAGAGGTCTATAATGGCCTTTGACAACCTGGCGGGACTGGCGGGACTGGCCGAGCCGGATGGCCTGGATTCCAAGCGTGTGGGGGTTAACCTCCTGAAAGCCCATGACAGAAACAACGAGATACTAGCACAGTCGGATGCTGTGCTAGGCCTCGCAGGATTTTCACCTTGGATCGAGAGGACTACAGCAGAGGATGAAAATACAAGTGCCGAATTACAGCTACCGAGTGATCTCGAAGACGACTATGTCAGTCAATACCGCGGTCATATCAACCTCGCTGGGACATCATCCAGGCAATGTGCGAGAGTCTCGTACTCTCGAAGGAACCAGGATTTCTCTGAATATTCCTCTAAAACGACTGTTGCAGCTTCTGTGGACCGTGGCGTTGTGAATGTCAAGGCACAAGTCATGATACTCAAGGGCGTCGTGGGTCCTCTCAATCAGCTATTGTTCATCCGGCACGGATCGTCCGAGATCGCGAACCAGGCAGATGGCGCTGAAAATTATACTGAGATTGTCTCGGTTGAGATGGAGAAAATCACGGAACTTGTCAACACATATGACGAAAGCAAGAACATATTTAGGGGAGAGATCGAATCGTTCGGGGAAGGTCAAAATAGAGCTCGTCAGCGTCTGCTATTTGGCATGCTTCCTTTTGTTGTGAGCACTATAAACCCAGCATTCTTGCCTATCGCAGTAGGAGGATTCCTCTATAACTTTTTCGGCACAGCCCATTCCTACCTACAGTCAGACTATGCTATTCTACAGGGGTTGGCCCCACTGATGAAGTCTTTGGAGCCCTTCATTAAAGCCCTTGGAATTGGCCAACTAGATCAGAGCCAGGACTCAAACTCAAATGTCTTTGAGCTTCGAATTTTGCATCTCACTGCTGTGGTAGTGCAAGCACTTAGCTTGATCGTTCAGTCATATTTGCGGCGGTCAAAGACACCTTTTCGCTTCGAATTCTTAACGACTCCTATTTATGATTTTGTTCTCGAAGGTGCAATTCCTATCTGGCATGCTACAAAGCTCTACGCATCTTCACAAAATCTTTCTTGCTTGGGCGATATGCTCCGAAAGGAGGTTCTGGTCTTCGGGCTCAAGGAGCAGCTGCCACAAGAACGGCTGGATGTTATTGCAACGCCAGCACAGGTGGCTGCTATGTGGGGACCGGCAGAGTTCGTCATTGAACGGAGTACATCCGAGGGAATGGCTTTATCTGGCATTAAGATCCACGGCGGAATTATCGTACCCACTGACCACTCTGCCGGCGAGATACCCAAATGGCACTGGATGTCCATGGACGAGACGGTCGGGAACAACATGCGGTTCGCGAAAACCCGCGTCGACCTTCATACTCCCATCAGAATCGGAGTGGAAAGCCCCAACTTCACGCCAATAGGGCCGGCTAGGTTGAATCGGAGCTGCCATGGAAGCTTTAGCCTCCAAGATTTACAGTCAAATCTTCAGCGTCCGGGAGTAAAAGATCCGACTTACAAGATAAAGGACTTCATACTTGGACTGCAAACAGGTCAATATGTTAATGTCATAGCACAAGCAACGGTTATCAAGGTGCCCGGGATATCTGCTAAAGAGGCATTACTGAGTCCGGGAAATTTACTTGAATGTGAGATGACCGCATTTGACGAGATATGGGGACTATTCGTCAGCCTATGCTCAGGGGTGATGACTCGTGTCAGGCTTCGCGACCTGGTCGCATTCATTTGCTCCCTTGTGCCTGAGAAGACTCCCCGATTGCCTGGCAGATCTCAGCAAGAATCGTTCCGTTCTTTCGTGGGGGCACTGGGAGGGCAAGAAAGCCTTATAGACTGGCTCGATTCTATTGCCCAGGAGCCCAAAAGGGGCAACCCCAATCCTGAGGAATCTATATCAAAATTGCAAGAGCGTGTTCTGGCCTTGTTCCGGGACGTTTTGGCCATGCTCAAAGATACAGGTATATCAAGAGACGGAGATCTCCTGGTGATGGTTCTCACCAAAGAACTCAAGCCGGGTGTGTTGACCCTGTCTGCTCAACATCACCCTTGGACCAAGATATTAAGCGACTCGTCCACAACGGCCACCTTTGCCTGCGTATCTCCCCGGTGCTTTGAAACTGTGGACAGCAGATGTCAGAATGGTCAACAGATGCGCCCACGCCAGTTTCAACTGTCAACAAAACTAAACACCTTTAACCGGTATTATGGGGAAGGAGAAAGCTCTTCGGGGGCTCTCCAGGTTGGAAAAAGATACTGCATCAACACGTATCACTTGGACATGATAGCAAGAGTGGACAAACTACATGGACATCCTTCCGAAGAGCAATCGTTTTATTCGGTCTCGGCCAGGAGATGCCTTGTGCCACTGCGCATCACCCAACACATTCAGAAAAAGGAAGAATTGAGAGAGGAAAACTCGAGGACTGCTGCGAAGTGTGTCATTGCGGGCGTTAACTAGTCATATGTTAGTACATGGAAGACTACTTCTCGACTCTTTCTTTTCAATTCTGTCCAAGTACGAAGTATAAAGGAGACAAGCTCGCATAGGTACAGCAATATGGTGAATCCGCCCATGCCTCAACCCTAACCCCGATCCCACCGTGCACCACCTTGCTATATTAAGATCCATCCAGCACGCTTTAACAGCTCCAGAGTGAAAATGAAATAAAAGCAAAAACATACAACAGCTGGTATTCGCATGTGGTCACCCACCATACTACTAACCAGCCGGCGTGTGGCTTAAGTACGGCTGAGCGGACGGGAAGCCCTGTTTTCCACACCCTGTGGTCGTATGTACTACACGCAGTTCAAGAGTGGAATGGTGTAGATATAGTTGAAAGAATGGATCCGGGAGGGTATTCAAATGGACATTTTGCTGCTCGCCATGGAGGCACAACTGTCGTGGCTGGAATTGGTAAGGGGAGGATTATTTCCTGACTACGGGTAAGAATATATAGAATATATGAGGATATTTTAATAGTCCAAGACAAATGCAGGACGTTTATAAATGACGTTTGAGCGACTTGACTTCACGCAGTAATATATAAGGGATCTGCCACTCTAGTTCAGGGGAAACCAAGCATACTACTAATAATATCTGCTGTAATGCGTGTCTGATAACATTCCTTGACATGACCAGATCCAAGATTCTTATAGTGCGAGATAAAGCTCTAGAGCTTCTTCCTAACCTGAACCGGTTCCCCCAGCCCCTTTGCTCCAGCATGGTCAGACTCACCTAGATTAACACCCTTGAAAATCTAATTCACCTGCTTGAGTATCTTCTTGTTAGTCTCTATAAAAAGATATGCCATTCCCAGGATCATTACCCTAATTTACCCTGCTACTATTATATAATACTGCTAGCTAATGCCCGTGATTATAACAGGAAGTATGTACTGGTTTATCACTGAGAAGACATGCCTGATTACCTGGCTAATGCTGATGCTCTTGGCGCGCTGTAAGAAGTTAAGGACCTTGGGTAGGTATATACATAACAGTACTAGCCTGTAAGTAATAGTATAGATTTAGAGGATATAGCTGTACTATATAGATGATATTAAGCTAATAAAGATAAAGAGCATGGTAATAGAGCTATTTATATAGCCTGCTTTGGCAGTTTGTTTATAGGCGTGTCCGAAGCCGGCTATAAAGGTAAGGGTAACTATTATGAGGCTTGTTCCGCCTACTATTTATTTGTTGCTCAGTTCTCAAGTATTATTTGTTATAGAGGGGAGATATACGGAATAGAGTCTTGCGGCTGATCTTGTCCACCAGCACTGTTCTAATAAGCATGGCAGCCCATGTCCAGACGGAGATCCTGAGTGCAAGTAAAAGCACAGACTGTTAAACACTGATTCCGGCGTTTGTGATGATGAGACTCTGGAAGTAGCTGTAGAACTGGCTCTTAGAAGTTATCCTGACAGCTTCAAAGAAACAACTTACTGGATCGTGTATCCGCCTGTGATCTGGGAGAAGATGGATAATGAGCTTTCGTGGTAGTGGTGGTCCAGTTGATATAATGTTTAGCATTTTATATATTGTCTGATATACGTTACTGTAGCATTTCATTTCATCCAGCCCGCCTGACCATTCAATTCATAAGCCGCGCTTTCTTAGTAACTTAAGTAGTTTTCTATCCTTTTCAGAACATTTAGTCTAGTATTATAGGTAGATAGAACGCTGTGTCATCCATACAATCAGATACATTCGATAAACCCAGCTCGTTGGTGCGCAACCTGGAGAACCGTTTTGCACCGAGGAAATCGTTACAGTACACGGATCAGATCCTGAGAAATGCTCAAATATTAACCTTGGGTCTATTCTATAACTAGTGGTCTAGATCTGCGGAGGAGATAAGGAGAGGGTAGTATATTATAATAAGTATATTTCTTTCGTACTATAAATATATTATCCTGTCTTGTATATTATTAAAAGGAAGAGAATAGTTAAAGAGCAGTCTTGCCTAGGCAAGATTAAGATTATTCTAACTGCTAGAGCTTGAAGGGAGCTGCTATGTTATTTACAGGAAATTTAGGCCGAGAGCCAAGGAAGAAAATAGGAAGTTATAGAAACATCATTCAAGGATAAATGTTGAACACTATGTGGTATAACGAGTCCCACACTGGAATGCGTTTGGACGATAACAGACTTCCCAAACTTTGGGCTCATGGTGGAACGCTGGTGGACGTGTATCGTTCTTGTTGAGTCCATGCTGCGCTATAAAGACAACCTGACCTTTTCTCCAACCGAAGCGAGATTATAGTATTTTGGAAGAAGAAAGTCCTGCTCAGCTGATTAGCAGATTCGAATACAACCAATACCATGGTAACCCACCCAAGCTGTATGCCACAGAAGAGTTGAAACTGTCCAGACAGATGCTACGGAGCCTCCAACCCAATGATAAACAGTAGGCCGGTCCTTTAACGCATTATGCACAACCCTTTGTGCAAATTGGGCGACCTCCATCGCAGAAGATTGCGCTACACTGCCTGATAGGATATACTCCACCTCCTTTCGGGCAGGGCCATATATCGAGTGCTCGGGAAGTTGAGATTCCGGCAAGTTCTGGAAAAAACGCGTTCGCACCGTGCCACTTACAACGAGAATGACCTTTATCCCAAATGGCTCGAGCTCAATCCGAAGCTGATCTGTAAGCAGATTAACCGCAGCCTTTGATGCGTTGTAAAAGCCTTGGAAGGGGAAAGGCCCTTTCCCGGCTATGGAGCCAATGTTAATCACAGCTCCCTTGGATGCCATCAGTAGAGGCGCGAAGGCTTGGGTGACAGAAACCACAGCGAGGACATTCACATCGAACATCCTTCGCGTCACCTCGATATTTGCATCCAAGAGGGGCATGGAGTAGCCTGATTATATTAGCACTCTATAACTGGGGAATGGCACGGCCTTCGCACCTGAGCCCGAGTTATTGACAAGGAAGTCCAAGGACCCGCCGGTAGCTGTCCGGACGGTCTCAACGGCGTTGCTCACGGAGTCCTTGTCAACGACATCCAGCTGTATTGTTTCTAGCCCCATTGCCTTGAGCTGTTCCATTTTCGCGGGGTCTCGCGCTGTTGCGAACACGCGAAGCCCTCGGCGGGAGAATTCCTTAGCGAGGGCATCGCCTATCCCGCCTTCACTGCAACCGGTAACTAGGACAGATTTTGGTGACATCCTTGGCTGAGGTGGCAATGCTAGTGGAAGAGGCTGCTTCAAGGAGTGAAATATACACCACTCGGCATTCGGTAGTCGGTGGTCGGTAGTCGGTGGCCGGCGCTGCGATGACCTACTACGCTGTCTCGAGTTAGTACATCATAAAATATAGATAGAGTCTATCTTTGTTAGTGTACTCCTTTCCACGATCTAGAAAGGGCTTGGTTTAATACAGTATAGTTGCCCTGCTGTAATAATAGCAGGTACTTCTTTCATCTATACATTTTAGTAGTCTCTGGACCCCAGACCCAATTTACCCCAGAGATTGTTCACTGCCGCCAGCCTGTTTTGAGAGAGTCCGTGACATATTTGGCTCCATTAAGTCGAACTTTCAAACTTCAAGGATAAAAAGTGTCCATTTTGGACCATCGACCGGTTATCCATGGAGCTTCACAACTGGTTGGCATAACTTCAATTCATCAGTTGTGAAGCTGACTAATCGTACCACCCCTGCTGCCATTATTTGATTGGCTGGCAGGGACCTCGGCTGCCATCCATGGCTTCGACATCTCTCCCTCTGCCTTGATGCTTCTTTTCATCATCTCAGTCTGTGCTCTACCATCATAATCAAACGATGTCAGGCTTTCCCCGCATGCGTGCACGAGTCATTTGTCTCATCTGTCATGATCGCAAGGTAAGGTCTCTTCACATACACATTTGCTCCAAGCTAAGCGGACTGCTAGGTCCGATGCGATCTTCAAAACTCGCCAGACAAAACATGCAGCAACTGTCACCGGATGGGACAAACATGCGTGTAGGTGTTTCGCCTGGTCGTTGAATCTGACCATCCATGCGTTGGAAGGGCCCCTTTTTGATGTTGGTCTAGCCCGCGCCAGAGCCGGCGTATGAGGTGCCGCACGCCTGTACGTGCCTCGGGGCACAGTCTTCGCGGAGATTTCTCTACTACGACAGGCGGCGTTGCTGGGATTGTGTCGCCTGTAGAAACAGAGCACGACATTGGAGCTGCCGAAAGCTATATCGCTTCGGAATCAGTGCTCTTCGAGGAGACACCCCCGGATACCTCTCATCCACCGTCTTGGAACCATTGGAGGAGAATCGAGGAGCAGCTTCAAGCAAGTTGCCAGCCCGATGCATTTGCTCCGCTGGAAGAACCCCACCGCCAGGCTCTTCTAGATTCTTTTGCTGCACACTCTGCCCCTTGGTACCCGTTTGTGACTGCGTTGCAAATACACGATGCTCCGGCGCTTCTTCAAAGAGCATTGATGCTATCTGGAAGCTTGACCCGCCGCATTGATACTGTGGAGGATCTGCGGCTTCCTTATACTCTCTACATCCAGGCGAAGGAATCTATCTATGCAAGCAGTGGTAGGAACCCTATTATATTACTGATGGCGATCACAATCACAGCGTGCTGGAGCCTGCGCCCTCCATCGGTTGTTAGTCTGGATGGACCGTGGCATTGGGCGGGTCTTGCTACACGCCTGGCCCTGCAACTTGGTTTGCACCGTGAAAGAACGTATTCTCATCTTCAGAGTCCCAACGAGTGCCGACTAATATGGTATCATTTGATGGTTAGTCACTAATCGGAGTGATGGATCTTGCCATGTCGCTGACTGTCTTGCCGGTTTAGGATAGCGATGTCCTTCAAGCGGCCTGCTGGGGAAGGCCGTGTTTTATCCAAACCAGCTTCCAAGACGTCGAGCTTCCACCGGACTCGGACAAGGATAGCATCAGCCTACGGGTATTCAAGTCGGTTACCCGGCTCCTCCTGGTACTTCGGCAAGTGATTGAGTTCAAACTCGTGGAGCTGCCGGCGATTCTGGCTGCTCTAGGGGACTGGCACGAAGCTGTTGCGCCGTCGCTAAGACTGCACAATGCAGCCGGCCACCGCAACCAGTACACCAAGCAGGTGAACGAAATGTTCATCATCTACTTCGCAATCATCATTCTCGTCTTCTTCCGCCACGACATGAATGCCAGCCACAGTAGCCCCCACCAGCGCACCAGCGTATCGCCGGCGACAATCGCCGCATCCTCATGCATGACCCGGCTCTACGAGGAGATCCACCAGCACGAAGACAGCGCGCGCCTCGGCTCAATCCACGGCTTCTTTCTCATGCTCGCCGCCATCCCACAGATCTTCCACTACACGCAGGTATCCGAGAAGGACTGTCTGCGCGAGCGCTCACTGGACTTGATCTGTGCGGTTCTGCAGAACCTCCAGGTCAAGTACGGCGGGTGCAACATGGTGCTGCAGAAGATCTCGAAGCTGCGCACCGAGCCACGAGACTTCAATTCGTCGCAGTTGCAGCCAGTGACCATGAACGAGGAAGGAATCCCAGGGACGGTTCCGTTCCCTGTATCAGGCGTGGACCAGCTCTTCCCTTTCCCCACGGGGTTCGCGCCGAACCTTGACCTGTTGCACGCATGGGGGTCGCAGAATACTGCGGGGCAAAGGGACATGTTGATGGACCTGCTTTCGTTTGAGAGCTCGCTGGTGGATTGGTCCGGGGATGTTGGCCTCGGTGTGGCGGATTTTCCTCAGCAGCTGTTTATGTAAGGGACTGTTGAGTTTTCCCTTCTACCTTTGTATATTAGCTCTATGTAGCCCAATTCCAGTCATTCATCGCCTGGTTGATGGTTTCTATACCTATAGGAAAACTGCAAGTCTCGCTTGTGGGAAAGAATAAACGCCGCATTTCTTCTAATGCAAGGGAGATATCTGGTCGCCCACATCTAGCCTAATATCTAATGCGCATTTACCAACACAAGGTGAGAGTACTCATTTCATCAAAGCAACAACTCATTGCACGTTGTTATGCTACAGTACAGGACAGTGGCCTATCATGAGGGTTTGTTTTTGAACTTCATTAGGATATCCGTCTCAAATGTACCCTTCCAGTTAGAGATCTCAAGCAAAATAAACACATTTAGTGATTAATGTCACAGAGTCGCCGACGCCTTTGCCCTGTCAAGTCTATGCCACACCAGCACAGCCGTGGTCTTCGCCCCATCCTAATCTTTGGTTGGCCACTCTTGCACAAACCGACACCTCCCACAGAGAGAGAGGATACACAAAAAGCCCCCGGAAGAACAATACTCTGCATCGGCCGCAGGGCAAATGTCTTCTCACCGTCGCGCAGCTCCCACCTGCGCACCTGCGGCCTCCCAACCCAATTCGGATCCAACGTGATCTCGACCTCCGTTGCCAGCAGTGCCTGCACCTCCTACTTCTCATCGTCTCCCTTATACAGCTTGAAGGGCCCGCAGTACGTCGTCATCGCTCGCGCAGGCCCACGAAACGGACTCGATGGGGGATGCGGCCTCGCGCGACGTCAGCGTGCATGACATGTAGCCGTCTGCTGTGAAGGTGATTCGACCGAGGGGTGCGTCACCGAGAGGGTGGAGGGACCTGGGAGGTAGACGCCGAAGGTTTGGAGGGCCCATGTGCCTGTTATTGGGAGTGGTTGGGAAGACATCGTGTTTGGCGGTCTTCACGTTGAGGCTGAGGTTGGGATTTGGGGAGATCGAGACCTGCTATAGCACAATGGCAGTGATGGGGCTTTATAGTAGTCTTGTTCCATGAATCTGCCAGCTTTAGTGCCTTAGTAGACAGCAGGAGCATTGGAGCAGTCACTATACCGGCTGGCAGCGTTGACTACGCCGACTGCCGAAATACAATTATTGCCGTCGATCTATAACTATAGCTATGTTTATATCAAGTTCTCTGGGTGGGATATCTTAGGCATATTGATTCACTGAGTGGTAGAGTAGTTATATTTACGGTTTGAAATCCAGCAATTCAAGAAACAGGTTCATCTTTCAACTATTGGGCGAATACTTCTATTCCAGAGAGGCCAGTCTGTTGCTATACAAATCACATTGAGTTGAGATTCTCACGGGAGAGCTACACGGACAATACTCGTAGCAATCACTTAACCACAGACCATTTCAAAGCAAGTTAAAGTCGCGTCTTCTCAGCAGAGAAAAAGAACGACCAATCCATACGCGCGAGGGATTCCTCTGTCAGAACAAGCGCAGCCTTCGCCTCCTCACTCATCAAATTCTGTGCCCGCACAACAGGGAAATCCGGCATGTTATACAGATCAACCCCGGCCTCGCGCAGAAACCCGAAGAACCGCCACTGGCTCGCCTGCTCCTCGCCCATCAGCGGCCACAGCGCGCAGTACTGCTCCATCGACAGCTGGACGACCATGGTCGACTCCGGCTCCGGGCTGACTTTGCTAGCGCGGCCCCATGCTGCGAGGTATTTGGCCAGCGTTAGGTCCTCCACATTGCAGTGTACGTAGCTGCCTGCTGCTGGCGGGTTGGTGACCACCGCGTGCACGAAGATTCCGGTGTTGACCCGGTGGTCACCCATCGAGGGGTAGGGGGTCTCTGGCGGGGCTGGGTAGAACTGGATCCATTTCTGGGCCGTTTCCTGGTCTCATATTACTACTTATATCCGGTTTAAAGAGGGGATCATGCGCAACTCACCAGATACACGGGCCGAAAGATCTCGTACAAGAGCACATTGGCGGCAAAAATAGTAAAAACCACAAACGCCGTCTTCTGATACAACCCAGGAAGTTTGCTCTTGATAAAGACATCGACGTTCGCCTTCCCCTGGAAATGCGGCACGACCGCAGCGCCCTGCGTGTACAGCTCCGTATTCGGCAGCGTACTCCAAACGAACCGTTCCAGCGAAGGTATCTTGGCCGCGGCGCGCGCGATATTCGTACCCTGGGCGGTCTCGCGCGCAATGGACTTGTCCGGCCCGATGTCGAAGAAGTAGTCGTAGTAGTCCGTGAAGGCGAAGATGGCGTGAGCGCCGGCGAAGGCACGCTCGAGGCTAGGCTCGTCGTCGGTGTTTGCTTCGACGACTTGGACGCCCTTGTCGCGCAGGGAGCGTGCTTAGGCGCTGCTTGTGTTGCGGGTTAGACCACGTACGCGCCAGCCGGGCGCGGACAGGAAGGTGTTTACGACTGAGCCGCCTTGGCCACCGGTGGCCCCAAGGACGACGATAAGTTTGGACATTCTGATGGAGAGAGGATCGAGGAATGGGCAAGTGAAACGGACGCTTGAAGGGTAGCGTGGTGAGGACCGTGTCATCAACGCAGGGCTGGTTGATATATGTCTAGTTCTCGATTAGTATCTCTATCTAGGTCACTGTACCTAGGCAACCTTGATAGACTCGTCATTCGGCAGTCGGCACATCTCGGTGAACCAGGTCTCTGTATACTTCGGTAGACTCGGTGCTCGGTATACATTGTATATGCTCAGCCCAACATCAAGAAATCATGGGCCCCTCCCTACGCAGCGTTGAATAAATGCAGCCAGAAATGCTTGTCCAGCTCCGCATCCCCACGATTGAACCACTATCACTACGACGATGAGTAGTCACTCCAGGCTCGTTCAGCTCACCTCCCACCTGGCGCCGCCGCCGCCAGATATCTCCAGCTCCAAGCGCTCATACACATACACCGTCCTCGAAGAGCCCCTTGTGTGATCGCACCGAACCCGCATAATATGCATCGGCGCGGAGCCTGCATATTTAGGGAATGGGCTTTCAGAAAGCAAGGAGTTAGATGGCGGGGATACGGCATGGTACCTTGATAGCGGGCAGCTGGTTGATGTGTAGCTCTGTACGAGGTAGAGTTGGCACTTATGGTGTTTTATAGCAGCAACACATCCAGCGGTCCTTTCACTTCTAACTGTGTCCATAATGGTGGCTTATATAACTCGGGTGGGTTCTGCTTGTGCTTAGGGCATGATAAATACTGTCTTGCCGGAGTCGCCGGGCTTGTAACGATCTATTATACTCCGAAGATACATTGACAGCGTGGTCACTCACGCGGACTGAATACAACAGGAAGTCCAGGCCTTTCATACGACAGGGTGAAGCGGTCAAGGGCCTTTGGCACTGATTGCCCCTTGGGAAGGCTGAGGTCGTAATTGCGGAACATGTAGGCGAATGTAAGAGCAATCTCCGCCGGCGCAATACTTCAACATGTTAGACCCATACTGTCTGCAGATCTATTCACGAGGGAGAAGACTCACTTTTGGCCCAAGCACATACGTGCCCCCTTGGAGAAGGTACACATCCACTGATCTAGTCCCTTGGACGCAGGTCCAATCCACCGATCGGGGTTAAACTCTCGGGCATCAGGTCCCCAAGCGTCCACAGAATTGTGCATGGTGTATGTTGACATGCCAACAATTGTCTAACTGCTGTCAGTAATGGCCTCGCTACTGTCAAACCGGTCATCACTTACACCTGGAGGCACGACTTTGCCTTCTACGACGAATGCGTCCCCGGCGGGGACAACCCGGGGTAGACGGCCAGGAACAGCCATTCCAACACGAATGGATTCCTTGACGCATGCCATCTGCTAGATGTCAGTATCTGTCCATTCATGGATTCCATCTATCCGGCACATACCAAGTATTCCACCTTTTCCAAGGACTGCAGTGGGATCGACGACCCAGGCTCTGGGATCGCCTCGTCAATTGCCCGAATAAGCCGCTCTTTGAGCTTTTCATTTGAAAGAATATGATAGAACCCAGTGGTGAGTGTCGATGCTGTCGTATCCGCCCCGGCAATGAGGATATCCATAGCCTCTGAAACCTTTGCATCATCTGGGATTGACTGTAGACTGTCGAATATAACCGGATGGGAAGACATTTCTGACGACTGCTGCCAATGGCGCATGGACGTTCCCGCATACTTCATTGATCTGTCAGACTTGTATCTTGAACATTTAGTCATATAGTTAACACACCTTTTGCAGGTCGAGCATGGTGCTCAGCTTACGGTTCAACAGCCGCACAACACCAGGAGGAAGTATTCTGACGAGCAGCCGGAGAAATGCACTATATTGAGTATCAACTACGCTCTGAGATGCAACGTCAAAAGCGTCCAGAAACCAAGAATCCAGATCATCCGGTTTCTCCTCGATGAGATTGGCCGATTTGGCAAAGGCAAACTCGGTGATGATTTCCGTGGTGAGAAGTCTATATAATATTAGCAGTCAGAACTAAGGAAAGATTGCGTGAAACACCAACGTACCGCATCGCGTTATAAATATCAATTTCCTTCTTATCGCAAAGTCTGTTGATTTTTGCAGAGAGCAACAGTATCTTCTCACGGATAAGAGGCTCCAGCTTGTAAACACTAGCTTTTGAGAATGAAGGGTTCAGCATGCGACGACGCTCCTTGTGTAAGACGGGATCGAGTTCGGCAAACACTGTATGGGGAGTATTAAACCCGTCGTAGAACGGGGCGTGCTTTAGAAAAGGCTTCGACTGGCTGTAGATCACTTTATACAGTTCAATATCGGTAATGTGCAGCTCGTTCGGTCCGATGCGAAGTGCCTTGGTGTCTTAAGCGGTTAGAACCATATCCAGAATTGTAGTTTTCGGCATTTAGAAGAAATGGCCCTACTATATTTCTCGTGAAGCGCCTCTAACTGTTCCTCGGCTTTTCCGTCCTTCGTTATCTGGTATAACCAATCTTCCGAGACACACGCCTCTTGGAGACCCTTGAAGGACTTGAGGGGATGCCAGTGTAGGCGGTATGTTCGACGGAAAAGCCTATAAAGTGCCACAAAAAAGAGACCCAGAACTAGAGCTGCTGGCACTGGGAGCTGGGTCATCTTTCCCGCGGTAAGTGGAATTTTGTAGTCTGGCATTTTGGCGGCCTGCTGTGGATGTATATACGATAGCAGTCAGACGTTGCAAGAATGTTGCCAGCAGGCCGGCGATCAACTACATTTATCAACAGTCCAAGCACTCCACTTATGAAATGAGAATAGAAATCTACGCCTTGCAAAACGACTTCAATCTTCGGACCCCCGCTGCACCCCCGTCGGACCGGCCCCGCCGCCTCCACCCCAAGTCCGATACCTGAGCCCGAGCGACTACTGCTAGCCCAGAGAGTTAATCTGCAATTTGTACGGAGGTCTGCAGTTAGAAACTCTAAGACTCCGAATAAATGATACGTTCAAGAAAGCCTCAACGTGGCGCATTGCCGTGTCTAGTCATGGAATTCCTATTGTCTCATTTTAGGGCCATTCACACTGCCCTAATTTACCATCTAGTACACATATTATTGTAATTGCAGGATGATGGGTTGACGTACTGGATATGAAACATGCCATAGAATCAGATGATCGATTGAAGATCACTAGACTAGACATAAGGGACAATAAGACACGAGCTCTCCTCCCCTCTATCACCGCAGTGGATGGTATGAACCCCAGTATTTCTGCCCTGTACCTGCCTGACACCTGGGATCGGAAATGGAAGTAACGGATTTCCAGACACCGTGAGCTCCATGACATCCCCTTTCTAGTCCAGTCAGTGCGATTTGCCGGCTCGACTTGTTAAATGCAGAACATACCTTCCAATACATGCCGTATGGACGTAGCGGTATCTCCACAGCTCGAACTTCACCCTTCGTCAGGGGAAGACATCCCTTGTGTTGATAAACTGGGTCGAACGATGTAGACAGCTCACTACGATGCTGGCCATGGCTAACTCTGAGCTGGCCACTTGGGCCCCAGTGAAATAACATACCGAATTGATGCATTCCAAAGTGCCAGTCATGCAGCAGCTTCAACAGTTTGACCACTAGAATGTTATCCGGCCGGATGGTGAGAACGCCCTGTCTATATGGAGGGCTGCCACGCAGGCAGCACACTTGAACGAACAAGTCCATGTCAGTATCGACTGAGCAGGATATTAGCAACCGCGCGCGAAAGTATCCCGTCGTTTCCATATCCTGGGTTATACAGTGTCGGAATGTGGCTTTCCCAGTCCCTGAGTCGTATGAAACTCGACCCTGTGATGCCAGAGCAGACCGGACCATATTCCGATCAGGCGTCAGATACAACCTTTGATACCTCGTCCGAGTCAGTGGCCACTCGACCTCTGCCCTATTCACGGTGTCGTCCAGATCAGAGAGTCCAAAGTTCAGGATACTGAGCCGCACCCTAGGTGTTGCTAGCCAGCCATTATCCACGGTACCTTTTAGAAAGCAATCAAAAAACCGCTTGAGGTCACGGCAACTCGAGTCAGCGTAGTAGTCGGGCCATTCCATAGAATTGTGCACCCGAAGCCACTTTGGAACCGATTCAGGGATTTCCCTGAACGCTCGTAGTGTCCCTGGGGTATGGATTGGGTTTGTCCATGAGCCCACCACGTACGTAGGAACATTTATATAGGCGCACTGGGATCGTTTGTCCTCCCAGTATTCATTCCAGAGCGGATGGCTGTTGACCACTCCAGAAACATCTTCCAGCTTCCCGTAGCTGGAGAGTGTGTCTGCCTTTGTCATTCTCATTCACACTGGCAGTCTAATATGTTGCTTACCGGCGACGGAGTCATTGAAACCGGTGAATGGGATCCCTCCTTGACACATAATGTCACGATAGATGTCTTGTAGCCCTTCCCTTATTCGAATAGCGTCAGTCACTTTCTGACCACGAAAGGGTAATAAGGGGAAGGGCATGAAAAGATGAACGTGTATACTAACCACGGTGCGAGTGCAGCCAGGCCTTCAGGTCGCAGACTTCCAATCTTCCACTGAGACATGGCCAGCCAACTGTTTCCAGTGAGCCCAACCTTTCCATTACACCAGGGCTGCCTCGACAGCCAGGTTACAAATTCAGCTCCATCCTGAGCCTCCTGGTGTCCCATCATCATAAGATCACCCTCGGAAGTATACGCCCCGCGGGTATCAACATTTACCACTGCATATCCCTCTGTACACCAGACTGCAGGATCGGGGCCTTCCCATTTCTGGAGGCCTGATACCCAGTGCTTTGGAACGCCGGCACGGAATGGAAAGTCGTCTAACAGAGCGCAGCCCCTCTGCTTGCCATACGGGCTCCTAATCGGAGCATTAGCCGGGGGTTTGATTCCAGTGTTCTTAGGATGATGCTGATGTCAACTTACCATGCCACCAAAGCAGGGATTTTGCAGCTCTGTTCTACGACATCAAGACTCTCATAACCCGCTGGAAAGAAGATGTCGCAGTACAGCTTGGTACCGTCCGAAAGAACCATAGGCACACTCTCGTGCATAACAATGTCTATGGGTAATGGCTTCGCGCCCTTTTGCACCTGCTGTCCGGCTTTGAAAGTTGTCAATCCCTGGCGAAATCCGGGGAAACGGGCCTTCGGGTTCTGTGGCGATAAAGCATGGCGGAATTGGATATAGCCTTTTGCCTTTTCCTTATTTTCTTGACACAAGTCCAGAAACTCGGCGTGGGTATCAAGGTCCGACATGGCGTATGTTCAATAGGACGGCTTGGAGGCTTAACTATAGAGCAGAGATCCGGCCAGAGCACTTAGGTATCCTTCAGATGCAAGAGAGTCATACCACCGTTATGAATCGTGGTGAGTGGGGGATTGCGGGGAGCCGACGGGGGCTTGAGGGGCCGACAAGATGTGGACAAAAGGATGCACAACCAATTCAAGCGTATAATGTCCACTGTCAATTTATGCTCGATTTTTACGTCTGTACTCACACCGCCACACATCTACTCCCACTGAGCTGGTTGATATCATGGCAAGTCTTCGGGTTGCAAGTCCTGAGCCCCAAGGGGAATCCGGTTCCTGCGTTGTGGAGGAGCTTTTGGCTAGAGGTTGCGGCGTTAATTGAAAGATGTCACAAGGCAGGACTAGTAGTGAAGCGACTAAATCGAACTTTTTCATCATTAGAATAAATATTTTGATCTGCCCTAATTCCACCGCGGCTTCCCCGTGTACAAGAATTGGCCCTAAAGCTGAATACATTGTGCCGGTACTTTAGAAGCAGAAATCTCTGCTGGGGTTCTATAAATTAGAAATAAATACTATATTGATACCTATTACTTAGATATGGTATCAAGGGTGGACCGTAGATATCCTTCCAAAGAGTATTCTGTCCCGGCTAAGACGCATTGCTATATATTACCGAGCACATTCAGAGAAAGGCAGATTGAGAGAGGAAAATCAACAGCCGCTGTCAAGTGTGTCATTGGGGGTCGTTAACTAGCGATACTTCAATATTGTTCCGGAATCAACCGTCATGGAAAGCTACTTCACAACTCTTTCTTTTGAATTCTGTCAAAGTATCAAGTCAAAATCTGATGGAAGTGCAACGCCATCCTGGTGGCAGGGAGAAGGCAGACCAGAGTCACTCCAGCCTCCTTCCCAGCTGACCTGCCCCGTGCCAGGTGGCCATGATGATCCTTACTGGATCTTTCCCGAGTAGGAATCTGCGTGGCTCAAGGATAAGCAAAGGAATAAGATCTATCGATGCCCTGGTGGTGAGGTGCGTAACCTACATAGTTTTAAAACCAAAAGGTCGTCCTCTGTATCTTAGTACCCTTATAGACTTGGTAGGCTGTTCTGCATGAAACCACCACCTCTATATGTTCCTCTCTGAGACATCCTATGTTACTTGCCGATACAACGGCACTCTTTTTCTTTATAGCCTCGCTGCCGATCAATCGCGACGCAATGACACCCGCCCCGCGCCGGGGCGCGAGGCTGAGCACAACACAAAACCTATCGATTCCCCTCCTAAAGAGCGTTCATCACATCTTTTTACTTCTACACTGATGAGATTTATTGTCAACGTATATAGAGTCGAAGACATCGCCGAGCATGGTCGAAACTGAACGCTGAATGGAGGCTGGATCTCCCATCCCCGAGGCAAGTCCAAGTCAGATCCAACGGTCACAGAAAGCGGCCTCACGCTGGGAAACGCTGAACCTTGATACATGGTTCTGGGCGCTCTTTGCAGTCTCGTTCAGCGTGCTCTGCCTGATCGCGATCCTCTGCATCCTGCTGGTTTACGACGGCAAGGCATCGCCCAGTCTTGCGGGGGTGAAGAATCCGCTGTTGGTCCTGGGCTAGGCAGAGTTAGAGTTTACTTTTGATCCATCTGGGGCATTCGCCGCACATCCGGAGAACGGATTCAGGATTGAGCGAGTCACGGAATGTGCGATCGCCATGTGTTCCAGAATGTACAACACCGTCGTCGAGTTCTATCATACACCTGGCTACGGATGGAGCTTGGGGCTGCCCCCGTGGGACAAGAGCCAGACCCTACAACGGATTGAGCTCCACTCCATCTGAGATTTCCCACCTCTTTCCGCCTTGTTCCGGGTCTCCAAATAAACTCCATTGAAATGTCCAAGTAACAGAGTTAGCTAATATTAGACTAGGCTCATGATGACAATAGTTAAGGGGGGGTCGCTATTGCAACTATTACAGGCAAGGCTTAGAGCGAGCAAGTTATGTGATAGCTCACTATAGGAGAGCCGGAAGAAATAGAGTATAGAAATAGTCATCAGTTTCGCGGTATGACAAACCTATATACAGCTAGTCATGGATACGTGGGAGCACAAAGAGATCCCAGAACTCGTCAAAATTGGTCGTTTGCGTGGCACCAACTGAGCATCCTTTCGCCTCTCTCACTGTGGCACCATTTCCCAAATACGCAAACCGGTTGATCCTGGCTTCCGGGGCTCGTTCCATTCTGAAGTCTTCCCAGCGCGGGTTCTTCATTGCCTCTAACAGGTGAAAGATGGATCCCCCATAGATAGCAACAACCGGTCCGTCGACTGTCCCACGCTTGTACCAGCTGCGACATCCTCCTGTCCATACTGTGCGTTCAAGGTACTTTTGGATGTGCTGGTTATATTCTTCGTTAACGTCGTCATGAACTTCAAAGCTGCGGATGCCTTCTGTCTGAATTTTCTCTAGCCACTTATAAATATAAACGGCGACTGCCTGTATCCCGAGGATAAGGGAGCCGTTTGCCAAAGGGGAATTAGGTCCAACAAAGCCTGTAGGGTTAGAGAAAGTTCCGTCATAATAATGAGGGAGACGTACAAAAGTAATTTGGAAAATCAGGCACGCACATCCCCAGATATGCCTTGGGAATGTCATTTGTCCACTTCTCCGCCATGTTCACGCCATTTCTGCCTTCAACCCGGACCGCAGGTTTGAACGATGTGTCGAAGCCAGTGGCGCAGACGATAACATCATACTCTATTTCAACTCCGCTTCGGGTCTGGATCCCTCGCTCCGTGATCCGGTCAATGTCATCCCACCTCATGTCGATATTATCTCGTATTAAAGCTTCAAGAAAGCCAGGCCCGGGGGTCTGCCGACGGCAGCCAACAGGGAAGGACGGCACTAGCAGCTGGGCGAGTTTTTTACCCTTCTCACTATCCCCAAGCCGCTCAGTCATGGACTTTCGGAAGAGTTCTTGCGCCTGTTGTTGCCCCGGGGAGTCAGCAATAACCCGATTATAGTTCTGGGCTCGCCGGTCCATCATAGCGGCACGATATTGGCGGAGGACTTCGGGGTCTTTAAACAGCTCAAGCGAGTTATCAGAGAAGTTGTACTGCTCGTCCATTTCTGGATCCTTCGCTGTCGGCTCGTTGATCCCGGGGGCGGGACTGATCCAGGTCTGCGTACGCACGTAGCAGTCCATACTTTGCACCACTAGCAGTAATCAATTCCTCGTCAGCTGCAGTCTGAAGTATAAGGGCACCCTGGAAAATACCACTAGCAAGCTTGGGGACAATCTGAATGCCAGACGATCCAATCCCAATACAAGCAACCCGCTTCCCGGCGAAATCATAAGACGTATCCCAGCGTGCTGAATGCATCAGCTTGCCCTGGAACGTTTCGATGCCCTCAATCGACGGCCACCTCCAGTTGCTAAGGGATAATAGGTCAGCCATCGAGCCCGATATATTTGATGTACGTAGAACGTACTTCAGCACTCCACCAGCGTTGATATAAACGTCGCATTCATCCTTTTGCACAACGCCGTTTTCATCCCTTACCTGGATCTCCCATTTGCCTTTCATTTCGTTCCAAATGGCCGATTCAACAGAGTGCCGCAGCCTGATATATTTCTCAACCTCGTACTTCTTAGCGACGTCTTTCATGTAGCAGTGGATCTGCTCCGAGGTGGCATAGTAATTAGGCCACCCCGGGTTGGGCTCGAAGCTATACGAGTAGTTATGGGCGGGAATATCGCATTGACAGCCAGGATACCTATAACCACGGTTAACGTTAAAATAAACAGCTCCTCGGGTTTATGATAAATTCACTTACCGGTTCTCAAACCATGTCCCTCCCAAATCCTCGTTCCGCTCGTAGATCACGAATTCTGCATTCGCATCCTTCATTCTCTCGTTGAAGACAATACCCATCATGAGCCCCGAGTATCCTGCACCCAGGCATACTACCCTGATTGGTCTGCGGCTGCCGATGGGCTGTTCGAGAATGGTGTAGTTCGGGTCGAGATGTATATTATTTCGACCCTTTATGTCGTTATTGCAGGTACCTGCACTGAAGTGCTCAGTCGCCGGTTCTGATATCACCGAGGGTGCCATATCGGTGAATATCCTGTGTTAAAAGGCTAGTCCCGTCCACGGTTGTCGAAAGTTGGGTGCGTAGAAAGATATATTTCCACCCGCAACAGAGACCTGCCGTAGAATGATCCTTATTGTAGAGTTTACCGCATCGGGATAGCCGACTGAGAGCCGATGGACGCCGCCATGTTTGCGGGGCCCCAGAAACCCCTCCTGGATGTTGTACGACCTGGTGATGAGGCGGCGAAGTGTATGCTAGCCGAGGTTATATGCGTGGTCGGAATATGCACCCTACTATGCGGCCCAGATATATCCTCAGCACTAATTGGAGTGTACCTCTCCTGCCACTAAACTATAGCCCGTAATGGGATACAAGGCATGTTCATTGGCACAGCTAGAATTACACCTACTTAACTCTTCAAAATACATCGACAGAAAACTGGCCTGACGCGACAGATTTGGTGCAGGCCCATTGAATACCCTCCACCATAACCTCATCCCATCGCTTGCAAACCGAAAGCTTATCCCCAAAGCGACGAAATCCATGTGGGACTCCTTTGAAGACGTTGACAGAGGTGGCGACGCTGCACATAAGTCAGTTCATGGTTCATTTATATAAATATAACCTGGGGCACTCTACCCATTCTCCGCGAGCAGCTTTCCATATAGCAACCCCTCATCGCGAAGAGGGTCATACCCCGCAATTCCAAGCGTAGTAGGTGGGATGTCCCTTGCCTCCATGGGCGACAAGAGTCCAGGGTTAAGTCGTTTGTCCCTTGGGTCAGGGTTCTCGACTTGCAACAGGTCACCAAACAGCTGTTTCTTTTGGCGATTCAGGATCGGGGCGTGAGCATTTTGATGATATGAAGAAACACTGGGACTCTTGATCTGTTGGAGTTGCGGCTCATAGCATTTTGTGTACACGAGACATGGGATCATAAGAACCTGCCCTATGATTTGGCCACGGCACAGACCCGCTTGGGTTAAGGATGCAGCCAGCCAGGCACCGGCTGATATACCGCCGATGATGATCTTCTCTCGATCCCCGTATATCAGACTCGAATTGTGGCAGACCCAAAGCAAGGCGTCCTCTGCATCGTTCCAAGCTGTGGGATATGTGTATTCCGGCGTATGGCGGTAGTTGATATTGAACACAACAGCCCTAGCGTTGACTGCAAGCCGGGAACAAATGGCATCTTCGGAACTGAGTGTACCAAAGAGGAATCCGCCTCCGTGGAAGTGTATGTAGACGGGAAGTGTCTGGGTAGGACATACCGCCGATGGACGATAGCTCCTTGCCTCTAGATCGTAACCATCACGAGTAGCAATAGAGTAGTCTTGCATCGACACTTGTACGGAGAGGCCCTCCAGCTCCATATCTCTCTGCGCGGCAGCCTCCCTGTTGAGATTCGTCGTTCGTTTCAGCTCGGCTATACTTTGCTTTTTCGGCTCTGGCAATGTGGCCTCAACGCGGAGCCATTCTTCGCTTGGGGTACCGTACTCAGAGAAATCGCACATAATGGTGGAATTCAGCAATAGGTGAGCACAGTTTTGAGGCGGAGGCTGCCTTTCTTGGGCTGAGGATGGAATTTTAAACACCCTGGGACTAAGCCTATTAAATAAATGCCGGCTACAAATGCATTATGGTATTAGCAAAACAGGCTGGCCGTTATTCACCCGCTTTATTAGCCGACAGATGTACATATGACTCGGCACAGATCAAATAAAAGACGCGGGATCAACCCAGCTATCTAACCCTCCCATAAAATCCTGAAAATGTGGAATGGAGCTAAATGCCGTTTCATCAACCCCATTCCAAAACTCAACATCAATATCTTGGCCGGCCAGCAGCCTCTCAGCAACAAGGCTAGTTTGGGCCGTGACGAACGGAAAATACTCCATCCAGTCGATACCGCTTTGCAGAACCTGTTGCTCCGAATGAAGAGCCCGAGTCGACTGTTCGTTTCCCAGATGGCGGTTGGGGAATTCCTCCGGACTGAGGCAGCGGTTGTCGGAACGCAATCTGTCGAAGGTCTGCTCGAAGACTGCAGCAGTCGCCCACATGCCTTTTAGCTGCTTTATGGCTAGCATGAGGATCTCCAAGTCTGCAAGGGCCCCTTCTTTAAGATGCTCGCTTCGCGAGGCTTGCAGGAGCCCGATGAAGCCCATCCCAACGTACCAGCAAGTAATGGGCATGAGAAATCGGACTTCGCTTCGCATTAGGACGTCCTTCAGGATGCGTGCGGTGCATGACCCAGCTAGCGTTGCTGGTGGTAGAGCCTGTGGGAGAGATTGCGCTGATCTAGTAAGATGAAGGACTACGATTACGGCGAGATAGGGGAGATGCATTTGGTGAATGTCCCGGCTGAAGTTAGGTGTATGGACTTTACCGATTGGAAGCTGTAAATGTTGAGGAAGCGACCTGATCCATTCAATCAGGTCCATCCCCAAGTCTACAGGAAGGGCAGCCCTAGGAGATGTGGGTGCATTTGCGTATCGCGACAGTTCTTTTGCAATGCGCCCAATGATGGTGCAAAGGCGGACCCAGTGTATAAAGACCTCGGCTCTGGTTTTATCTTCAAGTTCAAGCTCGCAGAAGTCCTCCAGCGATGGTGGCGGTATGTTGCAATCGTCAGGGTCTATGAGACATGGCTTACCCTGGCAAATTGCCGTGAGCCGTTCGCGGGCCTGGTCTGTCAGTAACAGTGGTCTGATCACATTGAATAACTTACAAATGCCGTCCACCAAATCCGCCGCTTGCATGCGTACTCTATGTCTGACTGTCCTTTGCCAGTAGTAGCTTCGCGATGAAAACCAGCCTGCTGGGCTAGTTTGATGATGATTCCCGTCCACCACCAGGACGAGTGCTTGTGGGCTACAGACGGTGGCCGTGGAGCCCACCAGTAGAACAATGAAACTGCCTTCAGAGCGCTGAGGATATTGTCCTCTTCATCATCGTAGAAGAGTCGTCGTGCGCGGTCGTAGTAGCTTGCAGGCTGTGGCAGTGGAATAAGTGGAGGATGGACATGTGTTCCCACAAGTGCAAGTGCATTATCGAGTATGGGAGACTGTGAGAGGTCTTCTAACAAGGTTGACCTGTCCAGAACTGGACACCAACTGTAGCAGTAGTTAAAGTACGTCTCTATGAAGCTCTGTCGGAGGTCCAATTGTGAGACGGCTCGAGTGGTATCCCCTCTGGGTATCAGGGCGGCTTCAACATGACTAGCCGCAGCACTACCTGGCCCTCGGACAGGTTGGATTCCGCGATCCACACTGTCATGTGGTGATGGCAGAGCTGTTGGTGTTATGATTGTTAGCCCGTTCGGCACTGGTTGTGCATTGCTGATCCCCATTTCTACAGTACGGTTCTCAACCCCTGCCTGGGGCGGAGGAGGCCAATCAGACTGTATGAAGTTGTCGGTACTGAAATCAAAAAGGTTGCTGTCTGTCCCATCCCGGGCTGCTCCATTTCCGGCATTGCCTGGGCTATCAGCACTACGGCCACCACCATTGTCGATGAAGGGTGCAGATACAATGGAGAAATCGCACACTGTATCCTGTGAAGAGGAGCTCGGCCCTTCGATCGCAGCTGCAAGCCGTCCTTTGTCCCGTTTAGATGGCCGAGGGCTAAGCTGTCAGTTTCCGGCTCTCATCGTTACGAACTGATATGGACAGGGCATACCGGCAATCCTTTCCAGCAGAAACGCAGTGAGAGCATTTGCGGTGCCCTTCACCGATTCTAACTCTGAGGTCACATTTGGTCTGCGAACAGTTAGTCTCAACACCACAAGATCCACGTTATCGATACGTACTTTTTTGGAATGACACAAAACGCATGCAATCTGGGCTCGCTTGCGTGGTGCTCCCGGGCCGGAGAACTGCACCCATCGAGACGCGTCCATTGCAGCAGTATAAAGAGAGAACCGACTGAGAGCCGGGGCGGGGAATAAGAAGACGTGTATGCATACTGCGGGGCTCTCGGCTGCACACGGGTAATCTAGTAAAGAGGGGTCTCACTCTCACCTAGCTGTAGCAATGCTACCCAGGTAGCCGTTACAAGTGCAGTGATAGGGTTCGTGCGCAAAGCCGGGCTGATCACAGCTTGCTCTTCCAATCAGCGGAACTCAGCCGCCGAGAGCCGTGAAGGCCGTTGCGTCGGCATTTCCGAAATGGGTTACCCGCAACTATACTGGAAGCATAACCCTAAGCCCGGCAGAACTCCTCGTATCCTGCCATCGTGACGGTAATGCCGCCGCGTATGTCCCGCATGTCGGATTGTAGGCAAGAAAACTCAATCTCTTTATAATTGTCTGAATGGTACGTTCTTATCAGAGCGCTTCTAAACTCGAAAAAAAGAGCTAAGCGAGATTCATATGATTTGCGAAATGGCTCCATCAGTCATAAGCCCAACCCATCCAGCGCCAGTGCCAGACTGCATTCACACAGGCACCACCAAGAGCGCTGAGAGCATGCCACATCCGACTACAAAGACCCAGGGAAGTGAAGACCTCAAGGCGAGACGTGACGACGAGTATAAGGCCCACTCGGTCCCGTTTAACCCTCAATACGCGTTGAATCCTCGCAAACTGCGGATCATCACCATTGGCGCCGGGTTTTCGGGGCTACTGATCGCGCACAAGTTCCAGCATCGTTTTCCGGAACTGCAGGACTTTGTCGACCATACAATCCTAGAGGGACGGAGTGATATAGGGGGAACTTGGCTAGTCAACACATACCCTGGAGTGCAATGTGATGTACCTTCTCACATATATGTAAGTGACATGGAGCGCAAGATATGCATATTCAATCTGACCAGCAGGCGTTCCCATTCGATCCGAACCCAGACTGGCCACATTTCTACTCGAGCGGTGAGGCGATTCATGACTATATCAAACGGACAGCGGAGAAATGGAACCTTACTCGTGATGTGCAATTGAACACGCAAGTGGTCGGGGCGTATTGGCAAGAGGACACAGGGAAATGGAAGGTTACTGTCGAGCATGCCGGGCAACGACGCGATGAGTACTGCGATATCCTGATTTCAAGTCAGGGTAACCTGGTGTATGCGCTCTTGCTCTTGGTGAATAACAGAGAAACGACTAATTAAAGCCCAGTAATCCCTCCTGGCCCAAGGTCCCAGGGCTTTCCGATTTCAAAGGCCATGTTACCCACTCAGCTAGGTGGGACCACGACTTTGACTATTCGAACAAACGGATAGCCGTGATTGGCAACGGTTCCTCTGGTATTCAGATAGTTCCGCAAATGGCCAAGTTGCCCGGGACCACTGTGCGAAATTTCATCCGGGGACCGGCCTGGGTGTACTATCGGGTTCCCCCGTCGAAGCATCTCGGGCGCGATACGGACGATACCAACCCGGCGTACCTCGAGGAAGAGAAGGAGCGGTTCCGGGATCCTGCACAGCACAGAGAGTATCGAAAGGGTATGATCCACTGTGTGAACAAAGCATTCCGCCTGGTAAGCTTGTCCATTACTCTGCTGTATTCCTCAAACTCTGTGCGGAGCTAAGAGAGACATCGTATAGTTCATCAAGGGAGAGACGAACCAAGAAACGGTGCGACGCGCATCCGCACAGATGGCTGAGAAGCTCAACCACGATCCTGAACTGTGTCGACAGCTTATTCCAAAGTGGGAGATTGGTTGTCGCCGTGTAACTCCAGGGCCTGGATATCTTGAGTCATTTTCCAAGCCGAATTGCAGTCTGACGTCGAGCCCAATCACAAGGGTGAGTGAGAAAGGCGTTGTCACGGCTGACGGGCAGGAGTTCGAGTGTGATGTCGGTAAGTAATTTAACCATGATATATATCTCCTCTTTTTCTTTCTAATACTTGCAGTAATCTGCGCCACCGGCTTCGACGTGTCCAAGTGCCCACGCTATCCCCTAGTAGGCCAAAACGGGGTGAACCTGGCTGAGAAATGGAAAGACGAGCCCACATCATACCTCTCCGTCGGCACAGACGATTTCCCCAACTACTTCACTATGGCCGGGCCCAACTGCCTCTGCGGACATGGCTCCCTAGTCGAATCTCTGAACTGGACGGGTGACTACTTCGTCAAGATGATTAAAAAGATCGCAACAGAGGATATCAAATACATGGTTCCGAAAGCATCATCCGTGCACGCATTTGGGAAATACCAAGATGAAGTACACAAGACACTCGTGTGGTCCGGGTCCTGTAGTAGCTGGTACAAGCGAGGCACTGTGGATGGGCGAGTGACTCATCTGTTTGCTGGAAGTGCGGTGTTGTTTCGCCGAATGCTGAGCGAGATCCGGTCTGAGCACTATGATATCGCGTATAACTCGGGAAATCCGTTTCGGTTCCTAGGTTGTGGATTCACAGAATGGGAGATGCAGGAGGATGCCGATCTAGGATGGTATGTAGAGGTTTCAGACCAGGAGCCAAAGGAGTACGCTGCGGGAGATAAGAGCTGGATAATAGATTAGGACTTCCGAAATATACCTCTTTCTTCATAAGTGCAGTACACGCAGAATAATGGTTTGCTTGAATACATTGACTGGAATTGGTCATGTACGGTTAAGTCTACTGGCCCTCATACCAGAGGGAATAACTTCATTACCGCTTGCAGATAGTATCTGAAGTTAACTAATAGTCACAGTATTTCTAACTTGAACACACCCAGAGAGAAATGTATACGACCAAAGTGAGACAATCAACTAGCGACAAATTCACCTAGAATTCTGCTTGACTATAGACTACATGTAAAGACATATAACACGCACTCCCGCCTGTGCGACAACAACAACAACTGACGTGGAAGATCAGGCGTCCTTATCCTAATACATCACAGTACATACCTAAATTGCATATTCTAATATAGAGTTAGTATGCATCTGGGAAGATACTCCCAACTGTGAACGGGACTAACCATCTTGTCAGTCACGTCATCCTCGAAGGCATGATCAAAGTCTTCCGTGGCGCCCATTCTGTCGCGACGTTTGTTTTCAATAGCGCATATGATCCGATAGATCAATACAAGAAGTGCGGCAACGAGCGCCGTGACGACTACGACGATAAACCCCAATGCATACTTGGGTGCATCTTGCTGTCTAAAGACTTGGGGACCCGCAAAATTGCCTGCCATGATCAGTAAGTATTACTTAAAGATGAATGTGACGAACATACCGAGGGAGTAGCCGATGTACAGCCCCGAAGACGCTAGAGAGCGCTTGGTATACCCGGCATTATTGGCAAGAAAGAGACCCATCATGACGGCATAGGCGGCGCCGGTTGTTGGGAGTATGTAGATGGCGAAGAGCAATCCGCCAAGTGCTGATCGGGGCAGAAGCCAGAGCAGCAGGCTTGCCAGCGTCGTTACCAACTGGCAGAGGATAATGATGTATGCTCGCCAGCCGGCAAATTTATATGCAAGGTATGTTGTTATCAGCATCATAGAGCCAGCATAGAAGCCCCCGGGTATCATTAGAAGCAACGAGTTGAGCTCGCTATACCCAAATCTGCTAATAATCAGGGGCTGGAATGTCGAGATCGGGGCATTAGCAAACATCCCGGTGAATGCGAAAAGGAAAATAAGCCAGAACTTGATATCTAAGAGAAACTCAACTGCCTGGCTGGCTTTGAAATGCATATTGCGCACGCCAGAGTTGTTCGTTCTCATCCGTGAAACTGCGATGAATCGTTGTCGCTTGCTGAACCCTTTCGCGCGGATGGGGTCGGGTGGGAGCAGGATGTAAACGAGTACGCCCCAGATAATAGTGAGTCCACCGGCAAAGAAGTACATGTAGTACCATGGCCTCAGGGGTCCTTTGAGATGTCCAATCCCGTAGTTAACTAGCGGGGAAAACATGGATACATAGCCTGTACATGAATACCAGGCACTAGGGCTCGTTAGCTGAATCTAACATAACATTGCAGGTATGGGACAAACCCCATTCTTAAGGACTGTTCGTCCTTTTTGTACCATCCGCCCTACCGGATATCAGTTTCCATACGGGCAAGAGAAACAATAGGTAGAGCACTTACAACGATCATCATGAACATGGGGCTGACACCGGCCTCAGTCATACCAAGAAAGAACCTCTGTGCATATGCACCGCGGAAGTCGTGACAGGCAGGCGTCAGGATCAGAGTAATTCCCCAGATCATGATAACCAGGGATGCGACCCGCTCAATCGGGAACCGCTGTGCCAAAAGAATGACCGGGTAGGCCCCGAGGATGAAGCCAAGATAGAATATGGAAGACGCCATGGAGAAACGATTACCGGTATCCAAGCCGAGGTCTTCTTTAATTCCAAACAGAGCCTGCGAGTGTCAGTGCCTACGTAACTGGCCAGGGGTAGATCATACTGCTTGTCCGAGAAGGACTTTGTCCGCGTAGAGAAACGCGTATGTGACGCAGAGGACAGGCAGTAGCCTGAAGTCGATTTTCCTGCGCAGTCTATTTTCTTCCTCCGCGGTCCAGTTAGGGTCCCCATCATACGCGAGAAGGACCTTCACAGCCTCGTCGCCATGGACTGTGTCAACTTTCTGGATCCCTCCATTCTCGTTCAAGTCCTCAGATGGGGAGGCGTGGATATCCTCTTGAAGCGAAGCTTGTGGCTTAACGGAATCAGACATGATGTGACCTTCTAGACTGTAGAGCATGAATTGAACAGTGACCGTTCAATTGATCATCAATTTAACGAGCTTGACAGCCGGCTGAGCATCCACCAAAGCTACTCCTAGTGCCGGCCCACAAATGCTAAATTCTGGGGAGAGTGGATAAAAATCGTGAATCCGGGGAAATACCTTGCAGCGGCAGTCGGTTATGCTGGCTTTCTGCATTAGGGTTGCCGATAGAGCGCGGTCAATTCCGGGTCTGGGGAAATGACGGAAATCCCTAAAGCGGGGCTGTATCAACTTAATAAAGGGTATATGATATCTCCACACCTTTTTGCATGAGATGCCATAGGCTTTGTGCACAAGTTAACATGGGTAGTAGGCCATTTGTCGAGGTGCCTCCTGGGCAGGAGACAATCAGTGTGAAGATGATCAACGCTGTCAATTTTGGACCAGCTATAATCAAACGATTCATGGAACCCCCTGTACCAGGGGTAGAGAAGAAGAAGCCTTCCCCCGTTCTGACCTTCCTTCTGGAGCATTCTTCCGGAAAGAAGATTGTATTTGACCTGGGCATTCGCAAGGATTACCAAAATTATGCACCTGTTGTTGCTGATTACATCCCCACAACCAATTATGATATCCAAGTGACCAAGAACGTGGTCGACATCTTGGATGAGAGCGGTATCCCGGGGACAGATATTGACGCTGTCATCTGGAGGTTGGTTAGCATTTAGTCTCAGTTCTTTATGAGTAGGACACTGACGTTCGCTAGTCACTGGCACTGGGATCATATAGGAGATCCGTCAAGCTTTCCCTCATCAACGGACTTGATCGTGGGATCCGGATTCTCAGATGCTATGCTCCCTGGCTACCCTGCGAACCCGAAGTCTCCTATTCGTGAAAGCGACTACGCGTAAGTTACCTGTTAGATTAACTGAGCTCGGTCTGACTGGCAAAGAGGTCGCAATTTGCAGGAGATACGATTCGACGGTCCGAATGCTCTTCGAATTGGCAAGTTTCCAGCAGTAGATTACTTTGGTGATGGGTCGTTCTACCTCCTCGACAGCCCTGGCCATGCAATTGGGCATTTATGCGGCCTCGCGCGAACGACCATCGATCCGCCAACATTCATACTAATGGGCGGAGACATATGTCACTATGCTGGCATCTTTCGACCGTCACGATACATGCCTGTTCCACCTTCAATCTCACCACACCCGTGCTGCCCGGAAACTGACATTTCGTTCTGTCCAGGGGGTGTGTTTGACGGGCTACAGCAGTCTAGAGGGCGGGAGTGTACTGATTCTCTCTATGAGATGTGTTTCGGACACGATGTGCCGCGTGCGAGGGAGACTCGAGATCAGTTGCAAGAGCTGGACTGCAGCGAGGATATTTTCGTCATCATCGCGCATGACGCTACCGTTCGAGACGCTGTGGATCACTTTCCTCTTAGTCTGAATGACTGGAAGAAGAAGGGTTGGGGAAAGGAAGTAAAGTGGACTTTCTTTAGGGATCTAGAGCCGTATTGGAGGGCCGAAGGGCTTCTTACCGAGCTAGACGAGAAGGAATCATCTAATAATCTATAGAATAAAGAGACTTTAGCCATATTTGCCTGTGCAGTAAAGAGCTGTAGGGTGGACCTTCAGAAGAAGTCCTTAAAGCAGATTGAATCAACTTATGTGGATAGATTGAAGAATTATTGTGCTAGACTTTAATACTTGTAATTCAGATCGTATCCCTAATTAAATCGAGGTATGTCTCAGGTACTTGTTAGGGCAACTCTCCCCCTTACCTTGCCCTCGCAGAGGCCCTTCAGCACCTCAGGGAAATGCTTCAAATCGGCTGTCTCGACCTGTGGCTGGATAACGCTCTTCGATATTAGGCCCAATACATCCTCTAGGTCCCTTTTCTGTCCTCCATACGAGAAAATAATTTTCAGTCTCTTCTGAATTCCAATTTTCATGTCGACTCTATTCTCCTCGTCCAGAGTGCCAACACACAATAACTTTCCTCCACGACGAACTGACAAACCCAGTAAGTAAGTGGATATATCTGCCTTGACCCGTCAATCAACTTACCGATATGCTGCGCGTCCTGAAAAGTCTGATGCTTGCCCACAAAGTCCAGGGTTGTATCAATCTTTCCCTGCAATCCCCGTTCTCGAACAAAGTCCCGCACCGACTTGCCGGCAGGGACGATATCCTCCCTGGGGACGCCAAATTTTGCTGCCTGGTCCAACAACTCGGATCGAATATCAGAAACAATGACCCGCGCACCTAGATGAAGCACAATCTGCAGGGCATTGAATCCGAGACCACCAAGGCCGAACAGAAACACTACCTGCCCTGGCTTGACCTTGGCTCGCCTAGTGACTGCATGATAGCTTGTTTTGACGGCGTCTGTCGATACAGCTGCTACTCTAGACGGAATACCTGTATATAAGTCGTTAGCTTTCGACAATGCCACACGTTAGCGGACAGACCATCCGGAACCCGCACAACTGCCCGTACATCTACGGCGGCATATGGCGCATAGAATCCATCCTGCCCAATTCCCGAGTGGTGTGCCCTCTCACAGAGCTGGGCAAGATCACGAGAGCACTCCAGGCAGTCGTCAGAGCCACAACCGGGAACGGCGATAGTGGCGACTCGGTCTCCCTACTAAGGTTATTCCCTGACATCGGGCAGCTCATGGTAGCCAAACTCACCACTTTGAATCCAGAGTCTCCAGCGGCCTCGCCCACTTCAACAATCTCACCGCATCCTTCGTGGCCCTGCCGAAAACAGTAAGCAACTTTGTCTGTATTAGTAGTTGCACCATAATACCAGAATATACTTGTCCTCAAACCAGGGCCGCGTACTGTCCGTAGTGAGTAGTGAATAATCGCTATGACACACTGCGAATGGTCAGTGCATTATCGATCAGGACTTTGGTATACAGACCACCAGAAGCCAGCATACGAAGCAGGAAACCCCTGGCTGGGGTCTGCGGCACTGGTACTTCTTCCCAGACCTGGTGAGATATTAGGGCATTTGAAGTGTAAAGTAGCTATTCAGTGGCTCACCGGCTCCGTCTTTCCTTTGTGCTTTCTCCATACGTTCATTGATGACGGGATTGGATTCGATATAGAAGACATTTTGTATGTGGAATGTTACAGTTGAGGTGTTCTTCTGTTCTGTGCCGCGACTCTTATCTTTATATTTCTCTACTCCCATAAGTCTAATGACAGTTTGGGGAAGTACCCCCTTCGGCTTTCTTGTTATGTCACTGGCCGTGCCGAGACATTGAGACTTTACCGACAGCCGGGGTACGTGCGATGTTTCTTAGCCTTTTTGGCGGATATACTGAGCTATGAAAAGCGAGCACGGGCTATAGTTATACAGTTTGCCTGTATTTACACTGACATTGATGCATAAAGAGGAATCAATGGGCTCCACCCTTACCAATCCCCATATCCCTCCGGCTCAACCCTTGCCTCTGCTCGAGGTCAGTGATGCTCGTGTTAATCCTTGTATATCCTTACTTTGTAGTCGTCAAGCCATTTGTCCTCGATAATCCTTAACTGCGTCTCCTGCTTCTTGATAAAATATTCGTCGCGGGGGTCCGAATAGTCCTCTTTATCCACGTCCACAAAGCCCTGTTCAGATTTGGTCCTCGGGGTGATCATAAGAGAGCGTCCTATAGTTAAACGTGAGCCTGGTCCGCGCGCAACAGGTGTAAGTATGGTAGATGATACCATTAATCTGGTTGTCGCACGCAATTCGCATCATGGCACCAGCACAATCAGCCTGCTCCCCGAACTCGATTCCGTGCTCGATAAGCCAGCTCTCGTATTCTTTGGTTCGGATGGCACTCTTGATCCAGCAGGGCGCTACATAGTTGATCCTGATGCCCTGCTCCCAACTGTTGCGGCGGGCGGTCTTCATGAATCCTCGCAGGCCATGCTTTGTCGCGGTGTATTCCCAGTTTCCCTAGTTCGCTTAGCAGGTATAACTAAGTTTGAGTATCCCAGAATAGTCTGCACTTACAGGAGAATCGATGTACACAACCATGCTCCCAGTAATTATGAAACAGCGATCCCTCTCCTCCGAGTCTGGCTGTTGTCTGAAATAATGCACAGCCAGCTTCCACGTATAAAATGTGCCATCCATATTGACCCTCACGATGTTAAGATTAGGCTTTGTCGGCGGTCCAAGAGGATCTTTCCCAATCAATCAATTCCATTGGAAAAAAAAAAATAAAAATAAAAATAAAACAGTGTTAAATGCACATAAACTCACTCACCATCAAAATTCCACAAACTATCCCCCGAACTCCTGGAGATCCCCGCATTCGCAATAACCACGTCGACGCTCTTAGCAGGACTCTTGGACTTCGCCGTCTCAAACAGCGTGATCAGCTCGTCCCACTCCCTGATATCGCACTTCACAAACGCGGCTTTCTCCTCTCCACCTGCATTCATCTCCTTTGCTAGGTCGACTCCACGCGGATGCAGGTCGCCGAAGGTGACAAAGGCCCCGGCAGCGCAGAAGGCGCGCACCATCGCTTCGCCCATGCCATTTGCGCCGCCAGTGATGATGACAGATTTTCCCTTGGCCTTTGATAGGTCCGGGGCGACGGTGTGGTCGATGGGACCGGTATATGTGTATTTGGGAAGAGGCATTGTTGGTTATCGGTAGGATGTAGGTGGGTTTTCCAGTAGGGGCACAAGCTGACTGTAGAGATATATATAATTGAACGAAATGCGTCTAGGATGCATTCCGGCTACACCCCACAAACGCAGACGGCACTTCCCGAACAGAGAAGAGGAGAAAGGCCATATGGAAAAATAGTATAATTCTGACCAAGTCGGTTTTCCATAAGAGGACAGCCGATGCACGCTCGGACACAGACGTGATGGTGTCCCCCGTAGTTCGGCAGTGAACTTTAATTGTGACGTCCAATACAAGACGTTTTGCTCTCTCGAAAATATGCGCGTAGTATTGTAAAAGGTAAGTAATTCGTCAGTCGGATACGCGCTACAAAATAGGTAGGTCAGACTGCCCGGCAACCTCTTTGAGCCTTCCTGAGAAGTCCATGGAATAGCTAAAGATTGTTGATCATTTCTATAAGACGTGGGCAATGTATAGAGAATAATTTTCCTAGAGAGAGAGAGTTTAATATAGATAAAAAGTAGAAGAAGAATAGCTATGATTATAAAACTAGTTAAGATATTAAAGGCTAGGATAATAATAATATAATTTACATAGATAGAGTACTGCGGGATTTTAACTAGAATAGACTTGTATATAGAGAAAGGGCAGTACTAGATAGTAAAGAAGAGGATCTTGATAAGAATAAAGAACAAGATATAGATACTGCTAATAATCTAATAATGCGGTCTAGGAATATTACTAGATCTAGGGCATGGGATTCACTCGCAGGGACTCTAGCTGAATCGCTGCTTAAACTGAACTGAACACACGGCCAAACCCGGCGTGACGAAATTGCTTTCTGGTATAATATACACCAGTTAAGCCTGTACTTGGTCCACTACTATTCTTTTATACAGCTTCAATGTATATACAAATTATATAATAATTAACCGTAATGCTGACTAGATACAGGCTGCCAGCTCCTCTATATATGCATCAGCCTGTTGCTTGGTATCACGAGGCCGAGAATTCTACTCCGCTGGAATGAGAAGTATCTGTGAACAAGACCGTCTGCAACAATGACCTCTGCACATACCAATCGACCATTTGTGGGAAGGTGTAATGGTGAGCCATTCTTCGGCCAATAGCCCATTAATTCATCCCAACACCAGACGCCATTTCTTGTGTAAAATCATATATTCGATCCAGCTTAGTTGAATCCCAGAATCACAGATGGCCCAGACCTCCTTGAGCAGTGTCATTGCCTGGAGCGTAGAGGGCACTCGATTCATAGAATATATAGCTTTGAAGCGAGTTAATATTATCTCTCGTAGCTCCGTGTCACTGGAGCGCAGTTCTGATCCTGCTGTGAGAAGCGGAAGACTTTGAATATTCAGTAGAGTAGAGGTCAAAGGAAGTTGTGATAGACTTTGAGTGATTCCAACAGCCCAGCTGTGTAATTCATCATTCTCTTCATCTTTGAGCTTTCTCCTGGACGTGGAGGCGCTGCGACGGAGGATTATAAGGCCATGCTTTTGCAATGAATCATGGAGTAGCGCTAATGAGCCATTGTTTTGTGGCGCTTGGAAGTCCCGGAGTTGTTGTTCGAGGGATCTCGCTGTGGCGTCGCTATGGCGTCCAAGTTGGATATCACTTCGGCAGTGACGACCCACTTGAGCTAGAAGGTAGATCAACTCCGTTGCCGGCCCGTATGTAGGATGGTCCTTGTTCCGCAAAGTATGAACAGCCTGTGCCATCAAAGTTGTGTCCAGAGGTCGCTGTTCTTGGGCATCCACTAGATGGGCGCAGCACATGTCCCAATACAGAAACGAGCCAACGGATATTGAAAACAACTCACTGCTACCAGGGTGGGCAAGGTCGTCCCAATAGTTCAACAGGAGATGGTCGAGAATATGACGCGCCGCGAACAGGTGCTGCTGGCCAAAGTCTCTAGGGTCTGGATCTGCCCATTGCGAGAGCCCGAGCAGCTGGACTGTCAGAAACGACGCTTCCAAATACTTCGTTTGGGCCAGCTCCCGTTGAAGCAGCTGAAGAGCGCGTCCTCTTTCCTCTAGGCTCATGATAGGGCCATTCGCGGGGAAATACTCTTGGTGGGCTGCACTCAGGGATTGAATCATATGCACCAGCGACGGTGCCCTGGTCAGATAGTCGAGAATCGGGAAAGAGTACGGGTTATTCTCAGGGTCGATAACCAACATTTGGCAGGCCTTTTCCACCCAGTACTGCAGGAGACGTGGCTTCACGAGTGTTCCCAAGGGCGACGACACCCAGCGCGTCTCGACCTGCCATCGCTGTAAACGGGGAGATAATCTGCAAAGCAAACCGCGCTTCAGGCAACGCACACAGACCGGAAAAGTCTCATCGCATTTCACTTTGTGCGACCTGCATTGCGAACAGCCGGAGCGACTCCGCTGCAGCTTTTGGTCGGCAGGATGAGCGGCGGCTTGGTTGGAGGCAGCGTCCAGGTGATGGTGTGTACGAGGGTGTCTCACGGGCGCGAATCGGACACGATAGTCCGGCATAATATACAGCCACGGGGAATAGTCTCTTGCTGGTTGGCGGCAAAGTCCAACAAATGTTGCATCGCAAAGACGAACTGTGGCGTCCCGAGCAACTGACCGGTCGCCAAGTGACTGGGTTGGTCTAAATAAGATTTGAATGGCAAAGTGGGGAAGAGTTTGACAGAAGCCAATCATCTGGTTACGGAACAGTGCTACCGACTCAAATTGATAAGGACCTATAATTGTAACTAACTATAAGTTACCGGTTACCAGTCAAGCCTTAAGGCAGTGTTGAATCATTGGCTTCCAACAGCTGCGTACACAGCCCGCTCGAATTCAGCCAGAAGCTCGACAGCCCTCTGGTCGCCCGTTGGGAGGAGTTGGCACAGAAGCACTCCAGCGACGCCCTTTTCCATATCTACCCACTGTCGAGATGTCAGTTCTCTATACAATGAAAAGCAAAGCAACACCCACCCAGTAGCAATTAGGCAATCCAGACCACGACAGCGAATACTGACGGCGGCGGCCAGGCACTTCGGCAGTGTTGATCAAGCCACTGATCCCATAGTCGACGGGGACGTCGTTAGGAACAGCATTGAAAATCGCATTACGGTTCGCCAAAACGTGGTCCTCTGGATTATCCAGATTCTTCCGGTTCTCTAGGTGCGGCTTGAACATCATTTCCAGTGTGTCGGGCCGTAGTAGATCTCCACGCATGACACCGGCGTAGATCTTCAGCAGCTCAGGGACATTTGTGTAGATGCCACCGCCGCCAATGTCATCGCTGACAGGCTCAGGCCACCAGAAATCTGTGACCTTGTTAAGCCCGTCGTCATGTCGCTCCCACATCTTGACTTTCCGCGCTTGGAGATCTGGTCGCTGGTTGAGATGGAAGGTAACATCGCTGGCCCCAACAGGCTCAAACATATTCTGCCTCATGTATTCCCCTAACTTGAGTCCGGACACATGCTCGACCTATGGTTGTTTGGTCAGCGAAGGGTTTTGTACCAGATTTCCGACGACTCACCATCAGTCCAGCCCACTCCAGCCCAGGACCATACAGCCACTGTTCCCCGGGCTCAAACACAAGGAATGTATCGAAAGATTCTCTCTGAAGAAGCTTAGTTAACGTCGTGTTGTGTCGCGAGATACCTGACCATGAACATACGATAGTCTGAAGTAGCAGAGGTCGCTCGCCTTGCAATTCCTGGTAACGGATAGACAATGGATGCATGAACGTATACGCAAGTCCACTTGAATGCGTCATAAGGAGCCTTGCCAAAATTAACATTCAGGAACCAAGTCTGAGTAAATATGACATGATTAAAGTGACCCACCGAAGAGTAAGGGGACGCTTTGCAGGTTGAAACAGGGGCTCATTGTTCTCGTCGAACCCAACCAATATCTTGGGATCTTTCCACTCTGGCAAGATGCTGGATATATCTGCGTCTAGGTCCAGAAGACCCTTTTCGACACACTGCATGACAGCGATGCTCGTGATGAACTTGGTTGCGGATGCAATCCAGTGGATATCATCGGTTCTGGAAGATTCCACCGTGTCGCCATTGAAGCACTTCTCGTAGTGAAATGTCCCTGGAAATTGTCAGTGAATTGGCAATCAAGGTACGGCTTTTCCATTGGGAAATACCATGGCGATTCACTGCGCCAAGTGTGACGCGTGGTAAGGGCAGTCCTTGCCGACGAATGTAAGTCGCAACAGCGTGGTCGATAGAGTCCATTGCAAGAAATGGTGTTTTCTTCTGTATGAAATAATGAGTAAGAGAGAGATCCGGCTGAAAAAAATACTGCTGTTTTATAAAGGATGACAAAGGAGCCAGCCGTTTTATTCCAACCGCAAGCCAATATTAAAGATTGCCAGTGTCCACACGCCTAGGCTTCGAAGAAGGCAGCAACTAGAGAAAGACCAGTTATTGAAGCCTGTTGATTTCCACTAAGTGTTCTATGTTCCCACCTTGTGGAGTTTATCTGCTTCTGTAACACCGGATTTGCTGCAGACGCACGGCAATTATCAGCATGGGGGGTGCCGATGCTTGTAGCGTAAAGCATGAGTCCCACTACGCTAGCAGTCAGGGTCTCGCAAAATCTTCCAACAAGGTAAGCCAAGAAATCCACTGTGTAGATCCCTCTAGGTGCACCAGGACACCAGATATCTCAAGACGTGTAGCACAGTAGTTGAGGGTCAATATTGAATTTCTTTTTGATTCATTTATAGACAGAAACTCTATTGTAAGTCTTCCGGGCATACTATACGGTTTTCCTTATCAACCTGGCCAGTATTTGGAACCAAGTCAGTATGAGAAAGTTCAGGATTAGACCTTCCTTGTCTTTGCAACAGGCTTGCCAATCAGTCTGGGAAAGGCACGACCGAAGACGTTGTTTGGGTCCAGCTTTTCCTTGAGGCTATAAAGTCTCTGCGCTGATTCAGGCTTGAAGAAGTCAAGAGGGTCAACTTGTTCTGGCGGGCAGAAGGCCGGGAACCCGTTGCTAATGCTACAATCCAGTCTTGATATTGTCGTTTCTAAACGGCGAACCCAGCTAACGCTCTCATCCAATGCGCCTTCGCATTCTTGTGCAGCTATGCACGTTCCCCCGTGCAGACCCAAGATGACGTGGGGGTAGCGGTTGGAAAACGCAGAACCGATTCCATCCAGGATGCTGCGGTGGACTCCTCTGCCGTGGTTGTTATGCACGACGACAGCGCAAAGTGGCCAAGGCGGCTGCTCTGATGACAGCGCCTTTCCAACACTTGCCCCAAGGTCCGAGATGCTGCAGCTGCGGAAAAAAGTGGGTGAAGATGAGTCGCCACCTGCGAAATTGGCAGGGGTGGCTATAGAAACTTATCAGAGACATTCCTCGACATTCAGGACACATGGATTTGGACTTACTTTCTCTGACCGTGTCGACCAGCACGGTTCCAAAGCTCTTCATCTTGTTCAAATATTCTTTTGCTTCTGATAGGTCCCCTTGAGCAGCAGTCCAGCACCAGTAGAAGATATACGAAGAACCAGCACTTGAAGGTAGTTGCAGCATTTCCGGCTTTGCAACAATCGCGTCGCCGCTGAACTCGTCTGGAATACCATTCGGAGCGTTGAGCTGCTGGAAACGCTCAAGTACAACGGGCGCCTCATGGATGGGGAAGGCCAGGAACCCAGCGTACAGCTTCGGTGTCGTGTAAACCTTGACGCGCAACTCAACCACAACTCCGAAAGTTCCAGCACCAGCTCCACGAATAGCCCACAGCAGCTCGGGCTCTTGGTCAGTGTTGACGATACGTCCGTCAGCCAGGACAACGATGGCACCCAGTATCTGGTCAACCCCGAAGCCGTAAGTCCCGACGTAGAACCCGTAGCCGCCCCCGCAGGCCCAGCTCACATAGCCAACGGTTTTTGCTTGACCAGTAGGCGTGAACAGCCTGTATTTGTCAAGAGTCTGCTGCAGGTCACCGGCAATTACACCACCTCCGACATTTGCGCTTTTACGGTCGGGGGCGATGCCGACCGAATCCATGCGTCTCATGTCTATGACGACGCCATCGTGGACAATTGATCGACCAAAGAAATCGTGGCCCCCTGATCGGACTGCAATAGAGATTCGATGTGCAGTGCAAAAGGACACGACACTGGACACATCAGTAGGGCTCTTTGGTCGAACAATGGCCAAGGGTTTGTGCTTCAAGCTTCGGTTATAGTATAGACACCGGTCATCAAACATTGGGTGTTGTCGATCCAAGATCTCTAAATCATCTGTTTGCTCAAGCAATTCAATGAATAGCGGATCTGGTTTCATGGCCATAGTTGCTCCGTCACAGGGCTAATGTCTATCGCGTTGTGAAATCGACGATCTTTATGTTGAGACTCGGGTGAAGGCGTTGCGTTCTGAAAGCTGAAGCCGATGGAGACGTACTTAATGGTCATGGTTAGTGTGCCTCATACTCGATGAAAGCTCTTCAATTGGGACAAGGGCGTGTATTGTGGTCCAGAAGTCACCCTCCGCTTATAGACCTAAAAGGGAAGGTAAAGTGGAGCAAGCTGAAACCCACATATCTTCACTCTTGCGATCAGTTAATTCCATTGGACAACAGTATTAGATCGACCCCGCCGCCACACTAATCCATTCCCGTTGGTTGTCTGTTTTGTCCACAGTGTTCGAGCATATCGTTGACTTTAATACCGTTTCAAATTGGCTTCACTTGCCTGCCTTTTGGGTTTTTTCTAACCAAAGAGGAAGTAGTAGAAGGCAGTCCTTGAATCTCTCCAAGCAGAGATACGGGTTACTAATTACTGCGTTGAAGATCTCAAGAAGGGACTAGGATTGAGATATGGCTGTTCCAGCTACATGTCCCACTTTCCCTTTCGGATCAATAGCCGGACGCCAGTGAGAATAGTGGATTCGTGACTCACGCAGTAGTTAGACTACGTACTATGCTTACCCACTTGGTAGTTACTATTTCATGCCTTTGAACGATTGCCATGTGAAATCACAGTTTCTTCGCAATTTCTTTTGCTCATCCATCAGCACAGCAATAGTCCATGATGGACCAGCTACTTAAAGCTGCGGAGGACACTTCTCGATTTGACGACTTCCTCGTCCTTACAACCACGTACAAGACCTTGCATGACCATCGTATCACCACCGACGTCCTCATCCCCAAGTCCCTGACTGATACAAAATTCCGGCCAGTCTTGGAAACAAAGCCTCGTCCCATCCTTTTACGCTATCATGGGGGAGGGCTAGTCTTTGGCCATAGCCTCTTCCCGCCCTTTTTCAGTCCATGGTATCTTCAGCTCGCGCAGGAGTACTCGGCGGTTATCGTCTCTCCGAATTATCGGCTGCTCCCTGAATCTTCCGTGATGGAGATACTGCAGGACATAGAGCATCATTGGCAATGGATGCACAAGGAGCTTGCCGGATTTCTGGACCAACACACTTCAGGTGCGGTCCAGGCTGATTTGACTCGAATCATGACCCTCGGGGACAGTGCCGGGGGGTATCTGAGTTTACAAATGGGTCTTAGTCACCCAGATGAGATTAGGGCTGTCAACGCAGTATATCCTCTTGTCAACCCCAAGGCCTGGCGTTTCAATGACACAGACGGGAAGCCTCATTCGGTATTTGGCGGACTTCCCGTTCTCCCAGAAGGCACCTTGGCCAGGCACATGGAGTCTATTCGAGCGCAGAGAGAGGCATCTCCTGGCAGGCTATTTATCCAAACAGAAGCCTCTGATCTAACGCGGTTAGAACTGATGTTTGCTTTGACACAACACGGACAATTAGGACACCTTTTCTCGAGAGAATCTATCGATCCGTACCCCCTGGATCGTATAGATAGTGGAGCCCGGTTTCCCAAGGGCGGCGTGTTGATTCTCCACGGCCGAGATGATTCAGTTGCCCCTCTGGACCAAAGTCTTGAACTACAGAAGAAACTGGAAACAGCAGCCCCTGACACAAACTTTGCCCTGGTGATTCGTGATGGCGAACACGGCTTTGATCATACAGCCAAATTATATGATTCATGGCTTTGGGAAGCAGTGCAGGGTATCACCAGGACCTGGCTCCAGTAAACGGTCTCATATGTTTGTTATATTGTGAAAGATATTACTTCACTAGGCTTGCTTCTACTTATCCCTCTTTCCTCCAAAATACGCCCTCCAGTGATTTGGCGGCTGGCGGACGCCGTTTGGACCGTACCTAGGCTTCTTCCATGTGTACAGTCTCTGAACCCACAGTCTCAGGAGGATATAGAGCACTTAAACTGATTGTACCGGTAGAATACTTGGAGAATGCGATAGAGTAGCCCCTATAGCACTCATTTCTTGATCCTTGTAGAGTTATATCCCACCCTAGAAGCAGTTGAGATGGTCAAGATCTAATTACTTCGTATCGTATTGAGAAATACGCTAAACGGAGCTAGTCAAAGCCACCAGCATCAACCTTCAACCCCGCCTTGTTATCGTCGACTACAACAATCTGCTGGCCGGAGCCATGCCACCCTTGACAGTGCCCCGTTCGCACGCGGACTATACTGTGGCATGGATCACCGCGCTATCCCTGGAGCTATCCGCCGGGAAGGAGATGTTCGATGAAATCCACGAGCAGCTCCCCCAGCCCCCCACCGACACAAATTCATACATCCTCGGCAGCGTCGCCGGGCATAATGTCGTAATGGCATGCCTACCAGCCGGTGTGATGGGGATAACACCGGCTGCGACTGTAGTGGCGCACCTGCGCTCCACGTTCCCCAGAATCCAGTTCGGGCTGTTGGTTGGCATTGGAGGGGGCGTGCCATCTGCAGGCAAGGATATCCGGTTAGGCGATATAGTTGTCAGCCAGCCAACGGCAACTTACGGGGGAGTAGTGCAATATGATTACGGGAAAGCGATGGCTGATGGGCACTTTCAGCAGATGGGTGTGCTGAACAAGCCGCCTGAGATACTCTTGACTAGCATATCCAGGTACCAAGCTGGTTACAGGCGTGGGGATAAGCCGATTTCTGCTATCCTTGCAAAGCGAAGCATCAGGACGAGTCATATGTTTGCGCACCCCGGGCAGGACCACGACCAGCTGTTTCACGCAGCGTACGCGCACAAGGGGTCTGAGGCGAGCTGCGAAGCATGCGATGTAAAAGGAATTATCCGGAGAAAACAACGAGCATTGCCAGAAGAGCCAATGATACATTACGGGCTAATTGCGTCGGGAAACCAGGTTATAAAAGATGCGACAGTGCGAGATACCCTGGCTGAACGACATGGGATTATCTGCTTTGAGATGGAAGCCGCCGGCCTAATGAACCATCTGCCTTGCTTGGTAGTTCGTGGTATTTGCGACTACTCAGACTCACATAAGAACAAGAGATGGCAGGGATATGCAGCGATGACTGCTGCAGCATTCGCGCGACTGCTTCTGGCCTCAGTCCCTCGGTCAACTCCTAGAATCGCAGAGACAAGTATGTTGCTTTTATTTTGATCTCCATTGGGGGAGAGTTTCTAATGCTGTACAGATGAATGGACCGATGTCGAAAGACGGTGCCTGCAAAGGTTATTTCTGACCGACCCCGAAACCGACATAAATGCATTGAAGCGAAGAAAAGGAGGTCGCGCCCCTGGAACCTGCGACTGGATCCTAGAAACAGACGAGGTGAAAGCCTGGACTGGAAAGCTGCCTGGTAGAGGCACGGATAAGTCCAATATACTCTGGCTATACGGATACCCAGGTATTGGAAAGTCAACAATGGCCATCGCACTGGCCGAAATGCTCCCCGAAACACCGTCCTTTCGTGAAAAGAATAAGATACTGGTGTATTTCTTTTGCGATTCCAATTCTGAAGACCGGCGGACTGCGACTGGAGTCTTGCGCGGTCTGCTCTATCAAATCTCCCACAACAGTCGGAAGCTTATGAGACCGCTCAGAATGAGGTATGATATCCAGGGAGACAAACTGTTCAGCTCGTTTGACGCGTTATGGGACCTCCTCATGGAAATCGGACAAGAGCATGCCGGGGAAATATACTGCATTATCGATGCTCTAGATGAATGTGACAGTACAGCTCAGGAGACTTTACTTTCCCAAATAAGCGACAGCTTCTTATCAAAGAAGAGTACTCCAGGAATACACTTTCTGATCACCAGCCGGCCGTACGAGGAAATCAGGAGATACCTCGATGATTTCCCCCGGCATGATCTAGGCGCCTATGACAAGGTACAGGGGGATCTTGATGTGATCATTCATCAAAAGGTGAACCAACTAGCACGAAAGAAGAACTATCCTCGGAGTCTAAAGGACGAGGCCATTTCCATTCTGAAACAAAAAGCAGAAGGGACGTTTCTGTGGGTGGGAATAGCATGCGATGAATTGATGCGCGTCAGGTTACGAGATGTAGTCAAAACGCTGCAAGAACTGCCGCGCTCGCTGGACTCTTTATACCGCAGCCTTCTGAACAGAGCCATAGAGCAGAACGAGGACAGCCAAGATACAATTATTCGTATCCTGGGCGTCGTTGCAACTGCTCGTCGACCACTCACCATACTGGAGCTGCTGGAGGCCTGTCAGCTCTATACAGACATGGGCCTGGAGGAGAGACTCGCATATGTCCAAGAGGATATCACAATGTGTCGACTGCTGGTCGTCGTGCAAGGGTCAATAGTCTCGCTGCTGCATAAGTCTCTCAAGGACTTCTTGACCAGTTCCGAGCACCACCTGGTCGTGGATGAGAGAAATGCGCACGCCAGTTTTGCACATTCCTGCATCGACCGTCTCCTTGAAGCATCCAGGTCAGGCGAGTTACAGGCGAGTGACACAGCCCACTCAACATTCCTGCAATATTCCGCCGAAAACTGGCCCGTCCATGCGCATTTATCAAAAGACCGCTTCAACATCCTAGACCGCCACAGGCCCTTTTTTGAATTCAGGTCTGGGGTACGAGAGCAGTGGCTTGAATATATCCGATTTCCGAAAAGGCGCCCAAATTACGCTAAAGTTCCTTACAACATGTCGATTTTCCATATTGCTGCTCGCTGGGGGATTCCGTGCTTGATTCACCACGCACTCCCACAGCAAGGAAATTACAATATCAATGCATTATATTCCGGAGGGCGGACACCGCTAGAGGAGAGCGCTCTCGCCGGCCATGCCGATGTATTCCAGCTTCTACTTGAGGAAACGCATGGGAGGATCATGAAAGAGGCAGCCGTGGTACAGGCAGCAGTAGGGAACAAGCAGGCTGGAAAGCAAATGATAGAGCTTCTCCTTGATCGAGGGGAATGCGAGATCCAGATTACGCAGGCACTTACACAGGCAGTCCGCAACGGCAGTATGGAGACCGTTGAATTCCTGGTCCAGCGGGTGGGAAATAGATTGCCCGTTACTGGTAATGAAATCCGGGAGCTGGCGCAGAATAGACAGAATGGTCCGGCGATTCTCGATCTATTCTTCAATAGACTGGCAATATCTTCTCTGCCAGAAAACGTGCTTGAAACTGTGGCGATGCATGGTAATGCCGCTTTAATGACTGTTCTACTGGACCGACTGGGGGGTAGGGTTTCACTCTCACCTAGTATTGCTTCGGCTGCTGTTTCGAACATGGAATATGGCCTTGAGATGCTGAAGCTTCTCCTCGCTCGATTTGGGGATAGGCTTCCGATTACACCAGACATCAATCTCTTCGGCCATTGGAGTGCGAGGGTAGAGATATGGCACCATAGAGAAGATCTCATTGACGAGTACAAAGAGCTGCTACGTCTTGTCCTCGATCGACTTGGCAGTAAGCTTCCAGTATTAGATGCGCTGCTGGCCAACCTGATACGATCCCATTCAAGTCTCGGTGGCGAGGTCCTGCTGGTCCTGTTGGAAAGTCGACCAGAGGAATTTCCCATTACTCAGGACTTTCTTGAAGCGGCAGCCAATACGGGCCATGAAGGCTTGCTGAAGCTCGTGCTGAATAGAGAAATAACAGACCTCCTTAACGAGAGTATACTTTCCATCCTCGCGCGGCGAGGAACAGAGAGACTGATGCAATCATTGCTTGAGCGCCTTGGAGACGATTCTCTAATCACTGAGAGCGTCATCGAAAACGCAGCCTTGAATGAGGGGCGTAATGGACTGTCAATACTAAGGCTCCTTTGCGCACGTCTGGGCGATAGGATCCCAATCACCGAAGGAGCTCTCAGGCGGGTGGTGTCGAACAAGGGACTCGGGCTGATTATGTTGGACCTTTTGCTTGATCAGTTGCAAGACAACCTTCCAGTAACAGAGAATACCTTCAACACTGCTGCATACAACAAGGCCATTGGACCGGAAATTATCAACCGGCTCGTGCGTCGTTTCGGAGACAGGATTCCCTGCTCAGTAGTGGTGCTTGGAACCGCAGTCAAAGGAAAGGACAGTGGAGTGGCGGTGATACAGGCACTACTCTCACATGTCAAAAGGGGAGTGGTAGATATAGACGACTTGTTGATCAATGTTGCTTCAGCGGGATGTGCTGGACTGATGATGCAAGCCCTAAACGATTACGGAGGCCCAGTTACCGTCACTGAAGACGTCCTCGTGGCAGCCGCACAAAGTCAAGATAAAGCGACGATGCAGTTTCTTCTTGGCTATACAGGCAGGGTCACCTTAAATGAGCAAATACTTCGAGCCGCAACTGGGGATATCAAGAAAGGGAACCAAATGCTCCAGCTGCTTCTCACCCATCCTGCTTGTGAGATCCAGATGTCGCAGGAGCTACTGCACACAATAATATACTCGACATCGAGCGAGGAAGTCAGCGCCTTGCTTCTATCGTCTTATAAAGGGGATCTACCTGTCACAGAGGGTCTTTTCAAGGCCACGCTGGACCACGGGAGCCATCGATTACTGCAGCGAGTGCTTGACCTAAATAACCACCAGCCAATACCGCAAGAAGTCCTCGAACAATTAGTCCGAAGTAACTTCGGAACGAGAAAACTTTCCTTACTCCTCGACAGAAGCAGTAGCCTCAAGTTCACCGAAGTGGTCGTCGAAGCTGCAGCCAGGAATTACTATTCTGGCAGAGAGAACATCACCATTCTCCTGGACCGGCTGGATACGGATGACCTGCCCATAACAACACCGGCCTTGTCCTCGCTGCTGAAGAATTCTCAGGGAGACTTCAGTCTGAGCTTACTGCTGTTCGAGCGGCTACGAGGGAAGATCCATTTCACGCCGGAGCTTATCACGGCTGTAGCTGCGTATGGCGATGCTCAGCTGGTATCCATGCTTGATTACCAGTACGCGCATATGCACATTACCGAAGACGTCCTGCAAGCAGCCGCAGGAAATGGCAACCATGGCGAAGATGTTCTCAAGTGTCTGTTTGCATTGAGCGGGGCCAAGGTCCGTCTTACAGAGGCGATTCTAGAGGCTGCAGCAGGCAATTACAACACGGGTGTCCTTTTATTTTGTCTTGAACATTGCCAGGACGACACTTTAATCACCCCAGAAGTACTCGCAGCTGCGGCTCAGACCACATCTGTGGCAGTGGAAGCTCTTTTCAGTCGTCAAATCAAGGACAGCATCATTACAGAAGAAGTGGTGATCTCTGCGCTACAGAACTACGGCCAGGGTGAGCAAATCGTCAAACTGCTACACAGGCGACTTGGCGGGCAAATGCCAATTACAGAGAGGGTACTCAGAGCTGCAGCCTTTTCATACCGTCATGCTGCTAGGCTTACTGGTCAACTATTGCAATGGGCAGGCGATGACACTCTCGTGACGGAGAGTGTAGTCAAATCGGCAGTGAGCAACCGCATGTCGGGCCATGAAGTACTAAAGCTGCTGTTTGGTCTCATGGGAGCCCGGGTGCCTATAACTGAGGAGGTGCTCCAGACCGCAGCTAGTAATTTCGAAGACGGATATAGGGTGCTGAAGCTCATTCTGGAGCAACGACCAGACACCCATATCACGCAACAAGTATTAGCCAAGGTTATAGCCAGCAACAGAGACACTGCAATAATACAACTTCTACTTGAGAAACGTGGCCCTGATGCGCCATTCACCGACAAGGTACTCTTGTCCGCCATCGGCAATACCTCCCACGGCTACGCCATTATGCGCCTCCTGATCAAGAAGAGGAAGCAAAACGTGCATGACTGCCTATCCGACAGACTCCTCTCGACGATTGCAGCGTCTGGAAACTACAGGATCCTGAGACTCTTCGAAAGGACCTTCTCGGTTGTAATCAAGGACGAATGGCTGCAGCTCGCCCGGTTGTACCGCGCCGCCAGCGAGAGCAACAGCCCAGTCCTCGACGAGCTCGTCTCACAGGGCATCCCATTGGATACAAGGAACGCCCGCGGCGAGACTCCCCTCTGGAGGGCTGCAAGCAGGAACCACCAATCTGTCATCCGCACGTTACTGAAGACTGGACTGGTCGATGTTAATGCGGTTTCCGACTCTGGGGACTCGCCTCTCATTAGTGCAGCGCGCGCTGGGTATACGAGTGCTGTTTGCCTTTTGCTAGAAGCTGGTGCATTTCCGGATGTTGCGAATGAAAATGGCAATACGGCGTATTCGATGGCGGAGATGAGGTCTTTCTTTGGGACTATGAAAGCGCTTGAACGGCATCTGGACTGCAGTACATAGAATTAGCTATCTATAATTATATACTACTGGCATTACGATATTTCTAGAGTAATGGATATATACAGACCTTAAGACTATAATATAAAACAGGTAATCTATTCTATCTGTAGTTGGCTAACTTACCTTCCCTACAGCTTATGTAACTCCTACATCTTTACAACCTTCAATGCCCCTCATCACTCACCTCTACCTAGAATATCATCAGAATATACAAGCCAAATGGTTAACACAACTGATTCAATGTCCTCTTCACCCTGCCTCGTCAAAATAGGCACCCACTCTTTAGCCCTCTACACCCACGGCCCAGAACCCAACAGCACAGCCGACCCCGTCATCCTCTTCATCCCAGGCCTAGCAAGCGACGCCTTAGTCTGGCAAGCCGTGGTGCGCCTTCTAAACCCTTCACTACGAAGCTACACCTACGACCGCTCAGGGTACAACAACTCTGAGGCCTCGCCTCTTGCCCCGTCAGCCGAGAATATCGCTCTAGAGCTGTCTCTCTTAATTGAAAAGGCGCCTATACCTAACCCTCTGATCATTGTTGCGCACTCCTGGGCAGGTATTCTCTCGCACGAGTATATCGCCTTAAAAGGAACCGACCAGATCGCGGGGCTAGTTCTTGTCGACGCTAACCACGAGACAACTCCGCTGGTGATAGACATCGCCGATCCGGTTCTCTGGACTGTTGCGGCTGGTGTGGAACCGTATTCTGCTAAGGGTATTGAGGCAGAACATAAGTTGACCAAGGATGAGTGGAGGGCGTTTAGAACTGCCGAGTCAAGCGAGAAGTTCAGGCTTATTGCAGAACGAGAGAGTTCGGGGTATTACAAACCTAGTTTCGAGACGCTGCGGGCGAAGGAGTTGAGTAAGAGACAGCCACTACTGGGCAATAAGCCAGTTTATGTGATTGGGGGTACGAGAAGTAGGGATTGGGGTGGGTTGTATAGGGCTGGGGTAGCGAGGGGGAATGGGACGGAGGAGGAAAGGCGATATGTGAGGGACTTGATTGCGAAGGTTGATGAGAAGGGGAAGGGATTAATGAAGGAGTTTTTGAAGCTGTCTACGAGGAGTGAGCTTGTCTTTGCTACGCAAAGTGGGCATTTTGTTCAGTTGACGCAGCCGGATGTTATTGTTGATGGAGTGGATTGGGTCTTGCGTAACCTAGGCTCTTAGTTGCCTAGATCGGAATAATTGTAGTAATTCTGAATACGTTTAATGTTTGCCCTTCTTATATGTTGCTGGATATTGAGTACCGGAGTATCTTGTGAAAGCTGCAGAGATGAATTGGTTGATGACGGGGAATATTGTCCGGTGGAAGAGAACACAAACGCTTACCGGAGCAATGTGGGTGTTATTATTGTTTAACCCTAGGAAACTGCCGGGCATCTTCTCTGATCATTTCAAGAATAGGTATTTCTCTCCTCTAGTCAGAGAACTGGGTTTCTACTTCAGTAAGACTGTTTTCCACCCGGTAGCATCTATCATATCTGGTTAGATATGATATCCAGTATTTAAATAAAGGAATGAAAATATTACATAGACAGCAGATCATTCAAGATATAACTATCGTGATTTGGTAGTTATCTGGAGAAGACAGTACTTTGGCCCTGTACCTTACACTGTAGACAAGGTCATCCTTTTCTATTTCTCTGGAATATGAATATATCTTGATTACTGATTCTCTAGTTATATTTAAGTTAGAAGACGCTTAGTACTGTCGTACTAATAATAAGTGTAGATGATGGTTGTTCTCAAGTGTTCTCCTAAACGACCGGGTATATGGATGCGTTATATATCTATACATAAAGGAATGGCTTGGCCAGTACATAGCAATACTAATGACCCATAATAAGCCATTTCTCCTTACTTAATAAAGAGATACTTAAGCTGTATATGTATTCTGAACATAAGAAGCCTTTTATGCCGAATACTACACGGGCTTAAATAGTCCGGGTATTATTCTATATTCCCTGCTGAAGTTGTATACCTCCCGCTGCTCCGTTTCGGGATCGGTCACGTACTGGATGTGTAGACAAGCAGCATGCTTATGACGTGACCGCAGAGAAACCGTGAAGGGCTGGCATCCATCCGAGGCAAGGGGTATTCATCGTATGAATCAATCTCTGTATACTGGGAGGTGTCATCGGTAGAGACAGAGTGCTCTGGCTTGCATATATTGAAATGCGTGAGATGTCAATTGCCCGTTTCTGGCTTTTGTATCCTCCAGGGATCCGACGCGCTTCGTCACCGCCTGTCCAGAATGTGACCTGTAATGCTGGAGTAAGGGGTATGCGCGGCTATGAGAATCATTCGAGGATCGCGGGCGCTGAAGAATGCGCGTGGAAAGGTTGTCATATGCTTTACACCGGTTCAGAACGATTCTCAAACACTGCTGTTGAATTTCTCGGCCGCTCATATCTACTGCGCTGACTCTGGTAGAAGCCTGTGTAGTGGGCAATACTACAGTTGACCAAAATGGGGAAGCTATGTTGAGCAGCAAGGGCAGATGAATACTGATACCCCTTGGTTTACATTGTGGCTTCCATGAGCTACTGCGTACATTCCACCTGAATATGCGACCTTAGCTGTTCGACACTGCGTTCTACGCGCCCTCACAGAAGATATGTTTTCGTGGTTCCTTCGTTCATTCGGCCGCAAGGACAGTAGGGAAGATGTCGACACAGACAGTTACCCTCTCCTAGAAAGACGAAGTACGTCCGTCGATGAAAACACGCCAGGAGAATCAGAGGACAAGCCGGCCAATGCATCCGATGGCCCGGTGACGTGGTTGTCTCTCCCCAACAAGACCCAGCTGTTCATCCTGCTCGTCGTGAGAGCCTCCGAAGTTGTCTATCGATCCTCGATTCGGACATATCGCTTCCATCAATTAAGATGGTTCGACCCGGCCTTGCCAGACGACCGCCTGTCTACACAGGCGGGGATCATCCACGGATCCTCCAACGCAGTACAGGTTTTCAGTGGTATTCTGGTCGGACGCCTAGCAGACACGCCATGGATTGGACGGAAGTCTATGTTGCTCTGTGGCTTGTTCGGCTATATAATCTCCTCTATAGGACTGGCCTTTTCCAAGTCATTCCTCGCTGTCGTAGCCTTCCAAGCGCTGGGAGCAGTCATGGATGGTATTCCGGCATTGGTTCGCACGACTATAGCAGAGACGATGGGGGAGAAGAAGTAGGCACCTTGCTCTTGTCTGGCCATCAACGCATCGGCCCACTAATACTCGGCAGATATCTGTCTCGTGCATTTGTACTCCTCCCCCTCTTCGCCAATGTGGGCGGCACCCTCGGCCCTTTCATGGGGGGGATTTTGGCTGATCCGATGCATAATCATCCTTCACTTGTATGGCCTGAGTGGATGTCGAGGTGGCCATACGCCCTACCATCTCTGGTCAATGCCGCAATGTGCGCGCTCATTGTTGTCCTGGTTGTCCTATTTCTGGATGAAGTATGCCCCTGGTGGGACGTCTCTTGTTATTAAACTAACTTGCATTATAGACACTGCCCAGTGCTCGCCTCTGTCAACGCGCAAACAGCTACCGATACCAGCCTCTCCGCGAGTCTCCCGCAATCGATCGAGTAGAAGAGGGAGCTATTGAGGACCAGTCCCCTCAGACTCGAAAACCAGCTGGTTTCCGCGCCCTGTTGGCGCGAAACGTACTCCTGACTCTCAGCTCCCGCTTCCTATTCAGCTTCCACGACATCACCTATATCTCCCTCTCGGCCCTTTTTCTCCCGGCCCCGCGCGCGTCTCCCTTCGTTCACCACGGAGCTCATTTTGGCGGTGGGATGGGGCTATCGACCGCAGAAACAGGACTCGCCATGTCCATCTCAGGGCCCATTCTAGTCCTGCTATCCCTCACCTGTTACCCCGCCGTCTCCGCCAGACTGGGGACTCTCGGCTCATACCGAATCTTCCTCTCCCTAGCACTGGTTCTGTATATGGCGACGCCCTTCTTGGTGTTCGTCCCAGATCGCGCTCTCCCCGTGTGGCTGGCGCTGGGGGGCGTCATGTCCCTGATTGCTGTCTCGCGCACTTTCACCTGTCCGGCATCGTCGATTATTCTGAACTACTGCGTTTTGGACCCGAGTGCCCTGGCTACCGTGAATGGCGTGGGACAGAGCGTCACCTCTGCGGCAAATACAATCGGGCCGATGATTGGAAGCTGGGAATTTGGCCTGGGACTGAGGTCGAATCTGGTGGGTATCCCCTGGTGGGGATTGGGAGTGGTGGTATTGGCGCAGTTGATTGTTCTGTGCTTTTTGGAAGTCGTGGAGTAGAACTTATTAACCACTAAGACATGTCGGTAATCGCGATCTTGGTGAAAGTGGTGTTCTTCACCTACATCGATATCCAGGTGGCAAAGCCGACATTCAGCGTTTGCAAGCAAACGAAGTATTCACTACAAGGGAAACCTCGCTTGTTGCTAGCATTGTAATGGAAAGGTATAACTAGCCCTTACATGGCTGTGTTTAACGCGAAATCATGCACTCCTTTCATATTAATATTGTAGACTTGTTCACAAGATACACAACTGATACTATATAGTGCATGAGATGTCAGATTGCTACAGAGCAGCCAAGGCAGTCTCCAACGTCTGGCCGGTTAGTCTCTGGAATATCTCATGGTAGTTGCTTTCTGTCCGGGCAATCACTTCGTCCGGCACCTATTCTTGTCAGCTACGAGTCAACTTAAGAGGATCAGCTCAGTAGATGCGCACCTCTATCCCGACCTTTGCGCTGAGCCCGTTCTCCGTCAACCAATCGCACAAAAACCGCTCTAGAAAGATATCAGTGTCGTCCAAGTAGATCACCTTATGCTTCAAACACAGCATCGATGTAGAAGGTCTCCTTACTGTCGAAACTCTTCGGGGCTTGACCAACGACGTAGTCACTTGCTGACCAGAAACGCGAGCAATCCGGTGTTCTGCCCAAGAATCCGTTAGCTATTGGAGACCAGCATAAAGGGAAAAGAAAGACCGACAGGATCTCGTCAGCCAGTATGATCTCATCGCTGTCCTCATCATGCCCTTCGACCACCATCAGCATCAAACTACCAGTCCGCCAACGTCCCGTATCGACTCACCAAACTCAAACTTCGTATCGGCAATGATAATCCCTCGCTCCAGCTTCCCAGATAATCAGCATTGGCATCCTATACTGGAGAAAACCTCCCACTCACAGCCCAGTCATACGCCGCTTGATACAACCCCAAAGCGAGCTTCTCCATCTGCTCCGCTAACCGGTCTCCAACCATTTCCCTCGCCCTGGCCGGATGGATGTTCTCATCCCTCCCCCCATACGGGACCTTGATGGCAGGCGTATAGATAGGTCCACCAGGAAACTGCTGGCCATGTCGTAGCCCTGCAGGCTGCGGCATTCCATGAACGGTCCCGCTTTTCTTGTACTCGGCCCAGGCGCTACCAGTGATATAGCCGCGGACGATACACTCGAACGGGAGCATGGTGCATTTCCTAACCACCATCGCGCGGCCGATAAGGCCCTTTTTCTCGTTTGCGCGGAGACTGGACTCGGCGGGGAGTCCGAGGCTGATGATGTGGTGCTTGAGCTTGGGGAAGTATGTTGGTAGGACGTTGGAGATCCAGTGGTGGGTTAGTAAGGTGAGGATCTTGCCTTTGTCCGGGACTGCATTGTTGAGGAGGAAGTCGAAGGCGGAGATGCGGTCGGTGGCGACTAGGAGGAGCGTGGACTTATTCACTTCGTAGATGTCTCTGACCTTGCCCTATATTTGGTGTGAGCTCTGGCTTGGATCCATGGAACTGTGTTTATTCCACCTTGCGAAGAAGCGATAGCGACGTCAGGTCGGTAGACTCGATAGTCATCTTTTCTGAAAGTTTATAGACGTTTTTTCTTAGTTTGCGATTGTTAGACAGATGTCTTCGGCCGATTCATGGAAAGATGACTGCTTTTTGGTTTTAAGTACTCTGCTCCTTGCAGTACGGAACATTGGAATCCTCAATGCGGACAGACGTAAGGAAATAGCGGTCAATACTCCGTACTGTCCATACTCTTTACAGAGTCATATATAATATAATGAAGCAAACCAAGGTCCACTTTTCAACTACATACACATTACGCTACCTTGCCTCCAAGCTGCTTCTAAACACAGTCAATAACGCACACCCGGTATGTGTAGACCCAAATTCCAACCTCTGAATGCAGACTCGAAGATATGCGGTGTAATCAGATTATACATGTACTATTGGGATGAAAGTACACTGCATAACCTACTCGTCATTCAGATCCCTCCCAAATCCAGGCAATTCCCTGGTCGCGGTGAGGCCCTCTTTTGGGAACCTGTCCTTTCAGGTGCCCATTGTTCATTCCCACCGAATATTCATCCGACAAAAATTCCCTTTGTTAGATCTTTTCATGGCGTCTTTGCCTTGTTATTGCCCCTTTTAATACATCGTGCACGTCTTGTTCAGTCAGAAGGTGCCGCGCGTAATCCCTGCCGTATCCTAACTTTTCCCTCCCCTGTAATCAACAACCCGACAATATACATGATGAGCAGGCGATCACAGCAGCTCTAGGAACTCTTGCTCGTCATTCGCGGAGAGGATCAACCAAAACGCGACCCTTTCAAATGAATGTGGTCTCCTGACAACACATTGAGCGAAGGGGCTTGGTGTCAGGTGTAAGGGGGTGATGTCGTGACTACACTTATTCAATAAAAGAAATCAAGTAGAACATTTAATGCAGTCATATAATGTTAGAGCCGGTCAAAACATTTGGAGGTTTTGCTCGCAGAACTAACTAGGCTACGTCGTCGCTTTCCCATTTTTTGTCGTCCTACATCCCGGTGTGAGTTCCTCGATAATGACTCGCTCGCGGTAGTGTATGCCGCCCGTTTATACCCTATTTCGTATGGAAGCCCGAGATATGGGGGCATCCGTCTCTACCAGTCGGTCCCATCTAACGTTCTGGCCTACGCAGAGTGACATATGGCCACGAAATTGATGCCATCAAGCGGGAAACAATGATAAAGAAGTCTATGTAGGAGTCGCCTACTGGTTGTTAGGCTCTTTCAGGGCCGATGGGCGCTGCTTCATCCCATATTGCCATGATTGGAGGTGGTAGGCCCATGACTACCCCGAGGACCATGGAAGGTGATTTAATGAGATACCTTAGGATCTATACATCTATGCCAGATTCAACGGATTTTCAGCAGTTAAACTACTAAACATTCCTCGACGGGATTGTAACCATCCCCTTCTCCTCCTTGACCCTCCACTGAATGGCCTTGAGAGTATGATATAGGAAGGTGGCCGTGGGCATACTCACGCCCCGCGCTGTACCCTCTCGCAACGGCTCTCCCAGGATATTCTCAAACTCAGTCAGATTTCCCTACACCATCAGCACCCAAACCAGACATTAAAGCAGAGCAACAGGAAACATACCCTTCCCACATCCTCCAACATACTCGGCCTCAAATAAGCAGTAACAGGATCAATGGCAATCATCTTATCCACAATATCTGCCGGAAGCCGCACGCCCACTGCAGCAGCAGCAGCCACAATCTCATTCATAGCCGGCCTGACAAGATTTTCCACGGCGCCTTCTGCCAACTGAATCCGTCCCGTGTCGAGACCTGTTATAGCGCAGATGGTGTTCATGCATGCATTGTAGACGAGTTTCTGCCATCGGTAGAAGGGGACCTCTTCCGCTGGTACATACCTGCAGTCCGTCTTACCTGCTGCGCTGTATATCTGTACGAAATGGCGCGCTGCTGCGTCTGCATCTGTCTCATTATCAACACCAGACTCGATGTTCAGATTTGGCGTTGGATTTCTAAACGCCCCGATTATCAACCGGTCATGGTCGACCTGCTCGATAACACCCGAGGCAATCTCGTGCGAGTCCACGCGAGAGACACCAGAAAGGACGACATTCTGCGGGAATATCTCGAACAGCGGCTTCTCAATATTCAGACCGTTTTGAATCAGTACTATAACTGTCTTTCCTGGCGTTACAGCGGGGGCAATAAGCTCTGCTGTTGTGGGGGTTGTATCGGCGATGTTTTTTGTTGTTACGACGATATAATCAAAATGCTTGTTGCTGTAGTGGGGGATTTTATTCAATACTGCCCTTGTTAATATATAAAGCTCCTTAGAAGAGGGTGCTTACTTTCAGACGGCCTCCAGTGCGTAATCTCGCCGTGGTCGATGGACTTGATGTGGAAGCCGTCGGTGGTGACTTTGCTATAATTACTGCGCAGCACTGCAGTCACTGAGGCGAGTCCGCCTGCTTCGAGATTGAGCGCTGCGATGGTGCCTACTCCGCCGGAGCCGACGAGGAGGATGTTTGCTGTCATTTTATAATTTAAATATATATGTGTATCTGGATTGCGTATGTTGGAGATATATATTCAGGCGCCTTCCGATAACATACCCCGCATTACAAAGCTGACAACTACTCTTATACTGGTTATTCATCTCCTTGATCGCATTGAGTCGTAAATTCATCCACTGCCTATTTTCTGCTGTTATCGACTGAATATCCTCTAGATAACTTGGATAACTTATATAACTTCTTGTATAGCATCTGGCAGGTGGGGCCGTTATCAGTGCGGGGTTCATTCATCCTCCGCATCGCAACCTCATCTCTCTGTCCATCTCTATCCAATGGCAATGACGACTCTTAATTTATATCTCAACATCTAGTCATTGCTAGCTGGTAACCATCGCCGACTATGACCCGGGCAGGGAGCTCGTGTCTCAACTGCCGCGCCAGAAAGGTTCGCTGCGATCGGATCTCGCCCCGGTGCTCCCAATGCAGACAGAGATCGCTGGATTGTGTGGTCCCCGAGGCTCCTCCGCGCCTGCTCTGGCTCCCGTCCAGGACAGTGGAGGATTTCGACTTGGAGCTGGACCAGTCTGAGGTTGATATGCATGTGCGGCGGCAGCCTCTATTCAAAAGTACGCCCCAAAAATAACAACCCGAGATATACTGACAGTCTATAGAAGGACAGCAAGCCCAGAATGCCGCGGACTTGCTCTCCCTTATTTCTAGTGCATCAGTCAATGCGGTCCTGGAACAGCTGGACTACCAGGCAGACGAGCTTCAGAATGGCACAACTTCCAATGGACCGTTCCATGCTTTTCGCTCCGAACCTGCGGCAGATCCATGTCCTTCGTCAATACCACCAGCAGAACTCCCTGATCTTGAATTATGGCGCATGCTCTCGAATAATCTCGGCGATGCGCTGGATGCGGATGACTTCATTACAGACCATTGGTTGCCGAATCTCTGTATACCAGAGGGTATACCTGACGATATACCAGAGGATATACCAGACGAGATTGCACAAGAGCCAGATACCCCCCAGGAAGCACGGTCATACACAGACAATGAACTTACAATAACCCCCCCGGTATCACCCCCGGCTGATTTAGAAGGCTTTACAATGTCCACCGCGAAACTGCTACTCGACCACTACCAGAATATAACAACAACGATCTATACCCCTGCATCCGCCGACGTCAAGACCCCGTGGGAGATCCTCTACATTCCAAATGTCCTTAGTACGCTTGGCGAAGTCGCTCTCACGGGGAACAGCAGTGACGCTAAAGTGTCACTCTTATTTGCCGTACTGGCAATTAGCGCCTTCAGTCTGGACATCCTCTCCTCGCCAGAGGCAGTCTCTGAAGACTGGCGCGCGCTGGGGAATATGTACCGGCAGAAAGCTACAAGGCGACTCCAGATGACGCTGCGGAATCTGTCGACGGGACTTCCGAAGAAGGAGAAGTATAAGAATATTCTCATGCCGCTGCTGAGTATGGTGACGATATGTGTACGTCAAACATGATATAATATGCGCTTGACATGGCATGATAAGCAACTAACAAGAACAGACCGTCAGCGGAGACATGGACAACGCAGCGCACTACCTAGGCGACATCGAACAAATCATAAAGCTATACGGACTCCCTAAACTCCAGAAATCACGCAAAGTCAAAATGCTCCACAGTATCTATGTCTACCTACGCGTCTTAACAGAAAGCACCTACATCAGCCAAATCCAGAGTACGTCGGGTATAGACCGCGAGAGCTCCCGAGTAGAAACAGACACCGGCAGCCCTACCGGCCCTGACTCCAGCAAGCTCAGCACCTGGGATATCCTACTCGGCGAGATGGTATGCACATTCGACACGTTGAACCTCGACTTCATGCAATGCCTTGCACCCCCAAAATCCACCTTTGAACAGATATACTCAATCCCAGACTCTCTGTTCAAGCTCATCCTCGAAACAACACAGCTCGCCAGCACAGTCGAGGAGGAGAAACTTCGCCATCGCCATAAACACGCCGACCACGACAGCCTTGCCGAACGTGTAAAAGAACACGAAAACCGAGTCTGCGAATGGGAGAACTACTACAACGAAACCACATACCCGGGCGATCCCATCGGCACTCCACCCCTGAAAGAACGCTTCCCATTCCATCTAACACAGGCCATTTACGCCGCGCTGGTAATCTACTTCTACCGCTCCGTCCGGGACGTCAACGTCATAGCCCTGCAGCCATACGTGCAGCAGACGATCTACCACCTCCGGGAATATGACAAGCATAAGGAACGACATAAAGACCGGTCCTCTGATATATGCTGGCCCGCGTTCATTGCAGGCTGTGAGGCAACAACGAGCCAGGCGAGACAGGATATTGCAGAGTGGCTGGAGAAGTCAACGCGGTCGAATGGCATACTGATGTTCCGGGTGGCGCTGAAGGCGATAAGGAGGGTTTGGGCGGCGAGGGCGGTTCCTGGGAAGCAGAATTTGTCGTGGAGTAGTGTTTTGGGGGAGAGTGATATGCGGGTTTTGGTTCTTAGCTGAACTGCTGGAAGGGCTGTTTTCCTTGTATTGAGGTTCAGATAGAATTATAAATTATCATGGAGATATCAGTTAGACACCAAATATGGGAGTGGGAGTACATGGGAGGCAGGTATAATCGCTTCCGCTCTGCACCTGCCCCCCTTCATCATATCCTTTAGGGAAGGGACGACCATGGTCCATTCTTGACCACAGTAGCTAGTATAATGTTGGAAATACCTGGATGGTCACCAGCCTTTCCTGACTCTTTGGTCTAGCGGTATAGCGTCTCATCTAATAATAACAATGCCTCAGTGGCCATGGCCAAGGTCCCTTTTCCGGGAAAATATTCTTATTGCGTTTTTAGCTAGTCCGTTGGCCGACCCCCTCTCCGTCCTGGCCACAGTGCCGACACTCTGCTGGTGCATCGGCTACGGTTCCGGTTGGTAGATCACCAAGGCAACCTATCCTGCGCACTAATGAGTCATTTATAGATGGACGGTCCGCACCAGCGATGCAGAAATATAATCAACAGGGCTGAGGACCGGAATCAACTTACTGCGACACCTGCCTTTATACTTGAAGACTGTGGTTGCACGAGCCACCGTCTATACAACCACCACCGGGGCTGAAGGGCCAGAAATAACGTACCGCGTCTCTCAATCGTATAATCAATACGGTCTGATAGTGCCCTATCCAGTTAAGGGAGAACATGAACTTCGAAACATCCGTCGGATTCGCAGCAAATACGACGAGGATGGCGAGGATTTGATGCATGATGGAATGACCTCGTGGAATGGTGGATGGAAGGCATCAAGGACATCAAAGATATGAAGAAGGGTCCACGAAATCCAGTCGGTCAGATGCCGCCTGCCAACCATGGCTTGGTGCCTTGTCTGAGCAGTGCATACCGATAGATATGAGATTAATGTCCCTCTAGGCCAAAACTTTCTGTCATGTTAAGCTTGCAGGTTCAATAACAGTACGTAAACGTAGAACTCTAAAGGTATATATACCTCCAACATGCCACCACTTGATCTAAACTTTACCAACTAGTTACCAACCTTTTTCGCATCTTGCCCCTACTTAACTCCTGAAATCTTGCAATTCCTGAAACTTCGTCAACTTCTGCTACTTCTGCTACTTCTGCTTTTTTAACCACTTCCCCGACTCTGGGAAAGCCCTGCCAACATGTGCCTTGGTCTCATAAGAAATCTGTTCTCTGGCTACGACACTTGGGAGGACCGTACCTATCAGTTGGCGGTAGATTGGAACCGGCTCAAATATAACTATCTGCCCCGTTCCTATTACAAAAAAGCTTGCGACTTCGCTTGGTTCTATTACAACAATCGCGAGAAGCGCAACGCAATACTTCAAAGAATCCGCCAGCTGAAACAGAACAGCGATGTTTACCAGTACAATTTATTCCAGAACCAAACCCCAATCGGAAATAAGTCCCGTTCTCCAAACCAGATGAGCCTAGACACGGTTTCGAAAGATACCTCTTATACTGAAGAAGACCGAAGACATGAACTCCAAGAACTGGATGTTGAACTCCGCCGAATCCAACTCGAGTTATTCAACAAATGGCATGACGCCCCTGATAATGCTGCGTCAAGGATCTGCAAGCTAGGGTATGAGCATACAGATGAGGAGGGCCGTTCTGATGTATGGTATAACGAGCGTGAGGCGTGCAGTGTGAGCGGAGGGTGTTGTGGACGTACGTGCGGGTGCTGTGAGAAACCTCTGCACGAGTACTACGTGGATACTGGACGAATCTTTGTAGTCGATGGCGAGCCTGACAGTACTGAGGGGAAAGAACTTGTCCGACTATATGGCCACTGCACCGCCGAGTGTGCCTGCTGCGTGATAACGCATGGCGTGTACAAGCCGCGTCAGGACCTTCCAAAACCGAAATTTGCTCGGTAGAGAAGGAGCGACTGTGTAGGATGTTTACCAGAGTAGAGTATAATAATAATGACTGCGACCATGGTCCTGAATTTCTCTTTTCTCTCTGTAGCCTTGCTTTATTAAAAGTTCGGCTATACATCTTAACCACCACGCTCTTTACCCGACACTCTTTTTTTTTTTTTACTTTTTACCATCTGTCACTCTTTTTTTTTTTTTTTTTTTTTTTATAATCATGGTAGAATTAGGGCAGGTAGCAGAGCTCGTAGCTAACTACCCTTGGTCCTCCTTGGCGTGGGTCGTTGTCTTCTACCTGGCCTTCCGCCTGGTTGACACTCTCGTTCTCTTGTTAGAGAGCGAGATTAAGTGTCGGTAAGGATTGTTCCTTGCAAACTTGTTGTTATACTTACTGATCTATACTGTATTTGTTTAGGCCGAGGTATAGGGGGCTGTATGGTTGGAGGAGCTCGGCCGCTCCCGCGGTACCGAGTCCGGTCGACGATGCAGACGGGTCCCAAGAGATGGACGGCTCCAGCAACTCCAATCCCGACGGTGCTTCTAACGAACACAGTCGAGGCCGCATCCAAGATCTCTCCCGTCCTGCTATCGGCGAGGCAAACAGGTCCCAAGAGATGGACGGCTCGAGCAGCAGCTCCAATCCCGGCGGTGCTTCTAACGAACACAGTCGAGGCCGCATCCAAGATCTCTCCTGTTCTGCTATCGGTGAGACAGACGGGTCCCAGGAGATGGAAGGCTTAACCTGCCCCGGCAGTTATTCCGACGGTGCTTCTAACGAACGCGGTCGAAGCCTCTCCCCAGATCTCCCCCGCCCGTCTCCCGATACGCAACGATCCCGCAAGAAGTCCAAGGGTAGGAGGCGAAGAGCTCGTCATTAGTTAGTATAGTGAGTTTGCCTTCGTCGAACAAAAATATTTCTCTGCTGACGAGGGCTTTCCAGTTTTACGGAAAAAAAAAAAAAGAACTCATCATTGTGGGTGGTTTCTCACCATCCGACGAGACGTTTGCTCCGACTGCGATTCGAAGATCCCGAAGAATGGGCCGTATAATCAATGAGCCATGCATTGGACGAGCTGTACGTTTGACCAGCAATACATTCGTTGGCCGTATGCTCGACCGGCAGTACATTTGATGAGCAATACATTCGATGAGCAATACATTCGATGAGCAATACAATCGATGAGCAACGTATTCGATGAGCAATACAATCGATGAGCAATACATTCGATGAGCAATATGTTGAATGAGCCTTGCCAAGAATTCCGAATAACTATACTAATGACAAGCTGTACGATCGACGAGCCGTACAATCAACGAACCGTACCATTGACAAACCATATGATTGACGAGCTACACGATCGACCAGCTGTACGATTGACAAACCATATGACTGATGAGCTGTACGATTGACGAACTGTACGATTGACGAACTGTACGATTGACGAACTGTACGATTGACGAACTGTACGATTGACGAACTGTACGATTGACGAACCATATATTTGACGAGCCATGGCTCAGGTTCCCTTTTCCTAGCTTTTCGAGAATCCCCTATCTGAGGTATAACTTTGCCATACTTGGCACACCCTCAATATGGAGTGATTCAATTTCGAATTCTGTGCGCGTCGGCGCCTTCTCCGCCGTGACATCTGTCGACAATCTGCTGGTGCACCAGCCTCGGCCGGACCGGTTGGGTGGACTATCAGTAAGGATTTACCCTACTTTTGGAAAATAGTACTGATGGGATGGTGGCTAGGTTTGCAGACAGCCATGATAGCTCGAAGAGGACCCTGTCCAGCGAGGTCCAGTGGTTAGCGGCCCCCTAGATAGGCGTTTGGGCGATTGCTGCTTTTATAGTAAGTTCACTATTTCTCTCCAAAACATTGTCTTACTAATACAGCTTTCAGGGATAAAGCAGGCGTCAGGAGAAGGACAGCTCGAGTGTTCCTACTACGTGATAACACATGACGTGTATAAGCCGCGTCAGGACCTTCCAACCCGAAATTTGCCAGTAGCCTTCCATTGCTTTATTGTTTGGCTATAGTTATTGTCTTCACCAAACATCCCTTTTTTCTCTCTTATTCCCCTCACTCATTTTCTCTATTTTAATCAGGTCACGTTCTGGGAATATAGCGGAGGAAGTGATCAGACGTCCCCTGGCCACCTTGTTGTCGTTGGTCGTCCCCTACCCTCCATTGCTTCATAATAAGTTTGGTTACACAACTTTTAACAATCACGCTCATTACACCACACTCCTTTATTCATCTCTTTTATCCCCAGTCACTCTTTTTTTCTTTTAATTATGCCAGCTATAGATAGTATAGCTGAGCTGCTGACTGAATACCCCTGGCCTACCCTGGTGTGGGTTGTTGTCCTCTACCTGGCCTTCCGCCTGCTGGACTCTCTCGCTCGCTTGATAAGAAGTAAAGAGCCGTGAGTGTTGTCCCGCATGATTTTGTGGTTATACTGACTGACCGGTCTTGCATTTGTTTCTAGTCCGAGGTATGGGCCGCAGGAGAAGCCCAGCTCCCGCAGCTCCAATTCCGACAACAGTCGAGGTCGCTCTCCGGCCCTTCCTCCCACCACCGACTTGTGACAACACCACTTAAGATGGGCTGATTCAACTTCAAATTCCACTGGCAATAATAGCAAACAGCAATATTATTGCGCGGTTGGCACCTGGGCGGGCATCGACGCATTTTATCTCCCAGCCTTCGGGGACAGCCTGTTACAGCATGCACTGGTAGGGCTGTTTGTATTCATCTTGCTTTTTGATAGCAGTACTGATGGGATAATTGATAAGTTTGCAGACCACAGTGGAAGCACGAAGAGGCCTTTTTTATCCTGTTTTTATGGTAAGTCCATTGTTTCTCACCAACTAGAACGCTATCTTACGGATGTGACCTTCAGGAATAAAACACAGAATGTGTGAGATGGCTTTACAACTTACCCTGCGTCCCGAGCCTGCGTTTTGAGGAGCATCGCCCCGGGACTTTGCTCACACAAGCTATCTACCTTTTCGATACATCAAATGAGACAGTTGCATAGAGGACGTGGAGGTGTTGGAAGATATGAAGGACTCAGAAGACACGGAGGATATACCAGCTAAAGACTCTGCAGCCATGGTCGGAGTCTCTTTTCCCTCCCGTCGACTATCCCTTGCCAGTATCATTGGCGATATTGATAGTTTCGTTGAGCCTGTGGGTGACCCTTTCCTGGACCGGCGTCGGCGCCCTCTCCGTCCTGGCACCTGGGCTGAAATTCTGCATTGCATGGAGGATATGGAGGACATGATTTGAAAAGAGATGATGTCGTGTATTTAAGTCAATCGAAGCCTTACCTTATAATTGCAACACCGAAACCAGAGAATGATGCGGCGTAGTTGTAGACCTGACAGGTGGGCCGTCGTTCTCAGGCGCCAGAACGGCCGCCTGGCCAGCAAACAAACTAACTAAAACTAGCTAGGGCGGACTCTGGTCTCCACAATGGATCTGCGCTCACTGCCTCAGGCAGTCAAAGGACCTTGGGCTCCAAGCATAGATGCGTGCTCACTTCAGCATCCCCTAGATTTTCACGGGAAGACAGCCCTGTCGAGGTCATTGCCCGTACCTTTCTTTACGTGACTTAAAATTCCCGATGATATAAGCACGTTCATGGGTGGCTGGAACTGCTGATTTGCGGGATTCAGTTTCCTCATCACATGCAACCGCTCTGATTGGCCGGGCGCTTGCACATGGGGCCAGCTGATACAGACAAGTGACGCCAGAGACAAGACCGTCGACTGCTCTACAGTTGTCTCTGCACGCCTTCGCCTAGCTCGACTTGCATCACTCACTCCTCTCGACGCCATCCGACCCGTTCTCATTCCTGAACCCTGTCATCGCCTCCACTCTCCCAGGATGACTCAAGATCCCCAGCCTGTGCGGCGTTGACGACTTCCGGAGATTTGCGCCTCGAACACTCTTCCTATCCTTATCAGTTCATCGAATGGGCAGTGGGTGGCTCTTCCTTATCCTTGCGTTCCTCCTGTTCCTTTGTTCATTTAAATCTGCAAGGATTCGATGCTAATCAAGTGACTTTTTGGGCAGCTTTTTTTGATCGTTTGTTTCGGGTTCCTCATCTCATCGTGACCTTTAGCGACCGCCTTATACTCCAGTACCCCAGACTCAACTTTCACTCCACTCGAAGCCTGATCCTTGCAAATACCACACTGAGCGCCTGCCTACATAATATTTTCACCTTATAAACCTCCAAAATGCGGCCATTCAAAGACGATAGGAAGCAGCGAGTGGAGCGGAGACCCAGCGGAAACAAGCAGTCAATTTCGAGGAGCATGTTCTCAGGCTCCTTCCCGGAACGTCTAAAAGAAGATCACGATGATTCTCAAATGGATTACACAGCTCCACCTGGTGGCAGCCAGTCTGGAGACGGGTTGCAGTACATGCATCAATCTTTATTGTCTCTGATTGCTGCCGTAGGTAGCCGCACCGAGTCCGGTGCGCGCATCGACAGCTCTAGCGATGGCGAGGAACACATCGACAAAAAGTCCTCCTCGACGTTTGGGGAATCGTCAAGTCAACAAAACACAACGCCGTCGGAAACGTCTGGAACTAAACAAGTATCTTCGACCCCACAAACGAGAACTGGCTCGAAAGAACGTGGCCGCCGCCACCGGAGGTCCATATCAGACCATAAGCTTTTTCGGCCTTTTAAGTTGGGATCCGTCAATCAGGACGAGGGACGTGATGAGCCCTCAATAAGCGGCAAGCTATCCCCGTTCCCGGCTCTCCCTCGACCACGCAGCGCGACGCCCCGAGCCGCTCCTGTCTTGAGCCGCATGGTTGAGGCGCGGGCGCTTTTAGATACGGAGAGCCCGGAAGATAGCCCCCAGTCCTCTTCACCAGAAGGGAAGAATGATGATACTTCTCAACAACCCGCGGCGTCTCCACTTTCTCTACGATTGATGGAGATGTTTCATTTCGCTGCGCCCGAAAAGGTCGTCGTGGAATACTCTTGCTACTTACTACAGAGCATGCTTTTGCAGGGTTACATGTATGTGACTGACGGGCATGTATGCTTCTACGCCTATCTTCCTAAAAAGTCCACGATAGCCATCAAGTCCGGCTATGTTTATAAGCGTGGCCGAAAGAATCCTACATACAATCGCTACTGGTTTTCATTGAAGAAAGACGTGCTTTCTTACTACGCCGACTCATCCAATCTTTACTTTCCCAGCGGCCAGATTGATTTGCGTTACGGAATCTCTGCTTCTCTTACCGAATCCAAAGAGAAAGGGAGAGACTCAAGAGACTTCCAGGTTACAACTGATCATCGAACATACTACTTTAGAGCAGACAGTTCGGCGAACGCGAAGGAATGGGTTAGATCTTTGCAGAAAGTCATTTTTAGGACGCACAATGAGGGAGAAAGCATCAAAATCTCTTTTCCGATTGAGAAGATTTTGGACATAGAAGAGAGCCCCATGGCTGAAATCGCCGAGACGTTCAAATTACGTGTTGTTGACGAGGAATCGTATGCTATTGATGAGGTCCGTTGCGATCCTTGAGCCCCTGTATATACACCTGGCTAATCTTATTTGCAGTATTACTTCACCTTCTTCGATTCAGGTCGCGACGCGTTCAACCTCCTGAGAGATCTGATTCGCGACACTCCGACAAAGGATCCTTCGCCTAGCAAATCTCCTTTGCCAGACCACACAGCTCACCCTAGGAGGTCCCGTGGGTCACAAAACAGGTGGTCTATCACCAGTGGAGGTCCGTCACGACGGCGAAGTGCGAGCACCGGCGTTCTGAGTGCCGACGCTGGCACTGACAAGTCACCACGGATGAAGCAGCAAGATTCATCAACTTCGTTTGTTAACTCCATAGACCAGATCACTGAGTCATCAGCAGTATTGCAGTCAATGACGGACACAACGGAGTCAGCGAGTCAGATACTTAACCGGAGCGACGTCTTCCATTCTCCCACGATACAAAAATGGCAACGACGGACCTCTGATGCGGCAAAACCTAACCGTCGCTGTTCAGACGAAATGGCCAAATCAATAACAGAGCATGCGCCTGATGCACTGTCTCAAACGCGAGAAGACCTTTATGCTGCTTATAGCTCTGAGCAAGGCTCGAAGGATGCTTCCAAGCTCTACTCTCCGGCCGCGTTGAACGACCTTGTTAAGGCCGGGTCTTACCCTCTTCAACGCGCTGCTGGGTTCGCAGAATATCTGAAGAGTCGTTCTAGGGAAATGAGTACGTTATTGGCAACTGAGTCCATGGGCTATATTGAAAAGGTCTCCGGAATGTGGGCTGGTGGCCGAAGGCACTATGGAGACCTTGAAGGCGTCCTGCCAGATGATCGCGCATTATATCCTGAAACTCCAGAGCAAAGTGTGAAAGATGGTGACAGCTTCCGAGCTCATTTTGCCCTCCCGCGGACAGAGAAACTTGAGGCAATTTATTTTGCCTATCTGCACCGTGCACTCCCACTATATGGGAAGATCTATATCAGCCAGAACAAGGTCTGCTTCCGCAGCCTTTTGCCGGGCACGCGAACAAAAATGATACTCCCACTTCGTGATATCGAAAACGTGGAGAAGGAAAAGGGATTTCAATTCGGGTATCACGGGCTTGTCGTCGTCGTTAGAGGTTACGAAGAGCTGTTCTTTGAATTCAACACCTCGGATGCGCGTGATGATTGTGCCATAACGGTAATCCGGCAGCTAGAGCCTGTCAAGCTTTTGGCCGAGTCAGGATTGTTATCGCAGCAGGAGAGTGATGAGTCGGAGGGTGCACAAATAGAACACCGAATGCTCGAAGAAGCCCGCTTGAATGCCTCGACCGAGCAAACACTTCGTTCGCAGCTCAGCGAATCTTCAGAGCTTCGTTCTATCTTTGATGACCCTCGCGCTTCCATCGTTGATTTCAAGCCACCTGAGCCTTTGACGATCACATGCCTGACTATTGGTTCACGTGGCGATGTGCAGCCATATATTGCTCTATGCAAAGGTCTGCTTGCGGAGGGACATAAAGCCAGGATCGCAACTCATGCGGAATTCGAGCCGTGGGTCCGGAAGCATGGCATTGATTTCGCTCCTGTTGATGGCGATCCGGCTGAGCTTATGCGGCTGTGCGTGGAGAACGGAATGTTCACTCTCTCTTTTCTGAGAGAGGCAACCGCGAAGTTTCGAGGTTGGATCGATGACCTTCTGTTGTCTGCATGGACGGCCTGCCAGGGTAGTGATCTTATCATTGAATCTCCGAGTGCCATGGCAGGAATCCATGTTGCGGAGGCTCTCAGGATCCCATATTTCCGTGGCTTCACCATGCCATGGTCAAGGACACGAGCATACCCTCATGCATTTGCGGTACCTGAACATAAGATGGGTGGTGCGTACAACTACATCACGTATGTGATGTTCGAAAATGTCTTCTGGAAGGCCATTTCTGGGCAAGTGAATCGTTGGAGAATGAACGAGCTAGGACTCAAGGCCACGAGCCTAGACAAGATGCAGCCCAACAAGGTCCCATTTATCTACAATTTCTCCCCTTCAGTTGTGCCTCCACCTCTAGACTTCCCAGACTGGGTTCGGATCACCGGTTATTGGTTCCTCAGCGAAAGTTCCGACTGGACTCCTCCAACAGAGCTCGCAGAGTTTATCCAGCGCGCTCGAGATGACGGGAAGAAGATCGTCTATATAGGCTTCGGGTCTATTGTTGTATCAGACCCCTCTGCCCTGACACGGACAGTTGTCGAGTCAGTTCTGAAAGCAGATGTTCGCTGCATCCTATCCAAAGGATGGTCATCCCGCCTAGGCGATCCAGCTAGCACGAAGTCAGAAATCCCACTGCCTCCTGAAATTCACCAGATCCAATCCGCTCCCCATGACTGGCTATTCTCGCAAATCGACGCCGCAGTACACCACGGTGGTGCCGGAACAACCGGGGCAAGTCTTCGTGCTGGCGTACCAACCATTGCCAAGCCCTTCTTTGGCGACCAATTCTTCTTTGGTAACCGGATCGAAGATCTCGGGGTTGGTATATGCATGAAGAAGCTAAACGTCAGCATTTTCTCTCGTGCACTATGGACGACTACCCATGATGAGCGTATGATTGTGAGAGCAAGGCAGCTCGGGGAGAGAATACGGAGTGTAAGTTCCTGGCAAGAGAAAATATAAGCCCATGCTAATGTATAACAGGAGGATGGTGTGGCCACTGCTATTCAAGCGATATATCGTGATCTCGAATACGCAACAACTCTAACTCGACAGCGATCCAGTATTTCGTCTACGCCGTTCTCACCCACGCCCACAACAAAGACGGCGGACGAGGACGCGGACGATGATATCGGCGACATTACAGAGTGGACTCTTGTTAGCGACGATGACGATATAAGTTTTACGAAGCGAGTGCGAGATAGAGCGGTGTCAGGTGCTGACAATCACCCTGAACGGCTTTTCCTGGGTGATTGAACTTTACATTCCCCAGGACTCTATCCTTTTACGATTTACGATTACTTTGACATATTCATGACTTCTTTAATTTGAGTTACGATCTTCTTTTTTCTATCTAATCATTTTCATTCCCGTCACGAATTTGTATGATGTCTCTGTTTTTGGGACTGTCGCATGCGTTATTCGTTTATAGATCCCCGCCGCGTATGCTGTGCATATCTACGGCCGTGCTTGTTAGTATGCTGAGGATACACCGTTTGAAGCATCGAGAGCGATGTCTATTTGAATGCCTTTACGATAGATGGCGGCGTTCTATATGGTTTGGGTAATGACACTTATTCATGCCAGTTATGCTGGTGATTCTCTTAACGACAACGATTCCATACGCAACTACAAGGATGCAAGTATCAAACTACCAAGACAAAACCTAGCGGCTATCGTAAACCATTTTATTCTCTGGGCTGCCAGAGACATAAGTGTATCCAGTCATGTAAATGCTAATCCACACATATATATGTAGGTTAGATCAACCAGAAAGATAGCGTATATCAGAGGTTAGTAGCCAGCTACTTGACCTGCCACCGGTTATCTCTCGTCAATTTTATTTTCGATTATTTTTCCTCCTCCTTCCCAGCAGCCTTGTCTTTTCGTCTCTCCACCACATCCCAGTTATACACACGGGCCGTAGCAACCTCTAGCGTCTGTCAAAATGTTAGATTGTCACCCTACCAGTTCTAGAGAGGGTAAACGAACCGTAATCTGCTCCCTCAAAAACTCCAAATCCTCATCACAATTCGACAAACTCAACTGCGCCGCACTCAGTTTCTCCTCCAACATCGTCTGCGCCTCGCCAATCGGATAAGCCAGCATGACATTCGCCCCGAGCCAGAGGTACACTTCCTCAGTATCAGCCGTATCCACAGTCGCCCGGGCATACAGGGTATCGTTCAGTTCAAAGTTCGTCTCGAGCGGGGCGCCGCCATTATCGCGTCTGATCTTGAGGAAGCGCACCATCTCTAGCGTTTTCTTGATATCGGGGATCTTCTCGCGTAATCCGGCGGCGCGGCGCTGCGTGTTGACTTCCATGAATTGGTACTTGGAGATCATTTCTTGGAAGGAGCGCATGGTTGGTTCGACTTCGGCGCGCGAGGAGACGTAGTCGGCGACATTGTCGACGAAGGGGGCGAAGGGGATGCCCCGCGGGTTTGTTTGTGTTCTGGGTTAGGGTGTTAGTGGTGTGAAGTGTTTTTTGGTGCGGAGGGTGATTGGGAAAGGAGGGTGAAGAGGAGAGCCGTACTGTGTGGGCTTTTTGTCTGTCATTGTTGCTGCTGTTTGCTTGACTGGGAATTGGGGGTGGAGGAGTTGAGGTTGAGGGCGATGATGGAAGAAAAGTGACTGGAGCGGAGTGGGGGAGTTGATTGCCTGTTTGGGAAAGGTGGGTTTTCTCATTGAACTCGGTTGCTCGAGCTGTTGTCAACTCTCTCTTTGCATCTCCTATCCATCCTTGCTAACTTGGGTATTCGCTATTTATCATATTATGATTCTGGAGAGATAGTAAAACACTACTGACATGGTGCGCCTCGTCACCACCACACCTATCCTCTCCGCCCTTGAGGCCATCCCTCCATCATCACGAGAACACCTCGACCTCCCCGAATCTCTGTCACTGGGGAACCCGATATCCCACGACCAGATAATCCAAATATCTCGCTATTTCCGAGAAACTCGCAACATTCAAAATGGTGACCGGAGTCTCGATTCCCTCCTCCGCGGGACAAAGCTATACATCCCTCCACCACCTCCGAAGCCAGAACCCGTACGCTCCATCACTTCCTGATATCATCCCATAGATATGCCTGCCAGAATAACCGCTGATATGTTTCTATTATCTAGAGCCCCGAATACCTAGCCCAAAAAGCCCGCCTCCTTGCCGCCGCCGAATCAGACGCCTACGCACGCATGCTCTCACAACCCTCCACAGCTTCACACCCATCAAACCCATTATCATCATCATCATCATCATCATCACACCCCGCAATATTCAACTCAACAACATCCAAACTCGCCGCCCTCCACGACTCCCACTCCGCCACCCAGGAGGACCCAAACTACACAGACCCACTCACGCCCTCCCTCGTCCTAAACATCTTTCTCTCCGTGCTTATCACCGGTTTCAGCGTCTACTGGGCGCTGACGTTCCAGATGCCGGATATACTTGTGTCGAAGGTATCGTCGACGTGGAGGTCTTCGAGACAGGGTTCTCGTGGGGGTGGAGGAGGTGCGTCTGAGGCGGTCCGCGTGCTGGTTTCGATCTTTGCTGCCCTGGGGGTAGGTGTTGCGGAGGTGTTGATTTATGCGATTTACCTGGGGAAGATCGAGCAGGCGAGGGGGAAAGAGGGCCGGCTTCGAGAGCGGAAGGAGGTTATTGGGCGGGAGGAAGTTGGGGGACGAGATCAGGCTCTTCCCGTTGGGACGGAGGATGATGATGAGAAGGATAAGGATGTTATATGGGGACGCGGGCCGAATGGGGGGTTGCGGAGGAGAGTCCGGGAGAAGTGGGAGGAGACGACGAAAGAGCAGGGACAAGAACAGGATCAGGATCAGGATCAAAACCAGGACCATGAGAAGGCCGGGTGATAGTAAGTTGGATCTTTTGTGCTTCCAGCCCATTGACTGGACTCATCTACTCAATCTGCAGTCATTCCTGGCTGCAGATGAAGCAGAACATGTACGATATCTCCCAGGAAGAATTATTCGAAAATACAAACAACTATGAATGACTGAAAAGAGGATTCTTTAAATGATTCCATTATGGTATTTCTCTATCAAACAGCAGAAAAAGAGCTAAAAACTAAACATAAAGGGTCTACACTCGCTAGTGTAATGCATGGACATGATATATGATGCTGCTGCTCCTGCGGTCAGGTCATTAGTGTCTATGTATGGGGGGTATCATAAGTTTTTTTGCTTTTTTGTCGTTCGTCAGATTATATCTCTGACTCAGTTCGTTCCGTTCAGCTTCGCAATGGCAATGGCAGTGGCGCATATGGAATCTCGCAAGCCGCATGCGGGTCCAGCCAGTTAGGAAGAGGATGAGGAGGTAAAGTGCAAGTGCAGGAGGGGGAAATCAAACCCGTTTCTCCAAAAGCAACTGGCCCGAAGGCGCCTTGACACAGAACCCATCGGCACGGTTAAAGATCTTTTCGCCGCGCAGCCAGGTCTCGCGGACCATACCGCGCATCGTGCGGCCCTGGTACGGCGAGCACTTGTTGCGGAAGAGCATGGTGCTCGGCTCAACGACCCACTCGGCGGTATCGTCGAAGACACAGAAGTCGGCGTCGAACCCTGGAACGAGGTCGCCCTTGGATTTGTGCAGGCCAACCTGGGCGGCGGTGTTGGCGCAGCAGAGGCGCACGATGTCCTGGAGGGCTTGCTTGGTTGCTGTGGTGTCTGATGAGGACAGGCCCTTGCGGCGGGAGAGCTCGGACCAGAGGATTGGGAGGCCGAGACCGACGGAGGAGATGCCGCCCCAGGCGGAGAGGAAGGAGCCCTCGTTGATGACGGCGTTGGTGGCCGGGTTGGTTGTGGCGGTTGGGGTCTCGGTGCTGTGGCCTGGGATGTGCGAGGGGAGGAGCTTGAGGTTGGGCGTGCAGGGGGAGTGGTCCGAGACGATTGTTTTGATGACGCCCTCTGGTTCGGCGTGGCGCTCGAGTTCGTCCCACAGGGCGTCCTGGTTGTTCTGGGAGCGGATGGGCGGGCAGCACTTGTGGCGGGTGTCGCCGTCGCGGATCTCCTCGGCGGCCAGGGAGAGGTAGTGGTAGCAGGTCTCTGCGGTGATGTTTACGCCCTCGGCGCGGGCCTTGCGCAAGAGAGGGATGACCTCCATGGCGGAGAGGTGGACAATGTGCAGAGGGAGGTTGGGGGCCAGGTGGGACAAGGAGAGGATCTCCTCTACAGCAGTGGTCTCATAGTCTGAAGGACGAGAGGCCAGGAAGGTTGAGTAGGACTCCGGGGCACCCTCGGGCATGACGTCCGGGGCTTCAGATGGGTTCTTGTGAGGGACCATCTCGGCGTGGAACATGAGCGTGGTGGGCTCATCGGCCAGTTCCAGCATGGCCTTTTGGACGTCTTCTGACGAGACAGCAGGGAATTCATCAACCTGGGATTGTGAGTATTCAATTGATATAGTCAACAAAGAAAGGACTTACTCCACTGTCGATAAGGAATCCTTTAAAGCCGCAGACACCTTCACGGACTAGAGCCTTCAGCTCGCCAGCGTTGCCGGGGATGATGCCTCCATAGAAGCCAACATCAACCCAGCACTTGCCCTCGGCGGCCTGAAGCTTGACCTTGAAGTTGTCGACGGTGGTGGTTGGAGGGATGGCATTGAGCGGCATGTCAATGACGGTAGTGACACCGCCAAAGGCAGCGGCCTGGGTGCCTGTATAGAAGCCTTCCCATTCGGTGCGTCCAGGCTCGTTGAGGTGGACGTGAGCATCAACCAGACCAGGGAGCAGCACATACGGGGAGAAGTCAGTATAGGGCGTGCCGTCAGGGAAGTCGGAGGCGGGGATAACGGAATCGAAGACGGCGGTGATCTTGCCGGTGGTGCGCGAGACAACGAGGGTGGCAGAGGTCAGACGGCCGCCGACGACGGCTCGCGACGAGGTGAAGACGGCAATGGACGGGATCTCGGCATCCATTGTGAAGGCTTAGGGGGGAAGCAAAGGTGAGTGCCAGTCAAAGAGAGATAGGCTGAGAGAAAAAGCAAAGAAAGAAGCAAAGAGCGAGCGAGGGAGAAAAGAGCAGAGATAGCGATAACCAGAGATAAGCCAAGCAAGGAGAGTGGGCGACGCCGATAAGCCGTTCTTTATATAGGCAGATTGGCGGCGTATCGATCGAGTAACGAAAATGCAAAACTCCTTGTCGGGGACCCAGCCCCGGGTCCACCTGAGCCACCGGGTCCTGGGCCTTACTCGATCAGAACCACCGCAAAACCCACGGTGTCGGCCCCTACCAGGGTCATTCAAACGTGGCTTTGACGTATTTTCGCAAATTCTTCTACGGTTCTTTTACGCAGGGTTATATCGTGGCAAAGACAGCCTCAGAAAATAGGGAGAAAACCCTTCACGGGGATACCCTCACCATTGCCTAATCGGGGCAGGCTCCGAACTTGCCCCGAGATCGGACCCTGGATTGCCGAGTCGCCTCCGCAAAATCCTCGACCCACGGGCTTTTGCTCGTCGGCCACCGCCGCCACCCGCACTCGCGCTCATCAGCCGAGATATAATTACTCGATTGAAACCTCACCCGCTGCCGAGTGAATTTGCTGACTCGATTGAATTTGCGCGCAATTACAAATCGGCCACGGTCAGCGCTTCATCCGGTTTCTGCAGAGTGCGCTGATCGATTCTACGGAGCCTGCGTCGAATAAGAACTGAGAAAACACGCAGTTGCTCGTTCAGACTCCAACGGCATCCTCCGTCTGTTGACGAGCTCGTGACTTGTCAATCTCGGAAACTTTTTTCGGTTGAGACGCAGACAAGCAATCAGCGGTGTCGATTGGAGTCTCGTGGTCGAGTCCAGACCGCGGCAGGGATAGCGCCAGGTGGTGCTGCGCAGGAACCAAAGTCTGGTGGCTGTGAATTACGCGGTGATTTGGCTTGACCTTTATACGGAGGCAGCTGATTCTATCCGCAATGAGCATAGGAATAAGACAGAGAAAATTTGCAGCGGACTGCAAATCGCCACCTTACCTAACCACTCAAGGCGGTAAGTGGCTAACACTGAAAAGCAGATTAACGCAGCCATTAATACTACGAGTAAGCGGGGTGGATATCAAAGAGTGAAAAGTGAAGAGTGAAGAGTGAATGTTGTAGAAGTTAAATGCGGGGGCGGGGTCTATCGATAAGATAGTGCCACCCCGATTGGGCGCCACTTTCCCGATCTGGAACCGATGAAGCTATCCAGGTTCTTGTTCGACCATGGCTAGATTTCTTTAAACCACCAGGGATCGTAGAAGTAGACAGGGTAACTCCAGAAGTCAAGGAAATCTTTGACTGGGCTAAGGAAGGGAAATCTACTCCAAAAGGAATGGATGGCGGCGGACTCGGAATTCCTAGTTTGCAGATACTGTTGTGGAAGGACCGACGCGCATGATATTCTACCTACCTACTAGAATTCTCAATCTTCAAGCAACCATCTGTTACCTACCAGTATCTGTTACTAAAGGTCGATTGCGAGCGTATATACTTGAATGAACGACATGTAAACGAACAAGCATTCACATGTATCACCCACCGGCTTCAGACCACATATCCTTGGGTCCTGGTGAGTGCATAATCGGAAATAGTGCACTCAAAATATTAATCCCCTCGCACAACCTGCTTCCTCGGTTTTTATACTAATTTTATGCATCCTAAACACCGCGTGCTTGGCGAACAACCGTCACCGGCTTACCAGCGTAGATCACCCATGGGAGAGCATTACAACCAACCATTCCTCGCTCCGATGTTGGATGTTCAAACTGGCGTCTTTCCGATCGACAATATCTAATTTTATCCTGCAGTCATGCCGTGCTCATCGTTCAAACCAGCTTCTGCGGCTAAGCGCCCAGCATCAATACTAAAGAGCATGCCCTGCAATTCCTAAACAACAACCCAGAACCTCATCCCTGAGGCCGTAAACATTCTACACAGAGTACAACGCCGTTATATACAGAGTAAAAGCTAATGCCACCGCAACGCAGCTCAAGAAAACTCACCCGGCAAGCACAACATGCCCTAATCCGGAAATACAATATATCCATTGAAGGCCCCGTCCGCCGGCGAGACTGGCCGCCCCGATATGCGCCCATATTCGGCCTCGTGCGAGATATGGAGAAGGTCCAATACGAGGAATACTCTACCAGAGACTATGGAAGCGATGACGTGAGGCGGATCCTCGTCTCTAAGATGTGTAACCGTGTCGAGAAGCTTGTTATCCAGGCCCATGCGCTTCGTGAGTCCCTCGATAACGAGGAAACGTGGAGGTTGAAAACGGAGAATCTGATTATCGAGAGGTTCGAGGAAGATGTAGATTGGTAAGTGAAGGATTATCGTCTTGGAGAGCGTGTATGTTAACATGAGTGCAGCCACGTCTGCGCAGACCGGCGGTGGATCTCGGACTTCCAGGCAATACCAAGTTGTCCAGATACAGCAGCGAGATTAACAGGTATACGAGGTGACAGAAAGCTGTGTCAGTGTTCGGAGGCTACGCGGGCAAAGTTGCTGGTACGTTACTCCAGGACTCAGGACGCATATACCTCGACTAACAAGGCCAGGCCGAAGCGTCCTCGCAAAACACCTTTATCACCAAAGGGAGCTGCACCGTCGTAGATAGATCAATGGCTGAGATTCAGAAAAAGATGCTTGCGCATCACAGGCCAGATCGGGTTCTTGGGCTAGGACGGACCCCCGAGCTAGAACATCTTCTTGCTGCCAACCCTAGCATCCCGCGCACAGTCATTGGGGAAGACATGGGCATGTACTTCCCGTTTCTTGTCCTTGAAGCCAAATCCGAGAAGAACAGCGTGGGGTTCGAGTCGATTGAGCGGCAAACTGTCTTTCCAATACGTGCCATGCTGGATCTTCAGAGGAATTTGGAAGCGGCCAGCAATGTGCAATTCGATCCATTGGTGTGGTTCTTAGCAAATCGTGGAGATGAATGGAGGGTTTATGCGTGTGTTCCTCACCGCGCTCACACGGTAAGGTATCATTCATATTCAATGAATGCAACTGACGCAGTCAGAATATCATTGATCTTTGGCACGGGTCTATTCTCAGGCACGATTCGGCATTGCAACTACTTTTGGTGATAGACTTGTTATGTGACTGGGCGAGAGACATATTCATGGAGCGTATTACGATGATTCTACAAGAACAGGCAGGTCTGGACGGTCCAAATTTGCTTTCCCAGGATAGTGTCCAAGTCATGCCCCCTATACAGCCCTCGCTAGGTAGCCCACCGGCCCTTCTCCCGGAAACTACTGAGCCGGTCAGCAGTGCTGAGACAATGCATTTCTCCTCCACAACTCCTGCAATAGTCGCAAAGCCTGAGACAGAAGATGTTGTTATAGACGATGTGCCAGACATCAGTACCCAAGACACACCAATTACGGAGGCAACCATGGAGCCTACTCCAATCTCAATTACAGAACGGACAGACAGGACAATAATACCGGATGGCTGGCCTGGACACTTAGCTTTAAGATCTCAGTTCGATGTGCATCTTCGATTTCGCTCTCTATCGCTTCCCGAGTCCGCCCACGACTTATCCGTACTGCTGGCGACAATCGACGGCAAGGACAAGATAGCCCAAACTGGCATAAAGCTGCTGGAGTCGTTTAGTTTAATTTCCCCTTTGTGGATGGTGCCAGCATTCATAGATAGGATCAGACATGCCTGGGGGATCCCGAGGCTCCCCTTCGCCCTGAGAGCCAGCCCTTGCTCTATGCCTGTCTGCACTGGCGAACGACCATTGACTATGATAACTGGGTCATAAAAAACGAGCTTGCATGGATTACAGCTTCAGATGTTGCCATGGGAGTCTTAGCATATATCAGCCATATCCCTGGGGTCAAGCCATCCGGGGGGGGTGATATCCAGGGAATGCGTACCGCGTCTGATTCAGGACCTTCGTCACCTCCCGCTGCCAGAACTAGTGCAAGCAGCGGCCAGGAAGGAGTTTCTGCACTTGAGTAATTCGTACACATATGACAAGACCAGAAACAAAAAGGGAGATCTGCAGAAAGAAGAATTTTTCGAGCGTCTTTGGCAGTGCCGAGATAATCGACCCAGGGAATTCATCGGGTGCCGCGAAAACATCTGCTCAGAGGTACCTGCGCAGGCTCATTTATATAATCCCGAGGACGAGGTCGAGATTTCCCCGGCACTTCAGGTTCCAGATGATGCCAAAGAGTGCCAGTTCGCTCTTCTGCGGGTCCCACCTACCGTGAAGGCCACGTACCCGCCTTACTGTGTATATCTGTTTGGCAGCCCTAGCCCTTCTATAATAGGGAGGGAAATTACCTCGCTCGTTCAGGCCTTTGGGTCGTTTTATGGAACCGATTTGCCGCTTACAGATCTGGACCGGAAGTATTTGAGCCTGACGTCAAGGATTTTAATTAATTTAAATTCGGATTGACCAAGGCAGCATTCTACGCCTTACTCTACGTTTACCAGGATTTGTCAGTTTACCCTCTGCTAGGACTTGCTATTTTAAACTGCTGAAACTTGGTATACATCCAAGAACCAAACTGAACGCCTTTATTGGTGTACTTATATATGTAGATATAATATATATAATGGAGATCTAACACTCGGGAAGCTTTTCTAATTTATAGTTAGCACCACTCAGGAATATCACGAAGGCCAACATACTGCTCGAGCAATTACTATCAGTAAAGTACCCATTCACATAGCAAGTCGTTCCAAGATACGTGATTTGATCCCATGTACTGATACCATTAGCCTTGCTCCAATATAATATACTACAAACTCACCAGACACCACTATAGCAATCCCCCTTCTTGTAGCAACCAAACGTGCGCTTCTCGCCCTTGGGAAAGCCAAATATCTCCCCGGCATCAAGATACGGCTCGTAGCGGCAGTTGACGGTGTGGTCGACGTTGATGATCTTGCATGTTTGGGCCGATCGTCGCTTCTCGAGGCCGGTGCCTTCGAGATGGTCAGAGACGGGGGCTGCTGTCGCTAGGACCGGGAGGAGCGAAATTAGGGAAGTGGATATTTCCAGGAACTTCATTGTGGAACAGTAAATACAAACAGAGTGATGATTAAGTCAATATGGCTGAAGGTATTCATTCTCTTTATACTTTATTCGGGACGACAGGCTCGTATGGGATCGGCAGCGCCTCGTATTGTGTATCCAGTATTTCTATAAATATCAGTCCGCGCCAAGTTTATGTTACATTCTCGTGTTGAAATCTTCGTACTCGCTCAGATATTCTCTAAACGAGGGATCGTCGCTGGGAATATTTAAAAATACAGTTGATGCCGAGGCTTGCGACTCCTGGTGTCTGTACTATGTGGTCTGTACCACAGGATATCTACCACACATTGATCAAAGTACTAACTTGGTCATTTGAATATTTTGTCTCTGCAGATAATACGCTTTTCTCTTATTAGACTGTATCTCGCCGATTAGTTGTACGACTGATGTTCTGACTTCATAATGACCGTCAAAGGAGGAAGTCTATTTATCAATAGATTACCCTACCCGGTTGATATAGACGGGCTCGTAATTCCAAGGTTTCGTCAACATATTTATAGCCAGCAGAACTTTCCGCAGAAACTCTGATAATAGTACTGCCCATGCCTTGATAAATCGCCCTGTTTATGTGATGCAGGAGACTCTAAAACAGTATTGGTACCAATAAAAGAACTATAACGAATTGATAGTAACCACTATCTATCCGAATCCCCCTTAGGACTGTATTGGAATGGCGAATGCTATTTGTTTGCATGGTCCTTGCTTTGCTTGGCCCAGGAATTTCCCCACGAGACATACTAGGCTGAGGTCTCGATATGAGCAGTGCCAGATTTCTCCTCGACTTGCGTGGCCGCGAGCTCGGTGGTATGTCGGGATCTTTGGCCAGGAATGAACCAACCAGTCTCTTTGAACAGGCGATTCATCTCTTCGAGAGGGACGCCCTTGGTCTCCGGCAGAAAAGCCCAGAAGAAAATAGCATTGGTGACGTTGCAGATGACAAAGAGGAGGAAATACCGCCAGCCCTGCGATGAAATGGCTGGTCTATGTCAGAAGGAAAGCCAAGGGCAGCGGTATGACTGAAAGACTCACCAAGGTCTGTGATTTGCCCGATCATGGTGTTAAATGCAAAACTCACAAGACAGCCGATGGCGACTCCGTGGCTTCGTGTTTTGGTGTCGAATATCTCCGCGGGAATGACCCAGGAGAGGGAGCCACAGCACATGGAGAAGGCGAATTGAAAGATCCAACTAAACACGAGAAACGTCCACAGGAGGGCGACTTGTGTTGATTAGTTGACGCTGTTGAATCTGGCAATCACGGCGGCCGTGACAATGAAACTGACGGAGCAAGTAAGATTCCCAATGATCAGGGGCCAACGTCGTCCGACGCGGTCGATGAAGAGGACGGTGCACAGTTGACCAGCAATGCCCCAGCCGTACGAAATGCCTTGGTACAACAGAGACTGCGCCGTCCCAACACCGACCTGCTTGTAGATACTCGGGGCAAAGTATTGGATGGCAGAAACTCCCGTCATCTGTACGGACGCTTGTAGGGCCGTCACAAGGAATAGTCGTCGAAAAGATGCTGGGTCCTTGAAAAGCTCATATAAACTCGAGGCCCCGTTTTCCTTTTGATCTTGGATCGTCCTCTTGATCTGCTCAAATTCTGCCACAACCCAGGTGTTGTTCATGTCATTGTCGGCGTGAAGTTTTGCCAGCGTTTGGAGCGCCTCCTGGTGTCGGTCGTGATCCATGAGCCAGCGGGGAGACTCTGGGAACAAGAGTATCAGGGCTCCTAAAACACCGGCTGGGACTATCTGAATGCCGAGAGGCACACGCCACTGGTTGTTACCGGCAAGATGGCTGACCGTCCCATGTGCGGTGAACACTAATTCGTATTAGACCGCCATTTTGTAAGGTAACTGAGGTTGATAGCGCATCGAAAGAAGACGATCTAGACATACCTGCGGTCGTGGATCCCAATCCAATGAAAAGTTGTTGTAGGCCGGTCAGACGCCCGCGAATAGCTGGATGGGCAATCTCAGCCTGATAAAGAGGAATGATCATGACGAGAACCCCGACCCCGAGACCCGCGACGGACCGGCCACCGTAGAGGTATCCAAGGTTCTGGGCAGACGTCTGCAGCGCCCCTCCAAGACTGAATATCACCGAGCCCAGAATGATCGTCCAGCGACGACCAAGACGGTCTGCAGCGATGCCTGCGACAGCCGCACCGAAGAAGGCCCCTCCGGTGAAGACGGACACAACGGCACCGCTAGAGAAACGTCAGTTGTGGTTGACGCGCGCGTGACAGGGCAGCATGGCCACGAGCACTTACACTTCGTTTGCCGAGGGGTTGTGAAAGGTTGCTATGAAGGAAGACGAGGCGACAGCTCCGCCAATGACGCCAAGGTCATAGCTGACAATCAGCTTCCAAACGCTGGCCTAAGTATATAGTCGGGCACTCACCCAAACAGGAACGACCCAAGAGAGGCAAACAGGCCCACCAGGAGCTATCCCATCAGTAGATGTAGCGGAGGTGTGGAAGGACGTACCTGATACAAGTGAGGGTTCATTGTGAGACAGAGATGGCGACGAAACCTGAATAGTTTGAGTGACGGTTGGCAGGCGGTATTTGTACATTGATCTTCAAGCTCATCCGACTGTCATTGGAGAATTCAACCGCGGAATCAGGGGCGGCTTCCGGCGTTGATTGCGGGGATTAAGTTGGACGCAATACTTAAGCCGGAAGTGGCCCTGGATTCCGCGCTCTTCTCTTCTCCAGCACCCCAGATGCCTCCAGCCCCAGACCGAAGCCATCGAGGACCGATAAGCAGAGCGGGGACGGCGTATGTTCGCTCGAGAACCACCTCTGCCTGTCAGGTAGTTCTTCTCATCTAAATGCATGTTCTGTTTCTTACCGCATACCTCCAGATATGCCGAGCCCGGCGGGCGAAATGCGACAACGAAAAGCCTTGCTCCTACTGTCGGCGAATTGGAGCAACGTGCTCGGCTGAGCCAGCTTCTGCCACCACAGGCTTTGACCCGGCCAGCCTGGCTATTTTGACCAAGCTCGAGGAGCTCCAGAGCGAGGTGCAATCGCTGTCAGGCCGCCTGCAAAGCCCGCGCTCTCGCTCCCAAACCTCCTCGCTAGTCGCTCAAAATTCCCCTCACCAGATTACGCAGGCCCCCGTATTGCACCTGGATCGCCATCTGCAGCGCGGCAATATCAGCCAGGTGCTTGCCTGGGAGATCTGGCAGCCCCATGAGCCCCCGCAGTGTCGCGCTACCAGCGAGGAACAGGACGCTGATCCAGCGTCATTCGTCAGACACACGGAAGGTTTGCTTGATCTCGGCCTATTTACCGGTTATTTAGATGCTTTCTTCCGCAACGTTCACACTTTGAATCCCGTGCTGGACGAACAGCAGATCCGGGCTCGGCTAACCAAATTCTTGCTCAATGGCATTGAGTGGGACGCGGGTTCCTGCCTTCTCCTGCTTGTGTTAGCCAACGGGGCCTGTTCGTCTAGCTTTAGCGATTCCTCGATGGCCGGCCCCGCCAGCAGTCGAGACGAGCGCTGCCGGGTAAATGAACAGGCATTGGCATTGTTCGATGCTGCGGAGAAACGCAAGAGCACGCTGTGGCGCAGTGATTATCTGACGCAGGCTCGCTGTCATTTCTACAGTGGCATGTTCATGATGGTCTTGATGCGACCGTTCGACGCCTGGCGCCACTTCCTCCAGGGGTTGGCGACGTGCCAAATGTCGACAGCTCCGGACAGAGATGTTGACCCCGTTGACAAGCAGCACAAGGAAAGCATCTATTGGTCGTGTTGGAAGTCCGAGCGAGAGCTCCGCATTGAATTGGACTTGCCCAATTTTAGTTCGTTGGGATATGACCATCCTATCATGTTTCCAACTCTACCTCCCGAAGTCTTTGATCAAGAGCAGCTCCGAGCATGGTACTTCTATCTCGCGGAAATTTCCCTCTGGCGCTCCGAAATGACGGCCCGCGACACCCTGGCAGAGTCCGTGAAGCAACAACCAAGTGCCCTGGAATCTCTAGCAGAGCGAACAATGGACTTGGAGACATCGTTGGCCTCCTGGAAGGCTTCCTTGCCGGATGCAATCAACCTCGACGTCGGAAGACAGAGTAGCACAAGAGATTTACTCCACTTTGTTCTCCAGGGTCGACTGACTTACAATTACGAAGTGCTGACATGGCCGTTTCTGGAGACCTTGTTGCTATTCGGAGCACATAGAACCACCCCTGCATTCGCCCTGGCTGCCCGGGGTATACGCGTTCACTACGACCGGCTTTCCATCAACCGGCCTGGCTTCTATTATCGACACCATGGCACTTGGCTAATGCGGCGCTCGTCGACACGCAGTGCATGCATTCTCCTTGCAGTCGCCCGTAGCAGTTCCCCCGATCTTCTACCGACAGGGTGGGAATCGTTAGTTTCAGATACAATAGCAATGCTCGAGTACTGGAGTGAAACGCCCCAGGATGAGATCGTTATATTCTTGAAAGCTTTGTTGTCTGAATTCATGTAATAGCAATAACACAAACCATTAGTCTATCCATTCCCAAATACCTCCTTTTTACGGGAGGGAGATAATAGCTTTCAAACAATCTTTATCTCCAGAATACCTTGCGATTTCAACGCCAATTGTCTGTTCCACTGACAAGAATCTATTCCTACTCCTGCGCTTCAATGGTCTCGTCGAGCACTTCACGCTGACTTGTTTCTTTTCATTCGAATCCAGTTCGACGCTCTGGAATCCAAGTAGAACTCTGCTGGGAAAATCAGGTACCTGGGGCGTTCCATAGACTTGGACGACATGCCTGCCACTGCGCAACCCTGTGTTCACGACCATAGTTCTGACAGTGAAACGGTCCATACCCCAATCAAGAGGGCTTGCATCAATGGCCACCCCGTCCATAGCAAACGTCGTGTAGGAAAGGCCGTAGCCAAGGGGGAATTGCGCAGCCACGCCGAGCTTGTCAAGGAGCCGCTGTCCAAACCAGCGGTCGTATGTGATCTTCTCGGCAGCAATATCAAAGTAGGGCAGATGCTCCTCGGCTTTAGGGGTTGAAAAGGGCATGCGCCCGCTCGCGTCGACCTTTCCGAGAAGAACATCTGCCAACGCGTGCCCTCCTTCTCCGCCGCTATACCAAGCGAAGAGCAGTGCCGGGACGCTGTCAAGCCAATCATCCATAATGACGGCTCCAGCCGCCACGACGCTGACAATGACTTTTGATGATATAGCGGCCACGGCTCTGATGATCTCCACGTCGCGATCCCGTAGTCGGAGGGACCTGCGATCCCCTCCGGCTCCTGGCACTAGCGCGTCACTGTCCTCAGCACCAGCGCCAAAGCCGGTACTCTTTTGACCCTTGATGGTATCGTAGACCTTCGCGTCTTCGCGATCTAGGGCTGGCGGGAGGAGGTCGAGTAGCTCCTTTTGGTCTGCGAAGGAGGGGACCACGTACTCACCCTCATCCACGGCGTCGTACCCTACCACGCAGAGGACGACATCCGCTAATGCGGCAACCTTCTGGGCCTCTTCAACACTGTCTGTGTCTTGTAGGAGGATAGTTGCATCTGGGAGAGCCGCCTTGAGACCCTCGTAAAAGGTAACCACATTCGGCGCGAATACGGCCGAGGATCCCCTGTCGCCAGTGTTTGCCCTATTGGAAAGCCGCCCGACGATAGCCAACGTGCGAACCTTTGCAGGGTCCAATGGAAGCAGAGGAACATCCGATGCGGGATCATTCTTGAGTAGCACCATTCCTCGCGCCGCAGCCTCGCGGGCCAACTCTCTGTGCCGGTCACAGAAGACGACAGAACAGTCAGGGGTCGCTCGTCCCGTGCGCACCGTGTGCTCTAATTGCGCGCGAAGGATCCGCATACAGCAGCGGTCGATGTCAGACCAAGCCAGGTCCCCGCGGGCCAGTGCTTCGGATACGTGCAGGGCGCGTTGTTGCTGGAAGGGTGCTTCGATGTCGAGTCCATTCTTGATAGACTTGACAGCGTCTCGCAGCCCGAAGATGAAATCGGATAGCACAAACCCGCCAAATCGCCACTCTTTGCGGAGAATGTCGTTCAGGAGCTCTTGGTTTTGTCCGGCGAATTCACCGCGCACGGAATTGTATGAGGACATGACGGACGAGACTCCCGCTTCTACCAGCTGGCGGAAGTGCGGGAGGTAGACTTCGTGCAGGGCTGCGTCGTCAACCTGCACATCGACATTGAAGCGGGCGTTTTCCATGGAGTTCAATGCGTAGTGCTTAACGCAGGTCATGAGATACCGGCGGACGCCACGATGCAGTGCCAGACCGAATTCGCCGAGAAGTATGGGATCTTCACCATAGGTCTCCTGTATACGTCCCCAGGCAGGATGCCGTGGAAGGTTTATACAAATCCCGGCAAAATAGTTAGCTCCCTGGGCACGTCCCTCGAGGCCGATGGCGTCTCCAATGCGTTCTTCAAGCGCGACATCCCAGCTCGCACCCCTGGACATTGACACTGGGAAGCAGGTTGAGGAATGCATCACGACGCCGCGCGGGCCGTCGGTGAAGCGGATTCCTGGGACTTTCAAGCGTGGAATGGCGCCCATAACGAAGGGCGCGCGGTTGTACCGGTCGAACAAGATTCCGCGCAGACCTTTCCAAAAGGCCTCGTCTCCGTCAAGCAAGGACAGTCGTTCTGCTTGGGTCATACCGGCTAGTAGAGCACGCGTCGCTTGTTCGAGCGTCTGTCCACTCTGGACCAAACGGACCGCATCGTCAAAGTCAACTAATTCCTTATGCATCGTGATGTGTTGGTGAGAATATTTAGACAGGATATAACAATTAATTTATTCTACATTCTACATTGACGGCGGTTTTGATCTGCAAAATCCGCATCGCCCGTCGTTCCGCAAGCGCTACATGACGCTGGGCAGAGAGCCCGATGTTCCGCGAGAGACCAGACACTGGCCGGGAGGCGCCCGATTCTCCGCTGAGCTTCGGCTCTTCTGCTGGTAGTGTACGTATAGCATATTGAGCTTTGCATCGGGAGAATGGCGATCTGCAAGAATGATGTCCGGGGCAGTGCTTATAAGGCCGTTCCATCGCCCAGATTGCAGAACAACAACAGCCCAACTTCACTTCATCATTGATAATGTTCGCAAACCTCATACTCTTGTCGGTGCTCGCTGTCAGTGCGCTGTGTCGAGCAGCACCGGCACTTGAGCAGCGTGCAACTCCTGCGCCTTATTCCACCTTCACCCAGAATCCGGTGTATCTTCCGCTCGAGGAAGCGCCTCTGTGGCGAGTGGCCTACGCCCGCGCCATCCAGGTCCAAGATGGCAGTTTGCTGATGACATGGGAGGATTACCCCTACGGCGAGGACTCGACCAACCTTGACACTTTCAAGATCCTTCGATCCGTGGATGGTGGCGCGAGCTGGTCCAACCTGTCCCAGGTCGGCGATACGGAGAATGGATGGGGCCTGCGTTTCCGTATGCACACTCAAGTCTGCTATATCTGTCTCCTGCTAACTTTCTCAGAGCCACATATGCACATCTTGGAAAATGACTTCGGTCAATACCCTGCTGGAACCTTGCTAATCGCCGGCGTTTCGACACCATTGAGCCTTACCGGTGGAGTCTACATCGATCTGTATACTTCCAGCGACAGCGGCCAGTCGTGGACATTCGCCAGCCACGTCGCGTATGGCGCCGGACCCGAGACTACAACGACAGGAGACAAAGCCATCTGGGAACCCTTCTTTCTGGAATACAATGGCGAGCTGATTGTGTACTTCAGCGACCAGCGCGATCCTGCCCACTCTCAGAAGCTCTCCCTGACAAGCACCACGGACTTGCTCGCCTGGTCTGACCCCGTCGATGTGGTTGCCTACCCCGATGCCAATGCACGTCCGGGTATGTGCGTGATCTCATACCTCCCGACTACTGCTCAGTACATGCTATCCTACGAGTACTGCAACTCTCCCACCGGCGACGGCTGTCCTATCCACTATCGCCTTGCTTCCAGTCCAACCGAGTTTCTCGACGCGACTGACCAAACCCTAACCTCGGAATCCAGCCAGACGCCCAGTGGCTCGCCCTACATCGTTTGGTACGGATACCCAGGCTCGTCTGCAGGCGGCGCGGTGATCCTGTCCGCCGGCTCAGAGACAGATCTCTTCGTATCGAAAGACAACGCCAAAACGTGGACTACGATCGATGTGGACCAGTATACCGGCCAATCTCGCCATCTCTTGCTGTTTGATGATAACGGGGAAGAGCGTTTGCACCTTGCTTCAGCTGGGTTCTATGGCTGTTCGGGCTCCTGTTACAACTACGTTGCGAATGGTGTTACGGATCTTAGTGTCTTTTTGTAACTGGCCATTTTAATGTCTGGAGCTGTTCTAGGAGTAGCAAACCATATTCGCAGTCGATAGCTAAGGTAGTGACAGGGTTCACCTGGTTCATCCATAGCCCGGTTGAGAATGTTCATCTCCCGCCTATATGTCTAATTAAACCTATTCTCTATTGGACTGGAGTTCCACGGCCAATATGCTACCGCCAATATCTACTATACTGGATCATCACTTGTGGCTGAAACGCTGTGCACCTCGAAGCGGCCATACAAGGCGTCTTTCTCAAGTCACCAGCATGAGTGGCATGAAACGTTATTATCTACTAGTATATGGGCAGTGCATGTAGTTAAGTAGATATCAACATGCAGTCTACCCTTAACCATTGCACAGTCGGGTGAAAACAGTTAACAGCGCCTGCACTTGCTCATCCAGGACACGGGCTTTACTCTGTATCCACAGCGTCATAGAGCTGGACGGTCACGCCGATAATCACTCCACCGCGCCCGGAGCGATGAAGATGAGCATCTTCACGTCCAGCAGGTTCAGCGAGCGTGAAACATTGACCCAGACCGATCCAAATGTTCCAGAACGGAAGGTCGTGGCGGATGCGGGCGTCAGAGGAAGGTCGAACCGAGGAGGCAGCTTACATAACGGGCCTGTACTATTAAGCCTCCCTCCTATACTATACTGTTTCTCTGCTGCAGCTACTATGACGTCTCCATCCGGATGTTGGACCTGCAGGCTGAGGCACCGCAAGTGCGATCTCCGAGCACCCGTCTGCCGCGAGTGCAGGGATCGATGCATCCCATGCCACGGCTACGGCCCCAAACCCTCGTGGATGGATGGAGCCACCGCAGAGAGACAAGAGCTTACGCGCATCAAGAAGGCTGTCAAAGAAAATTTCCGCAAGGTCCGACGGGCCCAAAACCGTGATCGTCAGGTGGCAAGTCGCAGATTGCATGGGACCACATCAGCCTCTCTCCTAGTGCCTGTTCAGAGTCTATCGGCGCCAGCGGCAGCGGTGACAGGCCTTCCATCTCATCCACACCTCCGTCTTCCAGCGGATATCGACAGTCCCCAGACTAGCCATACCACTGGAACTGCCGGCGTGGACCCCGGAAATGACTACACCCAGGTTCTGAATGGGAGAAGTACGGCAGCTAGCCCATGTTCATACCCTCTGGCTCCTTCACATGTGTTTCACCCCAGAGCAGCATCTCTAGTCATGCACTATTTCGACAAAGTCTTTTACTGGCAATACCCTTGTTTCCAATCTCGTTCGCGCTTGGGCAATAGAGGCTGGCTCCTCTCTTCTATTAGTAGCGGTGGACCCCTGTATCATGCCGCTCTGGCACTCTCGGTGTTGCACCGAGATGAAGTGGGAGACCCTTGGCGAGACTACCCGCGGGACCAGGAAGCATTCGAGTATCACACAAAAGCGCTGCGGGAGCTCTGTGAGTTTTCGCGGCGGACTGGAACAGAGACCCTACTCAGGGACAAGTTCCAGCTAGTGGAATTTGCAGCTTCCAGCTTCATGCTGATAAGTTTTCAGGTATGAGTAGCACAATCCTCAAAAGGCTGCCGGCACCATGTAACGTTGAATGTTCTTAAGGTATTTTATGGAGCGGAGGACGATTGGCTTCCTCATCTAGAGGCAGCGACCGCCGTTTTCAGCATGCATTCGCCTGAAGCCGTATTTACCAGCCACACAAGTACCGCTAAAGTCGGTGACAGCTGCCATCCAAATAACGTCCAAGCCCATCCGGGCTTCGAATTTGTCATAATCCACGCAATATGGTTCGATATCCTAGCGTGTGTCTCAGCGGGCCGCGTGCCGCGGATTGAGTACAGACAATGGCTCGAAAAGCCAACATTAAACCTGGAAATGGCCGACCTGATGGGCTGCTACAACTGGGTAATGATCTCTATTGGCGACTTGGCGCACATTCAAGGGTGGGGAAACGACATGAAGAACAAGGGAACCTTGAGTGTACCACAATTGGTAACGAGAACCCAGGAGATTGAAGCACGGCTGCTTGACGGCGTCAATGAATTGGAATCGACCATGAAAGTAAGATTTGAACTGGAAAAGGAAAGCGTTTGCTAAAATAAACTGACATATACAACCCTCGCAGGAAAATACTCAGATCCCCCCAGCTACATGGGTCTCGCTCATATTTGCACTCGCGGCCCTGGTTCTATCAAATATCCTAGCATCAGGACCAGTATCATCACTCCCCGAAATCAGGGAGGTCATCGGCAAGGCCGTGGACGTGCTCCGCTCTTGGCCCCAAACGATTTCTCTCCGCGGCGTCGTATGGCCACTCTGCATTATAGGATGCATGGCCGAGTCTGAGCACCAGCCGTTCTTAGAAACCCTTTTGGTCAATTTTGCCGAAGAATGTAGAGGACTCGGAAATCCTAGTACACTCCTCAAGGTTGTGAAAGATTACTGGGCAACCCAGGAGTGCCAGGATAGAAGAAACAGGATGGATCTAGAATTCATGGCAGGAGTTCGTGCGTTATTTATATAATGCCATTTCCACTAGCCAGGCCTGGGATCTAATCAAAAGCGGCCTCCAACTACTCAACGAGGAGCATTTGCGCAGCGCATCTGCCATTTGTGGTCTTCGCCACGAAGGTTAACATGAAATTATCCTTAGGAACCTTCCGCAGCGTGGGATATCTGTCGTGCGTCTTTGGCCTAGCCAACTGACGGCTAAATGACCATCGCCCGTCCTTGACCAAGACTCCGTCGGAAGCTTCACCATCAACGAAGACTGTGACAGAAGAGACTGGAACACGAGGATCGGGCGAGGATACTTTGCCGTTAATTGAAACCGATCGGATCTCAGTCCGATCATCATCGAGCGTCTCCGAGCTGATACAATCAACCGATAGCACAGGTCGTACGGCTGTTAAGGGTCTGCAGACTAGAGGAACCGTATCAGTGGGGCGAGCTGGTGCTCTTCGGGCCATAGTTCGCCGTTTGAAGGCATTCTCATATGCAAATGCGAATCGGAGCAGATCCTGGTCTGCCCATCCCTTCGCGGCAAAGGTGATACCCACAGGCATGCCCTTCTCCTCCATCTCCCCCATCGGCACTGTGATACAAGGCACGCCGAGATGCTTAAGGGCCCGGCCACCATTCGAGTACTTGATCCCATCCTGCAGGGCGTGACGCATCGAGTCCAGGTCCTCGTCAGCGTTTGCAAAGGGCACATCGCCATTCGTCGGGAACGCTAAGAGGTCCAGATCTTGGGAATCCATCCAGTCGTCGTACAACGCCTTTCGCATTCCCTCGAGGGCCTTCACAGCGCTTTCGCAGTGCGGAAGGTTGTGCAGGTATTTGGTCCGAGTACGCACAGACTCGATCATATCGGAGTATTGGACTATGTTTTGCGCTTCGGACATTGCCCTAGGATCGTCGAAGGGAGCAATATGGGGATGGATTTGCCCCGGGTCGGCGGATGAAAGATTCGGATACTTGGAGTCGTTCATGTGGCGCAGGAAATCGTCCCAAGCGGTGGCGATCATCTTACATCTTTCGAGGCTCATCCACTTGGATGGTAGACCCGGTACATTGCAGGCCTGGCCTGGAAAGTCCTGTCTTGTGTATTGCTCAAGGAGTGGGAAGTCTACCTCAATCAGAATTGCGCCTAGGGACTCTAGGTCTTTGCGAGCACGATCGAATAGACCCAATACCGATTTGGTGCAAATACTAGAGTGCTCTTTTCCTTGTTCCCCGAGGAAACATCGCGGCACCCCTATCCGCTTACCCTGTAGAGCGTGAGGGTCTTGAAGCAGGTGGAAGTCGAGAGGCCGGACTGCGGAAGACTTGGGAATAGGAATATAAGGTTGATTTCGCCAAAAGTCAACCCCTGACGACGAGGCTTCGTCGTCAAACACAATGATATTAAGCACGTCAAAGAGATCAGGAATTGTCCGCGTATGAGGCACAACGACATCGCATGTTGGATACAGCGGCCACTGCCCGCGATTTGGGATAACGGCACGAGATGGAGAATAGCCGACCAGGGCGTTGTTCGAGGCCGGGGCGCGCCCCGACGATACCGTCTCCCCGGCAAGCCCAAAAGCAGCGAAGCAGGCTGCCGTCGAAGTCCCGCTGCCGTTGGAGGAACCAGAAGCATAGGCTGTTGTGCTGTATATGGCATTATATGGGCTTTCAGCCCTACCGTAGAGGCCACGCTGCGGACCACCATCGGCCATGGGCGGCATGTTAGTGCGCCCCAGAATGATAGCCCCGGCCTCTCGAAGCCGCGCAACAATGGCCGCATCGGCTGGAGCCACAAGATCGGCAAAGGCCGGGGATCCTGCAGCGACGGTCATTCCTTTCACCATGAAACTATCCTTCACGGTAAACGGGAGGCCTTCGAGAGGTCGAGGCACATTGCCTGGTGTTGCGCGGTAGTCGTCGGAGGCCTGTGCCTCTTCCAGCGCTCGGGGGTTCAAGACGCAGATAGAGTTGAGAGACTGATTCCGCATATCAAAGTAGGCGATTCGGTGGAGATAGAGGGTAACGAGCTCCACGCTGGTCAGGCATCCGCTGTTGAGAGCTTGCCTCAAGTCAGCGATGCTGGCCTCTGTTAGGTTGAGCGTCTTGGTCTTGGACATGATCGGGGATTTAGATCCTGGCGTAGGGAAGAATGTACCAGACAACTAGTTGAGAATAACCACGTCCGTCAAGCCGCGTCTATGTCCTCGGTAGAGTCATCTGCGCCTTTTATGCATTACTTTGGGTTCTCTGTTTACTCTAGACTATATGTTTACTTTCCTGGGAGGGAAACTCGTAGCGAGGGCAAAAGAATCACTTGTTCCTGGGAGGGCAGTTCGAGGCGCAGTAGTGCCTGGGACTCTTCTACTTCTGGACCGGGCCGGGTCTCGCCTCTCTTTCTTCATCTTTCCAGGAGCTGTCGCAGATGAGACAATCGAGTCTCTGTCTAGATTAAAGATGATAGTTTTCAGAATTGATTAAACCTACCAGTAGTGGTATAGATTCTTGAGGATCAAAACAGAGGCTAATATCAGACTCTACATTCCATAAAAAACCGCTTAAACATTATAGTATATATCGAAACAGTATTTTACCGTTCGACTAAAAGCCCACTCGTGCTATTAGACCGTCTTTCTAATTGCATTATATGCTGGCATTATATATATTAATACAGATTACCGGTTCAATATAACCGACACCTTGCAGCTTAGATATAGTTGCCTGACGCGTGCGAGGCTGGCATATAGGCTATCTCGGCGGCTCTACTATGAAGAACGTAGGTTCTGTATCATTAGGAATGCAGTGTGTATTTTGATCCATGCTTCTCCCTGCTAATATACATACATACACGATGATTCCATCAAGGTAGGTAGGTAGAACTACGCACTCGAACAAGAAAACGGCCTACCCACAGATCCTGTTTCGAATTTGACCATCTACGCAAATCAGTCATCTTGTAGTAAATAGCCCAACTCCGGTATTAAAAGAGGGGGGGTACTCACAATCTGCTTCACGCTGGCATAAGTTCCAAAGCCAAGCACACAAATCCCAACAGCAAAGACAAGGAGATTCAAAACTGCAGACTGAACGTTCCGTTTCTCAAAGCAGCTCCCTTCTTTGAGGAGGAAGAACCATAACAACGGGGGCAAGTAGAACGAGAACCCAGAGACAAACAAGCAGCCGGCGAGGGAGAGCAGCTCTGAGAAGAAAGGGATCGCTTCTGAAACGACCCAGGAGATCAGGGTGAAAGACGCAACGAGGCCGAGCCACGTAGCCCAGCCCGCTGGAGTATTAACGTAGCGCGTGATTGAGTGCTGGAATATCCGGCCGTGCATGAATCGACAGATCACAGTCGTGTTGATTGATCCTGATATGAAGATTACGGGCAGGGCCATGCCAAATGCCACTTTGGATACTAGGGGCCCGGTTGAAAGGAGGGCTGGGGACTGGACTGTCTGGCCGACGAAGGCATATATCAACGCGCCTGTGATTGTATAGACGGTGATCTGTACTGCGCCAAGAACAGAAATGGACTTGGGGAAATCCTGGGGACTGTGCATTTCGTCCATGAACGAGGGCTGTGCGGATGCAAAGGCATATGCGAAGACGATGTTCGAGACCGCGACGAACGCTTCACTGAGGCTGAGATTGTCCTTTGGCCAGGCGGACCATGGCAGGGCAACGACTTCGTCTCGCCGTAGCCCGGTGGCGATGATGGCAATTCCGACTGCGATCATGATGGAGGCGAAGTCGATGTATCCCAAGACGGCCACCTCGGCGAAAGATGGGGGGATCGCAAGGATAAACAGCATCACAGCGGAGATGGCGCTGAATATAAGAGAGCAGGTAGTGCTATCTGAAATCGCAGCGAGAGCGAGCTTCCCCGTGATGCAGTGCGAGCCAACAACTAGGGTTAACTGCGCGACGAAGGCACTGCTGAGCAGCCAGTCCCCGGACGAGCCCAGTAGGAGGCGGCCGAAATCAGCATAGTGAGGGATGTGAGGGTACTTTAATTTGAGCAGGCCGACTATATAACTGGCGTATAGAGCAAGCACCCCGAGTGCCACGGTGATTACCACCCCGGCCACCATTCCAAGAGAGGCAAATGCGGATGGGATGCTGAGAGTCCCCAGGGCAATTGATTGAACGATGAGGACGACCGTCAATCGCTTCCAACCTAGCCGGTGGAAATGTGCATCTCCTGCAATTGCTCTGGCATCTGTATAACCAATTGCTTTTTCTTGTTCTTCGAGGTGGTCCGAGTCGATTACGTCTTTGGGGTCCTCCGTTCCGATTGTTCTCTCGGGATAACAGGTCGAGGGGTGCATATTCGAGGGAAAGTGTATTCAATAATGCTGTTAGGATTGGAGAACTGGCAGAAGGGCATACTTTAAACATTGGCAGTTGGCCGTGGTGATAACTGCGGCAACCGGACCGGGCCGGTGATCTCTTCATGGCTTGAAGTAACGGATATCTCCGACGGCCGATTCGCCGTGGGGATTCCAGGGGCAAGTAATGGCTAGTTGGAGTAATCTGATGAATAAATAGGTGGGAAAGATGCCTTTGGTTACTATGCAACAGACCATCCATGCTTGTTTGATGACTGTCACCGAAGTAGACTAATTCGAGAGAATCGGCAATCTAGAAGTAATAGGAAATAAAAGCCTTCCAGCTTTGAAGTAAGATACTAACAGTAAAGTTTCGACATTATCAATGACAGCCTTAATTCAAATACCTCGGCGCTGTCCTTAACAGGGTCTGAATAATAGGCATGAAGTCCACTCGGCTGATCAATATCCCAACTTCACGCATTGCTATCCATATTTGTATATATATCCGTTCCAGGTGTCAAGGTTCCAGTCTTCAAGAACAAGCTTTGTCGAGGCATAGTCATGAGGGACCCTCGGGGTCAAAACAAGGCAAGGATCAGTCCGTAAAGCACTATTTGCTGGTATGGCAACGATCAAGAGCCTCTGGGTCTCTGGTTATATGCCCGACCGCGCTGTGCCATTCGACGGCCATTTGCTTCGTGGGCTGGACGGTTGTCGAGTAACTAGGCGTAAAGAAAGGGACACTAAATGATGCGGACTGCCGGAACCGTGTGCGTGTGCGTGTGCCCTGGAGATGCTGGTTGGAGAGGAAGAAGGGGATCTTGTGAGGGCTGCGGTATATCATGGTTGTATTCTCAATAATGGAAGTCTAATTGAAGCCAGCTGCCTTGTGTTTATAGATGAGGTTGAGCATATTTGCGCAAATAAAGGAACTGATCTACTAGTATAGTGATTTGACAGGGCTGGAGTGCGCGCAATTGAGCAGATAAACGTGTCTTAACTGCCTGCTGCATAATAAATATGGCCTGGAACAGCTGGGAGAGTTGGACAGCCATGGTAACTATTACTTACTATATAGAGATATCTATCTTTATATCCAGTATTTAAGTAACGCTGTTCTCCAGCTCATGGATAATAATATCAACAACCACATATCCTGCTCAGTCTCTTCATGCTCACCGTCCTGGCCATACGCGTAGTTTCGACGTATAGTTAACATGGTACAGCTTTTCTTCTATTCGTTCATACCATACAACAAACCGACAACCAAACACACACATTTATCCATCTTGAAGGAAACCTACCAACCAAACACCTCCTCCACAAACGTCAACACAGCCCCGGTATTCCTCGCCAACCTCGCCACCTCAACCCGGACCTCATCCGCCATGCCGGGCGGTCCGCTCACCAGCACCGTAACCGGCACCCCGCTTCCACCTCCAGTGAATTTTGCAGCCTCTGCCGCCAGAATGCGCGGAATATCCATACGCTTCTCCAGAAAGACTGTCGCACAGAGCGCATCATACCCACCCGGCGCGAGCGACTCCGCGACAGACTCCACAAGCGCCTTGCTCCGCGACGCCCAGAACAGCCTGTGCCAGCCCGCGTGGCGGAGAAGGATGGGTGTGAGAGCCGTGATGCCGACGCCGCCGGCGAAGGCGATGATGTTGGGTGCTTGCGAGGATGAGGGTCCGGGAAGGGAAGATGGGGCGTATGCGCCCTCGATGAGGACGGGGAGGGGAGTCTTCTGGTGGCGGAGATGCTTGGTTAGCCCGGTATGGCTGCGGATGTAGATGGTTAGGCCGGGGTGGTGGGCCTTGCCCTCCTTTGGTTCGATAGATGATGACGATGATGATGCTGATTGCATGTGGATGGGTATTGGAACAGTATCATTACTGTATGTATCCGACAAGACGGAGAAGGGGTGGTTCTCCCAGACCTTCCACGACAGGGTCGGGAAGTAGAGATAGACGTGGCCGTCGGCCCTGGTACCGGGGATTTGCAGTCTAAGGTAGTCCTCGTCGACGATAGTGACGTGGGCCCTGCGGATTCCATTGCGAGCCAGCCGCAGAATGCGCAGTAACCGGTCAAATCCCCAGACCGCAAGGCCGATGTAGATCCAATTCTCGTAGCCCCATTGCCAGGCATAGCGGTAGTATATGTGGAGGAAGCATCCGATCATGGCGAGGAGGAAGAAGAAGATGTGCCACGCGAGGAAAAGCTCGTAGGCCCTCTGGCGGACGGGCAGCAGCGAGGCCGGTAGGATGACAACCAGGGCCAGTGTCCCGATTATCCCCCAGTACCAATAGGCGGTTCTACTTTCCGTGGCATGCGTGCCGTCCACATCGTAGATCTGGAGGTAGATGGCCGAGTGGAGGCAGGCCTCAATCACGGCCATGAAAGCTATCCAGCGATGAAGCAGGAGGAATGTGCTCTGGGACCAGTTTGTGAGCCAAAGGAGGACGCTGTTGCGACTCGAGTAGAGAATGAGCAGAGGGATGTTGGCGAAACTCAGCGCACCAACGCGATTGCTGACGTATGTAGCAATCTCGCGCGGTTTTGATATGTACCATGCACTTGGGTCGGCGGACCTGATGCTGACGGCACTGAGAATGACATTGATTGCGATCTGGTAGGCAATGAACAAGGCTTGGCCTCGGGTGGGCATGATGAAGGTGTTCCAGAGATAGGGCTCATGGTGTCGTCGGCCGAATAGAGGCGGGTCAATGAAGGTGGCCTCGAAGCGCGCTGTCCACGCTGCTGGGAAGGGCAAGAAACGGACAAAGGACAGCCCGATGGGAATGGCCGCGCCGGTGAGGAGGAGGACAAGCCTAGCGAGCGGTTAGGGCTATAATACTCCGGGCTTGGCTGGCAGTACACACCCGTATCTGATATGAGAAGTCTCCATCTCTTCAAAAACCGTGAGTGTCCGATATTGAACTGTATACGGGGTCACGGGAATATAACCAGCCGACTGCAGGAGACTCGATGAGTTTGAGATCATCGACGGCGTGCCATTAACCGCGCGGAGGGCCTCTTGGTAGGTCTCCTTGGGGAGTGGTTGGTCCGCATTGCTGCCCGCGACATTCATCTCCCAGTACCGTTCGAGCGTGGCAATGGACTCTGTCGTACAATGTGCGTGCATGCACAAAGCCAGCGTCTGCAGGAAGGCGTCATTTGTCGCATAACACTCGGCACTTGGGGCATCTTCGACCATCCACCCATCCCCCATCTGCATTCCGTCTGTGTGCATGTCCATGCCTATACCCTCGTTCACATGGGAGGTCGAGGTGCAATTGAGAGGATTGGTAATGATTGCCCGGCAGGCGTGCGCACAGGCCGGGCTATACATGGAGATGCCATATCCAATGAAGCCGTGTCCTGCACGCCCAGTGCCCATGGAGACAACCGGGCATGTGAGGACGGCAAGCAGCGCGCAGACTGCAGATGGAGCAAACAGCATTCAGACTGAGCATAGATATTGATAAGAAGTGACTGCAGAGCAGATTATTTATGCTGCCGGGACATTCGCTCGCTAACTCTACGACTGAAGATTCTTCCTTACTAAATACAAACCACCAACTCGTGGAGTATTTATTCTTGGCATTGAGGCAATTTGAGGCATTTCTGTTTCTTTTTATTCAACTCTCCCCACATGTTGGACTAGATATCGAGCAGATTAAATCAATTTCTGACAACCTTGCCGAGTTTAGATTGTCTGATGGCCATATGTGTAGTTAGTAATTAGGGCTCTGGCAGAGCACTGATGAACAGGAAGAAGTCTTCTTCATCTTGCTTATACCCCTAGCCAGCCTGCATTGACAGTGCCTCCTGGATAATGCAGTAAGCGCCACCATGCACGCATTTGAGCAATATAAAACTATATTTAAATATTAGAAAAGAATTCCAGCCAGTAGACCAGAGTGCTCGGATTTAGTAATACAGAAACTTGCATATATCAGTCTCTAAAGCCTTCCATTCCCGCTACATAGCACACTGCTGAAACTACAATAATGGGTCCTGAAAAACTCATCCTCACCTATGAATCTGCTCTCGTGATAGTCTGTCTCGTGCTCGCGCTGCACGCATATCCAGACACATGTCGGACAATACTTTGGCAGTACGGGGGCTCTGAGGGCTGGAACTCGAACCCCCAAGATCGAATCTACTTTTACGCCAACTACCGCGATCCACCCCCGATTCCCAAGATATGGAGTGAGGAGTACGTTCACAAGATAACACAGATGAAACAAGATCGTCAAGGAACATAGTATCATTGACACCAGCAGAATCACCGAATCCAATCTTGCCATCTCCGCCGTCTCGACAGTGACCTGGATAATCCGCGTTGTCCTCCTGCGATACCAGCCCGGAAGCAGCCGCTGGATCCTGGCGGCGTTCGACATGCTCTTAGTAGCACTCTGGGCCATCTCAGTCCACGCGCAGCTGTCTAGCGACTTGTCGGATGCTGAACACCCGAGTGCGTGGCCTTGGTACTTGGTCCATGCGTGTGGCGGTCTGGATCACCAGGAACGGGGGTGCTGTACGTTGGCTCGGTGGTTTCTTGCGGCTTCCAGTAATACATTGTAAGTTCTAACGTTCTTGTGGTGCGTTTGAATTTCTGGTTAAGTAGTCTCACAAGGGCCTTGTATATGGGGAGATTTGGCTGGTGTGTCTTGAGTTTGTTCCGTGGAAATGAAGCGGAGGTAGCAAAGCCTCCGCTTGCTTTCAGACGCGTAGAATAGTCATTTAGCGTTATGGTGTTGTTTGTATGAGTGGGATTTGTGTGACTAAACGTTTGGGGCATAGACTGAGCATGATTGAGCACATTTTGTCCAATAAATTTATACCAAGCCTCTGAACCCTCAGGCCAGCCTTGACACTAAAATGCATATTAATCTTTGTGGCAGCCTTCATCTGCCATTTGAATAGCAAATTGATTAGAGGTGGAACATGGCTCATGTAGAGGAGTTAAACTAAAGGATTCATACCCCCACGCAGATTGAATTTTGCAGGGGAGATTTACTAATAATATCTTCAAAGTACCGAGAAATAATTATATGATATTCCACTTCCACCAGTCCCTTTCATCCGTTGACACCCATAATACTGCATACCTCATGACCCTGTCTCCTAAGTGAGAACTATATGCGTCCACTGCAGCGACATGCCGCTGGATGAGCAAGGGCAGAAATGGTCCTGGTAAGCAGCCCGCAATCGCGGTATACCTCCATAGCGCTAATCAGCAATCACCCTTGACGAGCTGCAGTGAACCATGCCTGCGCGGCCACCGATCCTCGAAATGCAAACACTTTGACCGGTTGATGGCCAGGGTAGCCAAGTCAGGGAGGCCTTCGAAAGCATGCCCTCACGGCCGACTGTACTGCGACTGTCGCAAGTCATACGCAGTTATGGAACGTCTAGCATCTGGTATGCTGGCCAGCTTTCAAGGCTCCAAGCCACTGCCGAGTCGAGCTAAAGCATGTCTTATAAGACTCTGTTCGTCCACTGTACCATGTTGGCGAAAGCGAGCAGTATAGATCCACCACGGCAGAGTCAACGACTACCAGCCTGGATGGCCTCACAAACCAGTCTATCTCGACTCCCATTTCGAACACGCTGCTACAACCTGCTTTAATGCCAGAACAGTCATTCCACGCCGGCATGGACCCAGAATGGTTCGAAAGCGACATCCAATTTGAATGTGATCACGGAATGTGGCAATATCAATATGCCACCCTTGAACATCCATACCCAATTGGCCCATTAACGAACAATAACCATAATCACGAACTATCACCACAAGAAATCAGCAACACTTCTCTCCCGCTGCTACATGATGATCTGTTACTAGGCGATATGCACCTGGTACCGGATCTCTCTCCCCAGCAGCTACATTAGCGTCCTATTCTAGGAGACGGCATAGATGACCGAATGCAGAATTATCTTCAATGGCAGACGTTTACTCTATTAACAAGCAGCCATGCCAAAGAATAAGAGACAGCAAAGCATACAGTAGTTGCCATATCCACTACCAACTTGTATATCCCAAGATACTTCTAAATAGTAGACATCTCAACCCAACAACCCCTTACCTTAATTGGATTCTACGTATCACTCTCCCGGGTATCAGACGTCGCAGGAGCCATGGCATAGCCGTAGCTGTAGCACATGGCAAAGCTCTTCACAAGCAGACAAAACAAGATCCAAATCCGCCTTTGTATGCGTTGCCGAAACACAAAAGCGAACCCGAGATAAGAGCAAAGGCGTAGCAGGATATCCAACCACGACCACAGAGATCCTGCGCCGCAGCATCTCGCGCGAGAAGGCCGGCATTTTCGCCGGGTTGAGCAAGAGAACAGGCACCACAGGCGAATCTTCATTCCCATAGACCATCAGACCCAGCCGTTTCAGTCCTCGGCGGAGGTATCTGGAGTTGGATAGCAATTGCGCCAGTCTGGCTCCCCCTTCATCTGGCCCTTGGCCGCGCCGAACGATGATTTGCATGGAGGAGAGAATCTGCGCGAGAACAGCGGGTGCGGGCGCCTCGCTGTATATCACGCCGGCGTCGGTTGCTCGCAGTTTCGAGATCACCGCGCGGTCACTCGCAATGTACCCCCCCATTGCACCGAATGACTTGGTGAAAGTGCCCATCAGAATGTCCACCTCGGCGGGATCAACGTGGAAATAGTCGCAGACGCCTCTTCCGTTGGGGCCAATTGCGCCGATTGAGTGCGCTTCGTCGACGAAGAGATAGAACTTGTACAATCTCCTTAGGGCGACGAGCCCTGGCAAGTCACACAAGGATCCTTCCATGGAATAGAGTCCCTCAACAACCACCAAAACTTTCCTCCATTTGCGACGAGACCCGATGCTGTTTCGAAGCTTAGTTTCCAGATCAACCAAGTCATTGTGTTTGAATGTCATGATGGAAGCGCCAGAGGCTCGTGCCCCAAACCGTATCGACGCATGGTTCAGCTCGTCCGACAGAACCAGACAGTCCTCACCAACCAGCGTGGAGAAGACACTCGAGTTCGTGCCAAATCCCATAGAGGAGACAATTGCTGCTTGCTTGCCTACGTACGACGCAACCAGTTCCTCTACTTGAACCTGAAGCTGGTGGGTGCCTATTTCCGCGCATGAACCTGCAGCGCCCACCCCGCAAGTTCGAATCGAGGCCTCAACGAAGCGTGCGCACGAGTTTTGGGAATCCGCAAATCCGAGATAGTTGTACGAACTCAGGTTCAGTGTTTCAGTTTCTTCCGTTGTTCCCTCGGTTCGGTTGACGAGTGTAATATGTCGTCCCGGGACGCCCGTGGTGACGCGCTCAAAACAATCATCCATGCGCGCGTGCAGTCGCCGTAGATAGAAGTTGTCGAAGCCAGGGTTGAGTGCTGCGTATCCGTCTTGCGGTTTCAGATATTGGTATGCTTTTGGGCGGAACAGTTTCCCAAAGAGGTCCCGGATAAGGCCGACGGCGATCAATATGGCGAAGCTCAAGTACGTCGAAAATCTATAGTAGAGGGGGAACTGGTCCGGGCATTCCTCTTTGGAAGTGTTTCTGAGGGCCTGTTTTCTGTGTTTTGGTGCCGTCAATCCATCGTGTCGAATATAATTCAGGATTCGATAACACTCAATGGTCAACACAATGACAGAATATATAGAAACAGGCATTTTTCTTGAAGAAGAGTATGGCAAGAGTCGAATTCAGATGAGATGCAAATGTCAACTCAAATGAAACAGTCCGAGACGCAGAGTCAAATCGGCTGTCCAGCTCGAATGCAAGTGCCCAACAACTCAACCCAGATTAAGGAATAACAAGGAGAGATCAGATTGATTTAATGTTGATTGGCGTCCTAAGATGCAGACCTGACCAACGAGAATTATCCACGCAATCCAATCCCTTACTTCAGGCTGATACCGGCTCTGAGGGGTTCTTTTCTTCTTTTTCTTTCGCCCGAAAAACTTACAGACAGCTGAACTTGTGGATGAGCTGGTAATTCAAGCTTAAAAAGTCACTGATATGTGACGTATCGGTTATAGACCCTCGCCTTGTCTGCCGCAGGATCTGGAGTGAGATACAATTTGCAATTTCAGTTTTCATTTTTAATTCCTGACTTGGAAGAAATGCTACATTCTATTACTACATTCATTATCTGTTCGATAGTTTCAACTTGACATAACAATGGTCCGGAACACGCACAATCCCTTCAACCGCCTGATACCCCGACAATCTCTCCGGACATGGCGGAAACTCAAAGCTCCATACCGTCATTGCAACAAAGAATCGCATCTGCAGGTAGGCCAGCCGACGACCCCAGCACCCTCTAGGCCCGGCGCCGAAAGCCAGCGAATAACAGGCAGTGGGATTGAATCGCTGAGCGCCAGCGGAATCATCCGCGGTAGTGAGCCACCGCTCTGGAATAAAGTGCTGCGCGGTAGCCTCGTCAATTGTGCCGTAGGACTCCCATCTCTGTGCGGCGGGCTGTGATGACTTGTGGTGGATGCTGGTATCGTACAATGGATACATGACACCGGCGCCCTGGTTGAGAGCGAGGACTATCGTCCCTTTCGGGATGACCTGGTCAAAGATATGTACATCACGAACTGCAGTACGGCCAACCTCGACGATAGGCTGAAGACGGAGAATCTCCTCGATTGTTGCGTCGAGATAAGGCACTGAGGTCCCCTGGATCTCCGCCGCAGTCGGGATACGCCTCTCGTATGCTGCAGACGGGAAGGCTTCTCTCAGCGCATTTCTCAGCTTAGCCTGTGCAGTTTGATTATCGGCTAGTAGTTTGACACCCCAGGAGAGAGTTGTCCTGGTGGTATGATTTCCGAAAAGAAGAAGGCCAAATACCTGTCGTCATTCAGTATACTGTAAACGGGAAATATTGCTCCACTTACTTCATCCCTCACAGCGCTGGAATGATACTGCGGTCGTCGGCCCTCTTCTTTTGCAATGGCGTGTTCACGAAAGACGATGTGATCCATTCCCACATGTGGACTCGCCACTTTCTCGTTTAGACGCTGAATAGATCGACTGACTGCCTGGTGGATGAATTGATGTATTGTCCGAAACCTGGGAATCAGCAGCGGATGTCTTCTCATGAACCAGCCAAACACCAGTGGGAAAAGCGTCGAAGTGGTCCAGTCGACGGAACGTTGGATCTTCGAAAAGGAATCAGTCAACTTGTCAACCTCCACTGGCGGAAATGTGATGACATCCTCAGTTCTCTGAACAGTATGATTCTCAGACGCAACGAACTGCCTGGAATTCTCCAGCTGGGCCTTTGTCCCACGTGGAGCACAGTCACCAAATGTCAGAGCAAGCATTGCATCCAATGTGCAGATTTCGATGTCTCTGAAGGCCAGAAATGCGCGACCCTCTGCAGCCTTTTCTTTCCTTTTCCACAGTCCGATTAGGTCCAGGCTCGTTTCATATATCGCCGGCGTGGCAACTTGATCCAGAAACTGATCCGTCATCATGGTCTGGCTGAGCTTTCGATGGGCCCTCCATCGAGGACCGGTCGGGAAGACACTGTGATGGTTTGGTATAACCCAGGACAAAAGCGCGCTGACCACTGGAGTGCGGTCGAAGTCTCGGCTGCGGTACAGCATAATGTCGAGCGCCTCGCGGGCATCATCGAGAATGACAATTGGGAGTGTCAAGGGCCCCGGGAATATCTGGACCAGGCGTGCTTTGAAGGATCGTGCGCGCTCATTGAATGCCACTCTCAGCTCGGGCTTTCGAGACAGTCCAGATAGCACGGTTGGTATATCGCCAAGAAGGGATTTGGCTGATTCTGCCTTGTAGGGAATGCCAGGTATTGGCTTTGGCAAGGCAAAGAAATAGAGCTGGTAGAGACCAATGGCAAGGCAACCAAGCAGGACTGCTGTAAGCCCTGTCAAAGGGTCGATACGGCTGAGATCCATATTTCCTACTAGCATGGCTGTCAAAGAATTCGTGGAAAGCAATCAGAATCCCTTCATTCTGTATCCACTGGGTATAAAACTATAAATACTCGATACGCAAAATCGAGGTAAGCTTCGAAGGTCTGAATTACTGAAGCAAAGCAATGCTGCCCGAAGGAAAGCCACATGCATTGCAAATATACCCTCCTTGTGTTACCCCTTACATGGAAAGGACAACTCAGAAGTATCCCTTACAGTGTAGGTCTTTCAGCATTGCGATGAATCACAATTTACCCCGGTCATGCACCAGTCGCTGCGCACCGGGTTTGACATGATAGGCCAAAAGCACCTCGATACGAGATCAAGCCAACGCTGTCAGCGAGGAGGAACAACCCCAATACCTGAAGCATATGATCGGTGTGCCCCGTATGATCCCTTCGTTCGGATATATAGAGTTTCTAGATGCGTCTGTGGCTATGGCCATCTCGAAAGATCAGCAAGTGAAGTATGATAAAATATTCTTCTCTCGCATTTCCAACATCAGGCCGCGAAGTGAAAACGCCGTCATTCCAAGAGAAGATCTGTTGAGATCTCCTCTCAGGGATTAGCATCCAATGATCAGTATGGAAAGATTCCGGATATTCTTGGCCAATATCTCTATCACGGCATCTTCTGCATCCACAAAAGGCTTGAATATTTTGAAATGCTGCTCGAAGCATCTATCAGCGAACCCAGGAATCTTCATTCTTTCCCTGGCAATTCCGCCCGGATTGTGGATGATACAAACCTTTCAACTTCCCTACTTTGACCCATCGACAGGCAACTATGGACAAGGATGGCGGGACATGTATTGTGTTGCCGCATTCTCGATTGCATTGACAGCGATGTGGGCGATCTCAGTAACTTGGATATTCGAACCACTTGCCAGAAGAATGGGATTACCTCCAGGAAAAGCCAGGAGATTCGCGGAACAGACATGGTTGTGCATTTACTATTCATCCATGTGGACTCTAGGAATGGTGAGTTGGCCCCATGCCACCGGGTCCATCTATCTAACCATATGTCAGTATCTCTGGAGAAGATCGAGATACTGGACTAGCATGCGAGAGCTCTGGGCCACATTCCCAACCAAGCAGCTCGGGGGAGGGTTGAAATTCTACCTCCTAACCAGCCTCGCATTCTGGTTTCATCAGATCATCGTGGTAAACGTGGAAAAAAAGCGCAACGACTACCCCCTTTACATGGCGCACCACATTGCAACTGCTGTTATGATGTCGTCTGCATACGTTTACAGTGCCCACGAACTTGTCCACCTGGTTTCAAATCTGATGGAAGCTGCAGATGTTTTCTTATGTGTAAGCAACAAACTATATGCCAACGAAGACAGTAGACCTGACAGCATCACAGATCGCAAAGATTTGCCGGTACGTGGATTGGAGAACGAGTGGGAATATCGCGCTGGGAACATTCGCCACAGTTTGGCTTATATCCCGACACATCGTTTACGTCCGAGTATGCTGGATCCTGTTCCAGGACATCCCGACAATAAAACCATATGGGTGCTATTCGGGAATAAACGGACAGCTGAGCAAAGATGATGTAGTTGTCTCATGGTCGAGGCTTGGCCGCCCATTCATCGATTCAGCAAGTTTAATCTGCATCGTCCCCTTGGTCAAATGGGCATTTCTATCGATGATGCTGGTGTTCGAAGCCATGTCAATCGTTTGGTTCAAAATGATTGTCCAAACTGTAACGAGAGCCTTTGTGAATGGATACAGCGATGATGTCAGAAGCGATGAGGACGAGGCTGAAGAGAGCGTGGAGATGAAATAGCTAAACTGGCATGTTTACCATAACTCTGAGCAACAAAACAGGATGTACCTTTGGATATGACAGATATGGGTCACTGTAGTTGTGAGATCACATCTGACCCAGTGCGGCAGAGAGATCCCTGCACAGACAGAATCCCCACCGTACCTTGACAAAGCACGAGAGGATTCCCACTTTCAGCGATCAGCGGTGAGATTGAGTAATTGAGTAATGATTGAGTTATGATTGAGTCGGTGAGCGTGCAGCATTGCGGATCTGCAGAGACACATCATACGCATACATGACGGAGTAATTTGATGCTGAGAACATGAAAACTAAGCGGCTTCACTTTTTACAGTTTTCTCAAGTGTGCTCAATTCTAAAAAGAGGCTTGACAGCCCTCGCAGCCATTTGTCATTTATTGTCACTTATCATTGCCCCTACTGCAAAATGCTACGAATCGGCAAAATGGCGCTGCTGATTCTGGGCAATGTTTTAAGCCTGGCATCAATTGCCATATTTGCCCGGTCTTTCTTCCGAGAAAAGCCATACCTCAGTGAGCTTGAGGATTATCGTTCTGCTGGCTTTATATCCCCGAGCCCTCCCGCACCCGCACCATTTGACAAGGTTGTCTTCATGGTGGTCGATGCATTGCGGAGGTTGGCTCCCGTTTCTTCGATGTAAAATCTACCATCTAACACCAGCAGTGATTTCGTCTACTCCGAAACCTCGGGTTTCGCCTTTACGCGCAGGTAGGACTTGAACTGCGAAGGTGGAGTTTGGCTAATAGCTTCAAGCCTTATACAATCCGGATCCGCCTTGCCCTTTGTAATGGAAGCAACCAGTCCCCCCTTCACCAGGCTATGTATCCAGTCCATGACAGTCGGTGCAAGTCCCGCGTTTGCAGAGGTCTTTTCAAACACACAAAGGGTTGTCGATAGCGGGACTAGCCGTACGGTCGATACCTGGCTCAGTCGTCTGAAGGCTTCAGGCCGCGGAAACATCACATTTTCCGGGGAGGAAAACTGGCTCAATCTGTTTCCTGAGATATTCGATAGGGCTGAAAGGTTTGGAAGCCATTTTCTTCCTGTTTGTGCCCGAAAAAAAAAACAAAGTTGCTTGCGCGGTAATGGATTTTTTGGCTTACCTCTGTACTAGGACTCTGCTTCTACCGACCGCGCTGTGGCTGCTTTCATTGACAAAGAGTTGCAAAAGCAGGATTGGAGTGCACTAGTTGTGCATTTTCCAGGACTTGATCACCTTGCACACATGGGAGGTGCGTATAGTCCATATATGCATTCCAAACAGCAAGAGATGGACCAAGTAGTACGAAGAGTGTATCGATCGATTCAGAGACAGACACCTCTTGACAGAACATTGCTCGTGCTCCTTGGTGATCATGGAATGGACGATCTTGGACAGCATGGAGGGAACTCAGTAGAAGAGCTCTCTACCCCATTACTTTTTATATCTCCCCATTTGCAGACTCTCCATCAAGCCCGGGACGAGAGTGTTGCATTTCAGGACAGTGGTAATCCCTACAAAGACCCTGGACATGTAAGCCAATTGGACATTGTGCCTACAATCTCTGGCCTGCTCGGGCTTCCGTTACCACTTGACAATCTTGGCAGCTTCATACCTGATTTACTCCCACTGTGGGAAAGCCTCGAGGACCGACGACTGCTGATTCGGCAAAATCTAGCACAGCTTGGATGTGGTGATCGAATGAGTTACAATACTAACGCATCGATCCTAGATCCGCAGGAAGGTATCAGCCAGGGCCTTTATTTAGCCAAAGAGGTCTCACTTTTGTCCATGGTGAGCATCCATACTGAAGGAGATATCATTGGAACTAAGCGTGATAGGCATCTTCAGATGCTCAAAGCCTGGTCGATCAAGCAACAGTGCAACAAGTAAACCAGACCTATTTATTGCTTGGAATAACGGGCGCACTTGTGGCCACTATACTTTCGACACAGGCTTGCCTCCGGTTTCGAAAAGGGCCAGCAAATGGGATAAAGGTTGTTCTTGCAGTGAATTTGCTTTACTGCCTTTTGATGTCCCACCGAGGCACATCGATTGAACCGAAATTTTGGACCCTCGCAGCCGCAATTTGGATTTTTTATCTGGGGTTTCAAGACGAGCCATCGAAGAGGGTTTCCGCCTGTAAAGCCCTAGTCCTTCAGATTCTCCTCTATTTATGGGGCCAACGAGCAGACCTGCATTCGCTGCATGCCTCATTCTGGGTATCCGCTTTGATCTTGGCTCTTTCCACTGTTACTTACATGGCGACGATGGCGCAGCTCATCAGGCAGTCTCATCCTGTTTTTAAGCACAGTCCATACAGTGCGCTCGCAGCGAGATTAGGAGCCCTCATCCTGTGCCTGGTAGCTTTCATTTTCAAACTAGCATTCACTGCTGAGCACACTCCTGCTTTGATATCTTTGATTCCAGGAGAGCTGCAATCCAGACTACGCCCCTTAGATCAAGTTCTGATGGCGAAGTCAATATTTGCAGGATGCTTTGGTGGACTAGCTTTTGTGCTATGGGAGTCGCGCAGCGACAAGACAAATCTTGCAGACAATGGTATGTCAAACACGGTCACAGTTTAGTTCTCGCGTCACATCAATGCTTACCAGCAGCCTCTAGCTGTCATGTTGCTTGTTCTGGAGCTTCTCAACCTTTTTTTGATAACGATGGCAAAGATCTCGGACATACCGATTTTCCTCCTGTCTAAATTGCAGGTTCATTTCTTGAGTACAGCGCAAACTACATGTCTCAACAAAATAAAGAGTGCTGACTTCTGTAGAATCCTGTCGTCAAATGACGCCGTTTGAAGCCAGTGCGACCGCCATTATACTAGGCGAATGCGCTCTCTATGCCACCGGCCGCGGTAGAGATCTGAAGACCCTCGATTTCAGTAACGCCTTCAACGGCATGACGGAGCACACCGATGTGGGCACTGCGATATTCGGATTCGTCATTAACGTGGCCGGGCCTCTCTGGTGGACACTGAACAGCATATGCTTGATCGGAGAGAATAAGGAATCCGGAGGATCGGGGAGTCCAATAGAGTCCTGGCTCTCAATAGAAAGGTTTGCCTGTCAGACTTTCTTCATGTCGTTTGGCATGCTCGCGGTGATGGTTTCGTGCTTGTCAGCGATGCAGGACGTAGAATCACTGTGGTCGGTTTCCGCACCGCGTCTAGCCTCTGCGTTGATTGCATCTGTCCCGTTCCAAGTTGTTATGATCATTGGCGGTGATGCTGTTGTATTTCTATATGGCTTTTTTCTCTCATGAAGGTCGGACAGACGGAATGTGCGAATTAGGCATTGCTGGTGGAAGATATTCTGCACAGGCTGGTTCTCGTATATAGAAACAAGCTATACAGTCGAAGTAAAAAGGAAAATATCAACATATGTAGCCAGATTCATTCAAGGATGCGCACTATGTTCAAAAGTACCCCTGTATCATGTATTAGACTTCGGTGGACGCGTCTTATATTGGACACCCCTGCATTCCCATTATCGGACACGTCGGTGACAGATACCTTATTCGCGCCTGCAAATAACATCATCTTTTTTATTTTTTATTTTTTTTATCAAGAACCACGATGTGGCAAAGGCGATAGACGGAAAGCTCTGAAAGGATCTCGCGATTATAATTCACCTCAACAGCTGTTCTAATAGCACAAGCGTATCGGAGCAGTATGCTGCAGTTGCTCGCTCTCCGGAGTCCATCAAAATGCTCGATATCGAATCACAATCGGTTTGGGCCCATCGCGGACGACGACTGCTACAGTGGGCTTGACTTTACTTTGTTCTTCGAAGAAGCATTTATGTGCATCGCCCCGGCTTCAATTGGCATCACATGGATCATCGCTTGCATTTGGCACTTAAGGGGACAAGCAGTCATGGTGGCACGAGGATGGCTATACTGGGCTAAGCTTGTGAGATGCGAATCCTCTAGGTAGGCTTTGTCAAGTGTTCTGACAAAAATATCCAGGCTTTTTACGTTGCACAACTGTTCCTTCAAGTTGCTTCTCTTGCCCTATATACATCCAGTCCGCGGACTGACCTCAGCATCCCCTCGGCCATTCTATCCATTCTGACTACTGCCATCTTCATGTATGGCTCTTACATTGCGCATCGGCGTTCTATACGGCCATCGACAGTTCTAGTTCTATACCCTGTTGGTACACTTCTATTTGAAGCTGTCCACGTGCGGACATTGTACTCGATCAAAGATCTCCAGGGAGTAGCTGTCACTCTTCTCGCGCATCTCGGGACAAAGTCCGCTTTGACAGTGCTTGAGTCCTGGCACAAAGTGAGTCTGGCATATTCCAGGGACACGGCTTATACTCCAGAACAAATCGAAGGACCATTAGGGCGCACATGTTTCGCCTGGCTCATCAAACTCTTCATACTTGGTTTAGGGAAGAGACTCACTGTCGATGATTTGTTCCCAACGGAGCCCAGCATGTGTCCTCCCATTGAGAAGAACTCTCTTGCCTCTCTGTGGGCCCAAAGTAGGACACTCTTCTTATACCGGTATTGTTCCGTCCTGATTAACCACCACACAGGCGAAAAGAAGCCCAACACGTTGGTCTACATGGTTATCCGGGCCTTCTGGTCAGAAATACTATCATGTGTTGCACCGCGAATGGCCTACATCGGATTCGTGATAGCACAGCCGTACCTCATCCGGCGTGCCGTGACATTGTTCGCTCTTCCTAATGGGGAAAATGCCCATGATCGCGGTGTCCTTTTAATTGCAGCCTTTGCGCTTGTTTATGGCGGAATGGGGGTCTGTTTTCTTTTGGGGAACCTACACTGAGCTTTGATTTACGATGTTAATTGATTCAGATTTCACTGTCGATTTCGAAACATAAAGCGGCCCGTCTGATTGCTATGATCCGCGGCAGTCTGACCAGCATGATATATGATCAAACTCTCTTTTTGCAGAGCTCACACGGCCGCGATGAGGTCGTCACTGCTATCAGCACAGACATGGACCGAATGGCGCTGGGTCTCGGCACGTATTATGAGTGCTGGGCGGCGCCGATTGAATTGGGCCTCTTCTTTTGGCTCCTATACCGAGAACTTTATGAAAGCAGCTTAGCTGCAATGCTTCTCTCCCTTGGTTTGTCTACCCAGTGATTTGCATGCGTTGCTTTACCTTCTGATACCAGAGCAGGGGCAATCGTTGGCGTGGTTCTGTTGGCCCCTTATGCCGTCCGCGCGCAAACCGCCTGGATTGACACAATCCAGCGGCGACTTGTCGTTACTGTAGATCTAATCAATGGAGTCAAGGGGGTCAAGATGTCCGGACTTGTCGACAGGCTTTACACGATATTGACAGCCCTCCGTCTTGAGGAAATATCCGCATCCAAGAGGTACCGCTCCATTGTGACAGGTATCTTCACGTTTGGTATGCCCCCTTGAACTCTTTGCGTTGAATTTCTACTCACAGGAGTATATATATTAGCGAGCATCCATTCGATACTCACGCCCACAGTGTCGTTTTCCGTATACGCTTTCGTCTCACGGTCAGAACATGGCGCGATTGGGACTCTAGATAGCGCACGCGCATTTACCTGCTTGGCACTGCTTGAACTCATGGGCGAAGCACTCATGTCGTTGCTCCAGGCTATTTCGAATGTCTCATCCGCGGTCGGGTGCATCAACCATATTCAAGAGGTTTTGAGCCAGAGCCAGCACGTAGATAGCCGGACACACAAAGCGGATGCATTGCTTCATGCCCGTGCTTCTCAACAGATGCAGCCCTGTCTTGTGGCTACCAATGTCTCTGCGGGATGGGAGGGTCCCGTCATCAGAAACATATCCTTCGACATTCCATTCGAGGCTTTGACAATGCTCGTTGGTCCTGTTGGATGCGGGAAGTCTACGCTTCTGAAGGCCATTATTGGAGAAACGCCATACAATTCTGGAGATGTTCACATTTACGCACCCAGTATTGCATATTGTAGCCAGACCCCGTGGCTGGTTAACGGGACCATCAGGGATAATGTGCTTGGAGCAAGCCCGTATCAGGAAGACTGGTATAGGATGGTCATTAGAGCATGCGGTCTTGAGGCAGACATTGCAGGTTTAACCAAGGGACATGATACCCTGGTTGGAACAAGAGGGGCGTCTCTTAGCGGAGGGCAGAAGCAACGAGTCGTAAGGACCTTCGCAATGATTCCCAGGTGCGCCAGGAGGCTGACTAGACAAGGCCTTAGCGCGTGCTGTTTACTCCAAGCATACGCTTGTCATTCTCGACGATGTTCTCAGTGGCGCAGACGCCATTACTGAGGAATACATTTTCGAACAACTGCTGGGTCCTCAGGGGTTGCTTCGGAAATTTGGCACGGCGGTTTTGATGGTGACTAGCTCGTGTAAGACGGCAATCCCTATCCTACAGATCCAGTGCTGACTCCGGAGAAGCTCATAGACTCCAGCAGGCAGACGTCGTTATTCGCTTGGGAGCGGACGGATCGCTTGCATCCTTGTTCCACAACAGGTCTCCAGAATGCTCTGCGGACCCATTCCAGGAGCAGGCGTTCAAAGCTAAGCCCCGAATTGCTATTACACATATGGATAACGAATCAAACTACTCCCTTCCCATGTCCAATGAGGTTTCGAAGGCAGAGGAGTCGAGGGGTGCTCTTGATGCTAGTGATCTGGCAACTTACACATACTACTTTAGTGCCGGCCCCTGGCTCGGATGGCTAGGATTTCTTGCAGTGTTGTCTGCTGGAGTTGCCACAAAAGTATTCCAATGTAAGGACCTCATTTGCCTCACTTTTTTAAATGGAATGTTTCGCTAAGTCACGCTGTTAATCGCAGCCACATGGGTCAAGTGGTGGGCCCATGACAATGACGTTGAACCAAATCGCAACATAAACATGAGAGTCGCGGTTGATTGCAGTCTTGCTGTAATATATGCGGCAATGTTCTTGATTTCCCAATGGTATGCAATGTGTGCGGGTCCCAAGGCCACCAAGCTCATACTTATAGGATCATGATCCATGCTGTTACAGCAAAGACAATGGTTACTCTGCACCGAAAATTGGTCAGAGCAGTTATCAGGTATCCATTCGTTAAGCGGCGAACAAGCTCCTGACACTAACATTAACATCAACAGGGCACCGATGGCCTTCTTTGCAGCGACTGATTCTGGGGATATCATCAATCGGTAGGGCCATCCAACTCAGCCTCAACGTTTCACTTTCATTAATGCCCAGGAATAGATTTAAAAATGACCTGGAGCTGATTGATTTCGAGTTACCTCTGTTAGTCTTTTTGACACTTGCCAGTAAGTACTTCATTCCCTTGCTTTTCTCCACAGCGAACAGCTTTCGATTCTCACATATACAGACGCCTTACAATGCATCGGTGCATCTATAGTCGTCATAGTCAATGTGCACTACATGGCAGCTATCGTTCCCGCGGCAGCCATTGTCATATGGGCCGTTGAAACCTTCTACCTTCGAACGTCTAGAAGGCTCCGGATTCTTGATATTGAAACCAAGGCACCTATTCTGAAGCACACCATCGAAACAATCGAAGGCCTTGCGACTGTACGCGCGTTTGGCTGGCAAGACCAATGCAAGGTCACAGCGCACGCCCACCTCGAGCTCTCCCAAAGGCCATTTTACCTGCTGATGGTGGCACAGGTCTGGCTTGGGCTCGCGTTGGATTTTGTGATGATGGGCGTCGCTGTTATGCTCATGGCCATCGGGGTAGCCAAGCTTGGTGATGTCTCCGCTGGGGAAATGGGCCTCGCTCTAACCAGCACGATAAGTATTGGAATATGGATGAAGACTTTGGTCAAGTTCTGGATGAACCTTGAAACTTCACTGGGCGCTGTAACTCGCCTCAAGGCCTTTGAGCAGGGACTACATGCGGAAGACCAGCCAGGCGAACGCAGAATCATGCCTGTAGGTTGGCCTTTGCAGGGCAATATCCAGTTCAAAGGAGTGTCTGCGTCTTATGGGTATGTGCTTGATCAGAAAAAAAAGAAATTATTGACTGGAAGTTTTTAACCATTTTTCTACCGTCAAGTGATCCCTTCAGTCCGTTGCTGAAAGATGTCTCCTTTACCGCTTGGCAAGGCCAGAAAGTCGCCATCTGTGGTCGAACAGGCAGGTATGTGCTTTGCTGTCCACCTTCATACCTAGATTGACAATCCACAGTGGGAAGAGCACTCTTGTGGCGGCACTATTCAACATGATAGAGTTATTGGACGGCCAGATTATTGTTGACGGTATCGATATATCGACCATCTCTCGACAGAACTTGCGAGCCTGTTTGAGCGGACTACCCCAGGATTCTTTCCTATTAAACGGATGGACTGTCCGTGAGAATATGGATTTCTTCTCGGCCAGTTCCGACCAGAAAATGATTGACGCGCTCACAGCTGTAGGCTTATGGGGCACCATTGAAAACAAGTACGGTCTAGACACGTTGGTAACCGATGGCATCTTCTCGCATGGTCAAAGACAACTGCTTTGCTTTGCACGAGCCATTGTTCGTCATGGCAACATTCTTGTCTTGGACGAAGCGACAAGCAGGTGAGATCCAACCCCTTTATCTAGGCTATATAGTTAAATACCTACTAATCACCCATGATTCACCAGCGTGGATGCAACAACCGAAACCCTGATGCAAACACTTATTCGATCGCATTTCCACCAGCACACGATTCTGGCCGTGACACATCGGCCTTCAACTGTTTTGGATTTCGACCTTGTGCTTGTGCTTGAGAATGGCGAAATTGTGGAAAGCGGGCATCCGCAGGAGCTTTTGAAGAGGGCTGGCTGGTTTTTCGATCTTTACAACAGTTCGGAGAGCTGATCAGAAATATACCGGAGATTAGTGTTGATCTAGCTGTGGCAATGATTCGTTTTCAGTTTTAATGTTATGTGCATGTAGAGTATACGCCCGCGCTGAGTTGCCCGAACAGGGCCAGGCTCGAAATGACGGGAGTTTAAGAGACCGGACATTGTTCTTGACTGCTATTTAGATATTGGCTAGAGCGATTAAGATTGATCTATAATTCTATGAAGACGGATTTATACAAGACGAATCTGGGCAAACCGTTTCTCTATAACCATCTATTGCTAGTTAAACCGTAAACCCTCCAATCACTTAGTCTCCTCCTCTCCCCCCAAAAGCACAACCCTAACCTTCTCCGCCACCAAAAACTTCTCCTCGTCCGCATCAACAATCTCCTTGGTGCCGGGCTCCATCCTCCTCGCAAAGAACGTCTTCAGCCCCGCCTCATCCGCAAAGGTCACCTGCGTAATGCAGTCATAATGAAAATCCTCCTGAGACCCCACAAGAACGGCAGCGGGGTAGTTATTATCGGCACCGGGTTCGGGTCTTGCGATGTACGTTCGTTTATGGGATAGCGGCCAGTCATCGCCCGCGAGTTGTTTTATGAGTGGGACATGGACGGTTTCGTAGTGGGCTTTGAATTCGGAGGGGGTGAGGGCCGGCTTGCGGGTTATGAGGAGGAGGGCTGATACTGTCATTTTGAGAAGTGTTTCTTGGGAGTTTGTTGGAAGGAAAGAAAGCGAGTTCTTTACGGGACTTATATATTCTGGGTTGGTGACAGGCTCCTCACGGCATTATCTATTTTAGATTGGTGGTGGCTATGCATATATTAGCTTGATTAAAGACTCCAATTGCAATCAAGAATTAAGAACTAAGAACTCAGCCCTTACTCCATGGCATAGTAATGAGGCCAGGGCGCCTTAATTCTTAAGTAAAAATGTCCTGTCTATAATATACGGAAATTACCCGATAGGGCTTGGTTTCGTCTGGCTTACTGCTAACACGTGTGCGGCTGATGCTGCCTCGATGGTTGATTTATAAGTCCGTAATTTACTCGGTTTAATGGGATTGCCTTGGGCAGTTTTAGCATGTGATCAGCAAAGTACGTTGCACGTTTTTATTTAGGGCTGCATGCTCTTGCATAACTGTACATTGCAGGTGCAACCTGAGGGAATGCGGCGTCAAACGATAAACTTCGTCAAGTTGACGCTTTTTATATACATAATTGCTCATTCTAGGTTAATTGCAAGTTTCTCAAGGCAAATTCAATTCTAAAGAGCAATATACTACCAACGGATCCCTACATCTTGCGCTCAACCAAACAGCCAGATTCCCAGTATTGCTGAGACATCAGCCGATCCATTGATGAGACATTTGTTTTTTCAATCAGCCATGGTAAGTATAGAGAAGTCATTGTCAATCACACGACGCTCGAAACCAATTCTGTCGTGTGATGAGAGAGTCCAGAACATGCAGTACGTATACTGCGCCGGAAAAGGCAACGTACATCCATTCCTCATAAAATACACACTAGTTGAAAGCGCCACCACGGATCGAAAGCCGGATTGTCTAAGAAGTAACTTTGACCATTTTGGCCGACTCTAATAAACCAAGGCTCGAGATGTAAGCGAGGCGGCCAGCGTTGCCGAGAAGCGATCCATACCCGATGCTGTACAGACCCGGTGACACGTTCCCCGGGAAATAATGGGAGGCTATGTTTACCCACTCAATTTCTGGGACTAAGGAGAGTGTAAAAAGAATGGGATTGACTGTGATTTGGCATGTTTCTGGCCACGTGGTGGAATCCATGGGTTGGACTTGGTGTAGTCAGACATGATATCATGATCTGTTGTTGTCTCCCGCTCTTGGCTGCTTAGGGCTGGCGAGACAAATAGTACGCCGAAATAGCACGGAGAAGCGCTAGTAGTTTGCATAACATCACGACTTGTCTATGGTCTGGAATGGTAAATATGTCTCGGAGTAGTCAATGGCGATATTCTATGAGAAGTTGAATCTATAAATGGACCCTCTAGCCCTGCAGTGGTATCGCCCAACACACATCTACTTCATCCACTCTTCAATTCAGTAACAAACACAGCCTAACATGAAGCTTTCTGCAGTAGCCCCCCTTCTTGCCCTCCCGGGAACCCTGGGCCTCGCCATACGGGACAATACAGCTCAGATCACCTTCACCGGCGCCGCCGACGCCCAGTTCACCCAGGACTTCCCAGCGGACGGCTCCATCGTGAAAATCAGTAAGCTTCCATATACAACATGCTTCTATTTGTGTAAAACATCCCTTTCACTAACAATTAAACAGCCAACCCCCTAAGCATCTCCCACATATCATCCAACAGCCCCGACATCGCATGTACCTTCAACGGCATCGACCATAGTGCAACCACCGTCATAGGCGTTGCAACTGTCGACGTCGGCCCTCCCCAGACTCAAATCCAGGGCTCGTGCACTGCCGGCTCGACACCTCCTAGTCCACCCATCGAGTCTGCGCCTTCTGGAGACCAGGTGATGATTACCTTTATCGGAGCTGCGAATGCCCAGTTTTCGCGGGTGTTTAGCCTTGATGGCGCTGCTATGGAGATAGGTATGTGCCAGTTCTAGTAGACCATATAAATAGTGTGGTACTTTGGCTAATGTAGTTTAGGCGACCCGCTGAGTATCTCGCATGTCATGTCCAATACAGAGGGCGTGAAGTGTACTTTTAACGGCGTGGATAACAGTGTTACTGTCGTTGAGGGTGCGCAGACTGTTGATGTTGGTCCTCCACAGACTCAGATTTCTGGTTCCTGCGTTGCGGGTTAAGAGTTGGTATTGATTTAGTTAAAACGCGAGATATCTCTTTATATTGAGAGTGGGAGGGTGGCTGGATTGGACTGATACTTTGCTTTGCTTAATTTTTTTTGTATTTCTGTTTAATTTTGACTGTGGGTTTGTATGACTTTTAATTATATCTAGGGCACATTGAGAGGAAAAGCCACTTTCTGTCTATAGCTCAATGTTATATTATCTTCTCATAACATGGTTCACTGTCTTCTCTACCGCCACTATTGGAGGCCCGACAAGATTTTATAAGTATTATATGTAACCGTACCACCTATACAAATCTCCTAATATCGACCATATTCCCACAAATTTCGTCCATGGTCGATAGTAGCCCAGAGTAACTCGACAAATCAGCCACCTGGCAGCCTACTATTTGAGTAGTCTGTAGTCACCAGAGCATTACGCACGGTTTTCTGGATAGCGGCTAAGGCGACGTAGAACTGCACAGCCGCGAGTTAAATTTAGAGAAAGGCATATGTAGGTTTTTATATGCATCTTGAACGAGCATCAGGGTTTACTGCAGAATCGGAGCCAAATGGTATGCGCACAGATATCATGTCGTGGCGTGTAAAACAACCATCTATCGCTAAGCTTTTGAAAAATACAATCAGTTCACCCAGATACCATTCAAGCCTTCTCTTTCTTTCGCTTCTTCCCATCCCGGTCCTTGCTCTTCTTGGACTTCTCCTCCGCAGCTTCAGCATTGTCCAAGGAATGTTTCTTGGACTTCTTCCGGGGAAGCCCAGCGGCCTGGCTTGCATCCCCCTCCGTCTGCTGGTGTTTCCGCTTCCTCTCCTTCTCCTTCTCAGCCCCCTTGGGTACTTTGAATGTTGGTTCCTCGCCCTCCGACTCTTCAGAGCTCGACCCAAGTGTCTCCGGCGGGCCATCACCGCTTCCCACAGGTCTGAAGCGCATCTTCAGATGCTTTGGTTGTTTCCTTGGTGGCTTCTCCAGTGCCTTGGCAGCTTTAATGCTAGTTTCTTCGAATTCCGCACCGCCGGGGATATCAATCATTTCTTGGATATGGTAGGTCGGGACATTCGTAACTGTGCTCTGGTATGTTTGCGCCTTGGGGTCGTAGATAAATAATGTCTGTGGATTGCTGCTGGCTTGGCTGACGCTTTCCTCTGGGATCCCGAACTGCACGCCATTGTGCTTCAGAATCGGCTCGCCCTTTAAAGCTCCACCCAGTGATACCTCCTTGACCTTTGACAGGGGGAGAGAAGCAGGCGCTGTGATGTGGAACACTTGTTTTCCGTTTAGAGAGGATAGAGTAGACGATGTTTTGGAGGAGGATTGGCTTTTGGCGGATTTGAAGCCTTGCGGGGGCTTGTATTGCTGGGGAGCGCGGAAAGACCGTGATTGTGAAAGTCTGGTGCATATATTAGCTATTATAGACCACGGCCGGTCTTAACTTGGAAAGCTTACTTTTGACCTGACTGGCTGTTTTTACTCTTCGACTCCTCTGAAGGCTCGCTGTCGCTCGAGCTATCTGACTGTTCTTCATCGGAGCTTGAGCTTGAAGACTCTTCGGCTTTGCGATTTGACTCCGCGGATGAACTCGATTCGCTTTCTGAGGTTTCTTCGCGAGCCAGCTTGGGCTCTTTTTCTGTCTTTGGCGCCATTGCGGTCAAGCTCGGAGGTGCTCGCGTTTGCGGCTAGGTCGGGCTGCTAAGTAGAATCGATGAAATATTGTCAATAATACCAGTGATATAATATCACTGCGACCGAACACAAGTTTATTAGAATTGGTGCCGACTCTGCGATCCCTTGAAGTCGAGAAATGTTGCGACAGGCCGAGTTGAAGTTGCAGCGAGCGATCTTTTTTTTTTTTGCTCCGCAGAGCACGGACCACCACCGAAACTCCGCAGGAAATTATGCCTGGATGAATTCCACGCCGCAAACCCAGCTTGCGCAACACTGCCAATTACGAAATTGCAGCTGATCCGGATTTAAATATGATGAAGAGAAAGGCTGAGAAACAGCAGGCGGCAGGTAGGATCTCTCGGCGTCCTCAGTCGCTGTCCTCTCGCGACTCTGCGGATACTTACAATGATTTTTTTTTCTAGCTCCGCTCAGTGCAGTCGCCGCGCGCAAAGCTCGAATGCAACAGACCCAGACAACCGTCACAACAGATACTACTACGCATACGGAACCTGCCGGGGAACCACCGTCTAAAAGACCGCGACGCTCACTGGAAGAATCCCAGTCGCAATCGACGTCTGAGAGACAACGTACGACACGAGCCACGAAGCGGGCGGCAGTGAACGCTGAGAAAGTGCAGCAAAAGGTTGAGAATGGAACAAGGGAACCTCGCTCGAAGAAAACAACTGTCGAGGTTGAAGACCGCGGAAGCCAGACGTCTAGCGAAGAGGAAGAGGAAGACGACGATGCAGTGGAGGAGAATGCGGCTGGTGTGATGGCTGTTCCTGAGGGGACCGAGGATGGGTGATTACCCCCAAAGCTACGGTTGATTGTGCTGTTTTACTGACGGCTATAGTTATGAATCTCCCGCCGATACGCCATCACTCACGATGGAGTTTCCGCTTTCGAAGATGCGATTGAACAAGAGCAATATCGTTTACAGCGATGAGCATACCCTCTGCGTTCGCATCCGCGAGAAGATGGTACGCATACCTGGCTTCTATCGGTGGTATATACTAATGGCCTGTAGAGCATTGTGATGATCGGGCATTATGACCTCTGGGTGAAACGCGGACTCGTGAGCTTGATGGGTGCCAAGTTACACCCCTCACCTCGAGTTTACCGGGTCTATGCTCCCTCAACACATTCGCTTCCTGTGATTAAATGCATCACTGGTGTGGATGGTGCGGCGGAAGTCGAGTTCAAGTCATGCCATAGCGGACTCACCCGTCTAAGGGACATGTCGCCTTTGTACCAGCGGGTGTGGAATAGCGGAAACTCTCCAGCGGACAAGCTCAGCCTGAAAACAGTCAGGCAGGACGTGCGGAGGACGTTCTCTGTGGTGAGCATGCTCTCTTATTTTTTTCAGACATCTAGAATCTGACTTCCTCAGCTCCATACGTCTTCCGACGATTCATTGAACCGGCATCTCCGTCCGCTGCACTTGGAAAAGCAATGGAGTGCCGCCATAAAAGTCCTGTCGCAACGATCTGGCCGACTACAAGCACTGATTTGCGGTCCGAAGGCGTCAGGAAAATCTACGTTTGGTCGTTACCTGCTTAACCACCTGCTCAGCCCGGCACCGCAGACAGAGACCAACTACCACAACACCGATGGTGTCGCTTTCCTCGACCTCGACCCAGGCCAGCCGGAATTCTCACCTATGGGACAGGTGTATCTCGCTCATCTTCGCACTCCTGTCTTCGGCCCGCCATTCACGCATCCGTCCCTGGATAACGAGCGCGACGGGTCAATCGTCCGAGCCCACCATATCGGTGCATCGTCGCCCAAGGAAGACCCTGACCACTACGTCCTAGCCATCACAAACCTCATGGAGCAGTACCACGCTCTGCTAGCGACATACCCCCAATGCCCTCTCATCATCAACTACCCCGGCTGGATCTTCGGCCTCGGCCTAGAAGTCGCCACCTATCTAATCAAAACCCTCGGTCTCTCCGACGTCGTGTACATGAGCGAGAAGGGTCCAATGGAGGTCGTAGAACCTCTCAGCCAGGCCGCAAGCGTGTCCAAAACACCGCTGACAATCCTGCCCTCCCAACCCACGGAATTTGTGAGCCGGTCCAGCGCCCAGCTCCGCTCAATGCAAATGCAGTCCTACTTCCACATGTCCCAGCCAAAGGGCATAAATTACCCCATGTGGCTCGAGACACCGGTCTTCAAGAACCGCCCGTTCCGCATTCAATACTCCGGGCCTAACCGCGGTATCCACGGTATCATGACCCTAGGCTCACAGATCAGCTCCGATCTCCTCTGCGAGAGCCTCGAGGGCGCAATCGTTGGCGTCGTCGCAGTCGAATCTCCAAACGCCCTCCCGTCTCAACCAGACACACAGAACATCACTGAAAACAACCCCAACGCCGGCGACGAAGAAGAAGAATCCACCTCCGACATCGACATGGACGCCGACACAGACGTAGAAAACACCACCGCCGCCACCTCCACCTCAATAACAACCGCCCTCACCCGCCTAACAACCCCCACCAAAGAATCCCTCCCCTACCTAACCACCGGCCCGGGAAGCGACACACCCCTCCACCCAACCTCCTCCCACAGCCTAGGGCTAGCACTCATCCGCTCCATAAACACCACAACGCAAACCCTGGACCTCCTGACCCCGATCCCGCCAGCCCGACTTGCCCAATCCCTTGAACAGGGCCACGCGCTTGTCCTTGTCCGCGGCGCCCTCGATAACCCCAATTGGGCGGTTAGCGAGGAGTACTATGCGGCTAGGGCTGAGGAGAGGAGATTCCGGCGCGGGCTGCGAAGTAGGAATAGCAATAACCAGGATGGGGATGAGGGTGAGGATGGTTTAGATGAGGACGAGAAGAAGAGGATGCACGCCCTGCTGAAAGAGCGGATCCGGAGGGCAAAGGACGTGCCGTTTATGACTGTTGTTGAGGACCATGGGAGGCGGAGGCAGGATGAGGCGCGGGCGCAGAGGGCGCTGTGGAAGTTGAGGAAGAAGGCTGGGCCTGAGAGTGAGAGTGAGGTTGGGTATTGAGCGTGGGCTCTTTTTATTAATATTGTTATTATAAACTATAGAGAATCCCAATTCTGGTGCGTATTGGTGTTAGAGACTATAGATACCACAGATATTCAGTACCTCAGGAATTAAATAATCTTAGCTGCTAATATCTATCCCTGCTAGCTAGAGTACAATATAATCACTTCTATACTACTTCCACGTCCGGAATCCGAATTCCAATACCATACCGATAATACCGTTAACCATCAAACCCTTCAAAAAAAAAAAAGGCAATAACAATCTGCATGCCACCTCCATAAGGAAAGTTTGGCGTACCTGTGACCGAACAAAAGTCCATCATGATAATAATAGCATCAACTAAGAGTGAGAATGGTTGGAACATCTGCAAGTCCGGCAACGTATCGAGTTTAGTTGAGTTTGGGCCGGGTCCATGCTTAATCCTTACAGGTCCGACAAGTCGACGACGTTCGCCCAGCATTGCAGTCAAGTACGAATACAAATCCAAGTCCAGCGGGACTTTCGTTAGTACGAATGTTCGGAAGGAGTCCGCTTCATGCAGCTATTCAACTCTATTGATAGTCTAGACTCTGGTCGAGACATTTGAGGGCGAGCTATGGCGTTGTGTACCAGAAGCAGTTCAGGGAACTTCCTGGGCGTTGTGTTGATCGCCATGTTTGCGGTGCCGCACTGGAGGTCCGTCCGCCATCGCACTCGGTCGCGCCGTCGCTTGTTCACGTAAGGCTGAGCTGGCGTTGGAACTCGAGCTGGAGCCGGTCGAATTCGAAACAAGAATCGACCATATCCGCGGAAACTCAAATCAGACGGGGTTCAGCCCTGCATGGCAGGGAGACACCGGTATTGGGCTCCTGCCCAGCTGGGTAAAGAAGAGGGGTTCCAAGTTTCCAGGAAGCTTGGAGATGCAGATGGAATGCAGGTGAGCTGCAGATGAATTGAGTTGGAGAACCGTCGTCTGTCAGAATGTCAGTGCGCCCCGCCAGACTCCAATCCGTACGAAGTTAATAATGTCCGACTCCGGACAATGGCATCCAAAAGTCCCACTGGCGCGCATCGAGGTTAGCAATTGGAATGAATAAAATCGCTCATGCTGGAGTTTGATGGATGTGTTAATTGGGCCGGGAAAGCTTTCCAGAACGTGTTGACTCGTTGAGTTTACAGTGGCGGGGTGGTGTCCACGGAAGTAAATTGCTGGAGCGTCTGTTTCTGAGGGGATCCGTCTAGATCCAGGTTGATTAGAAACTCAGAGGAAGATCAATCTCGACTCCATCGCTGGCTGCAGGTTGAATGGGATTGTGTTTCAGTTGACTAATGATATGTTCGAGGATAGTCAGAACGGCGTTGTATCTATATATTGTCATCATTGGCAAATGTTCACAAAGCCAAGATGCTACCACGACAGCTCAACCACTGGATGGGCGAATGTCAACCGGGCCGACTCGATTACTTCGATCGGCAATTGATTTGTCTATATAGGTTCGCCATTTTCACCCGTTTGTCAACCGCAGCTGGTGAGGCACCGTGGTGGAGCATACGCAGTGGCGGAAAGCGGAAGCCTTCATCTGGCTGTGGACCTTTCTCCGAAGCGGCGCGATTTTCTTCAGTCTTCAGCCTTAGGTGTGGTGCTATTGGTGGAGTTGGCTCCGTTGGAAGGTCCATCATCGTGGACTGTCGTGGACTGTCGTGTGCTGAGTTTCCTCATGGGACAGAGAGAACTGCTCCGAGACGATCGCTCAGCTCGAGTCGAACAGTGAACTGCCAGGGAAATTGCAGGAGCAGTGAATCATGAATGGATGATGCAAGTATAATGCTGCCAAGGCTAGGAACAGGATGAGGCGAAAGCTGTCACATACATGTTTGGACGGAGTAACTTTTCCCACGAGGAAATGTGTTGGTACAACCTCGCTGCGACCTTGGCCGAGAATGCACCGGTCGCATCCGCACCCCGGCCATTATCGATTGATCCAACTCTCGTCATTACGTAGTTCTTGACCATTGTCCGCATGCAGGAGACAGATAGCTCCATGCAAGAGTGTCGCGCTTCCACTTCAGCCGCTTGTTGGAGGCCAATCGGACCTGAGGGAGCAGCAAAAGACCATTGTCTCAATTGGGCGGACAAGGGCCAACTGCTTATCATTGCAGTGCCTGGAAATGGATCAATCATGAATGGACAAACAATCCAGTCCACATTCTTCCGCCAGGATTCAATAATCCAACCGGCCAAGGATTGACCGTCGGCACAATGAGAAATGCCTGCTCCCTGTTTCGCCCAGGGCCTTGCGCGTCCCACCGCCTGGTGCGTCCTTATCCATCATATTCAGCTTGATCCCGAGGACGGAGGATGTCGCGAACTGTTCCTTCGGATGTCCGGTTGCGAAATGGAGAAGCCTCCGACCATCCCAACATGTGACGGATGCTCTCTTCCACTGGATCGACTTTTCTGCACCGCGTCGTCTGCGAATTGTTTTGCCGGCGTCTGGATTTGTCCTACCAGCAGTTGCATATAGCCGAGCAGTGCTAGCCAGTAGTAAACAGCAGTAAGGCTAGCGGGTGATCCAGGACCAGACAGAACCAAAAGGCGTCGCGGCTTCTTCTTCAGCCTGCCAGTCAGCTGCATTGTCTTTTTTCTTCTTCTTTTGTTTGCTTTTTCCTCTCTGACTCTTCTGATTCCTCAGACTTGCCCAGTGGCAGCCTGGTAACAGATCCTCGAGTCCCTGACGGTCCGCCATCATGTGCCATTGTGGCTATTCTAGTGTGGATATGAAGAGTGGATGACTGGCTGATCGGGCGTGATTGACTTCTTCCATTTCCCGTTCTACAGAGCTTCGATTGCGTAAAAGCTGGGCCAGTGGGCCGCCGTTCCGGTGCCTTGGGTACAATAGCATGTGTATTACTGCTGCACTTGTGACTCCGATCTTTGCCATCGAGCTGGGATGCAGCCCAAGTGCATCTGCCATCTGGCCCGGCAGTCGACAGGAGACAAGCATCTGGCTGCGCCGCGGTGAAACTCAGCTGGGTTAAACCCCGGCCTTGACTCAAACAATTAGGCCGAAGACCGTTTTCTGTCGGGCTCCAGCCGCGGAAAGGGGGATCTGAGTCGCTGCCGCAGGATCCATGGTGGATTCTGGATACGATAGCTCACTCCGGCTTCCCACACGGCTGGTCGGGTAGCAACATGGTCGCGTGGCTGGCTCCTTGTTGTTCACTCCCAAACAAACACCCCTTTATTCACCTGGAGCACAGCACTCTGTCAGATAATGTCCGCAATGAGTGATCAGTGCAAGAGCAGTGTATAATACCCGTACCGTACGGGACAGTACGGTACCGGCGTCCAGTTCCAGGCCGGAGCAGCCGTGGGCGGCAGCCAATCAGTGCTCGAGTAATGTGGTAACTTTCTTTACGCAGCGAGCTCCACTTGTGCCCCCCTTCCAGTTCCCGATCCCTCAGGCTCTTCCTCTTTCGGCGTTCACGATCTGAATTCTTAAATAAAATAAAAGAGTAAGATGTCGCCTGCCGCTCCCTGCATCCTGGATTCCTTTCGTCTTTGTCGTCTGGAGTCAAGGGTGGCCCGCCCTATATCACCGAGTCCCCCCATGCTCTCGTGAGATCCGCCTCTCCTCTCCATATCTCTATCCCACGCCTTGCTTCTTCCTTCTTGCAATCTTCTCCTCGCTTGCCGTTTCGCTCTTCCGCTTCCCCGGCCCAGCTCTTGCAGGAGGCTGGCTCTTTGTTGCAACACCTCGCGCATTTATCCTCGGATTCCCTCCCTCCTTCCTCGAGTCTCGTCCACTCACATCTGCCCTCGCTCTGTCCTCAACACTGCGTCATCGCCACCACCTGAACCGCCGACCAGCATCACCACTCGAGCTACCGGTGGTAGCCGTTCGTCCGCCGTCCGTCGTCTTCGAAAGCATGCATTGCGATTATGGGATAATCCTGTTGCTGGATAGTGTTCGACGTTAATCTGCAGTTGTTATGGATTTCATTGTGAGTTTCTTTCCCCCTTTGCCGATCTATACCCACGCTCCTGGATGCCCTCCTCTTTTTTCCTTGGTTTCGGGATGCGATGTGATTGCGTCAACCTCGCGCATCAATCCTTCGTTATGTTTTCCCCGTAGTCTTCTTGTTTCCACTCAGCGCGCCTCGTTCGAGTTGGGACCCCACGATACAACCCCAGGATGACTGTGTGCGACACAGCCGTGCGCTCTTGTACTCCCCGAATCGTACTTTCCAAGACTCCGGGCTATGTATTACGGCTTGATCGGCTAACCATGCTTTTCGCTTGCACAGCTTTCTTTAACGCACTTCTGCGAGGTACATGGTCCCACCTCGATCATCTGCTCGCAGGTCCTCCCTTTCTCCTGTTCGCAATGTCATCCGGAGAAATCTACCCCCTCACCACAAGACACTCCTGCGACTTCACATGGCACCGCCTCTTCTCATGGCCTTCGCAGCAGTAATGCCAGCAGCAAAAACTCCCCGTCCTCGAAATCGCCTGCCAAGTCGGCCGACCAGGGCGACACTCCTCATAAGATTGAAGACTACCCGTGCTTCATCAAGGGACAATCGACCGCGATCGAGACGCAGAAAGTAAATATTTTGGGAGGCGCAGATGGTGACACTTGCGCAAGCTGTAGCTTGACCCTGCCGGAAGATGTGAGCAAACAGCTCCCTCCTGGCGCCCCCGGAACTGCCCGCAGCGACGGGAAGGGCAAAAACGGCAGCCCTGTGCTGCGATCCAGGGAGGTCGTTTCTTCATGCGGCACAAATCACCCCGAGCAGGATGACACTGCGCACGACTCGCACCTCCACGGCTCGCTTCCCGACTCCCTTCACTCATCATCTGTGGCTTCGGATGTTTCCTGCCACAACCATATCCTCACATATTTATCCCTTAGAGGACCGCCAAACCCTGCGGATTATGCGCTTCTTCGACGATCCTCTATCAGAACACTCAGCTGTGAGCTTTTGCCGCGCGGACTTTCCTCCGGCCCATTGTG